GGAGGAAGCTTGATGTTGTGGTCCTGCTTCACTCAATATAGACATGGATTTATAGCCAAGACTGAGGGCGGGAAGACGCTAAATTGTATTACAAGAGACCCTTAAAGACTATGGGCAACAAAAGGAGGATATTGTTTTTCAGCAGGACAATGATCCGAAGCATACCGCCAAGGTGACGAAAGAAAAGTTCCAAAAGAACAAGCTGAATGTTTTAGACTGGCCTTCATCTTCCCCAAACCTCGATCCAATGAGAATATGCGGTTCTATTTGAAGTGTAAACTAGCAGCGTACGATACAGCACCGTCGAACCCGAATGAGTTATAAGAACGTGTTGTGGATATCTGGTATAGTAACTTTTACACCAGAACTATGCTTAAATCATATAGGTATGGCAGCCCAAATTAAACTGTTATAAGGGCAGAAGGAGGGTGGATGAAATGGTAAATCCATGATGTTCTCTGTTATTTGTCATCATATCAATTAAATTGTTGCCCCGAAACTGTATACTCTATTTTAATCCTACTAATCTCATCGATGTTTCAGACTCCAACTTAGCATATCTTATAGTATTGGAGAGCTGAAAACCATAGCTTTCCAATGATGTAAGCTTTTAGTTAGTTGGGAGGGTCTATGTGCTGTAAGGTTAGCCACAGATTATTTACGCGATAATCACAAAATATCATCACAGTTTTGTGAGTGTATGACATAGGATATATTGATTCATCGCTCAGGTAAATAGGTTATACTGCCCTCGGCATACAAAATAATTACAAGATGATAGGATCTAATCATCCTTTACAATAGCTGTTCACTCAATTCAAACGCCACGCACGAATATCAACTTCCTCATTAATATTATTTCTTACAAGCAGAGCTGGATAATATTCAGTAGAGGAAAATAAGTTAGTTGCATGATTACCAGATCAAAACACAGATACTTTTGCAAGTCCACCCTCTCCGGGTTTGATGCGTAGACGAGAATTCAATTTTTTACTGTTAAGGAGACGTACGTCTTCATTAAGTAGAATAATTCTAGGTTTCCCAATATGAAGAAAATATTTTAATGTTCCGCAGTAGATTTATTCTGACTTTTTCAACAAAGTCGTCAAATACCACACATTGACTTCAAGATTGTACGGTTTCATTGTTAGTGCGAATGACTATATCAGAGAGGTTCAGATTATATTACCATAGAGAAAACATCCAGCAATACGGATTTAATTTAATAGATTCCACATCCAATAATAACTTTTTGAGTCGATTCCGCACTAAGATGATGGTTATTATGGTTTTTTTAGAAAGAAACATAATAAACTCTTACCCGTTCTGTAACAGCACTCAGTTTACTGTTTTTATTCTTATCAGTCTTTGTTTAGAGTAACTCAAAGTTATTTAAGAACGCTATTAACTCTCAAACATAGAGTATCAAGGGTCAGCACAAGTATGTGAACTGTATTTTATCATTAAATACTTGAGAAGCTATAGTAGCCTTATTGAGTAATCACAAATCTATATTTTAATCAATGTCAGGCGACATCTTTCCTTTAATAGAGTAACACCTTACTCGTAGGAATAAGCGAATGGTTGGGTGCTACAAATCACTCTAAGTTTATTCCTGTCCAATAAACGCATGATTATTCAAATAGAAGTAGGCGGCTGCGAATTCATGGCAACGTAGATTAACATTCCAACATATATCGTCTAAAAACGCTCTCTCAATTATATTGCTATTTGAAGTAACCTACATCAGTAGTCTGTTGGGCATTTAGGCTGAATAACTGTTGCAATACTTACATATCGACAAGGCACAATTCGGGCAATATTGTGATAAAGTCGGCATTAAAGATTGAACAATCATCTAAAACTTTTGCTGCTGTTAGTAGAGCTGCTGTTGAGATCATCCTCCAATTCAAATCTGATATTATTTTCTTCGACTTTTGAAGCATACGAGTAACGTAAGAAAAAACGTAGATGATGTGCTCAACCGTAAACTTTCCATACGAAAGAAATTGCAGGGAAAATAGTGGTTAGTTTTTAATCGAAATATACCAAACTGATGGTATACCTTACCTGCCCACATTGAAATAGATTATAGAAATGCGAATATATATCCAGCCATGTTGTCGAAGGATATACAGTTACGGAGTGATTGGTATTATTGATTGTTGTGTCGCTGTATACATCCTTAGTTGCATATGCTTCCGTAGAATGTCCTAGTTGAATCAATTCATGCATAGCCAAAGCGAATCTAACAAGGACGTCAATAACGCTCTATTTTCGAAGCTTAACCGTAATATCAAAAAGTACATACTTGTCTAAAAGATCCACAACATTGGATGCCTTGTTTTTTACTTTATGAAAAGCTTCTTGCCATTGTAAGTCAAATGCACTGTCGTAATTCATAGCAGCAATGTAATCTGAGGCATTATCAAGATTAAATGATAACTGTGAAAACATTGATTCAAACGTCATGCTAGAGCCACTGTCCAAAGAACAGAAGCTGAAGTCCAGATCTTCATTATTACAGTCAGAGATTGCCGTTTGAAAGAAGCAAGGATTGTCAATCGAAGCGAACCAAGAGGTACATTGCTTCTTAGCCTCAGAATTGAATACATTTTGATATTCTTTTGATACCTCATCAATGGCATTAGCGATTTGTGCATACTGTTGCGACTGAGAAGAATAGTTATCCGAAAATGGATATCGTTTAGCACGGCACCTGCTTATTTTTTGAAAGCAACCTTCTGCTGTCAACGGTTGGGTATCTATTTTGGCAGGGCGGTTTGTAGTGCTGATGAGGTTCTGTTTGTCTGTGTATGCTGATAACCTTGTCGAGTTTAGTGAATGTAGAGAATTTTCATTGTTGCTTGTTTTGTTGTAAGTTCCGTCATTGTCATTTATTTCTATTCGAGTTAAATTTGCAACTCTAGTGTCCCCAGAAAGGACATCTACATTAATATAAGAGCCATCCTTTGTCACCTGTTCAGTAACTGAAATTTCGCTCCTTCCACGCCTAACCTACATAAATGGAGACCTTAATTTAATACTCACCCTTGATGTACAATTGAACCTTTTTTTCTTCACATTACTGAGATAGTGGATAGGCTTCTCCGTAGAGAAAAAGTAGATTTGAATCGGTTCAAAGCTGATGATTTGTCTTTGATTGATTTCTTCATATGGATGCTGAATTTAGAGAGTACCGTTAATACACTTTTATTCGTTGCCCTTTCGGTATGCAATATGGGATCTTCGGTCTCGAACATATTTGATGTTGAAAGACACCCTACGTATTCACGTAATGAGGACAATGAGGGTAGCGGTTTCGTCAAAATGGGTCCGGACGCGTTGGATTCTCCAAGATTTTTGGCCGTTTCTAAACTCTTGGAACTGTCTCTGCAGGGGTAATTGTTGTAAACACTCTTCAATTTAAATGTGTAAATGGACCAGGAGCGGAATATCTGTCGTATCGAGGTCTTAGACTTTGATTTATCAACATGAACAGAGTTAACTGGAAATAATACTGTTCCTTTCGGCAACGAGCTCCAAATGGAAAGCAGTTCATCATTTAACATCGTAGAAACGAATGGCAAACGATTCAACGATTGTATAACAATTTATGGTTCTATCAGCGGCAATGGTATAAATTCGAAGAATAAACAATAATATTAATAAACCTGGTGACTGCAGGAATTATCAATTGAGTTGGATGATCTTGAAGCTGGTTGAAAAGGAAATTTCAAACAATGTAGAGAATGGAATTTTAAAATTAGCTTGAATTAAAGATATACGTAACGAGGTTTTTCCTCTTCTGGTTTCTCTTTCCCAATACGACGGCGCTTGGTCAAAGCTTCAATAGAACGTTTCTTGACACAGTCAAGTAAAGTTAAAAGGAACATATCAGAGAATATCAGAAGATGAACATATCCCATAAGTTTGCTTTTGAGTATTACCTTCTGTTCCTCCTCTTCAGGACTGCACATTGCTTGCTGGCCCAACCGGACAAGTTGCTCATTTGAAAGAACATTTTCTATAACGATAATAAATGAATTAGCGGTCGACTTCCAAGTGTATAAAGAAACTGTAAAGAAAACCTTACCCCGTATTTCTTCTTTAATTCCTAGAGCCTTTCTGATATTCTTAGCACCTGCATCCATTCTACCCTTCAAGGACTCTCTACGTAATGCGAAAGACATAAGTAAAGTACAAAATGTGACGAGAGCCATTGTTTAGGATCATACTTCAGCTTCGTTTTTGCAGCTTCAGTCATCGGTTTGCGACTAACATGCTTCTGGTCAAATATGGAGCCATCAGTCGCAACATTACCTATTCCATTTATGAAATAGGTTTCTTTCCGCTGCTGTCCCATAAAATATGAATATGGATAGACTTGCTTGGTCTTTGCATGACTTTTGCACTCAAAGATTAATGTTCCATCTGCTTGCCGTTTTTTAGTAGCCCAACGAATATCAAATCCAGAATCGCTATCATCAAGGAAGATAAGCTATTCAGAAGAAGTGATGCCATTTGTCTCTCAACCTACCCTGTCATCATTTCCGCTCGCCTTCTCTTGGAAAAATCAAGCGCTTGTTTTAAATGCTTATCGCAATATTCCAAAGTTCGCCTAACAAATATAGACATCTTAGCATAAGAGTGCAACAAACGATTTGAAAATGTAACTAACCCATCAATGTATTCATCACATTGAATTCTTGGAGATTTATAAGCGATACACCTTGTCAGATCTAAACTGATTCCGATAATGCAAATCTGCTGAATCAAATCTACGTGAAGAGCAATAGATTGCTTTATATTATTCGGCTTTAAAAGTGATATCCTTTTGACTGCTATGATGGTTCCGTGTTTGATATCTTCGCGAAACATTGTATATGCTTTTCCAGTGATATACAATTGCGTATAGGAGTTTCTCATGTCCGTTAAACGTACTGAAAGCAGAAGATCTTTATGTTCATAACATTTATCCACTATACCAATTGTTGACCAGGCGGAAGATGGTTTGGCACCCACATGGATGGTTGAAAATTCCTTTGTATGGGATTGAACGTCTTGCAAAGCATAAAACTCGACATTTTCCAAGAATTTTGTAATCGCAGTAGCCGACACAGTTCTACTTCTACATCGGAAAGAATAAGAAAATTGTATTCAATAAGAATTATAGAATGAGCGCTGTTTCTGATCGTACTTTATTCTAAAGCCGGAGTGAGGTTCAACATCGATACTTTTTCCTGCAATGTGTATTTGGTCAATTGCATTTCCTCTGTCAATATCTCCCTTGGAATTAGTTAATTCTAGTTTATTATTAAAAGAGAATATTATTCCGTGCTCAAGAGCAATAATGAAGCGCAAAGTTGTAACCGACCTTTTGCGTTTTGCATTGTTAGCTTTAACAAAATAGTTTAAAATATGTCCGTGTGCAATGATTAAAATGAACGCGTTGCTGTTTAAACCACTGGAAACCGCGACCTTCAATTTGGAAACCCCGATTATGATGATTTCGTCTTCTTTGGCCATACGATAACAGCATTTCTTGAATACTTGTTCAATCTTAAATAATTCTGCTTTTGAATGGAGGAACCAAAAGTCCCTATTAGATAATCATTATTGAACAGTAACTGTTATTATATGATCAGTCGCACAAAGGGGTAGAAGTGAGAACAAATAAAAAAATACGGCATTACTGTCTTCTGATACTCACTAACTCTTTGGTTACCATGAATACGCACATTATCAAGCTGTTAATATTTTATAAATCATTAGAATGAACATGATGTACGTAAACACAAATAAGTTAAACTGATAATGAGGCTACAATTCATATTAAAGGTTTATTGGGTTGTTCTAGGATGGTGAATCAGTATTTTTTGTCATAATCAGCTTTTAGTAAACTGCCAAGACATCTCATAAAAAGAGTAGACACATTTTTTCAACAATAAGAAAAAATTTTTTCAGGGAAGTATGTACTACATTATGCCAATTATGGTTCTTTTATCTAAAAGCTACTGTTTGTCTGTTTGATTCAACGATTAGCAGTGTGTTACAAAATTCATTTTCTGCCAAGTGGAATGAAAGGATCGCTACTCGGATCTACAGATCCATGAAGAAATTGAGGCCCAGTCCAAACCAATTAGAATACCGATATTATGGATCGCCCTTCTAGCGTTGTCATTGCCATTTTGAAACTTTTAATCATCACCGAAAATTGTATTTAAACCGTTCTTTCTACTTCCATATCTTTTTACCAATAACCGACAATTACAGAAGAATAATGAGTCTACGAATGAGCAGAAATCAAAAGTTGAAGATTAATATTGCCATTACATCTTTCGTTGTGTTTGTCATTTACTGCGTACTCATGATATCAAAGAATGTACCTATTTCCAGTGATAAAATTTCTGTGGAAAAGCAATATGCAGTAGCATCACAATTGCCAACCGTACCACATGATGGAGAAACACTGGAAGCTTTGAAAACGTCGACGTCAAATATTTGTAAAGAAGATATTGTCCTTAGAAATACTGACCCGAATCATACAGCAGCCCACCTCGATTTCTGGAGACACCTTAATGGAAGTACTATAAAAGTTTACAAAAGACGTTGGCAAAAATTTATAGCCAATATTAGAAAAACACCCATTCCTATTGATAAACTCAACGGACGTGGAATTGTATTCATTGCTGGCAATAGAGATACAGTCAAGAGAACGTTGACTACAGTGAAATTGTTAAGAAATGTCTATGATTGTAAACTGAGCATTGAGATATGGCACTTACATGATGAACAACCTTCAGCCGACGTTCGACTTAGTTTTGAAGAATTAGGAGCTACTTTCAAAGATTTATCAAATCCCAAATTAGTTAAACCTATCATCAAGAGACGTGATGCAGATAAACAGTAATGATCCAAAAAAAAAAAAAAAAAAAAAAAAAAAAGTGTGTAAACACTGTTGACTTTCTTACATGGGCTTCTTCTGACCGAGAATTATCTATATAGGTTTCAGATTAAAGCAGCAGCCATAATCAATTCTGCGTTTAAAGAAGTGCTATATCTTGATTCTGATAATATTCCATTGAAAGACCCGACTTTTCTGTTCGATCTACCGGAATATAAGGAGACAGGTGCACTATTTTGGCCAGACTATTGGAAAACACACGGTGAGAACAAAATTTTTGATATAATGGATATCGATTGTGACAATGAATGGGAACAGGAGGTGAGAAACAAATTCTCGTCAACCAAATAAAATCATGATTGTAATACATAATACACTCTGCTAAAACGTTTTTTAGTCTGGACAGATGGTAATTGACAAAGAAAAATCTTGGGTACCACTTCAACTTGCCTGGTACATGCAGAAGCATTATGAAATATACTTTCAATTTTTAAATGGTGACAAAGACACGTTCAAATATGCATGGAAAGCTCTCCATTCTCCATATCATATGGTTGAAGTGTTTCCTGGAATGGCAGGTACAGAGACAAACGGTCGTTTCTGCGGACATACAATCCTTCAATATGTTCCTTTTGCTGATGATGCCGAGGAAGATGACGACTTAATATTTGTTCACGCTAATTTGCTTAAAATCACCGATAAAAAGCATTTCATTCGTCCTGATGGTTCCGAACACCCTTGGGATTTGCTTAAACGATCATCTTTGGCGCATACGAACACTTACATTAAGCCCGAGTTCTATATATCTAATAAAGGACAGGCATGCATGGATTTTACACATCGTGAAGGTGAACCTGATGCAATTACTGAAGATTTCGATCAAACTTTGACAGGGTTCCAAACACTCTACTTCAAAAATGGAGGCATAGGAGGAGAAACAAGGGCATGAAAGGAAAATGAAGAATGACTTATCCCGAAAGTGGTACTTAATACTGAATGTGCTTATATTTATTCTTTGTCCTATTTCTATTTTTTCTCCTAATGACATGTTATATATATATGCTTTGATATACTTCAAATGCTATGTTGCTTGTCACACATTACTTGCTCTTTTGGAAAAAAAGTAATATAGTATTTCTTTCTTAATGTATCAGAGTCTGTCTTTCAGTTAGATTCAATGGAAGGATAGCTACACAAAGTAATCCTAAAATTTCCTTGGTTTCTTCTCAAAATTAAACGGCTTTGGGCTTTGTAAGAACTTGAATAAGGAACTTTCAGATTCTTGGTTAGGATTTACCCTATGAGTTCTATTCAGCATGTTCATGAATCGCATCAATTTTGAGTCTTGCTGCTGTTGTACCCAAGGAAATTGATACGGCGCACGATTTTGTTGTACAAAGTTAAAATTGATGGGCGGAGGTGCACTATAGCGATTATTCTGTTGGTCAGGAGTATCTGGTGACGCACTGCTGACAGTATGATAATTTGGCGTATGATTCAAGATACTGCCAGTAGGTTGTGCATACTGAATGCGTGCATTTTGCCTATGAGTATTGTTTTGTTGATTGCTGATAGATGATTGCGAGCCATTATGCAAAGGCTGACTTGGCTGGAATATGCTAGGTAAAAATTTGTTTACATTATTATTCTTATTCATCTGTCTGTTACTGATATTTGGCGAATGCCTAATATACATTTCAATTTTTAGGTTCAGTAATTGTAAGGTTATTTCTTCATCGAATAAACAGTAAATTACCAAAGGTTCCGTCGACGTGGTTGATTTGGAGTTCGAAGCCACGGGTGGACGGGTACTACAAGAGGCTTCAACGGGAGTGGCGGCACAGCCTCATCATATCCAAGGTGTGGCCTTGTCGTGTAGGGTGCGGCTTGTGTTGGCATTTGTTCATTGACATTTGGGGTTTGGTATGTGTAGGCTTGTTGTTCAGGTATTACTGTGAAATTATTTGATGCGTCATTGCTAGTGGTTAATTTGGATACCATGTGATCCAGTCCTGATAATGGGCTGCTTTTATCAGAAACAACACAAACAGTCGCCGGACGGCGTCTTCGTTTGCTAGGTGACACTACTTCAATGACAGAAAGTTAGCTTTCGATTAACAGTAAACCTCTGTTTAATCCTATAATTTACCCACCCTCTTTTTGTAACTGATTAATTGCATGCCTTTGCAAGAGAACATAAGCCACCTTTTGCATATTATGACTGGAAAATATTGAGTTAAGCTATATTGAATTATGAAATCACTGTTCAACTCTTACTCAATGTTCAATAAGGCTTTAATAACCTGTTCTGTCGACAAATCTGACCACAACACTTTCAACGTTTCTAAGATCCGATTATCAATGTCATTGACTGAGGAGACAGGTCTTCCAATCTCTTCTGCAGATGGAGGGTCGGGTAGCTTGGATGGATTCGGAGGTTGTTCACAAACGAACCATGGATGCTCTTGTACCTGTTGCATCTACAAATTACAGATTTATTGTTTAGGGATGGTATCTCGATTCCTATCCTCTATTAATAATTCTTACAGTAAGTCGTTGTGCAGGATTTACTACCAAAATCCTGCGTATTAAATCTCTTGCTTCACTTGATACATAGTCGGGTATTGTGTAATTTCCTAACTTGACTTTTGTCAATAATTGTCTAATATTATCATCATCAAAAGGTAAATGACCACACAACAAAGCGTATAATATTATTCCACAAGACCAAATATCAGAAGCTGCTCCGTTGTAACGGATTCCCTGGAAATGAATGAAGCTTAAATATTAATGTCTGTATAGATAATCAATCATTTGCGCAAATAAAGTTACATTGACAATTTCAGGGCTCGCGTAATGAGGTGATCCACAGCTTGTTTCCAACATTGAGCCTGTAGGCTGTAGAGAAGCCATTCCAAAGTCTGCAATTTTGATATTTCTATCCTGGTCAAACAATAAATTCTCAGGCTTCAAATCTCTATGGCTAAAGAAGACATCTCAAATAAGCGAAATTATTATATACGTATATTAAATATATCTTTAATGCTAGAACAAACCATATGAGATGGCGATGGCAGTAGTCTAAGCCGATAATTATCTGTTGGAAGTACCGCCTTGCTTCATTTTCTGGGAGTCGACCTTGGGATACTAAGTATTCGAATAACTCTCCTCCTTGTACATATTCCAGAATCAGATACCTGAAATACAGCATATTGGTGATTCAAGGAAGATTTAACGAACAACAAGTCACTGATCAAATAAACTTACAAATTGGGTGAATCAGACATATCAATTACATCAATAAGGCGCATAATATAAGGATGATTGATAAGCTTCATAACGGCTATCTCTCTTTTGACAGCCTTTTCGACAGATGCATTTGTGGCTAAATGTTGTTTTGAAATGATTTTGACGGCTACTTTTTCTCCTGTCACTTTATGTATGCCCATCTTAACACGCCCTATTTGTAACAAATATTTATGAGAAATTGCTATGGGATCGAATTACTGAATTTGTCATAAGTTGTATACATACCTGAGGAGCCTCTACCCAAAGTCTTTCCTAGCCAATAATCTCCAACATCCTTTCTACGCCTTTTACCTGGCGATAATATTGGCGAGTTACAATTACTCTGAGGATATTTCGCTAATGCTCTTCGCTGTGTTGCTGGGAAGACCACTGTATTTAACATGTTATCTGGTGTAGTTTCGATCAGAGGCTGTAATATATTAGAACTGATACAAAGTGATGAAATGTTCGATGGGAACAAAATTAGTGTGGATCATGAAAGGGGAGCTATGAAAATAATCTAAAATATGCGAATCATTTTTTATTCGAATGGTTGGTTTGAATATTTCCGGATATAATGCACTTTTGGGTTTTTTAATTTTATTCGAAGCCTTATACTTCATAGACAGAAACTACATTAGCAGGAATGTGCTCAACACGGAGAGTTAAGAATGAAATAATCCAAAGATCAAAAATTTAAGAATTTCTTCCCCTTTGGTTCAAAATGATCTACTTGCCCAGGAACCATCTTTATCATGTTCACCAAAGAGCATCCGTGCAACGGATCAGACGTCTGTGCTTCAAACTACTTCCTCGTTGATGGAGAACAATATGAGAGTAGCTATGAGTCAGAATGCAGGTGTTGACATCGTTATTTCATTTAATCTGATATGCCATGTAATCTGTCAAAATACTCTCGGAATATTTTTCTTTCATACTTTTGTTGAAAAGCTTAGTACCCTGAACTATATTATTTTACTATGTCAGCTGATCACAGGAGATTTACATTATGTCATTTTTTCTTGCTGAAACTGGGGCTGATTAAATTATGCCGTTGGCCCACTCTACTCTTTTTTTGCATTGCCAATCAGCTCGCCACAAATACGGATGTATTATCACAAGCTTCATACAAATTTATCTATAGCTGTGGAGAAGAAAAAAGTTTATCAGTTTAGGCATTAAAGGGCCGAACTGGTTTTTTTTTTTTTTTTTGTTGTTGTTTCCACTGGTTTTCCTGCAGCACTGCATGAAATGGGCCATTTAGCTTCAAAGCCGGTAGCACACCGACAACAGCAAACAACGACAACATTTGAAGGAGCCATTAAGCAAACTACATTCCAGCCGAAGAAATACTTGAGTCGTATTGAGATTGTCTGCTTAGAGCAGTCTTTTCACAAGTTGAAATCAACATTCAAAGATCATTATGAATGTATTGAACTGAAGAACTTTTTGGTAAAAGAAACCCCTTATTTTGCGTAAAGCTGAGCCATAACGGGTTTCAAGCTATTGAATACTACAATAGTTCTGGTAATTTCACTAACTTTCACGTTAGTATAGAAACATCTTAATTTGCCAATTGAGATTGAACCTGCTGCCATATTATTGTACAAATCATTTTCGTATCTCGGCTCATATCCTGCGTGTGCAACGGTTGGGCCTGTCCCTCTTTCATTTGAAGCGTTTTTAACTGCCTTTGTGGTTTTAACAGGCCGCCTTGACCAAATACATCACAACAACCTATCCGAAACTTTATTTTTCCAATCTTTGTCAATATTACCAACAGTAAATGAAAAGGAACTTAAAGAACCAGAAGACAATACAGATATTAAACCAACGAACAAGCAGACGGGTGGTACCATTGAAGCCACTTCTACATTTGGACCAAAAAGCCTGACAAAAGGTTTATCATTAGCCGATCTAGGCATTGATTTTGACGATCTGAATATAGATAGTAGTCCTCAAGAAAATGAAACCGTCAAAGAGAAGGATACGGAAGGGGCATCAGAAATATTATGTAAAGACTTGATCGACCTTTTTGTATGCTTCATATGGCTAGGAGAAGCAGACAAACAGGAGCAACACGACTTTCATAAAATTCGTAGGTTGGCAACCGATATCGTCGTGAAATCAATTTGTCCCGCTACCACAAAAGAAGTTATGAACAAAGAGGATTTTTCCGATATTGAAGCACTTCCATATGTCACGTATGAAGCATTGCATGCATGGATAATGAATTTCTCACCTCATTTTTTCAAACTATTACAGTCACTCATCATCCATTCATTCACATACAACAATTCTTCCGGCAATAGAAACGCAGGATCAAGGTTGCTAATTGAAGATAAATTACCATCTGTTGATAAGACAGATATACTCACACCATTGTATATCACGTTATTGTCATGGACTTTACCAGAACAAATTCTCATTTCTAAGAAATGGCTGAGACTTTACTCTGCAGAAGAAGATGGATTTTCTATGAACAGATTAGAAAGTCATGTGTTCAAATACCCAGGGCCAACATTAATGATTATGGAAATAGATGAAAAAGAACCACTTCGAAGAAGAACGAAAGGAAAAAAACAGGAGTTAACACCGCCAAGGGTAATAGGCGCATTTATCAAGCAACCATGGAAGCATTCAAAACATCTTTGGGGCGATAAAGAATGCTTTTTGTTCGAGTTAGATCCATCGTTTGATATATTCCGCCCTGTTAAGAATCATAGTCATTGTAATGATGATGACCATTACATATTATATCATCATGATTTTGGAATAGGCTTCGGACCTACAGGCAATCAACAAACATCTTTTAAACAATATTATCCAGCACGAGATATAAACAAGAAGCAGCAACAACAGCAATCTGATTTTATCTTAACTTTGAATAGTACCCTTCAAGAGGGCATCTACAAAAACGAGCCTTATCCCGAACACCCCACATTTGAAAGTGCTAACAGAAAACAGCAAGAATTCTGTTTTGAATTTCAAATAGAAAATATTGAAGTTTTTGGACTCGGATGCGAAAAAGACAGAGAAAAGCAAGCTCGAGAATGGAAGTTCGAAAAGCAAGAGGCAGCAAGAAGGGCTTCTTTGAACATTCGACAGGCCGATGGGCAGCTTGATAAGGAATTATTGAAAATGGCGGGCATTATCGATGAGGATAAAAGACAAGATCGGTAAGGTGGCTATTGCAATATGCTTTCTAAATTGCTTGAAACGGGTGAATAAAAAGCAGAGGTTGCCGTGTCATTTCATCCAATGATTATTACTCTTTTTCAGTATGTAACTCAATGCTGTTGCTTTTAGCCGTAGCATTTTACCATGCTGCTACAACTTCGTAAAATTGTTGCTGTTTTATTTCATATCATTAGATCTATATACGGTTTACCATCCCAGTGAAATAGCGAAAATTTATCCACAAGAAATTGAGTTTTTCAACTTGGGGCTCTCAACACATGGAATGATATTAATTTCATACACATATACAACAATCATAAAAAAGACTAACAGAGGACCATTACTGATGAGAAGATTTATTTGTATCGAACTTTTGGCCTTGGAATACTGTTAGAGCCCTTCATATGCCTTCAAAGAGAGTCGGCTCCGAAATTTTCAACAGTATGTGAAATATACTGCTTTCGATCCTCACTTTTATTTAAAAAGTTTTTTTGGAAGTACTTCTGCTAGAAGAGCCATAGACACACTATCATGTAAACAGTTTAACAGTGATAAAACCACTTAAACTATAAGTACTTACAGTCATGGACTGAATAATTGACAATGGTCAATTTCCTGTTTAATTATCTTTCCAAAAGGGAGCAGCATATCTAATTCACCGTGTGCAGTCATTAGTAGTAACAGAGAAACAAAATTTACCAAGGCGAGGGGTAAGAGTGCTTTTTGTATATTAAGACATTTCAATGACACTCTTTCGATTTTTGTGAAAGAGTTGAGGACACATCTAACATTAATGGGAAAAAAAAAATACTGCGCACAATACGAAAAACTTTCGCACCCTCGATACGTACTAGCGTAAATTAACTCTCCTCGATCACCTACAACAGCCTGTCTATTTATCTTGCATCAATCTTTGTGCAAGAAAGAAAAAAAAATAACTTAAAAACGCGTTTAAGTTGGGATTTATACATAGAACAAGAGCGCCGCTCTCTACTATTTAAATTGGAATCATTGTGTACGTTTTACAGACAGTCAAAGTGTTAATAACTCTACATCGTTTATCATCCATCCTCACTAGTTAACTTTATTCATCTCAGTTTTGCCTTTTATTCCTTCGCATTAAACAGTTTTTTACAATATTTGAGACGGAGGCACTAATATATACAAGGAACAAGTAAAATTGCCCGCCGAGGAACAGGGTACTTTAAAAAACGAGAAGTGCAGGATGAAGTTGACAGATTTTGAATGAGGGATAGGTAAATTTTAAGCAGTGTTAGCAGCAGTGGCTGAAAAAGGGGACATAGTTGATTAACTTGATTGACCTATAATATGTTGATATCAGTTCAAAGAGATTTCTATTTTCTTGTTAAAAAATAAATCTAATAAGAGAAAAGTTACATCAAAATAAAAAATGAATAATAAAAAAGAAACTCTGAAGTTTAGCCAAAATAAACTTCTAGGTAGGGAGAGCGGCTTTTGATGCGATCTCAGAACCGTGTAGTTTGTGTCAATCAGTCAAGCTCCTGTCTAGGTTAAGCTACGATAAGAGGAGTCTGCCGTGCTTAAATTGCAATGGAAATATTCTGAATGGCGCGTTTGGAATAGTGCTCTGAACTTTTGCGTAAATGTCTCGGCACATGTCTTCACTTGACTCGGAATCACAGCATTATTCTCTAGTAACAGCACTAGCTTGTCAACAGTTATAACATTTGAAAAACAACTTCTATGAAAGCTATATGGCCAGACTGTCTTTTTTTAAAGTAATATTCAAGGGAATGGCAAATGTAATATTAACTTCCTTGGACTTTAACTATCTGATTATGATGATCGATAGACTCTCAATGTGGGGTTTATTAAAGTGTGATTACTTATTAGACTGTTTTTTGAATGCAACCATTAACGGAGCAGTTTATTCTGTACTGCAGATGTTAAGAAGATAACTTAACTGTGCATGTCTTATAAAGTGTATAATTTCTTCTGTGAGAAACAGGCTCCCTTTTCTATAAATGGAGAAGCCCTGACGTAAAAGTCTCATACAGAGAGACCCTTGTCTATCTTTTGATAATTCTAGCAAGAACAGTTTGACCATATATGAAGCCTTCGCACTCACATAGCCTAACTCCACCAAAATACCGTACTCGACGAATAAATACCAAGGAAGGCCTTGGGCTGCTTGACGGATAACACATTGTTCGGCTCAACAAGCCTTTGGCATAATGTGACAACCAAGATTTATGAAACTGAAGAAGAAAGGAAAAGAAGGCCGAGTACTTGTATTGGATATCAATGAATTCCGTGTAGCTAAATTTAAGTAATACAGACCTAAACATAGAATATTAACTTGACCGTTCTCCGTAAAATCTGTAGTTTTGACTGTTCGAAAAAGTTAAGCAGCGATAGAAGTACTGCTGAAAGGTAAAAAAACTACCAGTTACTCTATAAAGATTTGTAGTACTCTGGAACTGTGATATAATGGTGAGAAATTTGCTTAATGTTGCTAAAAATATGTGGTCCGGTGTTACGGGGCCCTTTCAATTTTGCTGTGAGTTACGCTAAATATAGCTAACTGCCGGCAAGGTTGTCCTAAGCACTTACATGAGGAAAAATTTGAAAGTGCTGTTGACAAACTGTTCGCATGCGAAGAGTGTTTCACTCTATATATAAGAAACCTGTATGACAATTTGAACTTGAATATTTTGCCTCATGAGACATTTGTTAACACCAATTCAGCTAGTGTTTGCTCAATGTGTGTCTGCATAATGAAATAACAAACTAGGCAATCTGGATTTATCTGGGCTACTACTAACTGTGGTTAAGGGACTTTGAAGAGCAACAGTGCTTCTACACTATACTCAAAGAAAAAAAGTCTCAATACACAGACATCTATTATTACTTAATACAACTGCCAAACTGCTAACATAAAATTTATACGCCTTTGTTACCAGTTACAACGGATTATGAATGGTACTTGCTGCATGACAATAGAATGGTTTGAGTGGGTTTATAATGCCAAACTTTATCCATGTAAGAATGCACATACTTCTTGTACTTGTCTTGGGTTTATCTATTTGTTTTTGAAGAAACTCCAAAACTCTTTTGAAGTACTTATTATCAAATCGAATTTATTCTAAACGGTTCTGACTAATCACACGTGTCAGCTCGCTTGAAGCATTCACATTGACCAGTGGAAGGCCCAATCTATGGAATCGTACATACAAGGTTGCTTTTCTTATTTTTGACGAAGGTTCAAAACGAGTTCTGCTGATGTCATATATGGACGTCATTTCTTATGGATATATTAAGTTTCGAAAAGCGTACCCACAAAGTCCTGGCTCTTAAAAATAACCTTACTCTGGAGAGAGTATTAGAAGCACTGTGATTCGTGAAATTACTCACTACATCACTTCTCCAAAAAAAAAAAAGGAAAAAAAGAAAAAAAGCCTCCCTGCGTATAAATGCTGACTGACAGTTTATTACACTGATACTCTAGCAAGTACAATAAGTGTAGGATCTTATTTTAAGAACCAGCCTGTATGTAAATTGCTTTTAAAGTTTGTGGAATACTTTAAAAATAAAACTTTGATAATTGATAAATGAGGTGTGTGGAATGATGGTTATGACGCTATTGTGCACAATGGTAGGCTTAATTCAGTAATTTGTAAGGTATAATGAGATGGAGAAGGTGCTAAAATTTGATTTTGTGTCGAAAATAACAGTTGCTCTCGCTGTTGCTGTGATGGTAAGACTGGCTCCTCTATTTTGAACTGTTGGGACTTGTCAGTAACGCATGGTGCAGATCGATGTTTCAACAATTTTGGTTGTTTAACGAGAAATCCTCGCACTTGACAAGCATCATTACGAACATCCAGTTCTACCGGGCTTCCTTCTTGCATTCCTTTTTCAACTGTAATTATAAATCCATTCTCGTTATAAGTGGCATTTTCAGTGGCTTTAACGTTATCGGTAGTAGTAGTAGTAGTAGTAGTAGTAGTAGTAGTAGTAGTTGGTAGTAACGGCGATGACGATGCACGCTTGCGAAGAAGCGCACAATGGATTGGACGACGATGATCAAACATTGTTTTAATGGTCACGGGATCCATCTTTATAGTGTAATATGCCTTTTTCTCTATCGCATCAAACCGAATGGGTTTTGCTTTGCCTTTACCGATTTGTATCTAATATCATCGGTAGCATTTTAATACCATAACTGTTGTGGATTATAGTAGTGAAACAGTTTTATGCTTACTAATATTCCCCATTCTTCTTCGGCTGTTTTTGATCTAATGATACGCCTCTCGATTTCGTCGAGGGCAATTGACTGATGTAGGCGAGAAGTTCTTTCCAGACGAGCCAGATCGATGATCGACAGATAATCAAATATTTTATATAAAATTTCTAATGGAAGAGATCGATCCATAACTTTATGTTGTAATAGAACAGCTTTTACTGCAATGGACGTGAAAAGAAAAAAAAAAAAATTAGCCTCTTTATATACTTAGAAGTAGTAGTAGTGCGCTCTGTTGGCATCTTGAAAAAAGAGTAAAGCGGGGTAAAACTCCGTACAGTGAGCAAACCAAATTGAAATAAACTAAAAAAAAAGCTACTCGCTTTTCAACCTAAGCGAGAGGTACAATATGAGTTCACTATCCTTAGTGCGAATAGGAATAGACTACTCGATCGCTAACCATATAGTCGAGTCCCCGACTATGCATTATACCTAAAACACTACTGCGAGCAAATTAAGGTTTATTTATCTAATACTGTTTTTCCGCTTGACTTTCGGCACGAAATGGCTATTAAATTGAGACTATATTACAATTAAAATTCAAACTAATATAAAAATTATTTTGGATGAAAAGTATAGTTTTAGGGATCATACCTTTTCTGTCAAAATGTTTAATGCCAAACGTGCGAGCTACTATTACTCAAACAAGGTAAATATACTGTGCCAAAGCACAAAACACCTACCCTGTTTGAGTATGTAGTAACGTCAAGCAGCAGTTAATAAAAGCCCAGAAATGTACAGTGACAAATTTCACAAGATGAACTCACCTAAACGCGTAAAAGTCTTTAAGCCGTCGGTATAGAACCTGCAGCACCATTTTCGTTATGGCGATGGCGAGAGAAAATGTCGGGGCGGCCATTGTGTTCCCATACGGAATTTGCAATAGTAAGCATATTTTTGGCCGCATTGACGTCTCTTTTCCATATTATACCACAGGTTTTGCAGGCTTTGGTACCATAGACGCTGGAGCCTTCCGAAATTCGTACTTCTTTCATTTGACACTATTACAATTGTTACAAACCTACGAAAATGACATTACTTCTAGAGAAGGGCACTTGATTTGGCAATTTGGGATCCACCTTTGAGGTTTTAAACTCACAGTATTCGATGGCGATGCTTTTCTCGCTTCTAGCCTTCTCTTTTTGCCTTTATCTTTAGCTTGCTCTGTTTCGTATTCATCTTTTCCGGACTTTCGTTTCTTGGCTAGAAAAGCGTATGAACAGAATATCAGTGAAAATGAACAGGAAATATTACCTCTTCAGCCATCTGTTACCATTATATTCTGGACACAAGCATGAGCCCTTATGCACATGTCCTTCCCGTCCGCAAGCAAAACATGTTTCTAGGAAATTAATGGTTCAACGATTCTAATTGAGTACATAAACGGATAGTAAACAAAATACAGCAATAATGAACTGACTTTCTTTATTTTCTTGCTGCTTTTTCTTCAACTTTGCTTCAAGGTAAACTTTTGCTTCTCTTGACGGCATGATAAAAAAGTTACTCAAAAGATACAAACACTCAGTTACAAACAAAATATGTACAGTACAGTCGTTGGGAGTAGCTCGTGATGAGATCTTATTTTAATCTACCTGATGATCCACTGTTAACACTTCTTTAATAATTCTTTAAAGGATATAACTAGACTCTGATAAAAAAAGGGAAAAGGTACCAACTTTTTATCTTTTTATAAACTGAAACTTTTTGTTAGAATGTTATATTTGGACAACAAAGAAGTTTTGACAACAAAAACAATCTACGCGCTAAATTTTGACATCAAATCGAAACATGTTTATTTTTAATCGAGACACGCTTATTTATCACTTCATCAGTTATTGACAAGAAACAGGCTTTTAACTTAATTTATACAATCATCTAATGTTATTGCTTTCTTTAAGGGAAAAATGACACTAAAGTGACACGATTTTAGATTAAGAGAGATGCTGAGCAGTCAATGAAAATACAGGATTGTGAGTCATTTACATAGAATACAACTGGACAACCAGTTCAAATGACAGCTAAGGAGAATGTAGGTAATTCTTTTGGGCCGATCAAACAACAAAACTTACTGCAACAAATGCGTGCAAAAAGAGGCGGGCCTCAGATGGTTATTACAAGTGTCCAAATGAAAAAAGTAACTAGTCCGAAATAATGACTTAAATTTTCTGAATTAAGTCAATCAAAATATCCAATTTTGTGTACAAAAAGGTCTAAATCTAAACCGAAAATAATGTAGTATTTTGAATCCCAACCCTTTAGTCCATAATCCTTTTTACCCTTGAGCCCTAAGGGGGTTTTTAGATTCTTTTCAGCCTTTGGAGCTGCCCCGGGCAATTTAGATAAGCTTAATATCTCGTGTCATTGGGCTTTAAAATGTCAGTAATAAGAATCCTTGTTTAAAAGTAGTAACAATTGGCTTTTGCTGACACTCAAATTGCTCTGTGCATGAATTTTCAAAACTATTTTGTATTGCCAGTGCTGGTCGCCTTTGCTTTTTTTTACCCTTTTCTCTTTTAAATCCATCTATAGCTTCATGGTTCGAGAACTAAGTATAGGTTGGAATGATATTATAAATGCGATCAAATATCATTATTACTCGATGAATGATAATGAAATCAAACAACGCTTCAATTCTTTTCAGCATTATAAAGAGATGTTTAAACCTGATTCACCCATTATGGGCATCGTTGTGAGCCTGGGTAAATCGAAAGAGAAGCAATCTTGATACTCTTATCTCCAGTTCATACATGTTAATCGTCTATATTACCAATTTTTTGAAGGTATCTCACCAAAGCTAGGAAGATACGATGTGGTTATGTCTCAGAATGTTTGTGTGCAGTTTCTTAAATACACGGAAATGACTATGGCAGTAGGATCTATTCCACCTTTAGAGAGTTTAGTAACTCCCTTACCTTATGAGATAATAGAAGACTACAAAATAGAAAATCCACATACACTCAGAAATACGTTGGAGAAAGCCAAAAAGAAGAATAAGCAACAAGAAAGACTACGTGAGGCCAGAAAAGAAGCTGGGCTGGCCAGGAGCCTTGTAAATAGTAACCAGTACATCTTTTACAGTATTGATATTGAAGCCTACGAAAAGGATCACTCCATCTTGCTTGAAATCGGCTGGTCGACGTACGATTCAAAACTTGATCAGTTCCGTGATCAGCATTATATTAACGATAATTATCGTCATTTGAGGAATGGAACATTTGTTGAAGATGAGAAGGAGAACTTTTCTTTTGGTACATCAGTATGGTGCTCGCTAAAAAAGGCGTTGGGTGAGCTGCGGAAAGATCTTGATTGGGCAGTAAAGCGCGATGGGGGGTTTGTGCTCGTGGGTCATGGCTTCGACACGGATCTAAAATACCTGCAGCAGCAAAAGTTCATGTGGCCAACAAGTGATGGTGGGCAGACCCTTAATGTGACGGAATCTGCCAACATCACTATATTAAATACAGATATTTTATATGCAGCATCCATTAACAACCTTCATAATCCGCCGTCTTTGGGGAGAACCTTGAATTTATTCAATGTTGATACTTGGCATTTACATAATGCAGGTAACAGTATTATGTAAGTTTCTGTAAAAAGGTCAGAGCGAAATGTTAAACTGTACTTTTTTCTTTTGCACAGGCAATGATGCTCATTACACAATGCTTCTACTGCTAATACTTGTGGGCCATGAACTTTAGTCGTCCAGCAAATTGTGATGTATGACAAGCCATCGCCTGTTATTCAACTCCCTTGCGTAGTTTCTAAGCACTAATCCCAAGTTTACTTTTCAAGTTTTAGTGCTTAGATTAAATGCTTCCAACGACGATAACAGTTTCAACATTGTATACCAAACAAGTGACATAGTGCAATTTAAGAGCTACAGACAGGCATATCATTTTAAAGTAATTGAATCATTTTGTAAATAGTATGTTTTTTTATTCATTAGTAAGAAACAATGCGCTAGTTTGTTACAGTGTTGTTATTAATAATGTTTCCACATAGGTTGAAAAGGGTTAAACTGGATATCATAAGGTGAAAATTTGTAATGGCATATAGAGAAGGTTCATAAGGGATTGTATATATACAAAAAGGGCTGGGCTAGTAAGAAAACTAATAAGAGTAATACAAAAACGAGTATTGAAGATCTTGGGGACGTATGTGAATGAATCGTTAAAGAAGAAAAAAAGTCTATAGTTCGTAGTGATGAAGAGATATATCGAATAGTTGTTTCTTTTTCTTCCAATCAATGTTGCAAAAGAAATCGCGTATATAAAATCTGTTTAGTTGATGATAATAGGAAATGCATACTGTTTATCAGAGGTTTCGCTATTGTTTGCATTGGAATACGGATAAGATATGACCCATGTAGGCTGCTGCTTGCTATGTGCCTGGTATGTTGAAGGGTGACCATAAGGAGAGGCGGAGGATTGTAACTGTTGCGAGTGAATGATCATTGGTGTGACCATAGGCGGTGTGTTTCCGTAGTCTGCCGTGACAGACAAGGGGCTCGTAGGTGCATCGTCTGAGTCACAACTGGTCGTTGGTGAAGTGGGAGTATTTGGCAGCACAACTTTGGAAAGACTAAAAGTACAAGATGAAACAATGAAGGTTAGAGTCTTTCTATTAGAACAAGAAGGACGTCATTGTCGCTTTCAGTTATACCACTAATACTTACTTGAAACTTTTCCATTGAGGGTCATGGCATCGCTGGTGACGGGATAATGTAGTCTTACGAGTAAACGACTTTCTGCAATCAGGAACATCACAAACATAAGGACGCTTTCCTGTATGAGTTCGACGATGTCTAGCTAGAGAAGATGACTAAAGAAAGAAGGTTTATTTGATTTAGCATGATAGAACATCTGCAAGCTGCGCAGGCAAGAGATGACTTACATCACTGAAAGATTTACCACAGGCCTCATATTCGCAAACGTGCGGTCTTTCTCCTGTATGTGTACGATAGTGAACAGTTAAGGCTGATCTTTGGATAAATTGTTTTCCGCAACCTTGCCACTCGCAGTGATAGGGCCTTTCGCCTGTGTGAATTCGTCTGTGCCTTGATAGATCAGAACGTCGAGAGAATCGTTTGGTGCAAGTACTCCAGTTGCAGGCATAAGGTTTATTGTCATATTGTTGTCGAGGGTGGGTTTCTGCTCCAGGCGACAATAGGATATCATTAGATGCAAACGATAAGTTATTATGAGCTTCTATTGCAGCACCATCGGTATTATTCGCCGGTAGTTGATCATAAGAGTTTAGTAAATTTCGAATATCCATATCAAGATTGACTTAAATGTAAGAAAAAAAAAAGAGAAGAAGAGAAGAAAAACCAAAGAACAAAAAGAAGATGAATAAAGTGCTTTCGACAAACGCTGCTTTATATATAAACTTAACGTCACGGGGGTTATAATGGATTATAATTTTAGTTTTATTGTGAGAGCTGGGTATAGGTAGTACAAACTATTCTCGAATGACACGGCCTAAAGCCATTTCATTTGAGTCACGAACTTTTTTATTAATACGTAAAATGGCAATCTGCCATATTCAAGTTACCTATATGATGTATCCTTAATCGGCATTTTTCCACTACATTGTAGTGAGTACAAATCCGTTATCTTTAATTTACCTTTAGAGTGGTTATTACGATCACTCAAACTATTTAGGCTTGCTGGGGCAATAGCAGTGGAAAGATAATTGGGTCCAAGCGTAACCCGTCCCCCTTTTTTTTTAAAATAGAAAAAACGAATAAGCTTAAGTATATTTGTAATCGACCAGCTTATAGAAATGTCAAAGCTCTTCATTGGAGCAATGTCAGTGCTATCTTTATGCTGAGTGTTCGCTGCTGAGACTTTATTGGCTGCTTATAAGGTACAAAGCGAGGACATTTGAAAGCAAAGCCTTACTGTCGGTCACTAAACAAACAGATCGTCACTGTAATAGAAGAACTTCACTTCAAAACACCGCAGTCCGCTAATTAGTTCAATAGGCTAATGATCCTCGAATGGGTCTTTCTCCTGCAATTTAGTCCTTATAGGTTAAGGCTCAATAATTTCTGAAATTAGCGCTTCTTCGTCAACGTTATTGTCACTGTTCATGAGAAGATGATCGATTTAAAAGCTAAAAAAATAGGCGGAGATGAATAGAAACGGCGTTGGTTGGTGAAAGCTGTTGTTTATCTGAATTTGTTCGTGATACGAGCGAAAAAAAAAAAAAAAAAAAAAGCTGCGTGTTCTACATCCGCGTTACGATGAACCCAGACGGAACTCAAATTGAACAAACATTTGGGGGGGGAAAGTAGGTACGAGATACACCTCAAACCTGTACCTAGTTGTAAATGACTAAGCAAGCCGTCAACTGATAACGTAAACACTCCAGAGGCCATTTTATTTCCTCTTTCATGACCCATTGCTTGAATTTCATATTTTGAATAAAAATGGCGGACATTGCTACATAAATAAATTACTCCGTTGATTAATTTGTGATGCCCTGTAGAAAGCCACGTTTCTGTGAGCAATACCTTTTGTATTCTTGTGCAATAAAAAATTCATCGCGTGTGTTGGTACGACCATACCAGGGGGGAAGCACTTTAAAGACTTCCAATACAGTAGATGATTTGGGAGAAACGTCACTCTTTACTAAACCAAACAATGAGCTTTCATCCCATAATCAAGCATTCTGGGTTGTACAAAGCTAGAGACGAGAAAATAAAACAAAAGTGGGTGTACCTATGAAAATTGAGGGCACGAGCCACTAAATCTATCAAACTTTCTTTAAAAGTCCCTGCTCTAATGAATAGGGTCTAAAATGTTTCCTCTGCTGACTTATTGTGGGGTTGCTGGTATATTTAGAAAAAATGAACATGACAATCATCGTGGGCGGGCGTAAATAATTAGCCATAATAGTTATAATAGTTTCGCTTTCTACTGTTGCTTTCAATAGTTTATTCTTTGTTAACAGTAATTAGGACGCAATGTATGTCGTTTACTTACTTTTTAGCTATAATTTGAGTCCATCCATCTTTGCTTTGTATACTACTGAACCGACAAAACGGCACTGATGCTACTGTATCAGAGTAACAATATTCATTCCTTATTTGTGCAAACGATCGTGGAAGCTATTAGTAACCATACGTACTTTGAGGAGCAATTACTGCACAGAATATACTTACCAAACACGTCAAGGTTTCTTCTAATGCTAGACTCGTCGTTGTTTTTTTTTTTTGTTTTTTTTTTTCTTTTGTGGCCTTTTTTGCTAATTGCATGAAGCTTGGACAGGGTTAGTATTTAGGGGTTTTGCTTCTAATTTTTGCTACTTTGTGCAAATGTTTACTACTATTTAACTTTTCATATCTGTGCTCTTCTTTGAATAACAACCATAAACATAAAGTCTGGTTTTGCAAATACAAGTCTCAAAAATGGATTTCAAATAAGAGCGGCATCATGCTAGTAAATATATGGTAAAACGCCGTAAGATCGGCGAAGTGCCCTTTATCACTATTTGAACACAATTTTATCAGATTTGGCCAATAGGATTGAGTATGTTATATAGTACACAGTAACATTTTTGAAAGCTCCTGTGTCACATTACCAGTGTTACTCTTTCTAAATTTTCAACATTTCAAGTTTATTTCCGTACATGCATATTTGAAAAATGAGCGTAAAATTTTGAATAAAATACATGCACACTGTAGCACTTTGCGATACACATGCTATCAGCATAAATAGTAATCGACACAGTAATCAGACGGCGATGAGCAAATTGATTAATGAATTGTGCTTTCAAGGATATGACTGCAACAACTTCCAAAGGTTCAACCGCAAACCGACACGGGCTGTGGTGAGCTACTCATTGTATGGTTTAATTAACAAGGTTCATTACAACTTGAAGCAAATATAATCGAATAAACCAGATCATAATGATTGGAAAAGCGGTAAAATTAAGAAAAAAAAAAAAAAAAAAAAAAAAAAGGTGAGGAGGTGGCATTATTGACAATTTTTAACAAACCCACTATAGCCTGCTGAAACATCCTTCTTGAAGAATTGGACACAAATAATGTTATGAATTGTGAATTGCCGATACTCATCGATCAAGGAATGTAGAGTAGGCATCGTCAAACAGCTGGTGAATAAGATACATTACAGGACTATGTTTTTTATCTTTATTCTACATCGAAGTACTTATGATATCATCTCATTAAATCTAAATATTCACGAACCATTCCATATTTTGATGCACTGAAGGCGTTTCTATTTACTTAGAACAAGTGCCAAATTTTCCCTTCCAGACTTCCTCCATCTTCTCGTCAATTCTAGTGAATAAATATTCAGCACCACCTAGGGTGTGCCCTTCCTTAATGTCCATTTCAAAGGTGTCAGGAATCATACGAAGAGGAGCATTCAACTGACGGCACATGCTTTCGGAAGCACCAGGCATATAAGGTGACAAAAGAGCTGATAAAAGATAAATCAAATTGGCTGCGGTTGCAACAACAGCGTCACACTTTTCACGAGAGTTCTCAAACAAAGCATTGTTCATGTTGGCTTCTTGAAGATATTGATTGCCACGGGCAGAGATGGCCATAGCAACTCCAAGACCGGCTCTAAGTTTGACAGCTTCCAATGCTTCGATATATTGCTTCAGAAGGCCATTAACATCTTTGACAAGCTCGGCTTCTAATTTGCCAGAGAAAACAGCCTTAGGGATGACACCATCATACTTGGCAAAAATGAAACGAATGGCACGATTGACGAAGTTGCCAAGATTATTCAAGAGCTCACTGTTGTTCTTTGTAATAAATTCATTCCAAGTAAACATAGAATCGCTGGTTTCAGGACGAACAGACATGAGATAGTAACGCCAAACAGAAGGAGAAATGCCTGTTTCTTTAGCATTGTTACCAAACACGCCAACGTTACGAGACTTAGAAAATTTACCACCTTCGTAATTAAGATATTCTGTTTTACAAAATATAAGTTCGCTGTATTCAATATTCACACGAAATCAAATGATCTTTCTACTTACCGCAAGTATTGATATGGTTGACAAGAGTCCAGTTTTCTTGGGTACCCAGTTCAGAACCAGGGAAAATAACAGAATGGAAAGGCACATTGTCTTTACCCATAAACTGATATAATTTAACATTTTCGGGGTTCTTCCACCACTTCTCCCATTCATCGGTATAATTAGCGGTAATACTGGGATAACCAATGGGTGCATCAAACCAAACGTAGAATACCTTATCCTCATAGCCATCAAGAGGTACCGGTGTACCCCACTTCAAATCACGAGTAATACAACGAGGCTTCAAGCCTTCCTTCAACCAAGATTGTGTTATGTTAACACCGTTAGCTGACCATTTACCTTCATTAGCGGACTTCTCAAAAGCCTTTTCAATTTCAGGTTGAAGTTTGCCCAAGTCAAGGAACAAGTGGTTAGATTCCTTGGTAATAGGTGAGTTACCATCAAGCTTACATCTAGGTTTGATGAGCTCGGTAGCATTTAAAAGTTTACCACAAGCATCACATTGATCGCCACGCGCATCTTCATATTGGCAGTTAGGACAAACACCTTCCACATAACGATCGGCCAAAAATCTAATTTGCAACGAACGAACAATCAGCTTTTAAGCCGAGAGACCAGATTACAATTAAGTCTAAAGAAAAATACCTGCTACACTTTTCACAGAAGAGTTGGGTCATTGATTCCTTTACAATATAGCCATTTTCGTAATTCTTCAAAAAGATTTGTTGAGCAATCTCAGTTTGCTTATCGGTGGTAGTACGGCCAAAATGATCAAAAGATAAATCAAACCACTCATAGACAGCATTGTGAATAGCATTATACTTGTCACAGAGTTCTTTACATGAAACACCTTCTTCTAATGCTTTAGTTTCCGTGGCAGTACCATATTCATCAGTACCACAGATATAGATAGTATTGTAGCCTCGAGCACGACAGTATCTAGCGTAGACATCAGCACTTAGAGTTGAACCAACAATGTTACCTAAATGAGGAACATTATTGACATAAGGTAGGGCGGAAGTAATCAAGATATTGCGTTCGCCGTCTTTAGGAAGAACTCTGCGAATTTAATAAATTGAAGACGAGCTGTCAGTCAAAAACGCAAATCGTCATTGCTGTATCAGATTTTCTGTAATATTGCACTTACTTAATAGTGGGATCAACAGTTTTAGCAGCGACATCATTGACTTTTTGCGTTGCAGAATTGAACACGGGTTTAGGAATTTCTTTGGTAACTTTTTTCTCGCCGTGAGCTACCTTATTCTTGGGCTTAGAACCTTTGTTTGTCTAATTGTATGTTTGGAATTTACAAATCTTATGAGTCACATTCCGTCAGGTTTCTGAGACATTTTTTAAAACGACAAATATACCTGTTCCTTGACGTATTCAACACCAGCAACCATTTTATCGTTTTTTGAGACAATGGAGAACCACTTGGCAAGAGTAGAATATTTACTAAGGTCCTTTGCAGATGTTAAGGTTTCTACAAGTGTACCGTAATAAATGGCATCTACAATCGTAACCTTGTCAGATTCCTATTACCACCGTTTGCACAATAGAAATGAGAAAACAAAGTTCAAAAACAAAAGCAGACTGAAAAGAAATGCCACTTGCCTTTGCAAAAGCATCGCCAAATTTGGTCATAATATCATCGACATTTTGGAAAGCTTGATCAATTCTTCTTTTTATAATGAGAGGGCTGACGAGTGTTTCCTCTTTTTCGATAACAGTAGATTGCAAAGGTTCGAAATCAACGGCATTAAAAATATATCTTTCAAGTTAAACACAATGTTATAGTTTAGAAACAGAATATATACTTTTTTTTTAAGAAAGAAAAAAAAAGACAAATGAGTACTTCAAAGCAGCATTAGCGTCGACCAAGCTAATGTCATTGTTGAGGGAGAAACTGACAGTTTCGCCAGGAACTTCAACTAATTTGGCTCCAGTAAGTTTGGCGGCAATTGACAACTTTAGAGCATTAGCATATGGCTTTGTGTTGGCTGCTAACTTCGGAAGGGTAATCTTTAAAGGTGCTGGCATCTCCCGCAAAAAAACAAAACAATAAAATGAAAAGGTACAAAAGCAGAGCGGTATCGCCAAGGTGTCAAAAACCAAAGAAACAGCGATAAGCCACCTGATTTGCTGAAATTTGAAGCTTCCATTATGCCCGACTTCGAATTCTTAACTATGCAACGTACCCCCAATTATCAAATCATATTGTACTTCTAGAGCTTTAATGGTGTTTTCATCGTTTTGTAGCATGATTATATTCTTATAGTAATTCTTTTAAATGCCTCAGTTACTTTACATTATCTACTTTCAGCCTAGTTGCTTTTTATCAAAAACTGTTTGCTCTTTAGTTTACTTTGTACAGGGTATGAATAACTTAAGGTGCAGATTTAACTAATTGAGCTAAAATGTCTTCTACTTCTTGGGAAGAAGCATTCTGGAGCGTGACCTTTCTTTCAACTCCTTTGTCTATGTGAAAATATTGATTGATAAACCTATCAACAAGCACCATACAGTTGAATGATATGAATTCTTACCGAAACGAGCAAATGCTCGAGCTTCGATTCCGCTAGCCTCACGCACTAATATGGGAAGTTCAGGGTTGGCTTTCTTGATATTGGTATAATTCTTTGTAATGAAATCGCTATTTATACCGTAAATGGTGAAGGATTTAATAACAACTACATAATTGAAATCTGCGTTTAATCGTTCTTTACCGAAGCCCGCTGCTGGAAGGTGAAGTCTGACAGAACTGGAGACGAAGCTCTTTAAGACCTTTTAATTGTGATTTAAGGGCTGACATCTTTAATTATTGCAAGTGAATCAAAAATTATGGTATTCAGAAATGTGGGGCAACCTATCTGAAGTTTTGTTGTGACCCCAAACAGAATTAGGCACAGCCCCACTGTGAACAATATACGTCATCCGAAAATAATTGTCACTTTTTTAAAGCAGCTCAACACAAGGAGCAGACATTCAAAATTTTTTGAACAAAATAAATAATAAATGAGAGCTTTATTTAAAAATCCAAATGAATAAAAAAAGACAAAAACAAATATTGAACAAAAGAGAAATGGTTATAAACAATGGTCTTTAACGTCTCTTACGTTTGCCTGCGATAGCCGAACCCTTCAAGCGAGAATGAAGTACCTTCTTTTTCTCTTCGTCCGGCTTAGCTTTGTTGCGGTTTTTATTCTTCACATTAGCGGTTTCGTAATAATGTGTACCGACCTTCTTGGTCTTTCGCTCAATCACTGTTTCATTATTGTTGACTTTAAGTTTCTTCATTGGCTGTTCTTTTACATCTTTGTCTTCGTCCTCTTCTTCGTCAACGTCCGCAGCATTGGTTAGTGTTTCGATTTCTGCTGTGTCTTCTTCCTCTGAAGCACCTTTATCTTCGTCACTTAGCTCCAATTCACTATCAACCTGTTCCTCGCCTTCAATTACTGGTGCCCTCACCTTTGGGCCTTCTTCACCTACTACACTTTCGAATACTTCATCCCAATCCGTCACTTTATCTGTGCTTGTTTGAGCAGTACTATTTTCTTCTTCCTTCTTTTGTTTCACCTTTGCTTTTTCCTCGGCAATCAACTTGGCATTATTCGCCAAATCATCCTCCAAATATTCACTAGTGACATGAATGTTGCTAAATATTTGGTCAACACCAATATTTCTCTTTTCATCGGACTTCTCCTCTTTGGGTTCTACAGACTCAGGTGGAGGAACATAGTAGGGAATGCGGCCACGAAGCCAGTCATTAAGCACCATGATAGCAACATTGTGTACATCCGGCTCGCCTTTTTTCAATAATTTGCCGGTCTTTCGGGCGATTTGCTCCAAGAAATCATTATGATCAGTCCAGCTTTGAAGATCGTAGGTTTTTCTCAAATATTCTGATCTGACACGTTCTAAAATAGTAGGAATGGTATCTTCTGGGTTATCCATTTTTTCAGCACGGACCGATCCCTTCAAAATAATATCAACTTCGTTATCATCGGCATTGGGTGGTACAACACCAGGACAATCAATGAGATAGATGCGCTTCATGAGTGTGATGTATTGCCAGACTTTGGTTTCACCCGGAATAGGAGCTACATTACACACCTTTTTAGCTTTGAGAGTGTTGATAATCGACGATTTACCGGTATTTGGATACCCAATAAAACCAACTGAAATTTGCTTTTTATCGCTGTGTAATGACGAGAATTGACGCAAAAGCTGGATCAATGAACCTTTACCAAACGAATTGTTAATAGAAGCATGGAAAGCAAGGGTGGGAGCTGTCTTTGAAAGGTGTGATACCCAACGAGCAGTTGACCAAGTGGGTACAAGATCGACCTTGTTTAAAACAAAGATCAATTGTTTATGTGGCTTCTCTTTTTTGATGAAGTTTTCAATGTTGCGACAACGAGTACCGATAGGATCACGAGCATCTAACACATGAATGATGACATCAGAAGAATCGATCACCTTATATAATTCGTTCCAAATACGTTTAGATTGACCGGCTTGCAGATACCAAGCACGGGCACTATCTGTATAGTCTGATTCTTTGTTGGCTAACAAACTGGAATCCTTTGTTGAATTGTAACTGTCTAGGAAAGTCAATAAGGCAACATAAGTCAATTAAACTATTCATATTGTTAGTACAAGGATATATTATTTTACCATGAGTATCATCGACTCTAGCCATTAACTCTTCCATTGATCCAATGTTCAATTTCGGTTTCTTTCTTTGTGCCTTATTGCCAAAAGTGTTGCCGAAGCTGTCTGTTTCAAGAATATGCATACGAGACTGCTTTGTTGCGTCTTGCAATAAAGACATTGGTAACTTATTCTGCTTTAACAAGATCTGATAGGGATCGTCAACTTTTGCAGCGAGCGATTCACGAAAGTCTTCAAGTGCCTTTTGTCCAATAACTCTGGTATTACCTAGAATAACCCAGAGTTAAATCAAGCACAAATAACAAATCAGAACAATATATTCATCAACTTACCAAACCATTTTCTGTTGGGTGCAATTCTAGCTGTTTTAACTTCGCTGCTTTGGAAATCGGCTGCTTTTACAATTTTGCCTTGAGAGTTTCGAATGGCTTTGCCACCCTTCAACATGTTGATGTATTTCAGCTTTTTGGCATCTCTGTAAAAGTTTTCACCTTTGACTCTGAGGTTGGAAGCACGATCATCCCCACCGGCTTTGTCACGAGCTACTCTTTGCTTTTCCTTTTTATATTTGCCCATACTATTCTGTAGTTGGAGAGAGATAACAGTTGATAAATGGAGAGAATCTTTTTTCCTTTTAAAATAATTCCATTTCCTTATTCGATCCATAATGAGTGACCGGTTTTCCCCAAACCTGGTTTAGCAATAATGGGAAATTTTCATGAAATTCGCCCTGATCAGAAAACAGTTGAATATTAATTATTCGCTTAGTCAATGAAAATATGGCTGGTGATAGAAGATTTGATTAGGGCAAAGATTTGTTCAATTCATCAGCTATTTTCTTTCAAGCAAACGTTCGAAACAGAGCCATAAAGGAAATGTTTCTATTTTTTTGAAAGATTCTTTCCATCATATTTTATCACCCTATGAATTATCAACCGTATATAAGTTTCTAGATCCTCATACACGGTTTCTAAGCTTATTTGGAAGAAATTCTAATCCAGAGCTGGCGTTACTTTGAACTTGCGCGCTTGTGATGCTTCAATTATCTTCAAATACATATATTTGGAAAACAGATGTCTATGTTACGTCTACACGAACTATTAATCTTAAACTAACTTCAACTACCAATGTATTTTCACTACGCTTTAAAGCATTTTTCCTTTTGCCTAATTTTCCACTTTTAGCCATAGTGCATGCGATACTGAGAAAAATGTAAAGTCCTTTTATTCAGACTGATAATATGAAAGAGAAGATGACCTCTGCACAGTTTGTTATATTCGAAAAAAGACGTCGAAGGCATGGAGCACTAATGCTCATGTGCCAGAAGAAAAAAATAAAAAAAAATAAAAAAAAGGTTGAAGAATGGTTAAAACCTTTAACAATAGTTAATAATTGAAAAACAAGTATCTATTGTAGCTATTTATGCCCAATCGTTTAATTAACCTTGCTTTTACCGACTGAGATATCAGGGCAATAAATTGATAGTGATTGGTTTAATATCTGAAATTGTATTCAAATATATTTGTCCAGCTGATAAAACCCTGCTCGGATGGAGAGTTGTGTGGCCTAGGGTAAAGAGGGTGAACCCTTTCAAGAACACAATGTCAACTTCGCTTACAAAGGTGGGGAGGAAAGTTGATGTGATGGGCCTGCTTCACTTAAGATGGGCCTGGCTTTATAGCCAAGATCAAGGGCGGGATCAACACTGAATTGTATTGCGATTAATGCGTTATAAACGATTACATAATCAATACGTTGAAAGAGTCTCCGTGAGATACCTTTATGTTCTTAAAGATCAATAAACTTGTAAGTTTTGTTTGATGTATTCCAATAAGTCAGTGTTTACTGACCTAATAATGTAGATTCAGTTAAGAAAGGTATTATATATACATGCCGTGAATACCAAAATTACATCAAAAAAAAGCTAAAAGAACCAGACTACACAGCAATCGGGTACGTAGAAAGTCTAGATCAATAACTGGAACTATTGACAAAAAATACACCCATTGTAAGAGCACATTGGAAGAATACAAACGAGATCCTTAGTGAATACGGTTTATATCTTCGTAAACTACGATTCAAAGGAAAACGCAATGAATAGAGAATAAACAATTCTTCAGTACTTGAGCTGAAAGATTTTATATGGGACAAGCAGGGTAATTGTAATTTATGGAATACTTTCTCAATTAAGATGAACCTTTTTTTTAAACTTGATAAATTATCTTTTAACGGTCAAAAACATTTGTGTCGTTACAATTGAATTCTGCTGGGCTGACATCTGATGTACGTGATTTAATTTTATTTTTATTTTTCTTACTGTAAGGCGCAGAAAGGAAGAAAAAAGAATGTCTAAATAACATCACGTTGATTAAATCGAATAGGCTATTCCCAAATGTTGAAACAATTCTTAGGGTCATTTATATATTAAAGTGTTTCCGTTAGCATTTTCAAAAATTGCTGGGTATTGTTAATACTCATGTTCACGGTTAGTAGTGTCGCGCAATGAGTTAACGAAAGAGGTAGCATACACTTATAATATGTGGTATTTGACGACTTGTAGAGTTAAATATAACTTATAGTTAAAACAGTAAAAAGCTTAACGAGATCAAACTAGTAGGTTTATATTTTGAATCAAGTTAAGTTCAAAGGGAAGAAAAATATCTACTGCAAAACTTTAAATATCTTCTTCATATTGCGGAACCTAGAAACTGACAGCTAAGTTATTCTACTCAAAGAAGACGTACGTCTTCTGAACCGTAAAAGAATAGAACTCTCCCTTGAGGAGATTACGCATCTACCCGGAGCGGGTGGACTTGTAAATTTATCCATGGCTTGATCTAGTGATCATGCAACTAACCTATTTTCCCGTGTTAACCATTATGTAGCACTGCTTGCAGGAAAATAGTATTAATTAGGAAAATGGTATTCGTGCGTGGTGTTTGAGTTGAGTGAACAGTTATTGTAAAGGATGATCACAAACTATTATCTTGTAATCCTTCTTTGTGCCGAAGGCAGAGAATAGTACTTATAACCTATTATACCTTGGTGTTGAATCAATATACCCTGCATGTCCATATATTAATTCTACTATATATCCTATGTCATATAGTAACGTATTATAGCAAAATAAGTAAACTATATATCGTAAATGACAACCTGTTCAGCCTTATACGAGGTAGCTAATCTCGTATAAGAATCATTACTTATTCTATATTTGTTTCCTACTCTACTTTATAGTATTTCAGCAGTAATGAGGTGTGAGGATCTTGTATAATTTGTATACGAGTTCTCCACAACTCATATGATGCTGTCAACTAAACACAACACTTAATTCACGGTACTCATATATAAGAGTTTATGTAGTTTCTAATTATCTCTGGTTTGCAATATTGTATAATTCATCTCTATCCTTCATAAAGTAAACTATATCTTTAATATTTGTATATCATCTACCCTTAATACGACATAATAAACACGATGCTCTAGAGGGAAGGAAAAAAATATGAGTTTTTATTTCATTCAGAGAGTTACGTTCTTTTTATATGATCATTAGTCGTTATCTAACCACCGTTATAATCTCCTGGCTACTGAGACAGCTTTTATAAGTATTTATGGGGTCTTTATATCTTTATTTTTCAAGAGAGAGAAAAGATCTGATTCCATCTTTTATTTTGTATTTTTGGTTTTTAAGACACTTGCACTGTTCGGTAATCTTATTGATTTATATACCCTTGTTTCGTGGCACGACACAATAACATGACAGTAGAAAGTAAATGTATTCCACACGACAGATTAGAGAGAGAAAAAAAAAAAAAGGCACTTGACGCACCATTTAAAATAAAGATAAAAGAAAGGGCTTCTCCGGGAATCGAACCCGGGACCTCTCGCACCCTAAGCGAGAATTATACCACTAAACCAAGAAGCCATTTTTATTTTTTCCAATATATATATTGTAATAGGAGACAAACATAACAATTTTATCACGTGAGTGATTTTTGTCATGCAAAAAATGTTCCGGATAAACCGGTTGTAATAGAGCTGAAAATGATAAGCCACTTTGCCGAACAAATATATTATTGCAGTTGAGGGACAATATGCTCTTGTGGAAAAACTGACATTTCAAAACTATTGTAGTACCAGAGCGAGTTTGTCAATATACTCAATATTATAACCGTAAGTACCCTCAAGTTGAAGCAGCTAGTCAGAACAAGTAATTTAGTTACCCTGAATTAGATGAGTGAGCTTGAAAATGTTATGATTCTGGAAAAAGATGCAGAAGTCCCTACTTCGACAGAGAAGAAGGAAAAGCAAACCACGCCGTACATGACAAAATATGAACGTGCAAGGATTTTAGGCACTCGTGCTCTTCAAATTAGGTAAGACAGCCGTCTACATCTTTACATGTTGCTGTCACCTAATCTGCTCACACGAAATTATTGTATATAAAAGTATGAATGCACCAGTTATGGTAGAACTTGAAGGTGAATCAGATGCTTTAGTGATCGCCATGAAAGAGTTGAAGGAAAAAAAGATTCCTCTTGTTGTTAGAAGGTTTTTGCCTGATCAAACATATGAAGATTGGGATGTGAAGGACCTTATTGTCGAATAGTTGAGAAGCCCAAAAGAAGAATGATATTTATTTTTAATTTTTTTAAGCTGTAGATCTTTCAACCCATCATGCACATATCAACACGTTTTTGTAAATAAAAAGAAGCTTTTTGGAAGTAAACAGACTTACGAAAGGACATTCATGAGCAGTACATGATGATTTTAAGCACTGTCTCAATTAGATGAACAATCAGACGGACGTAGAAGGTGGCAACGATGGATAGAAGGAGTACAAAACGAGGTGCGAGAATAGGGGGACATTCATCTTTCCGTTGTATCTCCTTAATTTCACACGTAAAAGTATACAATTACATTATGAAGTTCATTAGCCTTCAATTGAATTTTATAGCGTCGAATGTACATAAAACAGTGAATAGGATATATATATTAACAAACAATAGAATGTTCAAATTATTGGCAAGTAGCTGAATACGAGGGCAATATTTATATTGGGTGCTAATTAAGAAGGTGTATTGAAAGAATAGAAATTAATCAAATATTTATAAGAATACGTATTACTTAGTTAAAGGGGAGATATATTTAAAGAATACTAAACAGAACAAAATTTTCTCTATCTATACGACATCTCTTTAAGTGGTGGTTGATTCGTCGTGAACATTGTGGAAGTAACAGTAGAGTTGACGGCGTTGTTGGTAGTGGTGGTCACAGGTGTGCTGGTAAGAGTTGATTGCACAGGCTTTTCGTCTTCATCATAAGTATTTGGAATTTGGTATACAGATGAATTCGTAGGCTGGCTCACAGAGGGTAAAGTTGCCATGGGCGGCTGCAAATGCTGTTGTTGAAGTACGTAAGGGTCGTACTGGGACTCTGAGTATTGAGTCGTATACTGCGTGTCATAATGCTGATAGCCACCATTAGGATCGTAGTACGTTTGTTGGTTGTTGTAGAAAGCTGTGTTGGGATCCATTGCATAAGGCAATTGTGGGGAGTTGTAGTAAGCTTCATTTTGTTTTGAAAGTGCTGCCATAGGATGTTGAGGAGACATCATGGCCGTATTATTGTACCCTGTATAGGGTTGCTGGCTCATCATATCCCATTGTTGGGCACCAACGCTATTGTTACGGTTTTGAATATCATCTGTAGCGGCAGCAGTTGATGTACCTAGAACAGGAGAGCGCCGGGCGTTGTTGAATGGATCAGCATGGAACGCATCATGTTCATACATATCTCCATTTTGACTATAAAGTCGCTTGTTGTTTCGGCGATTGTTTCTCCTGGTTTTTGAGAAGAAGGCAAATGCGAATCCTGCTCCAATGATGGCTACAAGTCCACATACTGATCCTACAATAGCGCCAACATTGCTTCCACTGGAGGATGACTTTGTATCAGGGGAAGATGATGCGGTTGCTGTCAATAGTGTAGATGTAGGATTATTGCTTGTTGTTGAAGTAGTATTCAGTGAAGTATACGTCTGGGAGGAGTTCACAGTAGAAGATGAAGGAGTAGACTTAACGGAATGCTGTGTTGCGGATAAAGTCGTAGTAGGTTTAGCTGAGGAAGAAGTTGGCTGAATACCCTCTGTAACAGATGTGGTAGAGGAAACAATCGATAGGTTGGACTGAGTTGGCTGTGGCATAGGTGGTGTCGTGATTGTTGTCATCATTGAAGGTGGTGGTGGTGGTGGTGGTGGTGGTGGTGGTGGCGGCGGCGTGTTGGGCTCTGAAGAAGTCGGGCATGTATTGAAAAGTCCGCATAGAATATTTGCTCTAATTTCTTGGGTTAGATAAAGAAATATCAAGGTATAAATGAGGGTCAAACGAGACAAATTGAAATACATTGCTACAATGGAAAAAGGAAAGAAAAAGAAGATTGCAAAAAGGAAAGGGAAGAGAGATGCATAGTATTAATAAACGGCACATGATGAAGAATATAATAGGATAAAGTACCTTACGAAAGAGAACGGCTAGTGCAGATTACGAAAATGTAACATTAGGAAACTAGTTGCGAAATAGTTGACTGTCAAGGAGGATATAATGATATTAAGGGACTTATGAAAGTCAATTTTTTTTTTTTTTTTTTTTTTTTTTTCACGGTAATTCCTGTGATTTCACATAGGCACAAAGATATGGTTCGTTTAATTGGGGAGAATTCTTCTCTTGAAATACTTAGTGCTTCCGTTGTACAAAAAAAGTAATGCCGTGGTTGTTACTCAAGTAAAACAACTGCTACTCGATCAACTTAAATGCAGCTTTATAAGCCCAGTATTTAGAAAGGAGATATTCCAGTAGCAATTCTCGAATAAATATGCTCAATTAATACACATAACTTTTCAAAGACAATGGAAAATGTATTATATATTTGTATCTTATATATAAACTATAATGGGTATCTTTAATTCGATTTACTTCAAAGAAAATGGATGTAAATCGCAACTTGATAATGAAAGTTTAACTTTTGCACGTGTCAAATATCCAAATATAAATAAATTGCTAGTCGACATACACTAGAATCCTTTCCTGACCTTAGCAGTGATATTGCTCTGATGGTATCGTAGATTATTCAACTTGAACTTATCAATCATAACGGAAACCTCGCTTGCGACAGATACGTCAATAGACCCGCCTAAAGCCTTTTTGATAGCCTCGTATCCAAGCTTTTTTGTGGCGATGGGTATCTTTTCTGAATTTACGACCACACCTGTGCAATGTTTTTCTGAGTTATCACAGGATGGAGGTGGCAACTTCATGGGCCCGTTTTTCCAACCTTCCCCACGATCTTCGAAGTTTGCATTTATTGTTCCCACTTCATACTCTTCGTAAGTGGCTGAGGCATTGATTTTGTTGATGGCCATTTCTATGTCGTTAAACGGATTACGTAAACTCATGATAACTGTTGAGGACAATATATACATCTGACAGTCAGCTAACAAGGGTTCTTTATCAAACGGTGGCGCCTGTACATTAAAATTGATGTGCTTTAAGAACTCCTTTAGAAATACGGATCTTGTGGCATTGCTATGTTGACCTGATATGGTAAGAGTGACATTATTATCGCTTAAGTTTGTGCCTGCATGATTCACAAATAATTAAGATAAAATAAAGTTTAGCTTTTAAGTTCACAGCTCGTTTATGTTACTGTGGCTTGAGAACTAAGCGTAGAAACGAGAACTCATAACCTTTTTCGCTTCTTACCTTTGGAAATATAGTTTCCAATGAAATCAGTAACATAGTCATTATCTCCAAACAGCCAAGCAGACACAAGAAGTTTGTTCGATAATCCTGGTGACAACTTCAATTCAGGGATACTTGTATTGCCAATCACATGACCCTCATACAACAAAGCCATATTCAGTTCACCCAAATTGACGTCAACATCAGCAGGACTATGAATACTCAATTCTGTCTGAACCTGTAAAGCATCAATATGGCCTTTCGTAATTGTGATTGAGTTGATTTGAGGAGGCGGATGCTGCATACCTCGTAGTCCCTTAGTTTCAATTTCCCCATTGAACTCAAGGTCTTTGATATTCAAATGCCCAAAGTCACTATCCACAGTAGCATCTGATGTACCTCGAATATAAATTTTGCTTTTCTTTCCATAAAATACTCGGTTAAGAAACGCTTCAAAATCTTTCTGGCCGCCTGGTAGCACTTTGAAAGGAGCACGCACAAGCTTCGACTTCACACGCATTGTTTGAAGAGGTAAATCAATCCCATTGCCTTCTTCTGTCGTAGCAGGACATGGTTGATTAGGCTGAACAGTAGCGAAAGGTTTTTCTGAACTTTGATCAAGGTACAAAAACACATGGGGTTCAATTTGAGTGACATCCATATGAAATTGCATTTCCTCAGGCTTCTTCAACATAGCTACTGCGTCTGCTGAAATAAGTGGGTCACCTTTTATAGAGAAATCGATCTTTATACCTGTTAATTCTAAAGACTGTATCAATTGAGTTTCTTTGGCTCCTGGAAATGGAACACGTATGATAATTCTTTCCAAAGCCTTCTGAAGCCATGGAGGTGTATTTCCTACATGCTTTCTAGAAGGGCTATCATCAGGCCCAAAAGAACTTCCACGAACGTGCACTTGGGTAGTATTGCCGTGAAGATATCGTGTCAAGAATGATTCCATCAATTGTTGAGATTCTGGGTCATTATTGATGGGAAGAGTACGGCCGGTTACGTTAAAATAGTTCATCTGGCGTCCTTCGAGATTTGCATGATTTGCTCGCACCACTGCGATTTGTGTATCATTTTTATCTTGATGGTCAGTTGGAAGAAAAATACCAAAATCAACGTCTCCAAGGTTAAAGCTTAAGACGTTTGAAGGATTATAGATCCCCACGGTACCAATAACACTGATACCGCCCAGCGTATGAGGACCGGGAAACATCAGCGAGTCTAAACGAGTCCTTTTTAACCCATCCATACCTATTTATAGAATCACTAAATGGTCCCTTCTACAAATTCTCGTTCGTTTTTTTTTTTTTTTTTTTTTTTTTTTTTGCAGCCATTTAAAAGTCACTTGCTTACCTTCTAGTTCTATCAATTTATCAAGGTCAGTATAAATATCCCATGGTAGTTTTGCAACATTCATCGATAGTGGACCGCTTATACGCCATAATATAGTCGTTGCACTAACTGCATCCTTGCAAAAAGTCATTAATGCATCTGTATCGTCGATAACGAATCGTGTGATGAAATCGAAGCTGGTCACATTGGATGTATCATTTAACTGCAGTGTAGGAATATCAATGGTACCCAAGGTTAGCTGATCGGACAATAAGGGCTGAATTGCTTTTTGATAACCGACTTTCAATTTGGATTGCTGCACTTCGACTGCACCAAATAGGCCGCTTAGGCTTTGTTGCATTTGGAATAATCTTGGTTGTAGACCAATCTCACCAGATATATGCATATGAATTACATTATCATCCGTAAAATCCATTATTGATGCTCGCTTAAACTTAAATGCAACTCCTTTTTCAACTGCTCGTTCTGCATACGTTGGAGCGAGCCATACGATAAATGCCAACAAAAAGACGATAGGCACAATAATCGAAATGACAATGTATGTACAAGTCTTTCGCCATCGTGAAGTATTCGATCGATGTTGAGAATAGTCTGGATAATTACTACTGTTACTAGGTCTTATTGCTCCATAATAGCTTGAGGATGGTGAAATGAGGGGATCTCGTTCGCTAGTAGTTATAATGTATGAGGAAGAGCTCCCCGCTTCTGGCCCACCCTCTGACTGGTCATCTCTACTGATTTTTTTGTCACTGATTTTGTGATCTGCACAATCTTCTCCAAACTTGGTATATTCATGCTGTGACATATTGCTTTCAATGCTTACATTATAGCAAGGAAAAAAAAAAAAAAAAGAAAAAGAAAAGGAAAAATGGAGAACGGAAAAAAAAACCAAATATTGTAGGTCTTCAAGAAAATTCATGCATTAAACTGGTTTGAAATCAGACGAACTTTTGTACAGACAATAATATGATAAAATTGGTATATGAATGCACGTATTGTCCTTGTTTTAATGAGAAGGCGCATTTTTCTTTGCAAGAAGATATTTAGAAATGAGACTTCTAAATAGGAAACAATAAGAGCAGATAATGGAGACAAATTAGCTGTAGCCTTATGATCAGTATTTCGCTATGGTTAACCTCTCAAAGTCAATTCTGCTTATACCAGCCATTATACACCGAGAGTATTATTATAGATTGGCGGTTAATTTCTGTTATGGAGAGTAACTGAAAAGAAGCTCGACTTTCGGTAAGAATGATAAATTAAAAAGGCAGGTGAAATAAAGGCGGGTTTATCTCAGTCATAAAGTGAGCAACTGATTTAGTTAACAATTGCGCGTGCTATACAGCTTCGCCTTGTAAGCGCTTATTGAATTTCGGGTATTCATTTTGTTTGAGTTTTTCACAGTGGCAATATAAGCAACGTGGTGTTTAAATTGATTCTCATGTTTTGACCAAGATACAGATTAGGAAATAAGTCATCTGTTTTTACCATTTACACAACAGTTCCATGCTCTTGTCAGCAGTATTAGAAAAGAGCATATACTTAGGAAAAAAGAATGAAATTGATAATGCTCTGAATATTCAGTTATCAAAGAATACATAATCTGTTTTTAAAGAAACCACTATCTTCAAGGATATGAAATTTATGAAGGATGAAGGATGAAGGATGAAGGCACTAAAAGGAGGAACAATGAAGTTTACAGAGGAAGGTTGTGCGTGGTGCCTTTGATGTTTCGTACTTTTATCTCAGCCGTTGCTTTATTGCTTTTTTTTTTTTTTTTTTTTTTTTTTTTTTTTTTTAATAATGGAATACAACATATCTTCTCACTGTTTTTTGATTCATTTTCAACATTCTTCTTCCTCTCCTTTGTTATATCCTCTTGCATTAATACTTCCTGTCCTTTGAAAACTCAACTCTTTTATATCAGTTATACTGTTTTCCTTATATTAGTTTTTTCTCATATTACCATATGTCGAACGACGTTGCCTTTCGAAATAACAGATGGTCCACCCCACTCAACCGTTCTGCCACCAACAACAGTCGATTTAGTGTGTGCAGTAATGTAAGTCAATCAGCCTATGGTATGCGATATGAACAAGCTGTTGTTGGGCAAGAGGTCGCTTCCAAGATCAATATTTCCAAACTTGCTATAGAGTCGACAGCTTTCAGGGACCCACAGCCACAATCAACGCCTGTTCCTCAATATTCTTCAACCTTGTCTTTTACAACTGCTCCTTCTGAAAGCGTCCTTGAAAACAACCAAAATGATGGTTCTCCTGATGAATACGACTCCATGGGCAACGAAAAAGTCGGATTTGATATCCTGCAAGCAAAAAAGTTGAAGCGACGAGTAACGTTTGACATGGACAATATCCAAGTTCAGACGATACCTGCCAATATGTCTTCCTCGTTGGATAACTTATCGGATACAGACGATGTCAACGATACAGAAAGTTCTGATAGCGAAGATGAAGAATATAAAAATAAGTTGACATCGGATACTGACCGTGTAGAGAGCAAAGGGCATCCTTTTGACCAAAATCATTCCACACCAGCTACATTCCATACCGGTAGACGCTTGGTGGCTGAACCTTCTATCAAAAAATTGTCGATCGACAACGATCCAGTTCATCAACCAAAGCTTCAAAAGATAGATTTTTGGTATCCATTAAACCCACCATTACAAAGGACCGTGCTGTCGACAGATAGAAACGGCTATTACGCTCAAAACACATCTCTGCCATTCATTAAACCCTTAGCAGAGACGGAAAAGTTAATCGACGATGCAATTGAGCGAGAGAAAAAAGCCTTACAAATGAACACATGCGCGATTACGTCGAGAAAAAACATCTTTATCGATGGTCGTTCAGCAGCTTCAACACGTTTTTCAGCGTCACCAGCCCTGAGCAGTAGCGATGAAATGAGTAGTATTTTGATATGCGATTCGGAAGAAGAGGAAGAGGATTATGATACAATTATTAGAAGCAGAGACCCTGTCTCGCTTTCACGATCTAAACCCATAGTTGTGCATGGTAAAATAACGGATCTCAATCCAAACTCACAGCCAATACCACTTCCATTACCAGCTAGCTTCCATGAGCAATCATCAAACAATCATCCTATCTCACACCTCCCTCAACTGCAATCGTCTCTCGCAGATAGCGATAGCCATTTTGAGCACAACTTGGAGATGATCCATAGCAACGACACCGTTTCCAATGTAATACCGGCGCCATTACCAATAAACAACCAATCACATAGCGATGATGAAAGTATTGTTTTCAGTAAATCTCCATTATCATTGGAAACCGATTTCTCCAAATCCATTTATAACGAGTTTGCAAAGAGACATAATCAAAAACTAATCCCTATGGAAGAATTCGAGCCGCCTAAACTTACTTTCCCTCTGGAACATGAGCTAATTCCTGTATCAGGAGCTTTTAATAGCGATCCAGCATTGTCAATAAATCCGCAGGAGGATGAAAACAGTAGCAGTGACGACGGTATGGATATTGGCTATTGTCTGCGACCTAGTAGTGGTACAAGTGTAAACGACAGCATTAGCACTGTCGATGAAGTGAACGATCCTGTTTGGATTGATTATACGGCGGAAACAAAGCTTTCAAGTTCAAGCGAGGCGGCAAGAAAGCTTTTTTTTGTCAAAGTCCTTAAAGCTGAAAACCTAGATTTCCCAATAGAAAACAGTAAGTAAACCATGGTTCGAGTTTTCTCTATGGAAGGCATACTGACACGTAACTCTTATATTGAGATGAATCCAATATCTTTTGTACTGTCCGTTACAAGGATAAAGAAGTCAAATCAATACATCAGAAGATGAAGCATACTGTCAACATCAATCAAGAAATGATCATGTATGTATACTTTCTCCCAATGACGAATAGGTCATAGATTGCTAGTGAAGGCATTTTCTAACGTATATATGCTTTCGTATTCAAGACAAGACATAGACCCCAGCGAACAAATTACAATTACTCTTCATGTTTCTATGTTTAGTTCAAATAATGCTCAGAAAAGGAGCGGTAGTTGGTACCACAAAATAAAACCAGGTTCAATAACAGCATCCTCTAGCAGTCTGGAACGTTACATACATGATAAAGATGGCTCACTATGTCAAACACTACTATTGCCGCAACGTTTTATGGAAACAGAAGGCCAGGATCAATTAGCAACACTTATGCTCGTGAACAACTGGTATCGACAGCAAAGCAATAGTAATGGTGTTGCTCCTAACATCAATGGTGGAGCATCGAATCCTGCAGCTCTACTGAAGAAGAAAAGCTCAACGTTTTTGCTACATCGGAAGCATTCGGTTGAATTCAACCATGATGACGCTGAAAACAAGTCAACAACAACAACAAATAGTATTGAAAAGGCTGTAGGTAAACTTTACATCCAATGCCTTTATATCAACACGTACGGCAATTATATTCCTAGTGGTATGGATGAGGCATTAGAAGCCCTCAATGCAAAGCGTTTCCACGAAACAAAATGGCAGGAAGGTTACTTGTCTCAGCTGGGAGGAAATACGAAGGTAAACGTGTTTACATCAAAATATACATACTGATAGATAAAAACAAAATTTAACGCAACTTTTTTCTTTTTTCTTGCTTTTACACTCCAGCATTGGACGAAAAGATACTTCATCCTAATTGGAGGTAGTTTAATAGCATATCCAACCGAAACCGAATTACAAGACAATGAAACGTCCACAGCAATGTACGAAATACCACTAGCTCGCGCTGTTACGTTAATTTGCAATAATGCAACTATATCGGAAGGTTCCCAACAAAAGATGAAGGAGCTGCAACAGTTACAGTTTAATACTGCAGCATGCGCACAAGACGGCCGATTACAAGCTGACAATATAGCACAACATCAATGCTCTGAAAATGAATTCCAGCTTCTTTTTGACAATGGCATAAAGATACAATTCGAATGCAAATCAGCTGAAGAATGCCAGAAGTGGACAACTGTAATAGAGGTCATGTTATCCAAATTACCTGCTTTGCCAGCTTGGATAAAAAAGAATTTAGTCGAATAGATTGCATATGCGGAATTAGTTTTTTGTGAGCAACTCTGGTACCGTCTACTTGAGTTTGGCAATGCCCTCTCAACCAGCTCCATACCTCAGAATACCCTACTATATCATGTCTTTAATTATGCCTTTGACATATTACTTACATGATGCATACCCTCCCACCAAGTTGACTTACCCACTACTCATTTTCTTTTTGGTTTTTTTTTCCTTTTTTTTTTGCAATCTTACATTTCGTAAACACACGTAGGGTCAAACATAATGCAATGGTTTTTAGGATAGATAAAAATACACGTACAATGGATATTATCGAAATAAGCTACACATAAATAATAGATGATAGTACAAACTGTAATAATCTATAAATAGATACCGTGATATAAGTACAGTGATAGAAAGAATAGTGACAATTTGATAAGGGAAAATCCCAACCGCGGTTTAATTGATAGCCACGCTATTATTTCTTGACGATGGAAACTGTTGATGGCTAGATTTATTGCCATTTAACAAGCGTCCTAATCCAGCCTAATAGGAAAAGAGACCAAATAAAATGACCAGTGATGAGTATCACTGTTATCTCTAACTATAGAGTGCGTTAACTTACTTTTAGTCTACCTAGACTTCCTCTTCTTTTCGAAGGTTCAGTTGTCACATTTAATAATCTGTTAGGTCTGTCGCCTGTACAATTTGCTGCTTCTACTGTCCTGATGGTATAATCATCTGTTTTGTTATGCACGTCATTTTCATTTTGTCTGCTCTGAGCATTAGGCTCTACCAAATCATTATGATCGACCCTGTGATTCATGGTAGTATCAAGATCTGCAGATTTGGAAGAAGAGTCAGACAACACTTGTGATGAGATCCAAGGTTTGTTCAATATAGATGTAGTGGACTCAATGTCTGAGTAGTTATTATTGGTATTACTGCCATTCCATTCTCTGCCTTCGTCTGTTTTCGACGACACTTCTGATTTCCCACGTAAAACACGCATAGAGGGAGTAACATTGTATATAGACGATGGTGCAAATACGGAATCGCCATAAGAATAAATGGAGGCTGTTCTTTCGCCTTCCGTATCTGTCTCATTATGAGTATCATCGTCATTGCTTAGTTTACTTCCTTTTAACGCTGTTGTTGAGAAGTTATCTTTTTTGATATCTAATGAGCTATCACCCTCATTCATTACAATAATAGGTATGTCATCAGTAGTATCGGTGTTGTTGCCTATTTGGTTCTTCGAATTTATATTGTCAATATTGTTACTGCTGGTTTTGTTCTTCAGAGGAATCTTTGCTGTATCGCTCGTCACCGAAGTGCGCTGCCACCATTTTTTGGAATTGCTAATCATTTGGTAATTTTTATTGTGTATAAATTCAAACTTTGGGGGGAAAAAGTTGAAGAAAGAGGGGATTGCCGTTTTTTATGTTCTGCATTTAAGCAATTGTATAGTAGATCATTCTGTTTCGATTGTTTTATGCAGCCAATCAAAGTGCTTGCTGGCCATTTGAAAAATAAAAATAGACCCAGTACCGACGCCTCGCTCAATCAACTACTTATGAATTTGATTGCCCGGTCCTTGCTTTTTTCGAATCAAATTGATTGCGTTTGGGCCTCGCTTTGGCTACCATAAAAATGCATAAAAATGGTACTTTTTCTGCAGTTTAAGAGCTTCTACAGTTTTCTAACATAATAAAATATATATTTTTTTAATTATATTGAGATCTATAGGTTCGTTTATATGTGCAAACTGATAATTCATCTCTCTTGCCTTAAGGCAGGTAAAAGCTATTTGAGACACACTTTTTGGGATTGTAAAACATAAAAATTGAGATAAATCATTTACATTTTATTAATATTATGAGATAACTTTCAAAATTTTATGGTTTCAAAATATCTTGTTTTTAGATATTATTTTCTCTTTTCCAGCTTTTTATAAACCATTCCTGTTCTTTTTCGGATAAACTTTATGGATTATGATACAAGCTGAATCGAAATTAAACCATCCCCCGACCATTTTAAACTCTTTCAAAGCATTACAGAAAGCAATGATTTCTATGTACGCAGGGGTAGTTTCATCTGCTACCTGCAGACTTTGTAATCATGATATTGATACGTTCGAACATTTCACAACCAGTTGCCCTCCACGCTGGCAGATATGGCAAGAAGGCCTGCGGTATATTTCCCTTCCTTCGGCTTTGATCCTCAAAGCATCTCCGCCGCCCTAAGATTACGCCCGCCACCATCACTACCTTCTTCCGAGCAATCTCGATTCAGCATTTCGATTTGGAAAGACAACATTTTAGTCCTTATCCCTATTATTGCCACGGCTCGATTCTCATGCGTAAACGTCTCCATTTTAGTGTAATTTGATCTTTAAAATCCAACTCAAATATCTCAAAAAACGAGTTTGTTCTGTCCAGTTATTTTGCAACTTTGTCTAAATCCGCAACTAGAAAACTGTAAATTATGATTGGATAAAAACGTCATATTGTCCACTTAGATTACCACCGTCATGTAAGGATGACTCAAGCATTACTTTAGTCGCTAGACATTGACGAGATGACCACCTTGAAGAATTCCCCGTTTCTCTTTTTGATAAAACACAGATAATGCAAGTTTTTGCGTCAAAAGACCGTTTATTTCTTTTTCAATTGATTTGCAAAGCTCTTTTTTCCTTTTGCATCAGCTCGGTCTTTAAACATATCCATTGAAATTGGACATTTTACAAGTGGCCCATATACTGACAACCATGTTTTGATGTAGTCCTCAGGCTGGAAAGTCAGTGTTCTCATAAGAGTGCTCGTATCGCAAGGATGTATATACCAAAACGGCGTCCCTAATACTGGATGTTCGTTCTGCGATACGACTACAGGAGTTGTCGTGTGTAGCGGATTCCTTGATTTTGGCACGATATATTGATGTATGTCGTTTAAAGAAAGTGGAGCCCCGTTTGACCCAAAGACTGCTTTGAAATAAAGCACAGGAACTTGGTAGCTCGCTGAATAGACGATATGCTGTTCTAGATGGATGGAAACTGGATTACTCTCTACTTGGTTATTAAATAAGGAAGCAGCATCTTCATCATCCATATTATGCATGTCGATAGATGTCATCAGTTCGTCGCCGTACGATTCTTCGTCCGCTTGCGAGACTATAGTGTTGATCTCCCTTTTTAAGAATTTTAGCTTGATCTAAATCATGAAGGGCTGATCAGCGAGTGAGATGGAAAAAAAAGGTATATGAGAGATGTTGGAGATTTTACTATCGATGGAGACGTTTCAATTTGCCATTTAAATATTTCAGTCGGGCAAGCATTGGATTCTTTTAAAAACCGTTGCAGACAAGTATCGAATTCTGAACGTGTTGCAAGAATGGATGACATACTATTGCGAAGGAGTCAGAAAAAATCAAAATGAAAGAGATACCAGCTAGGAGGACTGCCTCACTTAGAATGGTCATATGCAGATTAAAAAAAAAACATCAGTCAAAAGGGTCGAATAATGGAATGAAGGTTTTTTCAAAGCAATCTATTTTTTGATCGTTTCAATAATATCAACCTATTATTCTACAAAACGCGGCCTATCATTAATTCCTAACACAGGCAGCATATAAAGTTTTCAAACAGACATTTTTATTTCTCAAGTAGGTGAATAATCTAAACAACGACTACATTTTGAGAAAGAGTGTATAAATTCGAATCAAAATCTTCAGTAACAATAAACTCAATATCAGTTAACCAGGACTGTAGCCAAGCTTGAAGTGCAATGGATTCATTCAATTCATGCTGTCTCGCTTCTGCGTATTTTCTGTTGGTAACCAGCTTCCACAGTCTTTGAAGGATATTGTTTGTTGATTTACTGTCAGAAATTTGTCGAATAATCTGATCTGATAAGTGGTGAGCATTCAAAATGAGTCCAAGCTGTTGTCCGATAAAATGATTTAGCTCGATAATGCTTTTAACCTTCTTATTCTGGTCGTAATAAATGTCGATCAATGGTCGAATGGCAGCCAGTAGACGGTATCGAACCTTATGGTTCATTTGGTATTCAAGCGAGTGTGTAATGTCGGTGTAGATTAAATTACAATAGTCTGTATTCGCAATTGCATATGCAAGTTGATTTAGTCATCCGTTCGCATTTACAAACTTTTTTTTTTTTTTTTTTTTTTTCATTCTCTGCTATACAATCCTACCTTTGCCAACAAATTGCAATTCATGAATTGTGTAGTAAGTGTCAGCAGCAGTTTCAATCAAGTCTCGAACAACTTCATCCATAGCAAGATTAACAATGTTTGTATAATAGCGTTCAAATTCGTTCATGTTTTGATATCTCTTCAGGTAAGATGCGGGTATACTTGTCTTTATTGATGATGAATAGGATGCTAACTGCTGTTGCTGCTGTTTCGCAAGTGGCTGTGCATTCAAGCAACAGATGCTGAGTGAAAATAGATAAAGCAAAAACGCAGCTAGAATGCCAGTATTATGCATAATACACTGTTAATGCCACAAGGATGAAAGCAAAGAAAGCAAGGATGAGAATAAAAGTAAACCATTGCAATCAGATTGCAATCAACGTCTCCACAATTTCTTACTTTAAGCTTTCGTACCACATTGCATATTAATTTATGCTGGCTCCGCTTTCTTGCTTCCATTCTATCGTTTTAAGAATGCACTTTCGCTTTGACTAAAGAACAATAATGCTAACATCTGCCAAGTTCATACTCCTATTACTTGTATTTGAGGTTAAAGTTCAGCAAATACCAGAGTAATCCTGTAAGCGGGTAGTTAGTATTTTTTGAGCAGAAAGCAAAATAATAAAGGAGAACTACGGGTAAAGCATTATTATTGGTGAATTCTTTCAGTACAGGATCAAGGAACGAACCTTAATATAACTTGGAGCTTATTTCAGTACAAACAGCAGTATTGTTATAAGCAATGTATTTCTCTTAATGGTAAAGATAACATAAAGTACACTATTCTCTCTTTTACAAATTAAAAAAAAAAAAGAAAAGTAGTTGCAACATCCGTGGCGGTTGTAAATACAATGTGAGTAGCTTAGCATGATGCAGTGATGTGACTTATGTGCCGGAAACCCCTCGACGGGTGAGCGCTCATGCGAGACGATGAAGAACAGTATAATTTGCCATGTGGTTGCTGACAGCATATAGATTGCAGTAACGTTACACTGTCGAGATTTTTTTTTCTTTTTGGAATTTTGTATCGCTTGTGACGCTTGCAATTCCCGTTGACAGCTTAATCATCAACACTAACTACTCGAATGTACAGTGTTCAGCATGATTTTTTTTTTATATTACTGTCGAACTTGCACATATCACATACAAAATAATGAATACTTAGTTGTGAAAACAATCAAACTCTAAATCAATGCAACAGTAACGGAAGCGCCCTCATCTGTTTGTTTACTGTAGTTACTCTCTTATGTTGCATACAAGGGGGGGGGTGGTGAGGAACAGTTTCAAAGCTGACTGCTTGATGATTGCTATTTTCGCAGTTTGAACCCCCAATACAAGTTATTGCAGTCCTACCGGGATTATGAACAGCAAGAGAAGCACTTTGACTTTCTGGCATCAGTGTGGATTTCTTGCTCTATATTTGAACATGTTCAAACAGCATTAACAGCATATCAAAATTCACACCAGCCGTACGATGAGTCATAAACATTCTCCTAACATACAATTATGTATATATCTGCTGAAAAATGTTTCCTGAAGAGACGGTGGGTGTATTGAGATAAGAGATCATTTAACAGAATGTCGAAAAGGATATTCATCTACAAACACTTCAAGCGTAATAAGACGAGCAGTCACTATATGTACTTTACAAATTCATAAGAGTAACTTGTATGTTGGTTGAAAGTATATGAGAAAACGGATGAAACGAAATCTTGATCTCTTCCAAGCGTGCTATGAGAAGGACTTTTTATAAACATTTGCAAAATCCAAAAGGAGAATAAACAAAAAAGGTCCGAAATCCTAAAATTAAAAAAAAAAAAAAAAAATCCCAACAGAAAAGCGGCAAAGATCATCGCTTCAAATTCATAGATATACGATTACAATAGATAACCCGAGCCCTGAGTGTGCGTTTTTAGCACGTATACTTCAATTCAGTGGCTTCATGTATAAGTTACCGTTTTAATCTTATCTTTGAAACCGTCCTTCTAGTCCAAAGTGAAAGAGAAGAGAAACAGGCTTGGCAGCCCCACTTTAACGGCTACATGTGAGACATTGCAACGAAAGATTTTGAGTGCATCAAGTTTTTATGGAAAGCATTGTTGGTTTATATACTTTTTTCAAAGATCAGAGTTATGATACGCTTTGCAGAATTTCTTGATCCAACGGTTTGCACGGTAAAATCCTGAAAGAGATTCTGCCGTGCTTCACAGTTGAGTACGATCCCCCGTGGAAAAAAAAAAAGCTTAAATTTACCATAAGAGGCAGTTTAACAAAAAAAAAAAAAAAAAAAAAAAAAAAAAAGATCTTAACTGCGGACGCACGGGCAAACCGCCGTAAAGGTAGCTCAATGCCGTGGGAACAATGAACTCCAAACACAAATAGATCCAAGGTGTATACAAGCGCTTTAAAATAACATACAGTCTATCTTTAACGAGAAAAACGCTAAAATAAGGGCCCTTTTTTCTATTTAGTCTGTAAAAAATTTTTTTTCACAAAATGGTCTCGTAGCAAAAACCAATCGCAAATGCTTTTCTTGGGGTTTTTTTTTTTAATTGTTTTTCAGTTTTCCTTTCCATCAGAAACCTGTTCAAAGAAATCCCGTCGTTTAAATACCTGGAATCAGAAACGGAAGGGAAAGGCTTCTTTTTTTTTCATTTCGACCTGAATTTTGTCCTTCTTCTATCTTTCTTCTTTCTTCTTTTCTTGCTTGCCTTGTCTTCATCCCATTTTTACAGTAAATCAAGCAAGATGTCTCCTTTAAGCACTGATCGCATTAATGATGCGCCTTTCATCTACGATATGACAAGTGATACTGCTACAATCCCCACTGATGAAATGTTCGATATCATGAAGGCCGCCACTCGTGGAGATGATGTTTACCAGGTAATTTCAAATGGTTTAAAGCCACTCATTGATATTCTACTATCCAAGTACTTATTGTCAATTTTCTCTCTATCTAGACCGACAACGATGTGAAGGAACTTGAAAATTATGTAGCTCAGCTTCTTGGTCATGAAGCTGCTTTATTCTGTACAAGTGGTACACTTTCAAATCAACTCGGTCTTCGTTGTCTATTATTCCAACCTCCTCATTCTGTTCTGTGCGATTCACGCTCTCACGTCTTTAACTATGAATGCGGTGGTATTGCTTACCACTCTCAAGCCAATGTCGTGCCTGTATTTGCCAAGGGCAACTATATGACGGCTCAAGAAGTAGAAGGCCGTATCAATAAAGATACTTTGTGTGGTGCTATTACCAAAGGTGAGTAACACACTGGTTTTATGTTTCTCATTTATGTCGCTTTTTTTTTTTTTGATTGTTTTATCACTAACCAACTCATTGTACTGCCCCTTAAAAGTCATATCGCTCGAAAATACCTTAAATGGAACGATCATGCCCATCGACGAGATTAAAAAGATTCATGATGTAGCCCGCGCTAATAATATTAAAATGCATATGGACGGTGCCCGTTTATGGAATGCGAGCGAAGAGACGAAAACTCCTTTGCATGAGTACGGTCAATATTTCGATACCATATCTATTTGTTTATCGAAAGGTGTTGGTGCACCTGTTGGTAGTATGTTGGTCGGTAGTAAAGAGCTTATCACACGTGCTCGTCACATTCGTAAATTAATGGGAGGAGGTTGGAGACAGGTCGGCATGTTGGCCGTAGCAGCTCGTCATTGCATCAACAACGTTGTTCCTACCTTGCGTGATACACATGTACTTGCTAAAAAACTCGCTCACCATCTGGAATCTCTCGGTGTGCAAATTTTGTTACCCGTCGATACCAATATGATTTTCATTGATACATCACGTACCGGTCTTGTTATATCCGACTTAAGCGAAGCACTCAAGAGGAAGAACATCAAGATTTTCAGTAGCCCTGGTACAACAGCTCGTATTGTGCTTCATTATCAAATTACTCCAGAAGCCATCGAAGATTTCATGCAGGTGGCATCTGATTTAGTACATGCCAAGCAGAAGTCTGGTTTTGTTCCTCCACCTTTGGAAAACACTGCAGTCGATACTTTACAACAAACTGCTGAATCTGCTTATCCTTCAACAACTGTTTAAGGATTAAGAGAAAGGGTTCATTCATCCGAGATCAGTTTCTTTTTTTTCTTTTTTTTCTTAATGTATCATATCGTTCTAATTTTTTTTTCCTTATCATTATGTTTCATCATTTCGTATTATCATCTTTCCGACATTTAACATTGTATTTATCCGTTCATGGTAATAAATCCCCAATCTTCCCCAATGTCTGCTCAGTCTATACGCTTGGATTGCTATAAGTACCTATGTACACGATGTTAGTATCGATCCAGTTCACTGTATGGAAGGTTGTCTGTATATATTTGAAATGGAACGTCTTCGGGATCATAGTTCTGGATAAGAAAATGAAAGACATTATATTGAAAAAAAAAGCGGGGGAAGCACATGAAATTCCAATGCTTAGTGTCTGGCCACCGTCTGGTAGCGTCATTGGGGAACCTTTTGTTTCCAATATTGAATTTAAAACAGTTTTTCGAAATTGAATAAAACCATGCTCTTGATCATAAAATTTTTCATCCGTTTCAATATGGATGATTACGTGATGGAACTAGCCAGAGGCCATTTGAAGTGCTGTGCTCTGATCCAATCAAACAAAAAAGCAAGAGTGACCGTCTTTGACAAATTCGACGTCATTTAAGCGGAGAGTCATTCCTGCAAATTGTTTCTTTTTCATGTAAAAAGAGAAAAAAAAAAAAGCCTAGCACCAACGAATAAAATTCGACTTTTCCTTCATTCTGAACAGAACCTCTAGAGGACGCTTTGACTCGTAAGATAAATAATGACCGGACAACAGCCACATGAACAGCCATACAGCACACAGCAACAACAACAACACCATCCACATCATAATGTTCAACCTCCGCTTCCTCAACAACAACTACCCCCGCCACCACCTACACAGCAACACCATATGCCAAATGCACAGGCATATCATCAACATTTAGCTAGCGTCACTGGTCCAGTTGTTTCATCTACTGCTGCTAGTACTGGGCAACCTGTATTTGACCTAGGCAAATTTTGGTTGGAACAAATGCAAGCTGCTGATGCATTTAACTCTGATTTCAAAAACCACCCGCTTCCATTAGCCCGAATTAAAAAGGTCATGAAAACAGATCAAGACGTGAAGGTAATTGGATAAAAAAAAATGGAGGTCAAGTGTGAGAGTATCTGTCCTCATCACTGTACGTTTCGTTCACTTTGTAGATGATTAGCGCAGAGGTAAGGATGAAGCAAACGTTTTTTTTATGTCAAAAACGAAAAAATCGAATCCCACCTGTCAAAAAAAAAAAAAAGGACGCATTATTTTTTGATATCATTGGCTTACAAAACAGCAATTGATCAATAGGCCCCAATCTTATTTGCTAAAGGATGCGAAATCTTTATCACAGAATTGACAAAAAGAGCATGGTAAACAAAAAAAAAAAAATTAAACCAAATTGAGTTTGATATAACTGGTTATTTAACATGCCCAAAAATGACAATGGGGCAATATTCCGTGTCATAACAGGGTACATGCTGAAGAAAACAAAAGACGAACATTACAAAGATCCGATATTGCTACAGCGGTATCGAAAACAGATATGTGTGATTTTTTAATTGATATTGTGCCAAGAGACGAAGCCTCAAAAACAACAACCAATGCACCTGGAAGCCACACTATGTACGATCAAAATGCTGCTGCTTATGCTGCGCAACACAATCCTAATAATGCGGCAGCGGCAGCGGCAGCGGCAGCGGCAGCCTATTATCAACAACCGTCTCAATATGCTAATCCTAGCACTGAACCCCAAGCCTATTACCAGTCATTATCGCAGGTAAAAAAAAAATAAAATAAAAATAAAAACTTCAACCTAATGATGTAGCTCTAATGCAGTAACTGATTTATAGCTGACCAATGATCCAGTACAACAACAATATCAAATGTTAATTGCTCAGCAGCAACAACAACAGCTCAAATATGATCAGCCTCAACAGCCTCAGCAGCAGCAGCAAATAAAGTACGACCAGCCCAAATACGAGCAATCTGATTATGACACGACTCAACAACAGATCAAATACGATAATGACGCCAAGCCCAAACCAGAGTCTCTCAATTAAAGACAAACATTACGATGAATGGATAAATATCTAATTTTATTACTTGCTAATGTTATTTACTTATAATTAATACATGTATCTATATATAAATTATCTAATAACGATAATTAAAACCCTGTCTATGCCATTTTCTACGGTTTTTTTTTGAGTAAAAAGAAACAAAGTGAAAAATGAGATGACATACATATCGGGGGGCAAGAGAAAAAGAAAGTGGAATCGTACCATAACTACAAGAGATGAATTAAGCCTTGTAAGAGAATCATTCCTCCAGCAGTATACAAGTTTATTTGAGGAGCATCACTATCACTCGTCATCACCTTCTTCGCTATGTTTGCTTTGTTGGCTTCCGTATCATTTCTACTCACACTACTGACGCCGAAGGTAGTATTGGTACTCTCTCGTATAACCTGTTGACCAGACTTATACATCGGCTGTCCCCAAGAATGCTTATCATTGACAAACTTAAGCGACCCAGCATGCTCCTTATAAGGGTAGTTATCAATCAAGCAACCATCTAGTCGCACCATCGTATATCCAGCATCGTCAATTGCTTTTATTACATCGTTTACAGCTTCCGATGAGCCAGTTTCAGGAATATCGGACTGAATAGAGATATAGGAACTTTTAGTGTCGTAAGTATCCATTTGTTTCGCAAAAGTTTCCTTATAATAATTGGTAATTGCATTGGGATTGTTTTTCGTGTTGTTATAGTCCATCACGTCGAGGTTATAACCTATGATAGTATAACCCAGATCGTATAAGATGTGTTCAAGACGGATGTCTTCCGGTTGCACATAGTGAAGTCGAATGTATTTTGGCGCAACGCCTATGACATCTTCAATAGCTTGAGCACTATTTAGCACATCAATTTGGATCTCCTCATCAGTGAGTCCTTCTGAAGTATCTTTGGGTGGACGATAAGTCATGCCAATGAGGTGTCCATCATTATAGGCGCGTTGTAATATCATAGCATATTGCTGTGTGGTCAACCTATAGCAATAGAGTAAGGAGGCGAAATAATAAGATCGCGAAAACAAAAACTCAAAGATAAGAGAGATGGCTCGAACATGAAAAGCAAAAAAATAGGTACTCTTACCAAGATGTGTTTACGAAAAAGTTAGCTTTAGCTTGAGTAGCTTTTAGTGCATTTAATACTTTGGCTGTGACGTCAGTAGGACCCTCGCCCTACATAAGAGATGGTATACCATATCGAGTTACTCATCGGTGAGTGTCGTAATGTTACGAGTATTTTGACCTACATAAGTCAGGGCAATCTGTCCTGGCCCACGACAAGCAGTTGCTTGTGGAACAGGAGCATTAAGATCGTGAACGTCTGTCGTCGTCCAAACTGGCAAAGTCATAGTAGGTGCTATTGATAAAAGTGTCAGTCTACGGCTTTTTTTCATACATAGATATAATTATGGGTTAACCTTCATCAAGAGCGTAGGTATTTCTGACATATGTAAGCATGGAAATCGCTATTGTATTGAATCGGAAAAAATGTGTTGATAAATTCTTATCGACATAAATGTGTCTTTTCCAACGAACCTGTAAGAACCGATAGCATTCTCAATTTCATTGACATCATCGGTACTATTTCTTTTATCAATGAAATTTTATGTATAATATCACTTTTCCAGCAGCTTGTAACTGTATATCAGACCAAAGAAAAGAAAAAAAAAAAAGAAAAAACCAAATGTGAGCAGAAGTCTAATTATTTGAAATATTCTCTCTATATTAAAACAAACTGCATTCCCTACTTCAAAACGAATGGGTTCCGCTGCTTTTACTAGACTTTAACATCATTGTCTATCGGAAACTTATGCTATCGTCATTTGCTTGTTCCGTTCCTTGATAATGAATGCTTCAGGTACGAACCAAACAATTTCTATCTAAATAGTAAGTTTATTTGGTGGAATAGCCTTAAACTGCAAGTAGAGGACCAGTCAAACTGGTGCTTCCAAATCTGTGACGAAAAGATTATTGCGCTGCCACTAGGTTCAATATCTTTCATATAATTCCCGATCGAAGTGTAACCACTAGCATGAATAGAAAGCGATAACATAAAAAAAGCTCTTCATTGGCCTTCACAAAAAGTAAATACACTAAAGCTTTTCATAATGAACAAACTTGACATTTTGTTCACACTTTTATTATGAAAGTGATTTGAAAATCAGTTTTGCTCGTTTAATTTTATCGCTGTCGTCCTCATTTACTTCATATAATTGCTGTTGCTGTGGTTGCGCTTGGTGCCCTCCTGAGCCACCTACTGCGGCTAGTAGTTTCTCTGCATCAAAGTCATCATCATCATTATCGTCGTAACCATTATTCTGAGAAGCTGTTGTTGGGTTCTCATCCTTCAAGGTCGCAGAAATAATGCCCTCTGCTTCCTTCTTGGTGTTCTCACGTGCTGAGCCTTGGATATCTTTAAGATATATCAATACATTATCAAATTCGCTTTCAGGAATCGTGTACAAATGTTGCAATAACCAAATCTGTAACATCTTTTTAAATTTCCAAGAAGCACGGTTTTGAACGAACAGGCGCACATACGCAAGTGCCTCTATATCAGGCGCAGGAATTGTATACTTTAGCTAGTAATATAAGGATTGCTCTGATCAGTTTTCATGATCACTTACCTTCCTGTTTGGATTCCTTCTTTTCTGTTTCTTCTGCTTGCTTTTGTTCCTTCTTTTCCTTCTTTGATTTTTTAGGCTTTTTTGGTTGCTTTTTCTTCAATTCGTCGTCATTCTCATCGCCAGTTTTTTCCTGAACAGCATCCTTCATTGCCTCTGCTTTCCGTTTCTTTGTAGGTGTTGCCTTTTTATCCGTTGCTGATTTATCATTTTTCGATGCTGTATTGGTAGGTTTCTTCAATGATTTTTGAACGACCTTCTCAACATTCGCCTCATTGCCTTCTTCGTCAAATGTTACATGTGTCTTCTCCACTCCTTTCATAAGAGCTTGCTTAGCTGCTTTTTGTGCTGTCATGGCCTTCAACAACTTTTGTCCTTGAGTCAATTTCTTTTCTTCAAGTCCTTCCGTTTTTTGACCAGCCATGTCTTTTTTAATCCCCTTTTTCAACTTTACATCATCTACTTTATTGATTCTGCTAGTGAAAGTCTTTGAAGACTTTACAGAAGGAGCTTTTTCTGCTTTACTCATGTTGTTGGAACGAATGATCCGTTAAAGGTTCAAATGATCGATCAAAACATATTTTTGCTTTCTTTTTTTTTTCTCACTTGCCCATTCGAAAAAAGCAGGTTTGCTTGGAAATTAGAAATTGAAATTCCGTGCAAAGAAGATTTTCACCCATCTTTATTTTAACACTAGAGGATGTATGTAATTATACGTTGGGATGGATTATGCTATCACCCAAAAGCGAATAAGGCAGCAGCTTATTCTTTGTCTCGATAAGAAAAGAGATGGTATGCACAATACATTGTCAGATTTAATTTACGTGGGCATTTACCATAACAGGGGCCTCAAGTAAAATTTACCATTAAATGCAGTACAGGGCATTTTTACCGTCTTTTAAAGATCATCATTCTAAGTAAGCAACGTGTCTAAGATTTTAACGACGACTCTATTTGTTTGCGTCAATTCTTAGTTAACAGAGGTTTTTGAAGAGGCAATCTTGATATGATCGTTTAGTTTCATTATGTTGGCGCGTTGTCATCCGGTTGGCCTATTGTGCTAAGTCCGGTTCAACTACTTGTCAAGGCTTTTAATTGCTAAAGCTGTATCAGCTTACTACAGTGTGCGGGTTTTTTTTCTAAATAGACAAAGTTAATTGAAGTTGTAGAACGCCAATTGACAGGGTTCATGTGCCATTTGAGGCCGTAAGCACTGCCATGTGTTCTTAGAGTCTTTCCCTCAAGAGATAATATTGCAGAACAGATTGAGATGCGATTATACAGCTCATATGTTGACACATACACGCATGCAAGAAAGAACCAAACAGAAAACCTTCGAATATAATGCTACAGCAATGAATATTTCTTGGAACAAAACGGTATCTGTCATGAGCCCTGTTTGCACATGCAGCGCTGCTTTAAAAAACTTTCGATATGTATATATCAATATATCACTGTTGTAATGTACGATCTAATTACTACGCAAATATACGTTTTAAGTGCAGGGATGGCTTCCTAACGAACTTACTATCTCTATTCACTCCTCAAAAACGGAAACGAAACTTCGTGATCTTTTCATTACAATAGATAGTGAGCGACGTTTGCTTTTAGATTTGTTTATATTATCATAAAAGAGAAAAAATGACGAGGGGTTTGAGTTTTGCAGAACGAGTCAGGTACTAGGGGCTTGGGTCGAGCTATTCTTAACTTTTATCCAGGAAAACATTACACCTCTCCATATGTCTGCCAGTGCATTTAGTGAAGGGAGGATGACCATTCTACCTGTCGACACAAGTTCTCTAATAAGCTACTGGTAATAGCAATAAGTTGAGTGTATATTACGTTATAAAGTCAATTCAAATAAGCGCCACGTCCTCCTATCATTGTATTAACAATTAGCACAAGCCTTTATGTATATTCGAGAATAACAGGATGAGTAATATATCAATAAAACTACTGTACATTGAGAAAACCTCTCATTCCCCCTTGAACAGTTGTTTGTAAGGGTATGCGATATTGAAATTTTTGTTTATAAGAACTTGCCATCGTTTCTAGCAACTAAGTTTTTCATCGTATACTATAGAAGTTTTGAGGAACTGCATCTGTTTTTAAAATTTTTGTAGACTGAGCACAACGTTTTAAATGAGAATCGAGCATTTTCCAAACGCCGCAATATCTGTGTTGATAGGATACAGGCCTCCCCGCCCCCTTTAAGGTTGCTATTAACTATAACCTTAGTTCCAGACAGAAAGAATGATCTTCGTACTTACGCCTTCTTGGTTCTTTAAAAGATAAACTTTGCGATGAAGAACTGATTGTATCAATTACGTCGTTTGAAGATATTAGGATACTATGGTCAAACACAGGAGTATAAGGAACCACTCGCCTCTTCCCTGTAACTTGCTTTGATACATATAAAAATCAAAATCAATATTTGCTTGTATGATTGAGTTCTCTGACTGTGAAGGAGAACTAACCTACAATTTCAACTCCTGCGATACTCTTTTAGAAATTAGGATGACAGGGAAAGGGAACAAATCGATATTTCATTATGCAGACAAATAAGGATTGAATATCTGTCACAAAGGTAGAAAGCCAGGTTACATTTAAGCTTTAAAGCAATAACATGCACTAACCAATAGTATCTAAACTGTTTTAACTTTTTTTGCTCTATTTGAAAATCCTTTTAAGACGAATAAGAATTAGGTTTATACTTCCAGTCATCTCTTGGCTTTTTTTAAAACCATCCTGCAGTATTTTCTTATGATAATGAATCACATACAGGGAATCAAGTTGAGAGAGGATGGGGTGGTGGTTGTGAAACATGAAGAAGAAAACAAGAGCAAGTGATTGACCTTCAGTGGATGAGCACCAGCAGCAAATTCGGGGATTATCAATTTAATCACTATATGCATGTGTATGTTTGGGATGTGATTGCGTTTTCAATAGAAGCTTGATGAACAATCTTTCTCGATTTCGATTGCTTTATTTTCTTTACCAATATCAATATGGAAGATATTCGAAGCTTTTTTAACGAAATCTGAATGGACCATCTCTGCTTTTGTTCTATTTGTTTTCAATAACCGGAAAAAACCGATCTTGTGGTACCTATGAATGTACCTTAATTCTCTTTCTTAGTAAAAATCACGCGTTCATAAATGGGAAGAAGCTTATTTCTATATTGTTTATCAAGCCTGCCTGCTTCAAAGGGCGTGTAGCGGGCAACAACGAAAATGATATCTTATCATAAAGCGGCAGATTAACATGGCTTTAAGCAAGCAAGTCTATACGAGATTTTTTTCAAGTAGCGAAAAGAAAGAGCTTACTACTGCAGAATTCTTATTACAGAAGGCAAAAGGATAATAATTTGTGAGTTCAGAAGAAGAATAAATTAATGAACATTTGTCGATTTAATAGATCGATTCGATATAAAAATCGATCTGATCAGTTAGCAATTGCTATGATAATTTAAATGATAGATCAGTTCTGAAAATTTAATTTGCGAAGCAATTTTATATAAGCCTATCGTGCTTTAAAAGGGCGTAATTAAGGAAATCCAAATATCATCTATAATGGTATGAATGTCGCTTTTTTGTTGCAGATTTGATAGATGTAGCAGTCGTAGTAGTGTTAGTAGTTGTGAAAGTCATGAAAGGCTTATCTTCTGCTGCAAGTGGCGAGATAACTTTCTCAGTAGCAGGGTTTATAATCCCCTGATAATCAAGAGGAGTATTGTTAATAGATTCATCATTCGGTGTATCATCGTCCTCTTTTGATGGTGTGATTAAGGATGGGCTTATTTTGACTCTTGGCGAAGTATCAAAATGAATACAATCAAATGTAGTGGTGGCAGTAGTAGCAGCAGCAGCAGCAGCATTAGTACTAGTAATGATAGTACTATCATCATTGCAGCTACTTGCGTTATCGTTTTTCTTATCAATGGGAGACGGCATCGGGGTACTAGAATGCTCATCATTATTAGCAAGACTCTGAGCCAGCAGAGCTTCATTCACATTTAATAATGACTGAAGGTATTCAGGTGAAGGGCTCGCTTGTGCTGCCAACATTTTAGAAAATAGAGGTCGCTTAGTAGCTGACGATAATGATGATGGGGATTCGGGTATCATTTCTGCCACAGTAGGTATAATGGATGTAATGTCAGTGGTCGTTAGTGTCCCAACAACGTCTGCCACAGGAGAAGCTGCTACAGATGCTGAAGCTGCTATCGCCGCCGTGGCTTCATTTGTTGATTCAGGAACAGCAGCCGTATCGTTTGCTGTGGTTACTGTAGAGTCAGTACTGTCACTGGCTTGTGCTTCTTTTGTTGCAGGTGAAACTGTGTCCTCTATACTTGTATTTACAACTGGATCTATCTGTCCTAACCAACCAATGCCGGCCCCGCTATTTTGTGTTAATTGAAGCTTAGTCAATTTCTTATTGTTGGCAACAGGAATGGATCTGCGTGATAATGTACCTTACTTCCCATTCTTGACCCATCACTTGCATTACAATTTCTAACTTTTCTCTTTGACGTTCTAGCTCTTCTAGATTTTTGTCATAATCAATTAAAATTTTATCCATATGCGGGCTGAAAGACTTTTTGTTATAAAAAAAATAATTGTGTGGAGTAATGGAAAAAAAGATACAAGAAAAGGGAACTGCCGAAAGTAAGGTTTATGAAGAAATTTGGATCGGTGTTTGTATGTGAGTGCCTTTTTTAGAATTTGTAAAATGTAATTTGATTCTTACTACCGTTTTATCAATTGAAGGGTACCTTGTACTATTATGATTTTGCCAATTCACTAGAAATAGATCCAACTTTATATTGTATTCAACGTAATCTGAAGCAGTGAATGGAGTCAAAAAACGTTATTTTGTATGTTAGTAAATCAAGTAGATATAGATCAATGCCGTGTTAAAGGACTCGCCGTAACTAAAACAGTGTTGCCTTCCCATCTACTGGGTATAAACGGCTGAGAGCTCTCAACATGTCAACTCAGTATTGAATTAATGAATAAATATTACATATTTTCTCGTTTATTCTTTATTTCATTTATTCAATTTCAACAGCTGTATCGATACTTATAATAGCACTTCTTCATCAGTGATCCACAATGTTATCCCTGAGCACGTATTTTCTGATACACAAGGAACATTTGGCTATGATCACCCCTTTCTTCTAACAATGATGTAACAGTATAAGTATCACCTTCCCCATTAACTAATAAAAGTCAGACATTGTCCCACCTTTCTTCCACTCTTACATTGGTGGAGAAGCTAAAAAATATTCCATAATGAATCCAAACAGTGACAACAATCATAATGAAGCAAACCATCCTTTCCGGTTGGAAGCCATTGCTCATTAGATACAAATAGGACAACGGCCACAAAATGCCGAAGTCTCTTAGCAAAAAGCACAGATATAATTGTTTTATGAAAATTACATTCAACAACTGCACCAGCAACATGAACAGTGGAAAACCGCCCAAAACCAATTATATCAACAAAGCATGGAAAATTTTATGGAAACAGCTCGTAAACAAGTACAAGAACACGAAGCCATCATAAAACAATTAAATGACCAACAGTCCAAGGATTTGACAACAGAAAATGACAAAAAGACCAAATACCTTGAAGAAACTTACAAAGAACAAACCACCACGTTAAGACAAACCATAGATGATCTTCCAGAGCAAATACGCCACCTAGAACAGCAACTCACTGACGCCACATATCAGCACCAGCAAACTCTCAGCCAAACCAAACATCACCTCCAGCTACAGATACATGAAGAGAAAGCAAAAAATACCCTACTTGACGTTCAATTAACTCACATCCAAGCCAAGGAGAAACAGTACTTGTCAGAGTTAGCAACACTGAAACAGGAACTTCAAAGAGCTTTCCACCACTCCTCTGATTTGCAAGCAAAAGCAAATACTCGACCTCAATCAGCTCACTCGTCTACTACTGATGATGGCGATATGTATACCTCGCCTTTACAACACTCTTAAGTACAGTGGGATACTGTATCCGAAATCGCGATGAGCCAAGTTACTACTACGACACCCAGAGCAGACTTTAATATCAACACTGGCCAAATGGATTCAATACCAAGAAAACGCCATAGCAAGCACCCAACCCCTCCCTTTTTTGGAGGCCATGTGGCTCTATCGCTCATAATTGGCTTACGCACTTTGATAAACTGGTGATCTATTATCATTATGACGAACAGGAACGCATAAGTGAATTCATGATGGCCATGCAAGGAAATGCCAATGACTGGTGGAAAACTCTTACGGATACTGACAAAAAGTCTATCCAAACCATCCGCTCCCAGTTCCAAACCTTCTTTGGTTCATCCGAGGATGAAATGGCCAAAGCAATCAATACTTTGGATAGCCTAAAGCAAAATAGCGAACCGATGACAACTTTCGGTCCTTGTTTACTTTTACTCATTACCACTGTGACAAAAGACAACTTCTAGCTTCAAATGAACTACTTTTACAAGGCCATTAATCCTGACTTGGCAAAATCAGTCGTGTCAATGAAGCCCACAAGCATACAAGCTGCCATTAACTTTGCTACTGAGATAGAGCGCAATATGACTTACAATAAGTTACCCGCACCATTCCTTAAACCATCGGCTCCTCCTCCGGCCCCCGCCCTAGCCACATTTCCTACCGAACCTATGGACATAGATGTCAATGCTCAAAAGTACGGGAGATCATATGGCAATTATAAGAAGGCCAACTACAAGAAATTTGATCTCTGTAACCGGAATAGCCACTGGACGCGAGAATGCTATTATCTCAACAAAGCTCAAGAAGAAATGAAGATACAGACAAAGAGACCTACTAACAAAAATTGGAACCATCGAAGTAATGCCCAGGCGATTGCCTCGCCGAGAAGCGGCAATACTCCGAACCTAATGAGGACCATATTGTTTCGCAACAAACAGAGGATGATGGGTTCAACCTCACTGATAATATCTTTTATAAGCTTTATAGTCTCCCTCCTATTAATAAGCAAGAAGCTCAAATTGATGATTTAACCATACCTACGGTGATAGGAAGTCGTGAAAACACTTACAATATCTCTTTGATTGCCCAAATTCCTACCTATCACATGGACGGCAGTATGCAAGTTAAGGTTTTAATTGATACAGGCGCGGAAATATCTACAATATGTGCTGCAGAGGTTGAAAAGCTCCGGTTGCCTATGGCTAAAGCACCTAAAATACGTATCTGCTACGGCAATAACTCGACAGGATATTCTGATCAAACGTGTATCCTCTCTTGCTCTATCCAAACTACAAATTACCTTTCTCATGTCTTCTGAGTGACTCCTGCTCAAAATGTTTCAATCATCCTTGGAATGGACTGGTTAATGAAGCAAGGTGTTCTCATTGACCCTGTACACAAGCAATTGCTGAATAGAAAAGCATATAGAAGTGGTTACAGTATTAACAACTCGGTGGTGAACTCAAAAAACCCCTCTATTACTACTGGCGGAGATAGGGTCGCCTTGAAAATCCAAACGCTGAACGAACAATTGGGTCCGCTGCATGGGATCCATCCTTAGATAAAACATATACTGCTACTTCACCCTAATTTATACAATGATAGCGAAACCCAGACGGTTACCAATGCTCCGGTATACCATCGTATCGATACGGGGGATACGCAACCAATTGCTGCTCGAGGACGGCGATTGCTATCAAGGAAAATGAGGTGGTTGATTCGGCAGTAAACAAGATGCTCGAACGTGGTGTCATAAGACCAAGTAACTCTCCGTGGTGCGCACCTCCTGTGGTAATCCAAAAAAAAAGCGGTGATTATCGATTCTGCAACAATTTCAAACGATTCAACAGTGTGGCCAGAAAAGATAAGTTCCCGCTAGAAAGGATGGAGGACCTTTTGGATAGATTATCCGGGTCCATATTGTTCACATTGATAGACCTGAAGTCTGCTTACTGGCAAATACCTATATATGAAACTGATAAATACAAGACGGCTTTCAAGACCAGGAATGGACTGTATGAATACAACGTTTTGCCTTTCGGGCTATGCAATGCGCCACCAACGTTTGCAAGGTTCATGCACTGTATCATGAAAGAAGTGTTTCCATTCACCATCATCTACTTGGACGATATTCTAATTCATAGTCAATCTGAAAAGACCATATCACACATGTTACTAAAGTGTTGCGCATCTTACACCATTGGAATCCAAAACTGAGCCTTGACAAATGCCAATTCTTAAAGCTTGAAGTCACGTTCCTTGGATTCTTGGTTTCTGGTACAGGCATACACTCCAACCCTAATCGGGCATATCCTATTCGGCACTTCCCCACTCCTACAGACCTTAGAGAACTTCAGCAATTCCTTGGCCTCTGTAACTTTTACCATCGATTCATAGCAAACCTCTCTTCTACGGCGGCACCACTCTATCGATTACTCAGAAAAGACACTCCATGGCATTGGTCGAAAGAGTGCGAGAAGACTTTCAAGAAGTTAAAGAGTATCCTGACATCCTTACCCAAGTTAGCTTATCCAAATGCCAACCTCCCCTATGAAATTCATTGTGATGCTAGCCAATTCGCCATGGGCGCGGTGCTGGTACAAACAGGTAGACCGATAGCTTTTGCCAGCAAGACCTTAAATCCGGCTCAAGTTCTGTCACAGAAAAAGAATGTTTGTGACGTGTTTGGTGAGATAATAACTGCAATACTCGAGTACGTACAACCAGGTAGAGAATACTATCTACCACGGTCTATCTTTCTATATTGCATCTCATATAGGTTATGCGCAACATATAACAAGATATAGGCCTAAGTTTACTAATCACACATCAAGCATTTGAACCTGAAATTAGTGGCTAGCATATGCGTCCTCAGATATAATAATTCCCATCAGACCTTATAAAGTGAATATTCTTTCCATTTCATCCGAAGAACCCAAAAAAAAACCCACCAAAGTTAATAGTCATCGACTTATAACAGTTATCAATTTTGAATAAGCAATATCATAGTAACTGCTTTTTCGCCAAGTGCAGATCAACCACGGCTTCGGGGCATATTAATGTCGAATTCTAACTCATCAACGAATACACAATGTCAAGATATTCAACTCCTTCATCAATTCATTTCTCAGCCCACTCAACGAGAAAGAGTTTATCATCGTTTCTGGCAAGAGATTGCTTGTCAACGGCTCTGATGCTAAGACTGCACTCCTCCTTCATAAACTCGGCTATTTTATTTTCTAGTCAGCAAAGATCCTTTGGCTTTATAAGTTTTTCTTGTATAAAAAAAATAACATCCACGATCTTCGTTGATATAAACATTATATTCGTTTCGTTCCTTCTGCGACGTGATCTCTTCCGTAATAGTGTCGGCAGGAGTTGTCTTAATTTGAACCTCCTGATTCTTAATATTTTTCGGTAATATTTGTCAACTTTTTCAAGCGTAATGACTACTCTTCAACTAAGGCGGTTAATTCCTCTCGTTGCTCATCAACAAACTTACTAGCACCCTCTTTATTGAAAAAATATCATACTCATTTCAAAGGAAAAATATATACTATCTTAAAAAACAATTTTGGGGGTACCAATTAAGACTAAAATGCTGTAAGACAGGAAAGAAAAATTAAGCTCTTCGTCACTGTCAATTGCCGTACTGAGGTTTTCTTTGGCAAACTCACTGTATTTTTGATATAAACTGACATAAACTTCTTTTGGTTGGTTTGCCCTCTCAACTATTATTCCTCATTAGGCTTTTTTTTTTTTATAAAACGCTCTCTTTAAACTTGCTGGTGCGGTATAAGTGCTGAAATATCCATCCTTCTTCCCATTTTCATAACATTCTTTCCAATTCATTATTTCTACCGACTGATTGAATTGAAGAGCATAATCCATATCGCTTTTTGGAATACCAGTTTCAGGCAAAATACCATCAGTGTTGTTATGGTTGATCTCGGTTTCATCGACTTGCTGTATCGTTGCTTCAGGTAATTCCAAAGGTGCTGGCATCGGTGACACACATGAAGCGTCTTTTTTAAAATATTTACGTCTACAAGTATCCGTATACAAGATTCCGTTGTCTGCATAGGCAAGTGCGCGTTTTCTAAGAAGACTATCTGGCATAGCCCCTATTACTTTTACTAATTTTTGTAATTGCGTGTTTGTTTGATTACAAACGTCAGCCATAGCCGATGCGATGGGTTTTACTACCTTTTCTTCCTCCATCTGCTCTTTGGCAATTCTGTAAAATGTTTGTATTGTTGTATCGTCTTTATGTTCCATGGACATCAAAGAAGTTTTTGTTTACAAAAGAAAACTCCAATTGCCAACAATGGATGAAGTGAAGGTTGTTTAATGTCCTCTTTGATTGTATCATTATCAATAATATAACAGTGTTCGGCCCAGTAATTACACGGGATTGCTATGAATGCAGGTAGGTTACGCGATATTTGAAAGATGAGCTTTGGACCCTCTGACGATTGTATATGCTTTTTTCTTGGATTATAGGTGACACTATTGATAGTTTACCGCATACTTATTTAGCGTAATTCTGCGCTTTACTTCGATCTGACTTGGTTCCAGTATGAAGAAGGGAAGACACACGGCTGTATGCGGTGGGTCTTTTTCGATGCGTGGAACTGGTCAGGTTATTTTCCTGAGCTTGGGCGGTTTCTCATGCCGTTGATACAGAACTTTCTCCATCCTCTTCTATATACAATAGGATATCAGAAAAGCGTCTCACAAAATATGACTATCAAAGTAAACGTTTAACGCTTGCCCTGAGCCAACTGCATCTGAACTCTTTTCTCAATCTCCTCCATATTTACATTCAAGCTCTCATCGTTCAGGCATATACGATCAGTTTAGGTTGCGCTTTCACATGGTCTTAATCACTTAAAATTCTTCAGCGCAAATTCCTGCCCCTTTCTGCTATAGGCTCCATTGCTTTTTGACCATCTTCCGACAGAATTGTTCCTTGACCGTTTTAAATACAAGAATAATATGATACGTTGCTTATGTTGTGCAAATTTGACATCAATGGCCTGCCATTTGAAGAATTCCGTTACTCCAAATTGAATCTTCCGTACACGCTAATTGGGGAACCTAAGCATTGTAGTGCAATTGTGATACAGACTAGGAGGTTGGATTTCAGATGGGAAGAGCGGAACAAGCAGATTGGATCAGACAAATCAAAACGTCAACAAATTTATTAAATTAAGCCTAAGGTAGGCGATGTACTGAAGTTCATGGATTGGGATCGCAGTTACAAGCTCAACACATTTTACGGAAACCCGTAAGAAGCTTATAAGTTATCTGCTATACTAATCAAGATACTGTGCGATTGATTGAAGATGCTGATGTGTCTGCGCCTTGAACTCGTTTCTCTTCTTTGAATTTAGCTTTGCAAAGCAGACTGCTTATAAACGGAACAGTGTTTCGTTATAATTATCATTAGGAAAATAACCTTTTATATTTTTTAAAGAAACGTTGCCTTGATTAGTTAGATGCAAATCACCAACAGTGCGAAGCCTTGTTGCTAGCTATACATTTTGAAGACATAGGCGTAGCCGATTTAATAGTAAAGGTAGATTCTAATACTCTGTTTAGGTCAACATATGTCTAGTTGTGCGTATGTACTGAATGGAAACTGTCACATTCTACCATATTCACTGTTACTGCCAGCTTATTTGTTTGTAATAAAAAATTGGGAGAAAAATTCTTTTAACTTATGGTCTTTCCCATTTTTCAGCCTTAACAATGGATACAAAAGCGGCGTTTCCCCAGAATCCAAAAGATCCATTCTGTCAACCTGCAGCAGCAGAGGTAGGAATGTATATTTAACTGCTATTTCTTCAGTACCAAACAGTAAAATCATCTAGGCTACGATTTCAACCTCTTGGTGGCCATCGCAGAATCAGCAAGACGGCATCGCTCCTAGATGGAAACTGTTGACATCGGAAGAAAAACAAGAACAAGCCAAAGTTATCAATAGATTAGGTAAACCGTAAAAGCAGACAAAAAAATGCGCTCCACAATGGACTACATGTTTGAGCTCTTCTTCCATATAGAATCAAAGCTGAAAAGAATACAAAAACAGAAAGACAACGTGTATAAATATAATCCTATCCCAGGTAAACAATAACTGTCTTACTCATTAGTTCTTGCAAGAATTTGTGTGTCTGATCCAAAACTTTATTTTTTTTTTTTTATTTTTTTTTCAAGCAATGGTAGACGGAACTGCGCTCACAAGTGAGGATGAGGATGATCGAGGTGCAGACGAGACAGCAAGTTGGCACTCTGTTGGGGAAATCCAAGAAGAACAGGAAGGCTTGCCCCTTTTATGGAAAGACAAGTCAATGTCGTTCGAAAACGCACCACGCAAAGCAGAGAAGAACTTCATTCCAGCTTTGCTCCAATGGTTCTATTGCTATTGTTGTTATAGTCAGCCGTAACAGTAAAATAACTATACAATATACCCCTAAAAACCCACTTCCCATTCGATTACCTCGTTTTCATCTTGCAAAACTATGTCCTTCACTTGCAATCAGCCCAAAATCTACCGAGCATTATGACTAGGAGATCAGCTGCATCAATTATGCCTCTGCAAGCAAGAACGGAGCATATTTTTGAGTGGATGAAAAGAAAGAACATAGAAAGGTTGGAATCAAATGTTGCTTTCAGCGCGCTTTATTGATTTGCGTAAAGGATACATAAAAGAATGAGCACAATTTGACAAACCGGGCTCACTCTCTCTCATGCTTCAATTTGCAGCAGCATTTGTTTATAAGTTTGACATTGTTCCAGGATGCTTTTCGTCAAGGTTTTAAATTCTGTCAACATAGGGGATTGGGCTTGCGTCTTTACAGTTTCCAAAATCATTACAGGTTTATCTTTATATGTCCTATTTATAGGTTCGTTAGTTCTTTTTTCTATTAGAATAGTTGTGTTAATAAAACAACTTCAGAGAAAGCTCAACTTACACAAATGCCCGCTCTTCCGAAGCTGTTTTACTATGCCCATGCTTTAAAAAGTTGTAATCGAGAGCGTAAATATTACATGCAATGTATATGTCTCTTACACAGAATTCAATAACAAGGTCCTGCTTTAATGGTGGGCTGAAAAACTATCACAATTGATTAGGAAATGTTAGCAATTCACTTTTATATCGTACTAGCGTATAGTAGAGAAGCTACATACTTTCGGGTGGCACACTTTGTAGGGAAATAATGCTGCCTCGCTGGGATAGTCAAATGCATGAAGTGCACGGTCGATATATTGATACATATCTTCTAGAAACTACTCAAAAAGGACGCTTAGACGCCTATCTTCTTTTTATTTGATTTTTGTATACTTACTGCAATAGTGGCTTGTTTATAAGAAGGTGTAACAAATGATTTGAGTCTGTTCGAAGCAAGTGATAAATAATTGCTGGCCTGCTTTGCCTGCAAAATTCATAGTATCAGTATAACCACTGCCAAAAAGATATAACCTACGTAAACACTGACTCTTGATTGCATACCTGTTCTAGAAAGTATGGCATATCACTATTTATTGCAGCCTTAATTAAATGATCTTGATGGTAACTGGAAACCTTAATTTGCAGCTCCTGAGAGTCCAAGGCACAACAAAATAGTTATCAGTTTCCAATTTTTTGCTGGAAAATCTGTATTTTGGAAATAAGTATTTACAGCTTTCGTAATGTAAGAGCCATTGAATACAACAAAGCCTTTCACAGTGTCATTCCTTTACACCACGAGAAGAAAAATTGTTTTTCAGTCTTTTTGCAGATGTTGGGGAAAAATATACAAGGATTCAAAGGCTGACTTATTTACAACGTCAAGGGTAATGAATCTGCTTTGGCTGCCATGAAGGAAAACAACAAAGTGTTAGGCCGATTTTAGCCCAGAAGAATTATTCAAAAATGACTGACCTTGGCTTGTTAAAATGTGTTGGCTTTTCTATGAGTTATATTGTTAATATTCTAACCCTTAACAGTAGTTTAAGCTTTGCTTTGTCCTGAGTGTAATTATATTACCTCCAGCTGTGCTTTTAACTCATTCAGAACGTTTGGAATGACATCCTCCAACAGCCAACATCTTTGCTTCACCTAGCGCCATGATTTGTTAACAATGAGGTTTAATAGTTCCAACTAGAGCATTGCTAGCCTACTTACTGCAGTGTCATGCTCCTCTTTTGAAAGCATTCCGATGAACAAAACCGAAAACAAAATAACCAAAGGCAAATGTGCATGAAAATAGCGTGCACTGAGTTTAAAGACAAAATCAGATGCATTGATTGTTACATTTTACAAAAAAGGTGGCACAGCCGCCTCAGGGACTTATTCAAGATAGACAAGCATCTGGGAAATTTCTGCAACCAAACATGTTGTACCTCTCTAAACCCACTATTATAGTTACTTTGGGAGTAACTTAACGTGTAGTTTTGAAAAGTCACTCATCAGTACCCCCATAACGTCTATAAGTGTTTAATATTTTTGTAAAGTCACATCAGCAGGTGACTTTAATTACATTAATTTTACGCTAGAGCTATTAACAAACAACCGATGTGCAAATAGCTTTGTACACATTTAAAATCTTTTTTAAGGAGTCCTCAATCTGTTCAATGGGGTAATTTTTAAGGTTTGTTGTATGAAGTCTATGATAAATTGAGTTGTTGATTAAGGTGCAGACGAGATATTAATTGCCATGCAGTAGGTGTAATGTCGGCTTTACTCTTTGGGTTTATATATTAGTCAGGCAGTGCAAGCTTTGTTCACATTCACTTTTTCTCCACTTTTTTTTTTCAAAGCTCCATTTTGCATTAAAGCGCCAAATGATGACAGTGCTATCCATGAAAACCGATAAAGAGTATCAGTTATTAAACGACTATACAGATATGACAGACAACGAGAAGTATTCCTACGATGAAGAACGTACTCTATGCTACAGTAGCAATTCACCTTCTACTGAGACTGCAACAGATATCACACATACTGCCATCAATCGAATTCCTCACAGAGAGCTTTTGAAAGGCGTGAAACAACATGTAGAGGAGCATTTCGATAGACCGGAATTAGTTCGAGATTGCATACTTGGTCTATCAGATGGCTTGACGGTGCCATTTGCACTAGCTGCTGGTCTTTCAAGTTTAGGTGATAGTCGTATAGTTATATACGGTGGTTTAGCAGGTCCTTATCTCGTCCTACATCATTGCCCTCCCTTTCCGCCCGAGCTTTTATTCTTACCATACACCTGTTTTTTAAACATAGAGTTAGTGTCAGGAGCAATTTCTATGGGTTTGGGAGGTTATCTGGCGGCCAAATCAGATTTTGATCATTACCATACAGAACGCGAGAGAGAAGGTAGAGTATATTAAACTCTGCCTAGAGATTATCTTGTCTAATGTATATAACTCTCTACTGTGACCAGCGCGGGAGGTAGAGCTATATCCAGACGAAGAAGAAGAGGAGATCATAGAATTATTTGAACCTTATGGCTTGGATCGTGAGTCAATGGAGCCAATGATGGCTCGTTTCAGACAAAATCCTGAAAAGTTTGTGGATTTCATGATGCGTTATGAATTGAATCTAGAGTTACCGGATCCGAATCGAAGCTGGGTAAGAATACCAGTTGTCGTAATGAGTGTGAGCTTCTTGGAGTCGTTATTGACTTTTCTTTTTTCAAAGATTTCTGCTTTGACAATAGGAATATCGTACTTTCTAGGAGGCCTGATTCCTCTTCTACCGTATTTTCTCGTTAGCGATACATATACAGCTTTATACGGATCTTGTTTAGTTACATTATTGACACTATTCGTTTTCGGATATATGAAGAGCATTTACCTTAGACCAAAGCAAGCATTCATGGGAGCTATTCAAACATTGGCTATCGGTGCTGTTGCAGCTGCTTTTAGCTACGGCATTGTCGCTTACGTCAATAGTCTTGATCCGTGAAACTCAAATAAAAAAAGTGGATTGATCCCCTCCTCTGTTTCAGTAATTGTTTTCACCTTTTTATTCAAGTATAAATCAATGGTAGTTTTCATTTCATTTAAAGGATAATAATATGGTCTTAGTTATTCAATTAACTCTTGTTCTGTCCTTCGTCGCAATTTCTCGTATTCTGAGATCTTGCTTGTCGCCTTCTTTGGGATAGCATAAAAAATTAAAATTTACTTGTCTCTCGAAGCATGAAAAGGTACAAAGTCATATTATAGAACGATTTAATAATCAACAATTAAGTTAATCAAGAAGCCTTATTGAATGCTACATATCAACTTTTTATAGACAGCCTTCTAAACGATGGAATACTTATACTCAGCAAAATTGTAAATAAGGCTCAGAAGAACCGCATTACATGCTTCAGCTATTTTCGTTTGGAATATTTTATCGTCGAGTAGGTTCTATCTTCTCATTTTCCCTTTTGCAAAAGTACAGAAGAGTTCGATCGGATACAATTTAACTGAGTAAAATAATTACCAGCATAAGCTCGGTGCAAACCAGTGAGACCTCAAGCATATGCAATTCCAAACCACAGAATTGTAATACAGGAACATTACAGATATCGACGACTTGACATATAATCTGATCGATGATATTCTTATCTGCAATCATCACTTTACATCTGTCGGATTGACAGTTTAAATTGCTTGGATCGTACTTAGAGAATTCAAACCGGTACAAACATTGTTATCAAGTCATGCATTTTAAGTTGCTTCGTCCAGAATAACGTACATATCAATTTCGAGATCAACAGTGCCACCTTCCTTAGCAAATCCAAAGACCGTATCATCCCATTTGATGCGCATGTTACTTACACTATTCAACAATTCTTCAATGGAGGATGTCAGAGCGTTATAACATAATCCCATTCTGAACAATCAGTTGCATGATCGAACAAGTAAGCCGACTTTTGGTGGCGCTTTATGATAAAATTCTTCATCCTCGATCTGGTTTGTTGCCTGCTTTTCATCTTTTACCCACTCTGACAGATTCTTCAGCTTCTTTTCCACTCGCGTTCTGCTCTTCGATACTACTTGTAAAGTGGGCGAGTAGCGCGTAGTTTAAGCTATGCAAGTTGCTAACTAATTCAGTATCTTCTTGTACTTGATTCGCTACCACCCCCTTGACAGCCACCATGCCTGATTCCCTTTTCTTGGCGTTGAGTCTATTTTCTAGTATTTCTTCCACAATATAGTTGGGGGAACTTGAGCTGAAGGTTCAATTGTCTTTGCTCTAGTTCTTTGATGTTTTGCTACTATTAATCGTCATCAGCCAATCATACATTTGAATTATGTTTTCTCGATCAAATATACTTCATTCATAATATACATCGAATTTTACTATGTTACTAATACCAATAGATGCTGGGTCAATATCCATGTCAGAGAAAGAGGAAGAAGCAAAGAAGAAAAAGTTTATTCAATGGAGTAAAACATCGTCCTTTTCTTTTAACAGCGAGGTATAATAAAAAAACAAAAGAAGGGGAGGGAAAAGTAGCTGCTGTATAATCACGCAGAAATCACAATAAACATGCAAACGTTCAACCTTCTCCTAAACTGGTATAGTATCTTCAATTCTTTCTTTCATCCCAGTAGTCGTCTAATCAGTTTGAATTTTTCAATACTATCACACTTTACAAAAATATGATTAGACATATTTTTATTTTTCAAATACCTGCAATAACATACTTACTAGAACCATCACAACTCGATCAAAGGAAGCAAGAAGAGAACTACCTAATAGTACGAAACGAGGAGCATTTCTTAAAAAAGAGGTCCCAACTCATCTACATCGCAACATACTAAGAGGTAACTACCATAATGAAGTGGCTATAGAATAGTATCACCTATCCTGAGCCAAAGCGTATAAAAATACTTCTTCATTATAATACATGGTTAAAAGCATGTATTCCCAAGCGCCATGTTGGGAGTGACGTGTTTGGTGAGATAATAACTACAATACTCGAGTACGTACAACCAGGCAGAGAATACATTCTATCACGGTCTATCTATATTGCATCTAATATAGAACAAGATACAGGCCTAAATATAATAATCACACAATAAGCATCTGAACCTGAAATTAGTGACTAGCATACGCGTCCTCAAATAATAGAATTCCCATTAAACCTCACAAAGTAAATAATCCTTCTACTTCATCTGAAGAATAATAAAGACACCCAAGTTCATAGTCATCGACTTACAACTGTTATCAATTTTTTAATAAGCAAATACAACACCGTCATAAAGCGATGACTGACTTTAAGGATGCAATCAACGAAATTGCTGATCGAAGTCTAAATTCGAACAATGCAAACAAAGAACTAATCAAGTGGGCAAAAGCTTTAAGGAAATCCAACATCAACGTAAATAGAACCACTTATCTTTTTTAAAAAAAATTAACTAAACTTTTTTGTAATAGCTGTTTACTTCTCCTCTGATATTTTCACATTTTTATTCACTTCGTCGTCGCAATTTACTTCAAGCTAAGAAACTTTTACGAGTACAAGAAGAAGAGGAATTTATTAACGATCAACTGAAGGATACTGAGAGTAACCATGAGAAAGAAGAAACAAATCCGACACAAATCACTAGAGAAACAAGCCAAGAAGTAAATCAAGATGTACAAATTGAAATTACAGGTGAAAACCCCTTATCACAAAACCCTGAAGATGTATATACCAATGTACATAGGCTACAATATCTGAAGTCGAGGTTTGAACAAAATTTCAACGCCATGAAAACGGAAGATAAGTGGTACTTATCAAGTGGAAAATGCGTAGAAGATGAATTATATGCTTTTGGAATGCAATGTGTGGAAGAACATCCTAGCCATTCATTCATTATTGACGTCAGCGATAAGAATCTTGTCAAATACAATGTATTCAATGAAAATGAATTGAGAGAAATAGAAACGTTCAATAAACAGGAGATATACAAAATGCCGTTATCTTTACGTGACTACTTGAATAGTTTCAACAAGACTGCAGCTGCTGATATACGACGTGAGATATTTACATCACAAGAGTTTGATAAGAATTATAGCCATGACCTATCAAGTGATTTTGACTGGATTAGACATTCTGTCTACACATTGCTGAGATTATACGAGTCAGATAAATTGAAAAAGCCCCACAGAGAATCTTGGTATCTTTCTCACGTTTGGCAATTCATCAGTAGTGTCTTTGACAATATAGAAAATATTGATGTTCTTAGGTAAGCAAATTACTATATCATTTATGCTTAACACTTTTGTACTAATATTATTTTTCCAGTCAAGAATGTTCCAGTGTAAGCTCTAGTAAAAGAAAAAATAAGGATCGTTCAATTGGAAGTATTGAAATGCGAGAAAGGAAAAAGATGGGCTATCGATGTGATATGATTTTTTGTGAAAATCGAGTTGGTCATGATGAAATTATTGAATATGGTGCTTCAGAAGCAGGAAAATTGTATGATGGTGACGAAGGGACAAAAAGATTGGAAGAAGGATCCAAAAAACTACCGAAGTGTTTGAAGAATATGTTGGACCGTTTATTACTCAAAAAAGATGATAAGATCGAAGATACGAACAATTGGATTTGTTCATTCTGGTCTTGAATCATTTTTTATGACGGCAGATCGCCCTGTTAAATATGCGACAAGGATAGTCAAATCAAGGAGAACCCGTATTTCAAATGATATATCAGGCTTTGGTTCAACCGTTTTACCCGTTCTTTATTCTGCCTGGATTACTAAAGAAGTTGTTAAAAACGTACAAAATGTGTTGTATGCACCCGTTGAAGGCGATAATGCTGAAAACTCAAGCTGGTTAGACGATTACTGGGATGAAGAAACAAATGAAGCTATTATACCAGAAACATCAACATCAAGTGACCTTCGCATTGGAAAGAAGATTAAAAGAACATAATTGATATAAGCAACAGTATTAATAAATAGTAAATAGTAATGAAACCTCTTTGTAATTTGAAGTAAGAATGGTTTATTGCCTTATTTTCTGAAAATTGATCAGAGGATTCTCGAATAATTTTCTCTGTTGTAATGCTTACGAATAAATATCGAATCAAGATACCTTAATCCATCAACAATAGCAGTAAATTCAACACGTTGTAGCTTAAAGATTATCAACTAAGAAGTTTGTTCTATAGTTGATTTGTTCAGGATATCCTAAATCCAACTTTTATTGACTTATTAGGAAAAATAAATAAAGCGTAGGATTTGGTCGAAGATTGATTAAAGCCTTTGACGAAAGCAACTTTAAACGTTAAGAAATGAGAAAGGAAGTTTCGCTTCCAAATCTAGATCCAAAAAAAAAAGTCTTGGCAAGCAAGCTAAAGGTTTTTGAAAGGTATTGCGGAGATCAAAAACTAACCCTTTTGGGTAGTCGATTTTAGACAGCAGCAAGCTTAATTGCTGGTAACAGCTGTGTTTCTGTTTTGTTTTTCTCTTTATCTTTATAGACTCACCATTCACCTTGACAACCTTCTCCTTCGGTCGAATACTCCATGTCATTTGCAGGCATTTGGAGGAGATTTTTGCTGACAATATTATGTCTTAGCTGTATAGTAAGAGCTGATACTGTCGATTCATACTGTATAAGACATTCCAATACACAAAGAAAATACAGTGCTGTTGGCAAATGCTCAACTGTCGCCACAACTAATACGACGCCAAAAAAGCGACCTATATCGGTAGCTATATCGGATCATTTCAATGGTACAAACACTCAAGACAATACAATGCAGAACATGATAGAAATCGATTTGATCTGTTTGGCCGACAGTGATGTTTGTAATAAAGTTGAAGCTACAATGGCAAAAGCATCAACAATTATCACATCAGCTTTTCGATTAGAAACGCCATTGAGAGTGAACGCATCATATTTCAGTTTTTGCGAATACATGGATTGCTTAGATAGTAGCAACCAAGCATCTATCGCTGAAACATTTCCAACAGTATCGTTTCTTATGGTTGATCTAAGTGATAACATGACACGAATGTATGCTCAGCCATTACTAAAGCAATTCGGTAACTTGACAGCGAAACCAGCTTGGTCAAGATATGATATTGAGGCACAATTCAACAGCGAGACTAATTGGTACTATCCAGTAAGCCGAGTTTTATTTAATTTAACCTTGTGTATACACATATACACATGAATTAATTTTCTTTTACTTTTTTTTTTTTTTAATTGTTTGCAAACTGCTGTTGCTAGACTGACGATGGTCCAATCGGCAGTAATCAAATCGATTTTCTTGGAAATGTGATTCACGAGTTAATTCACGGTCTCGGTCTAATGACATCCTGGGGAGATATATTTTTCAGACACTTAGCACCCTTATTTCCAGACAATGTTCTTGAGTACTTTATCACACCCAGTCTTCTAGCATCCATGGACAAAGCACAATCATTAAATGATTATAGCTCGTCTCAACCATTTTGGGGATTTGTTGAGTTTGCCTTCGACAAATTCCTTGCTTATAAAACTAAGCGTTTCAACACAACAGATGGATCCTTCCACTCGCTATCTTCTACTACCACTAGGCTCAACAAATTTGCACAATCGAATACCTTATTTCGAACCGCTGTTGATTTTGCGAATGCATGGTATCATTCGGAATCCTATGAGCATGCTAAACGAGCGTATGGGAGAGCTGTTACAGCATTGGAAATTTCAGCCATTGTCAACAACGAGCCGATATTCTGGATGGAAACGTCACTGGATCCCTTCTCTCCTGGTTCTTCATTGTGTCACGTCGATCAATCACAATATGCAAACACATCTGATTATTTGATGATATATTCAGCACAACAAGGCATTTCTTCCACCTCTTTAACCACTCGATACCCTTATGGTCCTATAGGGCCTCGATTAGCAAAAATGATGGCTGCTCTGGGTTACCGAATGGACCCTAAATATGCTGCCACTACCATTCGGCCGCAATTACGTTTTTGGAGCCCTCCGCTGCAACTAGTAGGTACCGAATCAAATCCTTCTCCAACTGCAGCCATTGATAGAAGTGGACCTGCACGGCTTCCACCAACGGCATCAGCAGGAACAGATCCTACCGCATTAGCAGGCGTATCTCCCACGAAATCAGATGCATTGTCTTTACATTTCTCTATTTATCATTGGTTTATTGCAAGCTTAACCACTATCATTACTATCTTTTATTTATAATTTGTTCTTTCCAAAGAAACTATTGTACCATACACTATTTATATTTATTTATTAATCTATTCACTTTCCTTTTAACCCTAACATTTGTAAACCTACACTTTATTGGAATATGATTGTAGAAAAATGAAATAAAAAGAATACGAAGAAAACAGTCTCAAGTAGCTCCTTTCCACAACACAATATATTCACGATTTGTTATCCTCTTCAATATACTTGGTGATATGTTCTGTAGGTTAAAAATGTATTGTACATTAGAATCAAAAAACGATGCGAGCAAAGCAAAATTTACTTGCCTTGAAACTTTTTTTTTTTTTTTTGTTTGCTAATAACTCCCTTGGTATCAATGGATATACAATGCCAACAAAAATCTTTACCTTATGCATGTATAACCGTTTTGCAAAATAGTTGGATATCACTAAACGACGTCAAGAATGGCTATTTAGTGATAGAAATTATCGACTTAATCTGTTCAAACATAGGCTTAAATGACTTTGATCTGCTGTGAAAAGATTCATTCTCAACTCAAAAACTACCCTTTTCTGAGGTAATTGGTGTTTAAATTGTTTAACATTACTAGAATTGTCACAACACTTTCTTCATATAGATCATGCACGTTGAAACTTTGGCATTTTCAAAGTTAACCAAATTAATATTGTGCTAAGGACTAGATGAACCGTTTCGGAAAATCTACAGGTTGATTGACAGGAACAGAATCCACATGGGCCCTTAAAAGTATGCGAAAAAGTAACTGAATGGCTTTTTACCAGACGAGTCGCAATAGCAAAAAAATAGAAAAGGCTTCTTTCCAGTAAAATGCGAATGTGCTAAGATACTTAGGAATAGCTTAGCACTGAAAGGAATATTTATTGTTTGTTCTGTAAGTAAATATTCATGTAGTCATGTTAGGATCTAAATCGCGTTTAGAATAGTACGATCAATAATAGTGTGGTAATCCATATAGCAGAACCCGCTGATTTTATCACACTGTAGGCTTTGCCTTCAAAAAAACTTTGTATATGGAAGTCATCTTCGTGAATCATATCATTTTCATCCTCCTCCATGGGATCAGAGACCTCTTGTATGACGACAGCCTTTTGTCCTTGATGATACTCTGGTTGTCCAAATGAGAATTTGTCTGTAACATACTCAGAGCTGGCAGCAGCTAAAATTTAGGAATGAGACAATGGTTAGTTTCTCCAATGATGTAGAACAATCGGGAAGCAAAAGTGGAAGAGTCTTACATTCTTTGTAAGGTGCAGGATCATTTAAACAACCATCGAGTCGAACCATTGTATATCCTTCTTTATCAATGGTATTGATCACGTAAGGAGCCGCACTTAACGATCGTGTATACGGCAAATCATATTGGATAGAGATGAAAGAGCCTTTCACATCATAAGTATCCTTATACTTTCTGAACATATCTGCATACGCCTGTTGGATCGAATTAGGGCCAGTTACTTCCTTTTTAATGTAATCTTGACTATCAAGATTATACCCAACCACCACAAAACCCATTTGGTTCAATATATTTTCGGTTCGTGTATCTTCCACTTCAGTGTAATGTAAGCGAACGTATTTAGGCGCACCCACTTGAATCACCTTTTCAATAATTTCGGCATTCTTAATAATATCGTCACGTAACTCTTCATCTGAGAGCGCAGTATGGTCATCGTTGGGAACACGGTAAGTCATACCTATGAGATGTCCTGCGTTATAAAGGTTTTGAACTACCATAGCGTATTGTTGAGCGTGAAGCCAGGTGGCATTGACAAAGAAAGTAGCATGAGCATCTGCATTCTTGAGTTCACGAGCTATCTTGGCAGTTACATCACTTGGTCCTTCACTCTGTCGTTAGACATAGAGAGAAAGAAACGGAAAGAGTCAAGATAAAAACAAACATCTTTATGACGGTTGGACTGCGATCAACTTACGTAGGTTAAAGCGACCTGACCATGAGTCTTACAGTTAGTCATCTTGGGCACAGGCGCATGACTGGTGACAGTAGCCGGAGTCTCTGTTGAAATACGTATCAACAACGGATATAAATTGAATTATTCATCTGACTACTTTGGGATAGCGCAGGATGACTTGATATAACGGTGTTCCCTCTTACCTCCAACTCCAATGGATGCACTACCCGTCGACACCGAGTCAACCGTAGTAGGATCCATTATGGCTTCCGTCTCATTATCATTTTTGATAAGATAAGGCTCTATTTCTTGGGGTGGCCCAGCATTTTCTCTGTGTTGATCAACAGCAACAGGGCCAAACCGAATCACTTGATTAATTTTATCCATAATAGAGGCGGTTGGTTGCGCTATTTGATTGCTACCATCTTCGGTACTATTCAGATGGTTGTTCTCAGTGTGGGGTGGATGAGTATTTCCGTCATGCTCGAATTCAGTGGAAGCAGCGTAGAGACCTTCGTTTGGATCGACCAAATGAGAAACATTTGTAGGATGTTGCTTTGCGACAGCAAGAGCTGATATGGGTATAGCGGTGTAAACAAGTAGATAGCTTACTAAAAGGCCTAAAAAAGCTAGAAAAAAGAAAACCGTAAAGCGTGATATTGTGAGAGGAGTGCACCAAAAGGGTTCGTCTATTCATTTGGTTACTACTTCCCTACTTACCCAATTTCCTTTGACACATTTAACCAGACTTTCTTAGGACCTGACGATGGGTGTATGGTAATGTAGGATTTGAAAACTTGAGAGTAAAGAAAGAGAGTTTTCAATTCCTATTGCAATTTGTACTTACCTTCTCACTTATCTCTTATTCTGCCACGGGAATTTTTTATTCAAAGTTAATGTAATTCTATTCAAGGCTAGGTATGTCAGTAAAATTAGAAAGATTAAATTTTCTTTCTTTCCTTCATGCTTGAAAGTTATTTCTAGTAAGGCAGTAGAAAATAAAGTACTAAACTATTAACTCACCAGAGCCTGCGTTTCTATCTATCTGTTCCAATGAACATAGTGATACCTCAATTCAACTATCCGTATAATAATGACTGACGATTAAAGTTGACTGCATAATTGCCTGAATGCGTCGAAGTCTCCGTTTCAAAGATTTAATCTCATTTGAGGATACTATGTGTCGAGGCCTTGAACCTTCGCAGTACCAATAGAGTTTAACAGAAAACTCAACATGTATTCGATTGTAGAAAAAGACAATTCATGAACAGATGGCCAAATGTATCAGCATCAGCTTTGATTCAAGGCTTGTTTATCTATTGCCAACAGAATAGGCGGTAACTGCAAGCAGATAGGGGCGGCTGAATGGCGCTTGTATGATGGAAGCTACGGTCGTAGCAACAAGGTCAAGGCAGCAAGGTAAAATAGACTGTCCATTACCAACCTTTTTTTTTGCACATCTTCAACCAGCGAGGCACTTACACATGCTATACTAGAATGGACGTCTCTCTCTACAGGCTCTGCTATACATTGGGTCTATTTTTTGTCGCATAATATAACTCTGTTTCACCTCAAAGAGCTGTATTTATGTCGATGAGAATATTTCTTAATTGTATACAAATGATTTGCGAGCCTTTTTCCTTACATACTGCTTCAGTATGAACTCTTTGAAATTCTAGGGCCAACTTTTGTCATAAAGTATTGAAAAAGTTGCGTTCACTGTCTAGAGGACTAGAACTTTGGGTTTTTTTGGTTTTTTTTTTATATATATACTGTCGATGGTGATGGAAAAAAACCCTTTATTCAAGATATGAAAACGAGCAATAAAAGCCAATAAGATTTTGTAAATACATATTTAATGTGGATGGTGGTGATAACTAGGGATAGAAAGAGCAAACAGAGTATAAAAGGTGAGTGTGACGAAAGAGAGAGAGAGAGTACAGCACTAACTGGGTAACATGCGTCTTTTTCGTCTTTATTCAAGACGAGAGAGCATACGATGGAGGGTATTGTGAACCTTTTCAAGTTCATCGGTGACTTGAGCCAAACCTTCTTCTTCGTAACGACTTGCTGTTGACGAGGTCATTTCGCCGCATCGAAAGGCGCCTTCATTGTAAGCAGAATCAATATGACGAAGTCTTTGTTGTAGCTTTTCAACTTCATCAGCCGAGTAATTCCTATAGGCAAGTTGGTTGGATTCTTTGGCAATGTTCATCAATTCTTGATGATAATCCTCGAGATTCTTGACCATTGGCATCTTGAAAGTTGTGGTTTTCAAACAGAAGAAGTAAACAATAAAGTAAACGTGGTTCTTCAGAACGAAAAAGAAAACGGAAAACGAAGGCTATTTATATTAACTACAAAATGACTTTTACACGCACGCACACAGAGGGAGGGGGTGAGTGGGAACCTTTTACTGTTTAGAAAAAGGGAAAGTCTATTCATGCAATCATTTGATTGGAACATTATTCAGTACTGTTGTCCCAGCAGTATTTGTCTGCATGGAAAAAATAGAAAAAAAAGAATAAAGATGTGCGCGTGTGTGGCATGACTTTCTTTACGCCATGTTTGGGAAGTTTTCTTCACTAACCAGCTCCTCAGCCAAAATGGTAACATACAAGACATTCTTTCAAAGATCTGGGCGGTGTTAAGTTTGACTGCATGCTTCTAGAAAACGTATCATTCCACCCTATACAAAAGACTTTGCGACACTTCATCTATCGATTTTTCAGGAAATCGATTTTTCAGGAAATTGGCGTATTTTCTGTTTGTCCAAGATACCTACAGCATTTTGTACATTATATATTCTAAGCAAAAGACTTTTTTAGCCGTCTTTACTGCGAATTATTTTCTGTTCTAGAAAATCATGCAGATGGGGTTAAATAAAGTTAAAACAAAGTTGAACCGTTAGGAAAAATCAAATAAACTTTGGGCTGTCTTAGCAGTACACTTTACTTGTGTTAGCATTCTGTTGAATGAATTTAGCCCTGCTGTGTGTCTCAAACATCCATCCATATAGGTATACTTGATGCATAGAGTCTCAGCATGTCTCTTTTTCACGTTCCATGAGGTTGATATTGGGAAGCAGAAAAGCGCGTGCTTTCATTGTGTTGGTAACTGATAAAACAGTTCTGGCATGATTCGGGAAATTGTTCAATTTCGGCAGTTCCACCACCCAATCAAAATTGAAAACGGCCGATAGGACCATCAGGTCTTTGGTGAAAGTAATGGAAAGCATGAATAATACTTGTTCTTCACTGTTTCCCCCCCCCACAGATGAACAGCATGTCGTTTGCAAAAGAAAGGGAAAGACGTGCCAATGCTGGCAGCAGGTATATCTGTTATGGAATGAGCTGAATTTCTAAATGAGAAAGGCCCTTAAACATTATTACGGAATAGAATGCGGGCATTACTAGATCAAGAAATTGAAATGGAAGATCTTTTCGAGATAGATGAAAACGAAGAAGACGAAGAATTCCCTGTAGAAGGTATTCTTTTTTTTTTCTCTCCCAATGTTAGAGTATATGCCCCCATTACTAACATTATACTGGTATCTTAAAGAAGTGGAAGAAGAAGAAGATAAAGTCGATTCAGATTTCGATCTCGATTCATCAGAAGGCGAACAAGAGCAAATCGACGAAGGCAAAGCATTAGATAAAGAAATCGAAAAAGAAGAAAGAAAGGTATAACTTTGAGTTGGAAAGTTGCTCTTAAACTCTCCTCTAACAAGATGTATTATTTGGATTTCTACCAAAGACTCGTAAAAATGTAACGATGAAAACTGCAATACCGGTTCCTAAACGATCAAAGTCCACTAATGAAGCGCCACGAAAGCGAAGAAACGTGGGTCAGACAGCTATGACTGACGAAGAACGCCAGACGCGTTACTCTTCGAGAAAAAACACAGTACTTAGTAGGATCTTATTGGAAGGACAATTGAAGGAGCAACAGAAGAGAAAAGTAAGATCAGAATCTATCAACGCTTCCCCTCTGACACAATGATATGGATCAAGCGACTGAAACTGCTTGTTCATCTCTTTTAGAAACAGCAACCTAAAAAAGAACGCCCAATAGTTAATAAGTTAACTCAAGAGGAATTGTTAGCTGAGGCCGCTATAACCGAGGAGAAGAATAAGAGTTCTTTATTAGAATGGCAACGGAAAGAAGCAGAGAGAAAAGAGAATGCGAAAGTCAAGGAGAAAAAGGATATTTCAGTTCCCTATGTGAGATATTATTCGTTTATCGACAGTCATCCTGATTTCAGCAAAGTAAAGCGTGATGCAATCAATAAAGATCAGCAAAAGACGGATGAAAGCAGCAAAGGCACAGAGGGAAATGATGGTGCTGAAGTGATTGCCTCACCTACACTATCAACATCTGAAACGCATGAGGATGTCAGTACTTTGGAAACAGTGGAGCCTCCTCTTGAATATACTGCACGAAATCTGATAACATTTGTTGAAAGCGAGCATCAAAATGGCCCGATGTCTGATACGACACTTGCCCAAGATGAAGATTGTGTGCAAGATCAAGTAAAATCAAGATCGAGTCACGGGAAGGACAAAGATTTAGAGTCGGTAGATCTAGTGGACGAATTAAAGGAGTGGTTGATAAGGGCGCCCAGACCTAATAAGCCTATACTTTGCCCAATCACCGGTAAAATTGCAAAGTACCGTGATCCGAAGACCAATATACCTTATGCCAACATTCAAGCTTACAATATCATTAAGGAATGCTTACAGCAGAAAATGAATTGGTCTTCTGTATCCGGGCTTTTCCTGGGAAACATACCGAGTGCTAAAGGTGTTCCTGATCGATGGACTCAATAGATTAGCAATATCAATATATCAGCGCGTTTCGACAACTACAATTTAGTCATCATGGGCTTTTACTTATACCCTTAAGCAGCTAGTCTGCACAATTATTACTTGTATATTTGAACATCGTCTATCTCTTCTTCTTAGTTGAGGTACTCTGCTCAGTAGGAGGATTTGATATGTACAATCTATAAAGCTCGTTTTATTTTTCTGATCTCTGGATAATTTTTCTTGATTTGCCAATCTACAGTTAGTCATTATTTGATATAAAGGTTGATTGGGCTTTTTTTTTTGCGTTTGCGTAGCACAAGCTACCCTTATGCTACCCAGCCTTCAACCTTACTGAGATAGTATAAGGTGAAATACGACAAATGGAGTAGGAAAAATCAATTTTGTCTTATACACAAACCCTAATGCACATCAAAAAAAAAAAAAAAATGAATTAACAAATGCAGGAGGCTGTGTCGTTTTCGTAGCCTTTTTAATGGTAATTACAAAGTGGCCTTTTTTTTTTTTTTTTTTTTTTTTTCTCATCTCTTTCTTTTGGGCTTTTTCCAGTTCTCCATTGAATATAGCTGCAATTACTGCTCCCTCCTCTTTTCATTCAAACCTCTATACCTACAATAATTTAGAATACATTATCAGTTTATTGCAATAACATGATGACGAGTAGTAGCAGTACCAATTGCATAGATGGAGAGACACCCTATAAACATGATACACATGAAAAGCAGGCAGAAATAATCGAATATGACGATGCTGAATACGCTGCTGGAACACTCAAATCCGAGTTTATACCGCCAACGCCCAAAGAACTGAAAGCCGTACTATGGAAATTAGATCTGCGTATTATTCCGTTCCTTGGTTTACTTTATCTTTGCTCTTTTTTGGATCGTGTCAATATTGGCAATGCAAAACTAGCCGGTATCACGGCTGATTTGAACATCAGTCCGAGCGATTACAATCTTGCCTTATCGATCTTTTTTGTCGGTTATGTAAGGATGGGATGGATCATTTATTATGAGTAGATGATAGACTACTAAATCATGTTACGGGTTTTTCATAGATCATATTCGAAGTTCCTTCCAATCTGTTATTAAAAAAGATCGGTCCGAGCAAGTGGATTCCCATTGTAATGATTGCTTGGGGCACAGTGGTACGTCCTTCAACTACAGTACTTTGGAGAGATCCATCGTCATTGATCAGCTTTTTTTTTTTTTTTTTTTAGATGGCCCTTATGGCACTCTGTACAAACAGTGCAGGATTGATTGCTTCTCGTTTCTTTTTGGGTATTACTGAAGCAGGCCTTTTCCCTGGTGTAATTTTCTATTTAACTTTATGGTATACAAGAGGTGAACAAGCAACTCGTGTAGCTTTGTTTTTCTCATGCTCAACTTTGGCCGGAGTAAGTATTTTACCACAATGGGGATGGGATTTGTACAAGTGTAAGGTTTGCTTAATTTTTTTTCTTGACAAATTCTATATGATCCAATCAATGACAGGCTTTCGGTGGTGTGTTGGTAAGTTGAACGGATACAAGCTTTGTTCAATCGCTGTTGAGGGTTTAAAAAGGATACTGAATTGAATGCAAATGATATTTGACAGGCCTATGGTATCATGCAAATGGATGGTCTTCGCGGGCTCACAGGATGGCAGTGGATTTTTATCATTGAAGCACTACCTACACTACTCCTTTCATTTGCTGCGTACTATTTTCTTCCTGACTTTCCAGAAAACTCAAAATGTAAGTACTCTATTTTGATCGTTCGTGAGATTGTTCTTACCTCCTGTATTCACTGCCATGTATCAACTGCTTTTACTACGATAAGTCATCAACGAACGTGAGCGCGAGATCATCATTCATCGCCTTAAAGAAGATGCTGGACCATCAACTGAAACACATTTTTCTTGGAAACAATTCCGTGCTGCCTTTACTGATTGGCGTGTATATGTTCATTCACTCATCTACATCTGTGGCTCCACCCCACTTTATAGTTTAAGTTTATTCTTGCCTAGCATCATTCAAGGCATGGGATTCACTGATTTACGTGCACAGGCTATGTCTGCTCCACCTTATGCTATTGGTATGTTCAGAAGGAACAAAGAGGGATTCTACTATTGAATAGGATGACTAAAAAAGGAGTTTGTACCTCTCTCTGTTTACGTTGACTACAATCACAATAGCTTGTGCTGCAACTATTTTGGTGGCGATGCACGCTGATAAACATCGTGAGCGTGGTTTACATGTCGCTATTCCTGCAGCTCTAGGTGTCATCGGTTATGCTTTATTATATGCTCTTCGTGACAAAGGCTCTGTAGCTATGTATATTGCTGCTTGCATTACTGTAACCGGTGTTTTCAGGTAGGATGAAATAGCATTTCCATGTCAATGGATACATGGCAAAGTTCTACACAAATATGCTTGAAACTCACTCCTTTTGTTGCTACTCAGTCATATTCCTGCTATGCTTTCATGGTTCGGAAACAATATTGGTGGACATACCAAACGAGGCGTTGCTTCAGCTATCATTATTTCTATCGGCAATGTTGGAGGTAAAGCGAATTGTCAAAATGGCAGAAAAAAAAAAAAGGCAGGCATGAACAACATTTTCCTTCATTGATAGGCGCTATCGGTGGGCAGATTTATCGAGACGATGATAAGCCGAAATACGGTCGTGCTAACCTGGGTGCAATGGGTCTGATGTGCGGCGCAGTCATATTTTCTCTACTGTTTAAATGGAGTCTTCGTAGAGAAAATAATAGGCGAGACAATCTTACTCCTGAGGAATTTGCGAGAGAAGCAGAAGGCGAAGATTTGTGTGATAGACATCCTGGTTTCAGATACATGACATAGAGACAGTTGTCAGACCGTAACCTTGTAATCTTAATGCTCAAGTGATTATGTAATACCTAATAACTATATAGTGCCTAGCGTGGATACTACAAAATAATTTAATAGCCTATGTCGATACCACTCATTCCAATAATGATTATACTAATAATACAGTCACATGTTTGTTGATCAGTACCTGTCTTTTCATTACGTTATTTCTTCTGATTTTCTTTTCCTATAATTTATAGGCATACGAACAATTCAAAAAAGCACAAAAACGTCGCATATCGTTGAACCCTCTACAGAATGGGTGGTAGGCACTTGAGATTGTTTTTTTTTTTTAACCAAGGAATGAGTATGAAGTACGTAACCGATGAGAACCCATATTTCAAGTCTTTGTTCACTACAACACACACTCTCACAAAGCGCTTTCCGAAGAACAAAATGATAAATTAAGACTACAATGAGAAGACACAGGCGCTGGAATAGTAATAAGCGTATGCCAGCTACTGTATTAATGCTGGCGTCATTTACTTTTCTGCTTCTTTTAATTAGCTAAATAAGGAAATAATCTCATGAGTTTGTTAAAATCTGGACAATTATGTAGAAATATGCTGTATAAATCAAAAAAATTATTAATCACTGAAAGATCAACTCAAACAGAGCAATACAGAACTTCATGGCTGTAGTAACTCAATTTGACTTGGCTCTGTCTTAAATGTATTCTGCTACTCGAAAAACCAAAGATTGACCTGAGTTGTGAGTGCAGATACAAAGTGATCGTGGGTAACAATCAGGGTCTAAACTAAATGATGCTAGTAGGAACCTGAATTGAGTACCATCATTGTTTACAATTACATACTAGTCATGACTAAAAATAGCTTTTCAACAGCAAGAAACACAATTTAATGGCTGAAATTTGAGGAGCCTCCACAACTTTAAATAGAGAAATAAAAGCGAGCTTGTTGCACACAAAGACTGTTTCCTTGATGGAATTACTGAGTCGAGATTCGTCTTGATGAATGGTATTATCGACAATGAGACTTCAATCATATAGCCCATTTTTGAATGAGCAGCAATATGAAGTTTTGGTTGTTCTATAGTGAGAAAAAGTTTTCAGCAGAAATGCATTTAAATTACCATAAGTAAGCAATTTTCAATATATTAACGCGATATTCAATATATTAACGCAGTCTTGCTTCTGCCGGGTTTTGCGTTGATGTGGCAGTGGGCAGCTTGAGTAACTTTGAAGCATCCGAATTAGTCTGTTCCTAACCCAAAAGTAATGATTATGGGAGGGGCTTTCCTGTCTTGGAACGCTACACAAGGATTCTACTAAAGTGTATCGTCAGTAACAGACACGTTTCAAAAATAATGCTTAGATACGAGCAGCAATATGCTATGGAGTAGCATTATAATGGTTTATTTTTAGCAGAAAAGAAGTATTTTATTGGAGCTGGGGAATCATTGACAATAAGAAGTGATAAAAACAAGAACATTAATCAATAATGCTTTAAGCATGTATACATGAGTGGAAATTAAGGTACAAATTATAGGGCTCTAATTAAAGTGGAAGGTATCACGCGTTTTGAGTAAAATTTTTAGACTAGGCCCCAAGTGATATCGCCTACGCCAATATTAAGATCACCGACAACCTTTTCAAAGAGGGCGGGCGTTAAGTCCAACTAAACAAAAAAGAAAAAAAAAAATTACAGATTAGCATATGATAGATATTTGGTTAATGTATGGTGAGCTCGTAAATATTTACATCGCCATGATCACATTCTGGGCATGCGTCGTTGACCTTAGCAGTTGCAGTACCAGCCTTGCCCGTAATGCTGATTTTTTTGCCACACCATTTGGAAACTTCATCCATTTCACCATATTGTGGAGCATTCAGAGCAACAATCATGTCATCGTCATCTTCTTCAGGACCACAAGCACCTTGTGAACCACCTTCGGAAGCAGGTTTAAACCAAGTGCCAGTACCTTTATACTTCTTGCCAGAGCCGGACGATCCAGAGTCGTCCTTGGAGTCCTTATCATTCTTGGAGTCTTTATCATCCTTGGAGTCTTTATCATCCTTGGAGTCTTTACTATTCTTGGAGTCTTTATCATCCTTGGAGTCTTTACTATCTTTGGAGTCTTTATCATCCTTGGAGTCTTTATCATCCTTGGAGTCTTTATCATCCTTGGAGTCTTTATCATCCTTGGAGTCTTTACTATCCTTGGAGTCTTTATCATCATCATCGTCATCATCATCACCACTATCATCATCATCATCATCATCATCATCATCATCATCATCATCGTCGTCGTCGCCGCTATCATCATCGTCATCATCATCACCACTATCATCATCACCACTATCATCATCATCATCGTCGTCGTCGTCGCCGCTATCATCATCATCATCATCATCATCATCATCATCGTCGTTGTCGTCGTCGCTATCATCATCATCATCATCATCATCATCATCATCATCATCATCGTCGTCGTCGTCGTCGTCGTCGCTACCATCATCATCATCATCATCATCATCATCATCATCATCATCATCATCATCATCATCATCATCATCATCATCATCATCATCATCATCATCATCGTCGTCGTCGTCGTCGTCGTCGCTATCATCATCATCATCATCATCATCATCATCATCGTCGTCGCTGTCATCATCACTGTCTTTATCGCTAGTTTTATTGTTGTAGTTGTGTTTGCCTCCTTTACGACGGCCACAGCGTTTTGCTACACTAGTAGTGGTCTGGGCAACAGCACTTTCGCTGCGTGAAACAACAGCATTGCTGGTTTGAACATGAGCGGGAGCAGCGGCAGCGAAACCGGCGAGAGCAAGTGCAGCAGCAGAAAACAAGAAAACGGTACGAGGCATTGTATGGAAAAGAAAGATATAGAGGAATAAATTGAAAAGTTTATAGAGGGACTACGAAACGAAACGACCAGCGTTATAGAAGCCCAACAAAGAGATATATCGATAAATGTTTTTTTCAAATTGATTTGGACGCTCTGTATTTATATGAAATCTATCCATCTCTGTTTTCGATCCATTTTATCGACAAAGTATTAAAGTTTGACATACGCTAGAAGCAGCATTATAACGGAGTTTAAACGTATACGAGCTTAATTTTTGAGGTACAAGGAAAAAACCAGGGACGGAGGTCTCACTTTTACCGTAATTTAATTTTTGGCTTCCGGTCCAACTCACTTTGTGATATTGAATTAGGAAGAGAAAATCATCTCTACTGTATCATCGGGGCAAATATAAGCAACAAAAGGATATTTGGTAAGCAATTGAAAGATATAAATCGAAAGACGTTTAGTAATTTTTTGATTCAGGAGCGATACAATTGTAACCAGAAGCAGAAAACCATTCAAAAGGCGTTTTTTGGTATATACTACGTTGTACGTGTAGAAAAAGCAAATTAAGGTGATCAATCTCATTGGCATAGAACGGTGGGGTATAAATAAATAAATGATCACGTAAAGCATTGCTTCTAACTTTCGTTCAACAACGACTTTCTGTCTTATTGTAACGTAAACGATTCCTTAATTTGCGCAACCTTCTGTATAAAGTTATTTTTCATTTGTATACCTTTTTGCCTAACGTTTGTGTTTCTTTGTTGCTTTAGTACCAAAGTAGAAAACAAAGGCAACCCTAAATGTGGAAGTATGCTATTTTTGCCAACAATGTAGAAACATCCAAGAAACGATTGTTTCTTAGTCATTTGATCCCATTAATGCTAATGAGACTCCGATAAATTCTGCAATTGTTCTCATATTATTTCTGCAAAAAAAGACCATTCCATTCCACAGATATCCTGAGGTAAAGCTTTATTCGATTTAAGTGCCCTCGAAAATTCGAATGTTCAGGTTTTTTACTTGTTCTGCTATAAATCTATACATTGTTTTGCAAATTGCACGAACGCTTCAAAGAATAAATTTGTTAATTAATTGTCGAATAATGCTGGATTAGAAGCCTTCAAAGATCCGTTCACGAGAATTGTTAACTCTTATAGTGAAGAATGTTTCAGATTTAGCTTTCCCCAGAAATAAAGATTATGGAAAAGAATAGAATCCGTCTAAAGTCTTCATAAAGCTTACTAACTTACTATCCATGCAGTTCTTCAAATACAAATCCATTACATTAGTAATAGCATAACCCACACCATTACTGTGCACCCTTTCACAGCTAGCTTTGTAGACGCAAGGCTTTTAAGTATTGTTTGGCAATGCAAGAGCTACGTCATGAGATGTTCGGTATAGGAAAATGAAGCGTGCCAGTATACGAAGATTGTGTTACTTTTCATCTGTTACTAAAGACAAAGCAGAAGTCTTGGACCAACAAGGTAGGATTTTCATGGATGTTAAATTGACTCGAATTTAATTTGTCGTGTGCCGTCCAAACTTAGTTCAACGTCAACAATGTTATGACAGTAGTGTATCCGCTGCTCTATGCCCTTGTATTGGCTAAAAGAACAAAAAAAAAAATGCGTATGATGGCTCATTACTTCTAGACCATTGTGGCCATCTTCATCAGTAAAGCGTTTCGGCTGATTCTGTGTTATCTAATATGTAATCGACTTTGGCGATGGCTGTGGGTTTGATACGTTTCCTCTCATTATATGTCAACCCTCGTCTTCTGTTAATCAACGAAATTTTACGCGCTTTACTTGATTTGTTCAGGACCCTTTACAAACGTTCTGGATTCCCATAATTTTCTGTTGAATACAATTGTTGCACACTGAGAGAGAGTCAGCAGTTCACTATTTCATGGGCTCCGTAACTATTATGCCAAGCATAATCGTTGCATCGGCAAGTATGCGGCCCCTTTGTTTCGAAAAATGCTTTAATAAGCTTTAAAGAGTTTTGTTCACGTGTTTACGCGTTATTATTTGCTTATTAACTTGGTTTTATTAAAGAACTAATATCAATCAGATTTCAATTTACAAGACTTGTTTTCAACACAAAAAAAAAAAAAAATTGGGACCAGCTTTATTCACAATTTCAGAATTGTTCGCACTTTAATTTCAACAAGTACAAGGAAAAGATCAGACATTTTTATTGAACGAAAGTCTTGTTTTTATTTTTTATTTTTTTTTTTTTTTCTTTTCTTCATTGTCGTCGGAAAGGTCTGACATGGGAGTTGCAGAGCGATTCTTTTGTAATTATGTGTCTGATGGATTTACAGGTCTCACCTAAGTCTAGGGAGAATTCATTTGGCCTCGAATTAATTAGATAAGAAACACATTATACGCATAATTATAAATGATTATCCGAAGAAAAAACATCTTATAACCTGTCAAAAGGCATCATGAAATTTATTATCCGCAGAGCTTCTAGAATCCAAAGAAACATCATCAAAAGAGTTTCGTGTATCCCGGCTGCGACGTTATATAAGACGAGGACCGCAATAGTGAAGTCCATCTAAAAAGATGTTTGCGTTGATAATTGGTTTTCTTATTTTTTCATGATTTTTTGGTCTGAGCTTTGTTGAGGCCAGCAATGTGAGAACCAGATATTGAAGTTGAAATATCTGTTACTTGATTCTTCGCAGCTTGCAAAAGCAATTTAATCTCCAAAAACCAAAGGCAGTTCTTCCACAATACGTATATATCGTTTCCATATTGAGTGATTGAGAGAGACAAGTATTGTATTTCTTTTTTTTTTTCTTCTCTTGTAGTTGTTTAAGATCAAAGGTTTCCATAAAATATCATAAAAAAGTATAATGCTCACCTTTAAAAAAGTACGTCTTCTTTCTCATCATATTTATGCTTTCTTTCCATTAGCTTTTGCGATTGATATTGTCAAATTCAATGTTAGCCCCGAGAATGTTCGAGATGGAGGCTTCAAAAAAAGCTTATGGTGTATGGAAGTCGATAACGATCCCAATGAAGACGAGTTTAACAGTGTCTACCGTACCTTAACAAGAGGCTTGTCGCAACAAGTAAATGCACTCAAGCAAAATCAGCGATTTAACCGAGTTCAATTATCGCTGAGTCAGTTCCGACGCTTTTTGGAGCCATTATAACGCAAAAGTCATTAGATGATAAATATAGGCAGTGATAACGTTTACTCAAAAGCAATATTTAAACAAACATTATATTCTAAACGATACTCGCACCTGCAGCATGAGTAAAACTAATGTCTTTTTTCATCATGACCATTTTAATAGGGTATTCTTCAAAGTGATAGTTTAATCAAAAATCTAATGTTATACATCAACAAATAAAAAATTTTAAAATTCCTTGTCCCAAAGTTCCATTTCCATGTCCGTCATAGCCTCACTATGACCGTTGTGCATCTCTGGTTTTAGCTCTGTTAATATAGTGTCTGCTTCTTTAAGATCAATGTTGAATTCTTCGCCCCAAGATTGAACGATAGCTGCATCCAGATGACTTTCTGTTTTAGAAGGAGGAGTAGTAAAGTAATGAATTTTGCCTCCATTCCAATCATTCAACACAAGCCGAGCGACTTGATGGGTATCAGACACCCCGCCCTTTTTTAACTTTCCTCTTTGTTGCGCTAATAATACTAAGAATTCATGTGCATTGTTGAACCAAGGCACATTATACATTGCCATTAATTGTTCTGTAGGCACTCTTGACAAAATTACTTCGACTAAAAAATTAGCCAATCAATCATGTAAGAAAATTGAAAGCCAAGTTAACAATACTTAAAAATCATGTCCTGGATTTTTACCTGGTGTTATTGGGTCATCTAATAACTCAACTTTAACACAATTTCTCAAAGTGATTTCGGCTGCTGTTTGCCCATCTTGTCCTTGTTCTGCAAATACAATACCAGGACAGTCTAATAATTTAATGTTTTTATCCAAAGTAATCTGCTGTGCCACTTTTGTGAAGCCCGGTGTTGAACCTACACCGCAAACCCTGGATCTTTTCAAAGAGTTGATAACAGACGATTTACCGACGTTTGGGTATCCAACAATCCCGACTGTGATTGAAGTCTTGATGTTAACGTTACGGCAGTAATTTTTCAATAATCGGATCAGGTTATCAGCACCCAAACATTCGGAAGAATTCAGCATTTTCGCTGTCGCTGCATCCGTGGAAACATTGGATTGACTTAAATGTGAACGTTGCATTTGTGTCGAGGCTTTAAAAGCAATGGCTGGATATTCATTTCGTAAATACTTTAACCAGGCTTCCACATTGTCTTTGGGCACTAAGTCGATCTTGTTCAAAACCAGAATAATCCTTTTGTTCAAACCACTATCTAACACCATGCGCTCCACTGATTTTGTACGAGTCCCTATGGGGTCACGAGCATCTAAAACTTCAAGAATCACATCAGCGCTTTCAAGTACTTTTCGAAATTCTCGATAGTAGGCTTTTTTGGAGTTGTCCTTTTGACCAGTTGCTGCTGCATCACTGATCGTTCGATCAGCATCACCCACATTTTGTATATGTTCGATATCGAATTCCTGAGATCGCTTTTCTGCATTCTGTACAAGTTCGATAAGGTTAAGACTGCGATTCTTATTTTGTATGTTTTGTCGTGCTTGGTCCTGACGTTCTTTATTGCTAGCAAGCTACGGGAATGAATGATAATAAAGTTATAAGTGTTATAAGGTCGTAATCAACGCACATTGTAGCCAAAGGTTATACTGCACACCTTCTTACGAGTAACTTCTTCTTTGCTTTTCTTATTGAATTTAAATACACCCGGATCTTTCTTGATTTCTACAAGGATTTAAAACAAACGATCAATTTAAAGGGATCGTCACTTCTAATCTAGAAATCAGCTGATCTTACTCGATCCATTAAAGCGATCTGTGTTGCGTCCTTTCTTATTCTCTAAAAATCAAAATGTTATTCAGAAATAATGCCTAAATACCGTTACTTTGGTTAATAAAGGGACATACTGATTCCTGCCATTATGTAAACTGAAAATGATAACCAGTTGTTGATATGAAAAAAAAGTTTTGAGGTTCTTTTAAGGGAACAAAAATATTTTAAAACTCAGGACTACTTTGCATTTTGCTGCTTTCTTAATTCCAGCATTAGAACAGGCAAACAAGACCTTTTACAAAATAATATCCCATTGTGGCCCAATTGGCTCTCTGACATACTTGATATACTCAAATAATGATAAATGTGCTCTATTAATTTTACTTTGTCTGATTAATAAAGCGAGACAGTCCATGTGACCTTGGTAACAGTGGATGATCGATCAAAACCGACAGGTAGGTTAAAATTTGTAAATGTTCGTCCTGACTATAAAATTTCGTCTGTATACTGATTTCAGTCTCTATATAAATGTCACTTTGCTAAGATTGGTAAAAGGGAGATTATCAGAGCAACTCCTAATATGTGCACAGTTTAATGAATATGGCGAGTTTCTCATAAACAAGTTAGTTACCAATGCTGACAAGAAAGCATGAGTTAATGTTACCATATCCAGGAAAGGAATTGTGAGGCCCACAGTAATTTTATTCCGCATTGAGAGCTAATAACAGTGGGAAACGATGTATACCTTTGGATTGCCTCGATGTTTTCATCGACTTCTAAAGGCATTGTCACCGTTTGGAATACACATTTCATTTAAAATATACCAAGCTCTATACAGTACTCAATGTTATAGGAGTTTGCCCTTGTTCACTAAAGTGCAATGATAAGATCTTTCTGTTCTGAACGGCGATAAATTGAAAAAATGCTCAAAATGTGGTTCTATTCTCTTCTATTACGGGCATAATCCCTTATAGCCTCAGTTCTGAAGTTTGGAATATGCTTCTAGCAGATCTTTTCGACTCGAGTTTCTGCAATCCACTTCAACGCTGCTACATACGTTGTACTGCCGTGCACTGGCATTTACATAATACCTATTACTTAATTCAGATTACGATGGTTACATCATTAAATCGAAACAAAAGAAAAAATTTTATTGATCTCCAACAGGTGATATTCTTTGTATCCTACTCAAAAAATCCGAAAACGGCAATACTGTAGTCCAGAAAATAGAAAAAAACCAAAATGCATTGTAAACGTCAAATTTTGTTCATCAGCTTCTTTAATCATTCAACGGTATTCCTACAGTCATACCCATTGTTTTTTACGTACATCGATTGTTCATAGGTGGTAGCTAGCGTAATGTATTAGTAATGACATGTGAAAGGTTGGGATAAGGCAGTATTGAAAAGCCTATTGACTTTCATTCCAGAAGCTGTAGTTGAATTAATGCTTATTCGGTTTTAACAATGAACCCCGCTTGTTTGAAAAAAAAAAAGCCGCTTGACTAAAAAAGACTGACTGTCACTCAACTATAAAACGTAATAATAAAAAGTGACCAAAAGATGGTTCGAAACGATACGAAAACCAAGTAGAAATACTCTTGTCACCTTACAAAAGTGAAATCTATTGCGCAGTTTAAAGACTGAAAAGACCAATTAAAAATAGAGTAAAGACTGGGAGACACAGATGTCGTCCAAAACAACGTTCGATTATGAAGAAAATGGAAAAGTTTAGGCAGCAGTAGTCATGATGTTGATGAGATAAAATCAGGCACATATAAAAATAGTTCTTTTTCGGCTCTTCTATTATTCCTGTTCTTTTTGTTTCTTTTATAGTCAGTTATCTACATTCATAAATTTTGTAACGCCATGTCAACTGCAACTGCAGCTATAACTACAGCAGACTCACCTCCAATGACTACAAATGTAGCATCCTCGAGTACAATTACAGCGAATAGTGATATCTATCTAAGTGGAATGGATAATCTGTTTCGAATGATAGAGCACCCTCGTAGACGAATGACAGTGACAAGTTTGTGGACATTTAAATCCGCTATAGATAAAGATGCTATGAGAGAAGCTATACAAACATTGTGTGAACAATATCCACGTTTTCGTCTCGTGCCTCAAACGAGAAAAATCTCCATAATACCTTCTTTAATTCAACCTGCTAAATGGGCACAGCCAACTTACAAAGATTGGATGCCTATGGACAACGTGACAGAGCATCATTTAGAGCATCCGACTACAGAAGCACTTCAACAACTTTGTTCATCCCTTGTTTCAGAACCGTTTGATCCTACTAAACCACTCTGGGAAATTCATGCTATTTCAGGCTTGGCCAACAATGCCTATGGTATTTTTTGGAAGGCGCATCATTGTATAGCGGATGGCGAAGGTTTTATTCGCGGTTTGTTGAGCACAACGTCTATGAATTCTTCTTTGGAAGAAATCAAGAAGCAATCTGTTCTTACTCACCGTAAAAAAGTAGAAAAACACAAAGACCTGAAGAAAACACAGAGTTCTCAGTTAACATATTCATTTAAAAAGGGACCAAGTGTCATGTTAGCCTACCTTATTATGCAGCTACAAATAGTTTACTTTTGGTGTATGGTACTCCTTCATGACGCTTACTGTTTCTTCTTATGTCTATTACCTACATTGAATTGGGTCCGCCACGATTTCAGGTACCCTGAAGAACAATCAAGTCAAAAGGAAATGGCTTGGTCAGAAGATGTATCTATTGCCGATATCAGAACCGTACGTCAGGCTTTTGCTGGTTCTACTTTGAACGATGTCATGTTGGCAGTCATTGCACGTTGTATTAAACACTATTTAGAACAAGATATACACTCTCGTAAAGATGATTATGCCACCCTGCTCATTCCTCTTTCGCTTCGTAAGCCCATGGATTGGAGTACGCGCAATGTGGTGAGTGGTCACTTTGGTTTTTTCTCTATTCAAGACTTGGCCACGCCTCAGTTGCTACAACAAGTGAAACAAGAAATGTGGGCTGTGAAATCCTCTAGTATGCCGCGTCTTTTCAACGCTTTTTACAATGCGATTGTGGGCCATTTGAATTTGCCTCAATGGATTTGGGATCACTACACGGGTCTATTCCATGGTGTATTTACTAATGTGCCTGGACCCACTGTGCCTATTCAATTTGCCAACCAAGATATTCAAGAATACTACGCATTCCCTCCCCAAACGGGTAAGGGTTCGGTTGGTATGGGATTGCTCTCCTACTGCGGGAAGGTTAGACTTGGCGCTATTGCTGATAAGGCTGACAAGTATTATCCACACTTGGCGAAAGGTATTTGTGAACGATTCACTAAGGAATTTGAAGTGATATTAGAAGAAGCAAAATTGGAATTATCCAATCGTAAAGAAGCTTGAGCAGTAATAAAACATTTCTCCAGTTTCAACAGATTTCACGATATACCCCTCCCACAATTCTTCACTATAGTTACATTTGTTTTAGTTATCAATTTATTTATGTATCTACCCTCATATTGACCATCCCGACTATTTATTCTAATAAAAGCGTTAATACTACTAAGCGAGGCTACATTTTATGATATAAATACTGGTAAGAGAATCAATCTAAAACCAAGAAAATGGGCACATTGCCTAGTCTGTAGCAATTTTCTAACTGAAAACAACGCTCAGATTGCTAAAGTATCAACAGCGCTCATTTTCCTTTAGCTAGGCCTTCTTTAAATAATATCAGCATGATCAATGTTGATTTTAAACAGACTGCTACCTTTTGTATTGTACGAAAACTTGTAACAACATTAAAGAATAACCGCTTACTTCACTTGTTGCGAATGCGTACCGCTTCCTGTCGTTGTCAATACTTGTATCCTTGCAATAACGCCTAAAACAATAGAGAAGGCCATTGAAGGGAACATTGCAAATTTGCCCTGGTTAGTTGACCTGCTGGAATAATAGACTAGAAAGCCTGGTTAGCCTCAAATGAGAAGAGTGATGACAATGGCTTGCTGTAATAATGTGTTTGGATAGATTCAGTAATTTGGATTACAAACGATTTATATTTTGACCTGGTTGTGAATATAGGAAGTACAATTTAGTTTCACAACTTTTCTTCTGTTCTTTTTAAATGAAAGGGGTAGTTTGCTATCTCTTAGCTAGCTTCCACCCAAGTGAAAAACATGTGATTGTTCTATCATTTGTTATTCTAAAATGTACTTACCACGAACTTATACGGAAAGGTTAACACAGGTAATACATAACTCATATTATGGTAAAATTTCTTTCGTCGTAATACTAGCACGGTAAAGAGCTTGCCTTAATACCAGACATTTAGTTTAATCTTCGAAAGTGTACCAATGGCTCAGCTTGACGAGACAAGATGATGACAAAGTGTTTTTCTGTTAACATTAATTGTTGTTGCTTGGGAACACAGATAAGAGCAATCAGTTTTTTATAGCTGTGAAAGAAAGCAAACAAGGCTACCAAGTAAAATCTCGGAGAGGTAGTCAAGATTTGCATCATTTTCAAGCTCATTCCAGCCTACTTTTGAGCTGTATAAGGCTTTCTAATTTTTCAAATTGTAAGAAAAAAAACAAAACAAAAAAACTCGCTGCTAGTCTATAGACAGTACAGTACCCGTCCATTACCATTGAATATTTTAAGCTGTTGCTAACAATGTTCGAAGCAGAAATTTTATTGAAGTTAATTCACAGAAAACAGGAATTATTAAAACAATAAACAATCAACGTGTAATATAGTTGCATTTTGTACACGATTATTCAGTATGGTGATTTTACATTTCTAAATCATGATTTTTAGGCTTGATCAATAGTAATAGTTGTAGGACCGTTAATGCCAGATACAATAGCTATCTTATTGCCATTCTCACCGTCCACAATGCTTTCTATAGCATTACCTCCGCTGCCAACAACAGATATTTTAACCCCATTAGGATACATTTTGTTGGAAATTAACCATTTACATTCGCCTGTGCCGTCGAGGTTGACAATCTGTTTCCTTTCCTCGTGATTGAAATTTTCCGATTTGAAAATACCCGTACAGCCAGATGTAATAGGTGGAAAGCCATTTTCTTGGATATAGTTTACCACAGCGCCAGCACAGAGTGGCACTTGCTGCTGAACACCTTTTAAAAATGTTGTGGGAATAGAGCCAGCCAAGTCCACCTGAGTAATATAACTGATCGCAATACCTGTCTCTGTTTTGATTATCTTCCAACCAGAAATCATCAAATTAGCTCTCACAGAACCAGAAACAGGAGGTATTTGTTCGTCTTCTACAGATGTCATCACGACATAGCACTCGTTTTCATTACTGGTGTCTCGTAGTGAGGTAGCTGAGATATCGCGAGGGCTGATTGGCCAAGGTGTTTTGATTTTGGACCAGAATAAAGCCTCCAGAATGCCATCTCGTGCTTTGTAAATTTCCTTGACTTCAGAACCATCATATTTTTCATCCCCTAGTAGCGGAAAATGGCGTATGTAAGTACTTATCATACTATAACTTGGGTTTATTTCAACTATCTCTTTCAGTCAGTGAAACACAAATAGACTGTTTAAGGTATAGCTTACAGACTCTTCTACAACCTGGTAAGGTTGCAACAGCAGCAACTTGTTGAGCAGTAAACTCATGCCCTTGAAGTACAACATCACCTCGAACGATAGGTATAGGACTGGACTCATCAGCCTTGCTGTATAGCCTAACGCCATTCTTCTCTTGACTGAATTCCCAATCATCTAAAGTGCAAGCAAGTTCTTTCAAACGAGTTAAAGCAGCATAAGCGGCTTCTGCATGTTTATTTTCGATAGTCATAATGTTGGTTGCTGGTTGTACTTAAGGAAGAGAGAAAGAAAAGAGTTAAATTCAAATGACTCCTTTTTCAGGATACTAACATTTTATTCTTATACATGTGATTTTTGTTTTGTCCTACTGTGTGTTGAATGCGGGACAAAACTTGATTGATTATTCCACATCTTGGGCAGAGAATCTCATTCTTGTCAACATCGAGTTTGTGATACCACCAGTAATGTACTCTTATTCAATTCGGATTCTGCGCTTCAGCTGCGTGAGTTTGTACTTTTCATGTGAAAATAGACTTCTTTGACTTTGTGATGAATCCAGAAACTGGTGCAAGTATAGCAGATATCGCTGAAATTATAGGTTGCTTGGCATCTTCAATATCATTCAGTTACTGCCAATTTATTGCTTGAGTGAAATTGTACGTACATATCGATTCCGTAGAGAACTAAATAATGACGGCTTCTATTCCCATTACATAAAATCAGCAACGTGGGATTGTGATGTTTGAACTTGTTGCTCTGTTGTACAATAACAATTGAGATGGATGTATCAAACAGCAAAAGATGCACCTGTTATTTATATAGAATAAAAAGGAGAGGGGTTAAACGGCCTTTCTGTAGCAAAGTGGGGCTAATATCTATGCAGGCATTTAAGATCATTGCACATCTTTATCCCAACAGGTATACCAAATAGTTGTTTCTTTCTCATGATATTCTGAACTGAAGTGAACTAGCAAGTTAATTGCGTGTGGTTTCTCATATGATAATGTTTACCGAAGAATCTATCATAAGATTGCACCCGGCAGCTAATTTTAAATGGTATGTGCCATCAATTTACTCGTGAAAACTGAGTTGAAAAACAGCTTAATGTCAATCACTCACAACGTTGATATTTTAGTTAACTAAAATTGTTTTTTAGTTTGAGGCTGTACCATTAGATCTCATTTAATATGTTGAGCAAGTTTATTATATGTATGTATGGCTGTGGGGAAAAGTCAAAATATTTTCTTACTATTCAAGCCTTGTTGCTTAAAGCGAGCTATCTACTCGAAATTGAGGGACAAGGTAATGGCAGCAAAAAGGAATGTTTTATAGACTGGTAGGAATATGCTATCGATGTGTATATATATAAAAATCTCAATCTGATTAGGTAACAGTAGGGAGGCGGGAGGTGGGAGGTTAGCAATAAAATCTTGTTCTTTAGATGTATCAAGTGACGAATTAATAGTGTTGGGTATGGAATAAAAAAAATGACTCCCTTACTATTGAACTTTTTTGCGGGTACAATGTGTTTCTTTTATTGCTGTTCAAGTATTTGAGGCTCTTCACACATAACTTCGTGCTTACTTTGCATTGTAGCAGCGGGAATTAATGGTGTTGTGGGTGAGCCGAACGCGTTCCATATTCTGGAATAAACACTCGATCTTTTACTATTACAATTGCTGCTATTCAATGAAGTCATAGAAGTGATGGAAGACGCATAGCTCTCTGTTGATTCCCGGCGATCTTCGGCTCTGCTGCTACTGGGTGATGTAGGTGTACTCCCTCTATTCGCCAACATGGACAATGAAGCAGCCGAATGACGCTTGGAATTATTGTGGTAAGCCCCGCCAATAGAGGAAGAAGCGCGACGATGCTGTTGCAAAGAACCTCGTGGACTAGTACAACGGCTCCCAACAACCAGAGAAGATTCGTACTCTGCCAGTTTTACCTTTGTTTCTGCAAGGTACTTTTCGAGCTCTCGGCAACGAAGTTCACTCTCAATGTATTTATCCTTAAATTCATCGTTTTCAACGATATGATTACTGCTCTTGCCAAGCTGTAAAGTATGACGTCTTGTAATATCTTTCTGTTGCTGTATTGACTGTTGCTTTTTGGCACCACCAAAGAGAATAGAATGAGCAGCAAACACTTCTTCTGTGAACGATTCACGAGGCATAAAAAAGTTCCTCTTTTCCTCCTCCAGTGCCTTAACATTGGCTTCTAATCTTTCGACCTCCTTTGCTAAAGCGAGTTTTTCCATTTGCAATTCAGCCGCTGTTTTTTTTGCTACCATAGCCATTGCGTGTACTTCTTCTTGGTCTCCATAGATCTGATCACGTTCTGTCTGAACGTCTTCTAATTCACTTTCCAAATAAATAATCTTCTGCACTAGGTTAGTTTGAGACGTCTGCATGGATTGTATTTGTCCATTCAATTGTTGATTTTGCTGAACAAGTGAATCAAAACGTTGCTTCAGTTCAAAATGTTCTAGTTTGACAGCAACTAACTCAGAGGTTACATTTTGTAATGCGGTAGTAGCTGATTCCAATTTCTTGCTGTTAGTTTTATTCATGCCATCCTCTCCGTCATTCTCTTCCTCTTCTTCTTCCTCTTCAGAGGTGCTTGAAAAGTGTTGACGCTGCATTACGCCTCCATTAACTGCACCTTCTTCTTTTTCTGCTGCTTTGATAGGTGATTCTAAAGAAGGAACCAAAGCGCCCGCAACTAAAGCACCGAATTCACCTGTTTCACGTAGTGTATCAACAAATGAAGAATACTGATGTTTCTGCTTGGACTCAGAAGATGTTGTGCTTATTCCTGCTGCCGTAGATGTGATTGCTGCCATTGCTGCCGTAGTATTGGATTCTTCTGTGGTATTTTGAATGTTGTTGCTCATACTGGCATTGGCTAATTTTACTTTATATTTCTTGACTCTCTTCTCTAGCACAGCGTTTCGTTTCGCAAGCTTTGTTTGAGCAGCTTCACTCTTTAATTCACACATTTTGAGTGCCATATTTTCTTCGACTAAGTTTGAATTTTCATGTTTCAACTGAGCCATAGCTGATAACATATCCTGCAATTGTTTGTAATAATTAGAACTAGTAGCTGTAACAGTATTTTGCGCAGAATGACCGGCCGGTAATACAGATGTTTGAACCGCTACATGCTTCCAGGAAAGACCGCTATCAATGCTCTCTGGAACAGTGGAGTTACTTGCAATTTCTAAAACCGTAGATTCTGGTTTTATGTTTACGGAAGTTATGCTGGTAGTGGTTGGAATCATTTGTTGGCCCTTTAATCCTTCAACTTTTTGCGATTTCGGCAAAGAATAAAATGAAGAGGAAGACAAGTTTTTGGCGACGAAACTACTGAGAGAGAGAATATCACTTATAAACTGATATCCGTACAGATCATGTTCATAGATCGCCTTGTAGGGCTTATCAGATGCTAAGTAATTAGTGATTTTCTTCGCTTCATTCAATTTGAGAAGTATTGACCGATTCTTCAACAGTAGCGTTAAACCAACACGATATACTGTTTCAAGAGCACCTTCCAGTAAAGCAATATCGTACAAACGTGGAATAATCTGACGATCGGAAACGACGGTTGCACAAAGTCCCAAGAACCATTCAGATGCATACATTGAAGGGTAGATCGAGAGTTTTGTAAAATGGCTATTCAAATCAGGGCATAATTGAGCCAAAAGTTGTTGAAATTGACGCAAGTGAGCTTCAATACCATCTGTACTGGATGATAGGAACAAAGAACGTATTTGATGCACTTCCATCAACCTACAGTTACAATTTGTTAGATGATGATTCGAGAATACATATGGCTGTGCTGAACTTGACAAACATGAGATGTTCAATTTGTCCTAACTCACCTGACAAACACACTGAATGCCTCATTTTCTGGCATCTGTCAAACCATAAAATTTCCTATGTTAGCGAAATGAAATAGCAGAATAGTACCCCGTTGGTTTCTCATAGCTTACCACACTGAGCAAAGGATGCGCTACATAAGCCATACCACGACTATAACCAACCGTTTTATCATAAACATAGTAAGCTTTCAAAACACGCATAACTGCATTATGTTGATTGACAGACAAATGGAGAGCTTTCATATCATGATTCATAATTTTTTCATCGGCAATGACCAGAGAATCCAATAGTAATTGCTGATAGGAAAGAGAAGTATGGCATGCAGAAGAAGATTGAGCAAGTGCTTGCCAAATACAACGACGCAAAGCATGAGGGATGCCACGTTCATTCTGTGGATATTGCTGTGATACTACAAATTTTTTTAATAAGTGAATACGTTCCTCAGACGAAGTTGCATTTTTAATAAAATGATCCCAAAATAGCTGCTCTTCTTTCACTAAATTCAAATTTTGAAGTTCGTTTAAAAGTGGTGTAACAACGTCCAGATTAGCAGTGGCGGTTCTTGTACTTGATCTGAAATCTTGATTATCTGAAGCAGCAGCAGTGGTAATGGTTGATTGAGTGGCTGCCATTTTTTCTAAATGTTGATCGACGAGTTCACTGGAAACCTACACGAATTGAACAAAAGAAATAAAAATGAGGAGAAAGTCAGAAGGTCGTTCATTAAACGAATTATAGCTCTCTTCCCCGTTTTATAAAGAAGGAAAGATCAGCTCATAAAATCAAAAAAGCGAACAACGAACAACGAACAACGAAAGTTATTTTTGCTTTCTCGTCCTTCAGAGTTATAACTCGAAAAATGAAATATTCAAAAGGAGTTAAAAGAAGAATAAACTATAAAGCAACGCTCGAACGGGTCAAGGAGACAAGGGAAATAGAAAGGGGTTGCGCAGGCAGGCAATGAGGGAAAGGGTGAATTCTAACACTTACCGAACCGGTATCATTTAATCCTTCTAGTTTTTCGTGAAGTTCCTCGAACTGATGCTCCTCCTCTTGAGCTACAACTTTAGAAGCAGAAAAGAGAACCTTATTCCACATTTCAGGGCTACTGCTGCCTCTATGTCTTTCGCTAGCAACAGTTGGTGCCATTGATATTGATTTTTCCACTTGAATTGCTGGTGATAATGTGAGTTTCAGAGTATTTTCTGCAGATTTTGATGCTACAGGTCGTAACGATTGTTGTGCGATGTTTACTTGCTGTTGTTGATGTCGTTGAATTACTTGTAATTTTTCCAAGACTTGAGGCGTCAAAAATAGAGATGAATTCTGAGTATTTGTCGTTGCTGATGATGAGATTGGAGGTTTCTGAACAGCGGTTGCCATCTTGATACACACAATTTAAAGGAAAAAAGAGAGGGAAAAGTCTAAATAAGTTTTTTATAGTTGAATATCAAAAATTTTCAATGGATATTAAGCTCTGTTGTAACACTGTATTACAGTATCTTTCTTGTCCCAAAAAGATGTATAAGGAAATTAGAGAGTAAAAATTGGACAATGAAAAGAAAAACTAAAATAGAATGAGAAAAAGAAAGGACTAAAGAATGGGTTAGTGGTAAGAAGAAAAAACTGGGGGCGCGAAACGTGTTGGTGTTAAGGATGCAGCCATTGTATACAAACAGAACGCGAAACAAAGAAGAAGGTGCAGATCAGATGATGCAGAATTATGTACATTCTTTCATCTGGCTCGCAAACCCCCTTGAACATTCAGGACAACAACGAGCGATTTACATGAGCAGTACTCAAGCCATCAAGAACAAGAAACAACAATATATTTTGTAATATTGAACATGCTTCTTCCTTAATTACTTTTTTAACACAGCTATCTGATAAATTTGGGCTTTGCTAATTGACAAAACACATTTAACCTTAACTGAGATGTATTCCTTGAAAACGCTATACAATTTTATCAAAAGTCGTATGTTTCCAGATGAATTCTGCAACAGCTTCGAGAGTGAATTGGAAGAGGTTCGTTGCTGACTAACAAAAGTCAAAATATACAGCAAATATGAATAGAGCATATGCCTAATTTATACCTGCATACGCGCGTATTTTTATCGATTTCTTATTCGTACCGTGTTATTACACTCTAGGAGAACTGCTTTAAAGGTATCAGATCAATCAAGAACGATAAAGTTACAGAAGGTCTTCAAGGCGAAAGAGTATAGTTTGAAGTGAGCACTTAAAAGGCAATATTCAAAAACTTGGGTTTTTCTTTTTATAAAAACAATAAAATCTGCAGAATACTATTATTAAGCCATACAACGAGGATAACTGTTGTACGCAATTATTGTCAAAAAACCTCAATGATACGTACAGTGCTTGTCACCTGCAGGCTTTCAACGCGTCCGCTTCCCACTTCATTCTCGTTTGGATGAGTCCACTTGAACAAACAAGGAAGTATGAGCAACCGAAGGTATTAAAAGGCGTCAGGCCCCTTGTTCATTGTACATATAGCCTTTTATACCCATACATCTTCGTATTTATCTCTTTGGCGCTTCTTAATGAGGGGTAATATACTGTGGTACTTTATGGTCAAGCTTCTACTAATTTTTCCTTTAAAATAATATATTCATTTCAGTTACTACTTAGTAGTAGTGTGACTTTTTGGTACTTTGTACATGCAACCGTATATTGGCCTCATCTTTCCACAACATACCTAGTTTTTTTTTTTTTTTGATCTTCTAAATGAATGTCTCTAATTCGTCCTCTCTGTTCGTACGCACACACAAAAACCATAAACTGAACCATGTAATCTGTAAATACTTTGATGGTATGTCATTTTTTGCATAACAAGAGTAATTTTCCATAATTGTAATTTAACGATAGCGAGATATGCAAAAGTTCAGGCTCTCATCACGATGCGAGTAAGTATCATATTTGATATCATTGCAGCTCTGCGGCTTATAAGATGTTATTTTTGTCAAGCGGTTATTTTTCTCTGATCAACCATATTCTTGCATTTAGCATGATAGTAAATGCCAGTTATATGTTTTGCTTCGAAATAATCTCTCTGTTTGACGGTAACAGGAGAACAGCTTTCATAAAATTGAACACGCAAAAAGCCTCTCGTATAACATAGGATGTCTTCAAAACAGTCCTAATCCCTTTCGAAAGTACTGTTATTGTCAACACGCGAACATTTTCTTTGAAAGAGCTATTGAACTCATGAGTTGGACGACTGCACTATTAGATAGTTTGAAAAACACAGAGAGTTAGGCTACCGTTAAAGACGCTAGTAATGTGAAAATACATTAAAGACAAGTTACTGTTCACCATTCTAACACATTAACAAGCTGTCGGTAATCAATAACACTGGTACATTCTGTCCAGTAAAATAACTCAAAATAAGTACTCGTTTGTTGGTACACTGAAGTGTGGCCGTTGATAGGGTTTTGCATATTGTTTATATCAATAGGGGGCTTAAGATTGTCAGTGTGCAGGGATCTTCTGTAATCAAATTTAGCGTTGGGTAAAATAAACTATCATATGACACGGGTGCAGTTATCCAAGGGTGTCCACAACAACAAGAACATTAGAGAAACGAAAATTTGATGGTATCCAAACTTAACAGTGCTTATGATTGCATGATGCTTCCGCCCTATCGACATTTAGTATATGATAACAATCGACAGTGAGTTATTCGAAACATAACCTCGTTAATAGCGTAAATTTATTATGAGCTTCAAGAGGATTAAGTCTCTAACGCATTCCTCTATTCAAATTATAGGCACAAGCGAACATTTGCATAAAGAAGTTCATGTTAATGAGCGTTTAGCTTCTTATAGTACAATCATAAGATCTTTATTTACTTGACGATACGAACAGTATAAAAATAGCATTATACTCTTCATCGAAGCGAATAGATTAAAGAATGTGTTGTATTGTGATAATAGATATCCTGAAAACGGCAAGAATGGCGAAAAATTCAGAAATTTGCAAGCCTGTTAATGGAATGCATCAAATATCATTTTGCAAAAGCCTGTCGATTTAAGAAAGTCAGACTTTAAATCATTGCCACAAGATTAGTGCTGATGTAATTGCCTATATAAAGGAAGTCAAAAACCACGCAATGACTAAGAAGAGCCTTCAGTTTTGGATATTTCGCTACGCTTATCTTGGTGGTGGGGTATATCTTTTTGTGAAAAGCGAGTACTTGCACATGTATTCTAATGAAACCCCTACTCTACAAAGAAGATGTTATATTTGGTATCAGAGAAGGAGGCTTACTGCAACAGCAACTATTAGTATGTCATTTGAGCCATAGATTCCTTACAGTTTACATTGCTGGAAGAACCTTTTCTTGTGCCCAATAGCATAAGCATTTGTATGATACTTGTTACAAACCATGAAATTAGGATTATTTTTGCCCTGATTTGTTTGTTCTATTATTTTACTCAAAAAATATTAGATATAGCTTCGTATATCGATGTTAATGTTGTCTTTCCCAAGACGCACTGCTTAAATTAAATGAAAAGATTCGAACTATATGCATAATGTGGAGATTTAATAATAGAGTGTCGCTCATCTTGTTCAGAATTAGCTGTATATTGAATGTTCATTCTAGCACTCTGGAATTCGGAAACCTTATCAAGAGTTGTATTAGATGAGAATGACTTTGCTGGTTTTTTCTTTCTGAACATATATTATTTAGAGCGTGATCTGTTCCGCAAAGCTTTTTCTGACTTGCATTTCGAAAGAAAAAAAAAAAAAAAGTAATGCAGGATTGTATAATAATATAATAAATATTTTGAATGCTTAGAGTGATTGCTTTGTATTTGTATAATTTTGTCATGTTCGATATGCCTCTTCATTCCGACTTTCTTGTGCGTACTAAGTAATTTTATGGAAAAGTAAATCAGAAAAAATAGCATACGAATTAGTTTGCAATGGTTTTCATATCAAAAGATGACTTCTTCACTGAGAACAAAAATGACGTTACCATCATTTCTAATAGGAATTTTTAGGCCTTGCTTGGCAAAGGCTTTTGATAACTCTGTTGATTCTAAAATGACAGTATGTACAACATGAGAACTACAAGTGATTCTTAAATTAATGCATTATAACTTACCTGTCATTCCCGGAAACTGTTTTACATTTTAAATGCAATCCAAGACAACAGAGCAAAAGGTTAGTTAATTCAACTTCAATTCAGAAAACTTTGCAGTTGTTCACTATAACAAAAGCTGCATGACTACATTACCTTCTTTGCTGAATAGACTGTAAATGGATCGGAAAAGACTTGCGCAATTATTTTTGACTTTGCATTCTCTTGGAAATCAGAACTATTCAAAGAGAAGGTATTGTGTTTGTCAATATAATATGACAGTTACTTTTTTGTCGGTACAAAGACTATCAATATCTTTACTTGAACAATTTCATCAAACTGAATCTCAAAGTATAGCGGCCTTCTGTGCGAATGCTTAGATCAGGAAAAGCGAAATAAAGTCCTTGTTCTCCTTCCGGATTTTTCAATAGGCTTGGTGAACTCACTAGTGAGCCCATTAGCACTCTCGTGCATTTTGGTGGGTTCGATATGATATTACGTTCTTCTCGACAATCATCCGACCAAAGGGTCACATGAAGCACAAAGAAAGGTATTTGAAGTGTCCTATTTCAGGGGAAAAAAGGATCAATAATAGCCCCTCCAAGAAACGGTTCTCCAATCAATGTAAACATTTACTGAACATCCACTGGTATTTCTGATCCTTCTTGGCGTACAATTAACTGAACAATAGGCGGTGGGTCAATAGGCCTTCTATCTTTTTCACCGAAACCACACATACGTGCATGAAGTGGTTGCTGACATACGACAAGTTCATAAGTTCTTTTTGAAATAAAATAAGGAGATAAAGACATGTCAACAACAACAAGAGAAAAACAATTCACAAAATTGTCCAAACACAGAACACACAGACACACAGACACACAGACCTCTTTTCACGTTCATCGTAGCCAATCGACTTGAACAAATTATCGCTCGGCTGCTTATTGTTGCCGTTCTCTTTGTATTGATTGTAGCGAGTGTCTGAGGCTGTTGTGGATGGCATAGTTGATGATGTGGATTGTTGTTGTTGTTGCTGATAGAGATCGTTCAAGTAGTGTTGATGGCCGTTCGCAACATGCTCTGGCGGATGATCTGAATTCATTTCACAGCAGTTTTGTATATTATAAGTTATGTAAGACAAGAAAGGTAGGTATAAGTCAATCCCAAAACGTTTAATGTTGGGAAAAAGTAAAACTCTTTAGATAAAGGGACGTATAATTTCAGTAACTTTTTTATTAGTTTTTTGGCAATTATCGGGTTATCATTTTCTTTTTTGCACCCGTCAAAAAAGTGTTTAAAAAAACAACAAAAAAAAAACAAAAAAAAAAAAACTATACAATATTACATAGAAGAGGTGGGATTTTCAAAAAGAGGTATAGCCCTTATTCAGGGTTTCCAACGATGCCTCTACCCCAATTTTCAATGATTCGAGAGCATTGCTCTCTGATATGATCGCCTCTTTCGGTATTCCATAAGCCTAAAGATTCTAACTGTCTAGCTAGGTAAACACATTGTTCCCAATAGAACTTGGCGTACAATCTCTTTTCAATCACAGTCTACGCGTGAATCAAATAGGATCAGTTTATAGGCCTAGTCGAGTATTAAGTTTAGTATACTTACATCTAATTCTGAAGGACCATTTTGTTCTTGGTGAGGCTTTTGAATGACATAATCATCAGGTAAAACGAAAAATTGATAACCAGCCAAATAATTTTGCAGTAAGCAGGCGGCTCTGTTATCAATGAATCTTTCAGAACACCTTTAGCGTTGTGAAGAAGATTTGTCAGTTCGAAGATTGCACACTCAGTTTAAAAAAATCGCCCATGTTGTTTTAATACGTTACCAAGGTTGAATGGTCTTGCTTTGAATTATAATAGGCTCGTAATCCATGCCATATTCCCTGATGGGATAAACACTCTCAGCTTTCTTCCATTGCTCAAAATCAGTAGGGCCTTCATTCAATTGGAAATGCTTATCGAATAATCCCAAAACCTTTTGTTTTTCGACCAGACGAAGCAAATCTTTCTTCGTTTGTGGTAAAGCGAATTTACTGCTAGCATTGGCATTGGTATATTGGAACGTTGGGACCACAAGCATATCACCACGATCCAAAATTGCAGTAAAGCCATTCTTGACCTTTTCATTGTTGTTGCTGTTACCATTGTTGGTTTCCTTGGTAGACATATAAGACAATAAGTTTTGATGAAGAGGACTGGCAAGCATAATATTTAAAGGGATATCAGCAACATAGTCGGTTCTGGCAAAAAGTCGTGCCAAATTGCGTTCTACGTTAACAGGGACCTTAATAGAGGGTGCCTTCTCTTTCGCTTGTAGAACATGAATATCAACGTTCTTATAGAGTTCCGGTTTGGTCTTGTATTCGGTTTGAATGTTGGAGAGAACCTTGTCCTTTTCAGATTCAGCAACATGTAAAGTGACAGAAATAGGACCTAAAAAAGTAATTTTTTTTTTTTTTTTTTGTTGAGTGAAAAGAAAATTGAAATCAAGCACGTACGCATGCACGCAACAAACATAGCCAAAAGCTTTGTGATTTTACCCTTCCATTGTTTACTTAAATCAACAAAGTCCTTCCATGTATTTGGTGTAGTAGTAGTAATTAAAGTGACGTCTGATGATGCAAAGTCTTGACTCGCTTTTTGCCAGTAAGGCTGAGTATTTTTTAAAGTGTCGTAGTGGCCTTGTGCAAAGAACTTTGACATCTTTAATCCGTGAGACATATTCGTAATTAAAGAATAAGGTTGATCTATTATATGATAATGTCAATAATTGCCCATTTATCACTTATTTTGCCTGCTTGCCATAAAATTCAGCTACCTGTATCATATGTACGTCCGTAGACTAAAGAATCGCCTACTCGTATACGTAACGTGGATAACCAAGATGACATGTGTGCTGTTGTCAAAACCAATGAGAATAGAATATATGCAAGTAATGAGAGTCTGAACCATCGATGATTTGTTACAGCGAACCTTGATCTTTGTTGTGTTTGGTTATACTGTGATGGTAATATCGAGCCATTGCTCGTTTTGTTGAAACTGAATAACTGGTCAAAAAATCCGTTAAGACCTCCTCCTGTTGAGGTTGCTCCGTTTAGCTTTTCATATCGTGTGTTCGACGGTTTGGAGTCCATACTTGATATATAATTTTTAATGAATATACAGATATCTATATATTAGCTGGAATTATAAGTAAGGTATGTGGAGTATGAATATGTACAGTTTAGATGAAGAGATGACCAAGTAGATGAGTGAATGACAAAAGATGAGGAATGCTGCCTGTACAGAAAATGGATGAATACAAGAAAAGAAAGAAAGAAAGAAAAGAGTAAGGCAAGATGAAAATACAGAAATATACTCAAAAAACAGGGAGTTGCACAAAAAAGTAATAGCCTTTTAATTTCGCTTGAAAAAAAGGGGTGTCTGTTGTTTGACTGACAGTTTGACTTACAGTTTGACTTACAGTTTGACTTACAGTTTGACTTACACACTTTTTGAATCAATTTTATTTTTTTAATTTTTTAGTTTCTTTATGCTGTAGAAATGCCTTAGTGCAAATGTTGCTCCCATCCCATCATTCTATAGCCTATCTGTAATAAAATTCTAATGTGAAAGACCTTTTGTAGCTATTAGAAAGGTCAAGTTACGCAAGATAACTTGACAGCTTGTGCATATTTGGGAACGTTTTGTTTATCAAGCTTGTGTTTCGCTCTCCATTGAACTTCAGATAAAATTTTGGGTTTCGGTTTATAGAATGTGTAATAACAGATGGCGTGTGTTATGGCACCACACAACAGGACACTCTCCAACAGGCTCGTTTTGAAAATGTCAAACAGGGTTTACCCAAAAAAAAGAAAAAGAAAACCATTTCTCTTACGCCATTGGCCATTGAGTTTTTTCTGTTCTTTTGCCCTCATAACGAGCAATACGGGCAAAAGCATCTTTCCCTAACTATAGTTACCATAGTAACAGAATTATGGATAGCGCATTTGTAATTTAAGGAGATGGTTGCTCCAACATCTACAAAACTTATAAGACTTTCTTATTATTTAAGTAAACAATAAAAGCACATCACTTGCAGAGGGATTCGGCACTTTCCCTTTCAAATTAGTTTCTCTATTCTACGCTTCAGCCAATTTAGATTCCGACGTATCTACCTTTAATTGAACAGTATCTTGAGGATAATAGCTAAAAGGGTCGTAAGAAAGTACGATCAACTAGTATGACAGATTAAGGGTACGGTTTGTTGGCATTTTAAGTGGTATTTTTAATGTAAGTCAGTGCATAAGCAAAGCTTAATCGGATACGTAAGTACATAAGCAGTGCCATTATTGAAGTTGGGCCAAGTGGCCAGGAAATCTTTACTGGATTCTGTTCGTTAAATGGCATGGCTTTAAGATAGATGTTTGATCGACTCTTTCGCACATCAAACAGGTTAAGATTGCTTAGAAGCTGTGATTTGAACGACGATGAATCAAATTATACTCTGACTTATCGTCATTGATAGACATATTTTATGTTTCTTAAGATGGGTGCTTTTTTTTTTTCCCTGAGTCTGAACCCTCCCAATCCTCTGTCCCAGCAGTCGTTTTTGTCTTCCGCTATTATTCTGCTACTTGCTCGGTGATTTTTTTTTTTTTTTTTTTTTTTTTTTTTTTTTGGTTTGATTTTCCTAGCATTTAGTGTAGCACATATTGGACAGGATCGACAGTATCAATGGTAATTGTGGTATACTACGTAACCACCAGTCTCTGTTCCCTGAAACGCTGAACAATAGCCACTATTCCATTTTGGACAATAAACACTTATCAGTAGGAAGTATTTAATGGAAAAAAGTATCCAGACCAGAAAAAATAAGAGAACCATTGAACTTTTCGTACAAGCTCTCGATATAATAATAGATTAAGCTATACTGTTACCAATGAGGAACTACACCAATAGTATAGAAGAGTAAGAATATAGTTATGTACAACTCTATAAATATTAATGTAAACTGAGTGTAGATAGAAATGGGAAATATAAGTGCGTTATAGAGATAGAGGTTGAATGAAGAGCTAAAATTGTAGCTTTGAAATGTCAGAATAGAAGAAATCGTGCTCTTCCGCAGACCTGGCTGTGATACGATGCGAAGGATCATAAGTCAACAACCGCTATTTTTGAATAAAAAGCTTGGATGTTAACTTCTTTTGCTCTTTTCCGTCAAAATACCGAAAAATGAAAACAGATCTTTTACCTCTAGCAAATCGAAGGCTAGGTCAGGCATCTCGATAGAATCATGGCATTTGAGCAGCAACGTTTTTAAATCTCTAGGCTTCCAAGCTAAATAGTGACACGGCATACGTTCAGTCGTCCATTCAACTTCTAAAACTAGGAAGAGATGTTTTGAGTTGGACTTACGTGGAAATTGTGCATTGTAATCACGTAGAGTTGACACACCTGGCCAGACTTCTTCGGTGGGTGTGCCTCTCAATTGAAAAATGTGAAAAAGCTCTTCGATTTGTGTTGCTCCTGTATTATTTGAAAGAGGGATAAGAATACAACGACATGATTCACGAGCAACTTGTTTCTACATTAATTCATTACCTGGGAAGAGTGGTCGGAATGCAATCATTTCAGCCATAATGCAACCAACACTCCACATATCCACCGCGGTTGAATAATAATCACTTCCTAAAAGGATTTCAGGTGCTCTATACCAAAGAGTGACAACCTATGCGCCAAAGATTTTTTTTAAGAAAAAAAAAAAAAAGGTGTAAGCGTACAAGCAGAGAGGGAGAAAAAGGGTAATGTGGAAAAAACCCTTTACTTGATGGGTATAAGCGCGCATTGGCACACCGAAAGATCTAGCCAACCCAAGGTCAGCAATGGTAAGCCTACCATGGCGATCAATGAGTAAATTCTGAGGCTTAAGGTCACGGTGAAGTATACGGCGGGTATGACAATAATGTAAACCACGTAGCAATTGGTGCATAAAGCTCTGTTGAATTTTGCAAAAGAATCTTTGTTCAGACCATCAAGTTCCTTTTACTGGGATGTTTTGTCACTGGTTTACAACTTACGCGGATATGATCGGCTGTTAATCCTCTTCTTCCTACTTTTTCCATGTATTTTCGCAAATCTACTTCAGAGTATTCGAATACGAGATAAACAGCGTTATTCTTTTGAATCATATCGGTCATCCTTTTGGCCAAAAAAAAAAACCACACAAAGGAGATGAGTAAGAACGATAGGGCAAGCAGCCGCGCATTCGATGGATGGGCATTACTATGTCACTTACTTGATAATATTGTCATGCCTCAACTCTTTCAATACGGCAATCTCTCTTAACGTTGTTGTGGGTATACCTTCTTGCATATTGAGTCGAATCTTTTTTATAGCGACAAATTCTTTCGTTGATTCCTGCTCTGCTTTAAAGACGACGCCATAAGTACCTTCGCCAATCTTGGAGATTTTCCTATAGCCGGGTAAGTCATAAGGATTGTTGAGATCTTCATGCTGTACGGGCGTCGTTGCAGGTGCTGGTACTCTTTCGGTCATAACAACATCTTTATTCGTCTCCGTTGCTGCTGGTGGGGCTTGCGGTGGTGCACGTTTTGGTATCGATCGTTGCTGAGATATGTTTCGAGAATCGACAAAGGTGTCTTTGAGGGATGGATGGTGTTCTTTGCTGTCCGATCTTATTTTTGTCAGGTTCGAATCCATCTCGACGTTTTCATTGCGCATATAATGTTGAGGATGAGGACGATGCAGTTGCTGTGTTTGCTTTTGCTGAATGTACAATCTTCCTTTTTCAGTGGTATGGGGTACATGGAGACGTGAATGCTGCTGTTGATGATGATACGTAACATTGGAAGGCCGTGTCGTATCAGACGGATAATGCTGCTGTTGAACATCGTGCGTAATCTCTGCGTGTGGTCTCTTTAGCACATTTGATTTGTTTTTAGCGGTTATATCTTGAAAATCACTGTTTATATTCTGGGTAAGGGGTTTTGGAGCCGTGATAACGACTGAATTTGGTGCGGGTCTATATTTGGTATGATTATTTTCGTTATTATTGGTATGGGTAACTTTCATAGGAACGACTTTCTGCTTTTTCTGTTCGTGTGGTGGGTTCTCTGCTAAGAAGCGCTTATCCATGTGTGTGGTTTGTAATGACGCATCTTTCAAGTGTGAGGTATGGGTGTATTCAGATGAGAGAGTTTGATCGGGTAGATTTTCTCTTCTCAGTATGTGCCTCGATCTATAAAGCTGATGATGAGATGACGGTAACATACTTTCATCAGGCATTTTTTCTAATATATTTTATTGTAATGTTATCAAACTAAATGTAAGGTATAAGAAGAGAGGGTCTAAAGGTTCCAATGCTATTATTTTTTTTGGATACAAATGATTGAAATGATAATGGTATAGAATAGCTTTTTTCTTTTTATTTGGTTAGTTATTCATGTAGAAAGGTACCAAAAATTGCAGATGGCACTTGTAATTTTTTTTTTTTTTAATTTTGGGCACAAATAATTTTTTTTTATTTTTTTTTTTTATTTTTTTTTTTTTGTTCGTTTGTCGTCACAGTGGCAATAAAACAGACAAAGAAAAGTAAATGTCAACAACGCGATTCCGACTTTTTTTTTTTTTCTCTTTTTCATACCTTCCGTTTTGACTCCACGCGACGCGCACACAGCAACTGTACTTGGTCAAATTAAAAGAAAAAAAAAAATATATAAAAAAAAAGAATATAAAAAAAAAATTGAATAATAAAAAAAAAGGAAAAAGTACATGTTACAGTATGAGCTCTAGTTCAACCAACATATATAACACGTCTAAGCAAGACATGCTACAAATACATTTCAGAGACAAAGCTTGCACAAGTGAATATAGACAAATGCTTTAAAGGAAATTCATGCGTTATCTTTGCTTCATTGTTGTTCATTCGACTTGACTACGGTTTATAAAATGGCAACAGTTTGATCAAACATGCCTATCTGATATTCAGACAGTCTTAAAAAACCAACAAAACTCTGACTATTCATAGTAAAAAACCAAAACTTTTGCGAGGTCAACTGTTCGTTAGAGCTTTATGAAAATCCGAAATAGTAATATAAAATCTATTTTTTTTTTTTTTTAAAAAGAGGCAAAACACATCATCATTTTCATTGAATGACAGAGTGTGTGAGATGGTTTATTGATAGATGAGGGTAATCAGGACTGTAAGAATGTACAAAGGTAGCAATAATATAAAAAGTAAATGTTTAGCGTATGGGCGGTATGGATGACATAAGGAAGAGAGGAAGGAATCCTATGATTTTAGGGTGTTGAGAAGGATGTAGAGTAGGAATAGTATTGTTAAATTATCTATAGCTTTCCCACTTTAACCATGAACAAGCTGAATCAGAGCAGGAACAACAGATTGATCGGCCAATGTAGAGATATCACCGAGGGATTCATGTTCACCGTTCACGATCTTTCTCAAGATACGACGCATAATCTTTCCAGAACGAGTCTTGGGATGGTCATTCACAATATAGATACGCTTAGGAGTGGCGAAAGGACCAATGGTCTTACGCACCAACAGTGTCAATTCCTTATCCAAACCTTCTGAAACATCTACATTAGGCTTGATGGAAACGAAAGCATGGATACATTGGCCTGTCAAATCGTCATGTCCGCCAATCACGGCTGCTTCGGCGACGGCCTCATGGTGGATCAAAGCGGATTCAATTTCGGCAGTGGAGAGACGATGACCAGAGACATTGATGACATCGTCCACACGCCCTTGAACCCAGATGTAACCGTCCTCGTCACGATAAGCTCCATCACCGGTGAAATAGTAGCCGGGGTAGGGTTGAAGATAGGTTTCCAAGAAGCGAGTGTGATTGTTGTAAACAGAACGAGCCATGGATGGCCAAGGTTGACTGATAGCAAGAACACCGGTTTCATGCACTTGGGTCACCTCTTTGCCTGTCGTAGGATCGAGGATAACAGGCTTAATACCAAAGAAGGGCAAAGTAGCAGATCCTGGTTTTGTGGAATGCGAACCAGGAAGTGGGGTGATAATGATGGAGCCCGTTTCCGTTTGCCAGTACGTATCGACAACAGCGCATTGGCCGCGGCCGACCTTTTCGTTGTACCAATCCCATGCTTCGGGGTTGATGGGCTCACCTACAGAACCGATCACGCGAAGGGAAGATAAATCATGCTTCTCAACCCACTTGTCACCAAGGCGACGAAGAGCACGAATAGCAGTGGGAGCGGTGTAAAATTGTGTAATCTTGTATTTTTCAATCAATTCCCAGAAACGGCTGGGAGTAGGATAGGTAGGCGTTGATTCGAACAAAACAGTTGTACCTCCCAAGGCCAAAGGACCGTAGAGAATGTAAGTGTGACCCTATAGATGCGTACAAACAACCCGTCGCTCCCTTTTTAAGTGATACGTTTTTTTTTTTGTTTTTTTTTTTGCAAATCGTCAATTATTGCACACTACATTAGATACTTACAGTAATCCATCCTACATCGGCCATACAAGCGTGGATATCCCCCTCATGGTAATCAAAGATGTATTTTACAGTCATCGCGGCGCCCAAAAGGTAGCCACCTGTGGTGTGCAAAATTCCCTTGGGAGTACCAGTAGAACCAGAAGTATACAAGAGGAAAAGCGGGTCTTCAGCATTCATAGGCTCAGCGGGACAGAAAGTTCTGGCCTTTGCCATTTCTTCATGCCACCAAAGGTCACGGTCTTCAACCCAATCAATGGGTGATCCAGTGCGGCGGAACACGATGACGTTCTCGACTTGAGTTTGATTGGAGCGCAGAGCGTCGTCGACAATACGCTTGGTAGCTACTGATTTACCGCCACGACGACCTTCATCCGAAGTAATGACAATTCTAGCGGAACAATCTACAACACGATCACGAAGAGAATCTGAAGAGAAACCGGCAAAAACAACAGAGTGAACTGCACCAATACGAGTACAAGCCAGCATAGCAATGAGAGCTTCGGGTATCATAGGCATGTAAATGGCAACAGCATCGCCCTTACGAACGCCTAAATTCTTTAATGTGTTGGCCATTTGACAGACAGACCGTAATAATTCGGCATAAGTGATATTGCGACTTTGGTCGGGTTCGTCTCCTTCGTGAATGATAGCTATTTTGTCTGGATTGGCAAGAGCATGTCTGTCCACGCAATTGTAAGAAACATTCAATTCTCCTTCCAAAAACCATGCAACATCGCCTTTCTCGAAAGAACCGTGTCGAACGGTTTTGAAGTCCTTGGACCAAGTAATCAATTCACGAGCCAACTAAAGAGGATGAGCATAGTACGGTTACTAACGATGGTGTATGCTCGTGTTTGTTTGGAAAAAGAGGAGGGGGGTTTCTCTCACTTACGTTTCCAAAGAATTGATCGGGATTCTCAACACTTTCTGTCCACATGGATTTGTACTTTTCCATGGAGTCCACAAATGGAGTAGGATTCTTTGAGGAGTCCAAAAGACATGCAGGAACAGGATGCACACGAACGGAAGGTTGATCAGTAGTCATTTTTGAAACAGGTATAAAAAAACTTATATAAAAAAAAAAAAAAAAAAAAAAAAAATGGAAAGGGAAAAAGAAGTAAAATAGAGAGAATGAGAAGCGTCTGTTTTTTTATATCAATTTATTTTTTTTTGGGGCTGAATGCGCACCAAGCGCAAGAGAATAAACTATTTTCAGGGCGAATCCTTCTAACATTCATACAGGTTTACATAATGGCAGTCCAAAGCTACTTGATTTGGTGTGGATGAACACAAAACTTTATTTTATTGCGACACCAGAGCTTCTGGAACCCCAGAGACTTGTCTTTTAGTGTCTTCTTTTTATGACGACTATTGCAGTAACTCAACCCTGTTGCAGAAAGCACTAGTGACTAAGAAATAAAAAACACTCGTCTAAAGAACTCTACATTAGAACCCGAGGAACTAGTGGGTTTTCTAGAAATAAAAATTGACGGCATGTCTACTCCCTTCCGTTGATCCCTCAGCCGGGCTGACATTGACTTGGGAAATTTCCTAATCCTGCAAATCATCCGCGGCGTTCGTTTCGCTCAAGGCAGGACCCCTATTTTCTGCCAATTTCTTTTGATTTTGACAGTTGCAATTTCTCTTAAAACACGTCTTTTTACTCTTGGATGTTATCTCCACTGCCTCAAAGGCGTCTTCCATGTCCCTTTCCTTTGGAAAATCTTGCTTAATTGTTTATCAGATTCCCTTACTCACGGTCGTTTCATTTAAATACAGCTACGAGAAATGATTGGTCCCGCACTTATCAAAAATCCATTAAAAAATTCTCAAAGGGACGAGAAGTGTAAAGGGAAAGATCTATAGACATATACACAGCACCTAAAAGTTACACATGGATTAGCCCAAGCATCTCTGCAAAGGCTCACGATGGGAATTTCTTTGTTCTCTAAATTGTTTCTGGCCTTATGAAACAGATTCAAAACTTGCCTCATTTGAGTTCAATGGAAACCATGCCCATTATTTCAAGATGTATTTTTACTAAGATAGTGGATGAAAATGTTTTATTTGGCCCCTCAGGAATAGATGAGATCTGGTTTATATAATTGTAGTTGGCAACAGAGTAGTGTGTGTGTGTGTCTTAAAGTTTTGGACTTGTGGAAGGGTCACTGATTTGAATCACTAACTTTCCAAACTGTTCACTGTTACTATAGCATTGTTATAGAAAATAGCAAAGTCAATACCAGCAGCAACAACCCCTTCTTTATGTTCAGTAGCCACTTTTACCTCATCGTAGCAATAGCTTCATCCAGTGCTTTTGCATTTAAACCATCCCATACACGGGAAACAACAGGCTTAATTTTATTTTCTTCTACAAACTTTACCATTTCTTTGAATTCTGTTCTTGAACCCATGGTGGAGCCACGAATATCAATGTTCTTCAATACGTGGGACATGGAGTACGTAACACCTTTTACACTAGCCGTTTGTCCGTAATTCACAATAATGCCACCTGTACGCATTACTTTAGGATAGACACCGTACAATGGGCCGCCCGCACCGTCAATAACAGCTGACAGCAGATTTTTTCCTAGCAACTTTTTCAACTCACGGATGAAATCATCTAATAGATAAGTATTGGATGAGAGCCGGGGGAAAAACGACTTTATACGTTTGCCACCCAAAACAAGTGTTTCTTTTTATTACCACACCCTTACCATCCTTATAATTGACACCCCCTTTTGCACCCAAAGCAATTGCCTTTTCGATCTTTGTTGCACTGGATGATGTGACGTAGACATGAGCACCTGCTGCTACAGCAAACTGAAGCGCACATAAAGCAACACCTCCACCAATACCGGTGATCAATACATGCTCATCTTTTTTGACCAAACCTTTCGTGAACAAAGCTCTACAAATAACTATGAAAGGTAAAATACCAAGAGCAAAAGCTTTCTGCTATCCTATCTCTTCTTATCTTTTCTATGACAGCCATTTCAAGCTTCATTCCTTTCTTACCTATAAGCGGTTAAACCAGCGAGTGGTAATGCAGCAGCTTCAGCATTTGATAAATGAGTGGGACAAGCAACCAATTCCTCCATGTCCATCCATACAGGCTCTTCTGTCAATGTGCCTGCCCAAGGCAATAGTCCCAAAATACCAAACGTTTGCTCAGGTCCTCGTTCATCGGATACCCAGCCTGATCCAGGGTTCAAAAGAACTCGCTGACCAATGTGGATGGTATCATCGTTATGGTCGCTCTTTTTAATGACGTAGCCGACAGCATCAGAGCCCAAGACCGACCCTACTTTGATGCCAGGATACATTCCTTTCAGAATCCAGACATCTCTATTTCATCGTTAAGCGAAAAAAAAAAAAAAAAAAAAAAAAAAAAAAAAAAAAACCATCTGAAGGGCTGATAGAAGGCAGTAGTCAATTTCATCTTTTTTGTATACCTATGATTCAATGCAGCTGCCTGAACTTTCACAAGTGCTTGGCTCTTATCAGCTGAGAATTCACCAACGGGGTTTTCTTTCAGCTCAAGCCCATATTTATACTTTGTTTGAGTTGTAGCGTTTTCAGATAAAATGACACTAACCATAAGATAATTGAAGAGAGAAAGACAAAATGAACAGAAAAAGAAAAAACAGAGCAATTCGGGAAAGGCTCCATCTATAGTTTAGCAGTTATGACTTTGCACGCTTCTGAGTTTTATTGAGCAGCACAGACTCGTTTTTTTTTTGGTTTTTTTTTTGGCTTTTCTTATTTGTGAAAAAAGAGACAGCAGAGTGTATAGAATATGGTCAAACCAGAAAAAAAAAAAATCTATAGTGTATTATCATTCGATTTCATTGTTCTTTTCTAAAGCATAAAGTTAGCAACTGATTTCACATATGTCCTTTTGTTCCCTTCCCTTTTGCAACATATCAAACACCACTACTATTCAGGAGGAAGGTGGAGGTGGGGGTGGAGGCGTAGGATCATCCGATGGTGGAGGTGGAGGTGGTGGTGGAATAGCGTCGCTGCCACCTGGTGCTGGTTCTGAAGGGGGAGGCGGTGGAGGAGGTGGAGCAGCTCCATCTGCAGAATCAGCAGGGGCAGGTGGGACAGCAGCAGCAGCAGTAGCAGCACCATATCCATAATAGTTGTAGTAAGCATTAGCATCGTATGGCTGGCCATAGTAGTTATAGTAATTGTTGTAGGAACTATAATCATATTCACCGGTGGCTCCTGTAGCTGATGCAGTGGGTGTACCTGAATCAGAAGTAGGCGTATGGGTAGCTGAGCCAAGAGAGGGCGATGATCCAGGAGGTGGAGGTGGAGACATACCGTGTCCGTAGCCACCATAATTATTGTTGTTGTAATACTGTTAACAGATAATGAGGGTTCGGGTTAATAAGTAAAATTCAACATTTTTACAAGTTTTTTTTGAAAAAATTTGGGAAAGAAAAGAAAAACGAAACACATGTCAGTATAACTCTTTCATTCATTCGTTTTTTTTTTTTTTTTTTTCTTCAATAAGCCAAAAGCCCATTCTAAAAATGTACAAGTAGAGAGTAGCTTTTTTTTTCCCCTATCTTTTCGTTTTTTTTTTTTTTTCCTTTTCTTTTACGTTGGTTGCAAAACTTACTCCGTTATTATAGCCACCACCGCGATAGTGACCGCCTCTTCCGTACGCAGAGGGGTTAGCTATAGCTCTCTCAGCTTCAGCTTTGACTGTATCAAGTAAATCTTGAGTCAGTTTAGCGCCGATTTCCAAACCTTCTTCCCTTGAGCATCTATCATTGCAATAGAGAAACGTCCCCATCAGTTACGAGGAAACGTTGCTTTCCGTTTGAAAAACAACTCAACACTTACGAGAGATGAACATGCAATGGTTCGTCGGATTCTCTACCCGTGCTTGTTTCAAGGAAACCCGAGCCTCTACCTTTCAGCTGAACTCTACAACCAGATTCTTGCTGAATATGTTTGACAAAGGCACCACTAGGGCCCACAATCTTGGCACGCAAGTTGAAGGGTGGGGTTCCATCCACTTTGACTTCTAGCTTTCTTTCATGGAATTTTCTTTCGGGTCTTCTGTATTCTCCCCTATGATACGGTGAATGATGCTGTTGATCCTCTCTGTCGCGTTCTCCACGGTGATGAGGTGTAAAAGTACTTGGTGTTGGCACTTGAGCTGTTTCAATCAATTCCTCAATTTTCGCTACTGCTTTATCAAGCGATTCTTGATCCGATGCTGTGACATGCAGATACAGTGGAGGTTCCTTTTCCGTAGCTAAGGATGTGTCAGGGTAATATTTGCCACGAGTGATAACATCTGCTCCAGTTTCTTCTTTGATTTGAGACTGTGTAGCCCCTCGGGTCAGCATGTATCGATTCTTTAAATCATTAATAGGAATATCTTTGACAAATGGATTGGCTTCTTTTGCTGGTGAAGGGGAGGCTACACCTGTTGCCGCACTCGTGTTTGATTTATGAGATGGGTCGTCGTGCATCATGCCTTTTTGCGCCAACATGGCATTAATTCTAGCAGCCGCTTCACCTGAATATCGGGTCAATCAAATAGCTCCACATCAATAAAATGTTCCTATTGCCCCAATGCGTTTTGATAAATGAGATGACTTACTAACAGCTTTACTTGGGTCAGCAGTCTCTGCTTCAGGAGTGGCACTATCCGTTCGGGTGACTTTTGAGGCGGGAGATTCTGTATGTTCGTCTTGATCCCACTTTCTTTTCCTAGTGCAAAAGTAGAAAAAAAGGTTGAATAACTGGCTTTCACAAGGAAGGTGCGCTACAGGTTATACTCACTTGTGTGAATCAGTCATTTTCAATCCAAACAGTCTAATGCACAAACGATGAGGAATGGAGAAAGAAAAAAGACAAAAAGACAAAAAAAAAACCAAAAAAATTTTAAGCGCTGCTGTACAATGGGCAATGGTGATGAATACCATTTTAAAGTTCAGCCGCCTCCTTCCTCTATGTCTTGTAGAATCGAGTGGAACGATTTAAATTATCAGCATGCGTTAAAGAGGCGAATCATTTATTCTTGACTCATATATGTAGGTGAGATAGGAATAGGGTAGTTTTTCTTTGCAGGGAAAAATATAAAGTAAACCAACGCTTCAAGGTTTATCCTATTATTCGAAGCGTCAGACGAGGAGAGACGAAGCTTGACGGAAAAACTGTATTATTTCCATATCTTTGCAAAATTGCTATTTCGTTGATAGCTTCTGATGGCTATACTGTGATAACTCTTTACATTTATGGGGGGGTGTAGTTTTACATTTTGTAAGCGTCTAATTTGTACCACAACAAGTACGTTTCTACAAGCAGTTAGCCTGGTCTTCTTTTTGTTAGTTGATGTCGACTCGAACATTTTTCCCCGATCTCATTTTAATGGATATAAATGACAAACAGAGTTACTTGAGTAACATAGCGAAGAAGAAGAAGAAGAAAACGGTTTACTAGGAACTTTTCAAGGTTTTTTTTTTTAAAAAATAGAGGAGGATATATTGGTAATGGTAGGGAAATACGAGAGTATAGATATGCAGTTGCGTTCTATAGTGATTATATTGTAGACAAGATTTATAAGGCGGTTGGCTCTGTATCTATCAGATCACTCATTGTTATATCCATGTCCTGTTCATGGAGTAGTGTTGTAGGCAATGAGGATGGATCCATGGCAGTATTTTCCTTATTGAATAGACTGGGAGTCGTATTCCAAGTGGAGGGTGTCCTCATTTCTGATGGCTTTTTACTAAAGTTCGTACTGGGAATGGCTGTTTGATAAGGATGAGAACGATGCAATCTATGATAAAAGGGGTATGCGGTATTTCTTTGATGTTGTTGAGAAGTATGTGGGTAAGGGTAATTATATCCATTGGTTAGACGAACAGGTTCCAATGTATTTTCGTTACTGCTCGTTGTTTTGTTGGTATTCGTTGTTGTTGTTGTAGCAGCAGGAGCGGCAGCAGTAGCATTCGTAGTTTTATGAATGGATATGGACGGTGAGTCAGGTGTATGTAGTGGTGAATGAGAAGAGCCATCTGAAGATAATGATGATGCGTATGAGATATCGTTATTTGCAGCTCCGTCATCACCGGTGTTCTTATGACGCATACTGTGGATGGAACTGTTGTTGTTGTTGTCGTTGCTGGTATTACTGTTATTATTTAGGCTTGCTTGAGATAACTTCCAGAAATCAACGCCTAATAAAGCTGACAAATCTGTATGGCTAAGGTTATTATGTTGCTGGTGAATCTGCTCCAACAAGGGCGTTTGTTTACTCTCGCTTTGACTATTCGCGCTTTTAGCTGCTTCTTCTTCCTGTCCTTTTTGCTTGTTGAAATCAAGCTCGCTTAATCCTTGCAGGCGACGCCAATGATTTGTCGTCCGGCGAAGATCATAGTCAATCGTCAAGAACCAGTATTTTTCAAAGAATTCCGGAGGCAATTGCCAATTGCCTGCTACACCAGGATCGCCACCGTGGAAGACTGAATTACCTAATAACAGCCTAAAACAGTCATCGAGGTCGAACTGGTCTCTAAAAAGTATCATTCTGTCTCTCATGTGTGGAGTAGGAATAAGATCAATACGGGGATCGTGAGGTATTGTCAGCTAGGATGCGTTTGAGAAAGTTTTCACGTTAATCCAACTACAAAAAGTTCCTCCATAAAAAGGGTTTTCTTTTACCTACCTGTAGTAAGGTGGGCTGAATGGCAAAGGGTATGGAATCCATACGCACACAAGCAGATTGTAAACGAAGTCGTAAACGTAATGTCTGAATAGCAGCCAAATTAGAGGTGAGTGGTTCCTCCGTTAGCATGACGGGCCGTGTTGTGGTGTTTGTGTTGTGGTGAAGAGGGTTGCTGTTATTGGTGTTGTTATTTGAATGTAGGGAAGACGTCGTTTTGTCTCTGTTTAACTGCACTTGATGATTGATTTTATCCGAGGCAACCGATCCAGGAGAGAGCGGTGGCATAGTTGCTGTTTCTTCCTCGAGCTGTTGTTGCTGTTGCTGTTGCTGCTGCTGCTGTTGTTGTTGTTGTTGTTGTTGTTGCTGTTGGGCTTCTAATGGGTGTACAAAATCCGTAGGAGGGAACTTGTCCTTCCATGAGGATGAAGACATGGAAGCATGAGATGAGGACGCATTTGCTTGAGGAGCAGCCATAGGCGCTGGCCTTGAAAATGCATGCTGTTGGTATGAAGAGGCGGAATGATCCGGCAGAGAATGAACACCTTGTTTGGTAATGACGATAGAACCTGAAGAAAGGTAGCGATCACGTTGTTTAACGGTGTGGCGATAACCAAAAAGCTTTGAGGGAATGGGCAATTTGTTGCTTGCATTGACGCTGATATAGGCAGCAATGGTTTCTGGAATCGACTTGGCTAAAACAGACAGCGCCTGCTCGTTGATGTAAGGGCCATGCTGTGGTATGACCAAGTTGTGCTGATAGCAAACAAGTTGAAGTGATAAGACGATGCCTTTGAGGTACCAATTTTCTGAGCGTAAAATTTCTTGATCTGCCTTCAACTGTTCGTTCTCCACAAGAAGCTTATCTCGTTGTTCTCTAATCTGTTTGATAGCTACTTCTAATTCACGCATGTGTCTTTCTTTACGCTCTCGAAAAGCTCTTTGTGCTGCTCGATTCTGTGCTTTGCGAAGAGCTGGTGAGGCAGGGTTAGGTTTACGCCCCGGCTTTTTTCTTATTTTCATTGGTTGGCCAGAGGAATCATGCTGCTGTTGTTGTTGTTGTTGTTGTTGTTGTTGATTTTGTAAACAAGCTGGACCCCCCATTGGTAAGGCTGCTATGATATCCTGGTCTATTGGAGTGATACTGTCGTTATCGGACTGCATATTCGTTTATAAATGAAAGCTTGTCTAACCCCACACAAAGAAAGTTTGGTAAAAATTCAGGAAAGAAAAAGGCTCATTCTAAAAGAATGTTGCTCCTTTCCCCTCTAGACACTGAAAGGTACAGACCCATTTTGTGGAGTCGAAAAGGCGGGGTAAACTTTAAACCAAACTATTCTATTGCCAATACCAATAGAAATTGCATTTGGAATCTGTGTGTTCCCACACTACAGCTTAAATGGGGATTAGAAATGGAAAAAGGAAATGCCCGAGGCTGCTCGCTATCATCTGGCTGCTGATGCATGCCACACGACCCCTCTGGTCCTTTCATGATACGTCCCAGAAGAAAGGGCACAAAGGACGTGGCATTGTTCGTCGTTAGATAACATTCATAGTTGTCACACCTTTTGTTTTATTCAAATACGATAGAATCATAAAAAGACAAAGCCATCTTTGAGTTTCAACTTTGGGTAAAGTTGTGTGCAGGGCAAGCTTTTTTAATTATTAATTCTAATTGATTAAAATCGTGTATCTGATCGATTATATACATATATAGAAGCAGCAAGCCGTAAGCAGCAATAGTAGGACACTATCAGTATGATTGGGTTCTTTTTTTGGTATATTTCATTTCCATTCCTCTGTGTAACGCAAGAACAGCCATGGCTTACAGCAGCAGCTTACCCAATCGATGAAATCCAGACTACGGTACGATCACCTCGGATTCTCTTTTTTACATTCAATGGGTCAGATGCCCAGGCCAACATTGTACGTTTTCTGTTGCGCAATCCGTTGCTTAAATTATCCGTGAATAGACTTTTGGAAGACGCGCAAGACGATACGACATGGCGATCCCATTTCACACAACTGTAGGGCAGAGTGCATACTCCCGTTCAAAAAATGTTGGAGGTGAGGTTGACTCAAGAATGTATTAAAAGCATCTCAACAATGGAATCTCGTTCCACTTTTTAAAAAAGCCAAGGGATAAGGGTACAGAAATGGCAATGCATGTCGGCTGGGGGAGGGGGTGCACATTATTACACGAGTTGCTTACTCACTGTTCACCTATTGATAGGATGAAAAGAAGGATTCTGCTGCTATCTGGATAGCTCTCTTTCTGAAAAAAAGTTTCATGGAAAGAATGGCTGTTTTTTAAAAAATAAGTGTGAATACATCCAAACACTGACATGAGTTTAACCATTTTGATAAGAAAAAATGTATCACTTGTTCGTATACGTCGCCTACTTGGGCAATAGATGACATACGATCATCGGCAGATCAACAAAAATAGACAGAAAAATGAATATAAAGTGTGTGTGTGTGTGTGTGTGTGTGTGTGTTGAGAAAAAAGCCTTTATGCGTATGACTGAATGACGTCCTTTCCATTTCATTTGTACAAGCGGACCGTACATACATTTAAGAGATACGTGTGTGTAGATAAATGGGGGAGGGAGGTGTTGTTGTTGTAGAGTGGATATCTATCAAGTTATGTTGGTAAATGTTGACACTTTAAAGACCACCACGAAGAGCCAAAACTAGATGAAGTACTGATCCACCTTCAATGCCATAGTGAGATGCTGTCATCTCGTCAGCCCTTTATTCCACAGAAACAAATTCTGTCAGTGGTGAAGAAAAACGGAAGAGGGTACAAGTGCTTATTTCTTACTTACATTTGCTTTCCACTATAAATCAAACGTTGTTGAGGAGGAGGAATACCTTCTTTTTCTTCTACACGCTCCTTGATACGTGAAATCTTATCGTTAGGCTCGATATCAATTTCAATCTTTATGACGAAAAAGACAGTGATGTAAAGGCGTCAAAATAATTTTCGCTTTTAATGGAAAACGAGTTCAAATGTATCTGACTAACTTACTTCTTTACCGGTCAATGTCTTTTATAGACATTTTTCATCGTTTGCGAATGACTGAAGATTAGATGGATTGATTCAAATGCTTATGAAAAAACCTTGAATTTGGTTTGAGATTACCTTCACTTTTACAAGCATTTTACGAAAAGCCTATAGAAAAGAAATGTATACCAAAAAAAAAAAAAAAAGAAATGAAAGGGTGCCTTTTTTTTTTTTTTTTTCTTTTTGAACTGGGCAAACCACGATAGAATTCGATTTCCAGCTCACCGGAAGAAAGAGCGATTTTGCATTAACAACCCACAGACTTTAGTGAATGTGTGATATCGTTTTAGAAACAAAAAAAAAAAAAAAAAAAAAAAAAAAAAAAAGACATTGGGTCAAAGTAGGTTAACTACAAAAGAGGTTGCTGGTGACAGTCCTCCACAGCAACAAACCAGTATCACACTACGACTTTACTGTTCGGAGACAGTGAGGCCCTATGACTGACTTATTCTGTTAGGATGATGGGCAGGCTTCGGAAAGCTGCTCTGTATAGGCTGTGTGTTTTGGTTTATTTTTTTGCCCATTGTAACAATGGAGAAGGATGGTCATGGTGAATGGAACAATAACTGTGATGACAAGAGATGATGGTCTTTAAGGCGTTTGAATTTTTAGTTTTCTTCTTTCTTGTAAAACCTTTATTCTAAAATCAGTAAAAAAAAGTATAGAGAAAACAGAACATAAAAAGAGGACAAGGGAAGGAGCAATATATACATTGGATGATGAATAAAATGATAAACTAGGATTAGTAGGAAGAAAAAAGCAAACGATGAATAAAGAATAGCAAAAGAAACAATGAATAGAGGTGAGGAATGAGGGATGAAATGTAATGAAGTGAAATGAGTGTATGCGTGTGTGTGTGTGGGGGGTTATTCTAAGCATCAAAGACGCTCGTTGTTCTCTTGTCAGAAAGAGCTTGCTGATAAATACGTAAGTAGTCGTAAACAGGACCTTGTTCATGTCCTCTATCCCAAGCCAAGTTGAAGGCGCTCAGCATGTTTCTTAAAGCATACACTTCGTGTAGCACAGGCTGATTCTTGATGGCATTGTAATCTTCGGCAGCGTGTTGAATAGCCAAGGATAAAGTATTGTCACCGGAAGTAGCAGCGGCGTCGAATAAATAAGCGTTGAAGCGATAATGGCTTTCGACATTGTTTCCGGAGACGACTTCTTCAGGCAAACCTCTGTCCACTTCACGATCGACAAGAAATTCCGACAAACCGCCCACACCCGTAGAGATGACAGCTGAACCAAAGGAGAGGCCTTCGGCAGCGACCAGGCCAAAGCTTTCGGTTTGGCTGGGTACGTAGACAAAGTCAGCAGCGGCTCGAGCAAAGATCAAGAATTCAGCTTGCTGTTTCACATAGGGCAAAAGTGCGACTGTGTCGGGGTATTGGGTCTTTAGCTTCTTTAGCTTTTCCATAGGATAGTTGTTGGCTTGGCCAAAGATGACAAACTTCATGTTGTTTGCCTTGAATGCCTTGGCAGCTTCTTCAAACGTATCTAACCCCTTGTTGTATTGGAAGCGGCCCACAAACAAGACAACAGGACGATCCAGATCGGTAGGCCGTAAAACGCCTTGGTCGATCAAGTATTGCTTGGCAGCACGTTTCGTGTGAATGACCCTGTCCTTCTGGCCTTTGGGCAAGGACCAATAATTAGAAACAAGGGCGTTGAGGGCAGCGTCCTTACCGGCAGCAGCAGTAGTAGCAGGGGCGGTGCTGTTCACTTTGTCGGACAAGAGAGTTTTTGCATAGGCAGGATAGTTTAATTTGTGTTGGACCAATTTAGGATCGGTGAAGGGGTTATTCTGAGGGGCGTCGGTGTCAATGCCATTGCTGATACCAAAGAATCGCTTGTTCTCGGCTTTGTGCAGCAAATGAGGCATCACGACTTCCTTCAAATAGAAATCCAATCTTCCTTCGACCATATCCTTGGCCATCGACTCACTGACAAGCGTGACAGCATCTGCGTTATCGATACCCAACGGCGACATGAAAAGATAGTTGCTACCGAAAGTGTAAGGCAACAGGTTGAGCTCGAGATCGTCTTGGAAAGTCCCGTTTTGTTTCGGTGTGTTTAAAAATTTCTGAGCGTTGGGTAAAGTGTTGGTGTATTGCAATTCATCGAGATAATCGTGCATGGTGTAAACAATCGCAGGCGGCACAGATCCCAAATGCAGATCGGGCTCATTGATATACTTGGCGGTATAGGCATTGGTGGCACCGTGCAAATGAACAACGTCTACGCGAGGCGTGGCATCCAAAGCATCAAATAAGGATTGTTCGTGCTTGCCTGTAGCCTTCCAAATAAGGAAATTAGCAGCGGCCTTTGCAAAGAACTGATCTCTCCATTCTTGGGGCAAGCCATCCGCGGCAGAATAGATGGTAGCAGCCGAGGTCGCCTTGAACGCTCTGTTGTAAGGATCCATTTTACCGGGGCCGATCAAGTAGACAGTGATGGTAGGCTTTGTTGCTTGAGCGGTAATGATTTCCAGCTTTTCGTCTTCGGGCAGTTGCTCAAAATTCTCAATCGGTTCAAAGTCATATTGGAATTCAGACACACGATACTCAACAGGCACTGTTCTGTTGCGTTCGTCTTGAAGGGTCAAGTACAAATCGGTTGTTCTTTCAATGGGATATTGTTCAGATTTCTTTAGGAAAGTATAAAAGGGTAAAACGATGGAGGGTTGAATTTTGCCGGTTTTCATCTGTGCTTGAGCTAATGAGGTTAACAAAACACCCATACCGCCCATGGTTGCAGGACCGAATTCCTTAGTGACGTGATATACAGTGGTATCTGCTGGTAAGGAGACTGAGACTGATCTATCTAGCGTCTGGTATGTTAGATTGGGATAATATTGCATGGCTTGTATAGCTATATCAATAATATGAGTAAGATGGCCGCGCGCAGGAAAGGTTGAGTCAGATCATGGAACCCCCTCATGAAAACTTTCTTGTTCTGGCAATTGATTTACTACTACTTACAGAAGGTAACAGGTTCTTTTTGAATAGCCAAGACGGTCATGCCGACAAGAATAGCAGCGACTTCGAATACAGCAATTACTACAATCAGTAATGCCACATAATGCCACCAACGCCAGCGCTTTAGGATACTTCGATGCAGACTAAAGACCGGTTTACTATTGTAGTCTCCATCTGTGCTGAATAGATTTCTTAAGCGTATTTTAGGTCTTGTTGTGGATGGTGTTTGTGTGGTCATTGGCACTATATGGTAATCATTGTTCTTGTCAGCAATCACCATTATAATTGATTACAAAAAAGAGAAAAAAAAAAAAAAAAAAAAAAAAAAGAGATGTGTCGGGTGAAAAGAAACTGAAAAAGAATGCAAAATACAAATAAATAATGAAAAATAGTAAATCATTCCCGTTTAACTTTTTTGTTTGTGTTGTGGTTTTTCAAAAAACTTTTTGAGTGGATTTTTTTTTTCTTTTTTTTTTTCTTCTCTGTTGCAACAATTTGAAACTCCTACCAGTAGAAGAACTCTCATGACACGTGCGAGGAAATGCTGCTCGTTTTCTAGTTTGAATTTGAGAACTAAAGGAACGCATTGGCCCACTTGAACAGTTTCTATAGCTGTAATAATTATCACACGTTGGGATGTCTATAGAGTAACAAAAGATCAATTGTTGAAAAAGCACAACAGTGAATTGTTACAAATGTAGCCTAAAACTGTTTGGGAATAGGTATGGATTTTTGAGGGGAGATCAGAGACATACACAAACACACACACACATAGACACACTGAAAAAAAAAAGGGTTTTTGTTTAAGCCAACAAAAAAAAAAAAAAAAAAAAAAGACTATACGAAAATACGCCATGTTTCATTAAGGCTAAGGTTTCAACAATGAGCTTATCCTTGATGCACACACATAAACATTGACGTGAAGTTTTAAAGACATTTACGCAAAGCTTAAAACAGAGCAAAACCCCACTCAACGCGATCCTAAAACAAAGAATTGTAACGTTTTCCGTACAGTGCTTATTGTTCTTCTTGTAATGTCTTTGGCACTGAAAACAGCACTTTTTATAAAACGAACAGACGCTTTCTTCGTTTTCCACTCATGTTATGTTTGTAGTTTCTCTTCCACGATATCGCTCACTCATTTTGTGTAGATGGTGATGTTGGGTTTCGGAGTCATTAAGAAACCAAAATCGGGGTTTCAAATAGACAAACAAGGAGACATAGAGAGAGAGAAAAAAACTCAAAATGTACGAAAAGCGTTACATAAGTTGTTCTCTTTTTGTTGAGAGGACAACCTATTCCTTCTTTTTATTTTCTGTTTGCTTTTTGCAAAATCATTGGACAAACCACACACACACACACACACACACTCTCTCTCTCTCTCTCTCTCTGTGTAACAAGGAATCTCAAAGATGTTTCACAAAATGGCTTGACTTTTTTTTTTGCGGAGAAGATCTTTTCCGATGCGCGCTTTCATGTGGCTTTCTTTTTTTCTCGAAATGTTTGTTAACATTCTTTAGGCCAGTCATGGGGTTACTTTCTTTTTATGCAATGTCATTTATTTTAGGCTTATTTTGCAAGCCTCTTTACATTTATACGGTAAACATTCATCGTTTGACCTTCATCACCATTGTCACTGCCGATGAGCGCTGCAAGAAAATGAGCGTTTTTTCTTTTTTCCGAAATGAGCCCACGCTAAGCGTTTTCCTGGATTCGCTTCCCAACATTTTCGCACTGTAAAGCTCTTTTTTTTTTTTTTGGACAGGTTTCAACCCAAATTAAGGGAAAATCACGCTTTAAAAGAGCGATATTAAACTTAAGGTACACAATTGCAATGGCCTGAATAAAGGTTTTTCTTTCAACAATCTCAAAAATGGATATTCTATTTTCTGTATGGAGTCCAATTCTTAAAATTCTTGTTGTGATAGAGCTTTTCTTCATAAGAAATATCACGTGAATGAAGAATAAGCTTTGCAGTATAAATTAGCCATTGTTGTTTAACTGGGCTGGTGAGAGCATCTAATGTCAAACGAACTTTTTACAATTCAAAGAGAAAACATGAAACTCCAGCGAAGCTGAATTTTCTGCATTGGTTCTCTTTAGCCAATAGAATCATCGCTTAAAGCCGTAATGGATACTCCGAGCCCCCCACTCATCATGGGGTTAACAGGCATAAACGATGAGCCGTGTTGATCAACCTTTAGTTCCGTGATTAAGATCATAGGCACCCTCTCCTAAATGAAATAGGTACACCAAGACTGCAGAGCGACTTCTTTGATTCAGTTACCAACGCGTCGTTCAATCAATTACTTTTTACATTTGATTGCGTTTATACCTCGCTTTGGGGCCCCCAATAAAATTTTCTGCAGTCTAAACATCTCTGCAGTTTTATAATATATAAAACTACATTATATTTGAACAAGATTAGAGACTCACTTTTTATATGTGTAAACAATAGTCCCAAAAATTCACCATGTACTGAGGACTGAAGGATCAGAATCTAAACCGACTTCTTGTTAGGTCCTCCATTGGAACTCAGTCCACTATATGAGCGAAAAAGAGGTAGGCCTCTTCTTCTTCACATCTAAGAAGAGTGAATAGCTGTTCTACTATGTTACCATCGTGGTTTTTGTTATTGAATGTCTTGAAATAGTCTCAAATTAGTTTTTTGATGGTTATGCAAAAGTTATTCAATGCAAAAATAAATTAAACCATGGTGGACCTGTATGCTGTCTAACTGTAGACTTGAGTCAATACATCGATTTTAAGTAATCTATTATTATCGACAAAACAATTGAGTGATCCCAAAGAACTTGAGGCCGCCAAAATACTTATCATAAGAAATCCGTGTTTCAAAACTGTTTAAAGAACCTAAAAGATCCATTAGTACAGACACTACATTGAAATCACTGTTTCTCGTCCTATTTTGAGAGAGTTTAAAAATGGGGGTCTCGAGTTTGTTCTATAAGAAATTGCAACTTGTATTATATCGTATAAACTTTTCCGAAAAAGTAGCAAAAATAGTTTTTAGAAAAATGGAAAAAAATAATCTACTTGAGACCATAAAGCTTAAAGCTTTCTCAGAGTACTAATAAAATCTAAAGAGTTTTATCGCAACTTTTTGCGTTTTATATCCTCAAAATGCGTGTCTCAAATTCCTTTTACCTGCTTAAAGCAAAAACAAAAAAACGAACTATTATTTTTTACATATAAAAGTGTCGATGGAGACCCAACGCATGGTTCAGACGCAATCAATCTTTTTGGCAACGGTAGTTAAATTCCGTAAGTTGAACGACGCGTTGATACAGGTTCTTTTCCTTTGCTCAATTTGACATCTTGTTTTTTTTTATCATGACAAATGTGTTCAACACTTATCACACAGTAATTGATCTTCCAAACGAGTTAGTCCAAAAGTATACCCAAAAATAATGATTGCAGATGTATCGGTAGTCATAAAAATAGCAACAAGAGTACACATAGATATCAACAGAAAAGCGCAACCTTTCTTTTTTTTTTTTCTTGTTTTCTTGTTTTCAATCCATCTTTTCATCCAATGGATGCAATCACTTATCCCGTTGAAATAAGATAGAAACGGACCAAAACTGAATCGAACCGCAAACGTAGGAACATTTGCATTGGAACTGACGAGGGTGTGCCTGACCTGGAATTTATCTCGCATTTGGAGCTTGGTTTTTTATTGACAGAGGTCACACACACTCTTTGTCCACTTTGAAAGTTTTTGAGATAGAGTTTCGGAGTTTCAATGATCATAGAACAAAGGGGTAGATCATGGATCAATCACCGAATTTAACGATATATTATAATTGATCGTAATGCGGGTTTGAACAAAGTAAAGGGCCGCCTTATGGAGATGTGTAGGTATAGTTTGGTACCTTCAACAAATAGTTGTCAATATCACAACTAGTCTTGACCATTACATACAGCTTGATATCCTTTGTCCCCCCCCTTTTGATTCATGATAACAATTAGATGGCATCTCAGGCGGTGCACCCACTTGGGCAATGAGCACCGTGTTCCTTGTCACCCACTCAAAGCTGCATACCATTCTCAAACTCAATGATACTTGAGAATTTATAAAGTTAGGCTTTTAGTAGCTAAATGCTCATATTTGAAAATGTTGAATCTTTCATGATGCGAAATAGAGGAAAGCTGTTCATCTATGTAGAAAAAATGGAGAGAGTCGTTGCGTCGTCACCTTGAAACACAAATAGTAAAACAACCTTTTTCCACGTCACCAAATCCATTCGATAGGAAGAAAATGGGTGCGTATGGTTCAATTCTCCTTTCAAAGCACTTCAATTGATACATACTAAGCTGTCGTTTCCTTTCCAGCCTTGAAGCGTCTATGTCAAATGCAATAAACTTTGAACATGCTCTTTTGTAAAAGAGCGCTTTTAAAATGACATGATAGACGTTAAAGCAGTATTTCTGCTTGTATGTCATATCAGCAAAACTCACAGAGAGAGAGGGTTTCAATTCAGGCGAATTCATACAACTCCATCAGAAAGTCTTTAATTTCAAGTAGCGCGAGTGGCCTCAAGTCAGTTTGAACAAACAAGCATTTCAAGTGGCTTTCTTTGCTTTTGGCTATACTAAGCAATTAGTCACAAAATAGCTTGAATGCAGCCTATTAGTGAGAGACACGTCCGTAATACAAAGTTTCTTATTTAATCTGTGTTTCCTAATTTATATGGTACCTGTTTGTTCTTTTGTCCTGGATTTGAAGAGCCATAGTGCGAAAATAATTTACTTCTATTTGAAACAATTCTGATACAGAAAAAAAAAAAAAAACGGCTAAAATAGAGTTATTTTAGCCGTTTTTTTTATAATTTTCATGAATAAACAATATTGTGGCAATATCCATTTTTGTTGGTTTTTTTTTTTTTTAGTCAACTATTGACGCTGTTAAACGGAAAATAAGTGATTAAAATGGTTTCCAAGTGGATTAGTTACTAATTTTACTTGCATAAGTGCCTTTGATTGTTAAAAAAAAAAAGCTCGCAAAAATAGAGGCTACTCCTTTTTTTTTCTTTTGTTTCTAAAATTTTGGTTTTTTTTATTTTTTTTTTTTGTTTCTGACATGATCCACCTCCGCCGCTGTAAATAACTTTTATTTTTTGTTTCTTTATTTTCTTTTATTTATTGATACGTTGATGACAAAGCGATTATGATAAACTGGCCTATTACATTTCAATTGATTTGATTCTGTCATAGACAAAATGGTTTGATTTGTGTCTTTCCTCTATTAAAACATGTCTTTGCGACCTTGATAAAAATGGACGAGTACAATGAAAACGGATCGGTTCGAGGGTATTGGGATGTGCGGGATCGGAAAAAATTGTCAGGGCAACATCAGCCGAGAAAAAAAAAAAGACTATGTGGAGTGAAACCTGCAACTGTATACAGTGATGTGCACCCGATTACCGTGAGAAAAAGAGAAAAGCAGAAACAAAAAAAACCATTTTTGAGCGGGTGCACGTATAGAATACACATTGGATATAGGAGTGATCCAGGTGCAAGGGTATTGCATTTCCAACGTAGGCAAAATGTTGTGTTTCGGTTGTTTGCCTGTAACCTCCCCTCCCCCTTTTCTGACTAAGAGATGACTAGTTTTCATTTCATTTTGATCCTTGGGGATATAAACAGTGAAAGACCTGCTACTGCATACCTTGGGGGATATAAACAGTGAAAGACCTACTACTGCATATTTTGATGTTCCGTTTCAAGAGCAAACCATCAAAGGGAACCATACACACATATGCATACATATGACAAATGATTCACAAAACAAACAAAACATGAGAGTCGATTGTGAAGCATAAAGCAAACCATGCTTTTTTGGGGGGAGGGGGGGCGGCATCCTATCACTCTTCCATGTTACTCGTTTCATTTCAATACATTTTTTTTTATTAATTTCGGAATAGGATAATGTGCCTAAATGATTCTCATCGATATTGTAATGCTTATTAATGCGTCTAAATAGATAGACCAATGTTTCTATACTGACAGGAAAGTAAGACAGTCAGGAAAAAAGGAAAAAAAAAATAATCCAATCTCCTCATGTAGAGAGAGAATGAGAGAGACACAGAAACAGAGACAGAGAGAGAGAGAGAGAGAGAGAGAGAGAGAGAGAGAGAGAGAGAGACATACACGCAGCGAACGAGTGAAAGACAGTCATAGAAAAACATAAGCATTATAAACAAACACAACTGACTACAGCGATGTATACAATTACAAAGTGATTGTACTACCAAAAATACTCGTTTTTTTTTTTTTTTACAAACAAACATTTTTGAGTTTAGTACGGTAATCGCTTTTGCACATCTTTACAAGCCATTTTTGCCCCTACCGTTCAACCTTCCTTATGAATGACTCGTCAATTAATATAAACAAAATGAATGATGAAGAGTTTTCATTGATAAACATTATGTATTTATTTACAAGGAAAAGAAAAAAGAAAAAAAAATTGAGAATAAAAGTGAGAGCGAATTATTAAGTGTGAATAGTTATATTCATCTACGTGCAAAAGGTACATACAAAAAAACAAACAAACAAACAAAAAGGAACAGGGTATGAGTTTTCTTCTTTTTTTTTTTTTTTTTTTTTCTTTAATTCAACAGATTATGGATTTGCATCACTTGACACGACGGTTCGTGAGGCTGATGTGAGAAATAGGCTGCTGCTGTTGTATTCGTAGTAGCAGTAGTGGTAGTAGTCATTGTTGTAGGCGTGCTGCTAGTGGAGCGTGGCGGCGGAATAGTGACGGGATAACTACTGTTATAGTGCATCATATTGTTGTTGGTGCTATGATGATATGCAGAATGGTTCATGTTGTAAGAAGGATGAATACTACTTGGAAACTGATGCTTATAATAAGGATGGCCATGGCTATTATCATTCGTAGAATTGGGTGCTAAACGTAACATTGGGGTATCCGGTAGACATGGTGTTGGTGATAAAGCTGAATAGGAAGAAGAAGAAGGAGAAGAAGAAGAAGCAGTCGTAGCAGGAGGGGGAGGAGGAGTAGCAGTAGCAGTAGCAGTAGCAGTAGCAGTAGTAGGCGTCGTCATAGTATCATTGGAAGAAGCAGTGTTGCTGGTAGGCATGCCGACTGATGTTTTCCTTCTTAAAGAACTTGAAGAACCTTTAATAAAGGACCCATTCTTGAATTTTTCCATATAAGTTGGATCGATGGTCCAATAGCCACCTTTTCCTCTATGTTGACCATTTGTATCAGACTTTGGTATCTTTTTGAAGCAACGGTTTAAAGATAAGTTATGTCTTATCGTATTCTGTAGTGAAAGGGATAAAGTAAACAAGTTAGATTTTTTCGTCATTGCAAAACCCTGTAGAGTAGGGATAGTCTTCTTTACCTGCCATCCTGTATCCTCTGCATTGTACAGAGCGGGATACCGTGCTGTGATCCAACTGTAGATATCTCTTAGTGTCATACGTTCATGTTCACTCTCGAGAATAGCCTGAGCAATCAAGGAAGAATAAGAAAAAGGGGGTCGTCGCCTCTTTCTAGGCGGCTTGATCAGATTAGGCGCCATGGGTATGAACGACTCAGACACAATATGTTGTTGCAACTGCTCTGTTTGTGCTTCGGAGCGAAATTGCTTAACAGAAGCCACTAAGTAAGGATGACGCATCATCACAGGAATAGGCGGTAGACTACATTGGTTATTATTGAGAACGGGTGATGAACTAGTGGCTCTGGAACTCGTATCGAGATTAGACGGTAATGGAGGGTAGTCCTGTGAGCTGCCTGTTTTCAAATGATAGGGTGGCGTAGATGCTGTAGAATAATGAACGGAAGAGGAAGAAGTAGAAGAGGATAAGGATGAAGTTGTATTAAGCATATATATATATATGTATTAGAAAAAAAAAAAGGCTCTGCAGTTTTTCTTTTTGAATAAAGTCGAGATAATTGGTAATGAATAACTTCAATTGTTTTATATTTGAAATAGTCAATTGCAGAAACAGATAAAGAAAAAAAACGATGCCGATTAAACAGAAAAAGAGGAAAGAAAGAAAGAAGAACAAGGCCAAAAATAAAAAGGTTAAATTATCGATTCAGAGTGAGAAGAAAGAGAAAAAGCAGTGGAATTTCAAAATCAGCTTCTTCTTTTCATTGGAAGACAAGGCAAATCCCAATAAAACCGCGCATTGAAGGTCATTCCTTTCATATTAAGCAAATAAACAAACAAAACGAACCAAAAAAAAAAAAAAAAAAATTAGACCTGTTTATTACTTTTTTTTTTTCTATTTGAAAGTTGGCGGCCTTTTTTTTTTTTGTTTTCTGCAGAAAGACGGATAATTATCCTTTTTTCCTATTCGGGATCTATCTTCAATTTTTTTTTTCTTGCATTGTTTCTTTTTTTTTTTTTTGGTTGTTTAAAAAAAGTGTCGACAGGGAATGGGCGTTAACGAAACGCACACTTATCGAAAGCTTAAATCTACGTACACACCCCATATAAAGTTAACAAATACAATTACAAGCAGTGTACAACTATTCCCTTTCAATTTTGATTGGTTATGGATTAAAGTTAATCTCGATTCATATCACCGTTATTGTCATGACAACCTGCATTGTATACATAGTTACCATAATAAAACGATAAACATAGCTATTTACTATCGTACAGAAAACGGTGATACTAGCTTTATTATCGACTTCTCCATGCTTAAAACTTGAATTTTTGTCTACTCAAGAACAACAAAGCCAAATTCTCTACTTTCTTCATCTAAACTTTTTCATATGTCATGTTAAAATATCTGGTTTTTCGCTGCAATAGTTGGACTTTCGAAATGGGGTAAGCGTTCATCTTCCTATGTTTACAATAATGCACAAAATCAAAAAGGCACATAATCTTTCCCAAGGTTTCTCGGCTATGGCAAATAAGAGAAACGATTTGCGCAACATGTCTTTTATAAATCAATCTTTTTCCCCTTATTCGACATCTATCAAAATGTTTGATACAACAGCAAGCACAATCTACTTTTGTAGGTGTGGTTACCGGGAAGGGTGGATTGGGGAAAACCCAAGCAATAATGCTCGCGTCAAAAGTGCAGCTAGCTATTATTCGGTATAGAAGTCACTCAATACAGAGGGTACAGAAAATGGACGTTCTTTTTAGAGCGCGCATGGAGGCATGTGCCATTGAATAATTGATGCTCATTCTCTATGCACAAAGTCAAGTTATTGCTTTTCCTTCTCCTTGGAGCAGGGTTCCCCCTTAGAAACACTTCGGGGAATTCGAGGCTTAACGGAGAAACCGACGATTGACTTGCTAGAAACCTTAATATCCGTTACTGAACAAATTGTTCATAGAACGACAAACCTATCTATTACTGCATGAGTCGGCGATTCGGTGGACAATTTATCATTGCTGACAAACATATCAATAAGCCTATGCCTAGGAATTATCGTGTGATCAGCCAAAGCCATTGTGCCATTGGTTAAGTTTCTTGATGTAAATCACTCTTTTTGAACTCTCTGTTAAATACACTCGCTTGTTACCGAAGAGTCTATTCTTCGAAAATGAGTGGTAATTTATTTGAAAGTTTCATAAAGAAAATCGATTTATCCATCTCCCACTACTACTACTGCTGCTGATGCTGCTGCTGTTATCATCTAGTATGCTTGATTCAGAGCATAAAAGGCCTAAAGTCAGCTTTTAACTTTTGACCAAAGGTTGAACGCATAGAGAGGCTTCGGGCGCATCCATATGCCTCCGTTCTACATAAAAAGGCACAAAATAAATGGACAGACGACTGCTCACGCGTCAACATCTATCTCTTTAATTGAACAGTCCTTGACACAAACATCATTTATGTGTATACGACTGCTTGAAAACGACAAAAATGGTTTTTCACCATGTTTTTAAATAACTTGAAAGCAATAGAGGCTGATTCCGAATAAGTCAAGGCAATACTCTGTTGCACTGTTCTCTCTAGTGGCTATGTTCGTAATGAGATACCTCGACGTCCCTTCTTCTGTCTTTGATGAAAAGTTAGACATCTGAAGGAAAGGTGTTAAGGAAGAATGTGCAAAGCGGCACCCAATGGATAGAGAAAACTATATAAAGGAAAAAAAAAAAAAAAAAGAGAGAGAGAGAGAGAAATGAAAAAACGCTAATGGTCTTTCTCATCACTTAGGATGCCTGGTCTAGAACGCCCGTCCCCTTCCCTCCGCTCTTGTATGATTCAAAAGTGTAGTAAAATAACTGTCAATAAACGTTTTCATCTACAATGACAATGGATCATCATTTCACAACTCGAGGGTACATTTATATCAAAACAAAGGTTTGAAACACCGTATATCAAATCTAAACATAAAACTTAAGGAGATGATGCCTCTCTGTTTTGCTAATCATGATTCACTGGAAAGATCTGTTGGCCGACAATAGGAGTTACACGAGTCCTCCGTTTCCTTAAATATGTGCTGATCACTGTTTACAGCCACATCCAGCCTTTTTCTCCAGTAGTACGACATTTGATTATCGTCACTTTTTGATTTTGTAGTAATTGCCCTTCTTTTTTATACACAAGACAAATAGTGATATGTACCAAAAAGCAAGAACAAAGTTTGGAATAATAGTTTGTAACTTGTAAAAGGATATTTAAGGGGGGAAAAGTTCAAAATGCAAGGAGATTATATAAACTGTTTGTAAATACATATATGTATATATACATATTGTTTATAAGAGTATTGTACGTTTAATACACACGGGCAAATGGAGGTACGGGTTTACATTCATTTTCATCTAAAGTAGTGGCCGTCACACCACGATAACTCAATGTCACCTCACCCGTTTCTTGATTTTGATAAGATAAAGTATGCTTCATCCACTTTTCATCATCACGTTTGGGATAATCGTCACGGGCATGAGCACCACGCGATTCAGTACGGACAGCAGCAGAATGCATTGTTTGAGAGGCACAAGTGAGCAAGTTTTGAAGCTCCAAAGTTTCCGTCAGATCTGTATTCCAAATCATACCACGGTCTGAGATACCAACATCTCTAAAGGATTCCCAAACCTTATCAATTTTCTTGACACCTATAAAAAGAATTCAGCTGAGTCAATAGGCTCTCTTTTACTATGAAGACTCAACCAAGGGAATTTCGCAACAACAACAACAACAACAACAACAATTTACCTTCATCCAAAGTTTCTTGAGTTCTAAAGACAGCAGCATCCGCTTGCATTACCTTTTGCATATTCAAACGGATTTGAGAAGTATGTTTGGGGCCTTGGGATTGACGCAACTTATCTAAATTAGCGATCGACTTTGCACCTGCATCAGAAGCAAATGGCTTCAAGGGTGTGTTGGGCTCCAAGTTCTCAGCAATATGATGAGCGACAGCACGACCAAAGACAACAATATCCAACAGCGAATTGGCGCCCAAACGGTTAGCGCCGTGTACAGAGACACAGGCGGCTTCACCGGCTGCATACAAACCTGGGACGACCTCATCTTCGCCCTTTTCGTTCACCTTGATGACTTCACCAGTGTAACGAGTAGGAATACCACCCATGTTGTAATGGACGGTAGGCAAGACGGGAATCGGTTCCTTCGTCACATCCACACCTGCAAAAATGGCGGCTGTTTCTGAAATACCAGGCAATCGCTCCTTCAACACAGAGGCCGGAAGATGGTGCAATTGAAGATAAATGTGGTCCTTTTCTGCACCGACACCGCGGCCAGCCTTAATTTCCAACGTCATGGCACGAGATACGACGTCACGGGAAGCCAAGTCTTTTGCCGTAGGCGCATAGCGCTCCATGAAACGCTCGCCAGCAGAATTGACGAGATAACCACCTTCACCGCGAGAACCTTCGGTGATCAAGCAACCTGAACCGTAAATACCCGTAGGATGGAATTGAACGAATTCCAAATCTTGCAAAGGCAAGCCGGCGCGAGCTACCATGGCATTTCCGTCACCTGTACAGGTGTGAGCAGAAGTACAAGAGAAATAAGCCCGACCGTAACCACCGGTCGCCAGCACCGTCTTGTGCGATCTGAAACGGTGAATCGTACCATCTTCCATATTCAAAGCAATGATACCCTTACATTCACCATCCTCCATGATGAGATCGAGAGCAAAATACTCGATGAAATAGTTGGTGTTGTGGCGCAACGATTGACCGTAAAGAGTATGCAGAATAGCATGACCCGTACGATCGGCAACGGCAGCACAACGATAAGCTTGGCCGCCCTTGCCATACTTTAAACTTTGACCACCAAAGGCACGTTGGTAAATCTTACCTTCGTTCGTTCTAGAAAAGGGAACGCCATAGTTTTCGAGTTCAATAACCGTATTGGGAGCTTCACGACACATGTAATGGATAGCATCTTGGTCACCAAGCCAATCAGAACCTTTCACTGTATCATACATGTGCCATCTCCAGTCATCCTCAGTCATATTACCAAGAGCGGCATTGATACCACCCTAGTCGTTTTACAATAGGATCAAATGATTCGTTTTAGGTTCACTTGCTTCATTCTTCTTTGTCTATCATGTTTTTATTCATTACCTGAGCTGCTACAGTGTGAGAACGAGTTGGGAATAATTTGCTAATGCAAGCAGTATTCAAGCCTGCCTCAGCGAGACCAAAAGCTGCACGAAGACCAGCACCACCAGCACCAACAACCACCGCATCATACTCATGATCAATGATAGGGTATTTACTGGCAATAGGCCCCTACATCATATTGAAAAAAAAAATGTATGAGAAAAAACGTTGTTCTCTAAAACACATACTGTTGTCCCTTCTACCAAATGAAAACGACTCAATACGAGTCGATTCCACCTGTTCTTTGCCCTTTTTTTTAAAAAAAACCTTCCCCCACAGGAAAAGAAAAAAAAAAACCAAAAAAACCTACAGTTGCTTCAGTTGCACGAAGTGGTTGTGAAGCCATTACTTGCATGGCAGGTTTCGAATAATGAAGTTGTCGGGCAGCAATTCTATTGACATTACCTAAAAGATGTCGGAGGGGGTGGGGGTTCGTAATGAGCATTCCGTTTGTTTTGTTTTTCTTCGTGCAAAAAACAACAGGGGCGAAAAGTCTCTTGATAGAATTCGAGACAGGAACTTACTAGAAACACGTAACTGAATTTATTGTCAAATAAATGTGAACAAGATGTTAGGTCCTTGCCAGCGAACACATCTTGGTTGCCAAATGACGAACAATGCCATGTCTTTCTTCAAGTACAACTTACAAGTTTATTTGACTGCAAGAACTTCAACATGATCGATTTCTATTTAAAACGGCTTTGCAGAAAAAAAGAGAGAGGGGGGTGGGGATAATAAGCTGTACCTGTTAATTGTAAGAGAAAGGCAAAAGAAAAAAGTGTGTCTTTTGTGTAAAATGAAAAAGACGAAAACGCAGGTAATCTAGAGAAAAAAGGGGGGTGGAAATAAGAAACAAAGGGAAAAAAAGAAAAAAAAACTAGAGTTCAACGAGTGAAAAACAGCACTGTTGGTTTAAATACAATGTGTGTATGCAGTGTCTTTTTCACGCTTTATCTTCCTCGTAGTTTGAAAATTATCTGGGAAAACAGCTCTTTGTATAAAAAGAGTAAGAATTTTGATAAGAGCTTTTTCTCATGTTGACTTTGTATATTTGTACTATAAAATACGGTGAATTAAACATGGTCCCCTTGTGTATATATGCTCTTTTTGTTTTCACATGATAAATGAAGCGATTATATTGGCTGACCCCGCAAAACAGTATAGACATCGGGTTTGAAATTGAATCCCCTCTTCCGTTGTGAAAGGAAGGAACAGCGTTTATTCAGGTGTAAGCAGAGAGAAAGACACAAGGAGTGACGTTGCCATCATCAAGGATTTAGGGGGAGGGTGTATTTGGCGTTTAATTGACTTCTTTATCTTTCTCATATTGGCCTCTGATCATTCTCATCATTTGTCTACTTTTCTTTTCAAAAATTTCAAGTTTCTTGTCTAAATGCTTCACCTGTAACTTTAAATCATCGTACGCCAAACGCATTTCTTGAATCAAATCCTGATCATATTGGTGCTGCTGCTGTCGCGTCGTTGGTATTGGTATAGAAGAAGCAGAAGATCTTAGATCATTCTGCGTGAGAGACGAAAGCGTACTATTCTCACTGCGGATCGTGGCTTCAACCTTGTTATTATTGTAATTCTGTATCACGAAAACGGGATGGCTGCTGTTCATTGTTATTGCTGTTGGTACTCCCATCGCTTCATTCGTTGTTGTTACTAAGCTTGTATTATCTGTTTCTTTAGTACTACACTCATCTACATTGTTTCTTTCCTTTTTACTGCAGCCCTCTTTTTGATGAGCTGCCTGAAACGCGTTTTGTGAAGAGCCCAACATGATCAAAATAGATTCGCATTCATCCCAAAGAAACGCTAATTCATCTTCCAACTGATGAATAACTGCTGAATATGCATTACTGTTACACTCTTCTTTCTCCTTTTGTTTGTTGCCCTTTGTTTCCTGGTGATTCCTCCTGTCTGATGGGCGTCGTTTCGTTCCGATGGTAGTCATACATGAATGCTGAATCAAAGGCATGCTATTTGACGAAGAAGCTCCTATGGTGGAGTGTTGAATTTCATTTCGCTGTTGGGTCGTCGTACTGCGTGTTTGTTTTTGTGCAATGGTACGAACAACAGATGAGAAACCATTTTCTTTTTCTTCTTGTTTGGCTTGTCTTCTAGATTGTTCTTGCTGAAATAGCTGTTGTTGTCGTACTTCTGTATCACCTGAAAGTCTTTGCTTCTTGTTCTTGATCCTTTTGAAGTTGCTACTTGATTTGCACGCCCATGAAATGGAAGGACAGCAGCTACATGCATGAGATGTTGACGCCGACATTGTACTTTTGTTCAATCTCACTGTGTCGGCTTCCATTGTATCCTTCAGCATTGTCCATTGGTTTGTGTCATTTTTATCAACTGCAACTGTTGAGAATGTACCCTTGTTTCGACCAGAGTCTAGATGATGCTGTGTCACAGGCTGAACATCAGCACTCATTCTATAAATATTATTGTTCATGACTGATTCGTGATTCATGTTGATAGTAGTAATAGTAGTCGTCGTAGTAGTATCTAAGGGTATATGTCGAATAAACGGTGCAGATATTGGTATTAGAGTGGTTTGGTATGATGACGGCTGCATAGAGTAATTAGAGTGGTTGCCATAAAACTGTGGGTGATCCGATGGATGAATGCAATCGATGGAACCCGTGGTTCCTGACCATTCTTGCGAGATGATCGGTGGAAAGATTGTAGGTACTGCAGACCTACTGTGGATTGGATTTTCTGTAGAAAGTGCTGGTACTCTATAAGATGCTATCGTTGAATAATAATGGTTCCTGTTCCGCCGCTGCTGTGTCGGTATTGGGGATTCAGAATAAGAGTATGACGAAGGCACATTCTGATGATGTTCTTGTAAGCTCAGTTGCAAACTGTGCGGACTGTCGAGTTGTTCTGGTTTATTTATGCTGGCCACTCGACTGCTGCTATCAGTGATTGCAGCCTTGGGACTATTCAACTGTGGCAGTTCGGCGACATAGGTGTTGTTGTGCAAATTGTCCCATTCTTCATTACAGTAATTGTACATGAATTAGTCAATGAACGGCCTGATAAAACACGTACGTAAATACCGTCAATGAGATTGAAATTACATACAAATTGCTAATAGTAGGCAATTGATTATAGTGATTGTTTTCATTTAGAATATACCTGAAGACTGCAAATTTAGCACGGATAAGTGATGGAGGGGAAAAAGAAAGATAAAGAATTGCAAAAAAAGAAAAGAGAGGAAGGCAAAGCATCAAGCCGTTCGTTCTTTCCTTTTCATTTCCTATCGCTCACTTTATCTTTTTGGGACATTCGAATGTATTTTTTTTAGCTCAGTAAACAATAAAAAAAAAGAAGGGATCCGGAAGCGCGCCACACAAACAAACGAAACAAAAGTGAATGCTCCCTCAATGCAGGACTAAAATTTTAAGCATGTGGCTTGATATAGCTCAACATGGTTGAACAGAGATATGTTTATTTTTAAATTCGGGAAATACAGAGCCTATGAACAACTTTACGTCAATAGAAGCTTACAAGAATTCAGAAAATTTTCCTCGTTATTGCCCCTTCCAGCGCGTGCACTCTCTTCAGGATAATTTCTTGGCTGTCAATAAAGACTATTTCCAATTGAAATGAATAGTACAAACACTGGAGATACAGTTTGATTACTCTTGCTCCCTTAGGTTGAAAGGGGCTTCATGGTTTAAAAAGACTGCTATACTAAGAACGGCACTCTCTTCCTGAATTGTCCATATATCCGTTGTACACTGAATAACCTTAATCACTGAGATGAATTATTACATGAAAACAATTATAGGCATTTTCCCCGTAAATTCTTTGTATATTAGTTAGCTAAATGTGTACCTTAAGACTATACGTTTTTTTTTATTGCTCTTGCAAAAGACATTGTACAAAGGCAATTTAGAAAACTCTAGTAGGAACGTTAAGTTCGTTTGTTCCTGTCTCAAGGATGAGGTGTTAGGCGTATCACGCGCTTAATAGTTTGTAGCTCATAACAGATGATGGGTATATAGATTTTATAGCTCTGTATTCCTGTTGACAAAAAAGGTTAGATATGCGAACGTGTGACGAATCAATCGAAATATAGCTTTGCTGAAAATAATGAGCAGGGCCCTGGCGGCAACGCAGCATACTCTTTCCGCATGAATTTTAGTGCTCTCCTGGTGTATTAAAAGAAAAGACCTTTGTTTCTTTTGCTTACTCGTACAACGTTGCACATTATGTCGTTTACATGAAACAAGGGACGAAAGAATTTTCCCTAATTGAGTCCATGATCCGGGCAACTCATCTCTTCCAATTCGATCAAACCTATGAAAAGCACAGTCATCAACACGCTAAACAAGAGGGTACTTCTATCTCAGTACATTCCTTCCATCCATTCTTTTCAAGATATGTAACATAGACATACGAACGCTGACAGAGTAACGCTGCAATTCCAAACGTTCCTAGACAAGATGTTCATCACTGGCATTTTATTGCAGCAGTGGGACATAACTAGAATTTTAGATTATGATAGAAAAGCGTTTGATATTCTTTAGTTGAATGGGCATTGAGATACTCTATGTGTCAGCTACAAATGCATAATCTTTGACTATGAATAAATAACTGTTCCGAATTGTTGGGAACTGAATCCAATCGAACAAAGAGAAAAAAACCGTGTTCAAGTAGCTTTTTTCATGCTTTTCGTATACCCATAATAACAAACAAGAAGAAAAAAACTCTTTTTTATCAAGTCTAAATCCAGCTTCCCGTAACCATTTATCGAAGTCTGACTTCGTCAACATAATATGCAAACAAAGCGACATTGAATTACTAATGTGTAGTTTTCCGATATGTACAAGAAGTGCGTGGTACTTTCATTGAATTATAGAGTATGTAGTCATTTATGAATAAAAAGTTTCCAACATGGTTTGACAGCGGAAATTGAAATTAAGAAGATAGACGTTTCTTTTCACTTTTTTTGTCTTAGGTAGAAGAGGGATAGACTAGCAGCAATGTTTTTCAAGGAAGCTGTTTTAAAGATAAACATCTACTTCATTTTAGAGTTTCTGCTTTCATTTCTGACTTTCAATAGTCTTTGTTTGGATTGAAAGATCTTTATATGGAAATGGTATTATTTTTAAACATTTTTAGAGACATACGAACACTTTTGGGACAGCCTATCCGCAGCATTTTCGAAGAACACGCCTCAGAGGATCGAGGATATTCTATTGGAGATTCATCTTCAATAAAAAAAATTGTAAATATGGAACATAGGGTGATTGTTGCTTTTTTCTATTTCTCTATTACATTCCATATACAAACTGTACTATTCTACTAGGGCAAAAATAGATATATATTTGAAACAGAAAGAGTTCAGCCTAATTTTTTGTCTCAATTTTATTGTTCCTTGCGTCTAAAAGTTTCGGTTGTCTGATCTTTCAGAAAGCGAGGAAGAAGAGGCTGATCATAAGCTAGAGAAGCAAATGCCCTGAATCAGATTGGTTGAAGCGTGAGAAGGTTTTTTGAAACATAGAACATCATGTTTCTTTGAGTGATTTTTGCTCAATCAAATATCATCTTGCCTCTACTCTCTTTCTTTTTTTTTTTTTTTTGATCATCCCGGCTTCATTATCTTGGGACTATGATTGAAAACCTTATTCCAATACCTCAATTATCAGGAGATTACAATGATGAATAGTTTTCATTCTACTTGATTAGTAATAGAAGGCATTGCTTTAGACGCCATTGTTGGTTTTCTATTTCTTTCTTTTTTTGGTAATTTCCCTTTAGGAAGTAACAGAAACTGGACGTTTCAGTAATTTTTTTCTTTTTTTTGCATATCTACTTAATGAATTGATGAGTAAGATTATTGTAAGCAAAAGGGCTTCGGCGATATTACTCAAGTAACGGAATGCATCAAATTGTTTCGAGCGTAAATGCGCGAGCAGACAAGGCACGAAAGTTTCTATAGAAAATAATCAACATTTGGGCATTATCAGCAGCATTTCTATTGTTAGATTATCTTTGGATTATTCGCAGCTAATTATCATTTATAATGCAGTGTGGATATAAAAGCTTATTGTTCCCTAGAATAATTATCTTTGTCTCATTGTCTGATTCATATACCTTGTCATTGGATCTACCACTATCTATCAGATAATCCACAAACTATGCTATTGATCTCGATACTATACTTGGCCTTTCTGTACTACTCAAAAAGTCCTTGATTTGAAACTAAAAATATCAGTAACTGTCATAGACTGTTAAGAAGAAATTTTGCATTAGTAGGCTTGTTACTACTGAGCCGTTATTTCTTATGTTTTAAACTTTTTTTTTTATCGTTTTTTGTTTGGCCCATTTTCAAAATACTGGAATTGAACAAACGCTATTTGAATAAGACAAATTGCAACTGCTTCTGTGCATACATATACACTGGATCCATGGCAAATATATGCATTCTGAGTCCTAACTCTCGGCTCTCAATTGCAAAATTACTGATTATCTACTATTACTTTTATCTACAATGGTGAGTAATCCAATGGTAGGCACCGAAAAAAAAAAATCTTTTTTTCATACTATCATTGCTTAGAACAACGTTTGAAACTTTTTGAAACGGAGCTGTTGTTAAGGCAATGCCTGAAATTCAAAAATATTATGTCAAAAGAAGATGATGGTGTCACCTATTTATATTGGGGGCGTTTATCACACTTTCTGCTTTGTGCTTTTGCAGTTCTTTTCTTCTTTTTTTTTTCTGGAATCACGAAAAAACCAGTTTTGTTCTTGATGCTTTAAATGAACACATCTCAACAACTCAATCATCCCATAAGTAGAAATCAGCCTCAGTTACAGAATGGGTCTCAGTTCCCAGGTTATCTAAATGAAACAGCAGCCACAACAGTTCCAGGAGCTGCGACAATTCCAACGACTGTACCTTTGAAAAGGACACGAGCAAAGCGAAGCTGTGATTTTTGTAGAAAACGAAAGTCTCGATGTGATGCTGATACCTCAATACCTTGTTCTAATTGTCGAGCTGTAAATATAGAGCTGAATTTACTGACATTATCAACGCACAAAAGAATGAACTAACAATTATCAATATGTAGTGGGGTTATACCTGTGAATTCCAGACAGTGCGTAAGAAACGTGGCCCTCCCAGTGTGTAAGGAAAATTGGCTGATTTCGTATGGCAGTGAAAGTTTAAATTAATCCCCTTGTCTTGTCTCATTTTCCACTTTTTAGTTATGTAGATAATTTGGAAAAGAAATGCAAAAAGATGGAAGCACTTTTGTCAACTTTGACCAATTGTTCGATTAAAGACCTCGAACGGAATGATTTTAAATTTACGGGAGAAATCAAACCCATTACGGCTGTTTCCCATAACTCTTCTGATACATCTTCCTCCGAAGACGAAGATGAGAACAAAAGTGACGCTACTCAGCAAAATCAAAATCTTCCACAAGACATTAAAGACTATGATTCCATCAAATATACCGGCCAATCATCTGCAGGACCAAAGTTATTCGACAACGACATTTTCAAAACACAAGCAACTATACCATGGCCCGGACGCAATAATGTTGCCTTGAAAATGATGTCCCAGGATGAAGTGATGATTGTTCGCACTGAAAAATCTTCAATCACAGGGCAATCCGATATGATCTTGGATGTTGGCTTAAATATGAGAGCTCCTATTTTCGATTACAGTTCCCAACCAAATCCAAGCATCAGTTCACCTTCTTCCACACGTCTCAAAAACAAAAAACCACCACGCCAATTACTCGATAAGATGATCGACTTGTAAGTTTTTTTTTTTTTCGCACTTGATAACATTTTCTCCCTCTTGATGCAGGTTCTCACTCTTTTCCTTTCTATGCAATAGGTATTTTACGCATATCCATCCATTTCTACCTATCATTAATAAGCCCAAATTTTTCCAGCAGTACAACAATAATATACCTAGCAAACTACCCTCAATTTTGTTGCAAGCGGTACTTGCTCTAGCATTTCGCTTTGTTTTTCAACATAAGCCACACATGGCTAAGGATGCCGAGGAGTATGGCGATTTTTACTTCAGGAAGGTTATGAAACGATTAAGAGATTCTGCTCGCTCTCGATTATGTCACGTTCAAGCTGCCTTACTAATGGTTTTATATCTTGATATGGACGACGGTGATGTCGAATCTATCCAATATTGTACTCTTGGATCTGCTATACGTATGGCCCAAGATCTGGGACTTCATCGCTCTTGCGCTAAATGGGATATTCCTCGTTCAGAGGTAGAAACTCGCCATCGAGTATTTTACGCCTGTTATGTAATGGATAGATGGCTTGGCGCTCGTGCCGGTAAACCTCTTACGATACTGGACAGAGATTTTGATACTGATATGCCTTCTCCATACGAGATTGTTGATGACGACAATAATAATTCTACAGAAGTGAATGGTGCGCCCATTTATCGAAGCTTCATTGCTTTGATTAAATTGTCTGAAATTCTTGGCAGAGTGTTGAAGGCTCTTTATGCACCGAATGCCAAAATTGCCAATACAAAAGCAGGTTTAGATGATCCAACGATATTAGCTGTATTCGATAAGCGTTTGCACCAGTGGAGATGCTCTTTGGATGAGCCCGTTGACAATACTCATTTCTCAGATATTGAGAAACGTAAGTTTATAGCTTTTTTCACACATTCCACGCATTCCGTTTATTTACGTCTCTCTATGTTTATTCTGTATATGTTAAATAGTCAATCTGCAATTGTATTACTATACAGTCATGCTGCTTTTGCATAGACCTTTCAACCAACTGTCCGTAACTGAATTCCCCAATCTGAAATCTATTGTAACTGAATCTCAAAGAGTATGTACGAATGCAGCAGACAAGCTTTCCCAAATAGTACATCAACGCCAAAGCTTCAAGTCAGATGTTGGATTCTATTATGTTTTGTGCTCCCCTACGTGGTATATTTATGCGTTGTTCCAATCATCCCTAGTTCACCTCTTTAATGCTATCCATGACAAGAATGCACAGACTATTCGATCATTGCATCAATCCATTCATTTAATCAATATGAATCAAGACCTTTCTTCTGCTTCACGTGCGGCCGAGATATTGCTCGTTCTTGGCTCAATTAATGGTTTAAATCTGGATGATAAAGCCGTTGAAAACACGTCCGTCACAGTAAAGCAAGAAGATTTGACACCATCTACTTCTTCTTCCACACCAACTGTAGGCTCAAATTTAAGTATCAGTTTGACTGACTATGACGGCGGCAATACCAAGCTCAGCATGGGTGACTTCCCCAAAACACAGTACGTTCAACATCGTTTAATGAACACAAGTATTATCGGTGGTATTACACCCGATATTCAATCTGACATCGGGATAATTATGGCTCAATCACCCAACTGGCACGGTCAACAACAGCAACAACAACAACAACAACAACAACAGCAGCAGCAGCAGCAGCAGCAGCAGCAGCAACAGCATCAACAACAGCAACAGCCGCAGCCGCAGCAACAGTTACGAAGACAACCTCAGCATCAACTGCCATTACCGCATTTAAACAGTTATTCTCCAGATCTTGCTCAATTTAATGACGCCCAACAGTTTGCACATCAACGTTCGTTTTCTGGAGATCGTACTTCTGTTCCTCATCAACCACAGCAAATGCAGCAGCATCACGCCTCCTCTAGTCCACACATGCATTCTGCCTCAGAAGAACAATATGGCAATATGATGAACACGCACGTGTCCTCTTCTCCGCAGTCTCTACTGAATCAAAACCCTAACGCGAATCATATGATGAACGACTGTTACAACCCTTCTTTATCACCGAATCAACAGCACCAGAGAGCTGCTCAACACCAACAACACTCAACTAGGCAAACTTCTTCCATAACACATCAGCCGCAACATCCTTCACCTTCAGCCACTCATGTTCCTGCCACTACTACCGCGAGTAATAATATGACCGCGACGATTTTACTTGACCCTTTCCAAGGCTCTTTACCTCAAGCACCGCAAGCCTATACAGCAGCTTATGATCCTAATATGAATGTCACTCCTACCACTTTGCCCCCTTCGAGTTTGAACTGGTCTGATTGGGATGTCTACATAGGCCATCAAAATCATCAAGCATCTCCTTCCGGTCATAATCCTCCTACTGGCCAACAACAACAGCAACAACAACAACAACACAATCATCAGCAGCAGCAACAACGAACATTATGTACATCTCCTCAGAATTTACATTATTCTTCATAACAAGTAGAGCATAGATTTACCAAATATGTATACTATTTTCTATATTTTCTAATTTTGTATAGCTTCAAATATTTTTTTTTTGTATTTGCATTATTTATTTTACTGTAATTTTTTCGTTATCTATTCTGTAATAATAGAAAATTGTAATAATATTCACGAAAAAACATACCTCAAATGTTATTTTCAAGTTGATTGTCTCGATCTGATGCGTAGTTTTTCCGCTCTGCATAAATATGTTAAACTTTTTTTTTAAAAGAGAAAAGTCAGCAGGAATGCTTAGGAGCGGTTCTCCTGCTCTGTATTGAATAAGCGAATTTCAGCCAAGTCTTGTAATGTCACTGGAAGTAAAGGCAGCTAAAGAAGGATCCATCACCAGTAGAGCCTTTTTCCCTTTGGAGTTTATGCAAAGATCTCAACTGTCCACAGGAGATCTCGTCAAGCTGACTAAAAATGATCGAGTAAGTGTTTTCAGTTAATTCAGATTCATCGATCCGTTTTCCTCGGCTGCTTCAGTTGAATTAATGTAAGGGCCATCGGTTAACTCTAATGCACAAAACTGTTATATAAAGACTCTTGTAGTAACTGCTTGGCCTTCATTACTTATACACGATGAATGTAAGATTATATCTACTGCTATTGATCTGACAATCTGCTTGTCAGTCCCTCTTCTAAGTTAAAATTCTCATAATAGCTGTTGAGTTAAGCACGGTCGCACGATTAAGTGGATCATTTGAAATCGGTGAACTTGTTTACTATGAAAAAGTCCTCGACACTTATACAGAAGCAACCAAAGTACAATTGAGCTTTATATCGACACCTACATTTACCATAGATCAGAACTTCAGACTTTTCATCAAGCAATTTTTAAGTAAGTTCCTCTTTATTGATACACAATTGAAAGAAGACCGTCATTTTCCAATTCTACTTATCGTTTATTCATAGTTGAACAGAAGTATATTACCGATTTACAGATACTGGACTTCACATACCTTGGTTGTAACTGTAGGGTAAAACTGTCGTCTATCACTACCAAATATGCTTGTGATATTTATTTGGTTAATGAACGTACAAAAATCAGAGTTGTGGAGGAAGCGAATGCAAAAACATCAGAAGAAACGAAACCTTCATCGGCACTAGCAGCAGATACTTACGACAACATAGGCGGCCTCGCAAAGCAAATTGAAGTTATACGCGAAACAATAGAAACACCATTGAAAAATCCTGATATATACTTAAAATTAGGCCTTAAGCCACCACGGGGTGTCTTACTATATGGTCCTCCAGGCACAGGCAAAACATTGATAGCACGAACAGTTGCTCATGAAACAGGCGCTCATTGCATTGTGGTCAATGGGCCCGAGGTGGTGAGCAAATATTATGGCGATACCGAACAAAAACTACGTGACATATTTGAAGACGCCGTTGAACATGCACCCTCCGTCATCTTCATTGACGAAATTGATGCTTTATGCCCTAAGCGTGACGAAGCACCCAGCGAACTGGAAAAAAGGGTTGTTACTACTCTACTAACCCTAATGGATGGCGCTACCACAGAAAATAATCGTGTTGTTGTCATCGGCGCCACCAACCGACCCAACTCTTTAGATGAAGCATTACGAAGGTATGGTCGCTTTGACGTAGAGATTGAAATTCGTATACCGGATGCTGCAGGCAGGCTGGAGATTTTGAAGGCCATTATGAAAAAAATACCAAATGCACTAAGTGAAGAGGAATTAGAATTTTTATCTGGGAAGTTGCATGGCTATGTGGGCGCCGATATAGCAGCCTTGTGTAAAGAAGCAGGACTCAACTGTATCAAGCGTAATGCTTCTTCTACTTTACAACCAAGCCAACTGTTAGTCAACCTACAGGACATGCTTGATGCTGTGGCAGAAATAAGACCAAGTGCAATGCGCGAGATTATGTTAGAAGTACCAAAAGTATACTGGGATGATATTGGAGGACAGCATGATATAAAACAAAGATTGAAAGAATCTGTTGAGTGGCCATTGAAGCATCCTGAGGCATTTTCAAGGCTAGGTATACGACCACCGAAAGGCATTCTTCTGTATGGTCCGCCTGGTTGTAGTAAAACTCTGATGGCTAAAGCTCTCGCAACTGAATGTGGTTCAAATTTTATTGCGGTGAAGGGGCCAGAGGTACAAAATGACAAGGAAGAAAAGCATACGTACGGATTTTACATTGTTATATTGACTCCGTTCCTCTTGTAGCTTTTCAGTAAATGGGTCGGTGAATCAGAAAAAGCAGTTCGTGAAGTATTTAGAAAAGCAAGAGCCGCATCTCCATCCATCGTATTTTTTGTAAGCCTACGAAAGTCAGTTATTTCAATGTATCAACTACACTCAGCTTATAATTTTCTAGGATGAAATTGATGCACTCACAGTGAAAAGAGGATCCTCGGGTGACGGAGGCACTTCCGTAGCTGACCGTGTTTTATCGCAATTATTGAATGAGCTAGATGGTGTTGAGCCATTGGTAAATGTCACAGTTGTAGCTGCTACGAATCGCCCAGATATAATAGTAAGTTTGACTCTACATACTTTACGTTACAACCTCCCGTACTGCCGTCTAATAAGTTCAATAAGGATAATGCTTTACTTCGTCCTGGGCGAATTGATAGAATTCTTTATGTTGGCCCTCCTGATATAGACTCTCGAAGGGAAATTTTCCGTATCCAACTGAAAAAGATGGCAGTAGATACTGATGTTGATATAGAAGAAATTGCCAAGAAAGTAGGTTATGTGAATCTTCTTTGAAAACAAAATATATTGAATTATTCATCGTATTATTCTTATGTAGAGCAATGGATGTTCGGGTGCTGAAGCTATTGCCATTTGCCAAGAAGCTGCTTTATTAGCGATGGAAGAAGATGTAAATATCGATTCCGTCAAGATGAGACATTTCAACAAAGCTCTGAATACGTTTATAAGGCGTATTACACCCGAGATGTTACAATTTTATAAAAACTTCCAAGAAAAATCAGGCCTACAAAGCATTTAACGACATGCTAAGTTGCTCAATCTGTTTATTTATACCATTTAAAATCTACTAGATTTTATGACTATTATGCCATATCTAGAATCGGTGAAAGCCCTGAAAATGATCATATGTTCGTTTAATTACGAAATTCAGAAACAGCTTAAATCTTCCATTGGACATCTTGTAAAAGGAGTTGAATAGCTTAAATTATGGTAGCCAGAAGTCAATTTTTGATTTACTGCTTTTTTTTATTGTTATCTTTCAGTTTCTTCAAAATCTTGCCAGCTAACAATATAAACAATGCTGAAGTTCTTTACAAATAAAGTTCCTTTACTTGCTATGGTACTTTTGTCATATATTATGTATAAACGTCAATTTGATCCCTTGATACTCAGTACAACACTATCAACAGATAATAACACACTTCTAACTGATGTTCCATATCCTGTCGTCACAACATCAAAGCAAACTGACTCTCATTATGATGAAAACGAGAAGTTTTTGACATTTTTCACTCACAGTGGCATCCAAAATCAATTGATTCAAGGTACAATAATTTTCACTTAATGGATCTTATAACTCATACTGAAACCCCCTCCGATTGTATAATAGTGGAAAACGGGATACTGCTGGCTTGGTATCTAAATCGAACACTTTTACTTCCCAAAGCTTTACTAGGTGAAGCATTTGGTTGGGGCCAATTTTCAAAGCTTTATCTGCAACACAATCTACGTGATACAAACAATAATTATTGTAAGCAGTTCAAAAATAGAAAGGCTCGAAAATTGGCCTCTTGTCCAGACCCGTCAAAATACACCCTTGCATCATTTGACAATCTATTTGATTTGAGTTGGGCAAAACAACATGTCAAGATTATAGAGAGAGAGGATAGCAGTTTTAAATGGCTGGAAGAGCATTTTAATATACGCAGAAGCCTTTACTCGGCAGACAATAATAATGATACAGGTGTTTACGTAGATGGGGATATACTCTTTTTTAAAGGTAAATGTGGAACCTTTTGTAATCGTTATAAAGTTACGTAGCATCTCGGAGACACATAGAGAAACTTAGATCGATCACTAAAGAAATCATACTCAAAAAGATAATACTAGATATGATTGGAGGATATTTGACGTTCCTGTAAAGCATCGGTTCTTAGGCAAATACGTTGACAGCTTAGACGTTCCTCAGTTGCGATATCAAAGCGAGAAATTAATTCATTTTACTAGCTTATTTGGTTCAGGCAAATTTCCTATCAAATCATCCGAAAGTGCAGACTTTTTTAGAAAGCTGCAAAGTAGTATCACGTACAATCATCCTGCAGTTTTGGAGATGACGAATGTGGTTGTTGATGCATTGGGTGGGCCGGGTAATTATATTGGCGTCCACCTGAGATCAATGGATGGACCCTTTGTTCAAGCTCTTTCAGATAACATCCAACATATTGTCGATAGTATATCAGCAATGAAAGCATTATACCAAGGTTATCAGCAGAAAAACTCCACGTACACACTTTTTGAATGCGTGGCAATGGCGCAGAACGGTGAGCTACCCTTGGTATTTTTAGCAACCGATGCAGTACGGCCACGAAGTAAAGTTGATTTTAGAGAGCTTTGGCATCACTTACCATGTACCTTTACTTTGAACGAGATCGTGGAACCAGATAGTCCTGTTTGGAGTTTTATGGACCAGTACCGTACAATACATACAAGACAAAGCATGCGCAAATTCTTAATGCCTTTGGTAGATGCATTAGTGGCAAGCAGAGGTAAACATTTTATTGGAACCAAAGGATCAACCTTTTCTGGATATATAGGAAGACAGCATAAAAGTTATTGGTCCTTGACTGAAGCCAGCATTTAGAACCCAATTTCGCATATAGCTGGCCTATATGTATTCAATCTCATATTAAGAAAATTTGTATAAATTTACATTATCTATTCCAGTGTCATCTGTATATAAGCAATCTACTTAATAAATTATTATTACCCACTCCCACATTTTGGCTCTCATAAATTAATAGTGGCTCTATGTATGATTAACGTTTTTGCTGCCATGCTGCTGATAATAGCTATGCTCGGCGCTCTTTATGCTGTTGAATGCTTTATTTAAACTAACAGTTTCCTGTCAAGTCCGAAGGTTCTATGTCAGATATTACAAAAGGGTTGTAGTAAGAGTAGGAGTAGTAGGAGTAGTAAGTAGTGCTACTTTTCTATTATTTCTTTCATTCAGAATGGTTTATTGTCTTTTTTATACATTGCTAGTGGTATATCATCCTCATCATTTTTAATTGTGATCATTCTCTTTTGGTGTAATTGCTCCGTGTTGTTGCCTGCTGTCGTTTGTAACTGAGGTGGCATTTTTCTGTCCGTGATAGGGGTGCTTTTCCTTCTCTCGGTCTTGAGATGTTGCTTCTTGGTAGACGACTTCAATTTGTAAAAGCTGTGTTTCATTAAGTTGAATTTGCTTTGCTTTTTGTATCCTGCAAGCATATTATTTGCCTCTAGGTCGTCTAGTGAAATAAATGTAGAACGTCTCGTAATACCTTCATCATCATTGTCATCATATTCTTCTTCCTCATCATCATCATCATCGTCCTCATCATCTGAGCTAAAGCAGACAGTTGTTTTCAAATATTTGGCAGACAGTCTCTTCTTATTATATTGCGGGATAGTTGCAGTTGTAATAGCAGCTTTGGTGCTGCCTTTTTTTTTGCAACCGTTTCGCTTCTTTTCTGAATATAGTATTTCCTGTTTGTGATGATGTAAATTCAATAGGTCCATTGCATTTGATTCCAAAGGACCTCGCTGCTGTTGCTTTAATTGTTGTTGAACTAAACAACTCTGTTGATCATGTGTTGTAGGTATTAAAGGGATTGGAAACGCTTTCTTCATGAAACTTAAAATAGGAATATTGTTTTGCGGAGGGGTGATATCGATATCGTAGTCTGTCATTGCAGTAATCTCTGAAGAATGCGGTGTCTGTAGAGGCTGGGTAAATATGGAAAGATACCAAAACATCAAATTTGATATAACCACCTGATCACGTAAGGGACGTCTAGGATTCGATAATTTCATGTGTGACAGGTGATAGATAGCTCGTTCTAAGTGAACAGGCAATCTAGGGTAACTGATGGTACTACTTTTACTAATGATACTGCTATCATTATCGCACAATATAATTGAGGAACTATCAGATGCAATTACTTCAGATGAAACAGACCGAGCGAGCATCACGCTCTTTTCAGATGCACAGCCCAGTGATGTTGCAGACGATGGTATTATAGTATTGCTCTGTACTGTTTGGTTACTTTTTGGTGCTCCTTTTTTGGATGATTTTCTGGCCAATATCGCAAACAGAGCACTTGTTCTGCTACTGTCAGGTTTTTGAAGAGATTTTACAGCAGTCGCAAGATTTCCAATTTGTGTTGAAGCCGTCGGCGAGCTCAAAAGCCGTTTCGATGATGTTTTGTTTGCTCCCTCTGTTGGCAATAGTAACTTCCGTAACGATGAAGGCCAAGATGAGGACTTTTTCGGTTGGCGCGATTCTACACTAGAAGGATGACGAATTTGCCGAATATTGGAAAGAGTGTCGTCGCTATTGGTAATGCTAAGAGAAGTAGATTGATTCAGAACCGCATGAGGCGTTATATCATTTGTGTCTGCAGGAGGTAGAATTTGATTGTCGTTTACAGTGTCAGCGTCAGCGATTCTTCTCTCTTGTTCTGATCCAGAGACCACATTATGATGGTCTTTAATGGTTGCCCTATATTCTGTACCATATTGCATCTCTCCGCTTATCGAACATCCGCCTATCGTTGATATTGCTTTCACGATATAATCTTCAATTTTCAAGTCATCAACCAGTTCCTCTTCACCCTCTCTCCTCGATTTTTCTTCGTTGGTGGAGTTTGCTTTGTTATCATCTGCATCGATGCAGCTTATATTCACTACGGTTGTGCGATTGAGATCGATTGTAGTTGCTTCATCTAATAATTTTTGCTTATTGGTAATGCTATTAGAGCGTTAAATATGGAAGTTTTAGGGATAATGTGAAAAGGGTTGATGCTCATTGTTACCATTGTTTTCGTGGCCCGTCTTCATTTGTAACTTTATTATGTGTTTTATAACAGTTTTTCATCGTGATAACCGGTCGCTCTTTATCATTAAAAAGGGCGCTGTTTTCAATTGTATCATGCTCATTTAAAATTGTTGATAAGTTGTAATTTTTTGTTGAAGAAAGCATGTAAATATCCGGTGGCATTCAGTACGTCTAGTAGCAGTAGCAGTAGCAAAGAAGGAAAAGGAAAAGAAAAGCAATTTCTTCAACATTGAAATACCCAACTTTATTTAAATAAGCATAAATCTAAAAATAATATACGAAAGCCCGAATATAATCTTCTCTAATGCTCTAGGGAAATATGTAAAGGCCAGAAAAGATACGAGCATTTCAATCGAAAAAATAGGAGAAAAGAGAGGAGTCGTTCAGAATTCGAAATTCTTTTCCTTTGAGAGGCGGAGAAGTAGCGAAAAGAAAGCCTCTCAACAAAAAACACATGCAACAACAAAGGAATGGTAGTTCCTATTGCCATAATAGTTTGCATATTGAAAAACTTTTTCATAAAACTTGTGAACTTGCAGGTGAAATGATAGTCTACGCCTCCACTTGCGCATCACTTTGTTTACCTGGAAAGTCCTTTCATTGTGTACAACTCCAATAATAATTTATTGTTCGAACTTGATTGTTCTTTCGTTGTTTACTGATATTTAAAATGGCGAAGAATGATGAGTGCCATGAACTATGCCTTTAAGTGTAGCTAAATTCACACTAACAGCTGTGACAGAGAGATATAATAAGAGAAGAGAGATACACCTCTGCTATTATAAAATAGCAAGTATCATGTAGCAGATTGAAGTAATCCAATAGCCGCAAAGTTCTATTCCCATCGAGTATGTTTCTAATTTTCAATTATTTGAGGGGTTTGATTTTCATCATAACTTCGAATAGCAGTTTCTGTTTGCTTCATGTGAATAAATTTTGTAGCTAAGATGGAATGACCATTCCTCGGCCTCCATTACTCCTCAGGCCTGCTGGATGTTTTATCAAATTACACATTCATAATCACCGTATATGCCATAACTATTAAGAATTTACCTAATTTACAACTTAATTCTGCTGACACCCTCGCTGGTTGGAAACAGGTAGAAGAAAATACGTCTCATGTGAATTATAGTATACCATTTAAATACGATGTCTAAAGCACCTTTATTTCATATAGACAGAACAGAAATTTGATTGATTTGAACAATACGTACTATATGCTTTCCTTGAGAATCAAATATGTAATATTCGACAAATTAAGGCTTGTTCATGACCGCAATAATTCATGCATTTTACAAGAGAAAAGCTGCTAATGAAAGAAAAAACAAGAAAACGAAAGATTATAGAATAAACAATAGAAGTAGCTCAAATGCAAATGAACCATTATAATTTTAATACTGATGGACAGATAACCGGTTACAAAAGCTATAGAATGATTATCGCTAATCTAAGTTGAAAGCTGACAACTAATTAGCATTATTCAATATCAGTAGTCGTAACGTGTGTGCTATTATTGGATTGTCACCATGCAGTTAGTCTGGTTTGGCTGTTTGAGCTTTATATTCCCAATCAGTTCATGGCTCAGACAAAAGAATATACATGAGTTTTCAGCTGGTTTTAGTATTAATAAAGTACAATCAGTTGGCTTCATTTATGAGGGGCCTTAATAGCAGTAGTAGGAACAACGAAAAGGGTTATCCATTGTTTTATAGCAATTTCTGACATCTGATTACCCCGTTTACTGATAAGTTATTTCCCTCTGATTATTCTGGCGATAGCATGATGGATAAATTATGCAAATCTAGGAGAGGTATGCTAGTGTAGCTTTGCCGTCATACATAACCTGAAGTGACAACTAAGCAGTTGCTGTTGTTGACTGGCAGCAAGGAAACGATCAAGCTCTACGATGGTTTAGATTGCAAAAACTAAAGAGATTTTGGCAGTGCCACAGATATGCTGCCAAAGGATACACTACAACCTTCCTTGTCAATTTAGAATGATAAAAGTATGCCTACAATTTTGTAAAAGGTCGACGTTCGAAATACGATCGTATTCCCTTTGGACACGACTTGAAGATGTTTGAATGATGAAATGAGATATCTCGGACGGATTAGATAGACTCATGACAGGCTCATTTTGCTTTTACTGGACAGTATCTTCACTTACGTCATTTCGAAAATCAACCTTTCAGTAGCTATCTCAATTCAATCCATAAAATACAAAACCTTCTAATGTTTTTTGTTATTCATATGTAAAGTTAATATATCTATTTTTATTTCATTTTATATATATGTTTATCTCAAATATTGCTTTAGATCATCTCAAACTGCTAGACTCCAAAAAATAGAATTATTGTCAACGTCATTGAAATCCAGCATCTGCCGTCATTTAAAGTCGGTTATAGTCAGTTGTTTTAAAACCGAAAAATACAAAACTTTTTTTTTTCTTTCTTTTTCTATAAACAAACAAGAAAATCTTTCACATAAACAAACTTTAAAATGGATGTCGACGTTGAAGCTATGCTGGAAGCTCCTTATAAAAATTCAGAGCCTGAATCTATGACAGCGCAAGGTGAACAACAAGAAGTAGATGCTCACGGGTAAGAGAAACCAGCTTCTTTTTCCTACAGAAATAAGCTCACTTTGTCCACTTTGCCCATCTAATTCGAATCTTATTTTCAACCTTTCACACAATTGTAGTGAAAAGCGCTCTGAGCATCACCGCCACTCTTCACGCTCTCGCTCACGTCATCGTTCGTCTCATCATAGATCCGGGTCTCGTCGTAGATCTCACTCCAGATATAGTAGTAGAAGCCGAAGATACCATCGCTCACGTTCACCCCGTAGTAGCAGAGAACGACGACATTCCTCGAGACGTTCACCTTCCCGTGAGTATAGCAGTAGAAGAAGAAGTAGGAGTAGAAGACGTTATAGTAGTAGAAGTCCTACACGTCGAAGCAGACGTAGTACTAGGACACCATCTCCTCACCACCGTCGTCATGATCGATATGATAGAGATAGAAAAGATAGAAGAGATAGAGGAAGATCGCCTTCACCCCCTGTACCGGAAGAAGAAAGAGATCGAAGAACAGTATTTGTTACTCAGTTAGCAGCTCGATTAACTCAACGCGAATTAGAAGACTTTTTTTCACAGGCTGGTAAAGTGCGTGAAGCAACCATTATCATGGATAGAAACTCAAGAAAGTCGAAAGGGTAATCAGAATAGCATAAAAGTATTGTTGGTGATCGCTCGTGCGCAGAATCGTGGAGAATTAATCCCATACATTGTTATTTTTCTTATGCAGTGTTGGCTATGTCGAGTATTATGAGGAGTCATCTGTTCAAAACGCTCTCAATTTATCCGGACAAAAATTATTGGGTATTCCTGTTCAAGTGCAATTATCAGAGGCTGAAAAGAACAGATTAGCATTACAAGCACAAAGAAACGCGTATGTTGAATAATGCAAAAAATACCAAGATTGAAACCTTTGTATTAACGCATGCATTTTTCCTTTTAATTTTTGAATAGTGTTGGTCAACCAACAGAACCTACTTATCAAAGACTTTATGTCGGTTCTTTGCATTTTAGTTTAACAGATGAGGATGTCCGTCAAATCTTTGAGCCTTTCGGCCCGCTTGATTTTGTTAATTTACACAGAGATTCTGAGACTGGGCGTTCAAAAGGTTTTGGTTTTATTCAGTATAAAAATCCTGCTGATGCTAAACAAGCATTGGAAAAGATGAACGGCTTTGAATTAGCCGGTAGACCTGTAAGTATAGAGTCATTAACAACGATGCATTCTTGGGGCAAGACTTGTTTATTGATCATACTTTTGGTGTTTCTTTCTTTTTCTTGACTATAGCTAAAAGTTGGCCTTGTCACAGAAAAACATCCCGTCAGTAATAATACTAGCTATAATCTTGATGATGAAGAAGCTGAAGGCGTTGCCTTGAATTCGCTATCGAGGGCTGAACTGATGGCGAAACTAGCAGCGAGAGATCATACTAATGGGGCCAGTCAAATTGCCAAGCCTGCTGCTGCCCCTGTCATGCCGTAAGCCAACGAACATCGTCCATAAAGCGAGCAGCCCTTCAGAAATTTAAAATTACTTCTTTTTTTTTTTCTATTCTAGCGCTAAACCTATCATTCCTACAGCAGCAACCCGTTATATTATGCTGAATAATATGTTTAATCCTGCCGAGTAAGTGTCTTTTTTATTGAAAGAAATACTTTTCTGAAAGCTTGGCAAAGTTTTACTTACTCTATTTTTTTAGGGAAACGGAGCCTGACTGGGTTACCGATCTGGAAACTGATATCAAGCTAGAATGTGAAAAATATGGCAAGGTTGAACATATCAAGGTGAATGCCGATTCTATGGGTGAGGTATTTTTGAAGTTCGACAATATTGGTTCAGCAGAACAAGCGATCAAAGCATTGAACGGTAGATGGTTCGGTGGTAAACAGATTACTGCAGCCTGCGTGTCTGAAGCTATTTTCAACGCTAATGCTGTTTAACGTGAAGTAAATTATATCAATGACAAATTGGAACAGAAAGATCAGTTTTCGTTCTTCAATTTTTCTTTTCTATTATCTATGTAGTTCGGCCGTACAGTCTAATGCTATATCCTGTTCAAAATGGACATTTGATAAGGAAAACAAAAGACTTTGAAAAAATCCCAACATGACTATTCTTTTCCATTGCTTTTTCTTTTTTGTGTTATATTAGGTTCACTTACCTCGGGTTTTCTTCATGCAAATAAAAAAGGTTTATGAATTTTTAACACGAAGAGAATGTTAAAAGTTGCACGCGACACTGACCTATTTAATAGCAATCTCGACGTTTTATTACATTAGCTGTTTGCGGTTTCGTCTAAATGACAGGGTTTTCTTCGTTACGTTTCGTTTCTGCTATTATCATGACTCAACATTTCTCATTGCTTTCAAAATTGCTATAGATTTTCCGTCCTGCGCGTTTGCATTATAACTTGCTGTAAACTCGTAAGCAGTATCCAACATATAATTATCACTATATTCTTTGGCTTCTTCTTCTCGTTGCTTATATAGTTGCTTTGTTCAATGGGGTGATAGTTTCAACAATGTTTTCATCATCTTCACCAGCTGAATATGCGATTAGATGACAAAGGTATGTATAAACTTCCACGTAACACAGACGTGCAATATACGCATTTCCCTCCGTCATGGTTTATAAGGTATATGAGGGAATCACTTGCCGTTATCGAAGATATGGCATTGGCAAATGAAGATTTTTTGTTTAGCTCTTATTGTCTGAATAAAAGTTATTACTGTAACTCAGTTACATATTTGTTCACTTTTTTATAATGAAAATTGATACCTATGTAAACTAGAATAGAAAATGTCATCCTCGGTTGTAAGCACAGTTCAGAGTCTACTATGTAATGAAGTATTCTAAATGAAGTAGAATAATGTTGCTTCATTTTAAATAGAGTACAGTTATTATTGTTTCACAGCTGTCAAAGGGGTATTATATTGCACCTACCAAGAAATTATATAGCGAAACATATCATTATATTGGTGCATGCATTTTTCTTTGTTCTGGTGTGAATCTAGGGAAGAAGGGTGACAATTGTAATCTTCTCAACCACAAGAATAAGGAGAATTTGTACTATAGTAATAACAAGCTATGCTTTGAAGCCGGAAGAAAATTGAGTTGAACGTGCTCATTTCACTTTTACAAAAGGATAGTAAATTTTTTAGTTCTATTTGCCTTATAGGAACATCAGGTTTAGAAAGGTGATTTTCAAAGGTGATACAAGAAAGTGGACTTACGGTAAATGAGACATAAAAATAGGCATAAGGACTTTGCATCGCTTTGAGGAATACTATCTTTGGCCATTTGCCGAATGAGAAATTCCAATTCACTTAGGACCCAACGATCAAATTACAGGCAACTAAATTATATCAAAAATCGGCACTTGCTGTCGCACGTTCCTCATGTTCACAGTTACAGTTATATTCGCAAACAAGAACCTATATGTTTGATAGTCTGCTGTAATTTATCAGGAATCATCAAGTAATGCGCATCAGATCGATTTTGGTTTGATGTTGCAGTGCTGTGTCAAAACAGGTTAAAAACAACTTTGAGTGTAAAGGATGCATAAACCGACTGTTTCTGAATTAGACAGACGTTTTTAAAGTTTGCAACTTTTGGCCTTCATTTTTTCTGTGTTCTGGCAATTTCTTATTATTCTTAGCACTAACTAAATGCCCCTTAGCCTGCTTCCCCCTTTTTTTTTCTTTTATTTACCCCTTGTTACCTTTCGCTTTCTTCTTTTCCCCATCACGCCTTTGATGCGTGCAAAGTCTATATTCGGTATCTAAAATAGATAAAGTTGTTCGCTTGTATAAATACATGCGTCTTTTCTATTTCTGACAGTGGTTTCTCTTTCTAAACCAACATCATTTTATTGCATTCTATCTTTTGAAAAGAAAAAAAAACTAAAGGTTGAACCACAAGTTTTATATTCTTGCTACTCGTCCGTCTTGTATAAGAGTTTACATTTATCTCATCCATATCAAGCTACATTTTATACGGCGTGCTGTATAAACAACATTTTTGTCCTTTACTTACATATCCTTACGCATAAATATAAACAACTCTTGAAACCGGCTTGCTAGCTCAATTGCATTCTTTTAATTACATTTTACTTCAAGCAAGACGAACAGATATGTTGACAAGCACTTACCCCGACATGACTTTCAATATCCATATGAACAGCATGTATGCATCAACTGATCTTTCTCAACACGATATTCTCGATTTTTGCTCACCCAAATCGCAGAGTTTGTTATCACAACCGGGAACACCTGCTCAAGGATTTGCAGCTAACATGATTAACCAAACCTTACAACAACGCTCACCTTCCACCTCACCTTCAATATTTACGGATACTACATCTAACTATATTATTCCTTCTCAACGGCAGCAAGATGCGCCATTACCTAACTCAGGGAATAATAATCAAAACAACCGCCGTAATACTTACGATGCTACTGTAACAACAGGCACGATGCTATCACACGAAATGACACCGACTTCCTTGTACCAACAGCAACCATTCTCGTCCTCTTCATCATCGATTGGCTTGCCAATGATGAGTCCTTCTCCATATTCTGTAAATAATACTATGCACGATCCAAGTTTGTTTGCTCCATCTCCCATGTGCAGTCAACCACAACTACCATATCGGCAATCATATAATACTCACAACCGTGTTTATTCCTCGCCTTCTTCTTTGTCTCTACATCAATTTCGAAGTGAGTAATATAGAGTGATTACCAGCTGTGGTCACTATGCTAGTTGCATGGGGATAGATTTTGCGGACAAAAACTAAGCTATATTCTTCTTCTTCAATAGGCGTACCCAATTTATCTCCTTTGCTCAATTCATCCTACGATATGCATTCTCCCATGGTGACAAGACGTTGTTCACTTTCAAGTTTTTCTCGACCTCCTTCGCCTCAATATGATTTCTCACCTTTGGGCTGTTATCAACAATCACAACAGCAACAACGATCGACTAGTCCAACAACATCAACAACCGCAGGAAATAAAAAATACATGTGTCGTGTTTGTAATAAAAGATTTACACGACCCAGCTCTTTAACAACACACATCTACAGTCATACAGGAGAAGTAAGTATTTATAGAACAATTACACTTTCTATCTTGTAAATTAACGTAGAATGTCGTTTTTATAGAAACCTTTCAAATGTCCAATTGAAAATTGTGGTAGAAGCTTCTCTGTGGTTAGTAATCTTCGTAGACATGCTAAAGTCCATGGAATGGCCAACTTTGACAATTACAATAATAGTACTACCAATAACAAAACAATCAGAAGAACAATGTCTTCTGCTACCATTACCATGAATAATACACCCTTTCCTTAAAAGCTTGCTCACTCGATTGAACCATCTTCCTCTTTTTTCTTTTGTCTTATTCTACTCCTTTATTCGCCACACCTTTCCCTGTAAAGATGTCTGACACGATTACACAATAAAAAAGGGAGCAACAGAAATGAATTTCCATTAATTCAGCATTGTATTTATGTATTGCAAAGGGAACATATTTTTCTTTGTGCTATTTGCGATACAGACAATGTCATAGTGTAACTAGACTCCGAATATGTCAAATAAATAACTATCACAAGAAGCAATAGTCCAAGTTCCGTACAATCGTCAAAGACCTTATTTTTTTATTGACATTACTCTTTCCCTTGGTAATGAAGGCGGCACCTCTATTGCTCGGTAATTTGTATTTTCGCTTTCCTGGTATCTTCTCTTTAATTGAAATATATCTCCATTAAAGCGTCTGTTCGTCTCAACATTGAATACTTTTGCTTGCCTGCAGAATGGAAGTTAGTCAGACAGTGGTTTGCTAGTTGCGGTCCAGAACTCGACCTTTCAACAATATTTTAATGGACCTGTCAATTTTTTGCTGGTCTCAACAGTTACTAACTTACGGAGGTACTTGGAGATTCTCAGAGAAATCGTCACAACTTCCAAAAAAAGAAGTAATAACTCTGACCCAGAGTGATCCTCAATAAAGTATGATTTTGTATTTCTTTTACGAGCATTAAAAAATCTATGTCCTTCTGTACTTTACCTAGAACTACGGCCCCCTATAAAGGCCTTATAGCAGCAAATATAAGGACAACAAATTCTCGTTACCATTCATGTCTAAAGAAAACTTTGCGTCATCGTACTTATACGACAAGTAATACACCTCCTCCACCGACACCTACACCTACGCCAACACTAACACCCTCTTCAGCAGCAGCAGCAACAACAACAACAACAAAATTAACAGGCTATAGAAAATATGCACAGCAATTCAAGAATAAACCTGGGTCTTATATGACCACTTTTGCTATTTTACATGAATTGACCGCCGTAGCACCATTTCCGTTCATTTATTATGCATTGGACTCATTCCCGATGTTGAAGATACCATTCCCAGATACAATCGTTTCTGAAGGCAATCGTTATATGAATAAGGTGAGGGTACATTATGGTTATGAACCTTTGGAACCTGATAATAGAGTGATGATGAATCTGGTAACAGCATATTGTATTGTCAAAGTAAGTTTTCCTTATTTATGTTGAAGGTGTTGTGTATATGTACATGTGAGGGAGGATTGTATGAAAGTTTTTTGTGAAGAGATAAAGGAAAACGATATTCTTGATTCTGTAGATGAACAATAGACTAAATTGTAACTCTTTCGCGCGTTTCCACTTAAAAGGCATTGTTACCAGTTAGAATTGCTGCTTCTGTGGCCATGACACCATTCTTTGCTGAGAAATGCATTGGCCCCATTGTCCAATTTGTACGCAAGACAGTGTCAACCTCAAGAATGACAAAACGTAATTTTCTAAAATAATAAATCCTCTTTACTCTCATCACTATTGGCTTTCACGGTTTCGGCATCCATGCCTAACACCATTACATTTTTCAATCTTTCTAAACGAGCCTTTTGAATCTGTAACAGTTGCTCCATGTCTTCTTCGTCAATGGCCATTTCCTCCGTTTGAGGAACTTTTTCACCATCCGCACGTTGGTTCCCTTCTGCTTCTTCTGCTACTCCGTTCATAACTGAGGAGCCAGCGTGATCGTTGGGAGGCTTTGTTGTGGTAAAGTCCATCTCTGCGTCCATTGGATCGTTTCCTTCACCGTCTTCCTCATTTTGTTGCTGTTGCAAACGTAATTGCTCTTCTTCTTCTTGTTGCTTTCGTGCTTTTTCTTTTTCTATTGCTTCAGCCTTTTGTTCAATCAGTTGTTGTCGGTATTGTAATTGTAACACACGTTTCGACTGTTCTAACGTATAGTAGATCTGATCGCATACAGTTTCAAAATCTTCACATTTTTGTAAAAATTTGTTATTGAGATGAGCTGGTATGTGATAGGAGTCAGCTTCTAAATGACTTTACGTTTTGAAAAAATAGTTGGGAGGGTGGGGGAGGAAGTAGTTAGGTACAGGTTCTTTCTTTCTTCGTAAGCAAGATAATGCCATTTACTTTTGCTTTGTTATCGCGAAGTGGTCAAGTATACGTGTTGCTTGTTCAAGTATGTCCTAAGAGAATATTGACATTAGTTTCCTCCATTGTCAAATATGAATAATACTAAATACGACGAGGTAAACACAAAGGATGTTTTACAGTTCCGAGTAATCTATTTAGCACGAGAATTTCATTATGCAACGGCCTTTGATTAGAAGTTTGTACAGACTGAAAACGAGGTGGCATGTTGTGCGGAAAGGAAGAGAAATTTAGATGAATGGAGGTACAGTCGTTCGAGAATTTCTGGAGAATACATTCGCGGATTTTGAAAATCCGAAGTGAAGGGACGAACAATGGCTGTTCAGTCAAAATTAGCTTTCCTGCAGATGGTCACGGAAATACCTATGATGAAACTGGGTTGATGTCATGATACTGTGAACAAGAAAAACTGATTCCTTCGCCCTTCGAACAATTTGCTCTCTTGACACTTCTCGAAAAATGAACTACTATCTTGATTCAACTGCGATTTCAGTAGTTAATATTGAGGAGGAGTTGTCCGCGTGTAAAAGCAGGGAAACGACTTTCAAATATTGTGATGGTAGTATCTCGAGAGAGGTATTCTTTGCGTACAGAATATCATAATCTGATGTCAGTCAGAGCTGCTGCCCTTAAAGCATGTATGGAAGAAAGCCTACCAAATTATTATCTGCGATTCTAGTGGGAATCCTTGGAATATTATGGGGTAGAGATGATGAATTGATTGAATTTTACTTCATTATGGATAGCGCTCTCATTCATTTGCGTAAGAGGACTGAAAAATAAGTTAAAAAGCGAAAATGAGATTATGAACGTGCTCCTCCTCTCTCCGTAATCTCTCAATACCCATCCCATTAGACAGTTTGGAGTTTTAATGAAGCGTAAAGTTGGCCAGATGCCATGATCTGTATGATACTTAGAAAGTGGAATGTAGAATAATTGATATACTCATGAAATTCTTATTGAATATGCTGGAAATATTTATCAGCATGCAAGGAAGCAATACGATAATTGCTTGAATCAAACACGTGTCTCTCCATTTGGAAGTTTGAATAGCTGTTATTTCATAGCACATTTGTTAGCTAACTCACTTTACAGCTATTTCCACAATGGTCATTCTTGAGGTTTGGTATTTTTCTGGGATTTTATTTTTCTTCTCTCAAGTTCTTAAACTGTTCTTAAAGTGCTACCATCGCCACTTTTACATCTGTAGAAACGCAAAAAAAAAAAAAAAAAAAAAAAAAAAAAAAGGAGAGGGGAAAAGGCAATTAAGAAAGCAGAAATCACGCTGGAGCTCCGCAGTTAAGCTTGTTTTGAGTGAAGTGGGACATTGGAGCCTGCCATTGTATCAAATGTTGACACTTGATTGATTTCTCCTTGAGTAGCTGTAGAAAGGTTGGATGAATTAACAGTAATGTCTACAATTTCCTCTGCAAATTTTCGTCTTGCAATATAACTAAGATATAGTTGATATGAGAACTCTCCTCTTGAAATAAGAAGCGTGGATTTTATTTTTATTTTTTTACAAGTTTTCTTACCTTTTGTTATGAGGCCTGCATAATACATGAAGCATATTCTTGAAAGGGTTGCCAAAATCAAAAGGGTGATCCTCAAAAGGCGTAGACGCTAAATTAGCACGAAGCTATGAAAAAAAAAAAAAAAAAGACCGAGTAAGCATCTGACAGCTATTTTGTAAATCGATTGGACGACTGCAGCTCTTTTGGGTACCTGCTCGTGAGTAGTGACTCCTCTCATTACCAAAAAGCAATGATAGCCTGTTAAGCATCCAATAGGAAAGAGAAGCAAGAAGCAAAATATTGCAATAAAGAAGCTGATAGGTGTCAGCAGTAAGGAGTCTGCAAAAGACTTGGTATCGTTCAGATACTCTAATATAACATGGGTCAGGGAGAACGCAATAACGTAGCAGCATAATATTGTACAGCACCAAATAAACGTGAAAAAGGTGGTGTAATTTCTCCTTCCAATGCAGTTATTGAGCCAAATACAATGATGATCTTCATTTTCTATCAAAGTGAAATTTATAGCAAAAAGTTAATCAATGAGGCCCATCGTTCTACCCTTCTTATTGAAGCAAAGTGAGAAGAAATAAGCCTCTTTTTTTTCTCTCTCTCTCTCTCTCTCTCTCCCTTTTCGTTGTACCTGCCTACACAATTATCACATTGTCTACAGTGACTTGCTCTGGGTGGTCTATAGATGCAACATGTCTCACAGTACTTTAATCGAACAGAAGTTCCTTTGATCGTCACTTCTTTGGGTAATGGGAAACGATCCACATCTACTGAATATCGATAATTGTAAGCATCATTACCATGGATAAGGCTGTCCATATCCAAATTCCTAGGTAGGATCTGGATCAATTGAAAATTGGTTCAATTCCTTTTGTTTCAAGCATTTTTACATTGTAAAGTCTAGTAAGATACAAATATGAAATACTTTACGCCAGGATCCGTCCACGAGGTTTTCAACATTGACGTAAGGGTTAAGCAAAAGAGGTATACGAATATAAGAGGTACTGCTGGTGATATATGATGCCATAACCAAGGACAGCTATAGAATCATCATCCTAGTGAGCATAAACATCATACTTTTGTAAAAATAAAAGCTCACTTACGTAAAAATGAGGAATAAAATAGACGGCACTAACAAAAAGGCGATCGAGATACTAAATGCCCAAAATGCTCTGCTTGTCAAAAAGCGTCCACCGCAAAAGAAAATGGACTTGCCATTGTATACTTTGTAATTCCTCGTTCGTGTTTGTCTTTTGACCCTTAACGGTGGTTGCTGTTTAGCGAGTTCAACATGTTTTTGATGCTGTAAATTGGGTGGATGGCATTGTACCAATGATTGTTTCTGCGCTATAGCTGGCTGATGGTTATCTGTCGTTGCTGATGATGATATGTTTGTATCCAATTCCAAATTTTCGAAACTATCTTGGTGAACGTCTTGTTGTTCAAGTAAAAACGGTATAGGAAGAATCACCTTTGTTATTTCTGACGTAGCCTTTCCCTCTGACATGGCTCTTTTCAGTAATTTATAAGAATAAAAATCGAGCTGAAAAGCATTTAATAAGTGTAATCGATAAAGAATAAGAAATGAAAAATAAAAAAAAAAAAAAAAAAAAAAAGAAAGAAACAGTAATATCAGACACGAAAAAAAAAAATAAACTTTTCATTATTTTGTTGCGCACCGACCGCTTTTTCATGTTTCCGCTTTTTGACAAAAAAGGAATTTTGTTGACCTTTCCTTAGGATAGATTAATTTCTCCTTTTTTCAATGTTTTCTATATCTTATGTTCTCGACTCATACTACGGCTGAAAATGATGATGATAGAAAACAAAAAACGTATCACGTTACTGCCGTGTCCATAGACATAATAAGTCAATGAGTGCTTGGCGAAGGCATAAGTCGTTTACAGACGTTTTTATCACGTCTTTCTCATGGGACTTCTTAGATGTCTCTGTCTGTAGGCAGAGTCATCCACTCTGTGTATTGTTGTCGTTCAAATTCCCCGTCTTTCTCTCATTGTTAAACAACTGCCTTTTTTACATCATAGAATCCCTCGCTTCTCTTTCCTTTTCTTTTTCGGTTCCTGCACCAATCTAATGATTCTGTCAAGGCCACGTCGCTTGGGTGATCCAACAGGTGTTTTAGCAGATGATCCACTGACCTATTATGAACAGACAATTGCGCTTTCAAAGCAAGGCAACAAAGGCTTCCAGCACGCATTCCGCTTGTTAGAGACAGCAGTGCTGCGTTATCAGAGTGATTTTCGCTACCAAAACTCACCACGGTACATTCGATTATGGCTCATGTATATCTTTTATCTACCCTCGTCTATGGCCTATCCTATTTTGTTTGGATTGATAGAAAAGCATATCGGCGATAAATTATCTGTTCTTTATGAATCTATAGCCTATCAACAATTCAGAGATAAAAGGTAGGACGTACGGTGGCTGCAGATAAAGTGAATGATGAGAAAGACCCCATACCGTGTATGTAGTGCTGAAGCGCTTCACCTTTTTTTTTTTTTTTTCCTTCTTTCTGTTTTCGCATTCAAGCAGATACAAAGATATTGAAGCAACCTTACTATTGGGGATCAAAAGAAGGGCTCAACCGTTGAAAAGACTTGGTCATGATTTGTACGAATATCAGACAACTGGAAGAATCCAGTTTGACATCAACCATTATAAGCTGGATAATTTTTACGACTCCATGTTGATCGATCAAAAGCTTATCAACATTGATGACACATTGAACGACCAGGTAATGCTAAGCAAATGTTGATCTCTACAATGGACAAGAGATGGCATAGGACCGTTCGTTGAGGTTTTCAGTCTTCTCTATACTATTGATGAATAGAAACATCGCTATTCTTTGCACACCCTACGGTCTCAGATGGATTTGCTTTATTTAAAATTACAACATAGTGCTCGTGCCGATCTCTTACGGGGATGTAATAGTATCAAGCCGCTTCAACAGCAACAAGAGCAAGAAGAAATATGCTTTGAGGAATTGAGAGCAAAACTGTATCAGTATCGATTTGGTAAAATGATGACTGAATGGTTCTTTCAAAGCTACCCACCGATATCGTGGGTATAACGATAAGCTTATAAGTATTCATTTTTTTGTATGAATTTTTTTTAGATTACTCCAAGCTGAACATTGACCAACAATACATTACCACGGGTAGCCCTACATCTGCCGTAACAGCCACTTCTAAACCACGCATGGTAAAGCGAGCATCCAAACCGTCGATTCTCGTATGTAGAGCCAATAAGAAAAACATCCTGCTTACGAACAAAAGTAAGGAGCGGAAATCATTAGGCCGACATCCAACGATTGCCAAACATACTTTGGGCTCAACCGCTCTCCAACATCCTCACCGAAAGAGCATGGGCATCACCGATAGTAGACACAAGAGATTAACAGCTGCTTTTCAAAAAATAAACAAGCTTGACACTTTTGAGAAGCATTCAAGTAACGGCATGACGCTTAAAAACGCAATGTTAATGGTGGAGGAGAAGGAGGAGGAGGAGAAAGAGGGACAAGATGGAACGCTTCTATCGACACAGCCAGAAAAAGTAAAAGAATTAGGCTCGTATCAAGTCTCACACCGCCAACAAGCGAAAGAATCTGAGGCACAAGTAGTAAGCGACGTACAACGACCCTCAACCTCTTTCAAGCTCATCAACGATGAGCTTATAGGGAGGAAAGGACAACGGCAAGATATACAAAAGCCCTTCAGTGAGCATCCGCTTGATCTGGATGGGAAGAAATCCGTACGACGAGAAACACCGACCATGGTTCCACTGCCTCATTCACCTCAGTTTGTACGCGAAAGAATGGAAAGATACAACCTTTACCGTCATAAAGCTTTTCATGATTACCGAGACGAAAATAATAAAAGCTTGACAACAGATCGGTTGAAACAGTGGTTTCCACCACCGTCCACATCTGCAGGCATGAAAGCTCTTTCCTCCTCAACATTAGCGCAGCATCAACACTTGAGATTGATTGACTTGGGGGAGAGGCAGTTCCATGTCATTCGAAAGATAGGCGAAGGAGGTATGGCCAATGTGTATCTTGTACAAAATACAAAAGACCTCACGATCCACAGCTTAAAGATACAGCAGCCGCCTCATGCTTGGGAGTTTTACATTGTATATCAATTATATCATAGAAAGAAACATAGAGAAAGGATTCAAGCCAACAAGAGTCGTGGTAGTGGTAGTAGCACCCACAGTGCCACCACTGGAGCTTATGATGGTGGTGGTGCTCATAGTAGACTGAATCTGCTACTTATAAATGAGTTTTTCTATTACAAAAATGCTAGCTTTCTATTGATGGAGTACATTCCTTACGGAACACTGTTAGATGCGCTCAATTTATATAGACCGAGTCAAATCTTTATGCCGGAACCCATTGTTCTGCTGTTTATGTCACAACTACTGAGCCAACTCGTACATTTGCATCAACTGCATATTGTACATAATGACCTCAAATTGGATAATGTACTGTTACTCTCCACCTATAAAAATAGGCATGACAAAAACAGGGGCAACAAACAGACACGTTTGCCAACATTGTATCTCATCGATTATGGCCAATCGATAGATGTTTTGGCTTTACTGAACAAGTCTCAGATGATGACGAACAGCGGTCACAAACACAATCTTCTTGTGAAAGCCAACTGGCCGCCGACATGTCCAAAAGCAGATTTTCCATACCTGAACGAAGGATATTACCCTTTCCATGCTGATTATTGGCAGTTGGCGGCAATGGCGCATTGGTTATTGTTTGGTAGTCCGATGAGGACCTACAAAAAGAAAACAGACTGTAGCTTGAATGCATTTGTACTTTATCAATCTATCAAACGGTACTGGCATAAACATTTGTGGGCTCGTTTCTTTCATTTACTGTTGAACCCGTCCATGGCAGAGACACAGGATGCGAGTACTGTTTTGCTACAACAGTTAGCGGACGAATTTTGGACAGCTGGAAAAGACGTGGATCTCAGTTTGATAAGCGCTTTTAACGACCTGCTTCTCTATAGACAGCGCTAAAAGAAAAGGTGATAGAAGATGCATTCGTAGAGAGTAAGATAGACCTATGCGTAATTGAGTTCCTTTTATCAGTAAAAACACTGCTGCTCTCTTTCTCATTGGCTACAATTAAAAAATATGTATTTTCCGCTTTACCCCACATTTTTTTTTAAATGCGACGTCAAATTTTTTTTTGATTCAGGCAACGTACTACTCAGAAAAAGAGATCATTCTCTTTTACCATTATGTTTTTTGATAGTTTGACGGATATACCATCGTAAAAGGCAAAGAAATGCTTTTATTATTAACTGAGTCTACTCCCAAATTCCAGACAATGCATTACGTAATCTTTGTTGCTTTTGATTTAGAAAAGGGAAATTGTCACAGAGAAAAGGCGTATATGAAGAAAAAAGAAAAAAAAAAAAAAAAAAAGTCTGTGCGCTAAGGGGAAAAAAATTACGTGGTGAGCATAACAACAAAACTACATTTTCTTCCATTTCCAAAAACAAACAATTACACACGCTCTATTTATGATTCCTTTACCCTCCCAAAAAACGCGTCTTTCCTTTACCATGAAAAAGAGATGAAAAACCAAATTTTTTTCTGAATTTCTGTTTAGGTTATTACGTCGGCAAATGATCCTTATTGTTTTGAGATCATGCGATCTTTTGTATATTTTAAAGCGTGCAAAAAAAGGGGTAAAAATCGGTGTGGAAAACCAATCGTCGATGAATACTTTTGGAAAAAATAAAAGAAAAAAAAAAAAAAGGGCAGATGATGATTCGTGTTTAATAGAAAGCTTTGCTCTGTTTTATTCCTCTTTTTCTTCTCTTTTCCATCTTTTTCCTTTTTTTTTTTTTTTTTTTTCCTTATTCACGCGTCGTTTTTTCGATTTAAAAATCCTCAAGTCAACTTGTATACATTCTTCTTTTATTTGAAATTTTTATTTGAACTTGATAATTTTGTGGCCCCTTTTTTTCTCGCCTCTTTTTTTTCTGTTCTATTTTTATCCTTTTCTCTTTTTCTCCCCTCTCTTTTCTCTCTCTCTTTTTTTTTTTTTTTTTTTTTTTTTTTTTTTTTTCTTTTTTATTATATATTCTACAAATATCATTTTTACCCTTTGTATCACTCTCCAATCTTTCCTTTTTTTTTCCCCCTTTAAAAAACAACTCATTTTAACAATGTCTGCCATGTCGGCATTGCAACAAGAATCCTCGAGATCAAGACCTATGAACGTATCTGAGGTAAATGATAATGTTTTGTTGTCTTTGAAACTCCACTTCATTATTAATGCGCGCGATCCCTCTACTTTAGATGATTCATCGCTTAAAAACGCGTTTAGCTTTAGCCACCTTCAAACAACAACATGGCTATGAAGCCTATGATTTGCAAACACTAGAGTACACCTTATTTCCAATCACAACACTAGCTGCCTTGCAGACCCACTCACCCATTGTGAAAAAAAAGTCGCTGTTGATGAATAGCAGTCGTAAGAAGACCCCCTCCTCCTCCTCCTCCTCCTCCTCCTCCTTACTGTGTCGACATCGGTATTATCCAACTTCATCTTCTTATCTTCCAGATGCAACGACTTCTCCTACCTCTAGTTCTCTACGGCCATACGCGTCTCGTCCCAGCCAGAATTTCAAGTCCAAGTTGAATTTACCATTATACAACAGCACAAAGAATTCGAGCCATCCAAATCATCATTTACTATTAACTACACCAAAATATCCTATATCGGAGAAGCGCAGCACATCACCAAGACAACCTTGTTATACCTCACCCATCCTTCTTTCGTCGACGTCGTTACATTCATCCATGTCTCCTTTGTCTACATTCACACCGACGGATGAAGATTTAGCAGCTAATGTTCTTGTGATGTTACATAATGACACAAGTAATAATCAAAGGACCATCCCTTCTGCTACCACGAAAGGAAGTACAACAACAACAACAGCAGCAGCAGCAGCAGCTCTTTGTTAAGCTTTATTAGAGTTTGATCTCATGCTCCAGTAACAGGATACACACTTTCTTTCAACACATTTTGACTCTATTATTCCAGATTTATCATTCATTTTAAACCCTTTCGTTTCCCTTTACTTTCTTTTTTCTATTTATTTATTTATTTCACGATATCCAACTTTTTTTTTTTTTTTTTTTTTTTTTCTTAACTTATTCTTTCTGTTGTCCTCCTTCTTCTCCTCTTCCTCCTCCTCCTCCTGCTTCTTCTTCTCATCCACGAGCACACCACCCCCCCCCCTCACTCCCTGTTTTGCCCGCCCAATCAAATGTTGGGCAATTCCAATATAAAATCACGCACGCGTTTACGTATCAAGGGATTATCACATATGACATTCGTGGCCAAGTAAGGAGATTCAACACGTGCACATCCCAAGACGTGAATCACGGGTTCGGCAGCGTCATCACCATCACTCTCATTCAAATGGTGATCATTCTCATGATGGTCGTTATCATTCTTTGTATCCTTCTTTTTTTCATTTGCGCCTTCCTCCATGGGTATATGATTCTATTTTTTATTTTTTTTTTTGGTGTGTGTATGTGTGTGTTTTTATTAGTTATTTTTACGACACACAATGATGATTAAATCAGTGCACAAAAATTCTGTATCATTTGCACATTGCCTCTTACCTGTTTAAAGAATTCAATCAATGCAACACGTCTTTTTTTGATCCACTCTTTCGTACACAACTGATTCACGCGAGGAGTTATTAGGGTATCGATATCGATTCTATTCTCTTCATCAACTGGCAATAAAGTTGAGCAGAAAACAACATTAAGTAAAACAATGTTGAAAGAATAGCTGTGATCTCGAAAAAGAGGTCATTACTTGAAAGTTCAGAAACGGCATGCTTCATGATCACTTGCATTTTGTTTTCAGGTGCGTCATAGAGTACAATAGTGTGGGTGTTGGGGTCAATCGTGTACAAGTATCCTTGTATTGTTTTATGTGTGGTTAAATTCAGCGTGATGGAGTGACCAACGAAGCGAGCAATGTGTTCATGAGTGAATCCATAACAACTCATCGTAGACGCAGACGTGAAAAAAAAAAAATAGTAGAAAACGATCCTACAGTCTCACAACAAAAAGATATCTGTCTGAGTTTTTTTTTTTTTGCATTATGTTTACTGGGAAGGAGGGAAACTGTTGCACGAACACTAAGGCTGTTTATTGTTATATCCGTTTGCATCCCCCATACGAGAACGATCTGACCTCTTCTTCTTCTTTTTCTTTTCCTTTCAAAGCATGATCATCCCGCTGTCCTCCATGTCTGGTATCGATACAGTGGCTGCTACCTCTCTCTATTCGTTCGACCTAAAGCTATTTGGTCTCTTCTTTCTCGTCTTTTATATTATACCGTATCCCATGTATCGATGTGTAGCGCACTATCTGAAATGGGAGCTCAACGTCAAATCGTTAGCACGCCACTGGCAGGACCTCTTTGATGGACTTAATTATGACTTGATCCTGTTTATATTTGGCAATTACACGTTCACAATGCACTGGATTACCATAGCTGCTTTCTTTCCCTCTTTATTTATTTATGGCCAAATAGCGGAACTACCGGCTACAAAGACCTCCTTGCCTAACATTAACCAATGGCCTAAAGGAATGTGGGTTGTCTTTCTCATTGCGTTGAGGTAACCAAGATTCGCTTTTGTTTTGTTTTATGAGGGCGGGAAGAGGTTTTTTTTTTTTTTTTTCGCTCACTCGTAGAGGTTATCTTCATAGCATCATTCTGGCTTTTGCTGGTTATCATATTTATCTGGCTTGTCAATTTTCTTTACCCTTTGTCATTATCTATGTTTCGTGTTTGAGCATTCCAGCGACGATCCTTTTTTCGGCGTTCTTGCTTGCAAAGGAAGTGAACACAAACTGGCTTAGAACCAAATTCTATTTTGTCTTTCGTAAAAAACAAGCTATCGACAATGAGAGTGGTAATCACCATACGAGCACTCCCATAGCGGATGAAGCGACCAGTTTACTACCTACGACACATGTCTCTACGCTACCCAATCCATACACTTACAAAATCACTATTCATCTCCATCATTGGCAAATATTCTACGTATTAGCGTTTTTTACTCGATTCCAACATCCTGTCTCACAAATAGGCGCTGGTATCGTTTTGGCGTGTTACATGGAAGGCATTTGTGCATGTAAGTTTATTGTCAATCGTTTTGCATATTGCAGTCATTGTCTATAGGTATGACAACAATAACGACCCCTTTTTTTTAAAAAAAAATAAAATATAGATGGTTATGATAAACTGGTGAATGAGGAAGCCATTTAAAGCCTGCCTAGTTGTACCTTTTTTTTTTTTCGATGAAAAAGAGAATGATGGATTGTTTTTATTTGAATGGCAATAAAAATAAATACTGCTCCCTAGGGAGTGGACTTTGAATAATGGGGGGGGATAGAGATGCATGTAGGCATAGAGAGAGAGAAGGGGAAAAGACAAAGGCTGTACAAAATCAAACGGCCTGTGTAAAAAGCAGTTCTTAGGGTATGTTTGTTAGCATGACGGAGTCAGGAAATGAATATGTACACTGGTATCGACAAGTATATAAATAGATGTGTATATATACAGAGATGCGCGCTGTTTAATTTTTCAGCCAAGAGGACGCCAAGACTTGTTTGATCGTCCATCGTTTCTGTGGATCCCTATTTAAACAACCACGGATCAATGTTTGCACATCGCTTGACGCATTGTTTGGCTCAGGATACTGTCCGATCAAGATTTTCTGCTGCAAACGTAACTCGTATTCGTCCCAAAAGGGTAGTTTTCCTGTCACCATCGCATAGAGTATCACTCCCAGAGACCAAATGTCAGAAGACGGAGAAGTCATTGTGGGGGTCGTGGAGGACGTTGTCAACTGTTCGGGTGACATGTAAGCCAAAGAGCCACCGGGTCGACCTTCTGCACTACTACTACTACTACTACTGGCACAGCCGAAAGGTAAGGCGAGTCCGAAATCACATACTTTGGCGCAATGGGCTTGATCATCCAACAAGATGTTTTCCAATTTCAAATCTTTATGGCAAACCTTGGCTTCTTCATGCAAATAAGAGACGGCTTGACAAACGTCTCTAAAGATACCACGCGCCTCCAGCTCACTCCATCCGCCGCCTCCGCCGCCATGAGAATGCGCTTCTTTCACTTTGCTCAATAAACTGCCTCCCGAACAATAATCGCAGATCAAATAAAGCGCATGGTCGGTTTCCAATATCTTTTGTAAGCAAACGATATTCGGATGGCAAAGAGATTTCCAAATAGACAACTCTCTTTCCAGCAACAACGGTAAAGCGCCGTCTTCCTCGGCGGAAGCAGCAGCAGCATCAAACTTGATGATTTTGATAGCAACATGATGACCATCAGAGATGCAAAATCCTCGACGGACCGTGGAAAATCCGCCAAATCCAATCATTCTATCCATCACATAATCATCCAATTCATCCCCTTCTTGTTCTTCTTCGTAGGGTTGAACAAGGTAAGCACTCGTGCTGCTGCCGTCACTGGGCGCAAAAGTGCTTGGAGGAGAAGCAAAAGAGGCTAAAAAGGAGGCAGCTGGGCTTTGCAGTCCCTCCCAAGATGACGTAGTGACACTACATGAACGCTGTGATTGTGCTGGTGGTTGTAAAGCCTGCGCAGCAGGACGCATCAATTGGCATTTGTTTCGTAAAACAGATCGAGGGTATGGGCTGGCAGTGGGAGTGCCATCCGATGAAAAATGAAGAGAAGAGTGCGTGGAAGAGGTAGAAGAGGAAGGTGAAGGAGCAGGAGATAGAAAGGATGGAGCTGAGAGGGCTGCTGTGGCGGCAGATGTCATGGTGGGCAGGGTGGGTTGTGTGCTAGAACCGTTCGCTAGAATGGATGTTAGAGGAGCGGTTCTCGTCGTCGTGTTAGGAGGCGTAGTTAGAGTAAACGCAGATACCATAGAATGCGCCGATTCCTTCATCTTCTCAATTGTACTCGTCTCATTAAAGACTTGCGTATTGATTTGCAAGTAGGATTTATTCTTTGATCCATGACATCTTTTATGAATAGGTGCTGTTGTATTAGCAAACATCTCAAATAATGAACAAAATGACGTATTCAATAAAAAAAGAAGTTCAATGTAAAGAAACGAATAAAAGAAAAAAAAAATTACTATTCTTTTTTTTAATGCTTGCAATTAGACTGTATAAATCGAGGGGGGGAAGAACTACTCCTTAGCAATAGGACACTCATATAATTAAAACAAAATCGAAAAATCGAAAAGAAAAAGGTTGTCTTTACCTGCAAATGGGTTCCGAATCAGCCAATCACAACCGTCAAACTTTAAGTTCTTATCTTTTTTATCACACATATAGTTCAAATCGTCCAATTAAAGAAAAAATTTCTGCATAGATAAGCCATCCAACAACAACAATGGGAATAGAAGCATTGTCGTTTGGTTGGCCAAAGATAAGATCTAATTGCACCCCTTGCTAGATATTCTATTTCATTGGCCATCTCGAGGAAACAAAAGTCTGCCCCTTCCCCTCTACCTACCCGTTATGACGACTACCACATCTGGAACAATGGTTTCAGTCCCAAAAAAAAAGAAATCAAAGAAACAAAAACCTGTGAGTGGATTTGTGCCTGTAATATACATTTATGGGTTTTCCCCGGTATTACCCGACAGCTAATTAGACTCGTTTTAGCAGAATTCTGTTCCCACCTGATCTCGTTAGTTTCGCTTTTTAGAAAAGAGTTTGCATAAATCAACAATTATCACATGTTTGATTTGATATAAAAATGTACGACATTGCTGTCAATCCAATGTCAGTTAAAAATTGCTTGTAAATTTGATTGCCGCCCGCAGTTCCTCAACATTTTGTCAATTCACTTGATTGCGTCTCGTTCTCGCTTTGAACCTCCAAAAAAAAAGGCACATTTTCTACAATATTGAAAGTTCCTACAGTTATATAGAGTATATAATTACATCTCATCTAAACGATATCGAGATTGATAGGCATTTTTACATGTAAAAGTGATAGTAAGCAGGCAAAAGCTATTTGGGATACACTTTTTTTAAACTATAAAAATAAAAATCGAGATAAAAAAAACCCTAAATTTTATAACCGATAAACCTTTATGGTTTCAAGTAAATATGTCATTTTTATTATAAGTAAGGAAAGTAGTTGCAATATGAATTATTTGAATCATACAAAAGATTTACTTGTAATGTCTATGATAATGGAAATATTTCATCTCGACTCAGATTCTTTGGGCTCACTCAATCGCTCTATCAATAAGAACAAGTGACTTATAACTGATGCATTTACACTCAAGTAACAACAACAATACTTAGTACATACAGTTAGACAGAATACAGGCCATTATGATTCAATTAATTTTGCATAACCATCACAGATCATTCCTGAGAATAATTTATTCAACATTTGAAATCTGAATTCACAATGGTGACGTAAAATATAGCAAAGCAACCATTCGCCCCCCTATAGAGAAATTGGATGACGCGAGATTGGCCTCCGACAATGAAGTTCAAAGTAGGTTTCAATGAATTTGGAGTGCAACAGATTTTCGCCAACTTACATAATCAAGATATTGGATGCTTCGCCTCTTTCTTTAACAATTTGTTTTGCTATAACTGATTGATACTTTAAACCATTTGGATTTCATGGCATGCCACAAACAGTTATCCTTGCGTTAGGATACCTTACGTTCCCTCTTTTTGTAAGAAAGACAGTCAAATGCACTGACGAAAAGGAGAATGCTCTCGATGAAGCTACAACAGCTGCTACTGACGTTGATCAACACTCTAAAGTGAGCGCTCCACGCTGGTCACTTGGCAGTATTATCAGCATTACTAGCTTTTTAAAAGATCCCCTCAGCCAATACCCGACTCTGGAAAAGCATGTCTTACAATTAGCATCGGATGCTTACCCACATGAACGAGAGACATCGTTCTTATTGTCTAAAGCGATGAATAAAATCAGCAATGAAATGGATAATAAAAAATCGATTTCTGCCCTCATCATTCTGAAAGACGATTGTTGGGGTATCTTTTCCGTTACGGAAGAACCGGATATTTATACACTACAGGTGATACAGCCTCCCGCTGATGAAGCACGTTTATTACTTGAAAGCAACCCTATCGGCCTGAACAACCTTTCTGCACCTCCCTCGGCCGTTGCTGATCTCAATAATAATACGAGTGATAGTAGTAATGATGGTTATCCAGAACAACTGACAAAGTCGTTTGTACTGGATGAAGACCAGCTTGTAAAGCCTGCAGAAATGATGCGATTGTGCCAGCTTGGACCCCCGTCACAGCCTCAACTGATCCAGTTAGCCGGACAAGTATATGATATTGCAACTCTCTATGGATATTGGGGTTATTGGCGCGTGTTTGAAGGCATTTGTAACAATTATCAACTAAATGCCAGTCAATTAGTCAATTTATACCATCAGCAGCAATTACCGAAATGATACCTTTCCATTTGTATCAATAGGGAAATTCAACAACAACGAGCCGTCAACTAATTTATTGCTTTTTTATGCCCATCCATGGTGGTCAAGTTCAGTGGGGGGGGCCGAGGCGGTTTTTTTTTTTTGTGGAAGAAAAAAACAATTGAAATAAAACTGGGTATAATGGTATAATTCACTTTCTATACATAACATGCGTGTTATACATTTTCCTTTCAAAAAAATAAAATGCTGTCGTACGTTGCTTTCGTAATAGAACACTCCCTTGTTCCCTTTTTTTAAAGTGTACAAGATCGAGTGTAAATCAAATGGTCCGCATGAGGACTGGTTTGAATGCCGCTACTCGTACCGCTATCATTCATGAGCTGAATAGATGCAGATGTGTTCCTTCTTCTTTCTTCGTCCTCTTTTTCTTTCTGTGCTAATTGCTCTGAGGGTAGCAAAATGGATCTATCAATAGCCGCTGGTAGACCTACAAGGAGTATATTTCGTTAAAACGTTGATAGCCAATGGCTCTTTTTTTTTTTCCTTCTTCTGTTACCTCTGTGTCTTCCTCTATACATCAATATAATCAAAACAAGCTTACTCAATGTTCGATACTGTGCTGCTTGTGAAGTTGCCGTATTAGGAAAACCAGTAGAAGCGCCCACATTAGCAAAAGCTGAAACGCATTCATAAATGACAGTAGCCATGGTCACAGGGGAAGGTGACATAATCGCCTGTGATTCAATCACACAGATGCAAAAGATGCCCGTAATAACCCAACAAATATCGCTCGAGAGTTGTCTCTGTATCTGCGTGATGACAAAGAAATCAGGTCCTCCTTTCAGCAGTTTTTGCGTGTTCTGTTTAATACTCGTCATGGTGGAATGCCGTTTCAATTTGATGAAGGGCGCATTGGCAAGTTCGTTTTCAGAGAAGGATACTGGCTCATCGTTTTCACCTCGAAAGATACCAAGTGCGCGTTCCTGTTATCAAGTAGAGGGAGATACTCCTGTTAATACAAGGTAACTCTGCAACACTTTTCCTCTTTTCTTCTCGGCATGACACATGTTGAATTTTTTACCTGATAAATGTTACTGTTACGCATCGATATAGCCACGGGATAGACACTGATATACATAGCTACTATATAAACTAATTGTGCGCCAGGGTTTAAATCCGCAAGCGATACTACACTGAATCCAGCTATGACAGTTGATATTGTAGAAAAAAAGAGAAAAAAGAAAAGTAAAAAGGAAGAAAAGGCGGCTGCTGTTAATACTCTCGCCCCAAACGACGTTCTATTTTTCAGTCTTCTTCTAGTAATAAACGAATGTGCTCATTGCAATACTTTACCATTACGAGTGGCAACAGATTGAAACAAGCCATCCAAAAATCGGGATCCCCAACTGATACCTGCCAATACCGGCAACCAATAATTCAAAGCCAAAAAGCAAATCAGTTCCACCAACGTGATTGCCACCAAAACAATCAGCAACCACCACGTCTGTGTGGCAGGAAACAAAGTCGTGTAACAACGTCGTGGATGATCCAGTAAGTACCGAAACGTTTCCCGTCGCATTACTTTATGTTTGGGAGTCAAACAATAGCAAACCCAAATCAGGAAACGCATCAAAATAGCAAATGCCGTGTTGCCTACGAGGATGAGAATGATCGAGAGGATGAGAGGTGCAGGCGCATTCTGAAAAGGTGCCATACTAGCGTCTAGATGATTCAGGCCAAGATTAGTAAAAGCAGAAAGACTTTGAAAGAAGGAGAAGAACCATGGATCCACAGGGCCCTTGTCTGGCCCATTCGAGGTGGCAAGCACCTCTCTAGCGTAACTGGAGCTAGCGACATAAATACGAAATAGAAACCCGAAACCGACAATGAAGCCCAGATAGTAGATGGGAACAAGCCGGGCAAGCATATCCAAAGCACGATATTCGGTACCGCCGATGCGATAACGTTCATTTTTCGTAAGCTGGGATTTGGCTGATGGTTGGCACATAATTTCATATTCAGAGTTGGTGCGATAAATGGTAGGTTCTTCTATAATGATGTGTTGAGGCTGGCTGTTATTGTTGTTGCTATTGTTGTTCATCACTTCTTCTTCTAGACGGTGCTGCATAAGTTTCCGTCGTTCTCGTTCACGCAAGATATTCGTATCTTCTCGAAAAGTGATCTGTTGATTATTGTTGCTGTTAGTATTTGCAGTGTTTTTGTCAGAAGTTAAATCTGAATGGCTACTCATCACAGTATCCTCATTGGCTGTTGACGTTGTATGAGTGATGGGTGGTAAGTTTCTATTGTTATTATTATTTAGAGAATTATTTACAATTAATGATCTCATCCTCGTTTCACCATCCTCTTCTGCTTCGGCGTTGTTGGCTTGACGTTCACTTGGTAACGAGGAAGAGGATGAAACACGAAAAGAATCATGAGCGTTTGTATCGAGCAGATTACTTTTATTATTCCAATGGTTGCTTTGGGTATTGTTGAGATGATCACTACTGCTGCGATAAGCCGATGAAGAGGGTGAAGAGTGAGTAGTATCGTATGGATGAGCGCTAGTCGAATAAAGGTCAGCATAGTCTCGTTCTTCGTCATCATCATGCTCATTGTAGCCTTTGGCGTGGTCATCGTTATCGTCTTTCGTAGTCGCTGAAAACAGGGTGTTTTGCTTCATGTCAAAAACACTCTGGGAATTATTTTCGCTAAAGTTATAATTAGGCTGTAACTTTATTTTATGGTTGTCTTCAGAGTATCGATTACGATCACTCTTGTCGTTTTCCGTATCAAGCGAGCCTCTTCTAAAAAAAGACCTATTGAAGATGGAATGACGAGGCGTAGCGTGTCCTACAGGTGTAGAGCGCACAGACAAAAGTGATAAACGACGGCCTAATGCTCCTTTGCTGTTCAATGACGACTTCTTACTGCCGGCTCTTGTCGTAGATGCATCACAGCTCGACTGACTCAGATTGCTATTCTTATCTGATAACTGACGTTGCTGTTCTTCCAACAACTGCTGTTCTCGTTTTCGCTGTTGCTCTTGCTGTTCACGTAGTTGCTTTTGCCGTTTATACTCTTCTTTCCGCTTTTTGTTGAACTCTAATACTTCTTCGAATCGTTTTTGAAAGTAGTAACGTCGAACCATGACAACGCCAAAGGAAACAGTGACATGGGATCCAAGGAAAGACGAGAGATACAGAAGCACCATGTGGTAAGTAGACATATCCGACATGGCAATTGTGTTTAGGCCTGTATCAGTTGATCCTGTAGTAGCCATGAACAATGCATCAATGTAGTCCCAGTTGGTATCAGATTCACAATAATAGAGCCCGGAAAATACAAAAATCAGAAAGAAAATATAGAGATAATGCAGTTCTAGAAAGTGAATTTTGGTGTCCCAGAAGATTTTTAATGATCGTTTTAATCGCTTCATTTTGCTGTCTTGACGATTTGACAGATAATGCATTAGAGATTAGAACAATCAAATAAAATACTGCTGTGTGCCAAGTGGATGAGATTTAAATGCTCTTCTTTTCGACAATGATATACACTTAGACAAGCGATAGTGGCTTTGTGGTTTTCGTGGCTTCGGGGCTTCGGGGCTTCTTGTCTATGCCTTGTATCTGGTGATTGTAAGCAAAAATTTTGATATATTTTTTTATTATTTAGGAAAAAAAAAAAAAAAGGAAATGAAAAAAAGACAATGTACAAAAGAAAGGTGGGGTAAATGAGAGTCGGGGAAAAAATTAAAAAACCACTCACAGATAGCCGACGGGGGAAAGGCATCGAAATTTTCCAATTATCCATTTTTTGTACTGTTGGATTTGTCAAAAGATTCGGTTTCCGCCCCCCGCCAGATCCATATTCGGCAGCTAAAAAGGTACACGAAGGTTATTGAAGGGTTGATTGTCTTTCAATAAAATGTACCAACTTTTTACTTTGCAGTACGATAGCCGAGTAAAGAACGCATTTTCTAAATAGCTTAGGAGAACTAAAACAAACAAGAAAGTTCTACACTCTTATGTCGATGAAATCAATCAATACTTACAGTTCAATACGTTGAATTTTGTCATACTACTGATTCCCTTGCTTATCTGGTTTTATAATCTCACTTCATCCTCTTTGTGAATTGACATTTGTACTATACAAGCTTGACATTCCTGTACTAAATTTGAGCTGACATAGCTCCTGATAATGCTGTTAAATATATATGGATAAGCTAAGCTTTGAGCTTAATGCACGGTATGAGCGTAGAAGAGGGTAGATCTAATAGATTATTATTGCGTTAAAGTAGTATTGTCTCAGGCACATTGACAAAGAGGTCTGTCTGTTAATGTTTACTAATTCTATCTGGATGGCTTAATCCAAGAGAAATCTAAAAGAATTGTTTATGATGACGGACACTTCATCTAATGTTCTATAATTGGAAGACTATTTGTATTAGTTTGTACAATGCTTCGTCGACTTGCCTTTAAAATCAACAAAAACAAGACTTACAGATCTGCTGTAGCTGCTGCTTGAACGGCCTGTTAAGCTATTCACTGGACATGATCAGCTGCTGCTCCTTTTACTTGATGGAGAGAAGAAGGGCAGAAAGTAGCATTCGGTATCTGCTATGACCAACGTTGCTGCTCTTTTAGTAACACTACAAACAGAAAAATGTTTCCTGTATTACCGTAATGGACATTTGTTTACAATTTTGTAGGTATATCAGAAAAATAGGGGATGGTTTGGCGTGTCCCTTCTCCTGATACCCTAAGGATACTTGTTGTAGCATTAGCTGCTGAGTCCTGCTTTTGTTGATCTGCAATGTGACAACACACTTTGATTTAATAAAGAGGGCGTAACATACAAGCCATTTGATAACCTCTGTCAGATGCCACTACAAGGTTATTTGGACTGGCTGCTTTAAATATCTATTGAACTTTGCAACTGTTGCACCAAGAACGACTTAATTGTCAATACATTTTATGTTGGAGTTTCGGTAAAGGAAGAAAGGAAAGTACGGACATAAGAAAAAGCCCCGAGTCGGTGGTGTCGAATGGTTTTATACATTTATTACTGTACAGAAAAGAAATAAAAATTAATTTTTTCTATTTACAAATCTCCTTTTCTTGAAGGAGTTATTCTTTTTATCGTTGTCTCGACTATTAATGGTAGACGTCGATGCAGTATTTGATGACTTGAAGGGGGCCTTTCTTTTCACACCTCTTGAGCTTGTTGCTGCCGCTGCTCGCTGTTCCGACTTGAAAGCGTTTCTTCTATCAAGTACTTCTTTATTTTCCAATGAGAACTCGACAATCAATCTTTTGCCGTTGAAGATATCAGGATTATTGTTCAAATATCTGAGTGCTGCTAATGCATGCGCATGTGTTGCAAATTCTAAGAAACCATAACCCTTTGAACGCAATTTTCCTGAACTGTCGACTGTATCTTTACTTCGGACAATTTTTGCTTGAATCACTTTGGGTAGTCTATCCCACCCTTCTGCTTTTTCTTCTTTGCTAAGGTCATCTCTTTCACCTGCCTTCACTTGATTCTTGAATTTAGATATGCTACTTAAACCTAATGCCTTCAATTCTTTTTCGTCCACTTTCACCGGTAAGTTACGTATAGACAAACGAGTTTTGGATATAAATAGTGATGGATTATTGCTAACGAGTTTCTTTCTGCTGGAGAAGGAAAGTTGTCTCTTATTAAGTTCGCCGGGTGTTAAGGTCTCGGCGGCAGGTGTATTAGGGAAAATAACACCTTCACGCATAAGGTATAAATTTCTCTTGTCTTCTTTGCGTTTTAGTGTGGCATTGGCATCTTTCAATTCCTTTGCTTGTTGACGATCGACAGCCAAAGTCACATCCAAAACACGACCTTGAAGAGTGAACTTGGCACTGTTACCAGATCCTGGTTCGGCTGTGATGAGAGACTTATAAACAAGACCCTTTTTCTTCTTTTCACGTTTCGATAATAGATCGTTGATAGCATCTTTATCGCTGTTTTCATCTTTTTGGGAAAGTGCACGAAGTTCTTCGGCTTCTTTCAGAATAGTATCTACATCCTCTTTATTACGCATACATACAAACCCTGTACCACGAGATAACTTGGTGACAGGATCCATGGTAATTTTAGCATATATGACAGGACCCCATTGCTTGAAACTGTAGTAGACAAAAAAAAACAAAGCATGTTCAGTATTTTAGATGTTTTACAGGCGTACTTCAATTCCGATACGTACAGATCCTTTAAATCTTGCTCCTTAGATTCGAACAACAGATTACGAACGAACAAAGTCGTTCCGTCTGCTGCTGTGGGAAGAGTCTTTTTCTTCGCTTCTTTATCTGTATTAGCTTTTACGCTAGCTTTATCAGTGTCATCTTTGCTGTCATCATCACTTTCATCACTGCTACTTTCATCATTCTCGTCGTTCTCATCTTCATCTTCTTCCATTGCATCAGAGTTAGCTTCTTCTTCACTTTTTTCAGAATCTGACTCTTCTTCCATTTTCATTGCAACATCCTCAGCTTCAGCATCCTTCACATCATCGTCGTCGCTATGTTGTTCATCTTCTTCCATTTCAACTTCAACATCCTCCTTCTTCTCAATATCATCAGTCATCTCGACGTCTTCCTGTTTAACTGCAGTTTCCGCAGATTCAGTCGCTTCCTTTTCCTCAATTTCCTTGTACTGCGTCTTGGGAATTGACCAATCAACAGCTATGGTTCTACCATGGTGTTCTGTTGCATTTAAAGCATCCATGGCCTAACATCAATAATTTTTGCAAAGATAAGAATCAATGTGTCTTTCACGAGTTCGATTAATTGTAAAATGATGTCAACTTACAGCTTGTCCTTGCTCGACCGTTTCAAATTGAATGAACGCAAATCCACGTAAGGGACCACCCTCAAATTTACGAGGTAACTTAACGTCATGGACTTTACCATACTTTTCAAATAACTTCTTGAGATCGTTTTCTCTGTATTTCCAAGGTAGGTTACGAACAATCAAACGAGCATTGACGTCAAACTCAGTAGGTCCTTCAGGTTTATTGGCTTTCTCCTTCTTCTTTTTCTTTTGTTGCTGTTTTTTAGAGCCTTCTTCTTCCTTATTATCGTGAGTCTGCGTTTCAGACCTTCTCTTCGCAAAATCAATCTTTAGTTTTCTCTTGCCCATAAATTTAGCGTCCTTTAATTTTTCAATAGCAGCTTTGGCATCGTCTTCTAAAGCATAATGTACATAACCAAAGCCTTTGTTTCTAAACTCTGTTGCTGAGGAAGCTGATCTATCTGCAACGACGAAGCATTTACGAACAGGTCCGATTTCACCAAAAAAATCTTCAAGATCTTGGTTGGTTGCTTCGTAAGGAATACCACGAACAAAAAGAGTTAATTTGGCAAGACCATCTTCTCCTGACTGAGACTTCTGTTGTTCAGTGCTCACTGTTTCTGTCTTATTATTTGCAACTTCTTCAGACATTGGTTTATGAAAGTTTGTCTGGGTAAGGAACGGTACTTTGCCTTTCTTTTTTTAATCTTTTAATAATTTGAAGATGCTGGGTGGCTTATGGAATTTATTGGGTGACAGCGAACAATTTCGGCTGCTGCATAATCATTATACTTCTTATTTGGTAAAAGCTTATTTGGTAAAAAACTAAAAATGGCTGCTTTTTCAATTAATTTTTGATCTAAGTATCTGCTAACCCATAGAAGCCTTTACCCTTTCATTCTTTGCGTTATGCTTTGACAATTTATTGTTGTAAGAATTGGATGATAGATAATTCACTGCTAGACCGCCAGCCTCTTCTTCTACCTGTAAAAGAATTATAGAAGTTGGCGCCCATATTGATGTATTCAACACCCGAAACGACAATATAATTGCAATTAAAAGCTCATCTACATTCTTGAGGGGATATTATCTATGTCGGCTCTGTATCTGTTTAGCCCTCTGTATATTAGGCCTAAATCTTTTCTTATTTTTAGTGGAGTTAGCATTCCTCCACTCCGAACTCGATTTCCTTTCCATCGGGATGTGAATGACGCCTTTTTCTAGTGCTGCATGCGTCATCCCTGTCGGGAACTGAACTAGTACCGTGCACGTGACCGGTACCTTTGGCATATCCTATTGATGCACCTTTGCTTTTAAATTTCAATGTGTTCTTCGGTAGTATAGTGGTGAGTATCCCCGCCTGTCACGCGGGAGACCGGGGTTCAATTCCCCGCCGGAGAGTTTTTTACAATTTTCGTTGTAGTTTTTTTTGGGTTTTTTTTTTTTTTTTTGCTTTTCCTACTGCAAGTAACTTCAAACGTCGGTCAGCTATGTCGCGCACTGAGCTAACGATATAACAAGGGTACTCTTATAGAACACAAAGTTTTAGAAAGGAGATAAAACGATGATTCTTTGTTCTATTCAAACAGTTATGTTCCTTTTATACTGTTTATTCAGTCATCGTTTTACGACAGCTAAACGATCACTCTAAACAGTGTTGAACTCCTATTCACCACCCCTCACCCCCTCCCTCCCAAGGTATAGCCTAAGCGCTTGGCTGGAATATGGCTTATTTTCAGTATTCATGAGACGCTATAAGTGATTTGTTCCTACATTTATATCAGCATCGCACTTCAAGCACGACAAAGGTGTCCTGGGTGCATATGTCAATGAGTTCGAGATCACGATAGATTGTATCTGTGATATCTGCACAGTTTCAAGTGCAGAAGTTAATGGTAAAATCGCAATAGTTCATCAGCATAATAAGCGATTGTGTTTGCGTCAATCGCCTTCACGTTTTATACTTTATCAACCTATTGCCTAGTAGGCGTATGCTATATGCTTGCATTTACTCAAACTGCGAATTTATTGTACAAACCAAGCTGAAGTAACACGACGATTAGGACGCTAAGGTACAGAAGAAATTATATTATAGTGTATTGGCCAATTTGGAGAGACCAGTGAAACCTTTTTTAGGAATTGTACCGTTTCTAACTATGTATATATAATATTATTTGCATTGGAGTTTTTAACTCATACTCAGTTCTTGAATATACGATGCTTTCGTTTTCCTATACCAGTCTATGTAGAACAGTAACATTAAATTTAATCCTTTATTACCGTCTATTCCAGTGTTACTCTGTTATTTACCTGCAAAAATTTTGTTATCAGTTTATCCAAGGTGCCTCTGTCGTTGTCGCTCCATTCTATTGACCATTGTTCTCCATCTTTAAAATTTTCAGCTTCCATCCAGCTACCGATTACAAGTCGGTTATCTATAGGAATTTTCCTGTTTGAAGCGGTTGTTATCGATACTATTTTCTTCGTTCTGAATGTTGCAATAATATGTATCTTTTCGGCTAATGAAAGTCCTGTGTCTGAAGGTAAAATATCAATCCAAGCTCGATGTTCTGCATTGATCGATTGAACCGTGATCTGCCGTACTTTAGCTATTGAATCATCCCAGAATGTTTAAAAAAAAAAAAAAAAATAAAAAAAAAATAAACCATCTTGCAACTTGTTTTCTATTCCTCAAGCAAAAAAATATGACTTACTTTCGCAACTGTCGATTATCGTCGTTGATTTTTGCTCATCAGTAGCTCCGAGAGCCTCATTCGCCTTTGTGGTTCTCTCCCTTGGATGATCTAGCTTCGTTGGTACGACGAATGTATCTAAAGGTGACATCTGTTGACAACCGCTTTGATCCAGTGATATGTTGCTATGACTTTGAAGTTGTTGAACATAAAGAGGATCGTCAGTGATTATTGGATGATAATCGTAAGTCGAATAATCGAACATTGTTGCTGAAGAGGGACACGTTACTATGGTATCTGTAACCGTAGGTGTATCGTACGATAACAAAGTATTTATAGGGTAGACGTTGTCGCTAATAGTTGCATGTAATTGGGGCTGATCTTGATACAAAGGAAATTGACTGTCATTCATCACAAAACCATGTTGCTGAAGCACAGCTTCGTTATTGTAGTAGGGCGTAGTCACAGTGTATATATCAAGCATATGGTTCATATCAGTTGTAGCAAACAAAGGATTCTCAGCTATCGGTTCCTGAGGCAAAGGCTTTGGCGGTAATCGGTTAGGCGTGCTTTGTGATACAAATGACGATGGTATTGATTCAGTTATAGAGTCAGATTCTGTTTGTTGCAGACGACGAAGCTGCCTTGACATTCTCCAAGACTCTTTATCAGATGGTTTTTGCGATAAATTGAGTTGTGAAGAAGTCTTCCAGCTTTCTGCAGAACTATTTGACAAGGAAGATTTCTTCAATTGCCCATTGGCTTTCGTAAAGGGTTTGGGCTGCCGTAATTCCTTGGTATTTTGAAGTGGCATTGAGCTTGAGCTGTTCGATGGTATATCCATCGACAATCTGCTGTTTGTTGTTGATAAATCACTTTTGCGAAACTATTGGAGCAGTAATAATCAGCAAACTGGAGGTCTATTTTTGATATATCATAGTACTTTGATTCAATTTACTTGTGTTTGCTTGATTTTTGTTTCATTACTTGGAGCTAACTTGCTTAGTATCATAGATTTGAGGTAACAGTTACAGCACACATAAATAGATACTTACTGAGAATATTCATGTCATTAATAGAAAAACAAGCGTATTAGTGGAAAGAGAAAGGGTTGAAGCGATATTTTCCTGATTTGAAATATAAAAAACAATGGTTCAGAAATTATACAGTGGATGCTGTGTTTCGAACTTAGTTGTAACTTAAAAAAAAATAACGATTTCACAAACTTGTCAAAAAAAGCAGAAAAATTGGCTGCATTATCTTGTAACAAGCACATACTCAAAAAAAGCCATGAAATAAACGAGCAATGTTGCACACAAATTTCTATTGATCCTATTGAAGTTGGCCTTCTTGTCTCGGTTAATTAACTTCAAAAAGGGCCTCTCCATTACTAGACCCCACCTTTCTTTTCTACTTCCTCTCTCAGTTCCATATAAAACCTGCCTTCTGTTTTTACAACTCAACTAATGCCGATTCCCAAGAGTTCGAACTCTTCTTCAATGAACAATACCGACAAGCGGCCGGATGCTTTAGACAGATCTAGCAAATCGGCTTCCAACATTAACATGTCCTTCAGAAGTATAGGCAGAATGGGCCACTCCATGTCGACTTTAATGTCGAAGAAACGAGACGAGAAAAAAATGTCTGCTACTGCTGATAATAAGCATGACGAAAAGGATATTCTCGAAAAAACTGCTGCCACACCTTTGCGTACAATCGATATACCAAAGGAAGTTTGGGAGGCACAGCAAGAAAATTTGTTATACGATATACTGGAGGTGCGTAGAGCCATGGATCTATTTTTAAATTCTCGTATACCAGAGGCAGAAAGGATCCTGGAACCCAAGCGTTATTCAAGCCTCTACCATTCTTTGGGACATGCATTTGTTATGTTTTTGAAAAGTATGATGACCTTTCAGCACAGTGATATAAAAATTGCGATTGAAGCACTGAAAAAGACCATTCAGCTAGCTGATGCAATGCGTAAAAAGAAGAGCCAAGGCTGGCTTGGAAACCTTACTTCGTGGATGAAAGGTTTAACAGTACATGATGTTTGGTCAATGTCAAGGTTACATCAGCATGCTGTAAATAGCTTAAAAGAGATCATATTATCACATTCAGTGTAATTGACAACAAATTTACCCACCCCATTTTCTTCTTTTTGCTACCCTCCTGATATTCCTCTTTTAGGAACTGGTATACGCAGAGTCATATCTGCTCAAGGCTTTGTTAAGTATAATCCATGATGAAAGCTTTGTTTCATTCTTGAGGGAAGGTTTACACGTACGATCAAGCTACAATACCTACAAGATTTTACAAAAGTTCCTGCTACACGTTCAAGAACAGGCGTTACTCGGTAAAGACATATCTTCATGCGAATTAGATGACCATTTCACCTCTGGTGTATCCCTGGGTGTAGGCTTATTCAATCTTGTAATTTCAATGTTGCCGACTTCTGTAATAAAAATAGTCGAGTTGGTTGGCTTTACTGCAGACCGATCTTGTGGTATGACTACCTTAGAATCTGCAGGAGGTTGGGAAGAGTATGCAGGACTACCTCTATCCAAATTGCCTCCGCCTCAAGAGCCCAATGAAGGATTACGCAGACAATTCTGTGACATGGTTCTGCTTATGTATCATATCATTTTACCCAAACTCATCCCTATTCCTGACGTCAATGAAGAACTAGCTGATCGTATATTGGCATACAGTCTGAAGCTGTACCCTGATGGTGTCTTCTTCTTGTATTTCTCTGGCCGACAATTGAGTGCTCGTTGCCAGTTAACCGAGGCCATTTCACAGTATCAAAAAGCCATCGACATGCAAAAAGATTGGAAGCAATTGCAACATATGTGTTATTGGGAGCTGGGATTGATACGATTGCTACAACAAGATTGGCAAAAGGCACTGGATTGCTATACCATTCTACAGAAAGAAAGCAATTGGTCAAAAGCTGTCTATTACTATATGCAAGCAATATCTCTTTACCTCTTGTCAAACGCACCTGGTCATACCAAGGAAGAGCAGGCATCATTTACAGAGCAGGCTCACGAGCTGATGCGTAAAGTCACCGGCGCAAAAAGAAAGATTGCCGGCAAATCGATTTTCTTGGAGAAATTCGTCGCTAGAAAAGCACGCAAATTCGTTGCTCAAAATAATAGACTACTATTCCCTGATCTGGAAATTTTGATAGCGTTCAGTGCATTTGATTTCATGCCTGAAGGTTTGCTGTTACAAAATCTAGAACGAACAAATGACGAAATACAACACCTCATAGAAAATAGTAATACTAACAATACAGAGCAAATCGAGCTATTAAACTATTATGATGACCTTTGTCTCAGCCATTATCTACGTATAATGGTTCTTCGACTGTTATTGGAACGAACCAACACCAAGAAAATACAGGAATGGAAGAATCTTCAAGAGGAGTCCATCAGAATCGTTATGGAGAATGCGAATAAAATACAGCTCGATCACTATATTTATTATTTCACTCGCTATGAAGAAGCCCGAATGATGATTAGCAATAAGAATTTCGATAAAGCAAAGGAGATCATACAATCCATTATTAGATGTAGTGAGAAAAACCAGTTCAATGTGGGTGCAGGTCCACACGCTGAAAATAAGTACAGCCTGGAAAATACTCTACTGTTCAGATGTCATAATTGTCTCACTGAAATTGATCAACTATCCCTTTCCGTATCTCCTTCTTCTACAGTCGATGATAACTCTGACAAACTCTCATCCACAAATGAATCTTTTATTTCGGCCTCAAATGGAAGTTAAATTTCATTGTAGAACAGACTGAACAGATTTACTCTAAATAATAAAACCCATTTTTGTACGTATACTGTTCCAGTTTCTATATTGCTCTTCGCACACAAGCATAGAATTTGTTCGGTAGCAGTTTTAGTCACGACGGAAAGAGTTATTTGTCCATAAGAATTGATTAGTTTGTACCCCAATCAGTTCCGTCACGACCCGACATAGTGATGTACAATTTGCTGAAGTATGTATCCACATCTTTATAGAGATATATAAAGTTACCTGAATGAAAGAACACAATGAGTAGAAGAACGAAAAGCCAGAAAATAACGCTCATTGTATTCGCATCATATATCTTATCTCAGATCGTATAAAAAAAAAATTGAGAATCCGGTAAAACCAGCTGTGTTTGGGCTAAGAGGAATTTGACTCTAAAAATATTTTAACGATCTCTGATATCACTGAAAAACATCGCCTGCACAATTTTCTACTGCATTTCATGATACAAACATTTGTTGATCTCCATAAAGAGAAACACCATAGAGTCAGTTACGTTAGAACAGAGATGATATAACTGTCTAGACATAGATTTAAATCAAACCTGTTAGCAAAACTGTTCAAATATGCATTTACTGGCGTTACGATGTCGTACATCAACTTTTTTTACTTTTTGGGAAATCGTTCCAGAAAAATCGTACAACAGCCGACCATTGTGTTAGCCTGCTTCCGTAAAATTCAGGACATGGGGCGTTGTTTACTAGTTTGTATGTATGTATATCACCAGGATTTTCGGCGGGTGAACATTGAAGCTGAATATGCACTGATATGAAAGGTTTGTTGCTTTTATAATAACGTTCACCTTGAAACACTAATGCTAGGTCTGGGAGTGTGGTTGTACAATTAACTCAGTATGCATTGATCACTGTATTTTGGAGTGCATATCACTCCTCTGTATGCGTATAATATCTTGATAACATCGAAACTTATCGATAATATTATTCAATTACATTCTTAAAATTCATAGAACGCGTTTATATATTTTGAGTAAAAATGTTTAGGAATAACGTGTGAATCTAAACCCATCAATGTCATCGTCCAATGGATGAATGCAGATATTGGGAGGAGATCGGATTTCGCTTAAAAAAGCTAAAAAAATTGCAAGTCATAGTTTTAATCGCTCAAAAAATATATAAGCACTTACCTTATCAGCTAGATCTCGTTTCTGTTTTTTTCTTTTCCTTTTCATTATAGAACTTTTCATCATGTCTCTTTCCAACAAGCTTTCCATCCGTGACGTCGATCTTAAGGACAAGCGTGTCCTCATCCGGTAAATATTAGTTCATGTATTTGATGAAAGACCATTTTGGTATCACATTATCTATGAACTGTCATCACTGACCCGTTTTTCGCGCACTGATACAGTGTTGACTTCAACGTCCCCTTGAAGGATGGTGTTATCACCAACAACAACCGTATTGTTCAAGCTCTCCCCACTGTCAAGTTCGCTCTTGAACAAGGTGCTGCTGCCGTCATCTTGATGTCTCACCTTGGTCGTCCCAACGGTGAAGCTGTTGCTAAGTACTCTCTTAAGCCCGTTGCCGCCGAAGTTGAAAAGCTTTTGGGTAAGCCCGTTCAATTCCTCAACGACTGTGTTGGCGCCGAAGTTGAAAAGGCCTGTAAGGAAGCCACCAATGGTAAGGTTATCCTTTTGGAAAACCTCCGTTATCACATTGAAGAAGAAGGTTCCGCCAAGGTCGACGGTAAGAAGGTTAAGGCTGATGCCGAAAAGGTCAAGGCTTTCCGTGCTTCTTTGACCTCTCTCGCCGATGTCTACGTCAATGACGCTTTCGGTACTGCTCACCGTGCTCACTCCTCCATGGTCGGTGTTGAACTTCCTCAACGTGCCGCTGGTTTCCTCATGCAAAAGGAACTCGAATACTTCGCCAAGGCTCTTGAAAAGCCCTCTCGTCCTTTCCTTGCCATCCTCGGTGGTGCTAAGGTCTCCGATAAGATCCAATTGATCGATAACATGCTTGACAAGGTCAACTCTTTGATCATCTGTGGTGGTATGGCTTTCACCTTCAAGAAGACCAAGGAAAACATGAAGGTAAATTGTCCTTTTAATTCGCTTAGTAAATCAACTAAGGGTTGCAGGGAAGTTAGGCAATGGGATTTCCAAAAAAAATTATTTCAAAATCATGGGTTTCAGTTTTTTTTTTTTTTTTTTCTTAAATGAAAGCTGAAATCGCGTGTTAGAGAAATCATTATTCATCCCGTAGCCCTTTTCCACTGCAAATTTATGGATTATCGCATAATTAAAATGCCGATACTAAATGCCAAATATTTTTTTCTTAATATTAGATTGGTACCTCCCTCTTCGATGAAGAAGGTTCCAAGTTGGTTGAAGGTCTCTACAAGAAGGCTGCTGAAAAGAACGTCAAGTTGCTCCTTCCTGAAGATTTCATCACTGCTGACAAGTTCGATGCTAACGCCAAGACTGGTTATGCCACTGATAAGGAAGGTATTCCTGATGAATGGATGGGTCTTGACTGTGGTGAAAAGTCTTCCAAGAACTTCAAGGAAGAAATCTTGAACTCCAAGACCATCGTCTGGAACGGTCCCTCTGGTGTCTTCGAATTCGATGCTTTCGCTAACGGTACCAAGGCCGTTCTCGCCGCTGTCATCGAAGCCACTGAAAAGGGTGCTACTACCATCATCGGTGGTGGTGATACCGCTACTGCTGCCCTCAAGTGGGGTGCCGAAGGTAAGGTCTCCCACATCTCCACTGGTGGTGGTGCCTCCCTCGAACTCCTCGAAGGTAAGGAACTCCCTGGTGTCACTGCTCTCTCCAGCAAGAACTAAATTGTTATCGCATCTAAAACATAATTTTGCATGTACCATTTTCCCTTCAAAAATAAATATTCATTTGTTTGTTAAATAGCTTTCATTTTATTTATAATAAAACAAAATCTGTACTATATACATTTTAATTTCTTCAAATTATCTTTGTGCATCTTTTTTATTTTTAAATCCAATTGGAGATTATGAGTTATAAACTTCGGTAAAGAAGGTCGTGTTTGGTAAGTAGGTATAGCTACTGCCTTTGCAAAGGTTTGTATTGTTCTTTTCGACAAGATTGATGATCAGGCATCTCTTTCCTGCCACATAAGCTTGAAACATTTAGCCAGTTTTTCGCAGCGTTGACATCTCTTCACCGTTGTAAGCTCTAAAAATGTATCACCGGTAAATGGGGTTTTTTTCCCCAATAGCTCTGATTCCCTTCCTTTACTCTTCGCGTTTTTGTCTCAATATTTTCCTTCCAGTTCCGAGTTCTTTTTCCGGAGTTGTAGAAGTATCAACGGAAAGGACGTAATCGAAAAAGCAAAAATCACAAAATCTGTTCTAACTATCGCTGTTGGGAAATACTATAGCAACAGATTAAGGTTAAATGGCTGGAAGTTTTCGAAAGCGTGAATAACTTTGCACACATTTATTGCAATATGCCGCTCTGTGTAACTCTAGACAAACAGCTACCAGCTTAATGTTTTGAGATGATGTATCTTTAAAATCCCTCAACCTGCTAGCACGGAGTGATATAATTTCTGTTGGATAACGAATGTGTACAAATCCAGCTGAGATAGACGGGGTAAGATTTCAGATGCACCCCGAAATATTGCACACTGTGGCTTGTCAGACTAAATTCAGACTAGTGGTGTTTTCTGTTTTAGCTTCGCTCATCACTGTCAGAGCTTTTCTGAACATAAACTAAGTAAAGATGTCGGTAGTAGAGAAGATCAAGGTACTTAAGCCATTTGAAATAGACGAGTCATTGAACAGTTTGATAACGATGTATCTATTTGATAGGAAATTGAAGTACGTGTTTCGACAGAGTATATTAGTTTGACCTTAAATGGCCGCTTAGACGAACAGTAAGCTGATCACTGACTTTTATAGAATGAAATGGCCAAGACCCAAAAAAATAAGGCTACGTCCTTTCATTTGGGTCAGCTTAAGGCCAAACTTGCTAAGCTGAAGCGTGAATTAATCACACCATCCGGCGGTGGCGGTGGCGGTGGCGGTGGTATATGCCCAGAACATGTGTCTTGGTAGTTCTAGCTTTATATTAACCATTTATTTGTTTGTAGTTGGTTTTGATGTTGCAAAGACCGGTGTCGCACGTATCGGTTTTGTCGGTAAGCTTACTGATCGTAGACAGAAAACAATTCTGTATGTTTATTAACTCGTATTTCAATAGGTTTTCCTTCTGTTGGTAAATCTACACTCATGTCCAAACTCACTGGTACTCACTCGGAAGTGGGTGCCTATGAATTCACTACCCTTACAACTGTCCCCGGTGTTATTCAGTATAAGGGTGCAAAGCTCCAGGTATACACAATTTAAATAACATAATCTGAGCTTTTCAAGTCTACAAATTATCTAATCATCTTATTCACTTGATAGATTCTTGATTTACCCGGTATTATTGAAGGTGCCAAAGATGGCAAAGGTAGAGGTCGACAGGTTATTGCAGGTAATTATCGTGTATGTGTTTATTAAAGCGAGTTGAAGAGGTTGATTTACATGTAAATTTCAATAGTTGCACGTACTTGCTCATTGATTTTCATTGTATTGGATGTACTCAAACCCATGACTCATAAGAAGATTATCGAAAAGGAATTGGAAGGGTTCGGTATTAGATTGAACAAGAAACCTCCAGCTATCATATTCAAAAAGAAAGAGAAAGGCGGTATCAACATGAGCAATACTGTCCCACTCACAAATCTCACATCTGACGAAGTGAAAGCTGTACTGAGTGAGTACCGTATTCACAATGCCGACATTTCATTCAAAGAAGATTCTACAATTGATGATCTTATTGATGTTGTTGAAGGCAACCGGTAAGTTTTGTAAACGGAAGTGATTTGCACAACTATTCTTCTTTGCTGCTTACATGTCAGTTTGCGTACTCAACTATAACTTCTTTGTAGTATTTATATTCCCGCTGTTTATGTTCTCAATAAGATCGACCAGATCTCTATTGAAGAATTGGACCTTATTTATAAGATTCCTAACGCTGTACCTATTTGTGCTAATCATGAATGGAACTTTGACGAATTGTTAGAAGTCATGTGGCAGAAACTGAGCTTGGTTCGAATTTATACAAAGCCTAAAGGAAAACTACCAGATTACGAACAACCAGTTGTTCTAACACAGGACAAATGTACCGTAGAAGATTTTTGTAACAATATTCACAAGTCCATTATAGACCAATTTAAATGCGCATATGTATGGGGTGCTTCTGTGAAGCATAATCCCCAAAAAGTCGGTAAGGATCATGTTCTTATGGATGAAGATGTTGTACAGATTGTCAAAAAGTAAGTTCTCAAGTAGAGCCCAGACAGTAGTATTTGCGTTTCTGAACTCTGATTATATTTCTTTCCTCCCACAGAGTTTAGATATTTCAACTCATTTTATACATGGTTACAAAAGTACGATCTTGAAAATAAATGTATCATATGCAATTTTTTGACAACACAATGGATATATGTCCGAAATTTTTCGAATATACACGTTCAGCTTCATTTATTCGAGGGTATCCCCGTATACATTTGCATATTTACCAAGTGCCCAAATGGTAAAGGCGAACTTGTAGTTTGGATAGGAAATCATACAATTTTTGTTAAAGACGCCTTCAATACTTTCTTGCAGCCACTCACCGTTCGCTTTTTGCCTTTTCATGATGAGTTGGATGCCTCGACGAATTGGCTCCTTATGTGGATACTTAGCGTATAGGAGTGCCATAACAGCAAAAGCAGTATTTACAACTTGAGATTTCTCGTTATGACTATAGACATGCAGCTCGCAAGATCTATATGTTTCTCCCCAACCACCGTCCTTCTCTTGATGTTGAATTAGAAAATCACAACCTCGTTTAGCATGCTCGGATGTTTCATAATGTTCACCAACACTAGCTAAACTCTGTAAAGCAAACATGGCTGCATATGTATAACAGATGGCCCAAGCACCGTACCAGGAACCATCAGCATTTTGCACTTTTTTGATGTAAAGCAGAGCACGTCGGCATGTTTCGTCGATTTCTGCACGGCGGTATTCAGGATCAATTTGAATGAAACTACGCAGGCCCATTAAAACGGCGGTGGTGCATTCAGGATAGCTGTATTCTGTCATGATATTGCCAAATACTTCGGCGGGATTAAGATACTCTAATAAATGTGTAGCACGGATAGTTTCGTAACTTGCAAAACCGTTGTCTGAATTTTGCATTGTTAATAACACATCTACAGCATCGCGAAGTCTGGAAAGATCAATCAACTGTTGCATATTGGGTAATTGTTGTATAGCAATTGTAGCCTTCAGTCCTTCCGCAGTACAATCAGAGACAGTAAATCCTTGGTCTCTAGTACTGAATGGCCATGCGCCCTTTGATGATTGGCGATAACATTTCTCCATATTAGGAGGGTCGCGTTTAATCTGAATTTATCCAACTTGGTGAATCATTACGTTTGAATACATTATGCGACTCAATTGGCCTTTACCTGGGTCACATCTAAAAATTCCAATGTTTTCACCATATTTTCTCGATATTGAGGATTGTCGGCAAGTCTAGCTTCCACACAAGCTTGCGTAATAAATGCTGCATCCCAAAGTTGGCTACCATTTGTACCATTCATCATCATACCTTCAGGTCCCATCCACATAAAGTCTGCATTCCGTTTAACATGCTCTTTAAATTCATAGGAATCTTTGCCATAATGATAGTACACTACCAACCAATTCATAGCTTTGTTGACTGGTCCGATATCCAAATAAAATGAATTCTCATCCTCCATTTTAATCTGATCGATTGTTAATTTCAGTGCATATTTTCTTAGCCATGGCAATTTTGAGGCAATTGTTTCGTGATATGTCAAACCATAATTGAGAATATCCATAATTTTGGAATGTGGGGTATAAAGGTCAACTTCAGCTACATTGTTTCGTTGCTTATCCCAAACGATTGAATCATATGGCTCTACATATAGTTCTTGACGCAGAGACTGAGTGAAGCTCGTCAAAGGAGCACTCAATCTACGAGCATATATATAACCCATAGGCAAATACACCAGGCGAGTGTGAACCCACCAGTTTCCAGGACAAATAGGCATAGCCTTTGGAAGAGCCCTAAAAAATGCCAGCATGTTCGTAAGAATTACCATATAGTTCTCCTTGATGGTTCGGCATTACTTACCAAAGCTCTGGAGGAATAGGATTGACACCTTTCCAGTCATAGACACCTAAAGCTGATAACCAGAATTTACCCCAAGCTGGAATACCACAAGCGCCCCCTAACTTGTGTAGAGTCCCTCTTGCTTTTGTCATAGCAGGGTGATCCGGTCCAAGACCTAAGATACGCAAAGCAACATAGTTTAATGCTGTGCCAAATACTGTTGAAACGCCTTCTATGTGTATGCCCCAACCACCATCCTCAGGATGGGCTCTATTAAGCAAATAACGGATCAATTCCAATCGCATAGGATCGGGTACTGGCGTTTTCGTAATATAGTAAGTGATTATCAGTCCTGGTATCAAAAACCTATTTCGGATATTGCTTTATTGGTAAAGTTGTATACAAAGAAAACATGCATAGTTCCACTTACATAGGCCCACCGTATTCACCACCCCAATGACCATCTTCCGTTTGTAAACGACGATAAAACTCGAAACCGTTTCGGGCACTCTCTAGTGGAGTCTTTGGTTTTGGAAGTTCAGGAACATCCTATTTCGCATTGTCAATTAATAGTTCATGACCAAGATTGTTACGTATCGAATGAAAACTTACAATCGGCAATCCTAGATGATATCTGTCCCAGATCGTTTGCGGCCAAGCTTTGCGTTCTTCCTCACTTTGTAGATAGTGCCAAGTCTGGGCACCTTCCACAACCTTCAATCGCCAATAGTCTAAATTAGTGAACTCTGGAGTTGAAGTCCAATTAAGATTGGCAGATGCGTAGTCTTCTAAGGCGAAGGTCATTTGTTTAAGCGTGGTGATGCTATATAAAGTAGAAGTGATCACAGCACGAAAGCAGACTCTGAAGCACGATTTTTTTTTAAAAAAAAAAGTTCATGCGGCAGAGGTGACAGCAACTGACAACAGTTACGAATTGATCCAATCATTGACAATTACACGTGATTATCAATTCTCGTTTTTTCAGGTACGACTTTTGAGACGACATAGTACAAGGAAATATGTTACCTGCACAAGGCTCAAAATGCATGGAGATGAACGGCTGTCTACGTTTAATATCATATTTTTTTTCATCGATGTTCCATTGTTAAGGCTTGAATCATAAAAGAAGTAAAATTTTTTTTCGAAAAAAAAGAGTTTGCAACGTTGCTGGCATGCTATTTCAACGCAATTTGCGTGCTACAATGAATATTGCATGCTAAATCGAAATAAAAATGGCAACACACAGTTTGCATGGTAAGACGCCTTAAAAGTGCTATCATGCAATTTTCATAGTAAAGAACATTAAACATGGCAACTCGCAATTTGCATGCTAGAAAGCAATAAGAGGTAACCGACAGTATGCCTCTCGAAGAGCCACAAGGCTAAAATATTTATACGTTAGTTGATGAAAGAATAGAGATGCTTGAGAATTCGATCAAGGTTATCCTCATGTAACATATCGAGCCTTTTTCTGCTTACCTCTATATTTTTCAAGTAATTGTATACAGGAAAGGTTGAGAATGAAGGGTTGTAGTTAGTGCTGTCGTATTTGAGGGTAGATGGTATACTAATATTAAATATTATAATTCACTTTATGAAGGATAAAAATGAATTATACAATATTGCAAACCAGAAATAATTAGAAACTACATAAACTCCAATATATGAGTACCGTGAATTAAGTGTTGTGTTTAGTTGACAGCATCATATGAGATGTGGAGAACTCGTATACAAATTATACAATATCCTCACACCTCATTACTGCTGAAATAATATAAAGTAGAGTAGGAAACGAATATAGAAAAAGTGATGATTCTTATACGAGATTAGCTACCTCATATAAGGCTGAACAGGTTGCCATTTAGGATATATAGTTTACTTATTTTGCTATAATACGTTACTATATGACATAGGATATATAATAGAATTAATATATGGACATGCAGGATATATTGATTCAACCAAGGTATAATACGTTATAAGTACTATTCTCTGCCTTCGGCATAAAGAATGATTACAAGATAATAGGCTGTGATCATCCTTTACAATAACTGTTCACTCAACTCATAACACCACGCACGAATACCATTTTCCTAATTAATACTATTTTCCTGCAAGCAGTGTTACATAATGGTTAGCACGGAAAATAGGTTAGTTGCATGATCACTCGATCAAGCCCTGGATACGTTTACAAGTCCACTCGCTCCGGGTAGATGCGTCATCTCCTCAAGGGAGAATCTATTCTCTTACGGTTCAGAAGACGTACGTCTTCTTTGAGTAGAATAACTCAGCTATCGGTTTCTAGGTTCCGCAATATGAAAAAGATATTTAAATTTTTGCAGTAGATATTTTACTTCTCTTTGAACTTAACTTGATTCAAAATAAAGACCTACTAGTTTGATCTCTTTAAGCTTTTCACTGTTTTTAACCAAGTGATACTTAACTCTACAAGTCGTCAAATACCACAAGTGCGTTTGATACTGACATCCCGTAGCTTGACACTGTTTAGTCTACCATTGCTGTTAAAAGTCTCCTTCATCATGAGATGTTTACTGCTAAGTCTTGTTCAATTACATGATGCAAAACGTACTTTTGCAGCACTGAAGACGTGTTTTCGTTTACACGCGTTGACCCAGTGCAAAGTTAAACTCATTTATAATTTTCCGGTCGGGTTTTCACAGCTTAAAAATAAGGTAGCAAAAGCTACGGACACAAGTGCACTTATGAGAGTGACTGTAATTAAGAACGAATGTTTTTATCCGCAAGGTGATAATGACGTTCTTGAAACTATTTGTTATTTATATAGTACTTTGTACATTGAAAAAGCTATTGTACACTTTTGTAGCAGAGAAGGAAGCATAAATAGTGAGGTATATAAATTAGGAAATATATACGTATATATAAGATGTAATCTATGAAATAAGAGGTAGGATCAAAAGTTTTGAGAATTAACAATTCAGAAGTAAGTAGTGGTAACCCACTCAATTAATTAATTTGCATTGAGGGATTGCTGATAGACCAGTTCACTGTATGTGCCATTAAGTTTAAGGAGCTCCCAATGTGTTCCTTGTTCAATAACACGGCCATTTTTGACGACACATATCAGATCAGCATTTTGAATAGTTGACAAACGATGAGCAATGGTGATAGTAGTACGACCACCTTCTTCCAAAATATTATCAATAGCAGCTTGCACAAGCTTTTCACTTTCGCTGTCAAGAGCTGATGTTGCTTCATCTAGAAGAAGAAGTCTAGGCTTACGAATCAAAGCACGAGCAATCGCAATACGTTGCTTCTGACCGCCAGATAGTTGAGAGCCCTTATCACCAACACGTGTATCATAGCCCTTGGGAAGACTACTGATGAACATATGGATATTGGCAGCCTTGGCCGCAGCTTCAACATCTTCTTGTGTAATCGATTTATCTTCGTCGACACCAAAACGGATATTCTCACCAATTGTCATGTCGAATAGAACTGGCTCTTGACCAACAAGGGCCATGTGGCTACGGAGGTTGCCCAGGGAATATTTTTTAACATTGGTATCATCGAAGCGAACATTACCAGCACTAGGATCATACCATCTTTGAAGCATACCAATAGTAGTGGATTTACCGCAGCCAGACGGGCCGACCAAAGCAACAGTTTGCCCAGCCTTACCATGGAGATTAAACTCCCCACTGAAAATAGGTACATCAGGACGAGCAGGATAGCGGAAAGCAACGTTTTCAAAATCGACTTCACCCTTGATTTGAGAAAGAGCTGGCTCAATACCTTCGAGGTCAGGATCAATTTTAGGCTCACGTTCAAGAATCTCAAAAGCGGCAATGGCAGAGTACTTGGCTTTGGCAAAAGTGGTGGTGAAAACAGAAGCACGACCAACACCTTGAGCAGTAATCATGATAGTCATCATGCAAGTGAACATTTTATCAAAAGTCAAATTATGGTGCCACATGAGTTGCACACCAGCATAAAAGGCAACAGCGTTTGTATAAATAGTAATACCTTGTTGAAGAGCATAACCTACAGAGGACATAATAGCCTTGCGTTGAGCAAGACGGTGAGGACGCTCGGTAGCATTGTGGTATTTGGTTTCGAAGTGTGATTGTTTGTTGAGGCCAGCAACCGTACGAATTTCCTTGATAGCTTCACCAGCAACTTCACCACTCTGTTCGTTAGCTTTCTTGGTTTTATCTTCAAATCCACGCTGAATCTTAGATTCATAAAAGGTGGCAAAAGCAATAAAAGGCGCCATACAAAGAATAATTAAAGTCAACATCCAGCTTTGTGTAAAGGCTATGACCAAGCCAGTAATAGCAGTAACTATCAGTTGAGTGACATCACCCCACGTTTTGGTGACTAATTCATTGACATTTTTGGAATCAATGGCAAGTTTGGATGTGAGAGAACCCAGAGAGTTATCATCATTGTCAAAAAACCCTACTTCTTGTCTCATGAAAGCACGGAAGATAGCAGCACGGAGACGACAAGTATAGCGTTCACCAGCAGTTTCAAAAGCAATGATTTGGGTAGTGAAGCCAATGAAAGAAGCAATACCAAGAACAACGAACAAAAAGGCGTAGAGATTGGTACCTTCCATCGGGCCAGGAATTGGCCTATTAGGAGCGAGGAATTGACTGATAACTTGAGAAAGTATGAAAGCAAAGCAAGGGAATACTGCACCAGCAAGAGCTGCACCAACAATACCCACACCCATCAATGGCCATTCAGAGCGCATTTGCTTCAAAACTTTGCCTAGTGGGACCTTTTGTTTCATTGCTATTTTGCGTTCTTCTTTTTCTTTTTTCAACTTCAATTCATAAGCATCAACAGAGGCACGACTAGTAGTCTTAAATAGGTTTACTGTAGTCTCTTTTTCATTCGAAGCTTGATCCTGCAGACGCTTCTTCTCGGCTTGAATCTCCATTTGTTCACGTCTCAATAGTTCGTCAGAATCCAGTTCATCTGGTCCACCGTCGGTTTGCTTTGTAGAGATTTCTTGTTTTCTGACAAGCTCGGCGTAAACGCCATTCAGAGCAAGAAGTTCATTATGGGTACCTTGTTCAACCAAATCACCAGCTTGCATAACAACGATGAGGTCGGCATTTCTGATCGTTGATAAACGATGAGCAATGACAATAGTAGTACGATCAGCAGCAGCAGCATCCAAAGCAGCCTGCACCAAACGTTCTGACTGGGTATCCAAAGCGGAGGTTGCCTAGTTTTTGTAAGATAATGAAAGAAATAAAAGATAAGCATACAAAATACAGTGAGTAGCAATGAGAGTTTAGCATTTACTTACTTCATCCAATAAAAGAATGGAAGGGTTTTTGAGAATAGCACGAGCAATAGCAATTCGTTGCTTTTGACCACCTGAGAGCATACCACCATGCTCTCCTACGAGGGTTTCATAACCATCAGGGAGCTGAGAGATAAAGGAATGACAACTGGCTTTCTTACAGGCAGCAACAATATCTTCATTAGTGACTTCTTCGGTAACACCCATGAGCAGGTTTTGTTTGATAGACATGTTGAACAAGACAGGCTCTTGAGAAACAACACCAATTTTACTGCGGAGCCATGCAACATTGTAATCCTTCAAATCATGACCGTCAAGCATGACAGCACCCTCCAAAGGATCATAGAAACGCTGAAGAAGCTGGACACTTGTGGATTTACCAGAGCCAGATGGACCAACGAAAGCGACAGTCATACCAGGCTTGATTTTAAGGTTGAGTTTCTTTAAAATAGTAATATCAGGACGAGTAGGGTAACTGAATTTAACGTCCTTAAATTCAATGTGGCCAACAAACTTTTCAGGGGCTAAGCCATTCTTCTGATCAACATCAATCGAAGGTGTGTGATCAATAGTAGCATAAATCTTGTAAGCAGCACCGCAAGCAGTAGAAACGGCCGAAAGATTCGGAGGCAATTGCAGTAAGGAAATGGCACCAATAATCATAGCAAAAAAGACGACCGGAACATCGTAAACTTCCATAAGGTGGTCTTGCGAGAGCTTAGCACCATACCAGAATGAGAGACCATAAGTGCAAAACAAAATAAACATGAAAAATCCAAAACCAAGGCCAAGGACACGACCACGCTTGACACCAATTTGCATTGCTTTTGCAATCTTTATCTCATATAATTTGGCAAATCGATTTTGAAGTGAGAAGGAATAAACGGTACGGATACCTGCAAATACTTGTTCGGCAACAGAACCAGCTTCAGCATATGAATCTTGAGCCTTGACGGTGAACTTTGTAATAGCCCAACCCATGAAACCTCCAGCTCCAGCCAGCAGGGGAATTGTGGCAAGAATGACAACTATTCCGTTCAATTAGATAGCTTAGATTTTAATACGTAGTTAGGTACGTGCTACTGAATGAATAAATTTACACATTACCTGCTAATCTCCAACCCTTAACAAAAGCTACGACGAAACCAGCAATGAACTGAGCAAAACATTGAACGAATAAGCCGAATTTTTCTGAGATACCGTCCTGGATCAGTTGAGTATCAGTAGCTAGACGGGTTGTTAAAGATCCCTCTTCAGCTTTATCGAACCAAGCCATTTCCTGACGAAGGATAGCGTGTACATAAAGTGATCTAATGCGACGTGTTTGGTTTTCGCCAGTGAGAATCCAAAAACAGTTACCAATATAGGCAGCAAAAAGTACACCAGTTCCCATATAGACAAAGGTTAAGATAAGAGGCTGCGCGTCATGAGCCAACTGTGCCATATCCATCTTGATCATTGCATCAGAAATTGTGGCCATGAATTGGCCGAAAATAATTATTGTTACAGGTTGTAAAGCACCAATGCCCATTGAAAAAAGCAATGAAATAAAAATCATCAGGAGTTCTGTCTTCGTGGCAAATCTGAAAAGCTCATAGATAGGAACTGAGGATTGTTTCTCTTTCTTTCCTTTCTTCTTTTTCTTCTTCTCATTGCCTTCCTCCTGTTTTCTAGATTCCATTTCTTTGATAGGAATTGCGGCAATTTCTTCCATGAGAAGCTTCTCTTCGTGTACAGAAGATAAAGGTGTTACACCTTCTAGATTGTTACTACTTCGTTTCTGACCGTCATTGATAGTTGGAGTAGCTGACGACGATCGCGACGTTGTTACAGACAGATCTGTCATTGCAGACTGATTGGGTTATGTTCTAAGAAAGGTTTTAAGGATGAGTGAAGCTTTAAGCAAGGTATCGTGGATCGATTCGTAATAAGGTAGAGGTATGAAGAGGGCAAAAGATAAAGGGTTTTGTGATCTCTAAGGGCAGTGGATCTGTATTTATATTCAACTTTCATTGGGTAGGACAAGATAAAATAGAAGTATGAGCTCGGCCGAATATATTGACCGGTGGGATGAAGCCAATCACGAGAATGTGATATACTTGTAACCCCACAACAAAGGTTTTGCTTCACTTTCACGCTCAAGATTGGAACTCCTCGATTGTTTTCGGCACTTTTCTCCAGTTCTCGCCACCTCCCAGCTTGTAAAAATGACTCAAAATGTCCATACTTCTAGCTCTCGATCGCGCAAATAGGGCAGAACAAAAGGAAATTTATGTTCACACATGATACATTTACAAGTCCTTTCTTTTATTATGCGTTAAAATTTATGATTTAGCTTCCTGTATAATTAAGGATAGAGTTTCTAAATCGTTTTCAATATTACTTTGCTCAACTGAAAGTTGTGATAAGCGGAGACTATACGCACATTTCCATTTAGAACAAAACTCCCAACAATTGACGTATAAGCAACAATAACTGATTCTTTACCTGTTCTTTTCTTTAATATTAATCGGCACTGTGTCTTGATAGTTTTCTTGGCTCATTTTATTTTTTAGTTTCTCGATATCCGATTTGATTTTCAATAGTTTCTTGCTAAGTTGGGTCTCCTTTTTTTTAACAACAGCAGTCAGGTCACTGCCTCTTGCCGCAGCATTTTCGATCTGTGCACGAACAACCACATTTGATGGTACGAGAATTTTTAGTTGATCATTAATAACTTTTGATGTCCACTGGGTTGTGGCTGGTACCGACTAAGAAACAACAATCCAATATTGAATATCTTAATGAAACAATTCATCATTTGCATTGCAGATTCTTACTGCTTGTTTATTTACCTCCGTTCTGAGAATTTCTATCTTCGAGGCCTTGATGAACTGCTGTACCTCTTTCAAATACATTTGAAGAGCCAATTGGGTATCGTCACATACAATGGTAAAAGGTAGCTTTTGGTTAATACTAATCTGATTTCCTTGTCTCAGTGATCTCGATGCATGAATTATGGATAAAATAACCTGAAAGAGTCAAATGGAAAAGTCAGATACAATATATCAGGGCGTTAAGAACGTTAGTTTTTGGAATCAAACCCTGAAATGATCCTCCACTTCTGTATCTTGAAGTTGCGAAAATGTCTTTGGTGAAGGATAGGCTTCCACCATAATGGATGGTGCCTTTGAAATACGATTCGAATTCGGAAGTGCCGTCTTCATGTGTTGCCATAATTCCTAGGGGTAAGGTAAGAAGGGCTTGTTACCAAACGGCCAATGATAGCATTATGTATGCCAAGTTTACCTCTGTCAAAAAGGGCATGATGGGATGAGCCAATCGTAGCGATGTATCCATACATGCATGTAGAATTTGTAAAGTCGATATCTAATTTTAAAGTACATTTTCGCAAAGAGCGCCGAAAGAGTTTTAGCTTTCAGCTGTAAGAAGTAATCCTCCGTTTGGTGCCAACAAACCTTTTCTTGTTCTTCTATATCTGGATCATTCAGTATAGATTTGGAAAATTCGACGTAAACATCACACACGTCATTAACAATAAATCTACGTAACGTATCTGTGACATCGAACAGTTTGAATTCATTGAAGCCACTTTGGCATTTACAAACAGCATCTGCCATACGTGACAGAATATATCGATTCACTAGCGATAGTTTTCCTGTATTTCTGATTAAAGCGTTACTGTCAAACTCCAAATCAGATCTTTGTTGCAGACGTTGAAGGCCAAATTTGAACAAATTCCATAGCTTGTTACAAAAATGTGAGGTCTGAATAACGGTAGAAATGTCTAAATTGATCTGTCTTGATTGTTGCGTGTACTGGACCAGTGCGAATCTCAAGGAGTCTGTACCACAAGGCGGAATCCCATTTGAAAATTCTTCTTCTAAATTACGTGTACTCCTGTATATAGAATGTCCTGTCAGCCCGGTAATTGTTTTTGTTTATCAATTTTTTGATTCTGTACAACGCACGTTTCGATTTCTCTTTCTGGAAGATTTGAGTGTAACAAATTCTCCTTCATTTGTTGCAAGCTAACACCCTCAATCACATGCAGAGGGTCAATAACATTGCCAAGAGACTTTGACATTTTCCGGCCCTGTGCATCACGTATCTATGATATGGTTGTTTGAGTTTTCTATAAAGGTAGCTCACACATTGGTAATTTGCTATATTTACCATTGCATGTAGATAAATGGTTTCAAAGGGAGCTTTTCCATTTGTAAAATGGTTTGTTAACATGGCCATTCGTGCTAGCCAAAAGAAAAGTATATCAAATCCAGTTTCCATAATCTGGATAGGATACCGTGCCTTTGAAGAGTCATTTTAAATAAATACTGTAAGAATCATAAAGCATAGTTCATACAAGCGCGCTCACTTACAGGAATTTCCTCTCCTTTATTTCCCTTCCAACCTAAGGCTGATAATGGCAATAAACCCGACGAAAACCATGTGTCTAACACGTCTTCATCCTGGTAAATCAGGAGAGCGTAAGAGAATGAAAGCATAGGGTGAACTATAAATAATCTTACCTTTTGCAGTGAAAATGCTACATTTTCGGAATATCCTCTGTCTTTAAGCAGTTTGACAGCCTTAGTATTGGCCTGTTGCTGATCACAACCAACCACCCACAATTCTTGATCCACTAAATTGGAATTCATTAAAATGTTAGCATCGCTCGCTCGGGCCATATAATCACCGTCAATGAAAGATCCTGTAAAAAAGTAGGTTTTACAACCTTGATCCGTCTTTTGTGTATCGTTCAGTTTGATTTTATAGGCTGGAATCTCGTGTCCCCACCATAATTGCCTTGAAATGCACCAATCTTGAATGTTATCTATTTTCTAGCGGTTTTAGCATTTATCCTTTGAACAGACGAATGAGACGGTAAAGTTACGATCGGGACCGAAACTCACCTAGCCAATTATACCAGTCCTGCACGAATTGTGCGGGTACTATACTCATTGTGCCATTATCAACTTGATTTCTTGCTATTTTTGCCAATTGCTTACAATCCACGTACCTGTGTAAAGAGTTAATTGATATCTACTCAAAGCAATTTAAGAAGATAATCATATATTACCATTGTGGCTGAATCAAGGGCTCAATGATATCACCGGATCTGGAGCAGACAGCAATACGCATGACATGTTTGTCGTCTCTACCTTTATAACTTCCTACTTTCCTCAACTGATCAATAATTTTATCACGCACATCAAATCGATCAAGACCCTATATACAAAAATAACGTTAGACTTCAAAATAAGAGCTACATACCTCGTGGTCACATTACCATTAGCTCAGGTATACCGCAATTTTCGTTCAGCCGACCTGTCTTATCAAATATGCTTTCAATTGGTAGATTATGACGTCTTGCACAAGCATAATCGTTTGGATCATGCGCAGGAGTGATCTAAATGATCATTGAATAATTCGAAAAAAGCAAAAATAAAGGATAAAAGTTTATACCTTCACAGCCCCAGTTCCGAATTCCATATCGACAAGACTTTCATCACAAATGATAGGTATTTTTTTGTTAAGGATGGGATGCCAAACGAATTTTCCATGTAAAGACTGCATTAATGAATCAGGCTTCAGTACGAAATATTTTTTTTTTGGGTGCGGGGGGTGGATAAAAAGAAGCTCTGTCAATGTGATTTCTTACTTTGTATCTTTCATCGTCAGGGTGGATAGCAACTGCGCAATCACCAAGCATTGTTTCAATTCGAGTAGTAGAGACGGTAATTTCAGTTGGAGTAGAGGGAGTAGGATCAGCCACTTTATATGAAAACTTATGCAATACACCGAACTCAACACTAATCAATAACATGGTAATTAAACAATAAGCTTTCTCATCTCAATGCCAAAGCCTGCAAAACAGCTCACTTACGGCTCACGTCGTCCAGCAAGGGGAATGAGTGTGCGCCCTGATATATCTTTATAGTCTACTTCGATATCTGAAATGACAGTTTCTAATGCACAGCACCAATTGACCAAACGTGTATCTCTATAAATTAACCCTTCTTCGAACAATCGTATGAATGCATTTTGCACTGCCTGAGAACGATCCTTGTCCATAGTGAAAAACTCGCTATCCCAATCAAGGGAAGCGCCCATTCTTCTCATTTGTTGCAATATGTGGTTTCCGTATTTATTTTTCCATTCCCATATTGCTTTGATGAATTCCTCTCTTCCTAGGTCCTGCCGTGATAATCCACGCTCTCGCAAAAGCATTTTTTCTACTACAGACTGAGTTCCTATGCCTGCATGATCTGTGCCAGGAATCCATTTTACATCATATCCACTCATACGCTTCCAGCGAACAAGTGCATCCTGTATACTAAAAGTTAAGGCATGGCCTATATGCAAGTACCCAGTCACATTAGGAGGCGGTGTGATCATTGTAAAAGGTTGCTTTTTCTGTGGACAAGGTTGCTGCTGTTGGCTTATGAAATCAGCACTACTGGCTCTAAAAAGCCCTTGTTGATTCCACCATTCATACCAACCCTCTTCTACAGCTTTAGCGTCATAAGAAGCAGCAAACTCCTTCTTGGGTTTGTCCCTGAGAATAAACTTTGGCGACTCCGTTGCCATGTATCTGCAGTTATGAGTTTTCAACCTGCACGTACTTCGACTTATGCTGATGTCATGTCTAATGGGTGGCTTGAGGAGGTTTATACGTTTATATCTGAGCATGGTCAAAGTTGAGAAAATCGGATGCCACGATCAAGAAGCGATCAAAGGGGATCTGAAATCAGTTGCCCTGGCTTTTCAATCAAGACCTTTTGTGGAGCAGTTTAACCCGGTCGATTTCGTCGGCTTACAATTTCTACTGATGAACAAACTTTCTCCGACAAGGTAACCTCGAATCATTTAGAAACAGGTGAGGCCGTCTTTTGGAAATTGTTCAGGCATCACTTTTAACACTTCAAAGAAAGAAAGAAAGAAAGCCAATCGAATGCCGTGGCATAAAGTACTTGTAAATTTTACTAATGTCGTTTCATGGTTGGATAACTTTGAATTGGATACACTCACTCGCCGACCGAAGTCTATAAATTTATAACTATCAAAGCGTTTTTCAAATAGAAATGCAACTCGTTTCTTGACAAAGGAATGCAAGAGTTCATCCCTAAGCAAGTCTCCTCAATCAATACAATCAATAGAAATAGTGGAAAAGTTCTATGCTGTATTATTCAAGCATGAAAAGTATGAACAACGTAGAATCAGCCTAGACTAAGCATTGAGTGTAACGTTCACCTTTGAAAGACTTTCTGCATTATCACGGGGAAAACAATATTAAACTACATTGACTTTTCTCATCAGGCATAGCAAATGATTCGTGCTATGTAGGGCCAGTTATTCGTTCATTTATCATACTATACAAATCTATTTGCATTGGCAAGTATCTCCCCTGCGAAAAAAAAAGAAAGATTTTATTTTTCATTCTCAATTTGTCATAATAAAAAGATATAAGGGAAGGGGTCGGCGTCACTTTGCGGGTAGTGTAAGGCAAAGGACACCTGTGGAAACCCGAGATAGCAAGCCAGAGCCCAGGTTTCCCGGAGGAAAAAATTAGATTAACAACGTGAGGAACTATGTTCCTCATTATAGTTGTTAAACTATAAAGAACAGATACTACACTTGATCTTAGCCAAAAGGCCTGAGAGGATAAAGAGTTCATAATTTTCTGCGTTTTTGATGCCTTTTTATACTTTTCAAAGAATTTTTTTTTTCGGTCATCGTGACTGATGTTGAAGGAAAATTTTCAATTTCAGCGAGGACTGTGAGGAACTCCCTTCATCCTTCTTTACCAGCAATGAAAATTGTTTGGTCAACATCATGCACGGACGAATGCTTGCATCTTATTTGTTGCACAGGAACGGAGTTTTTCTTCTGGGTAACTTGCATTTTCATCAGCTTTTTTCGCATACAGTGGTGGGGAATGCAAAAAATGTAGTGTTTGTTTGCTTTTTTTCTTTTGCGTGTTACTGTATAATCTTTTCAATACTCCTTTCAACAACTAGCATATACCGTGTTCGATGCTTACATTCAATCATTGATAAAAGAGATGTCAATGCAGCAAATCAGTGCCAAATAGATGAACAGCTATGCCTGGCATCTGTCAAAATAGATCTCAACATTGGTGTACATCCATTGCAAAACGATTAAAAAACAAAAAAATCAGCGATAATCATTTTATGCGTAACCTTAAAAGGAATTTGGATCTACTAAATTCGCCTCGGACTCTTAATCGACCTTCACTGTTGAAGAAAGTAAGGGGATATTCTACCATGACTGTTGATCTGTATTTCCATCTGCATCAATTACTATATTGAGCATTAATTCAAAGAATGCTTAATAAAAGGTCCTGCCAGTAACATGCATCTCTGATCTGTCACTTGTTTTCTCTACTATTCATTTATTTCGCTAGTATTTTGCAACTGTCTCACTATGGTGAATGCTAACGATTTTTTGGCATTATGGAAGGAAAGCCTTCAAAATGTGTCGGATTTGCAAGTGCCTACAGATTATCCAAGACCAATGCCTGTCCGTACAGTAGAAGATGTTCAAGCTTTTAACCTCACAGAACAGACCTTAATGGGTCTGGCACAATTCTCTATGAGTGCCCTGCGTCCTACTCCATTTTCAATTATTCTTGCTGCATTTTCTGTCCTTCTTCAACGTTATACTGGTGATGAAGATTTTGCTATTGGTACATCCTCCCCAACGGGCAATCCACTTCTATTAAGATTTCAAGTCAATCCAGAAAGTACATTAAGTAGTATTATTGAAATGGTGACAAAGGTAAGCTATGCTTTGGTATAAAATGGGGGGGGGGTATAAAGAGATAGCATTTTACGACATGATTAAAAAAATATGCTGGTGGTTTTTTTTTTTGGTTTTTTTGTTTTTTTTTTTTTGGTTCAGGTTGAACAAGAAGCCCTCAGTAAAGAAGTGCCATATGAGGATTTGGTGGAAGCTATATACAAGAACACTGATCCTGACAGCAGAAGGCCCCTCTGTCGTGTTAGATTTTTCAATGAAATTGATACTCCATCAGAGCAATATTTGGCAAACAGTTCAGCAACCTCTGATCTTACGGTTTTTGTCACTTCACCAGCACAGCAACAGACATCATCCCTTCGCACTACTTCCTTTTTCCGCCCTGTGTCCATTCGTATTATATACAACCAACTTTTATTCTCCCAGAAACGCATAGACTACATCTTCTCACAGCTATCCATGTTGATCGAAGCGGCTGCCAAAAATCCCGAGTTGGCTGTTGGAAGAATCCCGTTATCTGATTCTGGTGTAGCAGAATCTCCACTTCCTGACCCCACCTCTGACTTGCATTGGTCTCAATGGAGAGGCGCCATTACAGATATCTTTACTGCTAATTCCAGAAAGCACCCTGAACGTGCTTGTATCATTGAATCGCTGGAAAATACTGAAAAGACAATCATTTACAATTATGAACAGATTAGCAAGGCTTCAAATATGGTAGCACACTATCTTGTGGATAATGGAATTCAAAGAGAGGATGTCGTCATGATTTATGCCTACAGAGGTGTCGACCTTGTCATTGCTATTATGGGTGTTCTTCAAGCTGGAGCAACATTTAGTGTCATTGGTAAGTAGTCGTGCTGTTCTTTATACAATGAGAGAGTCTATTATACTGTGTATTGATAGAGTTATTTCCCCTTCATTGATAGATCCTGCTTACCCACCTGCACGTCAAGAGATTTATCTTTCGGTTGCCAAGCCTCGTGGTTTGATCGTTTTGAAAGAGGCCGGAAACATTGCAGACTCTGTCAGGAAGTATATAAGAGAGGAGCAAAATATTATTTGCGAAATACCCGATCTGAAAATCAGTAGAGAAGGCTATTTGAGAGGAGGTGCAGCGAACAATAGCGATGAAACGGCTGATATTTTGGATAGTGTACGGGAGAAGGCATCACAGACGACAGGTATTGTTATTGGTCCTGATAGTATCGGTACACTAAGTTTTACAAGTGGAAGTACGGGTATTCCTAAGGGTGTGCGTGGCAGACACTTCTCTCTGACCCACTTTTATCCTTGGATGGCTGAGACATTTGGCATTTCAAGCAAAGACAAGTTCACTATGTTATCGGGTATTGCCCACGATCCTATTCAACGTGATATCTTCACTCCTCTCTTCTTGGGAGCCGAGTTACACATTCCTACATCGGAAGACATTGGTATTCCTGGTCAACTCGCCCAATGGATGAATCGATCGCAAGTGACTGTCACTCATCTCACGCCTGCTATGGGTCAACTTCTTTCTTCCCATGCGCAAGTAGAAATCCCCACTTTGACCAATGCATTCTTTGTCGGCGACATCTTAACCAAGCGCGATGCTGCACGCATTCAAAAGTATGCGCCCAACGTGTCTGTGATCAATATGTATGGTACAACCGAAACGCAACGCTCTGTATCGCATTTTGTTGTCCCTCCCCGCTCCACCCATCCTGCATTTTTGAGCTCTCAAAAGGAAGTCATTGCTGCTGGTAAGGGTATGGTCAACGTGCAACTTTTGGTCGTCAACCGTCATGACCGTACCAAGATGTGCGGCGTAGGAGAAATTGGTGAGATTTACGTTCGTGCTCCTGGCCTTGCCGAGGGCTACCTTCAATTACCGGAAGCCACTGCCGAAAAGTTCATTCCCAATTGGTTTGTTCCCCATCCTTGCCAAGATGACGGTGTCAATGAATCCACGGTGGAGGGAGATGATGCATGGAAGCAGTATTATTTGGGCAAGCGTGATCGTATGTACCGCTCCGGTGATTTGGGCCGTTATCGTCCTGATGGTAACGTCGAGTGTACTGGTAGAGCCGATGATCAAGTCAAGATCCGTGGGTTCCGTATTGAGCTGGGTGAAATTGATACTCATTTATCTCAACATCCTTTCGTCCGAGAGAACGTTACTTTGGTCCGTCGTGATAAGAATGAAGAACAGACACTGGTCGCCTATTTTGTTCCCAACTTGACAGAAGCCAATGCGAGCGATTTTGCAAGCGGCACGGAGAATGACGAAGACGACCAAGATCACAATGAACATGATATCCGGTCTCATCACCGCTTCCGAAGACTGATCAAGAACATTCGTGATTATTTGAAACAAAAGCTACCTACGTATGCTATCCCATCTGTTTTTGTTCCTCTCGTTCGTATGCCTCTGACGCCCAATGGTAAGGTCGATAAGAATGCTTTGCCTTTCCCTGATACTGCTCAATTCAACAAAAATGCCTCCGCAGCGGATGAAAACAAGGCGGACGTGAAGCTACCTGCCATGAGCCCTAATGAAACGATCATACATACTATTTGGAAGCATCTTCTTCCTGCTTCTGACCCCGTCATTGGCCTCACGGAAAATTTCTTTGATATCGGTGGTCATTCATTGATTGCGACCCGTTTGATTTTCGAGATTCGTCAACAGTTCCAAGTAGATGCTCCTTTGAACCTTGTCTTTGCCGAACCCACCATTGCGGGTCTTGCTCGTGAAGTCACTCGATTGCAAAAAGGTGATTTGCTTTTTGAGCATCAATCCATAGAACAAATAGACGCATCGGATAAAAAGAAAGACATTGTCGACTATGCTGCTGATGTTCAGTCTTTGGTGGACGAATATCTTTGTGAATCCTATCCACCCTTGGATGCACGACCTTCGGAGGGGCGTACCTTTATCCTCACCGGTGGCACTGGCTTTTTGGGAGCTTTTATCCTCAGCAGGTTGCTTCATTACCCGGGCACAAAGAAGGTCATTTGCATTGTCCGTGCGAAAGATAATGAAACGGCATTCCACCGTGTGAAACAAGCTGCCATCAATCACTTGGTTTGGAAAGAGGAGGATGAGCATCGAATGGAAGCCCTTTGCGGTGATTTATCCAGTGATCATCTCGGTCTATCCGAAGCCGATTGGAAGCGCTGTGCTTCCGAAGCCGATGCTGTGGTTCATAATGGTGCTCTCGTTCATTGGGTATACCCTTACCAGCAATTACGTGCACCTAATGTCATCGGTACGCTCTGGGCTATTCGTTTGGCCTCCGAACAACGTCAGAAATCGTTCCATTTTGTTTCCTCTACCTCTGTTCTGGACACGGCGGCATTTGTGGATTCAGGCGCCACTGTTTTCGAAAATAACAACTTGGAAGTAAGCCGTACAGGATTAGAAAATGGTTATGGTCAAAGTAAATGGGTAGCAGAGAAGATCATCATGGAAGCCAGACGCCGTGGTCTACCGGCCACGATCATCCGTCCTGGTTATATTCTAGGCGATTCCCATAGCGGTGTGACGAACACAGATGATTTCATCTGGCGTTTAGTGAAGGGATGTGTGGAGTTGGGTTATGTACCTGCCATTACCAACGACGTCAACTGCTGCTCTGTAGATTACGTTGCGTCTGTCGTTGCCGGTGCTGCTTATCACGATAAAGAGTCTACTCTTTTGGGCGTTCTTCAAGTGAGCCATCCTGCTGGCTTTACCTTCAATCACCTTTTTGCTTCTCTGATGACTTATGGTTATCGTTGTCAACAAACGGAGTACATTGACTGGAGAGACAAGTTGACAGAATACACACTCAAATCTCAAGATCATTCGCTTTTCCCACTTCTTCATTTCGTATTGGATGATTTACCAACCTCTACTAAAAGTGCTCCATTAGATGATACCCATACTCAACAAGTATTAGCTTTTGACAACGTCAAGCAACCTCGCATGGACGACGACCTTTTAGGTCTTTATTTAGCCTATCTGGTCAAGGTTGGTTTTATGCCCACCCCTTCTTCTGGCCACCGGGACTTACCAGAAGTGAACGCACAAGTTACTTTATTACAACGTAGCGGCGCTCAACATTAAATGCGTACGATACGATCGAAAAAAAAAGATGCTCCTCTTGTTGCTGCCACTCTACATTATGATTCCCTCCCCTTTATCTATTGTGTACAATAAAATTTCATACTAGAATTTGATCCAAATCGAATGCTTTTTTTTTCAATTTCTAATACAAAAAATTCAGATTTAATTACAAAACGCGTGGTATATAAAAGGTACAAAAAAAAAAAAAATGATGATAATAAATAAATAGGGATGAACTAGATGACATAGCGCGAATGGTCTAGGCAGGTGAAATGACTTGCAAGCCTTCCTTCTCATTCTTTTGAAGGCTTTCCAAAACACTTTCTTCCTGTTTTGAAGCATTATTCAGCCAACTCAAATAAGCGTTCCAAACAATACCCAATGTACTCACGAAGGGCAGACGATAAGGCAAAGGCATAAATTTAAAGTTGATAAACTGAACGGCTGGCCAGACTTTGTAATTAGCGATCAAAGCAGGCGCGTACGCGTCTCTAAACTTTTCTCTCACACCTTCCCATCGGCCGCCTGTCTCGGCTAATCCCATGACAGTGAAAAACAAAACTAAGCCGGCGGGTGCAAATAGGGCTTGATCTGTGATCATACGCTTGATAGCCATTTTATTCGCTGTCTTGGCTGCTTGTTGTTGAAGCACCTTGCTTGCTGCAGTCGCCACGACGGGCATAGGGAAGAACTTGTCCAAAAACATGTACCATTTCCCTCCCAAGGGAGCTACACAGAAATTATAGGCGGCAAATCGAAACGTTCTTTTAAAATCCCATTGATCTGATGCTGTCCATAGATCTTTGTGCTTTTTCAGTTGGTCTGGCAGGTAGCGATCTTCTTCAAACAACTGTTGACGCTTATGATGGCTGTTGTATAAGGTGATACTTTGTGCTAGACTGTCGCTGATGGCACCGAGGATACCGTTGGCTACACAAAGCGTTAAAATAGGGCGCTTGTTGTAGCATCTGTTGTAGAACGCATTGAAGGCCTTCAGTGAGTTCATAGAGAGACAAAAAATAGAGGGAAGAAGCGGACAAAAGAGTCTATGAGACGTATGATTTAGTGTGGAAAAGAAAAATTCATGGAAAAAAGAAGAAAAGGGCGGTGATGTCTTTTTAAGGAAAATGAACCAAAAATGCAATCCACATAACACTCTCATCGTTATCCAATTTCAAACCCCTACTCCCCTTCATCCAGATAACCTTGCATCATGGTTTCCTCACTGCTTGTTTTTTTTCTTTTTTTTTTTTTTTTTTTTTTTTTTGCATTACACAAGCATGTTTATTTTTCCTTGTTGTTCTTCCGTAAACTACAACAGCAGTGTCTCTCCTCATTCTGATGCTGAGTGCAACAATGACAATGCATAGTGACTCTCTTGTTGGTGGCTACCGTCGTCATAAGCTGCCATGAGGTTACAAAACCACACAGAAAGAAAAACAAAAAAGGAAACCAGCATTGATGTCAAAACGCCATGTCACTAACAAGGTTTTTTTGTTCTAACTTTCCCTTCTCCTTTTTTGCCTTTTTGAGGTAAACGCAACTTACGTCAAAGGATCTCATTAGAAGAAGTGTACCCGCCAGATATTTCAGAGCTTGCATCAGATTGGGCCCAATATCCACAGTGACGAAAGCTTTATTTGTCAGTTTGGCCAATTGTTGCAGTATTTTGTTACTGAGATCTATTGAAAGTTTTACATTTGTATCATCCATTTCTGAAAACTGGTTTTCGCGAAAGATAAAGAAAGGAACTTGGCAGCCAAAAACAAAAAAAAAAAAAAAGAAATGAAAAATAGAAGAGGCGCACAACCGAAAGGCGGGGAGCGAATGAGGGAATAATTTATTCAATTGTATGCGGTCTGTCATCGATGCCAAAGGATACTATTTTTTTTTTATTTTTTTTCTTACCAACAGAACGACAAATGGGGATCATCTATTGAATGGGTTATTTTATTCGGCTTTTTTTTTTTTTTTTTGCTTTAAAGAAAACTTGCTTTTTTACAAATTTGACCAAGCGTAAGGATCTTCTCTCAACTTATCCAAGCTTAAAATGTGCTGAGCCGTTTCCCAATTGCGACTTCTTCTCTCTTCTACATATTTATTATTGGTAATGTCATGACCACAAAGCTCCAAGACGTCTGCTGGCGGGACCGTTTTGCCAGAGAGCTTTTTGAAGACAATTTTACTGACAGCCAAGCAAGCGACCGTATTTTTGTCATCCACAAGCACAAATCGATGTTGAAGGAAGAGCCACTTTTCGTTCCATGTCCAAATTCGGCTCTGTACTTTATATTTGGCAAGGGATGGAATCTCCCTTCTGAACAGTGTGACAACACCGCCATTGTGACCGAAGAGATGATGGTCTGGTTCCATCATTACTTTGGGAAAGATTGTATATAAAATATGAATTCGGCTGAAATCCAATACTTTGTTATACATGCTATACGGGTAGAAGATGCATTGAGTAATGTCTACAAACAATAGCCTATCCTAGGATAGTAGTCGCACATGTGGATGCAAGAAAGAGACAACTCACGTTACCTATTATTCTGTTTAAAAGATGAATGGCGATGATTAATTAATACGGAAAATAGCCTCCACATCATCCACCGCTTTTTCTATTGTTTTACCATGTGCTGGTTGTAATCAATATCATCCAAATAGCAACGATGATCTTGGCTTACGACAGTGAATAAAGCTATCCCGTTTTTATAGAAATGACACAAGCATAATAAACGCAAAAAGCTTTTTCAGTCTGGATGGGCCGGCTTGGAGGGCATTTGCTTCAACAAAAAAATAGTTACGGTCAGGTTTCAAGTCATGTTGTTTTGCTCGTTTGATCAAGGCCTTCAAGAGAAGCCAGGAACGAACTGTATAGGCAAACGGTAGTGATTTTAAGTGCGTTATGGCAATGAGAGCCGCTGGAACGCCTACAACGAAGGCTTTCTTTGACACGTATTCCATCATTTTTTCTGGATCGGAAAAATGTGTGCTAAAGAAGAAAAGGGAGGAAAAAGAAAAAAAGGCATTTGTGTGATCCGCACACTCCACATCCATAAAATTGAGTCCAGTCACGGAGAAAAAAAAAAAAAAAAAAAAAAAAGACATTTTTTCTTGATCTATTTCTCTAGTAAATTACATATTTACTTTTACTCAAGATGGATGATGACGAGGAGATGGTTGATATTGACATTGAGGATTTTGATCAGGGAACAATGGCATTGAATGAAGGGTAACTTGTTGATAATGATTCAAGTCGGGAAAGAAAGCTCATCCTTTTCTTTTTTGTATCTTAAAATAAAGGCAACAAGTGGAGAGAGAAGCAACCACAGCCTCTTCATCAGTACAAAGGTCGCCTTCATTATCACCTTCATTACCATCGACGCAACCCTTTCTTCCAGACGACGACGATATGGACGAAAAATCCCGGCAATTAATAGAACAAATGCTTGCAGAAGAAGAATATTTTTATGGACGAGATACCCTAAGTACCCTCAAGAAAAACAACAGCCATCATAATAGCAGTATGAAAAAGAAGAAACAATTCAAGTCATCAGCGTCCTCTTCATCATCTTACAATGCAAAGGGTAAACATTTGAGCAAACGAGAGGGAGATCTATTAGAAAGATCATATGACTGAAAAAAATCCCAAAAACACGTTATAGGAGGTGGTACGCATAAGTCATCGGCTTCATTACCGTCCCATAAAACGAAATGGACAGAAGCAGAAGATGAACGGCTGATAGAAGCATTGGAAAAATATGGACATGGCAATTGGAAACCAGTGTCTGACTACGTTGGAACGAGAAATCCATTGCAATGTAAAAATCATGCAAGACATCTGCAACAATATAACAAAGTAAAGTCTCCACATGAATCTATCTGTGTACCTTAAAAAACTGATAAATTAATCCCAAGTTGACATATTTGGCGTTGTTGGATCCCTTATAGTTAGAGCTACAGCCAAAAAGACGTAAAATAGAACAATCCAACAAAGTGAAAAAAGAACAAGACAAAGACATACAAATACCAGAACAGGGCCCCTCAACCTACGAAGGTCTTGCAGAAGACAAAGCTGTAAAGCCGTTAGCCGCACCTATGGGTCTTGCTGATGTCGATGGGAAGAATGATGTCTTGAGTATGGATGAAGATGAGGATTTAGACATAGTACAATCAGACCAAGTGAGCGATGCGCCCTTGATCGAGCAGCAGCAGCAGCAGCAGGAGCAACCCATCGGGTGGATGTCTTCTACGTCTGATCCAGATACCAATAACCGTAGCTCAGAAAACAGTACGCCATTCATCGTATCAACAACAGCAGCAGAGAGTGCACAGTCTTCACATCCCTCATCTCCTACTGCACTTGTCATTCCATCCGATCGTGTCTCCAATGGAGATAGTGAATCACGAGAGGGCCAACCTATAGCTACTACTACTACTACGACAACGACTCAAGAAGAAGAAGCAGTTTCTGAGGAAAAAACAACGAGGGCGATATCTAAAATAGCACCTCGAGAAACAACACCGTCATCCTCACCACCCACTTCAGCAGCAGCAGCAGTCATACCATCGGACACTTTACAACAGCCACCGCCCTCCGGTCTTGTCTTTTCTCCCTATGAAATAGCCGAAGAAGAAAAGCTGCATAATCCAGAGTGGTTCAGAGGCAAAGCGACAAAGACACCCGAACGTTACTTGAAAATCCGTAATCACATGTTGGCTTGTTGGGAACAATGCAAACCGAGATATTTAACCAAAACCAGTGCCAGAAAAGGATTAAAAGATTGCGGCGATGTCAATGCGATTGGTCGAGTCCATGATTACTTGGAAAACATAGGCGTCATTAATGTGGATACGGTATCGGGCGGCCCACGCATCATGAAACAACGTACGCATACGACGACGACGACGACGACATCACATGAAGATGCTATGGACGACTTTGACGATGCAGCCGATCTTGTGGTTCAATACGACGGGCCCAGAAAGAGAAAAGTGAGAAATGAATATGGCGAATGGTAAAGTAGAGGGCATTTGTTTTTGTTTCATAAAAGTATGTACCTCTCATGCGAAACCTTGACAAAACGATTAGGGTGGATCCAAAAGAGTTGGAAGGCCGAGTGATAGAGCATCAAGTGATTGTTCGGACGGGTAAATGAGAAAGTTATCGGGTTTGTTTTGAAGCTGTTCTGTTTCATATTCATTCCCCTTTTTATAGATTCAAAACCAAAACGTGCGGTTCGAAAATTTCAGCGTCATCAATTCTATGGTGGAGACGAATTTGGACGAGGTTACGATCCATTTACACTCATTCCAACACAAAACTATCACGAGAAAGCACCGGCACCCTTTGAAGTGGAAATGATAAGTGATGCATTGGTAAGGAAGAAAAAGAAAAAAGTGTGTTTGGGGGGGTTGTCTTGGGCGAACGAAGCCAATGGATACTTACTTACATGAGGGGTTCAGTTGGTGATGGATTTCCATTCCCATCTGGCGCATACAGAAATTATTGGGTTGTTAGGAGGAAAGTTTATCCAAAGAGGCACGATCCATGTGCTCCAAGTCTTGAGTGTCTTTCCTTGTCAAAGTACAAGTACAGGCATTCAATGTGAAATGGATCCAGCGTCAGAAATGAGAGCGCGTGAAGTGTTTACAGAAAAGGGACTGAACGTCGTAGGCTGGTATCACTCTCATCCGACATTTGAGCCGCATCCGAGTATTCGTGATATTGAAAATCAGACGTCGTATCAAACATTATTCAGAGATGAAAAGACGGGAGATGAACCCTTTATTGGCGTCATTGTTACACCTTACGACCCTAACCTATTAAGCAACCATTCTCAAATTCAGTATTTGCATATTAGCAAAGAAATAGACAAGTTACACTCACATCGTAAGTAACTCAGAATGGATGTAAAAATCCGTCCATGTGGATCAAGAGTTAATTCCGTTGTGTCTGTGTCTAGGTGTACCTTATGCATGTCGTAGAACAGTGATACAAAGTGAGCATGTCCCGCAGGAAATTCTGGATCAGCTCCAAGAACTCGTGCAAGAATACAAGGATTATGAACAGTAAGTGCAGACGCGTCTCCTCTGTTGATGCAAAACATACACATTCACGAACACCTTTATTTTTTTCCCTTCCTATAGTAAAGTGGATATGTTGACGATGTATGGAGATCAGACAAGATTGGACAAACTGCTGGATTCTTTACGAGTCCATTTGTATTTGGAGCCAAATGAAGAGCAAGCCTTTATGGCAAAGGTAAAAGATATGGTGGAAAAAGAATTCCTATCGTTTGTATCCGATGATCCTACTGTTAAGCTTGAAGAGGAGAAAAAGGCGGGATACCGTGCTACGGATACCACTCAGATGGAGGAGCCTGTGACCAACCTCACCACTACAACGACTACGCATCATGAAGCCACAGCACATGTTGGCTAAAGAACGCGTATGAAAAAGCCTATTTTCAGCCTAAATGATACCCCCCTTACAAGTCTTTTTTTTTTTCAAGGCCTATTTAATTATTTTTTTTTTTTTTTTTATTTGTAAATAAAGGATATCGATATATATATATATATATATATTCATATACATATATATTTATAGTTGTAATGTATAATGATGAAAATATTCAAGTAAACAGTAGGGATTTGACAAAGAAGAAAAAAAAATGAAATAGATAATAATAAAATGGAGTATCTTTTTCTACTTCTTCACTATGGAGTACACTAAGACAGTTCAATAATAAAAAGACATGGGTTGTAACAACAATAATGAAACATAAGAGGAGGTGGGGAGAAGGAGGAGAGGATAGAACGGTGGCGGTAGTTGTAAAATAGTAGTTGTAATGAAAGTAACATAATAAAAAAAAGTTATTTTCTCTAAGCCATGGAAGACTGCTTGGAAGACATCATAGGAGGCATCCTTGTTTGTTGCTGCTGTTCCGAAGATGACTGTTGTTGTAATACAGCAGGATAAGGAGAAGAATAAGGAGAAGAGCGTGGATGATGTGGCTGTCCAAAGTAAGTCTGTTGTTCTGTACTGTTTGAACCACTGGTAGTAGTAGCAGTAGAAGTTTGTTGTTGATGTTGTTGTTGTTGTGAAGGATGCGCACCCGGTGATGGGATAGAGGAGGATCCAGAAGACGCACTATCATAACGAGCACGATTGAATTCGTAAGCAGTATGATGTTGATACATAAGAGGCGTTTGATACTTTGCGTCTTGGTGGGATGGGTGATGAGGATGAGGGTGGCTGTTATTGTTGTAGTAGTCGTGACCATCATGTACTATATATTGAGCATAAGGTGCGGGCTGAGGATAATAAGGATAATAAGAATAAGGTGAAGGTTGTACAGGAGGCGCAGGAGCTGAAGCAGAACCAGGGCCCGTAGCCACATGAGTGGTGGTCGTAGTAGTAGTAGCAGCAGCATCATAGGGGGATGAATGATGGTGAGGCGCCTCCATGAGCTCTTGTTTCATGGGTGGCACAGAGGACGTAGGGTAATACGCGGATGAATGAGATCGGAGGTCTTGTCTCAAAGGAGGCGTTAATTGAGGTGTCATCGGCGGCTCAGAGCTCGTGGTGGGTGTAGGTTGAGGCTGCTGATGAGGAGGAGGAGGGGGAGGAGGACCCATCAACAAGGGGGCAGGATGAGCAGCCATGGAAGGCTCGGGATAGGGTGGATGATGTTGCTGATACAAATAAGGATGCACTTTATGGCCGGGCCCAGGAGCGACGGGGATGGCATTATTGTTATCAGCATAATGACCAGGACTTCTGCCACGCACGATGAGAGAGGCGGACTGACAGGTACCGATCTTGATCAATTCCATTCTATCTGTTTCAGCGTACAAATCGGTCATGACGACATAGTATTGTTGAGCAGCTCTTCTTTTACCATTGTTGGCAGTGGCTGTCTTGAATTGAATACGTTCAAAGGTAACAATGTTTTGATTATTGGCCACAGAGCTCATCGAAAGATTTCCACCCGGCAGGATAGGTTTGGGTTCAGGTGTGAATTGAGGGCCTTTGTCACGTTTGGGCGTATGTTGAATCAGTTCAACCGTCTTGTCGTTATTAGCAGCACGAGCGCTGATACCCACCAAGAAGCGTTGAACAGGATACAGAGCGAGTTCATTATTGCTGTTGGTGGCGCTGACATAGATATGAGGTTCTACAGCGTAATAATGGTTGAAACCATGGAGAGAAAAGACAGTGCTCACTTGAAAGTAATTGCGTCGGTAACAAGTCCAGTCATTATCCGCCAAGAAGAACCCACGATCAAACTTGGATTGGATACGTACAGATAATCTATAAATAAAAGCAAAGCAAACAGGAAGAATTTTTTTTTTGTTTTTTTGTTTTCATGATAATTAGTCGTCTGATGTAGAAAGGGGGGGGGAAAACAAAAAATAGAGTCATCTATACTTTACAGTGTTTGCTTGTCTGAAGCATATAAATTGTCATAGATCTTTGTAGAGCTGAAATAAGGTCCAATATCATTTGAAAACAGGTTTGATCTGCCTCTGAGGGAAGTACTACGACCTGTTGAATAAGATGGCGTGGGTGCACGATAAGGAGACATATCAGTAGCCGTAGTCGCCGTTGGAGGATGTTGTTGCTGGTCTACTAGATGTTGTTGCATGTTACTTTCAGGATGAGGTGTTCCAGGTTGCGAATGGGCCATCATATTATTATTGCTATGGATATGTATGACAATAAGAAGGAAGAGGATATTTTTTTTTTTTTTTTTGTGTGAGTAACAGAGAAAATATATGTATAAAAAAAAAAAAAAAAAAAAAAAAAGAATTGTCAAGTTCCTTTTTATGTGATTTACTGGATTTAAGGGGGTGAGCAATAAAAGAGGGGGAGAAAGTAGCTTTTTTTTTTATGGTTTGGGTCGCACCAATAATATCAAGCAGCTTTTTGATAGGTTTACAATAATAAAACAAAAAAAGAAAAGGAAATCAGGCAAATAATAGTAGCAAAATTAGCCTACCTTGTTAGTAACTTTGTTTGATCATTGAATGCTGGCTGTTGTAGTGAGGATGCGTGTCTAAAAAATCATGAAAATACATAAAGTAAGCGTCAATACAGATCATTTGATTTGAAAGCAGTATCCGCTCTTCTTTTCAAGGTGATACTTGTGCGTTGTAACAGCGACCCAGGTACCAAAAAAATTAAAAAATGACACAAAATGCACAAAAAGACACACGCTCAGATAATCTTTTTTTTCTGAGCGCATTCAACGTCACTACTTACAAAGCACTGACAGCAGCCGTTTCGCTTATAGCAGATGGACTTGGGTGGGTTGGATAGTCATTGTTTTGCGTATAAACAGCATTCGTGGTTACAGTACGATTGCACGGTTGAGGAGACGCTGCTGTGGAGGATGGTCCCTCATCTTTTGCGACGATAACCTCTAAAGGTGGTGCGTTTTGAAGCGGAGTTGCTGATGAGTGGGCAACAGAAGTCGGATGTTTCCAATTTCCATGGTTACCGTTCTTGGTAGCTTTATTCTTCGTTTGTTGAAGTGTCTTCATTCTACGAACGTTAATGTCTTGTCGTTGGTTTTAAGAGGACGATGAACGTATAAAATAATAACAAGATAATTGAAAGAAAGAAAGAATGAACGACAGATAGAAAAGCAGGTTTTTTTTTTTTATTATTTGATTTTTTTTTTTTTTTTTTTTTGGTTCTAACCCAAAAAGTTTTCTTTTTGTAACAGAGTTTTTCGAAGCTTGTGTAACGCTAAAGTGAGTAGAGGACAATAAGATGATAGCTGAACGATAGGTGTTCTCTGGCGCTGATGGTGCGCATGAGCTCTTAACAAATAGAAGCGCATCAACAAGACGTTTCAAGTCAATTTATTGCAGAAAGACAGTAAACAGTTGTATAACGGGGGCTCTATTTTTTTGGATTTCGTCATCCTTCTTTTTTATCGGGAAAATGGTTATTTAAAGAAAAGCATAAAGTAGGCAGCCTTTTGACAGAAACGTCTATACATAAGCCTTGTACATAAATGCAACACACACACACACACTTACACACACACATTTTCTGTCAGCCTGTTTTTTTCAACATAGGAATAAAAAATGACAAAAATTTATTGTTGATCTGCGACAAATGGAAGTGAAACCCCATTTTTTTTCGGGTTTTGTGTACCTTGTAAGAACTTTCAAGGCACGAAGAAAATTGTCATTGTTCGGTACCGTTTTCTTTGGAAACCCACCATAGACACAGTGCTTATCGCTGCAGACAAACCAAAGAGAAAACAAAAATACCTTCACGATGAACGTGGTGTATCATCCTTTGCGCTATATTTTAGATCCTTCTTCTTTGCTTTTTTGGCACAGTTTGCGAGTTTTGGCTATCCCGAATCAAACAATTTTTTTTTTTATAGTTGCGTGTATATAATTCCCATGGTCACACACGCATATCTTAAGTAATAAAAAAAAAATTCCCTCTCTTACGCTTAGAGATGGAAGGCGTTAGTTATTTACTTTTTCCTTCTTTAAAGAGGATTGCAGAATTGCGGCGACTGAATGTGTCACCGTCATCAGTATCAGCATCTTTGATGATTAGAGCGTATATTCTCTTCAACGGGTAAAGAAAAGCGCCAAAAGTCTAAAACTTAAATATCTTTACTTTTTGTTGTTTTTTTTTTTTTTTCTTTTTTTGTTTTGTAATGAAATAAATAAAGATGATACTACAATTAGGTCATTCTGAATAGCGCCTCGCCTTCTTTTCTCTATCAGTCTCTCTCTGACTCATTTACCGCATGTTTGTTTACATTATGGTTCATCAAAGGAAAAAGCCTATGGCGGCGGCTGTGTGGCGACAAAAAGCGAGGGGTGCGGGGGGGGGGTTACATCAGCGGGATTTCATCTCAGATTTTAGCGAAAATGGAACATCAACCGATCTTTTTTTTTTTTTTTTTTCGTGCTTCCTCATATTCTATGCTAGAAAACTCTAATGCCTCCCCGTGTTCGTTTTTGCTTTACTTTCCTTAAAGGTGACGACGAGAAATGACGAATTTTTTCTTTTTTGTTGTGGAGAGAACCATTTGCAGGTGCAACCAATAAAAGAAGCTTTTCGCTCTTCTAATAAAAGTGGACGCTCAACTCATTCCATTGGATGGGTTTGTGGCCTATATGCAAGTTGCATGTATTCTTCTTTACATACACACATAGAGACAATCTAGGTTTTTATTCTTTTCTATAGGGTAGGGAAGTCATGTGATTTACGTTCTTTTTCGTAATATTTAGCTATCAAAAAGGCGACATCAAGCGACTGTTCGTAATTAAGACGTGGATCACAATGGGTTTGGTAATTGGTAGACAAATCTTTGTCTGTTAAATCCATCGAACCGCCAATACATTCTAAAGGAGGAAAAAAAAAAAAAAAAGACAAAAGTGTTGAGTTTCTCGCAAACCAACAAGTGCTAGACACCTTGTATTTGTCGTTTTACCTGTCACTGAATCCCCTGTCAATTCACAATGCACGCCATTCAATTGACTCGAACATTCTTTATGAATTCTAAATGTTTGGGATAGTTCTTGTATGATGTCCTTAAAGTGGCGCGTCTTGAGTTGTCCATTTTGCGCCGTTTTTGTATTACCGTGCATAGGATCACAAACCCAAACTGGCATGTGTCCTGCTTGACGCACCGCTTCAATATGCTGTGGCAAGCAGCTTTCTACTTTATTCGCTCCAAATCGTGTAATCAGTGTCACTTTGCCAATCTCCTTATCCGGATTCACTGTATGCAACAGTTCTACAAGCTGTTCAGGGACTGTACTAGGACCCACTTTAATGCCGATAGGGTTCGTTATACCACGCATGTACTCTACATGTGCTCCATTCGGTTGTCGCGTACGATCTCCAATCCACAGAAAATGTGCGCCTGTGTTGTACCATTTCTTTTCCTTTGTCGACGGTGAAGGCAACAGACGGGTTAACGACGACTCGTAATCCAACAAAAGTGCTTCATGCGATACATAAAAGTCGACCGAATTCAATGCACTGCTGGCTCTGTCCGATGGATCCGCACCCACTGTTTTCATAAAGTCGAGCGAATCCAATAACTGATGCACAATCGATTCATATTCTCGTTTGACGTTGTCCGATCGTACATGACTGAGGTTCCATTTGGAAGGTTCGTGCAAATCTGCAAATCCAGAGTCGATTAACGTGCGCACATAGTTCAGTGTAGCCGCTGAATGAAAGTAAGCACTAAGATCATCGACATCAATAAGAATGTATTTTGTTTTTTTTTTCTACTCTCTGGCGTGCTGTTCGCTGCAAAAAAAAAAAAAAAGACAAACTCTTGCACGACAAAAGAAGCGATCACTTACCCTAACAAACGCTCGGGATCAGGTTTTCTATCATTCGGGTCAAAACCATTTACATTATCACCTCTACAAACAGATGAAAAAACAAATGCGTTTCTTAGGAAGACTTGGTTTATCTCATCCGCGTTTTTTTTTTTTCTTTTTTTTTTTCTTTTATTCTTTTTTTTTTACCTGAAAGAATGAATTTCTTTGCCTTCATACATCTCTGTTGGATTGGAACGAGGCTTTGCATATTGGCCTGCCATACGTGCAATACGAACGACAGGTGTGCGAGCACCCCACGTCAAAACAAGTGACATCTGCAACAGAACCTTCAACTTGTTTTCAATAGGTTCCTGTGGTTATAAGAGTCAGCAAAAACCATCCGTCTATGGGTAGCTCAAGACGTCCCATCTTTTCATTCTACCTGTGAGCAGTAATCAAACAATTCCGCACAGTCACCACCTTGTAATATGAACGACTTGCCCAAAGCGGCTTCTTTCATTTGCTCTCTTAATTTTTCGATCTGTTCTCATTGAAAGCATCAGACAAAAAAAAACCATCCCACTCGTCTTGACCATGCTAAGGATACTACTGAACTTACCTCTGCAGCAGATACCATGGGCGGCAACCGATGCAACTTGTTCAATACACGATCCAAATGTTCTTGGTCTTCATAAATAACGTCTTGGACAATAGGCTTTGACTTCCAATCTTCGGGTGACCATGGGTGACTACTCATTTTATTAAAAATCTATGCTGTTTCTCAATGTGTTGAGAAGAAAAAAAGGGAATAGGTTCGACAAAAAAGAGTTGAAATTGGGAGAATCAGATATAAAAAAAAATAAAAATAAACCCAACTCATCCATGCAAAAGAGAACCCCGCTTGAATCAATCATCCATCATTGGACCCTCAATTTTCGACCCGTCACTTTTTACAGCTATTGTTCCTTGATTCACTTTTCTTTTTGACAGCACCCTTTTTGAGTCATGATTGGGTACACATTTTTCTTTTTGAAAGGGACACGAACAAATGATGTTGAATGATAGGTTCTTTTACTTTGTTGCCCAATCCGTTCCTCAAAAATGACAATAGATACTGTTAGAGCGCTATGAGAGAAGCCACAGTGGTACCTAGACTCATGCAACTTCGAAACCTACATGCCTTTTGCCTGCGAGCGGATAATCAAAACCTTTTTTTATTCTATCGTCGGCATAAAATCCTGAACTGCTTATCGATGACTCATTTACCATCATACAAATAGGCTTAATCATATTGTTCATAATAGTAGTCATAGTAATCATTCTTATTGTTGCGCAAAAGGTCATATGAAATAGAAGGGAACAAAGATGTAAACCGACAATAATAAGCTGCAAATGGATCAAAGTGTTTGAATTCGATCATTATCCGTTGGACAAAAGACCGAGGCATTGGCATCATATTCAAGTGTTAATTGCTTTTGCTCAGGAGACATAAACATCATGTTCCTATAGACGTAGATAAGAGCATGAATGAGCGGCGACGTTCTGTGGCTTGATACACACAAAAAAAATGGACTTACCAAAGCATTTTGGACATCCAACTGTGAGCCAATGCGGATGGATGGAAACAGTCAATATTGCTATTGAGAAATATCGCAAAAAAGAGAGATGAATAAGAATCGAAAAAAAAAAAGCAGCGCTCCATACACAATGTATATGGAAAACTCTACCCTACCTGATGGCCTCAATAGGAAAACTCATAATGTCGATGTATAAAGGTTGGAACACCACAGCAAAATTAGGATCTTTTGTCACCTGGTATTGCTTCACAATATTCTGCAAAGCGTCGTTGTATTTCGGAAACATGTCGGACATGATGGTGCGGTTATATTCACTATGGGAGCATTCACATTCATGATCATGGCCGATAAAGTCACTCATTGGAATAGGCGTACAATAGTCTGTATAGTTTGAAGTAGCCAGCACAATATCATGAACTCTCATCAGCCCGACTTGAGAGAAAAAAAAAAAAAAATGGCGTGGATCAATGACAAGCCCATAGCCAACATTGGCTTTCCTCCTCCCCTCCCCACCACCCCCCAGCCCCGCTACCACTCCGGCTTCAACTTACTGACTTGTATGAGTATATTTGTCATCGTAGCTCTTATTCTTTCAATAGCAGCCAGAACGTTTGCCGCAAAGGGTGTGGGCAAGGAGGTAGGTTCCGTACACGAATGGCAAATATCATTGGATCCAATAAAAAACGTCAACAACTTCCAATCCGTCGGTTTCGCCGTACCCTTTTCATACATGTCGTTTAATTGATCTTCTAAGTAGTCTATTTCATGGTTTAGATTAACACTGCGCGCGCCAGATTGCGCAGCATTCAGCACATCGATTTTTGGGCGATATTGACCCGGAGGACAAATCTGATTGCCAAAGCAAATAGTGATAAGATGATCTCCTTTAGACGAGCCCAGCAAATCATGAGAGTAGTAGTTGATGATGTTGGGGAGAGTGTAGGTATCGGGGTCCTGTCGTCCAAAGAAGAGGAATCCGTTAAGCTAATTCATATACATCAGGACAACATCTTTTTTTCCAACGAAACTTACACCTCCCATGGGGAACGAGATGCCTCTGTTTTCATACAAGTTTTTAATATTGAAAAAGCTTCTCTCTTCTAAACCTTTGGCCGCAAACGCCGCCATCACGCTGAAAAAGAAAAAAAAAAAAAAAAAAAGAAAATGAGATATCCTTGTTCAGTACAGCAGCTTTTAACGCCCCCCCCCCACCCTCCCTCCCTCTCGATATCTAGCTCTCTACCTATCACCTATACCAGCCACGATACGTATATCATCCGGTCGTAAGTCGTGCACGCTTGTGGCGGGCGCTGCTCTTGGCGTTAAAAAGGGACAACCAATATCGACTGGCACGTAGGTGCCATTGTTATCTATTATTGTCTGCGTGCGATTGGTCTGTTGAATGGTAGCTGTCATCACAAACGGCAAGACAATCAGTGTGTACAAATAGGTCATCATGGACAACATAGATGCTGCCAGTATGAAATACGGAAGTTTGTCTGTGTAGCTAAAGAATAAATGGATAGCCGCCGAATCACTGAGTCCTGTTATTTTTTGGTTTTGCTCAGATACCAAAGTGTTGTCTTTCGGTTGCTGTCTTGTTTCCAAGCCTTCTTCTTCAAGAGAAATCGCGGCGGAAGAGGATGGTGTGGATGAAGAAGCAGAGGATAACAGAAGCGGTTTTCCCTTTGTATAAAACATAAAGTAAACCCCCCTCAACAAGGAAAAAAATAAAAATAAAGAGATATATTTATTTCAAGCAGATTATAAAGTGGGTGATCTCTGATCAACTTTTTTTAATCTCTATCATGAATCAATGCCATCTATAAAGGAGAAGTACGTCTATCTTTTGGAATGATCCGATGGCTATTTCTGTTGTCTTGACAATCGGTAAATTTGCACGCCGGTTTCACGAGTGATGGTTGGAACAAGCACATCGTCTACCTCGTTGTCAGAGCCATCACCACTCTTTAATTTCAATAAATCTACAGTAAAGCCATGATCGTTACATAAACCCCAGAATTCCTCTTCTTCCTGCACAGTCAATCCACGACGTTTATAGCCAATATAAATACGTGTCTTGTCATGGCTTAGGTCGGCTAATGCTTCCACCAAATCCTTGAAGAATTGAGCTTCATAAAGGACATCCGAAGCGAGAATAAGATCAGCTTTTCCACAAGCAGCTGCTTCCTTTTCATTGCCCCATAATAGAGTTTTGACTTCCACCACCGTCGGTGGTTGGCTTTCGGGAGGATAATTGGCTACAGTATTTTTGTTGATCAAATCTATCGCTTCTTCAAGTTCTGTAATAGTTACTTTATGAGGTTTCGCATCAGAGAATGCGGTATATAGGCCCAATAAACCTGTTCTGTTCAATAATGGGCAAATCCGAGAAAAAAAAAATTCAGTCCAAAAACCCCCTTTGTTGACTAAAATCTCAAATACAAAATTCTTTACCCAGCGCTAAGGTCAACCACATGCTTGTCTTGTATGTAGTCCGGATGATGTTCAATCATCAGTTTTATGAAATCCAACATCACCAAAGCAGAATCCCATATCTTTCCAGGAATACCCGTGTCCCACATTTCATGAATAACAACATGGTTCTCTGGAGTAGGCGAGAATAATCGGTATCCATCATAGACCATATGATCTTGTGGTACGTTTGGCAACAGTTCTAATGGTAGTGTTGTATCATAAGGAGGGTTCAATGTCTCTGATGAAATGGTAGTGCTATTGGCCCCAGTGCCATTACGACTGCTCAAATGGATAGGTCCGATCATGAGAGGTAGGATATTGTTTGAAGTTGTAAAATGAACACTTTGTTTAACATAGATATACAAGTAAAGCTGTTGGTGGGTGCCTGGAGTGCATGCTAACCCGGGAGAGGAGCTGATACAATACTCAAAGGCTCCTTTACCCGACCGTTCGAAGCCTGCTACCGAGGCCTTATGTGCGTCCAACTGTCCTTGTACAAACGGCCGTGTCGGTCTCACTGCCACCTTACTGTCTTTACAGAGAGACATGGTGCCAGTGTCAGATCTACAATACAAATGACAATCGATCTCTACTTGTCCGTTCGGCTCAATATCTTTTCGACGAAACAAACCAAGCTCATTGACAAGCAGAATGTCTACTCGGTACCACTGATCATATGTTATGTTTGATAGTAATGGCGATCGCAAGTTGATGCGGTAGAATGTGAAATGTTTTTCTAACTTAGCGCGAAACTCTTCATCCGTTATGCTCATCGTAGGTCAGAAGAAATTTCTTTTTCGCTTAAGGTTTTCCAACAAAAAAAAATACCCACTCAAAAGAAGCTGTACTTTAATACACCAACTTTTTTTTTTTTAAAAAAAAAAAATTTCTACTTGTCTGTCATGCAAGTATAAATAAACCATCGTATTAAGTCTGTTACTTTTGACTTACACATATGATGACACCAATGAAGATCAATATTATTCCAAGCCAAGCATCTAAGGTGTCAAAAAATATAGACTGTCTATGAATACATACTTCGAGACAGGTCTAACCCATTTTTCCTGTTTCTGCTGTACCTTTCCCGCCCATACTTTCGCCTAAGCATAAGCCCGTCAGCAATTGAAAGACGAATGTCATTGAGTTCACAATCGGTACAGCAAGTGACATATCTGAAGCAAATAAATGTAACTGTAAGCGACCCGTGACAGCATATACAACGTTCCTTATCTGTACCTGATTTTCCTAGTGTATAGTAATAAACGACTGATCCACTTAGGTTAAGCGCTAGCGGTAGAACATACTATACATGAGTTTGTCATGAGTGTTTCTCTTTTTCTTTTTTTTTTTTCTTTTCAAAACTAAATCCTTTACAAGGCTAGCAAAAGGATGGAGAAATATCAGACTCATTTTTTACCTGCCATCTTGTGAATAGATATTTCATCTCTGCTAACCATTTCTTAAAGCCTTGATCAGCGTATTGATTCGATATCCTTTCTAACCCTTCACTCCCCGCTTTAATGAATGGATTAGTGGAGCCCCAGCATACTGCCACTAATAGTCGATCCAAAAAGGTTGTAAGTGAGTAGAAACCTCTTCATCTCATATCATTCACGCGGAAAGAAAAACAAAACTTGTCTCTTCTACCTAATACAAAGCCTATCAATTGACCTAATAACACCATTTATATTATTGGGTTAGAAAAAGAGAAGATACATCTTCAATCATTCATTAGCCATGAGTGATTCAAAAAATACACTATATAGTTTTACGTAAGGAATCTTCTGATATATTCATGGTCTTTTTGTTTGTTTGGCCTCTCGTCGTCCTCACACGAACAGTAAAATGCAAAAAGAAAAGGAAGAGCACAGATCACTCTCCGCCCAGTGTGGCCTTGAAGAAAAAGTTCTTCAAACTCTAATCTCCTTCAAAATTATGAATGCATTTTTTCAGAGTTTCGAGTTGCAGTATGTACGCGCTTTCACCTTTGAAGCTCTCGATTGAGTGTGCTTTCTGAACAGCCGTTTAATTTCGAATGATCACAGGCTGCTTTGAGCATGGAGTTTCCTGAACTGTTTGTTATTACTTGAAGAGCCAAGCTTTCAAAAGATATTGCATTCTTCGCCAGCATTCTCTTTTCTGAAACCTTTAATACAGTTGGAAAGATAGGGTTCGGCTATTTCATACAAGAGCGTAAACCTCTATTTTCATAATTTTATGTTAAAACAAAGATTTTTACGAAAGGAGGAGGTTGTACCTTCATCACAGTTTTTCATATTTCTTTTTCTTTTGAAAGCATTCATTCTTTTGAAAGTACAACATTCAAAACAAATGAAGAATTGGCATTGCTACCAAATGTAAATGCCATTTAGTCATTAGGACTGGTTATGATGCTTACAGTCTACCAAGCGAGCAAATAGAAAATTGGCGCCGTTCAATGGTCATTATTTTACACACGAGCTGTATGAATATGCCTGGAAAATAAAAAAATGCCATGAAGGGCAATAGAGACTGAGAAAGAGCATGCTATACTAATGATTTGATAAACTCAGAAAGCAAAAGTATGGAGTATAATGAATATACATGGTAGCTAAAATGTAGATCTACTATAAAATGTTGGTCTATTTCAAGATGTATATTCTTTTGCCCCAAGTTTGACGGTCGATATGCACATTGGAGGTTTTAATTTCGATCTAACAAAAAAGACTTGCACAGGCAGTATTCTGACGTAAGCCTTCTGTGCTCGTTAATCATGAAAACTTTATTTCTCGATACATATGCTTTCGCATGGCACTAAAGAAAAAAACGAATAGCAACTCATTCGCTTTCGGGCAGAACTTCATACTAATGAAAAAATGTTGGCCACAATTGTCACTAAAGTAAATACAAGAGAATGTCGAGCTGCCGACTTATGAGTAAGAAGAATGAGGGTGGACTCAGCAATAGATTTCGAAAACACGTCTTATTCCCTTTCGACGACATGTATCTACATATGCTTCTGTGCAACAAGTTACCTACAGCAGTTCAACTGTATGCAGTAGCCGCGGATGATACATATGAAATTAGTATATACTAAAGTTGCTATAACATTACCCCCTTTTTTTTTTGTCTCAAGATTATAAAGAAGCGTTCAATAATTGATGTATTCAAGATTGATAGCATTATTGTACCTTAGTGATTTATTTCAATGCTTACGAATACTTATTAACGGAAATCATTGAAGCAATATACTCCTGACTCGTATGTCCAATATTAATACTGATGAATATAAAAGGGTCCAATAGTCCAATGTTGGGTTTCTGAATAATAGAGATGGGAGAGCAAAAATATAGTAACGCAATTGAGATAGGTTCCCTTTAGCATCAAAAGTTACGGGATTCTCATCTTTCCTGAACCTGCATGCAAATTTCATTTTTGCTTAACCATCAAAAGCTCTGCCACATGATTTGACTATGGCTAATGACGGCTAACAATTGCCGTTCAATTTTGTAGGGATGCATCAAGAAATGCAATTTTTCCCTTATAAACACAGTAGTTGTACGAAATAAGATAAGGACTCTTCTAGAAAATGATCGATGCGCTTCTAAATATGCGTCAACTACCGTTAAATGTTTTGGTATGGCAAAATGTAAAACGAAACGAAATGGATGAAATGCGGGATATTGTTGTAATAGCAGGAAAAGGAAGATTTTCTATCCAAAATAAATAAGCCTACTATTTCTTGTAAATGTTTATATACTTTACGTCACGCTTAATCCGTCAATGCCCGTATGCATTGGTAGAAAAATCTTTGAGCAACAGTTTTTTTTTTTAATTCGTTCCACCCTAAATCTGCAATGTTGCAAAATGTGAAACCTTTCAGTGGTATGAATGAGGAAAATATGCCCTTATTTGTACATATTCTTGTAGCATTAAAGTTGCGGCGAAAACCGTCATTGGATTTTCGATTTGTTTATTTCTGGCTTGGCTATTACCAAGTTATGATGTATGTTAGCTGTTATGCTTGATTTGGGGTTTGTGATAGCTTGCTTTTGTATAAAAAAAAAAAAATAGTAGTCAACTATTTCTGTTTTCTCCTTTTCTAAAAATTTACTTTTTACTAGGAAATCCTATTTAACTTCCAATACAATAGAAAGCCTTACATCAAAGCTTCTTAGGAAAGCTTCTGAGATCTACGTTTTTATCTTTTAATATCTGATTTATACCTAATTAATAGCTGAGCGAAACATGAATGAAAAAGAGGAGCCAAATATAAATTCTGTAACGAAAGATTCCACGGATAGAGAACAAAATCATTCAACGATACCTTCACAGACGGAAGGTGCAGACGAGAAGAATGCGCCGGTTACTAATAGTCAACAACAATCTAGTGGCTCTTCCCACAATGGTGAGAAAAAGGACCCCAATGCAACGACTACTGTAGACACATCACAAGGCAACAAGGATCTGCCGAAAATGCAAGATCTTTCTGTTGAAGAATTGTACGATAAGGATAAATATGATTTATCAACCATGGATCCCAGTGATGTTTTTACACTCTTACAGTAAGTAGTGTGATTATGACATTGAAAATTCCAGATCTTGTCACCATGTTTCATATTGTTTACCTATCTTTAAATTTCATTGGTAACTTTTAACCTTAATAAGAACTTCCAAAGATGGGCTCACATCTGAGGAAGCTTCCTCGCGTGTCGAAAAATTCGGTTACAATCGTCTTGAACATAAGGAAGTCAACCCTATTTTACAGTTCTTGGGCTTTATGTGGAACCCTCTTTCATGGGTAATGGAAGCAGCTGCCCTTGTCGCCATTGCAGTTTCCAATGGTGGTGGAAGACCGCCCGACTGGGAAGACTTTATCGGTATCGTCCTTTTACTACTCGCTAATTCCGTGATTGGTTTTCTAGAAGAGCGTCAAGCAGGAAATGCGGTCAAGTCACTTATGGAATCCTTAGCACCCGAATGTAAAGTAAAACGCGACGGTGAATGGAAGACAATGGAGGCGGCTGAACTTGTTCCTGGCGATATTATTTCAATCAAATTAGGCGATGTTGTTCCTGCCGATGGCCGTCTGACCGCTGCTCATGGCCAGATTTCAATCGATCAAGCAGCACTTACCGGTGAATCGCTGCCTGTTGGTAAAGATGCTGGAGACGAAGTCTTCTCAGGATCAACTGTGAAGCAAGGAGAAGGTGAAGCTGTGGTCATAGGCACAGGCGTCAATACATTTTTTGGCCGTGCTGCCAAATTGGTAGGCGATGCAGGCGATGATATCGGTCACTTACAGACTATTCTGGGTAAGATTGGTAACTTCTGTCTCGTCAGCATTGGCATCTTTTTGGTGGTGGAAATCTTGGTGATGTATGCTGCTTTCCGTTATCAATACCGTGATGGTATTGATAATTTACTCGTACTTTTGATTGGTGGTATTCCAATCGCTATGCCTACGGTACTTTCTGTCACACTGGCTATCGGCGCCAAACAACTGGCGGAACACAAGGCTATTGTAACTCGCATCACAGCCATTGAAGAAATGGCAGCCGTTACTATTTTGTGTTCTGATAAAACCGGTACATTAACCTTGAATAAGCTTATTGTAGATAAGCCAACCATCAAGACGTATGGAGAATTTGACGCTGAACAAATTATTCAGATTGCAGCTTATGCCTCTCGTACGGAGAACCAAGATGCTATCGACTTTTGTATTGTTAACTCTCTTCCCGATCCAAGCAAAGCACGTGAGGGAGTAGAAGAACTTGCCTTTGAACCTTTCAATCCCACCATTAAACGAACAGAAATTACGTACAGAAAGGACGGTAAACTCTATCGTGCCACCAAGGGTATGTCACATTTCATTCTCGATCTTTGCACACGTGACAAAACAGAGGAGCAGTGTAGATTACTTAATGATGACGTTGATGAGTTTGCTCGTCGTGGCTTGCGTTCACTTGCGGTTGCTATAGAGGAGTTTCAAGGAGACAATGTGGATAAGGATGGTACCGGATTCAAGTTGATCGGTCTTTTACCTATTTATGATCCTCCTCGTTCTGATACAAAGGAGACGATTGATCGTGCGATTGAACTGGGTGTGGCTGTGAAGATGATCACTGGTGATCAGCTCGCCATTGCTAAAGAAACAGGACGTCGTTTGGGTATGGGTGACAATATGTTCCTTTCAAAAACATTGAAGGATGGTCCACCGGCCGGATCGGGTTACAACGATATTGACGAGCTTGTATTGCATGCGGATGGTTTTGCGGGTGTTTATCCTGAGCATAAATATGAGATTGTCCAAAGGCTTCAGGGTTTAGGACACATGGTGGCGATGACTGGTGATGGTGTGAATGATGCACCCGCTTTATCAAAATCGAACGTCGGTGTGGCTGTTGCCGATGCCTCAGATGCTGCACGTTCAGCAGCCGATATTGTATTGACAGAACCGGGTCTCTCTGTTATCATCGAAGCATTGATCAATTCACGGCAAATTTTCCAGCGTATGCGTAACTATTCCATTTACACCTGTTCTGTTACTATTCGTGTGGTGGTTGGTTTCGCTATTATGGTGTTCGCTTTCAAATTCAATTTCCCTCCTTTCATGGTATTGATCTTGGCTATTCTAAATGATGGTACTATCATGACTATTTCTAAAGACCGTGTGAGGCCTTCACCTTTCCCTGACCAATGGAATCTGTTTGAAATCTTTTCTTACGCTATCATGTACGGTCTCTATCTCGCTGCTTCCACAGTTGTATTCTTTGCTGTCATTTACTATACATCATTTTTCCAATCACACTTTGGTGTGCAGCAATTCCGAAGCCCTAACGATTTCCCTTTGCATTCCATCATCTATTTGCAAGTGTCTACAATATCACAGGGTCTTATCTTCATAACGCGTTCTCACAGTTGGTTCTTTATGGAGCGACCGTCTATCATTTTAATGTGTGCTTTTATTGTTGCTCAGCTTGTAGCCACATTTATTGCAGTGTATGCCAATTGGGGATTTACTCAAATTGAAGGCTGTGGATGGTCCTGGGCAGGCATTGTTTGGATTTGGAATTTTGTATGGTTTGCACCGCTTGATTTGGTCAAGTTTGCTATGCAAAGAGTCTTTAAGCCCAAGACCGCAGTAGAAAGTGGCGCTGGCAGCGCAGGCTTGGCATCCCGTCGTTCTTCGAGACGCTTATCCGGAGCCTCAAGTACAGGATCAGCCCGCTATTATGCTAACCGTACTCAATCTTTGCGTTCCCTTTCAAGGCCTCGTAATTTTGGTAAAAAAATTGTGAATATGGAGCCACATGAAAGAAAACGATTGTCTACATCTATGCAGGTAAGAAAACTTTGAATGATAAAGAAATTTCTTGAAGGATTATGAATTAATAACCGATAATTCACGATCAATAGGGAAATTAGGCCGCATAGATAGTTCGCCTTCTGTAACCTACTGTTCTAAAAGATCCTAACCAAACAATAGCCAAAAAATTAAAAATGTCCTTTCCTATATTGTTTTATTTATTTATATACTCTTTGTATATGCCCTGAATTATGTAATGCCTAGTATGTATTTTGTAGAAAATGCTTAATATATTTCGATGATAGAATAAAATGACTTTTCATCAAATAAGAGTACTTAGCTATTGGTTTTTTTGTGAATCGTTTTTTCTGATCCGTTCACATTATCCAGTTACACTGTCGGAGCGCGTAACTGACTTTCGAAGGATAGAAAATTCTCCCAAAAAGAGGATCAAGGAAAGTTGAAGACACGACACCCACAGCTGTTACATGAGTTTCATGCAATTTTTCAATAACCAAGATTAGAAACCTGACTCAGACAATTTCCCTGCTTGGGAGCAGGAATTAATATTTTGTTCATGGCAGACAGGTTCTTGTTTCCGTGATACTAACGCAGAGTCATAGTAGATTTACAAGCTTGTCCAAGTAGTGATGATTTTTGATGGTTTTTTTTTTTTTTTAAAAAAAAAAAAAGATAAAAATAGACAGTTTCGATGTGGTCATTATTTTTTTTGAGTCACGAAGGATGAAAGATCCACAAATTTTATGATTTCTAGGAATGACATCATAATTCGATAGAGCCTTTGTTCGCGTATTCCATGTCTTCCCCAGGTTTCAAGAAAGAAATAAAGATAAATAAATAATCACATTCTTTTTTTTTCAATTTCGACTTTGATTCTTCTTTTTTCGTTTTTACACATTTTACCTATCATTTACAGTATAACTTTCTCGACCGTAAGTAAAGACCTCTTGAGTTGAATGTGGAACTGCAACTACAAAACGACTTATTGTGAAACATAACCCTCTTCTTCTTTGCTGTTTTTGATAGAATTATAGAAACTGAAATAAAAGAAAATGGATTCAAGTGATTTCCCTACACTTCAAGAGGCGAATAGCACTCATAACGACAACAAAAATGAAAATGACAAAAACCAGAATTCCACGTTGGGTTCTTCCTGGGCTCAAGTGGCTAAAGAAGATACAACGACAAGTTCAACCTTAACAACAGATAATCGTCAACCAGACGTGGCTGGACATAAAGCTGAAGAATTTCCTACGCCCCAAGAAAGCTTGAAAGATACGGATACGAAAGATCTGCCTGCTTCAGGTGGTGTAGGTGATTTGTTAAATAAGGACACTTCAAAAGGTAAAAATAGACTGTATACCGGCACCTCAGCTACGATGGCTATGTTCTAATTTGAAAACATTATGGGAATGATAGATACTACTGCGGCTGCCACTCCTCTTGTTAGTTCCTTTGCTGATGTTACTTCTAACAAAGATTTCCCCAAGCCAGAGAAGGACACTTCAGCACCAACAGAAAATGAATTGTCAGATTTACCTGATGTCAAAGATATGCTCAATCAACCTTCTGTGCGTGTACCACCTGTACCCAAAGATCAGAGTTTCGCTAAGATTGCTGCTAAAGAGATTCCACCAGAAAAGAAACCTTTGAGTGATCGTGCACAACAAGTTATAAAAGAACAAGAAAAAATTGAAAAGGACGCAGGAAGCACTACTGAAGAAGAATTCCCTACTTTGGAGCAATCTGCTTTAATGAGCAAGGAAGGAGCATCTAATGAAGATAAAGCAGTCTATACTGAGATCTCGACTTTGCATCAAATGGATCCCCTTCCTACACCAAAGGAAGAAAAGAAAGGTAGTGTAAAAAGGAGAAATACAGTTATAAACGGTAGTAAAAAAAAGAGATTGGGTTATTAATTGTTTGACTACCTTGTCTTTATTTTTTTTATTTTTTGTAGAAGCGGCTCCTTCTTCGCCCAAAAAATCCTTTGCCGATATTACGAGTTCTAACTTGGATGAAGCACCACCATCTGCTACTTCCCGTGTTACTGACAAGCCTGTTTATAACGAAGATCAGGTACTAATGGAAAAGACAAAGAGAGAGCAGAGAAAGAATCTTCAAACTGAACAGCCCAATAATGAACAACTTGTTGAAGAAGAAGGTAATTGTTTGTAAAAGAATTAATTTGAATTGAATTTTATAAAACGTGACTGATTAAACACTTTGCTTCTAAATCAAAGAAACCGTAGCAAAGGGTGTTGAGCCCACAAAGGACCAAAGAGATCAAGAAATAGAACAAAGCCAGGTTGAAGCAAGAAGCCGAGAAGTTGTTCAAGAAGCGAATGCAGCTGTCCAAGGTGAACCTGATGAAAACACATTTGAAGAACATCTGAGTGTCTTTGATAAACGTCATACTGGCAAAATCACCATCTTCAATACTATCTTTGCTCTCTACCATTTGGGATATCCTTTGCTTACCATTATCCCTGGTGCCATCATGATGCATATCACTTTATCACCTCGTACTTCACCCCACCGCTTTCCGTTTATTTATCGCTCACCCTTTGATCTCATCCTACTTCCTATCTACACAGCTAATTTGAATCGAGCTCTCACCAATTACACACCTGCATTGAGTCAACAGAATCACGAGCAGGTTGAAAATATGGTAAAAGAATACGGTCGTAAAAGTAACGAAGGCTTGACTTTCTGGGAAGGTCTTCGCGCTATCCGTGGTTATGAGAAGAAGAATAATATGAGATGGTGGCAAGTGTGTTCCTGGGCTCTCCATCGTATTCAATGGACGCTTACTTACACAATGTTACATGAGCCAAAGAAGAAGATAGTGACAGTGCCAGCACTGTTGGCACTCAGTCAAGCAAAGAATAAATAATGCATTAAAGAAACAGAACGGAACAAAAATTTAGCTCCCCACACATTAATACCAAATCCAACATAAGTAATCTTATTATCAAGTCTTTCTTTCTCTTCAACTGTATAATAGTATCTTGTAGTTGTTTATTGATATCTTCCCAAAGGCAAAAAAGTACTAATGAAATGATTTACTCAAATTTTACGTAATTATCCTGTTTTTCAATTCTTTTAAACCATTGGAGGATATGTGGATAACTGTTTAGGTTGAAGCCTGCCTCATGAGCTTTATGTGTATAAGCATACAGACAGATATCTGCTATCGTATAGCTATTGCCCACAAAATAGGCATTGTTCATCAAGTGATCATTCATGATCCTCAAGGCTTCTTCACCATTGGTAAATTTTTCTTCCATTTTATCTTTCCATTGCTTGTCTGTCTTCTTTCGGTTCAAGCATTTTTGCCAGAAACGTAATGTAGCAATATTGGGTTCATGTTTATATTGTTCGAAGAAAAGCCATTGAAACACTTGGGCTCTTTTGAATTTTTCTTTAGGAAGAAAAGGTGTATCTTCGGCCAGATAGATCAAAATAGCATTCGATTCTGTCAGTGTTGCTGTGGATGATATGGCTAGAACTGGAATACAGCCAACTGGATTTACTTGGGGTAGAAACTCTTCCGTTCGAGATTCTCCCTTTACAATATCAACTTCTTTATAATGAAAAGGAATCTCCAATTGATTTAGTAGAAGTTTAATCTTGTAGCAATTGTCTGAAGCATGATAACCATATAAAGTATATGTCATGGGTAAAACTGAGGTGATAAGAGTACAGTAACAATTAAAAACAAAATGGAAAAGACGGCACTCTTCACATAAAAAGGAAAGATTCTGATCAAGGATACACAAAGATGATCACTTAACATCTTGAGAATTGCCGTGCAGGAAATGTGTCCAATCATTGTAGTTTAGCGTGTTTGAGTATGGAAGGCAGTACTAAGTTGCTACTGACAGCGGCAGCAATACTACATGCAAACATAGACAGATTTATATATAGCACCGATAAAAAAGTAATGTACATGAATACAAGGTGGATCTATATAATGCTATAGGCTGAAGTTAGCTGAAAAAAATGAGTTGGGTGGAGATTTTGTAAAGGATAAGATACGTTCAAGAAAGAATCTTAGTACAAAATTATATTCGTAATTTTACCCATTGTGCAGGAGATAAATACATCTCATTCCTGGCTTAGCTCGGTAGAGTAAAGTAGAAAACGCAAACAAAAAAAAAAAAAGCTAGAATGAAATTGGTAGTTGAGAATTCGTGGATTAAGCATCTGATCAAGGTCGTAAGTGGGCTAGGTGTAAATACTGTGATTTCACTATTGAAATTTGAGATAATTCATGAAACGATTCACAATTTTATTGAGAACAATCCAAAATCGTCAATGCACATTATTGAGCTTGTAAATTTCAGCGTCGGCTATTGACAATGCTGTGAACCTCTTATCTGGGAAATGCATGAATTTACGGTGAAGCAGTGCACACATCTTTAGCAGACTACTATGGTAGGCTGCCGTATCCTCTTCACATCATTTCTCCTTGGCGAAATATAGTGTTCTCTTTCTCTTGTCCTATCTCATAACTTGAATGAGTCTAAACAACTACTATCGTACTCTATAATAACTGCTTTGAATGTGATAAAAATCCTTAATTGCACCTTAGAAACTTCGAAATAATTTATGCATTATACGTAAAATTTATGCCGCTCTTCTTACTCATGGAATTCACCATCGTGACATTGAAGAGCTCAAATTTGTAAAGGAGGACGACAATGGTCGCTTACAATCAAAGGTGCATTACCGTTCCAGTAAAAGTACATCAATAAAAAGATCGCCTTCATTTAATGTTGGTTTTTTGATTAACAAAATATGTAAGAACTGTTTCTATACTGCTCGTGCTTACCAATATTTCATCAGCAATCTTCTTCACGACAACAGCAATACTCGCTTGCTTCTACTACAGAAGCACCGATAGGACGACTTTGCTGATTCTGGGAGAAGCTTGTGCAAGTGTTCATCTCTGGTGCAAACTGGTCTCGAGAATCTCAGTAACACTTTGCCGTACAGAAAGCTTTTCATTAGACGTAAATACTGTACGTAGAATTGACTTTTGAAATTTACGAGTTACAGAATAGAGACTGCAACTTTTTTCCCAAAATCAAAGTTGTCTTATTCAAGCTATTCTCTGCGCTATCTTGAAAAGAATAAATTAACAAACAAGCCGTCATGATTATTACAATCAAAATTATGGCCGGATAAACACGCGCATAGAGAATTTTGCAGAGGTGAAAAAAAAAAACGTAAAGCCTACAACTGTAAGAAATTTGAAATGGAAATCAAATGACTTCAGACAGCATACAAAACAAGACATAACAAGGCTGAAGGTTGGTGTTATCAATGCTCTGAATAAAACTTACAACAACAAGATGGGAATTATTACCCTAAACAGAGACTTATGGCTTGTTATACAGATGGTGGAGGCAGTGTTAGGAAAAGAACAGATAAGAACACTGATGAACCCATTTGTATGTTATTTATCATATGTCTTGCTTATTGCTGTTGCTTTACAAGTAGAAACCCCAACCAGCGAAGTCATAAACCATTACAATGCCATTATCGCCTATTATTATGGCAATGCACCCCAATGTACGGCTACTCTCAATGCAAAGCCCCTGCGGTTTGAAATTAGTCATTGGAACTCAAGTATCCATTGTGCCATTTCATGTATTCGTTTTGATGTAAGAAAACCATCTTCTGTTGGCTCTTATAGTATAAAAGAGAGTTCGCCAACAAAAATGTTCCTTGACGAGAAAAGCATGAAAATGGCCATGACCATTTTGAATATGCCTGCAACCATAAGACTTTCTGACTTACTTATACCACCTATATCAACTTCAGACAAGGTTTTCATCCAAGACTGCTTATACGTCTGCTATGCTTCAGGTTTTTTCACAATCAGGCACGCCGCACAGCTGTATACAATTTTCATTCATAATGATTATTACTTGCCCACAGTTCTGGGCCCAAATTCTTCCAAAATATTGCTACGTTGATTTGAAGATAAACAAAGATGCCTACCTCAGCTAGGATTTCATTCAAAAACTCGAAATACGGCAACCAGTACAGTAAAATCAAATGTATCCTACAAGCAGTTGAATTCTTGATTTTTCTGGATGGCGCTGCTACGTCCATCTTAGCCAAGATTAAGCTCAATAAACTTCTGGAACAGCTTGTCGGTTCAATAATACCTTCCATCTCACTCACTAACTCGGCTGTCCAAAAAAGAAATTGAGAAGCTGCAGTATACCCCCGTTTCGAGCTTTTTGGTCATCCTACTTTCTTTCCTTTATTATTTTTTTTTTTTTTTTTTTTTTTTTTGTTTGTTTTCGAACCTAATAGTATGACGATCAAGATATTTTAAAACCTGCAAAGCATTGGATATTTTTGAACATACACTATATTTGCTTGAACCAGACAATAATCAATAAAATTTTCTCAGTAGACATGAAAGTCTCCCATATCTTATGCATACCTCCTTTTTCCCTTGAGAACAGAATTTCTGGAATAGTAATATGTGTTAAGGGTTGATCAATAAAAGTTCGTTATAATTCTTAACAAAGTTTGCGTTTAAACAGGGTGTAAATATTAAAGAAAAGTAGCCTAGTTTAGACTGTATATAGGCGGGAAAATGAGGCATAAAAATGTTCGATATAGTGCTATTGGAAAGAGGAGGAATAATTTTGAATGATTGGATAAAGAGGCACTGAGATGTGTAATTATTAATTAATAAATGGTTGGTACTTTGACATATTGCATAACGTTATATGTGATTTGATATATTGTTTGACAGGATAAGGATTTTAGTCAGTACTTTGATAGTCGAGTATCTGTAGTGAATTAACACAGTTAATCATTAGAAAATCATTTTATTGGGCTACTTTATTGTTACGAGCAATGACAGCTAAAATTAGCAAACAGTTGTGTTAAACAGTAAGAAAGAGTAAGATATAACAAAAGAGGATAATGACACCTTGAATTAATTGCAAACGAAGGTGTATTTTCAAAGTGGGCTGAAATCCTATCCTTTATTCATTTATTGCGTTTTAATGTCAGGTACTCCATTCGAGTTAGTTCGTTTTATCGGACATATTCGCGATAACAATTGGTCAGGTGAATCTGACAAGTTAGCCTTGCAGCATCGTCTATGGAGTAGTCTATCAAATGTATGCACTGCTTCATCATAAAATTTACGTATTTAACAGATATAGCATAACTACAAGTATTATCAAGGGCCGATGCTGGGATTCACTCCGGTCTTGGATTTGCCTTGATGGAAAAGTTTTACTGCTGGACAAGAAATTTGGATGGGTAAAAAAAGAATGATCACAAAAGAAATTTCGAATGAGCACAATTTGATTGGACCAAAAAAATCCTGAATTCTATTTTCGAATATCCTGAAATTTCAAACGCTAATCAGTAAGTGTAAATGCAGAATTCCTAAAATTGGGAGTCTCTGTAATAACAAACAAAAAAAAAAAAAAAAAGCCCCCAGGATATGCAGTGTCTAGAAGCCCAGAAATTACAATAAAAAGACGCGCCATTACCTTATTATTTGAATAAACGGGATTAAAAAGCACCCTAAATAGGCCATGTGCCTCCTTTCTTTGTACTTTAACCATGAGCGAAATCCTTTTATGTTTTCTTTTGCTGTATGTGGACAAACTTTTTTTTTTTAGAAAAAAAAATGAATCAAGAATAATCTACTATCAGAAACTTCAAAGGTAAAAAAGTACGGCAACCTAAGAATGCCTACTGTCTCACTGTCGACAACGACCCACAAGCAATTTATGGTTTTGTTAAGGTTGAAAATTACAGCAAATGATTGGTTAATGCATTTATTTTTCCTTAGCCGAAATAAATGGGTCCAGACTTTGACAATTTCAGTCAGGTGAACAGACATAGAACTAACCATTTTTTTGTCAGTGAAACAAAGAAGAAAAAGACATTGGTGAGCGATTTCTAGTTCCCATTTGATAATTAGAAGTTTTCTATTGTGAAAGGATTCGTGCTCAACTTCATGAAGCGTATATAAAAAGAGATGGAAAAAGTAGACCATATTCTAAGCTTGTTCTTTTCATCGTTAGCAAGAAGCACTAAAGAATGACACTGATCCAGAATTTGCTTTCATTGAAAGGACATCCCCTTGAATAAGATGCACTGAACTTTACTATTTTTTTTTCCCTCATTTTTTCTTTGATCCCGAGTTTTTTTTTCTTTTTTTTTCGAAAATGTTTTAAAAACGGATCACCTTCTTTTCCTTGTTGTCTCTCTTTCGCTTCTTCATTATTGACAAAGATTTGCTCAATATCACTTTTGATTCTCTTTATTGCTTTTAAGCTCACATAAACTGAAATTCTTCGTTTTGACATCTACAGCAGAAAAAAGGTTAATGAAATCATCACTATCCGATTTGGATAGTGGATGCAGAAAGAAAAGAAGAATAGTGAAACACCCTTTAGATTCTTCGCAGTTACCTTCCCCACCAGAGCTGAAGAAAGGTCTGTCTATAAAAGACTTTCAACAACAACAACAACAACAGCAAAAAGAAGAACAAGAACAACGTCAACCACAGCCACAACAACCACAGAACTGCAAAAAACCTACCTTATTAAAAGAAAAAGACAACTTCTCAATGCTGACATCTTCAAATATGGTACATGACGCTAATTGCTGCATGTTCAAGATTATTCTTGATTCAAAAGGCAATACAGGTAAGCAAATAGTGTTCTATTTCAACAGTATATCCGAGTTGATGTATTAATCATTTACATAACAATAGCTGCGTTATGTTATCTGCCTACAAGGTACAGGAATATTATTGAATTCTATCACATTGTAAGGTTCTAGATTCCTTTTTTTTTTGGATTGCAATGTATTAAATTTTCAATGACAGCTCATTAACTTTCTTCTGATTATTAGGAAATTCCTGTCTCTTATAGGCAACAAGGATTAGGCGACTTATTATTATACTATGCTTTCCAATGGGTGAAAAGATTGAACTTGCTAGTGATACCAACATGTCCATTTGTCCTCAAATATTTGGAAACTCATTATCCAGACCATAAAAGTGGAGATTGGCCTTGCATTGTCAATACAACAGCGGCAGCAGCAGCGGCAGCAACAGCAACTTCTAATTATAATGGCAGCATCATGTCTGTCAATACCACTGCAACACCTTCTTCGAAATCTTTCGCCACACCGATTACTCCACCTAATACTTCGCCAATAGCATCCACACATACGGCAAAACCAGCATCCATCAGTTAATATTGAGTTGCAACGTATCACAGCGTTAAAACATATCAGCAGCAACAACAACAACAATAGTAATCATATAACAATAATAATACTGATAATAATAATAGTAATAATTAAATATCCATCACAACAGCTCAAACCCGATTTACACATTTATCATTTTGCCCATCAAGGACACACACGCATATTACATGTCATCATTATTTGCCACTACTGCTACTGTCATCATTGCTTAACCAGCAACTATTCACCATCCATCGCTACAATCATAATCCCATCTTTTCCGCTTGTTCTTCTACTCCTGTCTCTCACGCTTTTTTTTTTTTTTTTGCTCTCCTTCTCGCTTTTAGCAATAAAATTTGTAAAGTAACACATGGGAACTCACCCGTGACAAGATAGCATTCTGTATGCTTTTTAGGAAAGAACAGCGACCCAACAAGGGGATTTGTATTTTTAGTGCAGTGCCACCTTGAACAAAAATTAGTTCTTTTTTTTTTTTTTTTTTTTTTTAAAGTTGCTAAGCATTTATACAATCAGGAAAATTAGAGTTATCGAACATGAAAGAAAACATACACAAACTGTATACAAACTGGTGATTGCCAAGTTCTTTATGGAACCAAGCTCGAAACGTATCACACGCATAATTATAAAAATGATCCTCCGCACAATCGTGTTCATTCGTATCTTTCAGGTACATTAACTAAAATGTAAACACGCCGCAGCTGGCAAACTAGCTATCGCGTACTTTGCTTATCTTGTAAAGGTCTCTGCCATTTTATTTCTCCAATATGCCAAATCATTTCCATCACATTTCTATGGAAGCGATTGACAGTCCTCAAGTATTTGCTAGCTGGATGGTCCGTGAATAGAAAAGCAAAATCATTTTCATACTCACTAAGGTAGACGATGCATGGTTGCAGTTCCGCGGAAGAACTGTAAGAAGTTGATCTGAGCTTTTCTAAGGCCGTCTTGTTCTTCTCAGAGCTTTCCGTGACGCGAGCGACAGGAACTGCATACCCGGCGGCCTGCTTAATCAAAATGCACATGATCTTCCAAACTTAATGTTGGTCTTCTACTTTCTTTTGTACTTATTGAAATGAATAAGAGTTCTTTACTCTGTGCAAACTCAAAAAATAGGCCTTTAAGAATAAGCAAAACTTATTCCGCTATCAATGATAAATTACATGGAGCTGAAAATCAAGCTAGACATAACAGTCTTTTAAAAAACAGCTTTTAAACATTTCTACCTCATCATTCTTTCGCAATGTAGTATTTCCTTGTTTTGAGCGCACCATTATGCGTCGCGCACATCATACTGACATTCGGACTCGTCTTTGGAAATTCTTCATTGATGGGTTTGATTCGAGACTTCTTTTTGGAATTATAAGGTGTAATACACTCTGAACCTTTATAAATCATTAGACGTTCAACAAGTTTATAACAAGTTTGTCGGTATACCAAACTACTTGACATAATTCATCCGGTGAGTGTGGATGTCTAATGTATACAATGAACACAGGCTCACAACTGAATGCAGAATGATTACATCTTCCATGCTAAATATGTGTATACATAGATAAAACAAAAACCTTAAGTGGATCAGTTGTCGTCATTGAAAGGAAGAACACATCAGAAGGACTTGTATTAACATTCGATATAATACTCGTAGGTTGCAAAGCATCACATGTAGCATATCATTAAAAGTAAGCCTTTCCCAGCAAAAAAAAAAAATGACTTTTTAATACCTCTTTGAGATGGTTACCTACAATCAGCTGAGATCAACAAATGATTGGACGTATATCAAGCTTCATATATAAAGAGGAACCCTTTAAGGCAATAATGTTTACCCTTTTTGTTACCCCCAAGTCTATTATATTTCTCTTTTTATTCCTAGTCTATCCCTGTATCTTTTCAATACAAAGTTATCAATTATAAAGTATACTACAGTGTGCTAATCTGTGGGTCTTCCTCTTCTCCTTTCTATTTTACTCCTCTTAAAGCTTGAGCTTTATCTAATATTCATGGGTAACAAAGAACAGAAACCAAGTGAACAAACGCCATTGTTAATAGAAGAATCGTCCTTTTGTTCGTCTTCAACTGCTAAATCTGTCAAAAATAACATTTCTTCTTCTTCTCTATTGTCATACAATCTTCATTATCAATTTATAGACTCTCATCATCAGACGGCACCGATAACATCAAACGCATTTCTACATCATCGTCGAAGCCTTCTTCAAAATGGTATGCGCATTACATAGCCTTTTTTTTTTTACAAGATCAGGAACAAAACAACTTTATTGTGGTACAAAAGAAACTTATGTAACAATGTTTGACAATACACGTCTATAGCATATGATCTTTCAAAAAAGATATTTAGAATACTACCTTCTGTTGCTGTTATATCTCTCATTTGGTTTGGGGCAACACCTTCAACCGAACTAACAGTTACAGCAATACGTACCTTGGCGGTTTTCATCGGGTAAAAAATTTTTACCAACATAAAGTAAAAACCGTTAGTAATGTTCAACGGCTAACACATCTCATATCGGGTATAGATGCATTTTGGCATTGCTTACTACATCTATTGATATATCGATTCTTGTATTTACAGCACTCACCGTACTGGCATTGACGCAATCTTTCCAATGCCAAACCGCTTCCGGAAATAGCGTAGAATGCCGACTATGTCATTCAACAGCAGCAATAGAAGATGTATGTATAGAAGAGGCGTTTGACGTATCATTAAAAGGATTCGCCAGCCCTGTCGTTTGGTTGATCTTTGCTGCCTTTCATTTAGGTAAAGCGGTAGAGGTGACCCTTCTGGGTAAACGCATCTCTTTGCATTTAATCCGTTTTTTTGGAAAGAAAGGTGTTATGGGGCTAGCCTACGCCATTCTTCTATCAGGTTAGAAAAGAGTTTTGCTTTCAAAAAAAGGAAAGAACCTTGTGGAAAAAATTGATACGAAATACTTTTTTACAATAGAGTTAATCTTGGCACCGTTTGTGCCCAGCAACACAGCTCGTGGTGGGGGTATCATATTACCTATTGTTCAGTCTATGGCTCAAGCCTTACTTCATACTTCGTCATCTCCATCAGCAGAAGATTCTGACTTTGAGTATCTCAATGGTGCAACTTCAACTTCCTTAATATCGCGACAAAAAGGACAACAGCATCAAAAAATTGGGCAATTCCTCATGCTCGTAGGTTCGCATGCCAATTTACTGTCTGCCTCTATGTATTTGACAGGAATGGCACCCAACCCCATTGTTATTGCAAAAGCGAACGCGTTATACCCAGACTTGAATTTCAACTTTATCACATGGTTGACCGGAAGTAGTGTACCGGCTTTATGCTGTGCTGTCGTACTACCATGGTTATTAGCATGGGTTAGTGGGGTGAAATCATTCTCTTTTAAACGTCAAAAGAAGAAAGAGAATAGAGAAAATGAGGGGTATAACGGTCATACTCGAAATAGGAGTAAAGCTAAGAAAAAAACAGACAATGATATGGAAGATGACAGTGACTTGGAAGGAGAACCTGCTGGGTTGGAAACGGTTGTTATAGAAGATGTTGATGACCATGAAATGAAAGGAAAAGGAAAACTAAACCATGATCGGGTCTATTTGAGATCGTCTTTCACGACTGAGGAGCAACAGCAACAAAACAAAGAAAGTGAGCATATTGGTAAAGATATGGATATAGTACAACATGCAATTCAGCAACTGAAGGACATGGGAGCCCTTTCAGTGAAAGAAAAGGTATTAAATGGCTGCTACACACTATGTACAATGTCATATTCATTATGGTTTCCTTGTTTTACTCTTCTATTTTTGATAAAAACAGCAACTTTGCTTCATTTTGCTTCTCTGCCTATCTTTATGGGTTACATCAGCGTATACTCATCTGAATTCTACGCTTGTCGCTTTTATTGGATTGGCGATTCTACTCCACATGCAAACGATACATTGGAAAGATATTGCTGGTCATACTCCCGCTGTAAGATAGTTTCTATAGGAATTAGTTATGCTTTGGTTCTCACGACAGCTAACTTGTGTGCTTTATATTTCATGATTATTCAACACAACATATATATAGTGGGAGACACTATTCTGGTTGGGCGGATTCGTTACTATGGCTGATCAACTATCAGAGACAGGTGCTTCCTCTTATCTCGGCCATCAAATTTCTCTTGGCATTTCGAACTTGAATTTATCGCCTGTTCCTGCTTTAGCTATAGCTTACTTTTTGACGACCTTTTTGTTCTCTTCCTTGAGTGCTCACACAGTCGCATTTGCGGCAACCTTTTTAGATGCGGGTCAAGCTTTGAATGTGACCCATCCAAAAATATTGACTGGATTATTGGCTTATTTTGGCGCCTTAGGCGGCTGTATGGTAAGATTCCATTGAAAGTAACGACACAATTGCACGAGTAGGGGGGTTTTTTTTTTCTAATCTTTTTTTATAATAGACGAATTTTTCGACAGGAAGTGTTGCAATGTATTTTGCAACTGGCTACACGAGCCGTCCTAAATGGTTTTTGATAGGTGGAATGCTAGCCATTGTTTACCTATTTGTCTACTTTACAATAGGTATCGTATGGTGGTCCGTCCTTGGTTGGACTGCTGTAACCGCAACAGCCGCGACCTCGCCAATCATTACTCAACATTGAAGTACGCAAGGGAAGAGGATGAAAAAACATTATGATTCTATTATGTAAAAATAGTAGATACGTAATAGTAAATATTGATAATTAAAGTAATAAATTGAGTATTAGTTGATTTTAGTTTTACATAAAAATAAGAAATGGAATATCTAAGAAATGATCAAAGAAGATGTGAATAGAGAAGAGGACTGAGCTGCTGCTTTTTTGATGCTGTTATTGATCTCATTCAGTAAACCATGATATAGATGATCCATAATTTGCTTATATGCGGTATCTTGATACTTTAGCTTGATACCTAATTTACCGCCTGCCCAGCGTGCTTCATACACTGTTACTTGGAATCTAACATCCTTTTTCATTTTAGTATTATTCAATAATGAATGCTTGCTATTGTTGTTAGCACTTGTTACTGCCACGGCCGATGTTAATGTAGAGGACCAAATCGCATAAGGGTAAATACAGTCTATTGAAAATTTATGCCAGGTAGTTGATAACAATTCAACTTGAAATCGATGGGTCAGGAGTTGAGGCAACAGATGGTTCATGAGATAGTCAGGTGTTGTGCGAAATAATTCATGGTGATTGAAATTAAATTTTCGAGGAAGCGAATTTTCTGATTTACTTGGCTTGATGAGTTTGTGAGGATTAGTATTTGCTGATTGTTGACGAGGGAGCATTTCTTCAGATGAGGGAGGGCTGTTGTCATCATATTCTTCTTTGAAGCTTTGTCTTTGCTGATGCTTCACCAGATTACCAGCAGAGAGCCGGTTATGGATGGGTCGACTGAAGGATAGCTTTCTCCACGGCCCTTTTCGTTGTGTTGATGTCTGTTGTTGTTGTTGTTGTTGTACTACTGGTGGCGGCGATGCTGGTTGCAATTGTTGTATCTGCTTTACTTTAATCCAATTTGATCTCACTTGCGGTAACGGAGACGTGATAATGCTATTTGTGCTATTTGATTTCAAAACGGTATTGTTCTCGTTTTCATTTTCTATGTTATGCCTGTCTCCTTTCTGTGTTGCTTGTTGTTGCTGTTTCTGTACGGTGGCTGATGAAGAGGACGAAGATGAGTTACTTGGATCTGAATTCGGTAATTTTAATCCCATTTTTCTGGCTGCTTGTAAACTCTTTTTTCGAATCAGCGTAGTGGCTGACATACGTTTAATGGTTGGAATAGGGGATCCTGGGGCATTCAGTTCATCCAAAACTCTGATAACAGGACTTTGTTCTGGGCTAAGCCTTTTCTTTTTGGAAACGTCATATGTCCTTCTTCTCTTCAAGGTTGTCGCTATTCCTACTCCTTCTATTTGATTTTGTTGCAGCGGTTGCTGTTGATCCTGTTGTTGTCGTTGTTGCTGCTGTTGTTGTTGATGCTGGTGCCCCAGATAATGATGCCGTGAGGAACGAACCACAGTACTCGCTGATCGATTTAGTCCGCCACTGGCTCCTCGTGGACCTGAAAGATGAGCAGCCGTGGAACTAAATCCAGGATTCAATAATTGCTGCTTTCTTTCCTCTGATTCTTTCCTTTCCTTTACAAGATAATAAATAGATACAAGTGGGTCATACATAGCAGGCAAAGATCGGAAATCATCTTGTTGTTGTTGTTGGAGCGTTTTCTTAGTGTAATAATTGCTTCGACTCGTGGCTGATAAACTGCGTCGCCATTTGGGCGTATTCAACTGCTGTTGATGTTGTTCATCTGACTTTTGATAATTTCTTTCTATTTTTATCGCAGCAGCTCTATATTCAGGAGAAGTGATGATCCTGGACAGCTTTTCAACAATCTCCTCGGGGGTTCCTAAACCAAATCCATCCATACCTTTGACAATATCCATGTCGATCGTCTCTAATGGCTGGCGACGCGGTAGGTAGTTTCTAATGGGTTCCTCGTATCCTTTATTCATCCAAGGGTGAGCTTTTATTCCCGAGATTGTAATTCTTTGCTTAGGATCCACCACGAAGATTTTTGTTAGCAAGTCTAGACAATCTGCAATAAATCAAGCCGAAGTGTGAGTGAGTAGAGCAAGAGACCAATATATGGTTCATAATGACTTCGGCTCCTTTGGCTTTTCCTTACCTTTCCCTAGATAGTCTGGGTAGGATTCTATAATACCTGATTTGATCTTTTCATGTAGAGCAGGTAAATTTGTGTCATCGAAGGGCACTTTGCCACACACCAATACATAAAGTACAACACCAAAACTCCACACATCCACTTCTGGACCAGTATACTGTCTAGCACGTAATAATTCAGGAGCAGCAAAATAAAGTGAACCACAGAACGTATTCAACTGCTGTGTAGGCGAATATACATTGGATAAACCGAAGTCGATGATTTTCAATTGCTCTGATTGTGTAATCAGAATATTTTCAATTTTCAGATCTCTGTGTACAATGGAATTTCTATGACAGTAATCTGAACGCAAGCATATGAAAGAGTTAATCGATTGCATTGGAAGAGACTTATAGGCCGAACTTTACCCAATGCACTAACAATTTGTCTTGCAAATTTTCTTGCTTGCTTCTCTTTCAATCGTCCATGTTTAATAATGTAATCCAGCAATTGTCCACCATCAATGTACTCTAAGAACATGTAATATTTATCACCTTCTGTTATGTATTCTTTCAACTGACAGATGTTTGGATGACGTAGCAAACGCATGATGGCCATTTCTCTTATTGTTCTTTGTTCTCTTTCCTCAGGTGTATCTTTCGGATCCTTTGTCTTTTCATAGATATGATTCGCGCTATTCAGGTCAATCTTTGGCATAATTTTAACTGCATACTGATGAAAAAATTATGAAAGTTATTAACGATTTCTTTGTTTCTGCAAACATTTGTGATAAGGACAAAGTGGTTGTAATAACGAAACAATGAAAGACAAAAATGAAAAAGAGGTCTACAATGCTTTCAATAACAATAAAAATGATAGTTTAAAAAAGAAAGGAGGGATGGTGGAGGGAGGGGGGGTAGTGAAAGGGTTACCTTTTGTTTATGCACATCCGTTAGACATTCAGCCAGCTTTACTTTTCCCATTGAACCGGCTCCAATAGTTTTTCTATAAATAACATAATTTTGGATTTTCATCACTTGATGCCTTTCTGAGTGTTTTCGCATCAGCTCTCCAGCCGCCGCTTGTGCTTGTGCTCGTCCACTGGAATGAGTGGAGGGTATTCTAGCAAGATATTGCTCACTATGACTATGGCCATGACCATAACCTTTATAATTATTGTAATAATGTTGACTCATAACTGTCTCTATTTTAAGTAGGTAGTATTGAAATTATAGTTATTATTTTGTTAAAGAAAATAAACAGAATGATTTGTTAAAACGAAAATTGGGAATTGAAGAAGAAGAGAAAGAGAAAAAAAGGTTAACGAAGAATGAGAAATGTAAGCTCAAGAATAACCAAAAAGAAGGAATCTGCTTTGTTTCCCTGTGTCACAGAACAAGAGAATTGATTTGAAGGAGGGTTTGTGCGGGGCGGACTGCTACTCTTTTCCCGAAAAGCAGACTATAAACTAAAGAGGGGCTGAGAAAAGGTTCAACTATTTCATGATTTATCAAGACTGATTTGGAATCAAAAACGTGGATCCTACACTCTGCATTTTCAACAGTTTAAACATATCTGCTTTTTGTAATTTGGAACTTAAATTGCTGCGTTTAGAGGCGGGCATTGAATTAGTTCATTGCCGTTCGTGGGACCTGAAGATGGTTCCTGAATATGTATTTATTTTTTTTTCTTTTTTATAGCGTTTATATGGACCGTTAGAAAGAAGTACCGCAATAAAGCAAGGTCAAAATATCGATAATAGGCTGGCCGACGTGAGAATCTAAAAAAGGCAGTCAATAGCTTCATATGACGTGCACTTTTCTGCGCAGGCCCTACTAACCCCAATTCTGTCAGGAGACTGAATGCAGCTTCTCAAATGTTCTTCGCAAGGCCAAAATAGCACTTCTGACCTTTGCTTTGGATAAGTTTACAATCCTACAATTGATGACGTCGTGGATTCTTAAAAGCTAGAAAATCTCGACTATCGTGACAATTTGTTTAGTTCGTATAAAACGAGATATTTTTGGTTGTTGCTGAAGATACCCACTCAACATGCCATATAACCTTCATTACAAATACAATCTTAAGCTTTCTTTGGTTCACGTTATTGACTTAGAGTTCTGAAATCTTGCTACTGACAAGGAATGAACCTTTTCTTGTATATTTCGTAATACAAAACACTTTCTTTTGATCGGATTTATTAACCTCAAAGTATCATATTAACTTGCCTTGCAGAAAATAATTAATTGTTCAAACATCAATATGGGAGATATGTCGATTTTATATAAAATTGATCTCTTTGATTGTGCACAATGATTGGCTCTTAAATTGTGCTTTTGTCTTCATTGTCCAAAAAAAAAAAATTTCTGTCCCTTTCTGGTTTTGTTTTTGTTTTATTTTTATTTTTTTTCTCTTTCTCGTCTTCAAGTGTTCTCTTCTCAGTCATCGGCATTCTGTCATTTGTTAAACAAAGGATACCAGAATTAGGTTCAACTTGGAACTGAATTGTCGAATAGAAGAAAGTTTTTTGATTTAGACAAGGATTACAATCATTATATCTATCATTTTGCCTTTTTAATTTAAAATTACTCTTTGCTATTTTCTTTTCACTTCTGCAATTTCTTTCTTCTCCTGCTGATAGATACATACAGGAGGAAAGAGACCTACAGTAAGCCGAAAGAAAAAAGCAACTTAAACTAATTAAGTATTATATAAGCATTGTGTTCTTACATTTACTTTAGTTTAACAGAATGAATAGACAGCCTCAGCATAATCAGCACCGACAGCAGCAAAGTCAACAGGACGAGTATTTATTGAATTTGAATCAAGACAATCTGTTTATGGATTACAGTGGACTTTTATATAATAACAATAGTAGTTTGGCAGTGAACAATTCTAATAATACTATGTATAACCAAAATTCACCATACCCAACAGCAGAAGCTAACAATAACAATAATGCTTCTTTTATACCTTCACCACAACCACCGGTCAGCCATCCACATCTACATCATCAGCATGATACTAATCAAAGGCCTTTTCTTGATATGATGAATATGGATCTGGACGAATTGACAACCCCAACCACAGCATCAAGCTCTATAAATACGCCGTCTTCATTTCAGGGCAACAACACTAATGGTTTTGACGGAATTTCAACTGCTTCTGCTGCACTTAAACCTACCAATCAGCAAATAGGCATGTATAATAACCCCAATCACATATCCAATTACATGCAACCTCCATATAACCAACAAATACAATTCCAGCAACAACAACAACAGCAACAACACCAATTGCACTTACAGCGAGAACAACAAAAACAGCGGCAGTATCAGCAATATCAACATCAGCAACATCAAGGAAATAGTTTGTCTATTCAAACTTCGCCTTCACAATCGCTCCCTCCGCAAAAACAGCAACAAGGACGTATCATGTTTCAACAGCAATCTACAGCAGATAATAACCCTTCTTCACCTTACCTATACCCTCCTATCACTACCTCCACTGCTACTGATGCGAAAAATAAAAGCAAGGCCATGGCCACGACCTCTACGGTCAAGTCAGCTGCTGCTACTACTCCCAAAAGAGGAACGAAGAGATGGAATAGAACTTCTAAAAAGAAAGTCATCTACGATGATGAGGATGCTGACGAAGATGAGGGCTCTGTTATTGAAAATGAGGAAGATGGAGGTTTAGAAGCGACATCAGCTTTAATGGAGGATGTGGATGAATTTAATTATAAGGAAGATGAAGATAACAGTGAAGATGATGCCGATTACCAAGCAAACAAAAAGTATAAATCTAAAAAGAGGCATAAAAAGTCCTCAACAGGAAAGGCAGCAACAGCTATAGCCGAAGCTCCAGTAGTCATGGTGCCAATGCCAACAAAAATTTTCGAAAAGTTGCTAGATTATAGATTGAATCCCGTCACTAACAAACCTGAATTACTTGTGAAATATAAAGTAAGTGATTGCACGCACCCAGTCACTTCGAACTTGAGGCTAGTAAGTTTTATTTATTCTAAACTCTTCCCGCTGTACTGTCTCCTATCATTATGTAGCATTCCAGTTACCATCATGTTGAATGGATACCCAAAGGGGACTTTGAAAAGCAGCATTTGGGCAAATACAGAGTCCAAAAATTCATTTCGAAATGGAATGCCAATAATCAACGTGGGGAGGACTTTTCGGAATATTTAAAGATTGATCGTGTCATTGATGAAGGAGAACTCTATGATCCCGTTACGGATAAAACCATCATTTACTATTTGATTAAATGGAATGGTTTATTTTATGATGCGAGCACGTGGGAACATGAAGATGACGTTCAGAAAATGAATGCTACAAAAATCACTGAATTTCAACGCAACCGTGCCATTCCACAAGAAAAGCTTCCAAACGCACCAAAAAGACCTGATCTATCGCAATTTATAAAATACGAAGCTGGCATGAAGTATAAGCACGACAATCAATTACGGCCATATCAATTGGAAGGTCTGAATTGGCTCCGATTTTGTTACTATCAGTATCGGTCGTGTATTTTGGCAGATGAGATGGGTCTAGGCAAAACAGTGCAATCAGTCGCCTTTTTGAACGACCTCTATTATAAAGTGAATATGCGTGGGCCTTTTTTGGTTGTGGCGCCTTTATCTACGATTCCGCATTGGCAAAGAGCATTTCAGGCATGGACCGATCTCAACGTCATTGATTATCGTGGCAGTGTTTTTGCTCGTCAATTATTGGTAGAGACTGAATTCTATTACAAGGATATGCACAGTCAGCGTATCCCGCACCGGTATAAATTTGATGTCCTTATTACTACCTATGAAATGGCTTTAGCAGGTGTCCAACAACTCAAAGATATACCTTGGCGCTGTGGTGTCTTTGATGAAGCGCATCGATTGAAGAATAAACAGTCTAAAGTAGGCGAAGTGCTAAAGACATTCATCATTGATCACAAATTGCTTCTCACCGGTACACCATTACAGAATAACTTGGACGAGCTCTACAGTTTGTTGAACTTTATGCAACCGGAAGATTTCAGTAACGAAAAAGCATTCTTCGCAGAATATGGCAATTTGCAGACAGCAGCAGAAGTGGAGAAATTGCAAGCCTTGTTGAAGCCAATCATGCTGAGGCGATTCAAGGAAGATGTTGAGAAAACGATCCCCGTCAAAGAAGAAACTGTCATTGAAGTAGAATTGACAGCGCCTCAAAAAAAATGGTATCGCGCTATTTTAGAAAAGAATTTTAGCTTTTTGAAGAAGGGAGCGAAATCCAATAAGGACCTTCCTCATCTCCGAAATATCATGATGCAGTTGAGAAAATGTTGTATACATCCATATTTGTTGGAAGGAGCTGAAGAAGTAATCGTCAATGAAAATCATGCAAAAACTATCCAAGAACAGTTCAAATGTCTTATTGATTCCTCTGGTAAATTGGTGTTGATTGATAAACTGTTACGCAAACTGTTCGAGGGCAACCATAAAGTCTTGATCTTTTCTCAGTTTACGAGCTGTCTGGACATTTTATCTGACTATCTTCGTGGACGTCAATATCCTCATGAACGTATCGATGGTAGTGTCCCTGGTGAACAACGACAGGCTGCCATTGATCGTTTCTCTACTTTACCCATTCAAGAGTCCTTCGTCTTCTTATTGTGTACCAGAGCAGGTGGTGTCGGTATCAATTTAACAGCTGCTGATACATGTATCATCTTTGATAGTGATTGGAATCCTCAGAATGATTTACAAGCTCAAGCACGTTGTCACCGTATCGGTCAAACCAAAGCGGTTCAAGTCTACCGTTTGATCTGTCGTAACACCTATGAAAAGGACATGTTTGATCGGGCTGGCATGAAGCTAGGTCTTGACAAAGCTGTTATGCAACGTATGAACTCTACTCCCTCTTCTACCAATGATGGGCAAAATCAGCAGCATCAACAACAACATCAGCAGCAACAGCAACAGGAATTGATAACAAACAATACTAAAAACAATGAACTGAGTCGTAAAGAAATAGAGGATTTACTGAAACGAGGCGCTTATGGTGCTGTGATGGATGATGAAGATAGTGCTCAGTTTTGCGAAGAAGACATTGATCAGATTTTGGAACGTCGCACTACTGTTATCCGCCATGAGGGTAATGAAAAGGGGTCGATCTTCTCCAAAGCAACATTTGCGACAACCTCAAGTGATCAACAAGATGTCGATTTGGATGATCCTGACTTTTGGGAAAAATGGGCCGATAAAGCTAATATCGACAAATCCACACAAGATGGTGGCATCAATGGTGGCCTCGGTTCAGAGAATGACTTGATTGTTTATGAACCAAGAAAAAGACGTCAAGTACAGCGATTTGGTGCTCGTATGGCAGCCATGGGTTATGATTCAAACAATGATGATGATTCAGATGCGGCCTATGAAGACGAATCCGAACGATCTAGAAAGCGGGATGCGCCTCGACTATGGTCCTTATCTGAAAAGACAAAGTATGAGCGAAAATTGATGATTTATGGTTACGGCGCCTGGAAGCAAATGCAAGCCCATTTTTCACGTCGGTCTGTGAAGGATATGAGAGCTGTGACGAGATGTTTGATCCGTAAAGTAAGACATGTTATTGAACCCAAGACAGAAGAAGACCGTCGGTTGCTGAGGGACTTAGATGGTATATTAAGCAATGATGCAGAAGATGGAATAACAGATGAAGATGAAATGCCTTATACAGACGCGACAAAAAAGCAAATTGCGGAGTTTCGATCTTTCTTGATTCAGGCACCTCAAGAATATGTGGAACATATTGAGAGAAAGGGACGTAATTTTTTATTACGTATTCAAATGCTACACATGGTAAGAGATCGGATCGTACCAAAAGATTGGGAAGAAGCAAAGAAACTAGCTATACCTAAGGTAACTGGATCGCTGCCTTGTGATTGGTGGGGAGAAGCAGAAGATCGCGATTTACTGTTGGGTATATGTAAGCATGGTTATCAACAATATTTAACAATGCGCAAAGATAAAGAATTCTGTTTCTATGGGAAAAAATATGACGATAGCAAAGCAGGCACATTACAAGAAGATGACGATGAACATGGCGAACAACAGCATGATACTTTCGATACGGGCAATCATCACCATCATAACTACCATCACCATTCTAAAGATGATACAGTTTATGTTTGGCCTTCCAAAGCAGATATAGGTATGCGATTACGTCGTATTATAGCAGCCTTTTTACGTGAGCAAGCTATAGAAAAGAAGAAGCAAGAGGAAAATCTCAAGAGAGCAAATGCTGTCCAAACACAGTCAACACGCTCTCGTATTAGAGGAGGTGACCCTGGCAACAGATGGAATAAGCGAAGTCGTGCTGATTTTCTACGTACTGTTTTATCTTTTGGAGTGGAGACGGTGGCAGGTGAGACCAATATTCGCTGGGATAGATTCAGAGAGATTTCAGGCTTAGCAAACAAATCAGATGCAGCTCTCGATCTGCATTATCAACAATTTGTCACTGCCTGCAAAGAAATCATGAAAAAACAGCAAGAGAAAGAACAGCATCAACAACAACCACAGCCACAGGATGGTATGGTAGCCGATAATGATGACAGAAGCCGTGAATCTAGTGAAGAACCTAATGGCGGCGGAGAAGAAGCAAGACTGATTGATACGATTCCTTATGATAAAGCTAGACGTGCCTTAAGACGTATCAAGCAAATGAGAAAAATTCGTGAAGAAGTAGTTGTGCATCCAGAAATTGATACATCTCTTCAAAGAGCTAAGAGAACATCAGGATTGCCATCGTAAGTTTCAATAGTGCTTCTTATAGTATAAACTGTAACTGATCTGTTTGCATACAAATAGATGGTGGGAAGTTCCAGTACATGATAAAGCTTTACTACAAGGAATTTGCAAACATGGCATAGGTCGACACGATCTCATGATTACGGACGCTGATCTTCCTTTCTATAAAATAGTTCAGGACAATGCTGAACAAGGCGAAATACCCGATATAGATCCTCAATCTATTTCAGCTACTTTATTACGTATTAACTGGCCTAAAGAACTTGTCATACAGAGACGTATCGATTCTTTATGTGATCTAATCTTGAATCCCAAACAACCGGCTAGTATTAACGCACGCAGTCGGAAACGTAAATCTCCAGGTAGTAATCTCTCTTTGAACAATGATGGCCCTTCAGGTACAAAAACACCACAAGAATCTTCTCCCAGTGCTACTACAGGAGTCACATCAGGAAAATATCCTCCTCGTCCCATGATGGGAGGAAAGACAATTACACCCGCAATGGCCGCATCGCTTGCTGCCAGACGAACACTACTTAGTGATGTTGAAACAGATAGTGATGAAGAGGATGACGATGCAGAGGTAGACGAAGATGAAATAAAGGAACGACAGCAAAAACGAATGCGATATGAAGCCCACCTTCGAGAGCAGCAGCAACAACAACAGCGAGATCACTCCAGCGATAACACTGTACACTACTCAAGTAATAGACGTATGCCTACAAAGCCATTAAAATCTCAGCATGGCCACAATAGATACCCCTTCAGCCATCAACTGCCAGCTCGGTCTAGGACCCCACCATCGTCATCATCTTTACCGACCGCAGCGAGCGCCTATATGACAAATGGTAACAGTCATTATTACCACTCATCCAGTACAAACCTAGACAGTATTAATAGTGGCAACAGTACACCATCTACACCTAACTCCTCTGGTACGCCTAAAACGTCGTCTGGTAAAAGTACGCCTTCTACAAGCGTAGAAGGAGAAGAGGAGGATGAGGATGATGAAATGGAAGAGGGCGAAATAACCAACTCAGATGATGAAGATTATAAAGATGATAACAATAGAAATAGTGGCAGTGGGTATCATGGTAGTAGCATGTATAATAACCGATCATCTTACGGCTTTTAATTCCTCCCTTTAGCAATTTTTTTATACCTTTCCCTTTAATTCATTAAACTTAAATAAAACCTCGCTTGTTTTGGCTTTTTTTTTAAAAAAAAAACAACAATTCACGCAGTTTGTGTCTCTCTTTATTGTTTTATTGTCGTAACACTGGGTTTCCTACAGCAGTATTTTCTTGACCTATGTGGATGATAGTAGCATCTGTCTCGGATTCATCGAATATATTGATAACATCGCGATGCTGGTTTTGATATTGTCTGGTAGTAGTATTAGTAGTAGCAATAGGTGGTGCTGTTGTAGGGGTATATTGCGGGGTATCCTCGAATGGGTTGGTATATCTAGGTAGGGTTTCGTCATGGTATGGTTGCGTTGTATTATGATTATACAGCTTTTGTAGTAGCACTGGCTTTAATTCTTGCAGTTGACTTGCTGTTAAATTGTCATACATATTTTGCTGCTGTTCTCTTTCAAGTCGATGCTGCCCTGACAGCATATCCTTCTTGGCTTTCATTTTCAATCTTCTTAACCAGCACACATACCCTGTTAATAATATAACCGTCGCTATTAGACTGAATATAACAACAAATAATGTTTGATTTGTGTTTAAAGACATGAAAATAGTGCTTCAAAAAAGTATGCAATTAAAGATTAAACAAAAGAAACAAAAGGTACAAAAGTGTGGGCCGGTAATGAAGAACTGCCTAATTGTCAATATAAAATTCCTCTATTTAAATTGCTTACTTGCTGTACTACGGGCCACCAACCAAATAGAGCTATGCATCATGTGTAAAACTTTAGTTTACGCCTTCTCCTTATTTTGAAGACGGTCCTCTCAGCCTACCAACAAGCGTTTGTCGTGCCTTTGTCATATCATTATCGTATCATTAATGATAAGTCATTGTAATTGATTCTGGGTGTTGACCGCTATTGCAACAGTTTTAATGAACCACCCATTGAGCAACAAACATGGACATTTTCAGTTGAGGGGGTCCCCCTATGCTTTGGGCTGTCATAGCCAATCATTTCCGGCCGATGAAAAAAAGGCTAATGAGAAAGAAAAAAAGCTAGAGATAAGAATAATTACAGCTGCCATATTGTTCCCTTTGTCATTTCTGTAAACACTATCTGTTCGGACTGATAAACACCTGCATTCTCTGCGTATCAATTACTTAAAGTATAACACTCAAATGTCTCGTAAGAATAATGACAGGAAGTCTAGCCTGAGCCTTGCGGAGATGATGCATACATTGAAGGATAAAAAAAGCGTCGTTTTGAACAAAAAAGTCCGGTTAAAAAGTAAGTTTGAGAAACTCATCACATTCTAACTTCAGGTCTACTTATATGAACAATGTCATGCTTTACTTATGTAGACATTGTAGAAATGAACGCGGAAGTAGCTTTACACCCTTTTCAGAATTTTGAGTCAATTTGCTCTATAAACTTTTACCATAGGGCCAATAGACACTATCCAGCATGATTAAAACGTCGACCAAACTGTGTCATTTCATTTTTATCTTTGTTAGAAGGAAATAAAAGAAGGAAGAAAGAGCTCGTAAATCCGAATTGCTGTAGCAGAGAATAAATGATGAAGACATTAAGGTAAATTATCTTGCAAAAGTCAAAGACTTTGTATTCTGTACTTTATTTCCAGCTCATCCATGAAAATCAATACGCAAATGCAATTAGATGAACACCAAATCCAGCAAATATGGCGGTATTTTTGACGTTGTTGTTTATCAGTTCTTACAGGTCTTGAATTTGGTTTGCTGAGAAGAGAAATCTTGACATGAAGCCTTCGGCGGTTGATTGAGGCCCTTCTGCTAGGCAGATTCAATCAATAACAAAGAAACAGTTGCTGTAATTACAATCCAGGTTTATTTACAGTTTAATTCCAGAGTGCCATCAAAAATATGTAAAGACAGTACTAAAAAAAAGATGTTTGGATTGAAGGCATAGGGGTTTTTTCGTCCTCATTATTTCTACATATGGATTCTGGCCTTCAAAAAATTTTTGCAGTTGTGCCTGAAAATGCACTTTCCAAAAATGAATTTTCTCACTTTGGATCAAATTACTGTTGCAGGTCGCCTATTGAATTTATAAATTGAACCTGATCTGTTCAGGGGATTTTGATAGAAGAGGGTACTACAAAATTTTCAACCAATTTTGAGCTTATCACCTTTCGGCAGCGATGATCCTGGTCTTTCCTCATTACTTATTCAGTGATCTAATACAGAGCGTTTGTCCTTTAGTTTAACTATGGAGTCGAGGTAAAATGTAGTTGTGAAACATTTAGAATAGTGATACAGTAAGTAAAGACATTCGCTACTAAGAGATTGTTTATAGAACTTCATGGCGAAGTGTAAATTTATTATCTGATTCTTGAATAAAGCTTTGGATCCGCCTGGTGTACAAGTAGTTATGGTTTGTATACCTGCTCTGGAATGCATACACATATTCATTGTCAGTTCAAATTAGCAAATTCTATTGAATTATACGATCGCACCACTAATTGTATAATTTTAGTCCCTTGAGATCATTTCAACAAAGAAGGAATTGGTAATACAAAGGCGTAATATACAAAAGCGCGTTGAGAAGCATTTCAAAAAAGCATTCTTGCAGCATATTTTAGTTGCTTGCTTTTGAATTTGATTTTTCAATTTATGCGAGTTTCGAAAGCAGCAACGAGACGGTTTATATGAGCTATTCTTTAGGTGCGTTGAACCGTTGTTTCATGTGCCTAACTTTGAAATGTGATATTTTACATTGAAGACATGCATAAAGATGTGTTAATTAGGAATAATAAGCGTCATATTAAGACAGCAAGTACTTCAACGTTTGAATCTCTTCATGTATCACACATACTTGGTCAGCATTAATTTCAGTATTAGAAGCCAAAGAGACAAAAAAAAAAAAAAAAAAAAAAAACAGTTTTATGTCAAAAGCAAAATAAAAGAACTCAATTGACGAACATCACGACAAGCAACCTTTGGTTAGTATATAAGTGTTCATATAGCGTAACATCTTTTTAAGCCTAATCAGTTGGTTGAATAACGCCAATATCAGCCAGAATTCTGTGAATTTCAGTTAAAAAAGTATTCCACGATAATTTGTAGCCATATGTCCTAGTAAGAAAGGACTACTTACATAAGGATAGGGAGGCTTGTCTCGTTGACTGTTTAGATGTCGCGTGACAAGAAGAAAATTTTGTTATGAAAAGCCCTCTTCTGTCTTCTCTATGAAGTTCTCTTTTTTTTTCTTCTTTTTTATGCATCAATGGCCATCGTTTACTTATAACCTCCGTAACGCTTGCTCCTTGGCTTTGGCAGCAGTCTAATACATACTATGTTCTTTATTCCCATTAATCTTGTTCTTGATTGACACCGGCAGACCATAGGACAGTTTACTGGGCCTTGTAAATCCCTCTGTCGTTAGTGTTGGGGTTGAGCGGTCATCTGCTGTGTTCTGGGATCCTAACATTGAAGGACTGCGGTAGATTATTTGTCAATGGCCTTTCACACCTTACCCTTCTTTTTTGTTTCCTCTCACGTACCACTTGTTTATCAAGAGTTGTTTTGTCTGTCTGAAGCTTTAATCATAATCGAGAAGCGCTTGGCGAGAAGGGCAAACCGAACACCTGCTTTTGCAGAGTACCTTTTATGACCTAGCTTAGGGCTTCAACTTTTATAATCCAAGCTTCTTCACGTTCCTAGTTTTCTTCTTTCGAGCAAGTGTTACATTTTGTAAGGATTATGAGAAACCTCAGGCCAAGATTTCCATACCCGCTTATCTAGTTTAACTGGTTAAAACAAGAGTAATTTATTTTACTCTTATTCAGGTTCGAGTCCTGGGATAAGCTAATCTAGTGCATATTCCTTTTTACAATAGTTTCATTTCTGCCTGTCTGTCTGTCTTTCTTCCGTTCCATCAAGAAAGTAATGGAGCCAGCTGGTGCAATTATTTGAAAAACCTGTAGATTCACAAAATTGAACAAAGACACAAGCATATACTCTCAATTAATCATTGACTATGAGAGTCATGTTTTAGGAATATTACCGTAAATTGAAGCTTAAGCAAGCAAGCAAAGTAACAATTTCCTTTCGAAAAATCGAATGGAACATACTGATGCGGTTTTGTACTGGACGGCATTACATCTGATTAAAGGTATAACGGGAAAGATGAATATCTTCGAAAATTCAGAAACAGTATTTTTCATTTAGATTATCCGATATTCTAACAGCCAAAATGCTTCATCTGATGTCAACGGACAGTAAAACTCTTTTGTGCAACACGCGTTGGCATTAACGGAAGTTCTTTGAAAAATTTAAACTGTAGGCATGTGTCAAATATAGGGGAGGGGGAAGGGTGCTAAAAAACCTTTTTGGTAGTCAATAAAGGAAAAAGGCAGTAGAGAAGGGTGTCAATAAACCTTACAATTGGTGAAAAAAGATTGGAGTACGTGTTTTAGACATGATTATCATGAGTTCAAGAGGAGAAGGGAACAAGAATCTTATGGTAATTACTATTAGCATATCTTGTTCTCGCTCTACATGAGACACGACAATAAAAAGTTTTGGCCGCCAAAGTGATAAAAACGCCAATAACATTTTCAGAGACTTATCAATATTAAACAACATAAAATAGATGGTTGTTTCTTCTTCCAGCAGAGGAGAGTCATTGAATTTGTGGACACGGTGTTAATGAAAAATATGTCAGACTTCTGTAGGTGTATAAGCTTCAGATATAGGATAAATTTCTTTTAGTGCACTGTGGCCAATGGAAACGTATGGTTATTAATCGGTACTGATATTGTATTTTGTTTGATATTTGGAAGGGAAGTGTTATGGGCTCACCAAGGGCCTTGGTAGTAGAAAGTGTGATATTTGCATATTTTGAGCCTGCAGTGCCAGTGGATGAACTTAAAGATGTGATATAATCCACAGCAGCTTTTGCTGTTACTAAAAGGGTAGCATAGGTCCCGGTCTTTTCAGTAACAGGGGGGGGGGAGATGGGGCCGTATTTGTTAGTTGTAGAATGAATATTGACATTATTAATTGGGATGGAGCTACTGATAATTGAACTCAAAGCTTCATATTTATAATAGCGTCCGTTATTACTTTGCACGTTGATTTCAAACGATGGTCCATTTTCTGTGTATGTCCTTTCGGTTCGAATTCGACAGCGTCAACTTTGAATACGAATATGGACTTAGTTGCTGAAAAATCTTCAAGCAAACCTGGAGGATTGACAGCCACAGTCGGAGTAGCGCTTACTTTTGCTAATTTAGCGTGTTTCCACATTTTTTGTATTCATTTTGGCAGATGCACTCGCTTCATCTCATGCATGGCTGTATTTGGGGCGTTGTTTTTTTTCTTATTCCTCTCAATGAAAAACAACATTTTGGTTCGAGGCATGGCACACTCTTCTTAGTATTGGCGCGGATCTATCTCTGTTTTGGAGTACAATAGGAAGATACTTCAAAAAAAGGTTATAGAAAGCTTCTGTTTTTGTTCTGTATCCGCTTATTGCAGTCACTAACGTTGTGCTCTTCTGTCAGCGCTTAGTAAGTTTAAAGCAAAAGCAACTAAGCATTCTAAGATTAGGCATTCAACAATTCGAATTTCACCGGGACGCTCTTTGACCAATAGGCGTGATAAGCAAAGGAATTGGAAACGTGTAAAACCGCACGCATGAGCAATTTGAAACAGATAGATTGCTTACAAATTGTGAGATACAGGCCTTCTGTTCATATTATCACGCATACTATCTGGCCCTGATCGACAATCTTTTACTATCAATGAAACAACCGTATGAGTCACGAGGAGCATTTTGTTGACATATCCATATTGGTACATCGTTCTTCTATTGCAAATAATGTTCAAACGCGCTTATTTTTCAACAGAGCAATGGGATCTCTGTAAGGACGGAGTAGTATGAAAACAACTTGGTTTAACAAAAACCTCTCTCCGCCCTTTGGCCATATCGAATAGCAGCAATCATTGTGTACCCATGATAGCTTGTAATATATTTAATGATTGCCTAATTGATAACACATGCAAATAACAAGAGTAAACTCGTCATCTGCAATTGCCAAAGTCGTCACGTAAAAGAAACTGACCTAATGTCAAGACCTGTTCATAGGTGCAGACAGCATAATTCATTCTAGTATCAGAAATGGTTAGGTATTGAGAAGGCTGTAGTTGAAAATTTTTTGGCTTTAGCGTAGAATGTTGATTGCTGCAAAAATCACGAATTATCAGCCAATAGGTATTAGGAACAGAAGACTTGATATTTCCCATTTTAGAAAAAGGACGCTAAATATGAAACCGATTTTTTAAATGAAAAAAAAAAAAAAAAAAATGTGGAGAGAGAAGAGAGACAAGTCAAATGTCAAAAATCAATCACATCGATCGATGTAACCATATAACTGATGGGAAGAGATAGAAATCCCTCTCAATTATTTTGTACTTTCACGTTAAAGGTAACAACGATTAGAAACCATTAAGTTTTTACCAAGCAGAATCGATTTGTTCTCACAGTCCAATTTGACAAGGCGACACGCTTTGAAGTCAACAGTTGAAGAAAGAGTCATGGAGGTCTCGAGGTTGATGACTCGCAAGTGAAGTGCCCATTTTTGTTGATATGGTAATCACAGTTTTTCCGCATAGACAGTATCATTAGCGTAAAAATCGAACTGGGATACTACGTAAGAAATAGAGTATGGATTCTTTCAACATTGCGAGCTTGAGAGATTTATAAGGTGTTGACTGTCACAATAAAGGCTTAATAATATCATATGAAAAATCTCTCTTTCTTATTAATTGGCTTCTATGCGTTGAGTAAGCCTGTTCTTGGCAAAAAAAGAAGAGTGACCTTTTGCCTTCTAAGACAGGAGACATTGATAACCCTGCTATCAATCATATATCGTAGAAGCTCACGTTAATTTACTTGTAGCAATCCACTTCTATTATCAAGATGGGCTAGATTCCTGAGATCAATTTTTAATACGGAGCGATAATACGATCGTTCATTGTAACCCAATCGAGAAAAATGCGACTTCGATACGATGGTTGCAACTGTCCAACGCATTTCGCTTAGGATGGATAAAGAAAATCCATTGAATAAAATCCATGACAAAACATGTATAGTTGCTTATTAAGCATGCAGTCCATCCTTTTGCCATCCCCAACATTAAGACGAAATTGAATAAACGGTTTTTCAGTTGTTATACACCTCTTTATATAGTATTCATATGAACATGAAAGAACCATGGTTTTTTTTTTAAAATTAATTTTTAATGATGCAGTAACACTAGCAGTAATCCGATTCGGATCTTTGCTGATTCATCTTCTATTTAGACACCATATCTGCTGTATAATTTTACTTTGGTTTCGTACCTTAAAAGCAATTTAAAAGCTGGGTTAGAACAAAAAAGTTAGATCGAATCCACAGCATATGAGCTTTTCCTTGATTTCACATTTTGAGTAATCATTCCATCATGATTCTTTTTGTGAGGCATCTAAGCTTTTTGAAAAAAAAAAAAAAACAACAAAAAAACTTTATTCTAAGAAGCTTTGTACCCGCAAGAACCATAGAATGTTGAGAGTTCAGGTTACCTTAAATTTTGTCCTCAAATGCTATCATGATCTTCTCAAAAATGGTTTGTATCTTGCATAACATTTGCTGGAGTTCATTTAAGCTTAAACGGCATTTTACTTGGGAAAACTCGACCAATGAAAGTTGAAAGATAGACGTATTCTTGAACAGAAATTCTTTTTGCTGATCTAGCCTTGACTTTTTAATTATTGCTGTGGCAATGACAGGAACATTGCTGCTAGTATTGTAGAATAATAAGAATAAATGGAAGTTTCACGTACCTAAGTTCTTTTGTTTCCTAAAAACATGGTCAATTTCATCATTAGACCGTAAAGAAAAATAAAATAACTTTTTTGAGTTGTTTACACAGACGTTACTGACCCTTATTTTTTTTTTCTTCTTGTTTCTTTTGCCTGTGATATTGCTTGCGTTCACGAATAAAAAGGGGCCAATGATTTCAGATAATGCATGGGTTCCTCACTATTGCAATAAAGGCAAAAACGCAAAAAAAAAAAAAAAAAAAAAAAAAAAAATGAGCGCATTGACATATTGTAGAAGTGTTTATACTCTTACAACAACGTTTTTGATCATGGGGCCCTCCATCAATACCTGTCAAATGCATGAGAACAATAACTCTAAAGCAAGCTTATTGTAACCCCTTTTCAGCTCTTTTGTCCAACCTTTGAGTGCACAGACTTTCGTAATTCTTCAGAATTCAAAAAAAAAAGTGTATTTAGCTGGTGAGACAAAAATTTTTGAAGCTCATCAATGCAACGAATGCCCTTTGACAGGTCTCAATTTGCCCTGGACTAGCATTGAGAAAATCCTACCTAAACCTTTTTCTGTTTGCAGTCTGTTTCTTCAAGTTATGTTTCACTCGTTACTTTTTTTGCCCGATCATAGAATAAAAAAGTAGCATAAAAATAAAAAAACTGTCGATAGCCCGTTCATACTTTTTTTTTTCTTTCTTTTTTTATCGCAATTTATCTTTTACCTACTCGCTTATCAATAGTACAATCCCTCGTTATATCTACAACCCCACACCTTCGATTATATATTGTTCAATCTTTACATCATTACATATGCCCAACAGAAGAAGATCATCCGTTTCGAATGGTACCAGAGCCCCCGCTAAGTTGTTCAAATGTACAGGCTTTGGTAATTGTAATATGGTTTTCACCAGAAGCGAGCATTTAGCTCGGCACCAGCGAAAGCATACTGGAGAGGTACATTTAATCTGTTTCTCCGCATTTGAAAATTTCCATGGTCGGATTTACTAACCTCGGTATATTAATTATCCAATTAGAAACCCTATAAGTGTATCGTACCTGGATGCGAACGCATGTTTAGCAGATTCGATAATATGATGCAGCACACCCAAACACACGACAAGAATAAAAAGCTAAAAGCACACAGTCATTCACAGAAATTTAGCCAGAACAATGGATTGAAAGAGCAACAGCAAAGACATTCGACGGGTAGTTACTCCATGTCTAACAGTAGGAACTCACAATTCCTCTCGCCTTCATCCATCATGACCAATTCAGTACCATCCCGCGCTGAGCGTCCTCGCTCCATGATAGATAGTAAGATTTTACCTTTACCCAATACTAGCAGAGCTCTTATGCCCACCGAATCTTCATTCCCTCATGTTTTATATCAAGAGCACTCCTCTTATTCAGCTATAAAGCAGCCCAGCAATCGCTTTTCATGGCCATTGAGAAGGGACGCTCATCCTTATCCCCAACATCAACCTAATACTGGCCCTTACCTTGATCCTTATTCGCACATATCGCAACATCCACCATCCTATTGTCACCCTTCCTCTTCCTCTACTTCGCATCCTTTAAACGACTTACATGCTCGTCGACTGTCATCTGCCTCCACAAATTCTAGCGAATCCACCCTTCCTTCACCTATTTCTTCTACTTCTCTACCACCACCTAAAGATGTTGGTACTCAGACGGCCAGGCGAAGAATTTCCATCGACGATCTTCGATTGCCTATTGAAAGTATCAAGAATATCCATTTGAGTGAAACCACCGATCCCAATGCTCATTCGCTCAACAAATCTCACCAATACGAGCATCTTATCAATTCTCATAACACCAAATCCACCAACAACAACAATCAGAATCAACAACAAACTGTAGATATCACAACAGACGAATTAGAAGCTTTGGAGGGTTTTGGCAAATTTCACTCTACTTCCGTCATTGCTTCTAACAATCCTGGTAAGCTTCTCTCTTTTATATGACATCAAGAAACACATACCTTCCTTGAAACTTGAAAGTAACTTTTTTTTTTTTTACTACAATACGTAGAATTGTCTCCATCGCCTGTTCTACATACTGATAGCCCTAATATAGCTTCCCAGGTTTGTGCTATGCGACAACGTGTCATGTCTTTGAACGAATCTTTTCAAAGACGTTAGCAAAGACCAAATAGTTTCTGCCTCTTACCCTCTCTGTTAATTTATAATGTATAATTATCTATCCTACTCTCAATTTCTTTTACAACAAAAAAAGAAAAAAAAAAAGAGCAATTATTTTGTCTATTTTAGTTAGCCCCAGCTTATTTTTATACATATCTATAGATATACATAACCTTATCAATAGCCTAGCATATTTACTATCATTGTTTTTATTATATACAATAAAAGAAAAGTACGAAATACCTTATCTAGCATATTTATTCACTTCTTACACTGAGTTTTCTACTAATAATAGCACCAAGATAGTTCAAATATATCTTCCTGTTCATAGAGACAACATCTTTAAGCATGCTAACTATTTGTCTCCTTTAAGTTGGATTACTTGAAAAGACAACCCGTTTTATCTTTATCACGATTATTGCAAAAGTGAAGTAAACAGATTATGATATGTGTAAATAACATTTATTCATAACGATATATACAGAAAAAGAACACATAGCTATTGGCACTAGATATTGTAGCTGCCGCAATGGCCGGCCCGTGTGTTTGCTACATCAACGCGCGCATTGTAAGAGCAGAAAAGATGTAGCAACTTGTACTATTTTCTGCCTATTGTTCCAATCTGTATTTGCGAGCGATTTCACGGACATAGCACAACTGCCAACAAATGTAAATTGCTGTAAACTTCTCTGCTACGAAAAAGCGGATTCACTTGGTGGTTCGATAACTTTTTTTTCAACAGATTATTCTATAAACAAGCGATGCATCATACTATGGATTCAGTATATACAATAGCTTTGCTTTATGCTATAACAAGGTATTTTCGTATTATGAGGATGAAAATGCATTCAACCTATTATCAATGGCTTAGTTTCTCGTTATCTAACAAATGGTCTGGAGCGCAAGATGGTTCTGTATCAAACAGCATGAGTATAAAAAGTCACATTTAAGGAGAGGCAAAAGCATAAACGATCAGTTGATCCTACCGTGATTGATGAAACGTACAGAATTGTACGCGTAATTTAAGGGGAAATAAATACCTTAAAAGTTTCAAATCAAATCTGTTTCAGGAGTTATTTTCTTTCACTCATTATTTTATTTTCAAGTCTTTTATATTTTTTTAGTTGCTTACTACTTTCCAGTTTATTCAACAACGATGTCTCATCAGAGAAAGATCGTATTTCTCATCGATGAGCATTCAATTCTCAGCGCTTATGACGGATTGTATCAGATCAGAAGGGCAATGATGCGCATCTTACTTTACTATTGTCAGCTCTATAATTTACAATCCACTGATGGATCCCTTGTATGGAGCTACCGCTTTTTCAGCACCCAAACGCGATATTACAACTGTACCATGCGTCACTTCTATACAGTCGATATGGAAGGCTTTGAAGAACTAAACAATGAATACCAACTTAGAAAAACAGAACGCGAAGGAATGCACTCAAACAATACATATCGTAACAACAGCACTAGCCTACATTTTCCCTGCAAAAAGATATTAGAAGTTCTTAAGGAATCTCTGGGTGACTTTCAATGGGATACTGATATGGATGGGTCTACCGCGCAGTATATGTTCCTTATTACTGCTTCACCAAATAATAAAAGAAGCTTGCTGGCCTATTTCGATAAAGCGTTTACAACAGAAGAAACCGACGAGTTACTACAGAAGCCAAGTATCCTGCCCGTCTTTAATAATCACTTATTCGAAGAATTCGCGTCCGATTTGAAAAAGACATTGTATAATGACTTTAAAAGGCGAAATTTGATATTAAGCATCATTGACACTGATTACAAGCTGGAAGAATATCCTGATCAAACGCCGGATTGGTTAGAAGTACAGATTGAAAACGGATTAAAGCATGTTGCAGAAAACTTTAACGGACAATACATTCTTCTCCAAGAAATCATGCGTCCACATGGCATGTATGGCCATTCTTTTTATGCAGAACTTGACAATATCTTGCCTACTGGTTTACCCCATGACTGGGCAAACGATAATGTGTCAAGCAGACGCAGCACTGCTGGTGGTACCACATGTGATAGCGTTAATGCCACCGATCAACTTTGGACTGGTACGCTTACCCTCAAGTCAGGAAAATCCATAGGTATATTTGAACTTTTGCCTTTTTCGCGAAACCAACAGTACAAAACTATGTGGTATGACGACTATGCAGAACTAAGGATTGTTGACACATACCATATGAGAGAATTCCCTCATTCATGGTTATTGGACGTTGATGAAGAAGAACACAACAAGGGGCCTTATGCTTCCCAGTTTATGCTGGCTTTTAATGAGGGAGAGACCCCTGAGGTCTTTGATGCTGTTTTAGATGAATGTCACTATCAACAGTCGGTGCTTATTGCTGAAATGGTACCTTTGGAGGGAAGAGGGATTCTTCCACCGATCTTTTTCGTTATAGAACCTTTATCTCGTATGACGGCTACTGCCCGGCAACTCAATTTGACAGCCTTACCCTCCCATCAACGCTCTTGTGAATACGAAGATGCTGACACTGATGACGAAGAAGCTGAAGAACAAATGGTTCTGTTTATAGATGAAGATTACCCACTCGGATCGTACCTTTCCATAGATAATTTGTCAAATGTAACAACACTTGGTGGCCCGGCTCCAAGTAAAGACGCTGTCAAATGGAATTTGGAAGCTCCTGAATGTCTAAAACAATGGTATGCTGCAAAAAAAGCGCAGACATTGAAGAGCCAAAATGAGTTGGAAGCCGCCGATGATGAAACCGATTCAGACGCCGAAGTTTTTGCGCTACCTAAAGATATACCTTCCTTTATTGAAAGTCTCAAAGATTATTATTATAAATGCTTGTATATGAAAGAGGTACAGTATCAAGCAGCAAAGAATGAAACAGTGTTGCTATACCCAGTTACTGACTTAACTTCTGCTTCGTCTATATAGTTTACGTTGATGGAATTTCTACATTTGACAAATGAATTCGTCGTTCATTTATTGAAGAAAGGGCATCAGGCCGCAGAAATTGCAAATTCGATAGAACAATCATTAGCGTCAAATAACACGGAGAGGTTGAAAGAAACCTATAAAGTCAACGAGAATTACGTGCTTGAGACACTTATTGACAACCCTAAAGCTACTATATCGTTGCAAGAAGATAGTATTATCCGAGAATGGTGGTCAGATGTGATGTCAACAGAACGCGAAATAAAGTATGCGGACAATTGTTGGATGTATTTAAGGATACGCGAGTAAGTTGGCTATTCATAATAGTGTCAGTAACGAAAGCTGAGCTAGAGACATTTGCATAACTTATACTTTTCTTGTAGTATCATGCTTCAGATTGTGCTCCATTTGTTCATTATCAGATTGACAAAAGATATTACCAGTGAAGAAATCCTTGAGGAGAAATACGATCTTATCGAAGCATTCCTATCAAACATTACAGGGCACTTTCTGGTCCACAAGAAGGCTGAACTTGACGATGAAAATGACGAGGATAATGACCCTATGGATCTAACTTATGATGTTTATGACGATGTTGAGTTCGTTGAAATAGTTACACCATAGTAAGTTACTCTTCTTTTCCAAATGCTAACCAACCATCAAACCTAACACATATATGTCATCTAAGTTTTGAGCAGAATCTGCCAGAGTTAATAGGGTCCTTAAGAGAAACTGCTGGACTTGATGTTATAAAGGTTAAGTTGCGGTCTCTCGAAGAATTAGAAGAAGCGTATCGTCGTGCTCAAGAAAAAGCGCTTCAGGAGAAAGAAATCCAGACTGTAGAAGTAAAAGAAGTATATTCTATGTCCCCCGAAAACCTGGATACATACTCCTCGCCTACTGTTACCTCTCCTCCGCAATATACCAACACCGAACATGGTAAGTGAGCGTCGAACAAAGATTAGTATGCAGTTCTAATTATTGACATTTTGCTACCTTATACTTCCAGTTCCTCCTATATCTTTAAAAAGAAAGTATTCCGAAGTTGAAACTGAGCCATCGAAAAATCAAGAAGAATCTACGGATACTACTCCCGAAAAAACAAAGCGAGCTCGGCGAACAGATCCCGGAGCATTATTCCCTGCAACCGCATTAGGCCACAAGCCATCTCCTTCTAATTCTTTAAAAATAAAGCATTCCCAAACTGAAAGTGAACAATCAAAAAATGGTGAAGCATCTACGGGTTCTAGTCGTGAAAGAACAAAACGAACGCGACAATCAGATTCTCGAGCACTTTTGAATGCAGCCGCATTAAGCCAGAAGCCAGAGATAAACAGATCGAACAGTCTGCTTGAATCACTTAGCAAACGGCAAATGACCATTGCTCCAGGTGTGAGTTCGAGACTTGAGCAATACCGTGGTGAAGCAGCCAGAGAGGCTATAGACAAAGTCAATCGATCCAAAGTGAATGGCGTGCCCACAATGAAACGTGTTGGAAGCTTCATGGTTAGTAACCGACCTCCTCCTAAAATACCTACTACTCATACCCGACAGGCAAATTCTGAATATGTTAAGGTTCGCCGAGATACAACTTATAACCCTAACCCAGATGATACCCCAAGGACCTCCTTCAGTCGCTTTTTCAATACAAATTTTCACGAGGAATATGCAGATTCACCTAGCAGCCGTACAGACCGAACAGGGTCGGATGACACGGGTTCTGGTGTATTGTACAACTCGTATGGTAGAAGCAGTACGCTTTTAACCGTTGACGACGAGAAAAGTGAAGCTGCAGGCCGAGCTTTTTTTAACAGAGCTAGTGGAGAAGAATCCTCGACACCCACCGTTGAAAAATCAGCAATAGACAGCTGGTTTGCTGATGATAGTGACGATGATGACGAGAAAAGTAAAGCTGTAGGTCGAGCTTTTCTTAACAGAGCTAGTGCAGAAGAATCCTCGACACCCACCGTTGAAAAATCAGCAATAGACAGCTGGTTTGCTGATGATAGTGACGATGATGACGAGAAAAGTAAAGCTGCAGGTCGAGCTTCTCTTAACAGAGCTAATAAAGAAGAATCCTCGACACCCACCGTTGAAAAATCAGCAATAGATAGCTGGTTTGCTGATGATAGTGACGATGATGACGAAAAAGATGAAGAGTGATCCAACAATACCAACAGTTACGCAATGCTATACCCTTTGGATAAATGCATTTGTAAAAATAACATTAAATGTATTTGTAATAATAACACTAAATGCATTTGTAATAATAAAAATAAATGCTTTTGTAATAAAATAATCGAAACAGAAAAGTTCTGCATTATGAAGATTATATGCTTCTCAGTCGAAGGATTAATCAAATGCCTAAGGAGTATATCCATGTGTAGATGTATGGTAATCATTACAATTAGTCTTATTTTTGGATATAAAATAGATATACACAGAACAAGATGAAACTAAGAAAAAAAAAAAAGAGTTAACAGATACCATGATTCAATCAAGAATTTATGCAAGCGTAGAAGTGAATCTTGAAAAGCTATAGTGCAAGGGTGAAATTAGTACAAAGGACTAAAATTGAGGATAAAGGCACGCACTTTTCTACTTTATAAAATTAACTGTCAAGTTTGCCTATCTGGCTTTTACCTTAGAACTTTTATTACACATATCAATACAAAAAGATAAAACATATGGCTGTATATCTGTATTGTTCTGGTAGTGCGATATTTTCAAGCGAAAAGTCACTGTTCAAATTATACAAAGGCCATCTGAATAACTAATTCTTGTTTCTTTTCTATTGGGCTTCTTCCAAGACGAAGTTTCATTTAGGTGCTAATTGTCAGACACAAAAAGGATTATCAAAGACACAGAAGAGTGAGAAGTGTTTTCCTCGTCGTATAAAAAACGTACAAAAGAAGCTCAGTAATATATCCAAACACGAAATAAAACCATCATTTAATCTTAGAATAGCAGTATGTCCTAATCATTTTTTTCTTCTTTTTACGGAAGTCCCGAAATTTCATTATGCGAAAAGATAAAGGAAGCTTCACCGTTTGAGCTATTTACTTTGACTTCTCTCCCATCAGGAAGTAGTTTTCAAAAGTGTGATGTCACTTTATACCAGTCTATCTCAACTGCCATCAGAATTATTATTACGGATCATAGACTTCATTCCTGACATAATAGATAAATGCCACTTAACACAGACTTGCAAACAGTTCAATCGTTTGCTAAGTACAAATGCGATTTGCTGGAAATGGTTAGATTTCTCGGCTTTCGAGTGCAAAAAAGTGACTAACAGTCAAGTTTTAACATTTTTGAAAAGTAACAATATATTGTTACTTACGCCAACAACTGCGTTAACACCTCCAGATCTTGCATCCATAACAACGAACAGTGTGATTACAATGCTCGACTTAAGTGGCTGTTCATATTTGAGTGAAGAATTGATTATGAAACTGTGCCAGTCCCTTTATAATCTGCAACACCTCATTTTAGATGGGTATAAATCAAACAAGAGCAATTATTCAAAAACTCTGGATACACTTTGTAAGAACAACCTCGAAATTATTCGAGACCATGTCTATTCAGCAGCTCCTTTGCTAAACCTCAAATGCAAACTGATGGAACCTTCCAATAGAGGAACGAGGCTGAACATCAGTTTCACACTATTATCAACCATATTATGCCATGGCTTGCTTAATATCAAGACGTTATCGCTACAATACCAAGATTTAACGTCGTCATCATTCTCAAATCCATTCGAAAATAGCAGCAATGAGAACATTAACCGACCAGGTTTAAACTACCAAAGTAACAATAGTATCTCTTATTTAGATATTTCTTCATGTCATATCCGTCAACCAGCATTACAGTCATTACTGCGACAAATGGGAAGGAATGTTAAATCACTAAAACTTCTGAATATTGAGTTGAACAATTTGACTTGGCTATGCATTGGACAGTATTGTAAAGGTCTAAATACCCTGCATGTATCTTGCTTTGAGCCAGCATCTGTGCAGATCATTCAACGTGTATTGGTTTCGCTAACGTTACTTGATGATCTTCGAATAACCAACTTTAAATCACCTGATTTGATGAACCCCATCATACAAGTACTCAACGCGACCAGGTTTAGAAAGTTGGACTTGTCCCCGAAATTAGTCATATATCCAAATCCCAATTACAGACATCGTGATGGCAGCACCTCATCTTTTCCTTCTTCTTCACCATCGTCGCTATATCAGCCTCAATTCAAAACAGCAACGTCCTTTTTTGTCCTCTCGAATGAATCTGTTCAAATTTTGCGGACGTTCTCTCAACTTGTTGAGTTACGTTTATGCTACCCTGTCATTTCAGCAAAACAATTCAATGGTATCATCTCGATTTTATCGCCACACTTAAAAATACTCGAATTAAGGCTCTCTTCAATGCAAGTGTCACCCATCAATAGGGTTATTCCGTATGATGCGTCTTCAACGATACCCGAAGACTTTCTGAGAGGGTTAAATTCTTGTCAGAAATTAGAAGAACTTTCTCTTTTTTCTGTGCATGTTACTAATGATGAAATACAAAATCTATTCATCGCAAGTACATCTTCTTTGAGGTCGACTCTACAATATCTAATAATCAATGAAGGAGGTACTTTTATTCAACAAGACAGTAATATCCAGAAAATTCTGTCTTCCATGTCAAAATTGATAGTATTCTATCTTGGTGGTCAGCAAATTAGAACAGTACATTATTGTAGCAAAGACAGAAAGACGTACAGTTAAACGTTTGGCTCTTAATGTGCTGGCTTGATTATTCATAAATCCAATCTTTCCCACTATCTAATTATGCGTCTATTATACTGTTTTGTTTAAATCACCCGACGTATTATAGTTTTATCCGTGTTATACGGTTTTGGATATATCAGAGCCATAATTGACACCTTCATAATATAGCGTATGCTTACCATTTTAAGCACATCCGTAAGTAGGACCATTAAGCATGTATGTCATTATAAGTCATTCAGCTAATGCGTTTATTATGACCACAATATACTACAATAATTATTCTCCCAAATTGTTATTGATGATTAAAATCATCGAAGGAAAATCTTGTAGTAACAAATGCTGGCTTAAGAATTTGATATAAGTCAATAATCTAAAGCACTCACTGATCCTTTACGAAGCGATCATTTTTCTTGTGCCATTCCTCAAGAGAGCAATCAGGATATTCGTTGAATACGTGTTTGTTATTGTCATTAACGTTGACCCAATCAGCCTTTGAACCGATCATAATATGATATACATCCGCTTGTGGGTCTAGTTCTGGCAAAGGCGTATCAATTGCAGAAGCGTAAGGATAAATATAGTCTTCGTATTTTGGATCATGTGCATAAAGATGTGATCCGCATTCTCCACAAAAGTAACGCGTGTTTCCGCTTGGTATAGTCATTAAAGCGATGAAAGATATTAGCGAATCTTTCCGTAGCCGTGTATGTTAATCGCTATGCTTGTTTAGTCTTACATACCATAATTCACCAGTCCTTTTATCTCTGATTGCTTTATAGCCTCTAATGAAAAATGGAACAAAGCATTTGTAAGCGGTGTGTCCAAATCTACAAGTCATTAATAAATAATAGAACATAGTACTTCAGATGTTCTTCTCCTGTAATTTGCAAAGTTTTTTTCTAAACATGAGATAATAAATGTTTGAGGGCTTCGAATAAAAAGTGTTATTACTGTATTCTATGAAAATGTTTCCTACCAATCCCATAAGATTAATGGCATAACCACCTCCCCCTTGACATTTACGACAAATGGAACTAGTTGTTGATACACTTTATGTTAGCTCAATTCCAGCAGTGAAGCGAATAGAAGCAGTTAGAAAAGTGCATACCAGTAACAACGCATGAACTGTGAAGTACATATCAGAAGTTGTTAGTCTAATTTATGCAGCAAATACAATTGCTTCAAAAGTATGTATGGATGCTTACAGGGGCTGGTGTCTGTGATACCACTTTAAATTGTACTTTCTCGCAATGACAAGACCCTTTTAATTCCATGTTCAAATTTTTATTATTAATGTGAAAGAGTTGTGAAGAGCAAAGAGTAATGCTTTTAACATTATATCTGTCAATGGATGTGTTTAACGTTCGACCAATCAAATTACTTCATCTGTGTCGAACTAAGTTAGTAACATTCAAGACAGTTGGGGAATGACTTTTACATTGGTTTTTTTGCATGATTTTTTCTGATATGATATTATCAATCCCTTATAAACACGATCAAGCTTGATAAGAAGTAGAGTGGTTTCTTATTATGTCGAGCCTTCATGCAGTTGATCCAAGGCGATTATGTTTCTCAACATTCTCTACTTAAACGTAGATAAACCCTGTTTTTCCGCCTCTTAAGCTTCTTGAATGTAAAGCGTTCGCATACATTCGTCTCAACATAATTGCAAACTTGTATGTGGAAAACAACCAAGAAGAATAACAAATGAAAGAAAGGACGCAGTTATCATATTTCATATCTGTTCAGGACAGCGCAGAAATCATAACAACAGATATGCATAGAATACGGCGATACTGAGTGGTTACAAATTTGTCTTTACTGCTATTATTCCCTGTATATGAAATATTAGTGGTGGGTGAATGTTTAGAAGCAAGTTTTTGATAGGTGATTTTATAGCGCTGGATTGACTCCAGTTAGAAGTTCACAACTATTGTCTTGGAAAAGGGATTAATCATGATCACCTGCTTTGACTTCTGAGTTTCGGTAACATTTATGTGACATCTTTTGAGCAAATGAAATGTCCGTAACCAAATAAATGTCGCTTTCCAAACATTAATGGCACTAAGCCAAAAATCATCGTCCTTTTATCAGTGTTGTATTTGCTTAATTGAGAAATTGATAACTGTTGTAAGTCAATGACTATGAACTTAGTTCTCTTTATTATTCTTCAGATGAAGTAGGAAGATTATTTACTCTGTAATGTTTGATGGGAATTATATTATTTGAGAACGCGTATGCTAGTCACTAATTTCAGGTTCAGATGCTTATTGTGTGATTATTATACTTAGGCCTGTATTTCATTAAATGTTGTACATAACCTACATCAAATGCAATATAGATAGACCGTGATGGAATGTATTCTCTACCTGGTTGTACGTACTCGAGTATTGTAGTTATTATCTCACCAAACACGTCAAGCTAAAATGCTGATTGACTATCATCCGGCAGTCAACTGGCAGCCATCTGGCAGCTAAAACACTGATTGGCTACCATCCGGCAACTAACTATCTGGCAGTCATCTGGCAATTGTGACAATATAACCAACTTTTTTTTATTGCAAAGCAACGATTATCATGATCATAACACGAAACCAAGCAATATGCATGCTTTTTTATGTTGATTATTCTGAAGAAAATGCTAAAAAATGTGAAAAGAAAATTGAAGACCTTGGTGATTTTGAAATCTGCTACAATGCTGATCCTAAAGCTGATCCCAAACAACCAATACTTGTTTCAAAACAGAGAATGAATGAAAGCCATTCACTTCATCTTTATCCTACCACACTAGAGTTTCCGAAAACTAACCGTAGAACTATCTGAAATGTTTATTTATACTTGCGGTGTTCCAGCTATGCCGATGCAGCTACGCTGATGCCATGTTAAAGAATATATCTATTTTAATAGCTAAGTGGCTTTAAGCTTATCTACGCATTGTATACATCTCTAATGATGATAGTTAAACATAACAATAATGAAGCCAGATTGTACTAAGTAGCAATTTCTTCATATAGTCTGTCTTTAATAAACAACTATGATAAAGAGCAGTTCTTTTCAGAAGCCAAAGATGTGATAGCAGTAGCAGATTGTAAATTCATACAAGTACTCGTATAATTTATATTCTAATAAAGGACGAACCCAAATACAGTCTCAAAAAATTCATATACTCTCTCTGTTTACCTTAAAATACAGCAATACTGTTCAGAAATCTTGCAATTGTTATTTTGATCGTTGTAAGATCTTCTTTCGGCAATCAAACTTGGTAAGAAGGCTAGGATCAGATGCTAAAAGCTTTGTATCAAATATATGGATTTCACTGTCCAAAGCAAAAGTATCTATTGCAATTTTCTTTATCTTTTCATTGTTTTCGATCAACCTTCTTAGCTCTTGTGATCTTGACGTAAGCCCTGCGTAATCGATAGATACCAAACAGATATTATGTTTTGCAGATTGTAAATAGTGAAGCATATCTGTAACGAATTAAGAGTGAGTTCTACTTATGTCTACCTTATGTTTTCATCTGTTATGACTTACCTTGTGTATCTCCGTTCACGTTGGTTAATTTGAGTACAGATTTACTGGCCGTGGTATCTCTTTCCCTGAAAGGAGTGGACGCACAACTGGAAAAAGAGACATACACTCTGGTTGTCAGGGAGTTTGCAAGTTGTCTACCATTTTCTGCAGAAGTTTCACCTTGTCTTCATTTTTCTCATTTGAGGGGGACTTGCGAGCATACCCCACTATTTCAAACCCATTTTGCTTTAAATTTTTGATTGACTCCTGATACAAAGGTAAATAATGGCAAATCGCTGATTTTAAGTCATCTACTAGAAATTGGTTAATCAAATACTTTGATTATATCAATATTCGAGCTTACCATGGAATTGTTCTTCCATAACATGGCAAATCTCGGTCGAATATTGCTTTTTCTTTCTTCCTCGGCTCTTAAGAATGCTAATCGAACATTCGAACACCATCTTGAAAAAGGTAACACCGACTTATTTTCAAATATAGCGGTATGTTTTCTGATCGTATATATATGTCCGCGATAGATACTGATTTCACGTCATAGATATTGGTATTCTGTGGCTTTTCAGGCAGGTATACTTCATTTATAAATTGAATTACTTGATTTTCAGTTTCTACAAATGGACAGTCGAAAATCAACTTTCTTTTTCAATTAAAAATTACGAACAATCAATAACTCACGGAATTCTATCCTTTTTCTTTTTAAACTATTGTCTGGCATATCATCGGAAGGCAAGTAGGTGCGATATGTGAAAGGATCACCGCGAATCCTCTGTTTTGAAACAAGTATTGGTTGTTTGGGATCAGCATTGTAGCAGATTTCAAAATCACCAAGGTCTTCAATTTTCTTTTCACATTTTTTAACATTTTCTTCAGAATAATCAACATAAAAAAGCATGCATATTGCTTGGTTTCGTGTTATGATCATGATAATCGTTGCTTTGCAATAAAAACAAGTTGGTTATATTGTCACAATTGCCAGATGACTGCCAGATAGTTGGTTGCCGGATGGTGTGATATTTGTAGTTGTTTTTTGTTTAGTGAACGCGACTTATAACTTTGATATAAACTGTAAGGTGAAATGAGTCTCCTTTAGTCCTTTTATTATACACTGAAAATCAGAGAGGGGAGCGTTCACAGCAAACTGAATGTTTGTATTTAAAAAAGAAAAAATAAAAAAAAGTCCTCGTTCCTTAATTTCTCAGCCAGTAATAATGCAGCATTTTATATGCGCATCTTTAGAAATACAAGATGTCGTGTACAAGTGTTATTATGATTCTATGATCATAATAACGAGTCAAATGCTTGAAAGTGTGTCTAATTCGTCTTTATACATTATAGGAGGTATGGAAATACCACAGATGGTAGCTAATTAGCGTTTTGGCTGCCAGATAGATGCCCGACGGCAGCCAATCAGCATTCACAAAGAACCTAGCATCATCGTTTTTTCTACAATGGATAATGCTGTTTTATGCCATAACTGTTGATATTCTACACAACTTCAACCCTCATTCTAACGACAAATATATTCAGTGTTCTTAAAAAATCACCTTTCTGACTGTTTAGCAGCTTTAGGACAATTTGATTTATTTAATGATTTTTGTAGTGCCATTAATCTTCTCAAAGTGACAAAATTTACCGTTCTCACTGTAACCATTTTGGTATATGAATTTTATTGATCCCTTTTGTCCATGTTACAAGTGTGGCTATTGTGTCCGAATCAAACCGGCTTTGCTTTTGCTTTTATTTAATGGCTGCTTCTGCTCGCTTCGTTGGGGATTCTACCTTATCTAAGATACAATTTGGTACTTATCTCTGTAAATATGCCATCTGCATCCCTTTTAATTCCATAACTCCACATGGAAGAGGACCTTAAATCGGAAGAATCTTTTCCTATAAAAGAAAATAAAATTTCTGAGAATATTGGAAACGTAAAGAAACGGTCAATTTGTTGTAACATTATTACATCTTCATTGCGCAAAAACAATTTAAGTTTTTAATAATCGATGATCTTTTTTCCATCAAACCGTGAAAAAGTCCCGAGACGCTAAGGAAGAAGCAAGAGTTGTGATTTGATAAGAATGTACAGATTAGGACTGACAAAAAAAGTTCACTTAGCAGCGGTGGGTATTCAATCTCGCAGAAGCAGCAGAGAGAAGGTATAAAGTTATATTAAGATCAGCACAGCCATTTCGTCGGATTTTATGCGGGTTATAATGCGAAGCATTCTTTCTCTCTGGGGTTTTAAGTTTCCTCTTCTCTTCACAAACAATATTCCATTTATTTCATTTTTTCTTTTTCTTTCTATTAAAAAATAACCTTCAACTACTGAATTGCAATTATATATCTATTACCCCCCAAAAGGATACCCACCACAGCTATAATGCCGCCTTTTATCTGTCCAACATTTGAAGAGATCGAAGCTAAAGAATGGGCTGCAAAGACTGTAAAGAATATTTTGACAGAAGTCTCACCTGTATCATTAGAATCCGATCTATTTCTTGGTTACAATTACAACAACGACAACATGACCACAGCGCCAGCAACAGAAGCAGAAGCAGAAGCAGCAATAGCAGCAGGAACGAAGAAAGCGACTATCCTACCAGTCTCGGCAGAGGAAGAAGAAGAGGACCGTAAAAATAATTTACGTCGTTCTTTTTCGTTATTGGAAGGAAGTCTCTTCAGCCTACAGCATCCACTTTCAAAGGAAATAAGAAACTCTCGACGAGCATTGAGTACTATTGTACCAAGCACAGCTGAGTCAAGGTCTTCTTCAACAAAGTCAGCTCCAACCACTCCCGCTCAAAGATTTTCTATAAATCCTCGTAGTAACACCACCACCATTGCTACTTCGTCAAAGCATCTGTTTGATAACAATGCTATTTATATCTTGCGAACGTTTGAACTTCACAAGAAATCAAATAAGGAGCGAAAGGGTGTCTTGGCTTGGCGAAGCAAGTACACTGAATATGTGATAAACCCACCTCACCATTTACAGCTCAAGGTAAAAGAATGAACTGAATTGAAGTTAAATTAAGGGGGAATTAAGAATACTAAATTGCTTCTTACATATAGCCAAAGCCTTACTCAAGGAAATCAATGCAACTATTCAAGTTTATCATGGCCGAACTATTAACGACCGAAGAGACTTACTTGAATCACTTAACGACGATCAAGAATGTAAGTCTATTTTTTTTTCCGGAGTAGGAACGGCAAAACGGGACTAACTATAATCATCCTACAATAGTTCTATATGGACCCTTTAATTGAAGCAGCTAGCCCTACTACGACCTCCGCAACTACTGTTATACATCTTCACCAACAAAAACCATTGGTCAATTTGAAAGATGTGGAGATTATTTTTGCATTCATACCTCAATTAATTGTCTTATCAACTGTCCTTGTCCACAGATTGCATGAATGCATCACTAATTACTTAGAAGATGATAGAAACTTAAATGACGTGTGCATTGGAAAGATAATGTGTGAATTTGAGTCCTATTTTAGCATCTATATATCCTATTCAGTCAATTTCACAAAATCTAGAAAGCACTTGGCCAAAGCAAGTTCGAATATTGTCTATCGGCAGCTAGTTCAGGTAAGAATTTTAATATGTACTCATTGCATCAGTTCAATCAGTAACAGTGCTTTACCTTTTCAGGATACAATGAGAAAGAAGGAGACAAATAGGATGGTTCTTGCTGATTATATGATAGCTCCTATTCAAAGGATCACGCGATACGGCTTACTTTTGACAGGTAAAACAAAAAAACTGATTTTTCCAATAGCCTGTAATAACATTATATCAAATTAATTGTAGATCTACAAAAACATTCAAGTACGAAACATCCTGATTATCCTTATTTGGACAGAGCACGTAAATGTATGTCTGCACTTGCATACGCGATGAACACAATTCAACGATAACTACTTCACTTAGACCCCTCATTTCTGTATATAAGCCAATCATTTCGATATCCATCCTCTGTACATATTATAACTCACATTCGCTACAATCATGAAATTATATTATCACCGTTCCTTTTTTTTTTTTTTTTGGAAAAAAAGAAAAAAGAAAAACTATGCCTCTTTCATACAAACCATACTTTTCCCTATGTATGAATCGTCGTAATTTATTCTATGTCCTCACCTCATGTATATCTGTTCAAATGGAAAATAAAATCTGTTTGATTTAATGTAGGAAAAAGGTAGGGTACCTGCTTTGAACCTAGCAAGGCTAGTTATTTCGGTGCCTAAGGGTATCACCATATCAAATCGTCTGTTGTATACGTTGTCCTATTAAAGGGTCTTGCAGCACAGAACGCCAACATACTTTTATCTTAACCCCATTGGTAGGTAAACTCTGTGAAGCATAGAATCTATGTGTCAAATCCCGCTCGTCAACAATATTCGTCTTCCCGCTTCGGACGTAGATCTCCCCAAAGTTGGAATGGTTAATTGCTGAGCTAACTTGCATAAATTCACTATTAACCGAGAACTGGGAACCTACTAAAATGTGAATAGTTTATCCATGCATATTTGAAACAGCATCGCTACACATAATGATTCGTAAATGATTGCAACATCATCTTCTTTGTATCTGACGATTTCAACGACTTTTAGTCATCATTAAATTGTTGGGTCGAAACGGACTATGCACTACCGCAAAGCAGCAAACAAGTTATAGTGGTCATTGTTGGTTGGCATAGGAAGCCTTTACATTTCATCAGTTTCGCTGCTATTTCTTACGAGCAAAAGCCAAAAAGTGTTATGGTACCTACCACTTTAAAATATCAAGTGAAAGCACGTACAATTTGATCGGTAAAGTTTGGTTTATTAAGTAAGATAAATGGGCCGAGTGCATAAGTAGGTTCAAAGATATATGTAATGGATAAGATCAATGTTATTCCGTAACCTAGAGAACTATATTTTCGATATCGAATGTGCATGAATTACACTGAGTTTATTCTCGCAAAGCATTTCTGCGTAAAAGGACAGTAACCTCTTCTTGACTGAAAGAAAGGGATCGCCATGCTGTTAAGGTTCACCAACTGTTAGAGATAAGGATTTAAACATGATTCCGCTTTTGTGATTAGGACGGAATAACACGCTTACGCGGTAGTACTTTTAAACGTAAGCTCAATGTACCGCCTGCTTGCTCGTTTCTAAAGGTGGGAATTGATGTGAGCTTTCCGTATACATAAGGATGTCGTATCTTACGAAATGTAAATAAACATGGGGTAGAAACCCTGTTTGTTCAAATGTGATATTCGTAAGTTAATTTCATACGCTATACATCTTCTGTTCCTGGCTTTCACTGAAACACACACAATGAAGCCTCCTCTTTACGGGACAGTATCTATCAGAGCCCACATTATAGGGTCCAATTTTGTATTTACTAATTCGCTTTTTAATAAAAAAGCTGATAATTTTACAGAAAGACCTATTATTGTTTCTAAATAGTTGATTAAACATCTCTCCAGAAGTACATTATCCGCAGGAAGATTTGCGGTTTATTTGAAATGGTTAGATTTGCAATATTTTACTCGTATCAATGCTCTCCAAGAACAAACTTTTTTTCTTTTTTTTTTATAAAGAAGCTCTATTTCCATGTAATCCATTCATAGAAATATATGCAAATTGACTATCCGTTTCTTATGTAAATTGTTTGCAACATCACTGGTATATTTTCGGGGATCAATACAACGTTTTGTATTCGAATTCATTGGGGTAACAGAATTTAATATGTGTGAATATTCCACGGGGACGATCTTGTATAACGGTTCTTTAGTCAATTTTGTTTTCTATATTGTCTTGCTATTGTAATAACTACGTAAGACGCTCAACTAGCTCAGAATAACTCCGGTGGAGCTAATGAATTTATGGATACTCATTCTTTGTTGTTTGGGCTATGAAACGATTTTGATGCCTTTCGGTTGTGTAGACATGAAATTGTTATTGATCGTTCTTGGAGAGCAAGCGTTTTCCTTACCGTTATCGAAATTAACGGCTACAGTTGAGAAAATTAGCAAATTGCCATATCACTCAAAAATTCAGGATTGAAGGCATCTTCCATCCCTGCAGCCTTCGTCTCCAAGTATACACGACTTTGTGTTGTGCCCGTGGCTCATCTTACTGACTTATAGTAGTGCTAAACATTAGATATACTTGTCAACCATTAAATAATTCATGGTCATCTTGATAGAAGCAAACAAAAATGCGATGGGTCAATTATTCATGCGAATCGCGGTGCTTTTGTATTTGTCCTAAATCTCCTTCCGGGATTTGTTTACTGTATTTGAATAAAAGGAAGACTGGGACTATCATTAATAAAATATGATATACAGTTTCTTATTTACAATCCATAAAAAGAAAAATAATTAAGCAGTAATTGTCACAAAAATCAAAAGTTAACATACAAAATTTTGGGTTATCTAAAAGAGAAGCGAGTGAGATGCTGGGGAATCAATGTGAGGGATGATACAAGTTGTTTGTTAAACGATAAAAAGCATGCTTTCCTTCAAGGTTCATTTACCGCCCAATGTACTATTGGACCTCGTAAATATGGACCGAATAAGTTGTTGTTGTCCTAATTATTGCTGCTGTTATTGCTGCTGTTATTGTCACTGTTATCATTGTCGTTATTATTACTATTATTATTGCCTTGAACTATACGCATAGCAATCTTCCTTGCATCCTCAACAATACCTGTCATCTTCATTCCTACGACCTGTAATGCTAATTCCATCAAAGCGCGGTCCGTTTCCACTAGGTACGTGAATACCATCACGTTGTTTTTACCCATGGGTGGTGCTTCTTTAAACGAAACAACGACAGCGCCAGACTGAGCAGCTGGTGGCAAAGTACATATAAGAGTATTTGTGGACCAATATTGTATGTTAGTAGCAGGTTTATCGCCAAACATGACAGTGAGACCAGGACGAAAGTTTGATCCTAATATCGTGATTTCTAACCCTCCACTAGTGGATGCTTCATTTGGTATTAATCGTTTCATTACAGGGTGCTGCTGCTGTTGCGAGATTAAATGTGAAGAAGAATTTGCTGTTGCTGTGAAATCACTAGCACTATCATTATTACTATGTAAAGACTGTATATACTGATGTGGTTGCTGCGGAGATATTTGCTGTTGTTGCTGTGTTTGAGGAGTTTGAGGTAAAGTTGAAAAGAACATAGATGTTAGCATCGATTTCATGGTATCCATATTTGGCATAGCTGGCGTATAATAAGAAGTAGAAGATGTGGTGGCCTCAGCTGTGTTCGGAGGCTGTTGGTGCTGCCGTTGTTGGTGTTGTGGTGGTTGTGAAGATGTTATATCATTCGGGTATATTTGATCAGAATCAGTCGGTTTATTACCAACAAATGGTAAAGAAGATTTAATCCAATTCAAGGTTGGTAATCTTGGTTCAGGCAAGCCCTCTGCTTCTGTTCGACGTCGCTTCAATCCACTTTTGGTTTTATTAGATTTATGATCATCTGTAATCATGATGGGTGGTGAGAAACCCTCAGCTACTTTTTTACCTGTATGATCCACCATCTCAAAAGATATGCAAAACCCTAAACGTTCATTGTGATGTCTACAATAGCATGTTATTCGTGTAGGTAAAATCGTATCTCCTGCACTGAAATCAATTAATTCTGGGCAATTGAATAGTAGGATTCTATCCTCATCTGCTTGGTGTTCGTCTTCTGCCTTCTCATCCTCTGTATCCTCGACACCTTGCTGTTGCCGTTGCTGCTGCTGCTGTTGTTTGTTTTCTTTTCTTTTCTGAGACCTTTTACGCTAAATAGCAAGTTCATATAAAAAATTTGTTTAGTTTAACATCTTTCATGAATACACTATTGTCAAGTACCTCTCGTTGTATACATCCTATACAAGGAGTAACTTTCTTACTGGGATCACTCGCACATAAAACTCTGGCCTGTAGCTTCAGTGTCTTTTCTGGGCAAACAACATTGTCAGATCCTGTCAAGCTCAGACTCCCATCACTTAATTGCTTTGCTTTATCCTTCGTTATCATATGTTCCGGTAATCTTAAATGAGTCCACCATTGAGCCTTATCTCCTCCGTCTGTAACTAACTGAATACATAGCTTAATTTGGGTTTCTACTCTAGACTTAGCGCCAGTCTGAGGAACACCTAAAACTCTAATCTGTAGGCTTTACGCCGTAAAAAATGTAAAAAAATTATAAGGGTCAGATTATTTTTCCAGACCTCTCCCAGATGGGAATAAGATGATACGGCTAATCCATATACTATCAGCCCTATACTATACCACACCACTGCCACACAATTTGTATAATTACCCTGTATCAGTCTTTTGAAGATGTTCTTGCTTGAATTGACTTATTGCCTCAAAATCCATAGAAGCTGTAGGTATAGGTGACGATGCAGTCGTGGGTGGATCCGTAGCTGAATTACTAAAATGGTAACAGTTAAAGATTAGCGATTGGTGCGAGGCTACGAATCAACTTGATTAACGAAACATGACAATTATTTACAAAGAACTTAGGAATGGTACTGGATGGCTGGAAAGGTATTCCGAAAAGCTGCGTGCAATATTGGGAATGGTGGGAAAGAGGTTTGTATGGGTGACATTGGATAAAAACTAGGACAAGTTTGTTATCATCCAGCAAGATAGTGTTTTCATCATGATCAAGCAATTTTAATATTATCTTACATTATTTATACCGCTCCAGAACGAAGGCGGTTGATTACCGACTGTTGAGCTAACTGCTGCTTGAAATGATTCCATACTAGTGTTTGTTGAGTGAGGAATACTTCCTGTAGGTGTATGAAATGTTTGCGTTATATTCTCATTACTTGTCTCTGTATGCAGATTGGAGTGGCTCAAATTATTCTCAACATTATTATTCAAAGCTTGTTGTAGCATCGAAGACTGAGATTGGATGTTCTGCTGTTGTTGCTGTTCATTATGATTCGGTTGCATGAAAAAGTAGGGATTTTGATTGGCCAAATGTCCAAAATTGTAAAAGTATGCTTGATTCATGTACGTATTTGGTTGCTGCTGCTGCTGCTGCTGCTGGGGAACTGGTATAGAAGGGGATAGCTGTTGCTCACCATAGCTCTTACGAGGATTGGTAGGTATGGTCAATGATCGTCTGGTTTGATTCTCTTGTTGTTCAATCGTAGAGTCATCGATTGCTATGGCTGGCACTTCACCCTTTGACTCGGAATTCGACATGACTGGTGCTATTGAAGTTGAGGTTAATGTGATAGCAAAACAGCTTTGAGAAGTGAAAGAATGGAGAGTGGAAAAAGAGGAAACAAAAAGTCAAATGATTCAATTTTATTCATGGATTTTGTATCGAATGAACATGGAAGGTTCCGCTCAAACAATAAATTTACCGGATCAACAGCGGTTTTACCAACCCCACAACAGCGCATGTTTGATAATCAAATTCGAAGCATTTATTGCAGTTGTTAAAATTGTAACGAAAAAAGTTGGCTTTGAGTAAATGTGTGTATATATGTATATATATAATGACAATATTTTAGGGAGAACAACAGGCACAGAGTTTAGAAAACGTAATCCAGCTCTGGGCGTTGATAAGTATTCCTTTCGTCGTCTTCCATACGGGGATAAAAAGGCACTAAAGAATCTTGAGAGCCTATGTACAACGTGTTGTAAATTTTCCAGTAAACTTCACGTACTTTCCTTGCTGGATGGAAAAGACCTTGTAAGGTATATTGCAGAATTGTACAAGGTCCCAGAGCAACACGTAGACCTTCAATGGCTTCCATAACCGCATTAATCACGTGTGGACTATATACAAATTAAGTGAAAAATACAAGAAAAGAGTTAGCTATATGTTTGGATACAGCTTTTAGATATTAATGGAATAACATACCTTGTTTCAAAGATATTTGGCCAAATATAATTCAACAGATGTCGCAGAGAATCTTCACAGTTTAGACCTACTACACCCAATGCCATGTGTTTAATCGTTGTACAAGCAGTCTGTCTGTGTACAAGATCACGATCCATTAAAGCATCTTCTAATAAAGGAGCAACAGCATTGATGTAATCTTTGCCCATCTCACCGACGTACTCGAAAATGAATGATAATGATTTCAGCACACCATTTTGCACATTCAATTCTGGAACTCTGTATTCATTCATAAGGGCTGGTAAAACGGTAAAAGGCGCACAAGTTTCTGCTACAATAGCAATAGCTACAGTCGTACACACACGATTTTGACGTTCTTGAACCTTCAAGTTATTCAACAATGTAGCCAACACATCTTGCGGGCCAATAGCTTTAGCAATATAACCGAATGTATTTACCGATGCACGACGGATACCCTTCTTATGTGCTTTCAAAAGATCCAACAATTCAAAACAAACACGCATCCATTCACGAGCAGACACATACTCAGCACCACGATCAGCAATACGACCAACCAAATCAATGCAGTTTTCTTGCACCTTTTCGTGACGATTACGTAAGATAGGAGTCAGTCTAGGCAACAGATCCTTGATAGGTGGAGTCATACTGGCCATACCAATAACATTTACAATGGACTTCAAAGCACCCAAGATAGAACCCAGTACTTCAGGATATTCTTCACCCAGGCATTCGTAAAGAATTTGACCCAGTTGACTCATCAATTTCTCTTCACCGCAGCTCTTCATAACCACAGCAATACGAGAAATTAAATCTGCGACTTGCTGACGAACCTTGGCAGATTTGTTATTCAGTCTCCATAAGATAGTGTAACAAATTTGTTGAAGGTAAGGCTTAATACGCATACCCAATGCATTGACCACCGTGCCAAAACCATTCAACATAATGACGTCTTCTACAGTCTGTTCTTGGAAAGCATAAAGAATACCATCGATCAATAATTCTTCCAAACGGGGATCAATATCAGCAGCACCCAAGTTAGAGATAATCTTCTCTGTTGTTTCCATCACCATCTTACGGTAAGGTTCACTTTCATCCTTCAGGTCATTGACAATACGGCTTGCAATTTCTGAAACACCTACTTTATTTGCCAGCTCTACTGTTGTTTCAACAACTTGTTTATAGTTACGACGATCCAAAGCCATGCGACGAACCCAAAAGTGTTTGAAGAATTCAGGCAAGATTTCTTCCTTGATGTAAGCAGGCATAACACCATCTGTAGCAGCACATTGCTTCACAACCTTTAAAACAATCTTCTTCATTTCTTCATCTGGGGACTGGAATTCACGAATCAGAATAACCATAACTTCCTTTGTATAGTAGTTGGCATATTCGTCATCCATTAAAGGAATAATATAGCCAATAGCCTTCAAGAAGGCAGCAAGACCTTTACCGCGATGTTTACGAATACCAGTCCACAACGGTTTCAAAACAGAATCAAACGATTCAATACCATAGGGTGCGGCAGCTTCAGCTAGTGCAGCAATAGCTAAAGCGGTAATAGTACGCACTTTTTGTTGTTCATCTTCCAAACCATGCCCGATAGCTTCTACCAAATTTCTAAGGTGGGGCAAGACAGCACAGCCCAAAAGGATAGCAATTTGTTGAACAATTTTGATACCAGTGTGACGGGCCTGCCATGACTTTTTAGAACGACAAACAGCCTTCAGGAAAGGCAGAAGCGCTGGAATACCCAAGGCAGAGGCAACAACAGAGAAAGCACGTGCAGTAGTATTACGAACATATTCATCAGGATGATCAATATCGGGACGCATAGTCGTAATCATGGTGGGAAGACCAGCAGCCTTCGATAAATTGGAGATAATCTCACGGCCTTCAACACGGGCGTAATAATCTTCATCAATTAAGAGAGGTTCAATGACGACTAAGATTTTGTGAACAAAAGGACGAACTAAATCGTCCAACTTGTAAAGAATACGGTCAATTACCTTTACCAACAAGTGACGCTCTTGATCTTCCAAGGTAGGCGACATGAGCAATGGTAAGATCTGGTTAAAGAGCGGTCCTGGCCCAAAATCACGAGCTTTGTCCGTAATGTGACGCAAAGCACCCTTACGCATAGGAGGTGTACCGTTCTTGATCTTCAATAAAAGACGCATAATCTTTCTTTCCTTCAATTCATCCATAGACATGGAACCTTCATCCTTTTCTTCTAATAATTTTCCAAAATGTTGCATATCCTCTTCTTTGAAGAAAGGTAATGAACCAACGCCGGGAATTTCCTGAGGAAGTTCCATACCCATTACAGGCTTTTGCTCATCTTGCATAACAAATCCTACGTCACCCATGGGCGTAGGTGTAGCTGTTAGTTTACGAGCAGGAGTACGAATGGGCTGATAACCTGCAGGTGGTTCCAGAATCTTGTAACCGGTTGTAGGGAACATAGCATCTAATTCTTCGTCTGACAAAGGTCGATTACGAACATCCAATTCTCTTTCCCAACGTAAAGCATTAGCAGCTTCAGGATTTATTTGCGCTAATTGACCTGGCGTAGGTGTCATCATACCAAAACCTCCTATCGGCGTTGCCGATGGTGCTGTCGTTGTTGCTGCGCCAGCTACAGGAGTGGCATCCCAACGAGAACGTTTTGTGGTAGCACGAGGAGTAGCTTCTACATCCCATTCAGATTTAGCAACTGGTGTGGCATCTGGTTCATTGGGTCGAACAGGTGTAGCATCCCAACGTGATCTTTTCACTCCTCCTACGGGGGTTGCTTCAACATTTTGACTGACTGGCGTAGCAACGTCCCATCTTCTCTTTTTACGTGGTGTTTCCTCAACTGCGTTTGTCGTATGTGGTGGCGTAGATGCAGATGCTGATGCACCAGCCTCTGCTTGTTCCTTCTTTCTTTGGGCAATTATACTTAAAACTCTTTGTTCTTCCTTTTCTAACTCGGCTTGACGTTGTACTTCAGCATACGATCTGGAATCGGCATCGGCATTTTGATCTTCACTGAAAGCATCTTTACGGGTAGGTGAAAGTACACGGTTGAATCGCCTTTTGTTGTAATCACTTTCTCGGCCAGCAATGGTACGTTCACGCTTCGTCTCGGCAAACGGATCATATGCATCTGCACCTTCTCTGGCTTCAGCAAGAATGTCCTTTGAAGCTGTAATAGAGCTTAGTTTCTGATTTCTTTCTTGGTATGACTCATCAGTTTCGTCTTCATCTTCGTCAGCAACTGTTGTTGAATAACCAGCAAATTTATCTGTGGTGTATAAATCAGTATCGTATGAGATACCGGTCAGACTAGCATGTTTATCATTGTTCAATACGGCTTGTTGAATGTCTTTTTCAGTAAGCTGAGCACGTTTTGCTTGTGCTTGCTTTATTTCCTTCTCAATGTCTATCAAAAATTCAATAGAGTTAAGTATGTCTTTAAATATTCCTGTTGACTTTGCCAAGACCTACCATCGCTCATTATAACTTTTTAACGATTTCAAAGAATTGACTGACAGTTGAACGAAAATGCAAAAATTGAGACGAGAAAAAAGTAAAAAAAAAAAACTCGGTGCTGACTTTGAAATGCTTTTTGTCGTCATTGCTTTCTCTCACTCAAAAAAATATTAATGAGGAGATGTGAGGGAGGGGAGAGGTAAATGATTGGATTTGACCCCGCTTTTTTTGTCTGCTATTCTCCTAATTTAAACTCTTCCTAGATTCCCTTACATTACTCAATAAATTCACAATGACAGAAAAGAAAGATTTCCTTTCTGAAGCTGGTAAAGCAGCCGCCATATCAGGTGGTGTCGGTTTTGCCGTATCTGCAATGCAAAACACAGTACAAAAACATACAACGGGTGCCAAAGGTGTATTCACAAGAACAGGAGGAACAATTGCATTTTTCGGTAAATGAGATTTATAGCCTTGTAGGTAACAAAGAGGAAAGTTAAAACTAACGTTTTCAAATCATTAATGTTAGCTGCCATGGGTGGTATATATACTCTTGGAGAAGCAGTATCAGAGAATATGAGAGGAAAACATGACGGTGTTAATGCGGCTATTGGTGGTTGTGCTGCAGGCTTATTAGCTGGTATTCCTAGTAAGTTAATTTACAGCTTGTTTCTTGTCTTTTAGGCAGTCATATCTAATTTTACTTTATCGGTGTCTATAGCTCGTTCATTTGCAAAAATGCTCGCAGGTTGTGCAGCAATCGGAACTACTATGTACGCTTTTGAAGCGTCTGGTCAATTCAGCGGCATTCATAAGGATAAAACATCAGAGGAAAAACGACAATATGAGAAAGAATTTTTCAAACAACCTGTTGTAGCAAATGATAGCGCATAAGTTTATTTTCTATTAAAAAATAAAAAGGGAACAATAAAAAGCATAATAGACGTACTGACGGATGAAGTTGGATATGTAGAGTGGATAGTGGTATATGTGTAGATAATTATTGTGCGATGATGTTCCATAGTAAATGGTGAGTTTTTGTCAGTAATACGTGTAGATAATTATTGTGCGAGTAATTTTTCATAGCAAGTGGTTAGTTTTTGTCAGTAATATGTGCAAGATAGCCGGCTCTAATCAACGATTCAACCTCTGTCCTCTTCACGTAATATTGATTTCCTTTCACTAAATTGAGAGTTCCGAATTCTGTAGTGATTTCGCCTGCGTCCTTCATGACACGAACTTGAATAAATAAATCAACTGGTGGTTCTAAACTGGCACCGCCAGGTCCACCCAGATCAATATCCAAATAAGCATGCTTATACTTTTCAACAATCTGCGAGTAATCTTTTATGAATTTCTTGTCGTTTTCTCCAATGTTATGTCTTATTTCACTTTTATAGCGCGATTGTAGTCCAGCATTCCACACGATATCTTTCAATTTTGATACTCTCTGTTTGTGGTAAGCGAAAAGCACCCTCTTATTCCTTTTAATGGTTAAATGACGCAACATGATTTGCGCAGTAACGTCATGTTCCTGTGTGAGGTCCCCTGATGCCTTCATGTTGTTCACGATTTGCTTCGCTTCATTATGCAGTAAGCGGATTTCACGACAAATGTCTTCAACCAGTTTATCATTGTATGGCGATATAGGTGCATCTGCAGTTCGTTTGGCTTCTTTTGCTAGCTTAATTGCTGAATCGCCAATCATTGATGGTATCCTTCTTTATTGAATTAATGGTATTCGGTAATTTTTGTAGAGTCACAAAGAAGAGAAGAGCAACTTTTTTCAACAAAAAAGGGAGTGTCAAAATGCGCGTCGGGCTTTACGCGTTAATGGACAGTTGAAAACGCGAAAGGTACATAGTAGCTGAAATGAATACTGCCTATACTTGTTACGAAAGTAGCACCGAATACTTTTCATTCAAGAAACATATTTTTTACACATTATTATAAACAATCTAGTACCAAACTGTGCCAATTCTCTATACCAGACATATGAATAAGCAAATTTAAGCCAACTAATATCATGACCCTATCGATGCTAGTCAGTTCCCTCAAAATTATCAATAAGCAAAAATTGCATACAAAGTATTTTAAAGAACATAGAACCAGACATCATATATTGATAGTTGTGTTGCTTTATTCACAAGCCATACAGACCGAATTTTGAACCTTCCCAGCAAGAGTGAGGACAATTTAACCTTAGCTCAATAATTTTTTTACATTGAAATGTTAACTGAAGTAGAAGTAAAGTATCCCCACGTGAGGAAAGTATATGATAGATGATGAGGTTACAAATCTGTCAATAATATATATGGATATGAAATAGTTACTCTGCTGTTGTAAACATGAATCAGGCACAATTGGTTGCCAGTTTTCCAGATAGGAAAAAACTGTGAGTAACAGCCAATCATATCGTCAACGAGTAACAAAAAAAAAAAATTAAAAAAAATAGATGATTCACGGGAAAGATGAATCCATTTAAGTGGAACTTTAAGTGACGTTTTAATTTTTTCCAAGCTTGACATTGAAAAGTACACAAACATAAGAGCTCTTTCGCTTTTCTTCTTTCTTTAGTTTGTTCTGCTTTGATTTAGAGAATATAAAGATGGTCAATGTCGGTATAATTGGTTGTGGATTTGTTGGTGCTGAGTTGATTGCTCAACTCCATGCTACTCGTTCAAGCGCCAGACGTTTGAAGGTAGTCGGTATTACTAACGTCAAGCAGATGTTATTATCTGATAAGGATTACACACCTCTTCACTTAACAAACTGGAAATCCGATCTCGAAAGCAAGGGTGTCACGCCTAATCTAGATGATTTCATCCAATATATGGCAGGTTCCCCTGAGCATGCTGTGATAGTCGATTGTACAGCTTCTGAAGCCGTTGCCAATATGTATCCTTCTTGGCTTAAACTCAACCTCTCCGTTGTTACCCCTAACAAAAAGGCTTTTTCAGGTCAACTTAGTCTCTTCAAAGAAATTCATTTATTGTCTGCTAATTATAGTGGTAATGGACGTACTCCAATGACCTATCATGAATCTACTGTTGGCGCCGGGCTTCCTGTTTTGAATACGTTGACTGATTTATTAAAGACTGGTGATGAAATCACAATGATTGAAGGCATCTTTTCCGGCACTCTCTCTTATCTTTTCAACAACTTCTCTTCTACATCTGATGGCCCTTCAAAGGGCACTTTCTCTGAAATTGTCAAGGTTGCTAAAGAACTTGGTTATACCGAACCAGATCCACGTGATGATTTAAACGGTATGGACGTTGCTCGTAAGGTAAACAAAATGAAAAAAAAAGAAAACTAAAAGGATGAAAAATATGAGCCATTTCAACTAATGGAAGAACAATCTATAGGTTACTATCTGTGGTCGTTTAGCCGGTTTGGATTTGGATTTATCAACATTGAATGTTGAAAATATTGTTCCCGAGGCTCTCAGAAATGTAGCAACAGCAGACGAATTCATGACCAAGTTACCCGAATTCGATGATCACTTTTCCAAGTTGAATGAAGACGCTAAGAAGGAAGGTAAAGTGTTGCGTTATGTCGGTGTTGTCGATCCCAAAGGAAACAGTGGCGTCAAATTGATGAAGTGAGTGTGAACACTACCTAAGATCTATTTACTTGACAAGCTCACTGATTGGTTTCTTTCTCATCTTGGAACATAGATATCCTGCTGACCACCCCTTTGCTGGCCTTCAAGGCAGTGATAATATCATCAAATTCACAACGAAATACTTTCCAAATGGTATCATTATTCAGGTTAGTAGCTTGTGGTTCATGACTTTTATTGATGTAGAATATTAAAACTGAATGAATTATTTCTTTTAGGGCGCTGGTGCTGGTGGCCCACCTACTGCTTATGGCATTTTCTCGGATCTTCTTAAAGTTCAAGAACGCGTTGAAGGATTCTAAACAGCTGCATTGTTTAGATGTACATTATTCTCATTTAATAAACAAAAGTATGATATATTACCACTTAAACTCTCAAGGCTCTAACACATTAACAGGGACAATATTTTATATGTGGCATATTACTTAACAATTCATAAATATGTTCCAGCGGATACTAACAGAAAGGGTTTCGAATGAAACTACTTGTTCTTTGTTTAGATTTCATTTGCTGTCAATAGCTCCATCGCTACAAAATGGCACTTAACGTTATCAGAACCTTGAAAATTCAATTGTTCAATTCGACAAAGTCATGAAGCAATTGAAATTGCATGTTCCGTCTGTAAAAAACACTTAAGGATTACTTGATTTCAGTGATGCGGTATGACAAGTGACTAAAAGGAGTGGCCTTTTTCCTGCGGTCGTTCAAAAGGTTCTGTCATTGTTAATGTTTGCGACCTTTATTAAATCATTTTCTAGCTTTGTACAAGGATCTCAGTAAAGCACTTGCACTTAACATATCTAAATAAGACAATATAGGATCATCATCATCATCAAAACTTAAGATACGTTATATAGCATACTTTGCCCTCATTATGAGCATTATGAACGAAAGCTTCAGTCAAAGGATTACCACGTGTATATAGAAGTCGATCAAAATATGCTGGCAAAAAATGCTCCAATAATAACTGACTACAATTCTTTTTAATGGACGCGGCGGTTCCTGCATGATTTTTGATAGGAACACAAAACCTTTCAACCTGAATTCGAACGGCACATGAATAAAAAGGGAGTTAAAAATGGCCCTTTATTTAATTCTGCTTCCATATCCGTCAAGTGAATCTGTCTTGTACTTAAAATACTCAAGACTTCAATTTCAGATCATGTTTGATGAGAAGTATAAAAAGATAGCTATTGTTACAGGTGCCAATGCGGGTGTCGGATTCGGCATCTGTCAGCGATTAATAGAAGCAGAGGGTGATTCTTTAACTCTTGTGATGGCATGTCGAAATCCTGCTCGGGCCAATAAGGCAAAAGAGCTATTACTCAGGCAATTCCCTACAGCCAAAATCGACATTGAGATTGTGGACGTTTCGAAAATGCAAAGTGTTTTAGAATTTTGTTCAAGAATTACAAATAAGTAGGAGCAGTAAAGAAGTAGATACAATTTGGCAAGCATTTATTCACCAAATCTTTTCTGTCTGACAGATATCCTCATGTGAACTACCTTTTCTGTAACGCAGGTATTTTGAGTTCACTCGGCTTGAATTGGCCTAAGCTCCTCTGGCTAGCTTTCACGGATCCAGTGGGCCTCATGGAACGCTCAGATGCAACGATCCAAGCTGTTGGCGAAATCAGCGAAGATGGTTTGGGCAGAGTATTTGCTGCTAATGTCTTTGGGCATTATGTTATGGTAAAAACGTTGTTTCAACCCTTTCTCATTTATGGTTTCTTTTAAAGAAAATTCATATCCGAACAAAAAGTAGATGCGTGAGTTGGAAAGATTACTATCACACTCTGGAGATGGGCGCGTCATCTGGACAAGTTCCGTGACAGCTAAGAATCATTGCTTCGATATCAATGATTGGCAAGGCATAAAAAGGTATTAAAAGGCTATAAAGTATGCACAAATGTTAGACGGGTGCTTACCGAACCACATATGTGATAAATAGTCATGAGCCATATGAGTCATCGAAGTGGGCATGCGATTTGGTGTCTGTAATTTCAAGCGAGCGTTTTGCACGCGAAAGAAGCCATATCTCCTCATTTACTACATCGCCTGGTGTTGTAGCCAGTGAAATTGGTGCTTTGCCCTGCTGGGTGACAAAAGCTAGAATTTTACTTCACTATTTGGTACCTATTTATGCTTTTGTGATGTATAAAATGGAAAAACAGCTAATGAATCAAATTCTTCGTGATTTAGATGCGAATTGCTGGCGTTGCTTCACAAAATATCACCGCATATAACGGATCCATAGCTGACGTTTATGCAGCCTTACAGCCGCTTAATTGTCTCAACTATCTTTATCGTTATAGCTCGTTGTCAACTCGGTGGGGTAAGCCATATGTAGAAGCAGTTCAGCTCCCCAATTATGATAGATTAACAGCTGAAAAACTTGTCGAAAAGTGCGAGCTAACCTATCAAGCGTTCAAAAGAAGATATGCGTCCAAAGAAGCCGAATAACCCACAAAGGCAAATTGAATAGACAAAATATCAAAAGACAAAAATTATATCCTCCATAATATGTTAATTACATCAAATATGAGTCTAGCAAACAATTATTATTTACATTTCTATCACTATTAATCCTAATTAAGGGCTGAAGAGTATTAATCCAAATATTTACATTAAATCAGCATTTTACTGATTTTTTCTCTTTGCTTTAAGTAAGCTTGCGTCACTTCGTTAAGATTTACTTCTGTCTTCTTGATCATTGCTGTGATGTCTTCCAATTGCTTCTCTAATCTTTCTTTCGTCAGCTTGGACATCTCTTGGGCTGCTTTATCTGTAGCTTTACCCTGAATCACAGGAGAAGACTTCAATTTTTGCTGTGGCTGCTCTTTTTTCTTATTAATATCTATCTTGTCCAACCAGCGCCATAGATCGTCTTCCTCTTCTTTGTATATTTCATTCCGTTTTAAAGCTTCTAATGTATTTTCTGGGATCTCTTGTTTTTTGGACAACGCATGAGGCAGCAGATCTATCATTTTCTTCTCAACATCCGCCATCTTCATAGCAATAAACATATTTATGCAAACCATAACAAACATACAAGTAATTATAAACCACATTGTTGGTGTCGCATTGAATTTTTGAGTTGTGGGTGAAGTACCATTGTTGCTCCTCATAAGGTCATTGGAAGAGAAGAAAGCAATTATTCGCTGTAATAATGATTTGGGTGGTTCTGGTGCAGGTTTACTTTCACGAGAATTTGACGAATGTTCGGATCGTGCCTTTCTAGTCCTTCGCTTCCTTCTACCTTCCGATTTTCTACCACTATCGGCATCAGATACTAAAGCAGCGCGAATGACTGCATCCAAATCCTTGTAATATGTTTGTTGTCCATCAATACTGGCTTTTTCGATAGTTGCTGTAAAGAATAAATTAGTCAATGTTAATCAAGGTTACGCACATACGAACTTTATTAAAATCTAACAACTTACACTTGAGCCATGATGATTTAGTGAATTCTACTTGGCACGTTACGAGCACCCTTACTTTGCCTTTACCAGCCCAGCTGAAGCAAGTACGTGTCTTACAAGAGAATGAACCTCCGGAAGGAACGTCAGGTGTACTTGTCGTATCTAGTACAGTGATATAAACCTGTGGGTCTTCATGCAATACCTCTTGCGTGATAATGCATTTAGTTTGTTTAGGCCCAATAGCGCCATTCAGAGGTTTTATATAAGATAATTCACGAAGACGCTGAACACTTCCCTCGCCTTTCTTCCATTCACCAATATCCACCTCTACCAAAAGAGAAACGAAGAAGGGGGTAAGTACAACTATTCTTAACCCAAATGTCATCCTCTTGTCAAAGATTTGACTCTACCTGTTGTCTTTTGATTATCTACTAAGAATCTTCTCAAATGATTGCTATCGTAGAACAAATTGTAAATTTGGGGTAAAGTACTGGAATAGATTTGATCCAAAACGACGTTGCTGTAATGTTCATTGGCAGTTGCACAATCACACTGGGTCTTCTCATTCACTTGCACATTCTCTGGTTCTCCAGCCTTTCCAGTTGATGTCTCATTTTCTGCCTTTGTTGAAGATACAGCACCATTCGCACCATTCGCAGCAGCCAATCCTGATAATTTATCAGCACCATTAGATTGGAAAGTGGGTCTGGCAGCTTCCGATACAGCTCTACGGCGAGCAGCAGCATCCTTTTCCTTTGATTCTTTGCTTACAGGAAGCGATGCTAAAGAGACTTTTCTACCTCCTTCATCTATGCCTTTTTCATCGAAAACTGATTAGGCATATGTGCCTCTTTACAAATTCACTTAACAAAAAGGGTAGCTACCTTGTGTAACATGATCGTCATCAGTGTCAGTTGTATCCAAATCTCCGGAATTAGAGGAGTAAGAATCTTCTGTATCGCTTTCATATTCGAGATCACTGTTCTCCTCTCTTGAAGACCCTGAAAAAATGCGGTCAAGTGGTTCAGGACGAACATTACGCCACAATTTAACCATCAAATCGTATGCTTGATCACGAGACAAGAATGAGGCAAAAAAGAACTATGATTATATCCAGCAATAATAAATTCAAAATTTGTAACTGCTTATCTTTAAAGAAATGCGTTTTTTACCTTTGAGCTATCAGTGCTGATTTGGATGGCATTAGGAATAAAAATGGCAGTTGTTTTCTTCTCAATTTCTGTTATATCAGCAAATGCTATAACAAGCTGTTTTATTAAAAATATTGTTTTAGCTCATTAATTTTTTGTTCCACATATCAATCCTTCACTTCATCAACTTACATTTGTAACCCAACCAAAGATATTTGCATTGAAACAAACATGATTCTCAGAAATGTAAATTCGGCCTTGCAGCAATATTTCCTTCTGTAACGCGCAACCATAATCTATAAAATATCGTATATAGTGGTTAGCAAATACTCAATATCATACTTTAAGAAAATAAATACAAGTTCTGCTGTGCGCATATACCTTCAACGAGATTATCGTCTTCTGGTACACTTCGAAACAATGCATGAAAATCTTGGTTTCTCTTCACCGCTGCAGTGTTAACTCCGGTAGATAGAGCGATGCTTGGAGCAGTCTTGGCGACGTCGAAAGAAGTTCGTTCACTGCCGCCACCGTTGTCAGTCTCGTTTTGGCGTGATCTGATCTTGCTGGTAATAGAGTGAATGGTAGGATTTTCCTTCAAATCACTCAAAAGGTTAGAAGTAACGCTCGAAGCTCTAGAACGAGATTTCTTCTTCGGTGTAGAAGCAGCAGAATCGGCTACTAAATTGGTGTTGGTGCCAGACGTTTTCGATGCAGCTGAAGCATTTGATATAACCGACTCATTATTACTGGCAACTGATAAAGGACGATCATTATTGCTCGCAGGGTTGGTGCTATTGGCATTAAATATTAGGCCTCTCTTTACTTCCTCTGAAGGCTCGATAGGTGTTGGCTCAGATACCTGGATAGGTGGAGGTAAACCAGGTGAGCCATCCGAGTTACGTCGAATATTCGGTGGTCTATTTTTAGGGATTTCCAAAGCCGGCGGACGACCACCAGAGATAGTATTCGAGTGCACTCTAAATTTGTTATTTGCAGTACCGATACCGTCGTTCATTAAAGTGGGTGTTTATGCCAAAGAAAGTTGAATACTGTTGTAATATGAATTATACGTAAAAAGAAATAGGAAAAGAGATAAAAAAAAAAAGCCAAAACGAAAGAACAAAATTAAACTTTCTAAGGCAAAAGACGCATAGAACACTGGGGATTTCAACTCCGGTTAAGAATTTTCTTCTTTCTTGCCTGTAAAACTTAAGTCCATCGTGCCTCCAATTGAAAAAATGCATTCTAAATTGTTTAATAAATCAATCTATCGTATACATATTGAAATAGCTGAGAAAAATTCTTGCTGTCTCTTACTGTAGCTGCACTGAATCTTCTGCATATTGAACGCTCAGAACTTGAACTGCACTTCACGCGTACATTGTGTCGTAATTTTTTGGTTTTATCTTTTTTCCAAAGTAAGAAAGTTGGGTTCACAATGACGAAACAGTTACCATGTCAGAATTTTTCCCCAAAACACTCAAATTGAAGAGTTGCTGAATGACATATTGATATGGAAAAAAAAAACAATCACTCATTCGTGCGTATGCAAAAAGGTTATTCATTCATCAACAAGTACGTGGTAAGAGATGCTCTAAGGCAGCAAATAGATGTAGAAGGTCTAAATTCTATTACGATAATTTAGCATTCACTTCAGCGATAACTTTCAAAAGAATATCTACAGGCGCATTCGTGAAAAATGTAGATGGATATATATGACTGTGCCACGTAGGATGGAATAGAATATGGCAACATCCAATGTTTTGAACATAGAATCGGTTTGACAGCATTTGTGTTCCTTGAACGTCAGGATATGGACTTGGTCCTGCCTCACTGAAAATCTGATTGATTTATCATGGGTTAGTGCTTTTTAAAAATGCGTGTAACTTGAGAAAAGATAAAAAGCAATCAACAATACCGGAAAACCAGAGGCTGGGTCCATTATATCTGCCCACATACCAATTGACAAGATTCTTTGCACAATGGCTCTTCCCCATTTCACAAACTAATTTGCTTATTCAATGACCTGCGAAATTCTCTTAAAAAACTACGGTTTGCCCAATAGACTTACTAATTCTAGCTTAATATCTCTTTCATGATTCACTTCTGCAGTTAAGCCCACCATATCATATTGACATTTTTGTATTACTGGTATAACGAGCAATTCCTTTCTTTGTTTACTAGTTAGAGAAGGGAATATGGTATCAAAGTCTCTCAGAAAGCGTTTTGAAGGTTTAAAAACGGAGTATTCAAATGTTGAATCTTCAAAGACAAAAGTGTTGGGAGACGCTAGGCAAATAGCTTGTTTTCTATCGTCAACAGACTGAACTGTTTTAGCATCGACCATATTTTCTTTACTAACTTTCTGATCCATTAGAAAAGAGGGGATAAAGGTGTGCCCTCAAATAATTGAAGGTCAGCCCAATCTTGTCGCGCGTCACTTTTTATCTGACAGTTGAGATGCGTATGTAAATCTCGACATTGTCTATTGCTTTTTTTTTCTCGATTGTATATTTAAGCTCTTACACTCCATATACCTCCTCAATACTCTGTAATATAATTCGGGACGCCTGCCAAATATAAATTGATAAAATTTACATTATTTTTCATATATTTTCGAAATCATTAACGTCAATCAATAACTGATGTCAGAATTAGCCTCTGAATTTCGAAACCTACTTGATTGGTTATGCAGTGAAGAGGCTTTGACTTCACTCGATAATACGATCAGGTTAATGCAAGAACTTACTGTGAAGAAGGATAAACTTTTTAGTATTTTCGAGAGCCAGCCGAAGAATGAAGAGCATCGCAAAACTCTACGATCTGGTAATCTATGACATTTTTGGATTTATGTTTCGTTTCTGAATCTCAGTTACTTACCAAACCTTAACTTTACTATCATAGGAAAACCATTGATTAATGGCATCGAATATAAAGTCAATGAAGAATTTATCAATCAAGCTGTCTTCCTGTCAGATCAGTTGGATATTAACGAGTATGAAGCTTCACGATTATTATTAAGTGGCATTGGTAAAAGGTCTTCCAGTAACCTCTGCCCTTTGGATATGGCTGTTTTCACCTATCACGACGAAAGAGGCTACGCATTAGCCATATTGAATTTTATACTCGAGTTTGCTAGTAATGATGACCTTGCTTCTGATATAAGGTCCTTATTTATAAACTTTGTGGGCGATAACTTTGACAATACGGATAACACCACAATAGTCAAGCGATTGTTAAAACGCGAAAAAGATATTGTGAACTCTATTAATGCTTTCACGAAAGATGGAAAATTGAAATCAGGGTTTGATAATAATTTCGCAAAATCTCAAACACAGCAAAGCCAACCGCAGCAGTTGCAGCAACAGACGTCGTTGTTCAGCCAACCACAAGCACAGCAACAACAGCCTTCGCTCTTTGGTAGCAGCCAACCTCAACAACAGCCTCAACAACAGGCTTCACTCTTTGGTAGCAGCCAGCCTCAACAACAGCAAGGAAGCTCTCTCTTCTCACAGACACAGCAAAAGCCTTCACTGGGTTCACAGATCCCACCACAGCAACAACAGCAGCAACAGCAGTTAAATCTTAAGGAAGAATTGACGTTCAACGATAAAACAGAGAAATTTCATATTAAGCGATTAGCTGATGAGCGAAACTTCCTAGTCCAAATCTTATACAATATGACTCATTTATACTGGTTGCGAGAAACAGATATCACAGCATTATTTTCACGAGTACAATCCGCCAACCTTTCAGATGCATCGTGTTCATACATTCTCACTGCGCTTTTTGCTGCAATATCAGTGCATCCCAAAGAACGAGAAGCGTATAATTGGACCAAGAATGACGAAATTTTGAAGAAAATAAACGATAAAGTCAACAGCACCACATGGAAAACAGGAATTTTGCAGGCAACTGTTCAAGTACAATGGGCTTTATCTGTGGATAAGATCAGCAAGACATACCCTAATATTGAGACAGTACTTTCGATGAAGGAAAAAGAACGTTTACAATATATGGAAGCGGCTGTAAATAAGGATGCATTCGGGTTTATGAATGACTATCTGTTATACTTCAAACAAAGGAAATTAGAAGAAGAGAAAAGAAATACAATTCAAGACATGGATATCGATGAAGCAGACATGATCATCGACGGTTTAGTGGTTGATCCTAATGATTATACGAAATTTGATGTTGATATCTGCCATGATTTCCAAAATTATACTGTATTGCAATTAGAATATTTGGCAGAATCCTTCATCTACGCAATGTCTAAATACTTTGACAATCTGAAAATGGCAGCAGTAACTTCTACAACTGATTTGTCGGAATTATCAACTGAATATAGATCCCCTTATACCACTTTACAGCAGTTTCTGACGTTATTGTCGAGTATTTATAAAGACCGTTTGAACACTGGTTTCAAATATTGGGATCGTACAAATGGATTGTCAACATTTGTAGCATATTTGATTGAATTTCAAGCACCTGAACTTTTTGCGGCTACATTCGAATTCTTGGGCGCCATATCCACAGGAGAGAAGTGTGCGCCTTTAGCTCATAATGTCCTAAAATCGGGCATTACTTTAGCTGACTTATCGTCCAGCCATCTCTTCTCGTGGGGTAAATTATTCTCTGCTCTTCATTTTTACAGCAAACAATATGCTGAGCAAACGGTCAAGGATGAAACACCTATTATCCCTGCAAACGAGGAAACAACACTGTGTAAATTCTTATATCTTTGTCAACAAGTGGTACAGTACAGTGCCGAAGCACGTTCAGCGATTTGGTACGACCCTATTCTTCGAGCCCATGAATCAATCGTTAGCATGATAAGTTGTCCTACCTCCACTCAATTGCGTACCTCGCTCTATGGTTTGTTAACAGCCTTCTGTTCTAATTGGGGTGGTGGTGTGGATCATATCGGTGAAAAAATTGCAATAGACGTATGGCAAACTTTGGAACGCTCTGACATGGTGATACCTAACAAAAACATGGTTCTAAGTTCAGCAGTTACTACTACAACATCTGTACCTGTACAATCGACCAGACCCAATACTTTGTTTGAGGGCAATGATGCTACGTCTTATGCTCAGCAATTGCACGCTCGAAACATTCTCAATAAGTCAAGCGTTACTACAAGGCTCAGAGATCCCGATTATGTTCCTTCCTATCTATTACCAGAGCAGCCTTCGGGGTTCTTGCATGAATTTGAGGATGAGAAGAGTAAAAAACTTTATACCGAAACCATTGCTGTATTGGATTTGCTGGCCTCTTTGATTCATACGCAAAGTAAAAGAGATTACCTAATCTCTGGATTCGTGCCAGATGTATCCTCTATTCCTTTCTGCCTTGGTTCTGATAACAACCGTACACCAGGTATAGCACCTTATATCTCTCTCGTAATCGATCACATTATGTCGTCTCTTAGAGATCTCTCATATACACACCCTGAAACAAAATGGCAGTTAACAGCTGCTTGTTTGCGTATTGTTGAAAATAGCATCATGTCGTTCAACTTCGAGCCAGTGTGTGCTTATATTCAATCTATTACACAGCCTCAATTCAACAAGAGTACGAACGAAAGCGATTCTATGAGAAACAGCATACTTGGAAATCGTACAAATGGTGAAGATGGGAATGTCTCTGCTAATGTACAAACAGCTTTATTGAGGTGTGTAACGCATCCTGGGTATGATATTATGATTCGACTTCTCTCCGGTAGTGGTTTACTGCATGAAATTTTTGACATTATTACTACGGATGAAGAAAAGAAGGATGAGGGCAACGTTGTGATGAGAACCAAGAAATATGATTATTATCGAACTTGTTTGACACGTTGTTTGCGTATTCTCAAAAGAGCATACATTGCTCAAAACATGTTTATCAACGTATTTATGCATCAATTAAGCCGTGCATCCAGTTCGTTGCCTATGGGTCAGTTCAAGTTAGGTCAATTCAGCTTCCCTACACCACCTGCTTCCTTACGTCCTCTTAGTGCGCTTATGTTAAGCAATAAAGAAGCCATAGTTCAAATTGCTTTAATGGTCAAGTACGAGCCTTCCTTGGAAATAAGTCACCTCTCCACAGATCTTTTGTCGTTGCTCGCTTCTAAACCCGATGAAAATACAGAAGAAATTAAACCCCTTGATCATGTCTATATACCACTTGGTGGTATTGGTTCTAAATTGGTTCAAATACTATTATCTAGTGATAAAGCAAACGAGATCATACTTAATGTGGAAGAACAGCTGGCAATTGAAACACCTGAAAGAATCACCTACGATGACTATGAGTTTGACATAAACGTTATACCATTTTGGTTGGCTGAAAAGACTTTAAAAAACGTATACAGATACAATCAAGACATTGAATACCGCTATCCGTCATCGATTCGTATATCTCTCATAGATGCTCTGATAAAGCATGCTGAAAAAGATATGCCATCTCCTAACCTAACGGAATTCTTACTAGGCTATGACGTGAAGGATATCAAATTAGAAGACGTACAACAAAGATCAATGGCTGATGCTGATCAATCACATTTTGCTTGCTTGGCTTCTCTTTTATCTATGCTTCGAAGAGGCACCCAATCGGCCACTACCAACAAAGATAATACAGAGGATGATAATGAAGCAGACAATCATAATCGGGACCCATTTATTCAATCGCACCCTATCTTAGCAGAAAAATGCTATCAGCTCGTTTATAAATTGTGCGCACGTGAATCGATATCTGCAGAGACACTAAATTATCTTCGACATAACGATAACTTCCTAATCGAGCAATTCCAACTGATTAAACATCGTTTAGAAAGCTCAGTTAAAGTGGCAGAGCCTTATTTTGCAGGTGAAATGATATCTTCTGGAGGACAAGTTGTCAAGACAGACTACTTTACTCTTGTTAATGCTTTACACCAACGTGCCTGGATATTGAAGCTGATTGCTCTCCAGTTACATCAAAGTGATGAAAAGTCAACAATGCTTCCCTTGCTCCGCGCACTTTATGGCGTGGATATATCCGATAGCGACATTGCTGGGCAACTTGAAAATCTTAGTTTAATGACAGGTTATCAGCAACCTCATTGCGATATGCTTGAAATCATCAGCTCTCTGGACTTTAAATGGAATGATGGATTAGACAGAAATCAGCAATTGGATACTCCAAGCAAATACTTTCAGAACGTCAAACCGGAAGATTACATGTTCAAAAAGGATGGGTACGAGCTTTATGATATTCGACGCATTTATCAGAAGCTTCGACAAATGCAAATCATCGCCCATGAGCAAAACGCTTTACCTGCTAATGAACAAACCGATTTGGAAATGGAGATGGGAGCTATTTTGAGACGTTTAATGGCGGATAACCATCATCGTGAAATTGAAAATGCTCGCTTACATTGCTTACGCGCATGGAAGCAAGTAGTGGAAGTCACTTTGTCTGATTGCATTGATACTTTCACCTTCGAGGCTCGTGAACGAATCATTTATGATTTGCTAACGGAATTATTGCCCAAACTTATCAGCGAAGATTATCTCCATATCGGAATTATGAAGGGGTTAAGCGAAGTGATTTTGAGCCTTTTGACGCGATTGCGTGAGGATAAGCGTCGTCAAACACTTCTTCAAATCATACCTTTGAACAATAACCAAGCAGTGTCAACTTCCGGCTTGCCCACTGAGAAACTAGGCATGGTTTTCAGCCTTTTAATCACTGCCATTCTCAGGAAGACATGTACTATTGAAATACGTAGTACATTGTATTCGGCTCTCATCAATTTACTTCAATATACCTCACCTGAACATCAAAATCACACAAGGAGAACTTCTTCAGCTGATCAAATTCGCCAGCAAGTAGTGGACATTATTCGAGGCGAGCACAAGGAATCCTTGCTAGATCTTATTTCTCAAGATGCGAATCAAGGCTTGGATGACTATAGATCTACTGCCTATGCTGCTCTGGAAGCCATCTATGTCTTTGTCAGTCAAGAAGGCGATTCATCTGTACTTACTTATCTTATGAGGAACAACTTTTTGAAGTATGCTATTGAATTCATAAGACGTTATGATGAAAGCTTTTTATCTTTGATTGAACACCGGGATAGTAAGTAATATAAAGAGCCAACTATGTCCTATTCCAGTTACTAACTGTGTGATGATATAATCAGCATCCCTTATACCTCTTCGTATCTATGAAGCACAAATATCGCTCTTCTTACAGTTTGCTTCAACGCGAGAGGGAGCTACCCTATTATTAAACACTGGTATCCTGCAGACCTTATCTAAGTGTAAATTCCTCAATGTCCGTATTGAAGAAGCTAGAAACAAAGGTGGGTTATAGATATATGTACACTATTTTGTACTTCTAAATGGCTAATGTTTGCCCTAAAAAATCGATAGACAACCCACGGGCCTTGGAACGTCATCGCCGCTTACTCAATCCCATTTTGGAACTTATTAACGTCATGCTAAAGAGTCTTAACAATATCCAAATATATGACACTACTCAGTTTGAGCAATGGATCGCAAAACAAGATGCTATTCTGGAAATTTTGAAAGATCAATACAAGCAAACAACGCTTTCTTCATTGTATACCCTTCAATTAGCCTCGTTAATGGTTTATCAACTCAGTTGTCGTCATGATTATTTCCTAGGCTTGGAAAACAGAGGTTTAGATATGATTGATTCTGCTATGAAAAGTTTGATTTCTAAATATGCCTTTTCAGGTGTTTGGATATCTGCTGTTGTATTAATTGACAAAGAGGAGGAGACTTGGGCTATTGATGAAACTCAAGGTAGTATAACAATAATACAAATTAACTTGCGAAAAATAATATCTCATGCTTGTATATATAGAAACAACCGATAAGCAAGGAAAGGAATTGTTCCTTGTTGTTAAAGCAGAGAAGCTCATGAACGATATTATGAACAATCTCTTGGCTTACGCTCGATTGTCTACGTTCAGACCTTACAAACTTACTGGTAAGTCATAGCTACATTTGGTACATGAAAACTTCAGGTTCCTTTAAGTGATAAAACATTCTATTTACTGCTTATAGGTTCCCGAATCTTTACGCCCATCTTTGCCAATTGTCTTGAGCCCATTGAGAATCAATCGCCTGCTCATTTACGCAAAGGTAGGCAAAGCGCGCGAGATTTTGCTTTAGGAGATGCACCAAAAAGCTAACAATACCGTTTCTTTATTGCATCAGCTTCTTTAATGACACCTTCTTTGACAACGCTTGCTGCTTGTATATCATTTGCCAGCAAAAAGTTGAATATGGCCATTAGTGCTTATGATTCACTTTGCTTACAAAAAGAGAACGTCACTTCTTTGAAATATGAAGAGATAATGGAAGTGGTTCATACAGCAATTCCTAAAGGGCTCAATATCGAATTTGAAAGCCTCAATCCTTCACAACAAACACATGTTTTGTCGACTGAATTGGCTCGACGCTGTCATTCAAAGAAAAAGGAATTGAACGACTTGAAATTCACGATTGAAAATGCTCTGTTTATTCTATGGCGACACTTGGAATTTTACTTGGATAGACACTCTATTTCTACTTCTGTGGAAATCAGTCCTTGTCAAAGATATGCAAACGAAAAGGTGATATTGCACCAGCAATCTTTCTTTCAAACTTCACCTGCTGTCATCAATCAACTGAAGAAAACTTGCCAGACTGTTCTGGAGCCACTTCTACTCAAGTTAGAATGTGTTCCTCGTTCTTATCTTGACTCTACTTTTATCGTAGAGTTATGTAAACGTTCAAAAAAATGCTTCAAAGCATGAATGCTAAGCATCAACTATTTTGAACGTACAATAATTTGAAATCATATTATGCTTTGTAAATAAATAATAGTCATTTGTATCGTACAATTCCTTTTTTCATCTTATTAAATTTTATTTATCCATCTTCATCTATGGAAGTGACGGTAGCTGAAGCAATCATGCTTCAATATTATCGGCAAAGAGATTCTAAAAGCACCTTCCATATCAGTTTTTCCAAAATTCTCCCTCCCTCTTCACTTTCCATCATACGATATGGTCTGTTATTAAACTACTAATTGCTGTATAAGTTTCCACGCAAATCTCTTTTCACTTAATCCCTATCAAGCATTAATGACGCGTTGTTTGAGTAAGCTACCCAATGCAACAAAACTGAAAGGGAGCAGCTGAAGACTAAATTACTGAAATAATGCAACTCCACTTCAAAAGTTGGTCCATTTGGAAAAGATCAGAAAAAGAAAAAAAAATCGAACGAGAAACCCACTTTCTTAAATTCTATTTTTCTTTTTGTATTAGATCACTTTTATATCCTCTTAAATCAAGTTTGAAGGGAATGTTTAGAAAGCCTGTAAACTGTTGTAGCAAATTTTATACAATCTTCGCTAATTTTTCTAGATCACGAACGTCTCAACAATTGCCATATCAAATCAAGCAGCAACAATCATTAAAACGATATTCCTCTTCTTACAGCAGCAGCAGCAGCAGTAGTAGTAGTAGTAGTAGTAGTAATAGTAGTAATAAAGGCGATAATGAAACAAAAACAAAAAAATTATCGCAAAGAGAAAAGCAGCAGCAGCAACAAAAGCCGAGTAATGCACCAGAAATACCTTCATTTATGCCTGTAGTCAACATCCCCATGTCAGAATTGGCCCATAATGCATTTTACTCCTTACATAGACCTTTATTTGGTCTCTCTATACCCGAACCATTCCTTCTTGGTGATATAGTTGGTCAAATAGAAAAAGAAGAGGAAAAAACAGACAATGACTCCAAAGGTAAGATATATGATCCTGTTTGATTGCAACATGGCAATATGTGTATTAACAAATATTTTAATGAGTCTAGAAGCACTTGCACAATATATGAGAAGTCTTCGTCCGTTTGAGCCCCCTGAGCTAAAACCTGTAAATATGACAGATGAAGAAAATAATGCAGAGAACAGCAATCAAAGCTTAGAGGGAAATAAATGTTCTACGACAACCACATTGACAATAGAAGTTGACCCTGCTTACTTTCTGAAACACAACAGTAATCATGACGAGATAGCAGATTACTTAACAGCAATGCAAGAGAAACTAGATCTATTATACGAAGAAAGAGATAAAATGACGGCCAAGGTAGCGGCAATAGCAGCAGGCTGTGTACCGATGAACAACAGTAAAATAGCACCTTCGAAAAAGAAACTTAGACGACTCAGAAAACGCAATAAAGGATTTTTCGAAAGAAACTAAAATAGATTCAACATTGTAATTTATCATATCCCGCATTCTACGTGCAAACTGTTACCAAATCAATTTGTGTCTTTAAACCCAAAATTTCAAAAAGCGCAAATCTTTGATTTTCCATATTTGTGAAAATGTCAGCTACTCAAACAAATAAATCCATGGTATATTGACGCTTCGTGATCATTTATCCAATGAACTCCCTTAAAATTTTTCTTTCTACGAAAAGTCAACAACAGCAGACGAGCAACTTTGTTTCAAAGAAAACAAGGTTAAACTGCGATATAATACTTTTGTATATCTGTTAAAAGCACTGTAGAAAGAGCTTTTTATTGATTCTCCTTCTCCAATCTCTTCATCAGTACCAACAAAGGCTATCGCATGAAGACAAACGATATGATTAGAAGTTGGTTATTTGCTGTGGTTACTTTATTGGAATTCATGTTTATGTATTAGCAATTAAATGCAGTGAAATGAGGCGAGAAAAAGAAAAAAGATATATAAAAGGATAAAAATAGAAACGAGCTGTTTATCGAAAGGTTATCACTACAATTATTTGAATTGATGAGGCATCATTCCAGGTCCAGTCAGCATAAGAGGATTGCCTATGGCACCACCCAAAGGAACTGTGGACGCTATAAACAGACCACGGTTGATTAGAGCCTGATCCAACTACAATGTTACGGAGAGAAAAAAGAAAAAAAAAATTTAGGGGCTTACCATTATCACTCGATGTTTCTTGTTTTGTGACCTTTTCTTTAAGCTCATTAACTTCCTTATCTAAGACAGAGATCTACAAAAATGGGGAATTAATAAAATAGAGCTATGTCACGTAGAAACTATGCCTTTCGATTTACCTTATTGAATTGTTCTCTCATAATATTAATCATATACGGCATAGCAAAATCGTTCAAACCGTGTCTCCAGGATAGTTCCATCACATAGTCAGGTCTCATTAAGTCGTAACATGTATAAAGCATAGCAGCGAAGCACTCACGTTTGCCAACCTCAATAAAGTATTGTAAGAGTTCTTCAGCAACTTCTCGATCTTTGGATTCGGCTGCAGTTTCCATAGCATCCTTGAACAAACGGTCTTCTTTTGAGAGAGCAATGGATTGTCTCCATCTTCTGTTCTTTTTGTAAAGAACTGCAGCAATACGACGGAATTCTAACAATTCATGCTTTTCTAAACGTTTAGCAAGATCAACTTGATCAATGTTATCATGATGATCGATAGAATCACGTAATGCTTCATAGTCTTCTTCTTCAATATAGAGTTCGTTCAAAGCTGTGTTTACTTCCTTATTGTTAACATCCTGAACAGATACCAAGTATTGTTTGATCAAGGGAATATTATCGGATTTTTCAAAGATTTGGACAACGCGAGAATGCTTGAGACGAGGAACGAGCACAGCAAGCAAATCGTTCAAAAGCAAAGGTTGTTCAGCAAGGTAGAATTTGAGTGCCTTGTAATATAACTCAACATTAGAGACCTTGACAATAATCTCCTTGAAAGCGCTGTGTTCCCATGCAACAGCAGAATGTTCCATCATGGCAGTAACGGCATTGTCGTATTCATCGTAATTGACGTACAAAAAGACAAGTTCGCGCCACAAGTGTACTTCATTACAGGCACGGATCACCTTTGGCATATTGATACGTGAGACGTAAAGTTTAAGGTGCTCCATCATTTGTTCAGGAGCATATTTAGAATAAAGGATGGCCAATTCTGTGAACATGCCCATATGAGCACGTTCTAAACCTAAACCAGCTTCTAGTAATTTGATAATTTCTTCGAAATAACCATTCTTTTCGTAAGTCTTAACCAATTCATCTAATTCTTCAGCATGGACAACGATGTTGAGGCCACAAATTTGTGCCAAACGGAACTCACGCTGACGGATACATTCAGCGTTGACTTCCTTCCAAACCTTAGTGGAGTTTGCCTTACGGGCACAGTCAACTGCACCTTGATAATCCTTCAAATGGACCAAAGTTTGAGCCAAACTAGCATGGTTGGAAATGCTGCTGTACAAAATTTTGGCAGCTTCGAACATACCAGAACGGAAACAACGATCACCAACTTCTTGAACTTGGGCAATGTTGGGAGTAGCCAAAAAGTCCTCCAAATCGGCCAAACGGTCAGTCTTGGAGAAGGCATACAATAATTCAGTTTCAATGAATGGCTCGCGAGAAAGTTTACGGGCTAATTGCAAGTATCGGACAAGATCATCATATTTGTCATCCATTGCGGCGCAGCGAGTGACTTCCATGTAGTTAGAGGTGTCGTTGGCGCGAATGTAGGAATCAATAGCTTCCTTAACGCGCATTTGATCTAGTTGAGCCTTAGCAAGCTTGCTCCAAACATCAGGCTTATCAGAACGTTCAGCAAATTCATAAGCACGATCAAGGTCACCAATCTTCTCAATCAACACATCCATGGCGCTACCCTCTACCTTATTCTTCTTGTAGATAACAAAGGCTTCTTCGAACAAGTTTTCGCCAATACAGACTTCAGCAACATCAGAAGCATCAAAATTGTCCAATCGATTGATGTAATCCATGACACGAGATGGATCAGCCTTCACAGCGGTGAAAATCAGTAAGTTTTGAAGAGTTTTATTATCGCTGAAAGCACTGTTCTCCAACACGATCTTTTCCAAAAGTTCGATCAATTCGTTGGGCAAGTTAGCGGCCATGAAAGCTTTGACAGTGCTGGAGACATCATCGGGGTCTTTACATTCAGGAAGCGCAGCAGCGACAATTTGATCGATCAATTCACGACGGTGTTCATTATTTTCATTAAGAACAGAAGCCCAAAGAGCTTCATCGCGACGCTGAACGAGGTAACGAGCTTGATGCTTGAACATTGAGTTTTCGGTAGTAATGTTAACCAATTCATAATCACATTGACCCTTTCGATAACAGATGAAAGCCAAGTAAGGATCGCGCTTTTCACAGTATTTACCAATAGTGCGAGGATTGTAGTATTCATTTTCCTTGAGGAAAGGCTCGGGGTTGTTGTTAGTGTCGATGTAGATTTTGGCCAAAGCATTGTAAACTTCAGGATCGGTGCTACCAGCAGTAACACGCATGTTCAGCCAAGGCAGCAACAATTTAAGGCGGTTTCTTTGTTCGACTTCTTCACAGAGCTTATCAACAGGAACTTCTCCTTGAACGGAGAGCAATAAGTTTTTGATGGTGTCTTCATCACATCCGACATCTAGAAGGCCACCAATGACCTCAGGAGTACGGGAGGGGTTGACCTTTTGGACGTAAGTCTCGATAAAGTTTTGCAGATTGTTATGATAAAGATAGAGAACGAGATCATGGACGAAATTAAAACGATCGCAAACGATGATGAGGGGAAGTTGATCAGTAAGCTTGGCCTCCTTCAAGAAATTTTTGACCTTTTCAGCGTCGTAATAGGTACTTTCGCGACAGATACGCTCGGCTTCACGAATATTACCGGTACGACAAGCAGCTTGAATGTACTTGAAATGCACTAAACCATCCTGACTCATGTTGACGATAGAGCCAAGATAATAGTAAAGACCCTCATTACTCTTGAAAGATTCAAAAAGATCAATCAAGTTGTGAGGCTGAATTTGGTCAGAGTATTTAATAGCAATTTGAACAACAATTTGAAGATTTTGACGAAGGTTGATATTGAGCATTTCCTTCAAACATTCCAAAACTTGGTCAACAGAGCGATCACCAAAGTAATTGACGAGCCATTCAGCGTTCATTTGATGAGTGTAAGGAATAATGCGTTTAATGTCATGGATATCGGTATAATGTTCCAAAGCCTAATTTTATAAAAGCCATAGACATTAATTGATCAAATCTGCGTCGCTATATATATACTTATGTTCAAGATACTTACACGTTGATATAAACCAGCCTTTTCACACAAATTACCAACTACAACCTTATCGTAATGGGTGAGCATGCCAGTACCCAAAATAGCATCAGCTACTTGAGGAGCATGTATCAAATTCATCTCAAGTACACGAGTCTGGAGTGCAGCATCTTCCTCTCTGTTACCCTTCAAGTAATCTAACAAGAAAGATGTAGCTTGTTGAATCATGCTTTGAGATTGGAAGACATCAACGACCTTTTCAGGATCAATCAAAGGACCGTTTTCATCATTTACAAGTGAGGTAGCAAATTCAGCTGCTTTCTCTGGATCTGTACGAGCAATGTTGTACAGCAAGCTGGGATAGTCAGGTGTGAATCCAACAGTCTTTGCATAAGCCAAGATTTTTTCATATTGACGATTTTCAGCCATGCAAAGAACAACTTTGTTGGGCACTTCAGCACGTAAGTACACAGATAATGCTAGAAGTGAGTCATATTGCTTGACAAAATCACCAAGTTCCTCACTGCATTCTAATTTATCTTCCTTCAACCATTTTTCCAAAAGTTCTTTACGGTTTTGTTGAAGGATAGGCTTAGCAAGTTCAAGTGATTCGTATTTGTTGAGAACGCCCTTTTCGAGAAGCGTGCCAAAATATTGTAAAATTGGAGGTAATGAGCCAGGGGCTGCAGGAATCTGTCTGAACTTTTCAATTGTTTCTGTTGTACGAAGAATACCCTATGGAAAAGTCGTTAGAATATGATTTTCGCAAAAAGTGATAAATTACACTTACTCGTGGTGAGTTGGCAGCGACTTTAGCAGCCTCTGTAAAGTTACCGGAGGAGAACAATTGATTGAAACGGGCAACATACAAATTATCGGCACCAGGAAGACCACCACGAGAAGCCAGCTTCAGAGCCAATTCTGTATTGTTTAAATTGTTGATGATATAAGGTACAATGTGCTCTTCATCAAGGGACACGGAAAGAACCTGTACAATTATTGGAGTTTATGTAAATCTTAAGGCTATGCATCATCTCGGTGAATCGTATGATATATTGCTCTACTTACTTGACCCTTCTTATTAACACCAATAATACCTGATGTACTTTCATATTCAGCAGTGACGAAAATAGTTTCGCTGCTGATTCGGTTCATGTAAATACAGGTACCAGTTTCAAGATCGTAAAGATGAATGAAACCTTGCTTGGTGATCAAAAAAATGATACCATATTTGTGACTGATTTGCATAGCAACTGGGAAATCAACAGCGGCTTCAGGAGGGAAGAATACTTCGACCGCTTTCTTTTGAAAAGGGGGATTGGTATCTGGATGATCTACTTCGATAATTTGAAGCTATAAAATTGAATGGGAGAATAACATGAGTTGAAACTGCAACTAATTATAGAGACCGACTTTCGCTCAAACTCCTGGGTAATTGTGTACCCATCATCATACCTTAGCGCTGCCGTTGGCAGAGCGAACTGCAAATGTAAACAATTTAGTAGGTTGAGGGCAACCTTCTAACTGAATTTGAGCAAAAGCAGCAGCATGGCCTTCAATAGGTTGACTAACACCGCGATCTTTGGAATATAGTTGCATAGAGCCATGCACACGACCATCTCTGGCAGAAATACCGATGAGCACGTACCATTTTTGATCAGCAGAAGCCCGGAGATTAATAATCTGTACGCCTTCGCCTTGTAAACTGACATGTCTGTCGAATAATCTTTGGGGAGCAGATTCACCTTCAATGGACCATTGATAAACATGATTTGCAGTAACAAGACCGATAGTTTTATTATCCAACCATTTCCAAAACACAACATCCTCAGCCATCATATGAGACTTGAGCTTCGTCTTTAATTCGAGGTTGAAAACTTGGAGTTGTCTTTGAGCTGTTTTTTTTGCATTTAAATATAGACAGACAGTGATAAACAAATGAATTTTGTGGCTCTCGGTTTATATTATTGGACAATATGTTCTGTTTTGTGCTCGAATCACCTACCTTTGAGAGCCATAACCTTGGCAGTTGGATGCATAATAACTGAATCGGCGGTGATAGGACGACGAGTAATTTCATTATTATTTTGCAGGTCAATAATTACAACTTGGTTTTGGTTGTTGAACTGTTCACGGACACAGATGAAGCGGTCCGATTCCATGGTCAAAGTGGTGAAAGCGATACTAGCTGCATTAACACCAAGGTTTTGCAACTAAAAATCGGAAGATGTATGAGTTTAAGGAAGGATGAAGAAATACAATGAAGTCGCGGCAAAAACAGCCGTGGCATCCGAATTTACCTGTGTATGCTCTTGAAATTTTATGGGTAACTGTTCGCTCATCTTGTCCTGAATTGGATTAGCAATGAAGCAGGAGGAGGAAAAAAGGGAAAAAAGTTAGAATTGAGATGGTTCAGGTTAAAAAAAAATGTATAACTCGACAAGAGTAAATCTGCTGCTTACAATATTTGCTCTCTGCTTTCCTTTTCCAAAAAAATTATAATTTTAGATTTGAAAAGAAGAGGCTAAGATACAATAACAATAATTGATAAGCTAGGAAAGGAAAGTAAAAGACACGACAATGATGAAGACTGCAGAGAAGCGGCTAATATACTCTCAGACGTCATCTCCCAGCAGTTCCCAATAACCGGAGCTACAACCTCGCGTAAAGTTGAGAAATGTGCACAGTAGGTATCAGGACCTTAAGACACAGAAGATTTAGAGTCGGAGTATAAATTTGCAGGCAAATTTTCCTTTCCGGAAAAGTATTTTTGGAAATTACAGTGTTTTAGCTTCAACTTTACACTTTATACAAATTTTATTGGACAATATATATATACAATTTAGATAATTTTAAATTATTTTAGGATGAAATGGTATAATATTCTTGGACGATTTATTGAATAAATAATTGTAGACATTATTTTGAAGGTCAGTGGACATTTTTCAATTGATAGTGGCATTACTTTAAAGTACTACGAGACGTAATGAGTATTTTAGTGTAAAACAGGTCTTATCAGCAATAGATACATGGTTGTGGTTTACGAGACTTTATTTATGGATCATATGAATTGATCTACGCGTTAAACTAATCCCAGACACGTTCTTCCACCGCGTAGATAACGGTCGTTGTTGTCAATCCTAATAAAAAATAAGATGTTGTCAAACTAGCATTTACAGAAAATAAGTTTGACATCTTTCCTTTGATTTCCATCTTCTTCTTCTTATTCTTCTTTCATCTTTCTTTCCTCATCCTGATAGCTACTACTCAGCATGTACAAAGCCAAAATCTTGCAAAAAATCAAATCGGTGGCAGAAGCCCATAAGAATAAAGTCAAAGATGAGTCCTTCCGTAAGTAACACATGAGCGCGCTGCCACAAATAAGTTATAGTAGTAATCCTCAGATTATGTTTTGTATGACTAGTAAACATCGAGTGCAAGGATTGCAAAACACTCGGACATTTCAACAAGGCATACCATGAATGCAAGTTTTACAAAGCAGTTTCTGCGGCTGATTGGTAAGTATCATGCTCTCACTGCAAGACAAGTTTATGTTTGCTTAACGGAAATTTAGTTGGAAGTAGCGGTAAGAAACGTAAGCAATCAGCTACAATCAAGGAAGAAAAGAAGCAAGCAAAGAGAAAGAAGAAGCAAACAACTGGAGATATCAAGTGTATCAGTTGTGGCTTAAAGGGTCATTCTACTTCTCGTTCTCTCGAATGCCCCAATCACATTGCTTCAAAGGAAGAAGTTATCACCTCGACGCTTGGAGAAGGCTCCACTGTATTCACGAGGAAGCTCCCTCTTACGTCTGCTGTAAAGCCAGCGTTTCGCGAACAATTCCAAGAAAAAGTCATCTCTTGCTGCTCTGACATAAGGAGAATAGTATTCTCTAGTCAATTATTCGTTAACTCGTACCTCATTCATTATCAGGAGAATAGAAGGAATGCTAACAAAGGCGACAAGAAAGACACTGATAAAAACAGCAACAAAGGCAGTAAAGAAGCCAACAAAGAAGACAGCAAGAAAGACAGTAAAGAAGCCAACAAAGACAGGTCTATTCCTGATGTATTCTGCCAGCAATTCTGGTATTCAGTTGGTCAGCTTATAACGGGCAAGCAAGTTACTCACAAAACGGCATTATCCGAGGACATAAAACAGTATTATACAGACTTCAAGGCAAAGTTCCCTACTATCGAAGTAAAACACAAGCTGACCGTGGGATATAGTCATTGCCTTACAGAGGCAGCAAAGGAATTGAGCGTCTCTTACACGAACTCCATTGTAGAGCGCTTCGAGCAGCGCTTAACAAAGTTCCTTACTTACAAGTTGAGAACTATGCTCCCGGTAAGGCTGTAACCGAGTACCTTCTTAATGCTCTGCTGTTTTATTCATTTTATTTCTCTTTATACACATTCTAGAATATCAAACGCACTGATGTATAAAGAATTGTACAGCTGTATTGTTACCAATCTGTCTGTCATGGTCATCCTCATTGGCCAGAAAACCTCGAGCTGGCGGCTGTTGACAAAAACCGAATTGAATTACTCTGCAAACAATTTGAAGAGTTCATTCCAGGAGAAGTAACCCTCGTTTCTCTTTCTGCTGCTCCTGCAAAGTTTGTTAATGCGTTATGGAACATACAGTTTACGTACGAGCAAGAACATATACAGCATAAACCGTACGATGTCCGTGTCCTACCACTTCCTCAGCGTTTCTTTCTCTTTCCTACTCCATCGCTGAAATGGCGTTTCATCGCGATAAGTTTAAATGCTCTTACACCCTTCATGTTTCCCGGAAAAGTTGCCAAGGGTTATACAGCCCAACTCGAACAATTCTGTAAAGTCTTCGACTTCAAAAAGTTTGGCTTTAAGAGGTAAAACTATAGAAGAACTTCTTCAGCAAAATTATGCCTAGTAGTAAACACACCCCTATTTTTGCTTCTGTCATAGTCTAACCGCTTTGAAGGAAAGTTCTGATGTAATGTTTCGAAACATGGTTAGGTCGGACGGCTTTACTGTAGACTTTTTGTTCAGCCGCAAAAAGAAAACAAAAGAAGACATGACCATTCATAATCATACCTTGACTTTGGAAGATTTTTCTTATGACGAAGTACAAGACAATTACAGACCCGCTTTCCTTGATCCAGGGCGAAGATCTGTCTTCACAGCGGCAATCGGACTAGATCATAACAAACATCAAGTACGCAGCTGCTCTACCAAGGAATATTATCATATGACCGGAAGTATCAGATACGCTGCAAAGCTGGAAAAGAAGAAAGCAGGCACAATTAAAATGATCGAAAGTGGCATACCAACCGCCAAAACTTCTATCATCGAACAACATGACCGTCATGTACAATATATATTGCAGCACTTCGAAGCCTTGTTCTCTTTTTACGGCGAGGGAACTGCTGAAGACAGATTTCGTTTATACCAGGGTCAGGAGCGTGCTGCCAACAACATGGTCAATTTGCTTATTAATGGAACCACAAAGTACAATAAGCAATTGAGGTTGAAGAAGAAGAAAGATCGAAGCAAGTGGCCAAAGAAGAATACCGACAGAATGGCCTTTTGTAAACGTAAAAAGAAGAAGAAGAAGAAGCAAAAGGTTCCAGAAGAGAAGGAAGAAGCAGATGCGAGAGAAGTAAGCGATGTTCTCGCTAAGAAAGATAGGTAAGGTTTTTAAATGATAAGCAATTCATCCACTATTCGCAGAAATATTGATAGAACTCATGCTTTCTACAGTAATCCCCTGAAGAACAAGTGGAAGCCTGAACCCTTTAGTGCAGGCGACACTAAAAAGATCCCTTTGATTGTAGTTGGTGATGGCATGTTCGGGAAGAGTGCAGTGCCCATCAAAGGCCATAAGACTGGTGTCGTTGGTGTTCTGTGGCGTGCATTGAAGCGAAGAGAGGCTGCTGGTGATCTCCTTGCCGTTACAATTGATGAATACTTGACATCACGCATATGCAATTGTTGTCGCTCAGACACATTGAAAGCATTAGACACCGTGCGTGGCTGTAGTATCCTTGTTTGCAAAACCTGTAAGATACTATGGAACCGCGATGTCAATGCAGCAAAAAACATGATGGCCATCAGCATTTCGGTATGGAAGTCAACGGGAAGACCTGCGGAGTTTTCTAGAAAACCAAAATCACCCGCATCAACCACTTGAACACCATCCTCTAATCGCCAGCACGAAGCTGGTTTGATTTTTACAGGTAAGCATCTCAATTTTTGTGTAGTTCAATCTTGAAATTATAACTTGAAGGTCTCAAAAATTTACTTTTTTCGTCTAGTTATATTGCGGCTTCGTCTAAACCCAAAGCTAAAAAACTGTAATGCAGCATCGCCAATTATCTGATATTGAAAGTAGACCGGCAGTGATTTGGTAGATCAAATTAAATGACAGAATGGCTCAAAGAGCCAGCTTCTGTGGGCACCAGCGATGTTCACCAGCCATTCTCCTTTGAAAATAAATCAATCCCACGTGTTGTTGTGCACTTCAAAATTTGTCGTGCGATAAACTTATCCTGTACCAAAAATTCAAAGTCAATGTATTTCAGGAAGGCCAAACAGCACAATAAACGCTACTATCATGATGACAATAGCATCATTGTTATTCATTTCGTATTGTTTCTTCGGATTAGATGGCGTCGTTACAGACTAAATATAGATTGGGCGTAGCAAGCTCCGGCTAGAAACATATGATTGCTAACTATAGGCAATTAAATGCTAATATATTTGATTCGAAATGAAGTTTGCATGCATTTTATCTTTTTAAATTTTTTTGATCGAATTTCAGGTACACATTACACATACATACACAAATAAACACAAACAAAGCAGTACACTCCCGTGACGTCAAATACGGAAAGAAGAACAAACTTTAGTGTGTAAAGAAGAAGACAATAGGATAAGGGAAAATTCTCAACCTCATGTTTTCCCTTTGTTCTAGCTATTTGAAGCCTAAAAAAAATTAAAAATCACAACTGTACTACTTTTTTCTCATAAAGAACCTAATCACAAAGCAAAAGTGAAGAAGCCCCATGTCTGCTGCTTTTCTTGACACATTGAAGAAACATGATCTCGATCAGGTAACTGTTTGTCTTTTTCTTTGTTCCTCAAAAGTCGTCAGTATTTGAACTGATAATTTCCTTTTAATTTTTTCGTTCTATTTTTTGGTTTATTGTTGTATAGTTTTATACGACGTACGAGAAAGCGAAGCTATTTATAAATAATTATTGACATCAGCTTGCGCCAAATGACCACTTACATATACCTCTCATCTTAGGTTCGCCAACAATGGCATAACTCATCTGCAGAGTTTAGCGCAAGTAAGAATTAAAATATGATTACTCTTTAGAGTAACCCAGTTGATATTGAGCGTATATATACCTTTCCAGCTCTCTCTGCAAGACTACTCGAGGCTGGGAATAACAGACACTGTGGATCGAAGGAAGATTTTTGGCCTTGTGCAGGCTATACGTAAAGATGCAGAACTTAACAGCAATAACAACAATAATGGCATCAATGATCACATCAATATAGCATATAATCGGTTAACTGGTCTATCATCGCCAGTCACTCCTACCAGTACAACTTACCATAACAGCACTTCTAGCTCTGGGCTGAGGCAGCCTCAAAGCTATGCCACTGTTAGTACGGCAAGTATAATGAATAGCAGTCGTTTACCTTTACCGGAGAGTTTTACCAATACCTCAACGGCTTCGAGTAATAGCTCCTGCAGCAACGGTAATAATACAAACCGATACAGACGCCAAAGTGTGCACCAGAGTAGCACCAATAACAGTAAAGCGCTTTACTCTTCAAACTCAGTGAACTACCATCATGATCGACCTACTCGGAGCCGTACTATGTCAGATGCACCTCGACCTGATTTCACTATTAGCAGCAATGCGAATCAACAGCAAAGAACGTATATTAAAGACCGCCGATTGGAATTAAGGCGGTCGCTCTATTTAGATCAATACCAGTATTATCCTTCAGATCAACAACAACAAATAAATAATAGTAATAAAACGATAACAGCAGTGGAAGATGAGGAAGAGAATGATGCAGAAGAGGGGTCAAGAGTTTTAAAATCTTCTGCTCCACTCTTGGACGCTTACGGTGTACCTATGTCTCCTGCGAAACAGCAACAACAACAGGCAAAAACAGCAAGCAGTAATGATCCTTTTCACTTACCAGCTAGTGATTTGAATCAAAAAATACGTGTTTGTGTAAGAAAGAGGCCGTTAAATAGAAAAGAATTGGATAAGGGTGACAAAGATGTGGCGCCTGTGACAAGCTCAAGGAGTTTGCAAATTAACGAGCCCAAATTACGGCTGGATCTCACAAAATACACTGAGCAACATTCGTTTATATTCGACGATGTGTTTGACTTGAACTGCCCCAATAATATAGTCTACGAAAGAACGGCTTTACCGCTTGTCAGTTACATATTTCAAGGAGGCAAAGCAACCTGTTTTGCATAGTAAGTTTGAATGTTTCTTCATTTCTATTCAAGGGTGTCAATGTTGATCTCCATATTTATATAGTGGACAAACAGGCTCTGGCAAAACGCATACAATGTTGGACCCTAAACAGGGATTGTATATTCTTGCTGCTAAAGATATATTTGCTATGTTGCGTAAACCAGAAAATCAACACCTGTCAGCTTGGATCGGTCTGTATGAGATCTATCAAGGCCAGCTTTATGACTTGCTGAATGAAAGAAAGAAACTGTTTGCAAGAGAAGACGGAAGGAATAATGTCATTATAACAGGACTCAAAGAATATCCGATTGATAACGTTGAGAAATTGATACAAGTGTTTGATTATGGAAGTAGTATTCGGAGTACAGGCAGCACTGGAGCAAACGATACATCATCGCGTTCTCATGCCATTCTTCAGATTTTACTGAAACATAAGATGAATCGAAAAAAGATACATGGCAAATTAAGTTTTATCGACCTGGCAGGCTCAGAAAGAGGCGCTGATAGAGGTGAAGCTGATGTGAAGACAAGGATGGAAGGAGCAGAAATCAACAAAAGTCTGTTAGCGTTGAAGGAATGTATCCGTGCTTTGGATTTAGATAAGAGACATACACCTTTTAGACAGAGTAAGTTGACGCAAGTGCTAAAAGATTCTTTCGTGGGCCATTCAAGAACCTGCATGATCGCTACCATCTCACCCAGTGGCTCTAACAGTGAGCATACACTAAATACACTTCGTTATGCGGATCGTGTAAAGGAGCTTAAGGGTGATCAGGGAGGTGCTAGACGCTCGTCACCTATTCAAAAGACTTCTGCTGGATCGAATATGTATATGCAGCATCCAGGAATGAAGAGCCCTCGATCACCATTGAAAGATGATGCAAGTTATACAGATGATGATGACTTGTTACAAGATGATGATCTGGATAATGATGATGACGAGTTTTTCAGTAATGAATCAGATATTCTTGATGATGATACTTATGACTTTGACGATGAGGAAAATATTTTAGATGTCGATTTCCCACATGAACATGAAGAAGAATATCTCAGGGAAAGCACTCATTTTTTGACTTCGAACACACAACACAGATCTTTACAAAAGCAGCATGGAATGAATTCCACTATGATCAATGATAATACCACCGAATATTCACACAGATCTCATCAAAGACCGAACTCTATATCCTTTACTACGCAACAACAGCAGCAATTATTACTTCTGCAGCAACAACAACAACAGCAACAACATCATCAGCAACAAACTACTCAAACCACGTCCACGTCTTCTAATCGACCTTTATCACTGCAAATCAAACGATCCTTCTCGACCGTTCCACGCTCATTCTCTCTGTACGCATCAACCTCATCAAATGCTACTTCTTCTACGCAATCTTCTACTGTATCTAAGGCCAGTCATGTCACTCGTGATAATCATCCGTACGATTCTGTAACATCAGCAACTTCATCACCGAAACAGAACTATCGTAAGTCATCACCCCAACAAACACGTCTCCAAACAGCGCAGCATCATGTGCAGTATATGCAGCAACATCTTAAGGAAACACCGACGTCCAGTTTTACTGACCCCAACACGCTCATTAGCGATAGTAGTACCAGTAACAGCAGTGTCAGTATCATCAGTAATGAAAGCAATAACAGTAACAACAGCAGCACGGTACAGCATAACCTGACAAAGGCAAACATGCCAAGCTTTATAAGTTTCGAAAAAATGGATGAGTTCATCAAATTCCATCGAGCGGAAATCAGGGAGATAACAGAATGCACCAAAAAGGAAACGAAACTAGTCGCTCACATTTCATTGGACGTATCTTCTACAGCAGAGTCATCACCAGCATCAACGCTCTTTTTAACCAATGACCAGCAGCAGCAACAACAACAACAACAACAACAAAATGAACCACAGCATGAACCTCAAGTAACCAACACAAAAACACAAGGACAATTTATTAAATATTTACAAGATTTGGATGAAATATTGGAGCATAAGCTAGCAGCAATTGAAGCGCTCAGGGACCGTATAAGTGAAGCTGTAGGTCAAATTGACATCGTCTGAAAAAATCGGCCATATCCTAAGACATATATATTCCCATTTTTCTATTTTTCCATTTCTTTTCATTGATAATGCCAAGTGGAGATGGGTCAACAAAAAATCCAGAAATTCCACTAGCTTAATAATTTAAGGCAGAACAAAACCATGCTGAAAGGGCGCCTCTTTCACTATCACTTAAATGACCTCAATAATCACACTATATACATTGAGCACACAATACAATTTTAAAAAAAGAAAATTCACAGAAAGAGCTTGATATAACTGCTACTTTATTTTTTGAGGACGGCATTATGATAAAAATGGTATGAACAATAAGAATAAGTTACGATGGAATTAAAAAAAAAAAAAAGAGATAATTACAATTAATAAATTACAACGGGGATCTTAAAGCGAAACGAGAATATAGACAACGTATGAAGTTATTATTTTTTTAAGCAGAGGCAGTGTGAGTAGGTTTAGCGGGACGAAGAGCAGTGGCCGTTTGAGCAGGCCTGGCGCGAGAAGCAGCAGCGCCGGAAGCTGAGGCTCTAGCTTGAGCGGCTGCTCTAGACGAAGATTGTTTCTTACCCTTCTTCTTTTGCTTCTTCATGAACTTTCTACCATCATCCAAAGGATCAGTATCCTTTAAACTGTAAGTATATGTGAAATGAGGGTCGTATGAATAAGTAGCACTGAATTTGGGACGGATAAAGGTATGTGTAGGAGCAGCAGTGGGAATAGGAGAGGGATAGCTATCTGAAGCAGCAGTGGGAAGGATAGAAGAAGGAGAGGCAGACAAGATAACAGTAGTGGCAGGTTGTTCGGAAGCTTGAGGTTCCGTAGCAGGGCCAGCATTTTGAGATGTAGCAGCAGGAGCAACTACAGTGGGTGTGGCGGGTGGTTGAACAGCAGGTTGTTGTTGGTCAGCAGGCTGCTGAGGAGCGGGCTGCGCATTGCTGGGTTGAGCAGCAGCAGGTTGGGAACCTACAGTTTAAGTTTGTTGTTTAGCAAGTGATTGCTCACAAGCAGTAGCAGGAGCATTGACAGCATGAACCATCATAAACTTACCGGCAGTCAAATCAATATCAATGACTTGGCGTCTCTTTAATTGTTGAGGAATGACAGTGCCACCTAATCTAGGGTTTCTGATTTTGTTACTGATTCCATAATTGTTAGTTACACCATCAGTAACTGGTTGAGTAGAGGCCATCAAGGCAAGAGAAGCAATGATAGCTAACGTTAAGAATTTACAAGGAATATGCATTTTCCTAGGTAAGAAAGATGAGGATATCTCTTTAAACAAAAAGTAAAAAAACGTGAAAGAGAAAAGTAGATCAAATGAAAGAATATAACAATTAGATGCAGATTTAGCACTGCTTTTATATGGCTATTTTTCTAACCCAATTTTTTTTTCCAGGTTGATATATGCTCAAAATCCAAAGTTGAAACATCTGGCCCAAAAATTATAAGGGACGAAAAGCCCGATCGCGTTCTAAATAGAAATTACTCGTGACAGGCAAAGGAGTTCCTTCCACTTTTCATGAGCAGGAGTTCAACAAAAAACAAAAAAAAAATTCAAGTTGGGATATATGCAAACAAACGTTTTTCTGTGCATAATGTTCGTACAACCTCCAACTCAATCTCTGCATATTCTGGATTCTTGTATCTATAACCTGAAAAAATAATTTATATCAAAACTTTAATAAGCAAATTACACTTCTTACTGAAAATGTTAGTGTACATTCTTCTTCCTTGAATTGAAGCAATAGAAATTATGTTGCACGCATAAAAAGGACTCATTCGAAACGACCAGTTGACTGTGTTTCAAACGAAAAGCAGATATTTCAGGTCGGGTTTCCCCGTAGACCTGGTTCTAACTGAATACAACAGTTTTTGTTGGAGAACTAGCTTTTGACTGGCAAATATAAAAAAAAAAAGGTTATAATTGGAAGCAGTAATACTAAATAAACCATGCATAGCAGAATACTTTATATACATTTAGAGTTTTTTGTTCTTCGCCAAATGGAGAACAAATGGTTAACACTTGCATTTTTTTCATTTTCAAGCATTTGTAACCCAGGGCCAACCCCGCCTCTTCCGGAAATTTTTGTAGTTTCTGTGTCCAAATCTACCAGAAACTTTTAATATCTTTTCTCAATTTACTTTTTATGAGCAAGTCTATACATCATTGATCTTCAACGAAAGAACGTGCATTTTTTCCATTTTGAAATTGTATATAACTTTTAAGCGAATAACCGATTTTTGGGCTTTTTTCATTCAAAGGCTGCAAAGGACATATTATCACTTCCCATTATGATAAAAACTGTACGGGAATCCCCAACTTAGGGTACAAAGAAACATTACAAATCAAAATAGACCTACTTTTGTTTACTTTGTTTTTTTCTTTGTTTATTTCTAACTTGCCAGTAACGGTAGTTCCTGTCGGATAAGAAAAATAAAGAATAAAAAAAGAGCCACAGAAACGAACATTTGAAATGCTTTCTTTTTGTAAAGGCTGCTGGTTCCTGTATCATGACAGAGAACAACAGCTCAAAATTGGTCTGTCTGTTTTGAAAAGAAAGTTTTCCATGAAAAGGAACAAACCTTTCTACGTTCGCTCCTGATCTGAAAAAATGGTCATTTGGAAGTATGTTGTTATTGCTCATCGATCAGATCTGAGAAGCGTTTTCGTTGTACCTTTCCGTTCCATATGAGTTTATTCAAAATCACATGCTATATGTAGCCAAATTAAGACTGTATTTTTTTTTTTTTGGGATTCACTCACTAAGGATTCGATCGTTCTGACTATGCAAACAGAAGAGTAACCGATAGAAAATTGACATTCAAATAATAAACAATACATCATTGGAAGAGACGTGCGTGTAACCCATTGTTAACAGTCAATTACCATATTGAGTTTTATGCATGAAGTTTAGCTATTTTTAATTCTCAAACAGAGACAGCAATGACAGTGACGTAGATGATCAATGAGCTTAATTCTTGGTGGCTCACCATATTCGAGGTTCTTCTATGCCATCAACATTTAACAGGACAATTAAGTGCATCTCAACTGAGGAAAAAACTGAGCACAGACAACTGTGCGTGAACAGATATTTATGTAATGCCATAGTTATATATCAATCGGAGTGTGCAAAGTCAATTGAAGAAATCCTCTACTCTTTGTTCGGTTTGTACATGATAAGCTTTGGCTATAAAAATTAAAACATTTGTATCTGCCATCACGTTTATTTTTAGCTTTGCAACCAAAGCGACGAACAATAAAAGATCAGTTCTTAAATGACCCCGATAGTTAACAGTGTCTCTGCTATTAGCCAAAACGCACAGCCGCTTTTGTAGTGCGATTGGCTCAGCCCCCAGAATGTTTAGTCATTTCTGCCTTTCTTTAACAATACGTGAGTTTCACTGTTGATCATTGATCCAAATATAATCGTCTTAAATGTGAGTTTACAAAAAAGTTCTCTTCCATCCGCTCCAATCCAGGCTATTTCTTCGTTTTTTGCCATCAAAGCTCAAAAGATTTCACTTTTGCCCATCTAAGTTTGATAATTAACTTTTGTTATTTCCCAAAACTAAAATTTTAGACGCGAATTGGCTAGAATCCCCAAAAAGTGCAAAATCAGATACAGAGTAAGGTAAAGGTAATTTTAAAAATAGACAATGGTTATCTGCATGTATTACGGATTTGGCCTATCAGTATTTGACAAAACAAGCAATTAAAAAATTGAAAATACTATCCATGTTATCAAAGGCGCGTATGAAGAAACCACACTAATATTCAACGACCATAAAAGCTCCATGGACAGAAGTGCTTCATTTGACCCCTCTCCAAACCACCGACAAATGACATATAATGTAACATATACATTGAACGAACTAATTCCTATTGTCCATGTAGAACGAGCAGCGTCCAATCGAATAGCAGTATTTTTCGGCACTAATAGTAATAATGGCTCTTAATGACAAAGATAGCGCTAAATAATTAAGCAAGAGTATGGCTCGAATTGCCATTTTTTACGCGTCATAGCGTACCTATTCTTATAGATATACCATTATCAATGTAAATGGTGAAAGCATAAAGATAATGTTGCTTATATTTTTAGCCCTAATTCACTGGTCAGTAGGCTTGCGAAGCTGATCCTGAACTCTTGATGAGGATATTGACGACTACTCTCGGTGACCCAGCTCTGTCGATTGACAATTCGATCACGATTGGTGACAACGACAAACACACCGGTAATGCAAAATTAAACAGCTCATTCATGATATCGGAAGTTACTCGAGAAGAGCAATCTCGAATTTCCATGGAAAAAAATTAGAAAGGTTGTAGCATCCTACATTGACTTTAGTAACGGCTTATTGAACGTAAATCAAATGTGTTATAACACTCCTGTAATCCGTATATATCCGATTTGAATAGTCCTTTTATAGATACAACCGATGATTTATTAATTAATAGAATCAAGACAAAGATTTCAAAACCAAGTTCATCTTCAGTCGACTGAATTATGTTCTACTGACCTAGTATCTGCAGATATATAGTAATGCACGCACATTACCAGTGAGGATACTTTCTGAATCTGTAATTAATGCGGGGTGATATTATCCAAAACTTGAGCCAAACACTATAGGCTTTATCATGTTAAGATTAAATGGTTTTTCTTTGTACTGCCTCTGCTATTGCGTAAAACTGCCATTACAAATGTGATAAAAACTTGTAATAGTACAACAGGTGACAGCGAACTTATTCACAAATGTGCTATGGGTCAATTTCACTAACAGATAGCCCTTTTAATTATCAATGATGGTACTGGAAAGGAAGACTTGACATTTCATCAGAAGGGCTTTGCCTAACCCATAAGAAAATTGATTTCCCATAGGTTGTTCACTATTTTGCGCTTAAAAACTATCAGTAGAACTGAAGAGGGTAAGATACCCAGTTCATATCCAAAATATTCGAAATTTGGTCTATTAATTCACGGTTCGGATTATTCGACCAAAGCACACGCGCACTGATAAAAATCCTAATTTGAGCCAGGCGTTTAATATAGCCAATGTAAATACTATTGTACATATACAAAGCTCTTTGCAGTATTCTTTAATGTCACTTATAACCGTTTCAATTATAAACTTTCCCTTTCGATATCAGATTTAAATACCCATTGGTCTTTTTCAAGGGGTAAGTTTTTGTAAATTCTTTGACTTATGGCAGCCCAGGCGCCATAATAACACGTAGATTACAGCAACTATTCAAAAATATTACAATTAGGACTTTTTGCTATCATTTTACTTTCCTAAATCTTACAGAACGCTCAGAATAAGTAGAGACATTATAATAGATTTATAGAATATTGATGGACTGATGCAGCTGATGTGAGTTTCAAACGGTATATAAAGCTTTGATAAAAAATTCTCAAAGAAATATTTAATCAATGGTTTAGAGAACGAAAAGCAATTTGAAGACGGAGCGGTGAATAAAAAAGAGCTATCTTTCAAAGTAAAAGTCTGAACTGAAGTTAGTACTTAACAAACTGCTCTACGCATTTCCTGCCCATATAGAACACTTCAGGAAAATTATAGCAGATAACGGCAGCCTTTCTATTGCTTTGAATGCTCATCATAAATGTCTATTAGCAAACAATTAAAATGACCACAATACCTCGGTAAAAGTTTGTAAGTTGATGCTGGTATTTATTTTGTATCTCCGAGAGCTTATAATAATAAGTTATCGCGTCGTATCATTTATATATGCATATCAGTGGCGTAAGGAGAAAGGGTAAAGTAGCGATTATGCTCATCAAATGCTCGTAATATCTCTCTCATTATTCGCTTTCATCTTCATATTCGCTCTCGCTGATTTCGCTACCGTCGTCATCCTCTAGGTAAACACGTACTATTTCAGACTCCAAATCAACAGTGCCCCTTCGAAATGCGGCAAGCACATCTATGTCGGGATACGGAGGAAGACGTTGGCGATTGTTTGCTTCATTTTCATCAACTATTAGATCTCGATCATACATTCGAGAAGAACTTGAATAAGAATCTGGATTACAAGGTTGCTGTACTCTAGAGGTAATGAACGGCTTGGAAGTAGGTGTGAATATTTTCGCTGTAGAGTCAATACCACTAACGGCTAAGATAGGTAAAGTGGGATGTCCCTGGAAATGGAAATCCAAAGCATACAATTAAATTGAGTATATCACGAGCAATAAATATGAATGCTATAAAACTTACTCTGGCGACATTAACAACATCATCGTCAGCTTTTAGTATTTGGACAATTTTGGTAGACTTCTTATCCCAAATGAACAAATTGCCACAATCACTTCCTGAGACAATATATTCATCATTTAAACCGAAGAAATCAATGTCTTTTACCGTCTAAAGCAACAAAATGCAGCGTCAAAAAACTGTTTAGTGATTTGCCATAGATGTCTATGTTCAAACAATCCTTATGGCATACATACCTCATAATTGAAATGGCCTGTATATTTTTTTCTTGGGGCTACCTTACCGGCATCTGACATAGACTCAAAAACCTTATCGACTTTACCAGGAAATAGTCCAAACGAGCCAAAAGACAAATACTCGCAATCACTGTCGTCATCATCGTTGTCATCATCTTGTTCATCTTCGTTCTCGCTGTTTTGATTATCTCCGTTCTCGATGCCGTTATCAAGATTCGAAGCAAGAGCTACAGCAGAGTTTATCCAATTTGGACGATGAAACCGAGCAGTATCAGTGTCCCAGAAGCCGAAGGCCCGTAGAAAGTCTTCAATTTCACGCGGGTCATACAAAGTGATGTACATAAGCTGCTCCCAAGGACAATACTGTTCTATCTCATCACTTAAGGGATCTCCCTCCCCTGAAGATACCATCTCATGGGTAGTGGTTAAAGGTATCTCTTGTCCTCCATTTCTTTCTTCGCGATTTAGGGTCGCCTTGACAGTGTTATAAAACATGATAATCATCTTCAAGTAGACATAGTTACTATATCCGTGATTTCCGTTGTTCAACGAGGGAATTGCTAAAGAAGTGTCTTGATCCCCCGGCAACTCTCTTCTGTAGGCGTATAGTAAACTTTCTCTAGCTCTTTCGAGATAATCAAGAGACTTTTTCAAATAGACTATTCGATAGCAATCAGCGATTGGCTGATAGCCTCCTTTCAATATCCAATAACCAGTCGCCAAACACCAATATATTTGCCAGCAGTCAACGTATGCCTGCTCCTCCGACGCCGATGACTGCTGCTGAGGTGAACCTATAGTTGCAAGCACCCTCTGGGCATGTTGGATCTTTTCGCTCACTCTATTCAATTCATGTTCAAAGAAATAAATCGTCCAATCATCGTCATTATCGTTTGTTGTAGTATTTTCTGACGACCTCTCTTCGGCTACTTCATCTTCTGCACTATACCAATTATCTCTGTCTAGCCTACGATGGTTTATAATGGATGCAAACATAAATGCTGCTGATGCATCACCCAGCGCTCTATCAAAGTCGGAAATAGATATAAGCGGGTTATTTAAATGCTGGGTCAAATCATTCACACCCATCAAGGCAAACTCCAGTTTCATCATGCGAAATGACTCATGTATAGCTTCCCATGTCGCTTTTCTTCTCTGAATATCACCCTCGCTGTCTTCGTCTTCTCTATTTTGTGTTAGTATCCCTCTTTGTCCGTCAAAATCTGATGGCGTAGGCGAGTTGAATCTGCCTCTAATACGGTTAATGTTATCGTTGTAACGAATGCCGGTAGCATATTTGTTGCTCCTCTCAATTACAGAATCATTGATGTTAAACAAGTAAACATCGCCCAAAGACCAGCTGCCGAGTAGCTATATATCCGGTTATTTTTTGAATGCCTATTTCTCATGCAGGAAAAAGAACAAATAAAAGAAAGACCTACCTCATAACCGTTCGATTGACTGAATTTACATGCTGTGACAGGATATATGCGTGCTAGGTGGTCTCTGCGTCTACCTAGTGGGGCTGAAAATCGTTTCACACATTGTGAAGGTTTATCGCTGCTTGCAGCACCAGAATACGGCTGGCTTTTCATTGAAGCGTCTGATGCCGTCATCATTCGTCTGTCAAATAAATAGATGGAGCCGCTGCCACCGGCAGCAGCAAAATAATGTGGGTATAATCTACTGATGGATAATGCATTGAGCATAAAACCCTCTTTTCCGATAACGAGAGGTTTTGGACAGCCTTTTCTATTTGTCTGTGGAAGAGGCCATTGCCTGGCTGGTTTACTTTGGCGTGTTATGAAGGATAGGATGTTATGCTTTGAGCAGATATGATGCTGTCGTCTGTCAAAATGCCGTATTGTGCCTATTTTTTTTTGCACAATTCAATTAAATTTCGATCGAAATCCATGAATAGATACGAGTGTGTAATTTACCATCATAAGAACAAGTTAGAAACTCGTAAGGGTTGTTCTCAAAGGTACAAATTCTATTTATTTGATCGTGGTGACATACATACATAATTTCCAACGGTGTTGAGGAGCCATCCGAATGATTTAGGTCAAATATGCGTATTTCTGAATCACCGGCACCAGAAACAATAATATTATCAGAAGTCTTGGGCATGAACTTTGCTGTGAAAATGTTGGCGGAATGTCCTAGAGGTTGAACCATTTATTCTGTTATTGATCTTTTTTGAATCAAAAGATTTTTTGATTGTATGTACCAGTGTTTATTGTTTCAATGAGCTTGAAATCTTCGTATGCTGAATAAATATTCAATTTCAAGTCATCGGATCCGGTCAATAATTTATCTCCAGAACAGGACCAGCTATAATAAACACATAGGATGGTTGGTATTAGCGTCTTTCTTGTATAAGAACTGATATAATACTGTACTCTAGTGTATTTACACAGCCATCATGGCCGCTGAGTTCTCGTTCGAGCTCCAGTCGCGAAATGAAAAACTTGTCTGCATAAACATTTCTGCCTTTAATTTCAATATGCGAAAAAAACAACAACGTATTAATATCATTGATGCAGTCGACAGAAAGGATCAAAAGCTACGCACGGAAACTATTGGGATCATAATTCTTAACTATTCCATAACGCCTTTCGTTCAGTTTATTCTGCAAGGTGACCGACATTTCCAAAAGAGTGATGAGGAGAAAGAAGATCTGTTTTTGCGAATGAAGTTGAACAAAAAGTAAAAAAAAAAAAAAGGTGTTAAAAAAACAGACCTTCCAATTTATTTAGAGAAGCGATCTAAGAAGCAGTCTAGTTTGCTGTTCTTTATTGCGATAGCAGTGACAATCCAATTTACTATATTACTGTTCACTTACTAGAGCAACAAAACACCCGTGTCGAGCGGTTTGCGTAGCATCAATAGAGTAACGCACCAAATGAATAATCAAGTAAATGCTTAAATGCATAAACCCTGGACAGTATAACTTTTGAAGTTTATAATTTATTCATATATAATTTCCAGCTAATGAAAGGATGCGGTATCCTTAGACAGTGCAAAGCGACTCACTAAAATTAAAACGCTATGTATAATCAATTGTCCAAATTTATAGTTGCAGAGAACTCAAAAGCCATCACCGATCGCTTCAAATGATGAAAAGCAGCTTTTACTGGACTAACATGCTGCTTTCATCGTTTGGAAAAGCAAAATTTCTGGTTTAGTCAGCCAAAAAGTTGCGCTGTTTCAAATAAAGAGATGTGGGGAAGCAGATTATGTCAAAGAGTAATTTAGAGTTTTGTGCAGACATGTGATAACCATTTAAATTGAGCCTTGATGTGCTGGTAGTATTTTTTCTTCTTTTTTTTTTTTTTTTTTTTTCGCTTGTAACCTTCGGCAAACAACCTTGCTCTCTTACTATTTGTTCACCGACTTTTATATCAATGTTCAAATCGACCGTTCACTTAACTCATCAGCTTGCACGTTCTTCTATCCTCAAAAGGTACGAAAGATAATAAAGCGCTAATACAGTTGGCATCAAGTTTGTTGCTGAGCACCTATTGAAACATATTAGAGCCTTTACAAATTCTGCTATTACACGCTCAGCTGCTGTATTGCCGACTTCACTTCAAGCTTTTACTGAGGAAGAATTGATGCTAAAGGATACAGGTGAGATTGCTTATGCAGTGATTTAGAGCCATGATGAGTAGGGCAGACCATGTCTTACTCCATTCTATTACTGTTAGTTGCCAAGTTTGCCAACGAGGTTATAAAGCCTAAAGTAGCTCAAATGGATGAAACTGAAACGCTTGATAAATCAGTTTTGAAGGGTCTCTTTGAACAAGGTGTAAGTATATGAAGCTTCACTCTCAAAAAAAGAAAAACAACCCATAAATATTATGACTATATTGACTATTTTTGATCAGCTGATGGGTATCGAAACTGAAGCCGACTACGATGGTTCAAATTGTTCATTTACATCAGCTATTATTGCCATTGAAGGTACAGCTTGCCTTGCCATACATATATAACTTGTCGTATCTGGAAGTTTGATGCCTAATAATTACGTTATTATTCCAATCATAGAACTTGCGAAGGTTGATCCTGCTGTTAGTGTAATTTGTGACGTTCAGGTACAAATCATATAAAAAAGAAAGCGCTGCCACGAGAATATCCACAAGCTAAAGCAAAGCTTTCTGCAAATAGAACACTTTGGTTGGCACAGTTGTTCGTAAATATGGTAGTGACGACGTGAAGAAAAGATTCCTTCCCAAGCTTGCTACCGAATCTTTGGGATGTTTCTGTTTATCAGAAGCGGGTTCTGGTTCCGATGCTTTCGCACTGCAAACAGGAGCTATAGAAAAAGGTGATCATTACATAATCAACGGTTCAAAAATGTGGATCACAAACTCAGGAGAAGCCGATATTTTCCTTGTATTTGCTAATGTGTAAACTAGTTGCAAACAAAATTCTACACATGAAGAGGGATGTTAGGAGCAAACAGACTTATCAAATTTGAAATTTAGGGATCCGTCAAAAGGCTACAAGGGCATTACATGCTTTATCGTGGAAAAGGATATGGGAGTTCAGGTGGCAAAGAAAGAAACCAAATTAGGTATTCGCGCTTCGTCTACCTGTGTGTTGAACTTTGATGAAATTCGCGTTCCCAAAGAAAATATTCTCGGGGAAGTAGGCAAGGGTTATAAATACGCCATCGAAATTTTGAACGAAGGACGTATTGGTATTGCTGCTCAAATGATTGGCACCGCTCAAGGCGCTTATGATCTTGCATTGCCCTACCTCTTCCAGAGAAAGCAATTTGGGCAATACATTGGTGATTTTCAAGCTATGCAGCATCAATATGCTCAAATCGCTGTGGAAATTGAAGCTGCCCGTCTTTTAACTTACAACGCCGCCAGGTTGAAGGAAGAAGGCAAAAGTTTTATTAAAGAAGCTGCTATGGCCAAGCTGTACTCTTCTCAAGTGGCTGAGCATGCTGCATCAAAGGTAGTTAGCAGGCATTTTCAATGACAACGTAAAGGTTTGTCTTTCCCTAACAGCGTTTTCTTGAACCTATCTAATTAGGCAATTGAATGGTGCGGTGGTGTAGGTTTTACTCGAGAACTAGGCGTTGAAAAGTTCTATAGGGATGCAAAGATTGGTGCCATTTATGAGGGAACGAGTAACATTCAACTCCAAACTATTGCTAAATTAGTTTCAGCAAACTACAAATAGATCAAATAAAACATGCCATCTGCAGTTCTTAAAGCCGTATTAACATTGACAAATGATTTTAAGTCAACAGAAGGGGAGAAAAGCTTAGAGTACTTAGTACTTTTACTAAATTTTCGAGAACTTTTTAGAAAAAGCTATATTTTTTCTTTTTTCAGACGTACGTGGATAAGAAAATTCAAGGAACCGGCGCTGAAAAGGAATGCCATCACAAAGAGCGCATAAATGGTTCTTCTTTTGGTATAAAAGCATGGAAAACGCGTTACTGCCGATGTTTCATTATTTACCCTGTGTGCCACAGATTGCACGAGAAATCGGCCAGAGAAGCTTATGCTTAAGGGGATGGTACATATTATATCAAGAGATCTAGGAAACGAAGCAAACAGATCAATTGTCTAGCAACTCTGCCTTAAAGATGATCCTAATCACGTCTTTTTCAAGCGTAGAGAAACCATAATATGAGGCTGGAAATCCTGATAATCTTCAATCTTTGCCACTATCCTCTTTTGTAAAAAGCAAAACAGACAATCCGCAGAATTTTCACACAGTATTTTAGGCCAACTTGTCAACCCTTTATTGTCGACACAGATGTTCCGTTCACTATACACTTACGTTCAACTTAGTCAGATGATCCATAACCCAGGAATCTACAACATACCACCTCATACAACATCTCACCAAAAATACCATTAATAGTACAGATATCATTGAATGTGTGTTTGCCGTTTGAGCGGCATCATTTTGAGAAGTTACACTCTACAAGTGTTATCTCATTCACAGGAACGTATAATGAAATCATGCATTTTAATCTTAGTTTTTCCTTTCTTATGGGGGAAATGGAAGCATGTTAAATCCGAAAAACGGAGGGTCTTATCGTCTTGAGACCAAAGTGTGTCTTGTAGGGTACAGTTTTTTAGCTTTGGGTTTAGACGAAGCCGCAATATAACTAGACGAAAAAAGTAAATTTTTGAGACCTTCAAGTTATAATTTCAAGATTGAACTACACAAAAATTGAGATGCTTACCTGTAAAAATCAAACCAGCTTCGTGCTGGCGATTAGAGGATGGTGTTCAAGTGGTTGATGCGGGTGATTTTGGTTTTCTAGAAAACTCCGCAGGTCTTCCCGTTGACTTCCATACCGAAATGCTGATGGCCATCATGTTTTTTGCTGCATTGACATCGCGGTTCCATAGTATCTTACAGGTTTTGCAAACAAGGATACTACAGCCACGCACGGTGTCTAATGCTTTCAATGTGTCTGAGCGACAACAATTGCATATGCGTGATGTCAAGTATTCATCAATTGTAACGGCAAGGAGATCACCAGCAGCCTCTCTTCGCTTCAATGCACGCCACAGAACACCAACGACACCAGTCTTATGGCCTTTGATGGGCACTGCACTCTTCCCGAACATGCCATCACCAACTACAATCAAAGGGATCTTTTTAGTGTCGCCTGCACTAAAGGGTTCAGGCTTCCACTTGTTCTTCAGGGGATTACTGTAGAAAGCATGAGTTCTATCAATATTTCTGCGAATAGTGGATGAATTGCTTATCATTTAAAAACCTTACCTATCTTTCTTAGCGAGAACATCGCTTACTTCTCTCGCATCTGCTTCTTCCTTCTCTTCTGGAACCTTTTGCTTCTTCTTCTTCTTCTTTTTACGTTTACAAAAGGCCATTCTGTCGGTATTCTTCTTTGGCCACTTGCTTCGATCTTTCTTCTTCTTCAACCTCAATTGCTTATTGTACTTTGTGGTTCCATTAATAAGCAAATTGACCATGTTGTTGGCAGCACGCTCCTGACCCTGGTATAAACGAAATCTGTCTTCAGCAGTTCCCTCGCCGTAAAAAGAGAACAAGGCTTCGAAGTGCTGCAATATATATTGTACATGACGGTCATGTTGTTCGATGATAGAAGTTTTGGCGGTTGGTATGCCACTTTCGATCATTTTAATTGTGCCTGCTTTCTTCTTTTCCAGCTTTGCAGCGTATCTGATACTTCCGGTCATATGATAATATTCCTTGGTAGAGCAGCTGCGTACTTGATGTTTGTTATGATCTAGTCCGATTGCCGCTGTGAAGACAGATCTTCGCCCTGGATCAAGGAAAGCGGGTCTGTAATTGTCTTGTACTTCGTCATAAGAAAAATCTTCCAAAGTCAAGGTATGATTATGAATGGTCATGTCTTCTTTTGTTTTCTTTTTGCGGCTGAACAAAAAGTCTACAGTAAAGCCGTCCGACCTAACCATGTTTCGAAACATTACATCAGAACTTTCCTTCAAAGCGGTTAGACTATGACAGAAGCAAAAATAGGGGTGTGTTTACTATTAGGCATAATTTTGCTGAAGAAGTTCTTCTATAGTTTTACCTCTTAAAGCCAAACTTTTTGAAGTCGAAGACTTTACAGAATTGTTCGAGTTGGGCTGTATAACCCTTGGCAACTTTTCCGGGAAACATGAAGGGTGTAAGAGCATTTAAACTTATCGCGATGAAACGCCATTTCAGCGATGGAGTAGGAAAGAGAAAGAAACGCTGAGGAAGTGGTAGGACACGGACATCGTACGGTTTATGCTGTATATGTTCTTGCTCGTACGTAAACTGTATGTTCCATAACGCATTAACAAACTTTGCAGGAGCAGCAGAAAGAGAAACGAGGGTTACTTCTCCTGGAATGAACTCTTCAAATTGTTTGCAGAGTAATTCAATTCGGTTTTTGTCAACAGCCGCCAGCTCGAGGTTTTCTGGCCAATGAGGATGACCATGACAGACAGATTGGTAACAATACAGCTGTACAATTCTTTGTACATCAGTGCGTTTGATATTCTAGAATGTGTATAAAGAGAAATAAAATGAATAAAACAGCAGAGCATTAAGAAGGTACTCGGTTACAGCCTTACCGGGAGCATAGTTCTCAACTTGTAAGTAAGGAACTTTGTTAAGCGCTGCTCGAAGCGCTCTACAATGGAGTTCGTGTAAGAGACGCTCAATTCCTTTGCTGCCTCTGTAAGGCAATGACTATATCCCACGGTCAGCTTGTGTTTTACTTCGATAGTAGGGAACTTTGCCTTGAAGTCTGTATAATACTGTTTTATGTCCTCGGATAATGCCGTTTTGTGAGTAACTTGCTTGCCCGTTATAAGCTGACCAACTGAATACCAGAATTGCTGGCAGAATACATCAGGAATAGACCTGTCTTTGTTGGCTTCTTTACTGTCTTTCTTGCTGTCTTCTTTGTTGGCTTCTTTACTGCCTTTGTTGCTGTTTTTATCAGTGTCTTTCTTGTCGCCTTTGTTAGCATTCCTTCTATTCTCCTGATAATGAATGAGGTACGAGTTAACGAATAATTGACTAGAGAATACTATTCTCCTTATGTCAGAGCAGCAAGAGATGACTTTTTCTTGGAATTGTTCGCGAAACGCTGGCTTTACAGCAGACGTAAGAGGGAGCTTCCTCGTGAATACAGTGGAGCCTTCTCCAAGCGTCGAGGTGATAACTTCTTCCTTTGAAGCAATGTGATTGGGGCATTCGAGAGAACGAGAAGTAGAATGACCCTTTAAGCCACAACTGATACACTTGATATCTCCAGTTGTTTGCTTCTTCTTTCTCTTTGCTTGCTTCTTTTCTTCCTTGATTGTAGCTGATTGCTTACGTTTCTTACCGCTACTTCCAACTAAATTTCCGTTAAGCAAACATAAACTTGTCTTGCAGTGAGAGCATGATACTTACCAATCAGCCGCAGAAACTGCTTTGTAAAACTTGCATTCATGGTATGCCTTGTTGAAATGTCCGAGTGTTTTGCAATCCTTGCACTCGATGTTTACTAGTCATACAAAACATAATCTGAGGATTACTACTATAACTTATTTGTGGCAGCGCGCTCATGTGTTACTTACGGAAGGACTCATCTTTGACTTTATTCTTATGGGCTTCTGCCACCGATTTGATTTTTTGCAAGATTTTGGCTTTGTACATGCTGAGTAGTAGCTATCAGGATGAGGAAAGAAAGATGAAAGAAGAATAAGAAGAAGAAGATGGAAATCAAAGGAAAGATGTCAAACTTATTTTCTGTAAATGCTAGTTTGACAACATCTTATTTTTTATTAGGATTGACAACAACGACCGTTATCTACGCGGTGGAAGAACGTGTCTGGGATTAGTTTAACGCGTAGATCAATTCATATGATCCATAAATAAAGTCTCGTAAACCACAACCATGTATCTATTGCTGATAAGACCTGTTTTACACTAAAATACTCATTACGTCTCGTAGTACTTTAAAGTAATGCCACTATCAATTGAAAAATGTCCACTGACCTTCAAAATAATGTCTACAATTATTTATTCAATAAATCGTCCAAGAATATTATACCATTTCATCCTAAAATAATTTAAAATTATCTAAATTGTATATATATATTGTCCAATAAAATTTGTATAAAGTGTAAAGTTGAAGCTAAAACACTGTAATATCAAATTGATGACATTCGGGAGAACGCGTTTTACAACCTACAGTTGAATGATAAAAAATGACCAGAAGAAACAAATGATTAAATTAGAGCAGCATTTGAGATAGAGACACTGCCCGAATACACTGTTTCAGCGGTTTTAATGTTTGAAGTATTTTTTGTTTTAGTTGTTCATGAACGCTTTTTATAACTTGCAGAATCTGGGAAATTAATCTAATTAGCCCTATAGCTGCAGGAACTGGAATTTTGAGGGTGACATGGCTCAAAGAGTCGTTATATGCATGCATTTGTATGGGTCAGTATTTAGCTGCAGCTTATTACAAGGCGAAGGGAAATGACCTTGAGCTTTTTTCGATCAGCATGATAACTTACATGTAGATACAAGTTGCTCTTGACAAATAAAAGCAATCAGACGTAAGACCTATGATGGTTTTTTATAAGAAAAGCATTCATCCGTGGTTAATGCTCTGCTTTGCGACTAATCATTTTCATTAAAGTTCCAATGGCCCGTATCATGAGTTTTTTGAGAAGCGTCAACTGAGCAGTTCGTCCTTACGTCTGAATTTCTCTTTATTTTACTTTGCTTTATTTTTATGTTCAGTCATACATAAGAACTTAATGAATTTCGATGAAGCTCATCGTTTTTTACTTCATTTCCAGCCAACCCAGTTGCAACAACGTGACGGCGTGATGGCTAAGAAAAAAAATAAATTTTTTCCCCTTCTCATAAATTCGAGTTTCTTTTTTCAAAATTTTTTTAACTTTCCTGTTTCTTCTTTCAACTACGATTTTTTACGGTAAGTTAACAACTAGCTTGGTTTTAGGCAACGTTAGCTCTCTTATATTGATAAGCAAGACACTATAATGATGTTTGACAAAACCTGATTTTGTTGAATTTCTTCACATGATTTCTAATGATTCAATTTGACACCCTGAATTTTCGTCTTTACTTATCGTATAAAGAGTTGACATTATTGAAATGCTTTTTTTTTTTCGATCAATGTGTTAATCAGATCCTTTTATTTTTATATTAGATCCTTAGTTGGGAACTATTTTATATTTATGACTAGCTAACTTTCGAGTATATTTAAAATAAAGTATGAATAAACCTTTTTATTATGGGAAGCGAGACGCTACTATTGTTATATGTTATGGTTGGAAGATTTAGACACAAAAACATTAATTAAATGTGCAGTATCTTTTCTATCAAAACGCTAAGGTTGGGGATATCTGTAACAAACGTGTCATTTCACCTTTGCGTACCATTTTATATGTCAAAATATTTGTTTGTATTGGCATAGTTGCTTGGCTTCAACAAAATACTCTCTAATGATGAGAACTACTTATCACGAAGGCGATAATTGGCATTGAGTTGACAGCCATTATGTAAAGCTTAAGACTCAAAAACAGTAGAATTGTTGAAATACATGGTGAAGAAAAAGAATAATGACAGCAATAAGAAGCCTTCCTAGCAATAGTTTGACGTGTTGCAGCAATGAATTCTATGTTTTATTTTCTCTAGGAGGGGGATCAAATTGAGGAAATGTCACACCGAACAACGACCTGGCTATGTCAGAGAGAGAGTTCGCTTGATAGATTATTCTGCTATGTAGCCATTTTTAAGCAAACAAAGACACAGCTACCTCTGCTGGTTCGTATCTCGTTTCGATTATTTTCCTTGACAGAGGCGAATGGAGAAGAAAAAAAAAAAATTTATAGCAGAAGACGTGGGTCTTACTAGAGTTATGCTTATTAGTAAGGCATACAATTTTGAAATGGCTGTATACGTATAGCTTTCATAAACTGCCATAGTAGATGTATGCTTTGATGGTTAAGTCAATCAACCTCTATCTTCAATTGACATAATAACTTGTTGTATCGATCTATCAGCGAAATATTTACGGTCTTTAAAACAAAGTTGGACATAATGTCACTTTTTCTGAATTTCTCGAGTGCGTTTGTACTTTATAGACTTACCTGAAGAGTAATATTTCAAGAGTAATGGCTTGCCTTCCTTCATCTGATGATACCAAGTATTTAAGCGGATCTGTTGTTGTAACATCTGATAAAGGTTGCTGAGCTATATCATTCTCTATTTGTTGTTGATGCTCGTGAATAACTTTGTCGCCTGCGAATTGACTAGAGTTTATAGCCGCCAATTTCATAATGTAGTCTTCTGCTATATACCTTGAAGGAACTCTTCACAGAGCATATAAGTCTACATTCACTCGTTTGAAGATTGTACAGCTGACCGTCAACTGATGTCAGAAATAAGCGTAGCTGAAAGTGAGTTTTCCATCGTTAGCCTTACGTTATTTGTCAAAACTACCCAAACCATTGTAATTTTATCAGGAATTTGATTTTTGCTTTTCCAAGGCCTTTACAGACGCTTCATTTTTTCCTGTTTGCTTATTATCTGTGTTCGAAAAGATGTTGCCTTGTATCTACTGCTCGTTGCTTAATTATACTATCTTAATTGGAATAATTTTTACCATTCCCGGCTGAGCATTTTGGTTGTGCTGCGTTTATTGTTGTAGCCCTTAGTTCTGCTATATTGTAAACAATTTTTTTCTCTTTTATTACAATTCCTGAGATACGACCAACTCTGCGTGCAAAGCCCTGATGTGCGGATGGAAACATATTTCGAGAGCCTCTGTCCTCACTTCGTTTACAATGGACATAACTTCAGCTGTTAACCTAGTAGTCTTACAAGCTGGCAATAGGCACATATTATGAGCGAATCGTGCGTCAAGTGCTGCCCATAGCTTGAAGACAGGAGTCCGCTTTATAAGCTATTATACATTTTCATATTCTGCTCTTTGGTTAATCAACACATTTGTTTGTGAGATCGCCCGCGTAGTTTATGCGAATGGCTGCATGATTCGCGACATTTAAAGTCACGCTTACTCTGTCGCTCTTAAAGAATCTTAACTTTTTTTTCTTTCTTCCTTTGAATCCGTAGATCATCAGTAGTACGCCGATGGATCAAGGTTCAAACGAGAAACATATTTTGCTCCAAGGAGGTGAACAAGAATGAATAGACAAAATCTAGCCGCAATATTGAGTTTTTTTTCTTTTATTAACCTGTCTGATCGGTAGAGCTTTCATGCACTATTTGTACACATACTTTTGAAGATCCTCATGTTCTAAACTGTGGTAAAGTTTATACGTAAAGATCTAAAGGGTTACTAATAGTACTCAGTCGTTGATTTTTTTCTTTTTTTATTGTGATTGACAGGTCATTCATACTGTGGTGGCTGTATTTTAGAATGGCTGAAAGCAAATAAAATCTGTCCGTTATGTAGAACACCAGTCAATCGACGACCTATTCACATTATTGCGTTACAAAAGATGGGTAAAGAGGACAGAAACGATAACGTCTAACCAAAAAGTGAACAACGGCTATAGTAACATGTTCTATACAGCTGATGTGATTAGAACAGAGGAAGTTGTAGCCGAACGAAAATTGAATGCCGAAGATTGGATCAAACTATTTCCGCATGATAACCAATCCAGCTATATAATAGATGAGGATGACGACGGCATAGTGTCAGTGGAAATCGTAGTCACAAGCAATCTTCAAGTATACTGATCTCTTTATATCTTTTAGACATCGATGCTCACGGTGCGGTTGGGAGCTGGATGAGGACAATTTTTGCGCCAGATGCGAGATACAATTTGACGGAAGTTATGATCCTGAAGTAGATATACCAAGAACAAGAGGAAGACCAGCTTTCTCAAATACCCAAGAGGAACCTATTGAAGTCGCAAGTGACAGCGATAACGATTATGAGGATAACAGAGATCTTGAAGGTTTTGTAGTGGACGATGATCATGTGGAATATGAGGATCTAGATGATGGTCTTACAACAGATGACACTGATAGAGAGGAAAGATCACCGAGTGAGCATATCAGTATCAGTAGCACCGAAAGCGACAGCGATGAGGATGCGGAGCAAATGCGCCATAATGATGGGTATGAATCTAATCCAATACCAGATTTCAATACTTTATCAACTCTTCATAGTGATGATGAATATGATGAAGACAGCTCGTCTAATTACCTCACCGAAGAGTGCTATGAGGTTAATGATACCTCATCTAATCATTATGATACTGAAGAGGATGAAGCTGAATTGTCTCATCATTTCCGTCAAAAATATATTGATAGTGATATTGACATGTCAGAAAGTAATAGTAACATTTATAATTTCTCTTCTTCTCCGCATTATGGTTACTTTGACTATAGCGATGATGAAAGCCGAAATATACCCTTTGACGAAGTTAGTAGTAATAATAGCGCAAACAGCTCGAATAATATTGAGGTCGATAACAGCGATTATGATATTGGCAGCGACGATGATGCTAGTCACGGTAGTTATTATTGCTATTGATATCCCCGCTTCTTACCCAAATGATAATAAATTATACTTAATGATTCCCCTCTCCTTATTTCTTCCGGATCATCAATTACCATCTTGAAATATGGTAACTTTTAGGTATACGAAGTATCAGGAACAACAGACGTCTTAAACGAAGAATCGTTAGTGACGACGAAGAAGATGAAGAGGAGTCTAGTACTGACGAAGAAGAAGAGCAAGATTTTATTTCTCAAGATGATGAAGAAGAAGAGCAGCCCTACCGCAAAAAGAAAACATCAGTTTTCATAGATGACATAGCAAGTGAAGACGATGATGAAGAAGAAGAAAGAAATCCGATTACACCGGCCAAAGTGTGCCCGATTGCGGATACGATTAATAGAGCCAAAAATAAGATGTTTATTGATTTAACGGAAAATGCGAAGAGCAGCAGCAGCATCAGTAATCCGTCAATCTCGTTACATAAAACACCAGCTGTTACGTCCGGTTCTTCATCAGATGATGATGACAGTGATGATAGCGATGTGTCGGCTGATTATGCAAGTCTAGGATTGCCCGATAACAAATCACAAAACGGCCATGTATCAAGTTCAGCAAAAATATTACCTACAACGGACAATGTACAATCGACAGGTATAAACGATATTTTCAACGAACAGCCCTCTACATTAATGCCAGTATTAGAACACAAATCTGTTACGAAAATAACTGAGCGGAAAATGCAACAACAACAACAACAACAACATCAAGAACATAATCCAGCCCCTGTTTCCAAACTGAAAAAGAAAAAGAAGGATCGAAAGAAAAATAAGTTGAAAAATAATACAAACTTACAGAAAGAGAATGCTTCCCACGTAAAAACTGGTAAAGAAAGTAAAAAACGTAAACGAAAACACAAAAGCAGTAAGAGGAGCAAAAAGAAATCTAAAATTGAGTAGATAGACAAAAAATAAGGACAGTAGGTCCCACAATAACTCTTTCAGATAGCGATGAGGATGATGTTGTACACATATCCATTTTTCAAGACCTGTATGAGTTGAACTATAGCTTAATGTATAATTGTAATTATAGAATTTCACCATTGAATAAACAGACAAATTGCACACTTCTAAATGCACCAATATTATATTTTTCAACTTACAATCAGTCTCATACTTATGTTAGTTATATGCATTTACTGATATGAGTAGGATATAATGTATTTTGAAAAAATTACTTGGGACATTAGTGTACGTATGAATATGTTAAATCCTAAAGTCGTAGTTGAGTATTCGCAGTATAACCATAATACCGGCCAGTAGGCGACCAAATATAGTCTTTAAATCTGTCATAGATATGTTCACTCAAGATAAAGTAATGTAATTCCAGACCAAACATATATTGTTCGTATAAATATCTCATTTCCTCGATAAGACAACAGAAATTTTTCCGTTAACTTCAACTGTAAGCAAGTAAGCATGATTTTTACCGTTGCTCTTCGCATCATTTCAAGATACAATTGCGGTATATCTGCTGCAATTAAAAAGCCGTGTGGATGTTCAACCCATTCGCGTTGCTATTGCCTGGCAGTGGTGTTGATTAGAGAAACTAAAGTTATTGATAGGGTATCAAACATTTCTGCAACCTTCATAGCACCATCAGGTTCTCCTGGCCGATTCAATTGTAAGTTAATATGCTCGTGATTATCGCTGTTAGGTACGTGTGGAGGTATCTTCATGTATTTAATATTATATTGCCGAATGAAAGGAAGGAGTTGAAGTCCCCAATCACACCGCTGACACACAGTTGAAAACTGCAACTATTATCATTCTTGTATCAAATAGTAACGAGTCAATTTTGGATATGCCTGTAAGAAAAGGTTCGGAGGAACAGTGGCGATCATGGTAGACTTTCCTGACAAATTGAGATAAGTCAGATTCAGGTTGAGGTAAATTAATTCGTTGCTGGTGTTCAGGGCTTCATACATATGGGACATTCTAACGTGCCAGTGTTGGTTGTAACTATAACATGTAAAGGCACTTTGTCAATAACAGCTTCGCTTTAGAGTCAAGGTGTCTTACTACTAAGATATGGGTAGCAACTTGGCTTCTTTAAACAGCACATGCGTATGATTTATGCAACATTATACAGACAATTATTACGGGGAAAGCCGTCGATTTATAGAAGAAGACGAGCATGATGCTATTTTCTGAAATTACCATCAAAATACTGGCATGTCATTACGAGATAAATCTTTGCTTCTTAATACTGAGGATCGATGCGCTGCTACTTCAATTACAGACATTTTTGTCTTGATTTAACCTGGTCGTTGTTGACATACGATATATACACTGTTTTTGATGCTGCTTCAACATGTCTTAACCGGTGTCCTTAAGTTGAAAGGAGAGGCATTCTCTTGACTTCAAATTCTTGTTTTTTCCAATGAAGCTTTCAATCAAACTGCTAAATATGTTGCTCTACGCTTTTGTAATCAATTGTTGCTTGAAATTCAGAAGCAGTTAGAGTAGCTCTTGGTCTTGAAAACAGGGATTCCAGCATACGTTCTGCGTTGATCATTACGCTATCCGCATTACAAAAATTGTTAGGAACCTTTTTCGGCTTTAGTTCCTTCAATACAGGGTTAAACTTGATTTTGTCATTAGACACTTGGCTACTATCAACTGTTTCCGCAAGGGAGGAACCTTCATTGAGAATGATTAAGAACATAGATAATACGTGAAGTGTCTGGCAGTTACAAGCATTACAGAAAAGGGAACAATTCGTTTTCTGAGACATGCCAGGATAAATTGGTTAATTAGTATGCATCTTGCTGAAATGTTATAATGTACTATAGATTGCTTCTGTCCAACTTTTATGCGAGAGAAATTTATACTTGAGTTGTTACATTCGAAATAAAGTACATCTATCAAAGCTCTGATATTTATTGTCAATTGAATGCCATTACCATTGTTCTTTCATTATATTATTATTGTTAGTGAGGTCATTCAGACAGAGCGTATCAAGTGCAGGCAACGATTTCCTGTTCTCATTTATCATAGCGCAATTTTCATAATCCCTACATAATGAACCTGCTCTTTTAAAAAGCTAGTTGCTATTCTACTCGTATTCAATTGATAATGGATACTGATACGAGTGCAGCTGCATACTTTCTCAAAACCAAAGGCAATGACAGAGTCATATTTATGGATTTGAACATTATTCTCAATTGTTGTTCATATAGAATAATTAGATGGTTGAATTAATGTGTTTGCTTTATGTGTGTAGGCTTATTGAAACGTCGAGAAAAGAAAAGAAAATATTTGAGAGAAGTAAGCAACAAATAGCCTATTATTTTGTTCCGGTGGAAGCTTTTAAATCTTGCATCATAGTAGCAATTCATCCAGTTAACTACAAGACCGCTTTAATGATCCGTTCAACATCATCTATATAATGCAACCTACCTTGAAAAGAAGTAAAGAAGAATTGTCAGCATGATAGACTTAAAAAACATTTTTTCTTTATTTTGTTACTTCAATATTATTATTATCCGTAACATATCAGATCAAACCATCAAGAACATTACTTATGGTAAAGAAAGCAAACTTTTGAAGTTATTGTATGAAAAAGCTACCAGTCCATCTGCATGACGGGCTTGATAACCATCTATAGTGCATATTAAAAGCATAACCATTAAATAACATCATAGAAATGTGGTGTATTGCATATGATTTATCGCACCCGTTCAACATCACCATTTTTGCTCCTACTATTATGTAGAATATCACTTTTCATTTGTTCCTACGTTTTTTTGTTATTTTCTGTTTTTTCTTACAAGTTTTTTGACTACCATTATATAAAAAGAGCGAATGATGAATTATAGTACGGCAATTGCTCAATGGCATAGTTGCAAAGTTTTGTAGGTCTACTGAATTATGAAATGGCTGCGGTGATGCCCAGGGACATTAATATAGAGTCGCTGCGTCAGCAAAAAAAGTCTCCATCTGTATTTCTCTTAGCGAGCTCAAGGCAGGAAAAACTTAAAAGAAGCAATGAAGAGTGAATAAATATATTACTTTTAATTTGAATAATGTGGTTGTGTTAAAAAAAAACGATTGTCGGTTATAAAAGCGATTCTTCCCTCTAGTATATCATACAATTGAATATCATTGGGACAGCTATGAATGCGAAGGCTGTGAAATTCGTTCTTAGCCCTTCCGAAACAAAGTCTTTCATATTCTTCATCACTGTAGCAGATGATTGAGTCGGTAGCAATATCTTCCTTGCTATCAGAGAAAGAACACGTCTTTCTCATAGAATTTTGCTGTAGTGGGATATTATAATCCAATAAAATATCAGGATGATGTATGCGATCTAGCTCGGTCGAATTGACGCAGATAATCTGGTGCTTCATTGCTTTTCCTTGATGGCGTGATGATAATAGCAATAACGTCCCTTCATCTTCTTCATATTGATTTTGTAAAGTTGCGTGGAATGAGAGGGAATACGGCCTATAACCTAAATCATGAATATTTGTATCTAGTTTATGATATTGATAAGTACCGTTCTCCCAACGCCAAATAAAGGTCTCATTCAAGTTTGAGCAATAAATATCTTTCTTATTGTCACCAAGGTTTCTGATCAACATGGAATGCAGAGGTGAGTTTTTGTTGCTTTCGTTCTTCAATGTGTTTACTGCGTGATTTGGGTTCCTCAAATCGAAAATCATCACTTGGCTATTTGATAATCCGCAATAGACCTTTGTAGTATCCAATGGATCGAATTGGCATGTTCGCCCAGGTTGCGGTAATTCCATAATTTGCTCGACCTGATTTGTATCAACACAGGTGATTTTAAGCGTCTTGTCAACACCAGTGGACAGAAGGGTATGATTAAAGCATTGAAGTGCGTTGATCTGGCTGGCATGAATATTTGGCATCAACCCTGACATGCTTGTTGTAGTGTTTAAAGCGGCAGCATTGCTAGGATAGTTAATATCAACAGTGCTCTGCCGCCCTACGTTGATATTAACTATGCTATAATTTTCAGGAGATACTTTCAAAGAAACATAAGCAGAGTTTGCAGACGCACGAATAGCCATGGCACTACAAATATTTCGCTGTGTGGAAACGCGATAGGATGTATAAATAGTAAAACGTTCAATGATTCTATTTTGATGGGGTATAATGCTGTGGTCATTTATGTTAAGTACAGTATTTGGAGCTGTGGGTATAACGACTGTATCCTGGGTAGTCGCAGAACATGCTTCCATGTTCATGCTCACTGGTGTTGGATCGGGTTCTATATTGATATCATAACTAGTCTTAATCAGTTTTTCAGCTGATGTCGTGCCAATCATTATCCTTTTCTCTTTTGCCTTCTGATATTCACGCTTGTATAAATTCAGTGACATTCTAGAGATATCCACTGCTTTCTCTAGGCATTTGATCTGCATTTTTAAGCTGTCAATTTCTTTGTAGAGGTCTCTGGAATTTGACGTGTCTTTGACTGCAATTCTGGCTGGTATAATCAAGCGTAAGTCTCCCAACTCTGCAGGTGCGCTGAATGGAATGATCAGATTAGAGCTTGTAAATGATTGACAGAGGATTCATTGACCAAACTGAGTTATGTTGCTTTAGTTACTAATACTCACGTGCAGATAGGGCAAGTCCCTTTACCAGATTTTCTTTTCTTCTCCTGAATCCATCTCTCTATACAACTTTCATTGTAATTAGTATAAATATGCGTCATTATCTATTCCAAAATGTGAAGAAAGAATACTTACTGCTTCCCAAATAAATGGCCGCATTTGATGCTTACTGCGCGGTGGCAGCCGGTGCTATACCAAGCTTCATGACAAATGGTGCAAGTAAACGACTCTTCAAATTCGTCGTCACTTTCAACAACGGCATCAGTTGCTGCGCTATTGCCACCACTATTTGCAGTTTTACATTTCTTATGGGTGTCACTATTACGGCGGCTGTTGCACGTATGACTGCTATTGACAATACTACTTTCAAATCCACCACCTTCTGCATTTAAGAAATCTAAAATGAATTGATCCGCATTTTCTAAAGATATGGTCTGTGATGACATAGAGTTGTAGATAGCAATTGACTAGTTATTTTATCATAAATCAAATCGAGGTTCGGACGAATGAGAGTTGCGTTTGATGAAAAATTGAATTTAGGACTTCGGATAAAGCTCAAAAAGTGAACTTTGTTTCGCGTAGGCAACCTTGGCAACTGCTATAGAATATTTTTATTTTAAGCACAGCTGAGCTGTAGACCAATTCAGGCCATTCGTAAAACTATGCATCCATTGTGGAAAGAATCAGCCTTGAAAGTGTCAATTTCACTTTCTAAAACTCAATGATTGTTTAAATGAAGAAAAACTCAATAAAGAGCAGCACAAGATATGTACATATAATCAACTTTATTTTTTTTTTCTTTTGCATTCTATAATTAATTTTCAAATGAGGAAAGGAATCTTCATCGCCTGTCCACACTTGATTATCCCTCTTAAATTATGCCGGATCCAAGCTCTAGCTAAAAACGATGTTGAAGAGAAAATTCAAACACAGGTCCAACTTAATTAATTAATAGTCAGAAAAATACCTCATGAAATTGTGGTCCTTTTAATGTTTCTAAATTTTTAACATTGCAGATTCTTCCCAGATAAATAAAATAGACAAAACTCTTTATTTCATTAGAAGGTACTTCTGTACTTTTTGATTTCCACCATTACTGTTTGCACGCCAACGGGTTGTATTTTGCGATAATGCTCGTTCGAGTTGATTTTCTGTTGCTGTTTTTCAAGAATGTCTGAAAACTTTGTATAGTAAACAATTAACTGAGCCAGAACAGCATGAAGAACACTAGTCCCCATTTTAAAGTTGGAAAAGTACTGTATTACGGATGCATTAATGGCTCGAAGAGACTGCCGCCAAGTTTGAGCAAAGTGATTAGAGATTCTCTCTAATTCGGGTATAATATCGTCGTCAAAAGTATCGCTCATGTTATTCGCGGCGGTTGGAGCTGTTCTATCGTTACTGTGTCCTGAAGGTTTTGGTGGCGTTGATTTCTCTCTTTTCCTAACAAAATTGATCAACTCTCCAAAATAAGGTTTCAATTGCTCGTCTACAAATGCGCTTGTCTGTAGCAATAGCATTTGTTTCATATACTCTAATTCTGATTCTACGCCACGACTGTGCGTTTCCTGTATGTATTTAAAGAAATCGGCTGAGAATCACTACAGTTAAGAATAATGCAAAATTGTTCGAAATTACCTGAAGTACAGATATGATTAAATCATAGTTGTTAATAAGAAAGGCAATACGTCTGGCTGACTCTTGAAATTCATGCGACATTCTTGAAAGCACAGCTTCGAATTCGTCACGTAATTTCTGCACACTATATGGTAGTAAGGTGTTCAAGTCAGAACTTCAATAATGATTGCAGCAATATTGCAAGTGTGCCTACCTTTTTACTAAAATAGCATCATCGTAGCCATCGTTTAGAACTAGTAAAGACGCTGCAAATTCTGCATATCTTCTTGTGACCTGCAGATTCCATTGGGAAACGCACCTTAGTAAGGATCCAATACTCACGTTGAAGTTAGCCAAGACTTACATAATGTGCATGTATATCTTTCACAGCATTCATAACTGCTTTGTTATTGAACATCTTTTTTAAACTCTCAATGTGTAGCGTCATAACATACTGGAAACGGGGCCACAGTAACATATTTGTAGCATTTGTATATCCTTCTAATGCTGGTATTTTCCTCCTTTGTAGTTCTAGTGCTAGTTGGGTATTAATTCGTATGCATAATAAGATACCAACAGCGTCGTAAGAATTTTCAACATATGTTTTTGTAAAATTCTACTTGTCGATATTTTGGGATTCAAAGGAAACGTGAGTAGTGCAGAAATATGTGAGAAGACACTTAGCAATTATTACCATGCCTACTCGCTCTGTTGGCTCAAAAATGTAATGAAATATGACTTTTGCCGTATCAGCAGCTGTTTTGGGATCTCTTGAAAAGAACTCATGAATGAACAAGAATTCTGAGCTTGCATTGTCAATTAGTGTTAAGTTGAAGCTTCTAAATAATTGCTCAAATTGATATTTCTGCAGAGGAGAAATATTAATATTAGGCTATATCCTTATTCAAGATTTTCTCTTTACCTGATCTTTGCTTTCGGCTACATGAACCAAAATAACACCAGGGTCTTGCATACGTAAAGTATCACTTCGATCACCCAATGCAAACACATTTACTTTATCCTTCAGCGCGATTTTGCTCGATCCAAATAATAAACCGCTGCCTACAATTTTCCGCATACCCTCTTCTGCTGTTCCAATCAGATCAGATCTGTAATCAGCAGCAGCAGTCGTTTGAAGCTTCTGCAGTCCTTTACTGTATCTTTCAAAATGGCTTTGAAAATACCATCTTAAGGAATTCATATAGCTGTGCCGAATTTCCTTGGCAGCTTCGTGATGTCTTTCAATAACAAAATAATGTAATTCTTTGTATTTTAAAAATACAGACTGTTGCATGATTTGTATATTAGCATTGGGCACGCTCAATGTTTGTATATGGGACATGAAAAAATCGCGAATGGTAGATGTCGCTTTGAGCCGTAACTTTTCTAGTTCTGGCCCTACGTTGCGAAGAGCTTTGATGGGTCTATGTTGGTTTGTTTTTACAAATTGCATTTGATGGTTGATTGTGACGAGATATTCTAACCACACATCGTCGATATCTTCCTCAGTAATTTTTTTGATAACGTATGGCGGGATGACCATACCGTGTAATACTTTCCCTAACTTAGTCTCTACTGCCTTTGTATAACGTTCCGAATCAAAGTAAATTTAACAAATCTAAGTTTTTCTCCCTAATTGCGAATGTCATAAAATACTTTCTTTTTACCTTTCTATTTTTCAATTTGACACTCATTTGACTTGATTGTTCCTGCAGATTTTGGATTTCCCCACTAATGTTGCCCAAATCACTTTGAAATACATTTAGCAGTTCTTCCATCCGACCCAACACTTCATCACAGGACTAGTAATTAGTAAGCGTAATACCGTACGTTTAAAAGGGTTGTCAATATAACATTTCTTGAATAATCTCTCTCATACCTGTATCTGAGTATGGAGGTCAACAAACGACTGTATGTGCTCTAAATCTGAATATATTCCTGTCAGAATTATCAATCTTCTTCAAGCTGCCATCTATCTTATGATGCAGTAGGGGAGTATAGACATATATACTTGCAGTTATTTTCGACATCACGCTGAGCAGCAGCTTTTTCATCTGCTATTTGCTTTGCATATTCTCTCAGATCCATTTCATTCTCTAATGCCTGCTTCACGATATCATCCTCCTGGAAAGCTGAAAATTGATCTATTGATTATCAGTTACTATCATGATTCATCCTCTTACCAACTATGCTATTTCGTTAAAATAGACTGAGCTATTCTTACCGTCCAAAAGTTCAAAACTAAGTTGTTCAAAGTCAAACTCAATCGAATCGTCATCATACTCGTCGCTTTCATCTGTTAAAGAGGCCCGTCTTCCAGCATCATCATCTATGTTTGAGGTCTGCAAAAAAAAAGAAACAACTGTCGTCAGCTCATTTTGACTCTTGTAAACACCTTCATATTTCTTCATTACTTCGTCTCTGTGACTATCTATGCTTTCAGTTTCGTTCTGTAACAGGATGTCTAGTTCTTTCAGCGCATTGCTGGTTTGTTTTGGTGTAGTTGGTTTAGCAGCTGCTGATTTGCCATCCTCATCTCCGAAGGGCACAGGTGGTAAGGACTTTTGCCTTGTAGGTTTTACTCTGTCGCTTTTTTGTTGAGGTCCTACACTAGTCTCCATTATGCTCAAACACACTATATAGTGGGGGCTGATAAGAAGGATAGGAAAACAAGTTACTGACGACTTGAGATATGTCAACCAACAAGAAAAAAGTGAAGTACGCCTGTGCTTCGACGGGGAAAAAATACCACAATATTTGTGAGGTGCAACTCAGAAAAAAAACTTATTCATACCAAAAATCATTAACCCATGAAAAAGCATGGATGGCTTTTCTCTAAAGATATGTAGCATAACAGACTGTTAATACTGACTATGGCAAAGAAAACCACATGGTACCATTTGCATGAAATAAAAATCGGTTTCGGTTTGAAATTTGTTCAACGTATAAATATTGTTAATCTTCTTTAAATATGGAAGTTTGATCCCGAAGAGTTGTAGCACACGTCTGCAGTATACCCATTTTACGCGTAAATTTATGGAATTCGGATGATTGCAGTGAGCCGACCTGCATCGAGTAGTGCCTATATCAAGTAGAGTTGGGAATATATCCTTAGCCATATATAGATGGTTAAAAAGTCGGAAAAGTAACGTTTTCGCGTAAACTCAAAGGTACAAATGTAGAAGTAACTCCAATAACTCCTACATGATCCGTCTTTATAATAAGTATTTGCAGTTTAAAATAGCTGTTAATAAGAAAAGAAATAATTTACAATAATGTTAATTTTCTTTTTTTTTCAAAAAAAGGGAGAAGGGGTATCTTATAAACTTGAAAAAAAAATAAAAATAGAGTGTCATTTATGAAGAGGGCTCATTATTTTCTTCTAGGCTATTGGAGTCGTCGATTGGATGCTAGTAGTATTCAACGATGTCAAGATAGTTGTCATAGTTGTTAAATCATTGTCGAGTCCTTTCTGCGTTGTGGAGTTATTGAAGGTGGCACTGCTACTGTCAATGTCAAGATTAGGTATCTTTTGCACAAAACTACTCAAAATACTACTAATCTCATCATCGTCAGAAGAGGTTGAACTGTCTGCACTCTTACCAGAAGAGCTGCTAAACTGTGAATTCTATAGGAGGAAATCACCACAGCGTCAATACAAAAGAATTCTCCTCTATGCTAATTTGTTTGGTTGCGAAAAATAATACCTGTAGTGGGCATACAAAGGATGCCGCTGAAGAAATCGTAGGATGTATCTTGACAAATAATACTTGAGCTGCTAAATTTAGGTCGTACGTGATGTCTATGTTGGAAGGTTCCTCGCCTGTTAGGCCGCATTTTCTCGAAAACTCATTGAGGAGAGAAGATGCCTCTTTGTCAAACAGGTCATAATCAATCTCAAAAGGGTAAGTAAAATTAATATCGCTGTTTTTAGGTATGTCTTGATATTTAAGGAATCCTTTTCCTATCTGGAACTTATTTCCGTTTTCCATCGGCCAGTATGCCTACAGAAAGTGAGAAAGATACAGCACGGTCAGCAATACTATTGCAAAATCTCTATATTCTCTAAAAAGTTAAAATTGATTGTCTAAAATACCTTTGCTCTGATATCGGAAATCTTCAAACCTAACACATTGGGATTTTTCACATTAATCACTAATCCGGCATTGATAATGACATCGGTACTAGTGAACTGTAATAACTTTTTGCCCTCAGGTAAATTGGTGGTGTTGATACCCGCTAAGTTGATGTCCGGTATTTTGAAAGTGGCCAGTAAGCAAATAAAGATGACAATAATGATTATAATGGCGATGATAATGGTCCAGATGCTGTAAGCGAGCCAAGGTGGAAAACAGCAGGCACAACATAAGCACCTTAAACAGCGGTTACGTCTCGGAAACGGCGGCTTTCTATTGCTTCCTTTTGTTGGTGCGGGTTGCTGTTGAACAATATACTTCGAATTGTAAGGTTGGCTTTCTATATCATAGAGTGTCGGACTACTCTCGATGTTAGTAGGGTTACTGAAGTTTTTCTCATCTATCTTCTCATGAAACATTGGCTCTAATGAATTTGTGTTGAAAGTAGAAGAAGACTTAGTGATCGCTGAAGAAGGTTGGTGAGGATGACTGTAGAGAGTTCTTTCATCTAAACAGATAGGTGTGTGAGTATTAAGTTTAACAGCTATTCTGCTCTCCTCCCTATCCAGCATTAATTTGTTTTTTACCTAAAATGTATGAAGAGTTATTTAAATAACAGTCTTGATGATCAGTAGTGTCTTCATATTGGTGACATGTATTGGTAATGGGATACGTAGGCTGTGAAGAGCCGTTATTTGCCGTAATCAAATGCGAAGATGGTACAGCGGTTTCTGAATGAGGCTTTTGTTGGTATAACTGTCGCTCGTGATACTTTCTACCAGACATCCTTTCTCTAAGCTTTAAGATATGTGTGAAAAAAAAAAAGAAGGCGAAGAAAGAGAGAAAGGAACTTGTGCACAGCAGAAATTGGAATGAAAGAAACACAAAAAAAAAAAAGAAAAAAAGAGCACGATTATAACAAAGGACCAAATTACAGCCTAAGAACAAAAAAAAACAAAAACAAAAAAAAAGTTATTTGACAGAGCACGATCTTAGTGGGCAGCGCGGTAAAACTGAAACTGCTGCTCTTCCCCCGTTACAAGACTATTTTATCCTTTTCATAGCGTTGAGTATATATTGTAGATCTTTTTGATCGGTATTACAAATAGTTTAACTTTTTTTTTTTCTGGTTTTGCCCAGATTCGTTTTGGGTCTTACAACGATGAAGGACGCTCGAGCCTCTGTTGTCAAAATTGTACGCACGTGTTACAATATGTACAACTATAAACTTATGCAGATAGAAGCAGAAGATGTATTGTTAGTTGTGCTACGTGCACTGATGTCAACTGTAAGTGGAGTGCACGAAAAAGTTGATCGCCATACAAGAGCGCGGACATCTAATAAGACATCGTTCAACAATTCATGAGTTCTAGAATTTCAAAAAAAAAAAAGAAAAAGAAGATGGCTTCTAGGAAACCTATCGAACTAGAATGGTCTCATCTCAAAACCATAAGTCCGTCCTCGCTTCTCCACCTTTTTCATGCATGTCTATAGCCCTATCAAACACTTCCATGGCAAATAAGTAGGTGACTATTTGCTATCGTTTTATCGCAAGCGGGACGGAAATATAACTTCTAAAACAAGGGAAAGTAAAATAAAAAAAAGAAAAAGGGTCTTTATGATTCTGGAACTCATTTTTTGCATTATGGTCTCAGCTCTTTATTTTTTAATTATTCCGTCTTGAGGACTATGGTAAGTGGCGCGTCTATTTTACTGAGTCGATTCGCGAGAAGAATGTTTGACTAGAGCAGCAAGCAGTAGAAGTAGATCATAATAGTAGTAGTTATAATAAGTTGAAATAGGACGATGAAAAAATGGTGAGCTCGGTGACGTAAAGTTTATATTTCAAAAAAAGAGGGGTTTATTCTATAACAGCCCTTTAGAGTGTCTCATTTCACTGTTCGATATGCAAAACTCATAATATACCCCAGTGAGAAGGTCCCATCATAGATCGCATACTGAAGCTTAAGCATTCAGGAAACAGATTTTGTATTTACTCTTCGTTGAGCTAGTTTAATCGAATTATACGTATTTCACATTTGTCATAATACGGCTCAGAGAAAGCCAAAGAGGCACAGATGTAGCGAGTCAATGACTTACTAAGACAGTGGAAAACTTCTATTCTCGCGCCTTACAGACAGGTTATGTTTAACCGATAAACAAACATAACTTTGATTGACTGATTTGCAGATGTGGGTTCCCAGAAACGCTAATGAAAGTAGGAGGTCACTTAAGCAAACTTTATCACTATACAAACTTTTGCGCCTACGCACTATTAATAATTTTAATGATGCATTGTTTTTCTGGGTAACGAATGAGAACTATTAGAGTTATCGTAATGATTTGTATTTGTTTGCGACGTGACAGAAGGTCGATGTCGAGGCTTTTTTTGACGAAGGCTACCGCTGGGGCTGCTGCTATTATTACTACCACTACTATGACGACTACTAACTGTAGCTGTACTCGGTGAATTGTTGTAATAACTATTATAATAGAAAGGTTGCTGGTGATGTTGCTGTTGCTGTTCATTCACCATCAGTTTAGACAAACGACTTGTTAGTGAGCCTTGTGACGGAGTAGGTGAAGACATGGTTCGTTGGTGGGGAGGATAATTATATTGTTGTTGTTGTTGTTGTTGTTCATACAGCATAGGAGGCGTCATTGGTGAAGAGAACATAGGTGCCGAAATAGAAGGCGTTGGCACAGGTGGCATCATCATTGCATAACCATATGGGTGAGGCAGTGGCGGAGCTGTCATCATCAGAGGCGATGATGGCACATGATACATATTGAACTATATACAATGGTTAAAATGACGAAACATACTTAACATATCAGTTTGATAATATAGTTTACCTGCTGCTGCATTAAGAATTGCTGGTAATTTAGCAAACTCATTCCGTTCAAATTTTGATCATCCATCATCAAAATAGGATTTGGCATAGGCGGCATCGTCATCATACTTCTTCTACAATAATTGGGTCCCATCAACCGACTATGACTTTTATCAGTTTGAGGTCCTTTGTCTGGTGTCAAATCCACCAAGCCTACAGGATTCGCCGACTGTTGTTGATATTGTTGGCCTTGATCGATAGTAAAGAAAGGCTGGCGAGTGGCTCTGGCCTTATTTTGAAGCACCTTCTTTTTCGGTGTGGTATGTTGACGCTGATGTTGATCTAATAAGCTGTTTTGAGTGATAAAGTCATCAACTGCTACTGCAGCAGCTATAGGCATAGACATATCGTCATTTACATCTTTCTGAACCTCTTCTTTTTCGCTGCCGAATACCTGTTGCTGTTGACTCAATCGATGGTGACTGTTAAGGAAATACAGTGAACGCTGCTGTTGCTGAGAGGCTGGGAGTTGATCTACCAATGAAGTGTCGGGTAATGTAGCAGGTGATGATTCATCTGACACTTCCGAACTCGATTTCGAGGGATTTTTACTATTATGAGTAGCTGTTATTAATTGTTGCGGTTTTGTACCAAATTTAAATAATGATCTATCTTCATCTTCTTCTTCGTCACTTTCTGGGGCACTTTGATCTTCCTCATTTTCATCGTCCTCTTCTTCATCTTCATCATCACTAGCATAAGTAACATTTCTCAATTGCGTTGGACCATTAATGAATAATTGTTGTGCAAAGTTTGTTTTTGCAGAAGGATGTCTGTTTTGCGATGTAAAAGATGTACGGTTTGCTATTGTTGGCGATGTAGGCCTGGAAGGTGATGGGGACGATGGTGATAATGATGAAGCAGGCGATGAAGGTCGCTGAGGAGGTGATAAAGATGGAGATTGCATTGCGGATGACGGTATCAAAGGGGTGACGCTACCATGTTTCAATTTGTCTGTCAACAATCTTGTGAATTCCTGTTTACTAGCTGCCAGATCCGTCATCATAGTAGCATGCTGTTCCATATCGATGGCTTGCTGAGCTTCATCTGTATATAGAAACAGGCCCATACCATCTGCAAAGTTGAGCGCTTTCGGGTTATTTGGATCATCTAGTAATTTCTGAGGTCGACCATAGAGCTGAAATGCGTCATAAACAGCCATGAGCCATTCTACTAACTCTTGTATATTTGCCGTCATCATAAGAGCACAGCAAGATGAGCTGACCAATTGTGGTTGTCGATTTTGTTTGCTGATTTTGTACATACTGCCTTCTATCTTAAACATAGTAGCAACGTCAATCATTTTTGGTGACTCTGGATACATTTTATAAGCTTGAATGACATTTTCCATGGTCATAAAAGGAGTCTTTGCTTTCTTGTTTTCGTAGAACATAATTTGTCCTTGTGTGGGTATAAGTTTCTTGTTGAAAATGAGCCGCTTTTCGACTTTATGGTTTGATACAACCGCCCATACTCTTTTCCACCGTGTCGTCTGGCCACTGAACCTCACTTGAACAAATCCTTCAAATAAAATGGTTTTTTGTGTATTAGGAGCTAAGAACTTTCGACTATTAGGTCTGGATATCAGAAAGGCTCTGGTATAAACTTCTTGAATACGAGCGGCTTCAAAACATGACAATCGAAGAGCCAATATCCAACGATGAAAATCAGCTGTATGATTCGTCTGAAATAGGTAACGATTCGCTCCTGCCGTATTCAGAGAAAAAATATTGGTTCTTGCTTCGCTGGTTAAATGCGGTTCATTACAAATGATGGCGTCCGTTATATTGATATATTGCGGATACACCGTAGTTGATTTATTTGAAGCATCCCATAAGGTTAGTACAGACCCGCATAACTCTACGTACCAAAGTGTCCAATTTGTCCTTCTCGATAGTGTTCCATCCGACGTGACATCAACTCTTTTATACAAATAACCTTCCATATACAGTTTGTCTGTAAATTCTTCCATTAACATAAAAACATTTTGAAATTCACTGTTTGGTTGTGAAATAGTTTCAACTGTTGTCACTGCAGTCTTCTCTGGCTTGATGAATTGCGTTGGACGTTTTTGCGAATAATGATTTTTGATATTTTTGACAGCTTTGGGTTGCAATTCCACAGCAATAATTTTTTGTTTGTTTGGACCGTAGATATCTGTTCTTCTTTCTTGCTCTTCCTGCTCTCCACCTTTTCTGAATACTACGCCATTGTTTTCGCAAGTATTATTATCAACGGTCAATGGCTGTTGTTGTGGCTGACCTACGCCGTCATCATAATGGCGACTATTACTACTATTACCACCACTATCGTTACTCTGTTCATAATCACTGCTGTTGTTTTCATGCCAATTAGGTTGATCCAATCCATATTTCTCTAGGTACAGTAGAGTAGATCTTCTACGTGAATTTATGGATAACTGTCTGCGTGCCGCTCTTGGTGTAGGGGTATATTCTTCTTCACCTTCTTCATTCATGCTTTTTAGGTCGGTATTGATCATTAAGTCTACATTGAGAGCACTATTGCGTTTACTGTAACGATTGCTATATCTCGATTCACTGTCACTACCGTTAATGGTAGGCAATTGATGGGCAACACCGTCAATAATAGTAGACGACATGATATATTTATGTAAGGTTTAGGTATTCGTAGTTCAGAGAAAGGGGAATGTCGAACGAACAATTATACAAGATGATTAATATTGAATTAGGATGAACTAAAAAAAAAGCAGTAAGTTAAGGTATATTATTTACAAAATAGAAAAAAAAAAAAAAAAAAAAAAAGGACAAAAAAAGAAAAAAAAAACCAAAATCGATCCAAAAGACACTGTAAATAAGAAACAAAGATGAAGAGGCAGAAAAGTAATAGGGGATGGGAAGAAGGCCAACGAACTGGGAAGAAATGGCCAGCAACAAATAAATATAAAATTAAAGTCAGGTGTGCAAACTAAATTACACTAAAGAAAATTAACAAAAGTTCAGCTAACTTTTACGTTCTTTGCTTCTTCCATCTACAGGCTTGAAGGCTTGCATCTTCCTTTCATCTTACCAACAACAGCTCAATTGGAGGTATACATAAAATATTCGTATGATATGTTCCTACAAGAAATGATCTCTCCTTACTGCTACTATACGGAAGCAAAAGTTCTAATAAAATGTAATACAGATGTAATAAATTGCAGTTTTTCTTTCTTTTTTTTTCTTTTTTTTTTCTTTGTTCTTTTTTCTTTTAACGATTAACAAATTTGAAAACACGCTGTATGATATTGCGAGTGCACTTAAACTTGACGCTATAAAAGTAATGACGACATGCGGCGTTTTTAATGTTTAAAACAGTTGTCTGTGCGAATGGCTGACTTATACCCCCATTCATAAATTTGTGTAATGCTGAATAAGAGCTGTTGCAGTACAAAAATCACAGACGAAGACCCCTATCATTCACATCTGCAATCAGAGACTGAACCTCAAGCCATGCAATTTGATAATGAATATACGCATTTATACAGGGATTTGCCAATTGGAAACTAAATTTTGTGTAGGTAAATTGAAATAGACTGCGTAGACGGATTCGAGCATCATCAATCTCTCTCGAGTTCGCGACAAATGAAAAGAGATATGACTGTTGGTTACTCAACGGAAGCCTGTTGTTGGACTTTCGGGAAATGATAAAAAGGTACAGAGTTTATCATTATTATTGAGACACTTTCAACACAGTTTAAGATCACAACCATTAAGTCAGCAATTAAAGTCTTAACACAACCTAGCCGACACGCGTTTAGTTGATTTCAACCGTGATGATGATGGTACATTTTGTCCTGCAATGCTCAAACATACCATCCTTGCTATTGGTCATACTGAGATTAGCCTTCTGTTTCTTCCTGACATCTTCCTGGAAACTACTGTGCTTGCAATGCTCGGCTTTTAAATTGTTGTTTATGTTTCTCCTTGAACGTATGACTAATACGTCAACAATGCTTTTAACACGCTTGTAGTCGTAAGGACAATATCAATTAATTGTATTGATCGTTACAACATCAATGATTATTAGGCATTCTTTAATTGCAGTGTACATAGTGTTAGCTTAAACCTTTGCACGAAACAGTAGTATTATACCATACTATAAAAGAAACCAATCAACCTCCTCTAATATCTCCATTTCACTTGGTTTACTCATGAGGGATATTTCAATGCAATACGTAGACTTTCAGTTAGGTCTGTTTAGTAGGATAATATCCAGGATGAAATTCTATAGCAATCCCACTTTTAAAGGATAATACGCCTGTTCTCTGACATGATAAATTTCGAAGAAGAAAGAAATTTCTCAGTGGTCAAAGACGAAGCATGTTCTTGATGCTGCTGCTGCTGCCATCAAAATTTGGAACTCATCAAAAATTGTATGATGTTTTATTTCAAAATTAAACTATTTTATACCAGCTCCACATACAGATACAATCATATAAAAGCTAATGGAAGTTAATAAAGAAGAAGCACTGCGCTGTTTAAGAATTGCAAAGAATCACTATGGTCTCAAAAACTTCGAAGGAGCAGTTCGCTTAACCAAGAAGTCACTCAGTTTATATGAAACCGATGAAGCAAAGCAGTTTTTATTGAAAGCAGAAAAGGCTTTGCAAGAGAATGGACCATCATCGTCTTCAGATTCGTCTACAGGTGAAAGCACAGCGACAAATACAAGTAGAACATTTGTAAAAGAGGAGAAAGCTCAGTCAGCATCGTCCTCAACAACATCATCTGCTTCAGCAGGCACATCTGATGAGATCCGCGAAGTCAAAGAGATTTTAGCATGTGGAACGGATTATTATCGAGTACTGAAACTACATAAGAAATGTACAGATGTAGAGATTAAGAAATCATATAGAAAGGTAGAAATGTGTTTCACCCGCTGATCTATGTTCTACATTCTATTGACTTCGTTACTCATTTACTGTATGATATAGCTAGCATTGAAGTTCCATCCAGATAAGAATAAAACACCAGGAGCTGATGAAGCATTCAAACGTAAGGTTACTAAACTTAACGTAGAATATGATAGTTTTTATTGGCCAACTCATTTAAGCAACACTGTAATATATTGATAGTTATATCAAAGGCATTTACAGTATTGTCTGATCCGCAAAAGAGAGCAATCTTTGATTCTGGAGTTGGAGATCCCGAGCAACGTTCTTCGGCTAGCGGCTTTAATCCGGGAGGTGCAACTCGATTCCGTTTCAATACACAAAATGCATCACCATTTGGAGAAGAAATATCACCGGAAGATCTATTCAACATGTTTTTCAATGGTGGTTTTGGAGGAGGAGGTTTCCAATTTGCAACAGCAGGTAGTTCACCATTCAGTAGCGCAACCTTCATGGGGCCAGGATTTAGAACGCGTACTTTCACCACGAATAACATGTTTAACCAACAGCAGCAACGAGAAAGAGCAGCAAATCAGCGACGAACCGGTAGTTGGTCATCCATTTTGTTGCAGATATTACCACTTCTACTTTTATTCGGATATACATTACTTTCAAGTATATTAATGGATGATACACCGCTTTTCTCTTTCCAGTCGACTTCTGTTCATACGCAGCCAAGAATAACCAAAATGCATAATGTACACTACTTTGTTGAACCAGAAACATTTCAACCTTATCTGAAAAACAATTATAGATTATCCAAAATTGAACAGCAAATAGAAGTGGATTGGGTAAAATCATTACAACAGTCGTGTTTATATGAACGTAATAAGCAAAGAGAAATGTTAAACAAAGCGAGTGGATCACTCCTCGGATTTCTTAAACGTAATGGAGAACTATATCAACAAGCGGTGAATATGGAGTTGCCCAGCTGTAATGAATTAAAAAAATTTGGATATTATAGTTGAAGAGTAAAAGCACTTCATATCAGGGCCAATTCTAATGTCCACGTTCGTCGTGACCATAAACGAATTGGCTTTTCAATCTTTTGTAATTCTATTGTAGTACCCTCCCACCAACATTTCCTCTATTCCGTTCACAAGTAAGAGTAAATTCAATTAATACACGATTTCATCTTTTTGCCTCTACTTTCTCTCTCTCTCGCTTCCCCTCTCTCTAATTAAATAAATTCTTACAGCAGGTTTTCTCCAAAATAATAGTAATTTATTCGCTGTATCTTTATCGTTTGAATACTTCAACGGTACTAAACTGATACTCATGACACATGTTCTATTAGGCTCCAGCTCTCTGAAAGCCCATTTATCTTCTTTCGTGAATCCAGCATTGCATAACATATCTATGAGATGTTGTTCTGACACATTTTGTTCTCTTTCAATATTCTTCAACAAGGCTGAAAATACTTGATTATTGTTCGTTAAATACTCTCCTGCTGCTATTTTCAATTGCTTTTGTGAATGCTGTTGTTGCTGTGTAATACAATAATACTCTAGTTCCTCCCTTAACACAATAATGGCTTGTTTGTTCATAAATAAAGGGCTACTTCTGTACTCAGGCACCTTTTGTTGCGCTTGCTGAAAAACATCTAAAACATATTTTAAGCAAGAACTATTAAAATCAACATAAGCCAACATCAATTCTTCCTCCTCATTTATCAGAGTATGATTCTCTTCTACTCTCATTAAACTGGCTGTAGCTTCTTTTTTAACAAGTATCAGCCCGTTTGGAAACATGGCAATCAGTAAACTTTCCGGTAGATTCACAAGTGTTTCTCTATCAACGATTGTTTGTTCTCCTCGTAAGTCTAGCTGAACAAAGTCCGGTATGTTACCGCAATCGTCACCAGAATTGTCATAATCTACGTCTTGCTCTCCCTCTTCGTCTTCCTCATCTTCCTCTATATTTCTGTCATGGCTGCGATGATGAGGATGGTATTCTTGTGGTAAAGCTGCAGAGTAAATTAGGTCCTCTGGGACTTCATTGGTATTAGTTCTGCCATGATCATTCACCGACCGATCAGTAAACTCTGCAATCGTCATAGATGGTCAAATAAAATAGTTATACAGAAGAAACAGAGATAGAAAAGCAGAGGAGAAAAGATGTATGCAAGACAAGTGTTATTTTGATGCAGATATAAGGTATGTTATGGACTAAGAACAGTAAACTTGGCTGAGGGGTACATGGGAACAAGTCGTCCTCTTTCAACTCCTTAAAAAACATTTTTGAATTGATTCCTTTTGCTTATAAGAAAAGGAGCAGAAGCATTGATGCACTTCGAAACAATTTGACTATAGCATATGCATTTTTATATAAAAAATCAAGAAGAGGCTGTAGTAGCGAACCACACTTTTCTTGCCGCTTCAAAAATTTATGCAGCAGTAGCTGCGAACATGTTATGCGAGTTTACGCTTCCAGTGCTTGAACTATTCACGAAATGATAATTTGTCCAGCAAAAGCTCTTTTTTTTTTTTTTTTTTTTTTTTTTTTTCTAGGACTCAACAAGCATAACTTAATACACAAGTTAAACAATGTCATATAAAAATTGTGTTTTCACTACGCTTACCGATTGTGGAGGAGGGAATACGAAAATGCAACCCCGCATTATGAGGAATTTATTACAACATATCAGGCATTTTGTGTCAGAAGGATTACTTTCTTATTCGCACATGTCAATACTTCTAAATGCTGTCAAATTCTCAAAACATTAAGTATGCAAGGCTTGACACTATGAAAAGATTCACTTGTCTGATGCTCCGTCCGCGACATTATACAATTGTACAAAATACTCCTCATGTCAAAAATAAAATCATAGCCACTGGTAGATCCCCACACGTATATAAAACGATGCGTGCGGAAACTAGTGTCTCTAAGGTGAATAATAAGACTACTCTAGTAAACTAAAATCTTGTCATTGACGTTGATGATATCTTCACATAGCCGTTACCGACGTCTATGGACAGTACCATTCGAAAAACGAATGGTGAGGCCATGCAAGACCAGACAACACAGTTATATCTGGACAACGTCTTTCCATTAAAGATCAGCTCCATAGATTTTCGTCAATGGTTTTTCAGACGGTCAAAACACTTCTTAGAGAATAGAGTCCATCAAGCGATACCATCTAATGAACTGCCAAACAACTTTAGTATTCAGGAAATCATGGCCCGGTAAATAGAGGATATAACAAATCACACACGCACACACACATTAATAATGCTTCCTACGGACTAACGACATACTAGAACAAAGGATGGCGGCGCAATTGTTACCTTCGCGTTCAGAAGTACCGAAAGCAACAAATATAAAGTAGCTAAAGATATTGTGGATCGCATCAACGAATATATACAAAAGAACAAGATCGTTGCACCTTTCAATTTTCAACAAGTAAGAGCCTTTATCGTTAAAGGTTCCCCATTCATGGAAGACATCCTAGCCAGATACCCTACACAACGTATTCGAATTGAATTTCAGGGGGAGCCAGTAAACGTAGAAAAACTCTATACACACTTGAGGCCCTTCGGAAGAATGTTTGATATAGCATTGTATCCGAATCCTTTTATTGCAAAGGATCCCGCTCGTTACGCAATTGTACAGTTCACAAGAGTGAGATCAGCAACTAGCGCAAGGAATTGTTTACATGGACAAGTGATAGACGGGACACGACTGAATATTCTTTATGAAAGACAATTGGTAAAGGGCTTACTAACTAACTGTTTGTACTTAAAAGCCAAGCCTAAGGTAGTTTATTCTAATATTGCTCCTATCAATTCTTAATTTATGGTAGAGACCTAATGTCGTTAAAGACTGGTTGGTCAATCATCCTCGTATTACTGTTCCTTTATTCGCTGCTATCTTTGCTGGTGTTACCTATGCTATTTTTGATCCTATCCGCGTTTTCTTCATTACATCAGACATTACCCAAAGATTTAATCCCGAAGAATATGCGATTTATCGCTGGTTGCGTAATGAAACTTGGAACCGCTTGATGCCAGGATCAGCAAGAGATTTGACAACTCAGCACCATTCATTATGGGCTGATGATACAGAACAAATAGGTCGATTGAAATCATGGCTTGCTGAAACTCCGGGTAACGAACGGTATCAGTAATCTTCGTGAAACTTAGGACCTCATTAATTAACCGGTAATATTTTGTTTATTTCTTAGAAACCTTCCTTGTGGTCACGGGTCACAAAGGTAGTGGCAAATCTGCTTTAGTAAAATCAGCGCTGAAAGATAGAAAGTAGGTGGAGAGAGGAAGAAAGGAATCTATCTAACCCTTTGATTTATTAACTGATGATAATTGTTTACCTATAGAAATAAGTTATTCATCGACTGTGAAGCTATTGGAAATGCACGAAATCAGTCTGAATTAACCAAGAATCTGGCTAAAGAAGTTGGTTACTTTCCTGTGTTTACATGGATGTCGTCGATCAGCCGGCTAGTCGATACTGCTGTCGCTGCCACTACTGGTCAGAAAGCCGGCCTTTCTACTTCCCCTGACTCCCAAATCAAAAGTATTTTAGAAACAGTTGCCATCTCGTTACGAGACATCGTAACAGACGAAAAAGAAGCGCGATTGAGAGAGCGTGAGCATGCCAATCAGCAGAGCTTGATTTCTAAACTTAAGAAGCTAATAACAGGACGGGACTATCACCAGCCGCTCATCAGAAAGGATCTTGAGAATGAGAAAAAGGCAAGGAAGAAAGAGCACGGTAAAGAAGGCGTACCAAATGGTGATAGCGAGGAGCAAGACGTGAAGAGCATACCCATTGTAGTTATCGACAACTATATGTATAGAGAAACGAACAAAAATGCAAAACTATGGGAAGAGTTAGCTGAATGGGCCGCTTTGTTGATTGAAAACGAGATTGCCCATGTCATTTTTGTGAGCTCAAATGCTGGTGTTATGAAGCTATTGGGAAAAGGTATATACGGAAAAGTCCAAATGATTAATGCCTTTAAGCTGATAAATTTTTGATTGTTTGTAGCACTTCCTGGAAAGAGCTTTTCTACCGTATCTTTATCAGATGCTCCACCTGAAATAGCGCTATCTTTTATACAGAAGCAATTAGGCTCAGAGATGGAAGATCCTTATTTACGAGACATCGTAGGAGCTCTTGGTGGACGCTTGACTGAACTTGAACTCTTGGTTCAAAAAATGAGAATGCAGATGGATGCACAAACCGCCTTTGAAGATATTGTCAGCCGTAACATGATAGAGATCCGTAAATATGGTTTTGGTGATGCCGTTGATGATTATCATAAGATAGAGTGGACACCAACACAATTTTGGGCTATTGTAAAACGACTAACTCAAAGTGCAAGTATTAATTACGATGAATTGAAATGGGGACCTGAATTTAGTGGTGATGATAATGCTCTGAAATCAATGGAACGAGCTGAGCTCATTTTAATAACACAGAAGGAAGGTCGTCCTCATGCTATTAAGCCTGGCAAACCTATTTATTACACTGTTTTCAATCGCTTGGTATCCGATACAGTATTTGCAGCCTCTATGGAAATCGACAATAATATGGTTTTGAAGAAGAAAGCAGAACAAGAGATGACGAAGCTAGAAGACACAATTCAAAAGCTGGCTAGTATTAGCCCTAAACCACCCAAAGAGATTGATGAGCGTATCCGTTATTTGCTGTCAAAGCTCCAAGCTATGGAGAAAAGTATAGAAGAATATGATGCGAATATTTCGAAGGCTAAAAAAATTGTTTCTGAGGCATGGGTACCTGATGAAGAAGATTATTAATTGAAGATAATCACTTATTTGCTACTTGGCACTGATTGCCACTGATCTACCATAACATTAATAAAAAAGAAACATACACATTTGAACTGTTTGTTTTTCGAACTTTAAAAGAATGATTACGTAAAATCATCAGCATATTTGAAAATCACCTAGCTTAATTCTTTCATATTGAAGAATTCTGTTTTATTGTAATTTTTTATTCACAGTATCTTTCTCTTCCCCTTATAACTTCTATATAAAAACGATAGAAACAGGAGCACTCAACGTTGAAACTCTATCATTGAAATTTTATCACAAATATATGGCTTCGCTAAAGCAACTAAAACAACTAGGGGTGTCCGGCCGCAGCGCTGGCAAAGTGGGTGATCCAGAAGCTCAATTTTTGTTAGGAAGCTGTTACGGAATGGGAGCACTGGAAGCGCCTATAGATCATCGACGAGCATTTCAATGGTATTTTCAGGCTTCCAAATATGGTCACGCCGAAGCAACTTATCGAACCGCTGTTTGCTATGAATTAGGCATTGGTACTGAAAAAAACGGTGATTGTGCTGGTATATTCTACCGTAAAGGTGCACATATGGGCCATATCCCCAGTATGTACAAATTGGGTATTATTCTGTTGCAAGGCTATTGTGATCAACCTATTGCAAAGAAGGAGGCTGTGATTTGGTTGCAGCGAGCAGTTTCTGAAGCTTCTGCACAACAGTCATCATCTACAACAGCAACACCAATGAATTCGCCACCAAATTTACAGCCTTTGTCATACACAGCAAACTCGTCTGTCCAAGAGTTCGAAACAGCTGCTCCTAGCGTAGCCTCGAGGTCAATTATTACAACTACAAACGGTAGCAATAGACCCAACATGAACATCTTTCACTCGAACAACAGCCACAACTCTCACCTACCTGGTACTGCAGCTACCACCAATCATCACGATGTTTTACCCCATGCCATGCATGCTCTTGCCATGGTTCACTTATCTAGAGATTGTGGTGATACCAGTCTCATACCCGACCCTAAATATGCCGTCAATGTACTTCTGAAAGAGGCAGCTCAACTTGGTCACGCTCCTAGTCAAAATAAATTAGGGGAATACTACGAAGTTGGTTATCATTGTCCAGAAGATGAAACAATGTCCATTTATTGGTATACCTTAGCTGCTCGACAAGATTTTCCTGAAGCCTGTTTAGGCCTTTCTGGATGGTATTTAACTGGTTCACTCAAAAGCAACATCTTAGCACAGTCGGATAAAGAAGCTTATCTGTGGGCTGCTCGAGCCGCCTCGTTGGCCATTGATCTGGAGCCCAGGATTGTGCTAGCTAAAGCATATTATACCCTTGGTATGTATTATGAAAATGGTATTGGCGTTGTTAAATCTACAGAAACAGCAACCAGATATTTCAAGAGAGCGGCGCATTTGGGACATTCGGATGCCCTTAAGAAATATCATGAAAGAAAACACTTTTCATCAATTGCGTCAATGACCACAATCGAGAATAATGGTAGTAATAGTAGTAATAATAGTTCAATTCGATAATGGCGCTAGAGCTATTATCACTGAGTGCTATAACCGTTTATTCACATGATACTCACAAAATTAACTATAATCATTAATTACCTATTCGAAAGAATAAAATGGACTAGAATAAAGATAAAATATTAACTGCAGTATATATATCTGTATATACTTATTAATATCATGGTTATCATACTTTACTATTCAAAAATAGGGTTTCGTATTTGTGTATGTTAACTGTAATAGTTCCGAGAACTTGCTGGCTTTTTCAGACCCAGGCCTGTTGATTTGGAAGCACTCGGCATCTTTAACATAGAAGTTGATCGTATTTTAAACTTGTTTGTTGCAGCTACTGGATGTCTAGAATCTAAAGCAGTTTGAGGCCTAGTATTTGATGAGTAATGTGCTGTAAGAGTCTGATGTTGTCGGTAGGGTGAGGAATTCAAGGAAAAGATTGAAGAAGATGGAGACATGTCAAGGGAAGTAGTGCTTCTAGTAGGGAGAGTAGGTATATGACTTTCTCTTTTCTTTGAAGGCCCTGCTGGTGTAAGAATAGTAGTATTATCTTTTTGATTAATATTAGCAAACCGAGTCAGCAGTGTATTATTGCTATTATTGGGTTTTTTTGTCGCTAACTGTAGACTCGACGATTTGGAGGACAGTGATATCAATGCTGATGAGGATTTATTATCGACAACTCTTGTTGTAACAGAAGAGGAGGATGAAGGTATATGAGTTGCGCGTTTGGGTAATGTAGATTGTGAAGGATACAGGAAACGTGGCATAGTAGGACCAGAGGTTGTAGTGGTATTGCTCTTAACGGTTGAATGTTCGGATATACTAGGTATTTTGGAGAATTTTCTTTGTGGTCTTCCTTTCTGTGTATGCCCTGTTGTTGTAGAAGTTGACGGTCGAGTTGTTAGTACACTTCCTCTAAATCTAGGAGAGGATGCCTTTATTGTAGAAGTGGAAGTGGAAGCTGTGGGCTGCCAAGAATTGTTACTTCGAACCGTGGTCGTAGACGTTGATTGGGAAGTCAGACTATTTTCGCTGCTGAAACTTCCAGAACGATCATTTCTGTGTTGAGCACTATCGGCTACTGCCAAAGGTGAACCATACGGCACCGAATAATACAACTCATTGAGTTTAGTCTCGTATGTGTCTGCAATACTGTAATTAATCGCTTTTGTGAAGTCATGTTCTCTTTTCTGCTATGTAAAGATGCCTATTAGCTTTAAAACGCCAAGCGAATCACTTTACTCATTAACGTTACGCTTTCGGTAGTCTTGTAGATAGTAGCGTTTTCTGCTACGGGCGGTATTACAAATTCATTACGGTTTTCATATGTTGATACGTTACTGCCCTGATTCCTTGGAACTGAAGTCAGATAATTCGGGATCTATGTGTATTTTCGCAATATTAGTACCTTACTAAGCAATGTCACCATTTAAAACAAATTTAGTCATGTTATCTTACATTGTCAAGCTTCCAAAATTCCTCGCTAGAGTCATCAACCAAATCCAGCAAGGCAAAATTTGGTAATTCAAGCTCTTCATCCATATCCGTTCCGTAATTTGCATTGATAAGATCATTCAAATTGACACTATCTTCTGAGCTGATAGAGAGTATAGAACTAGGACGGTGGCTGTTTATGCCTGCTTCACTAGTGAAAAAGAACACATTACTATTGATATCGTTCTACTACCAATCTGGCTTCCCCTTGTTTATTTTTCAGTCATAAAAACCGTTTATTTAAAATGATTCACCTCCCCTCCACACTTTTTATTCAGCTGCATAAAATGTCATCTTTTTTTTTTCGTCTCACGATAATGGACGATTTTGGAATAGCATATACACGTAGTAGCTGAAGTATTTACCTTGAATTGGAGGTTTTGTCTAAGTTTTGAATGTCGAAAAGCTGACCGCTCAGAAGCGAATGCCTTTGAATTTGCTTGTCAGGAATGTCCTTCAGCCAGCCCTGAATGGCGGAATCAGCTTCCTGGCTAGTGTCTCGCACTGTACTCATGTGACAATGAATTAGATGGTAGGGTATATATGGAAAATGACAAAGGTCAAGAGAATAAGAGGGTGTTCAGCGAAGAAAAAGGAATGGCAAGCAGAATATAACATCTGTACAAATAAGTAAAATCTCGGAGAGAATATTTCACGTGTACTCGAGAATAAATAGTAACAGGAATTTGGCATGATTCAAACTTGTGTTGAAAGGAGTATAATGCGTTGGAATCTATACATAAAAATAGAGAAGCCTGTAGGGAGGCTTTTAGGGAATCTTTAAAATACTACGTAACAATTCTCTCCTTTTTAATTGATTTGGGCTCTTTTCACGGGCATCTCTGTGGGATGGCAGAGTTGTTATAGGTGATCTTTACTGCTTATTGTTCGAGCGTAAGTGTGTAAAAGCAGCAAATATATTTACTTTATTAAGTGCTTTAATCTAGATATAATTGTGGTGAAAGGCCAAATAAATGACATCAAGAATATCCTGAAAACCAAGTCTCCCCTCCTAGTCAATTGCAATTTCTAAATTCTCAAGCTAACATTGTTCCTGACAGATTATTTCACCACATCTTAAGTATGGTTAATTTTAGAACTGCTGGTATGGCTTTTCTTGGGCAAGTTCTTCTACAGTTTATTAACTTTAGATTCGGACAACACACACAAAATTTTTAGACGATAAGGAAATTAAGTTTAAGCGGATGTAAGATAATAGTAGACCATTAAGAATAAAATGTTAGACAGTTTGCACAACACTAGAAAGTATAAGGTTTTCATTCTTTTTACCTGTAATTATCAAACTGGGTTCGTTCCAGCGATGTTGAGGGAGAGGAAGATTTTATATTTTTGTCCGCGTGAATTCTTTTGGCCTTCCTAAAGCCTTCCAAATAGCACAACTAATTTTCATCATATTCTTGGCAGCATTGACGTCTCGATTCCACAGTATATGGCATGTCTTACAAACAAGTATACTGCAGGTCTCAACGCCTTTCAACCTCTCCAAAGTATCGTTCGAACAGCAGGAGCATATTCTGGATGTCTTGTATTCATCAATTTCAAGTACTACCAAGTCTCCGCTTGCTTCACGTCGCTTTAGTGCACGCCACAAAACACCCACCGTTCCACATCGGTGACCCTTCAATGCGACATTGTCTTTAGCGAACATACCATTACCAAATACAATGAGAGGCACTTTTTTGACATCACCGACACTGAAAGGTTGGGGCCTCCATTTGGCATTTGAACTACTATTACAAAAAACATGTTACTTTCTATAAGTTGTTGATGATGATTGCTTATGAACTTTACCTATCTTTCTTATCTAATTCCATTTTAACTTCTGGCGTCCCTTCTTTTATACTCTTTTTCTCTGGTGCTCCCTTCTTCTTCTTTTTTCGTCTTTTCTGAGAAGCCGCCTTGCCATTGTTCTTCTTCTTTGAGCCCTTCTTTTCTTTTTCTTCTCTCTTCTTCAATCTGAGATCCTCGTTATACTTTGTACTGCCATTAACTAGCATATTTACCATTTTGTCTGCTGCACGTTTCCGTCCTTAGTATAAATGAAATCGATCTTTGGCAGTGTCATCACCGTAGAAAGAAAACAAGACTTCCAAGTGCTGTAGGATGTATGCTGCATAACAGTGATATTGGGCTTTGGAGCCTGTCTTGGCAGTTGGTATATCACTTTCGATGTTCTTTATGGTACCAGCTTTCTTCTTCTCTAGCCTTGCAGAGTACCTGGTGCTACCAGTCATATGGTAGTATTCTTTGGTAGAACAGCTTCGCACCTGGTGCTTCGTTACGTCTATCCCAATTGCTGCTGTGAAAACGTCTCTTCTACCAGGATCAATGAAGCAGGGTCTATAACCAGATTCGACTTCGGCGTAATCAAAATCTTCCAAAGTCAACCGATGGTCTTCGATGGTTTTCTCTTCTTTTGATTTCCTCTTCTTACTAAAAATAAAGTCGACAGTGAAGCCATCCGAGCGGACGATATTACGGAATAGGGTCTCTTGGCTTGTCTTGAGGTCATTCAAACTGTTGTCACAAAAAATGAATTTCAGTAAATACCAATGACAACATTTCTGCCAAACCTTTTTTTTTTTTTTTTTTTTTTTTTTTTTTTTTTTTTTTACCTATCAAATCCCATCTTTTTGAAGCTGAACACTTGATAAAACTTTTCGAGTTGATTTGTATAGCCTTTTGGAGCTGTACCGGGAAACATGAATGGGAGGAGCGAGTTGACGCTTATGGAGATGAAACGCCAATGGAGCGAAGGCAGAGGGAAAGGGAAGAAGCGCTTCGGTAACGGTAATCTACGGACATCGTAAGCTGCATGTTCGTCATGTTCCTTTTCATACGAGGATAGGATGTGCCATAATGCTTTGGTAAACTTGGCGGGATCGGATGATAAGGAAAGCAGCGTAACCTTTTCCGTTATAAGTTTCTCAAAGCTTTTGCATAGCATCTCTATCTTGCTTTTGTCTTCTTTACTAAGCATGATTCTATCAGGCCAGTTGGGTTCGCCTTTGCAAATTACTTGGTAGCAGTATTCTTTTGATATTTCCACTGCGTCGGTCTTCTTCATGCTCTGATTATTATAAAGCAAATACAAATGGTTAGAAACTAAGAAATCGAAATTATAGTAGTGATAACAATACGCACAACAAACATGTTTTGCAGCTTATAGGTTAGATATTTAAGCACTCGTTGTTCAAAAAGCTCAACAATAGAGGTAGTATACGAAACGCTTATCTCCTTGGCGGCTTCTGTGAGACAGTGGCTGTAATCTTTAGTGAAACTCTGACTGATTACTATTGTCGGATGCTTTTCCTTAAAGTCATCAAAATAATTTTTGATGTCGTCGTTCAGCGCCTTCTTGTGAGTAACCTTTTTGCCCGTAACGAGTTGTCCAACAGAATACCAAAATTGCTGTGTGAAGACTTCTGAAGGAATGGCATTCTTATTATGCACGAGGTAGGCATTAACAAATAGCTGGCAGCGAAACACTATAGCTCTGATGTCCTTGCAGCAGGAGATGACCTTTTCCTTGAACTTTTCACGAAACTGTGGTAAAACGGCACTGTCGATAGGAAGCTTCCTCGCAAAAACAGTAGAATCATGGCCAAGGACAGATGAAATGGCCTCGTCCTTTGATTGTATGTGATTAGGACAAAGAGGCGAACGAGGAGAAGCATGGTCATCATTCCCACAACTGGAACACTCTACAGCCTGTGATGCTGTTCTCTTCTTTTTCACTGCTTTCTTCTCTGCTTTAACACTGGCGCTCTGTTTTCTCTTCTTATTGCGAGTCCCAACTATATGTGGAAGAGATGGTCTATTACTTGGCTTGTGTGGCTAAAGGCAGGTCGAGGCTCAACTTACCATCATCGGCGGATATAGCTTTATGGTACTTGCATCCCGGGTAATTTTTATTAAAGTGACCCAAATCATTACAGTCCTTACATTTGGTATGCTCTGAAAAGTGTACAATAAGGTTACTAATGTCTCAAACTACACACTGTATAGTGATATGCCATTACCGGGCGGATTTTCCTTCTTGGTATGATTTTCTTTCACTGAATTGATTTTATCTATGATGATTGTCTTGTACATGTGTGTAGAAAATAACGTTGGTTTGAAGGTAATGAAGTGAAAGAAAAAAAGAAGATAAGAAAATAATTGAAAAAGGTGAAAGATAAGAATGATCACTAAATTTTGGCAACATAACATTTCGTTTAACAACATTTATAATAACAGTATGATTTACGCGTTTAATGTCACATTTAAAAATACGCAGATATTAAAAAATTTGATCCGATACAGTAATTTAGCGTTGGATTTAACAAAGCTGCCATATGAATGGAGAGTACAAACCAGATTTTTGAGACGTCTACTCAAACCTTCAAATTTGGCACAGAGCTCCTGTCTTGCAGCTTCAATTGTTGTCAAAGGTCTCGCATCAAATAATGCTATAAGAAACTCAGTATGTTCTGCAAAAAGCTTCTTTGGTCGAGAGATGCCGGTTCTTGGCTTGCTACCAGGAAGGACTGTACCATCACTAACATTCCACTGATCTGAAAACTTATAAGCGGTGAACCTCGGAATGTCACACTCAACCGCAGCTTTGGGAACTGTAAGCCCAGCCTCTTGGATTAAGTGAATCAACCGTCTAATGCTGTGCTCACTATATTGCTTGCGCTTCTTGGACTTATCCGTTAATGCGACAGTGCTGAATTCTGTTGTTAATTCTTCAACAGTTTCTTCCATTTTCGCATCATCGACTACAGGGCGCCGCGCGCTGCATCTCATCATAGTCGACGATCTTCTCAATTTGCCCGAAAGTAACAGCAATTTCATCCAAGTCCATAGCAAAAGTATTTTCGGAAAGCATAGGCTCACTTGCAGGATTATAATTTATGTAATCCATGTTGCAGGGATGTGTTTATTTTAAAGCAAAAGAAATCTACTCAAAATATCTCTTTTTTTTTTTTTTTTTTTTTGTAGATTATTTTATTTAAAATAATAAATTAGTCACACATCGCTGAGGGGTGGGACATGGAGAGGAAAGGAAGATTTCTATGACAAGTAAATTTAGTCGAAAGCAGCCGCTTCTCGCATGAGCTGCGAGGAAGACAGGCTCAAAGAAATTATGTTGTATGCTTTACTAGAGACGGATGGGGGATGAAAAGGAATATCATGGAATATCATTTGAAAAAATGACGTCCAGATAGCCCAATGGATACTGAAGCAGACGGTGAAAAGTCGAGATTGCTCGGACGAAGGTAGTGATGGTGGCGATTGTAATCTTAGGGCGGCGGAGATGCTTTGAGGATCAAAGTCGAAGGATGGGAAATATATCGCGAGTCCTTCTTGCCATATCTGCCAGCGTGGTGGACAACTGGTTGTAAAATGTTCGAACGTATCAATATCATGATTACAGAGTCTGCAGGTAGCAGATGAAACTACCCCTGCGGCTTGTAAGACTGATAAGCATGGTAATTTTTTCAAAATGGTGCGATAGCCTAGGTCACGAGCCGGAAGAAACAAAGGAAGGGACCAGAACAGGGTGAACATCCGTTTGGGGATCACCCCTATACCTGATGCTTGTTGCATTTGGATGTGATGATGAAGTCTAAACGTTGAAGCCGAATAATGACGCCAAAGGTTACTGTTGGCCAATCGTCGTAGTAGTGTAATTTCCAATGACTTATCTGGGTCGTCGGTAGTGATAGAAGAGCCTGCCGGCACCCTGTGAATATACGGGTGAAGTTGAACTGTAGCATCGGTGAGCAATTGGCCCAAGAGATGTGAAAGCAACCGCGGTTTCACATTATATTCACCTGGTCGCTTCATTATGAGGCGGTTAGTGGACTGGTCGTAGCGGAAAAAGGCGTTGGCAAGCATCTTGGGATGGCGTTCTAGCCAGTGCGACTCTGGTAAGCGTGTAAACAACGAATGTAATGGGAAGAGTAACAAGCTCTTGAGTGGAATATCCTCCAATGGGAGGGTAACATTCAAATGATCAAACGCTGTGAACATAATCGGTATAACCGAGGTTGGATGACAAAGATGAGGAGAACGATGAATAGCGCAAAAGAAAGGAAGTAAGGGACTAGTAAATGTGATGCCCATCAACCGGAAATGATGGCGAAGGAGTACTTGAACTAGGGAAGGCTGTGGTGAGAATAACATTATTAACCATTTCATTTGCAGGATTAAATGTTGCATCGCAACATTTAACAGACCAACTCCTCCTAAGTGTCTGGGCATTAGAAGTCGAGCATAGGAAACTAGTGGGAATTTTTTCCGCCATACAAACTGATAGCTAAGTTTCTGTAAGGCTTTGATAAAGGTTTTGGTAGGATGGAATATACGAAGACAGTACCAAACTTTGGACAATATAAGTGTATTCATTATCGTTACCCGACCACGTAATGATAATTGTCTCGGTGAATAAAGTGCCACTTGCTTTTGAACAGATTCTAATAATATATCTTGAACATAATTTCGTTGGTGAGTCGTATAATGTAAATAGAAGCCTAAATACCGGAGAGGGGAAGGAGAGAACTTAGTATAGAAAACAGAGATATTATGCGACTGTAATAAGGATGTCCAAGACATGGATTTATCCCCTGATAGAGAAAAGGCTTCCGTCTTGTGTTGGTTGAACTGAGCGTTAGAAACTTCTGCATAGCGTCGAAGGTGCTGATTTAACAGTTGAAAATCATTCGCATCTTTAACAAATGCGCAAATGTCGTCTGCATAAGCGAGACATTTGATTCGCTGTGGTGATCCTTGAACATACGAGTAATAACCCTGAAATGATTGATCCTGTTGGATAGATAGAAGCAGTGGTTCAAGTACGAGGTTAAAAAGGAGAGGGGATAATGGATCCCCTTGTCTTAGTCCCCGGGTCTGGGCAATATCATCGGTGAAAAACCCGTTGGTGTTGATTTGAACAGCATTGCCAAAGAAAAGTTGTTGAACGCAAGTAATTAATGTGGCAGGGAAACCGAAGCGCTTCATGACTTGTTCCAAGTAGCTGGGGTGAACACGATCATAGGCCTTTTCTTGATCTAACAAGAGGCCTATTCCTTCTGATTTGAACTGTCGCGCTTGTTGTAAAATTAGATGTACTATCAATCCATTCTCACCTATGAAACGGTTTTGAAGAAAACCTTTCTGATATGGGTTGATTATTCTAGTCATAATGGGAGCCAAGCGTTGTGTGAGGAGGCGTGTAAAGATTTTCCCGTCGCAATTAATCAAAGAAATGGGACGCCAGTTCTTCAAAGACGTTAAGTCACCTTTCTTGGGCAAAAGGCGGACCCGTATATCTTTCCATGAGATAGGAAAGATCCCATCACTTAAAGCATAATTGTATACCTTGACGATAATTGACTGAAGAAAAGGAAGGCTGAATAAAAATGCTAAGTAGGGATATCCTAGTCCGTCATTTCCAGGGCTACTCTGGGTAGGAGACCGCTTGGCCAACTGGCGTAAG